TACTTACTAGAAAACTAGTAATAAAGTTTAATATAATTTCCCTTTAAAGCTTATTTAGAACAAAGAATAATTATATTTTATTATATAATTTATACTTATATATTTTTATTTTTTAATAAATATTATAAATTTTAATATATTTTTTTATATTTTTTAAAATACTAGGCTAATTAAAATTCTAGTGAAAAAGCTTTAATATCTTTTTATAAGTAAAATACCTAGCTAAAGGATTATTATTATATTATTTTATAATAAGCTTTTATCTTAAGGTAGGTTCTTTTAATATATATAAAAAACTAAAAAATAATAGATTTTTATTAATATTTATACTTTAATTATTTAATCTATTAGCCTACTTAAGCTTTTTTAGCTTTATTAATAAGAAAATATCCCTCCTCTAAAGCTATTAGATTATATAACTAATAAGAACTAATATATTACTATAAATTATTTTATTTACTATAGTTTTTTATATAATAGAATATAAAAGGCAATATTTATAACTATTATTCCTAGCGATAAAACTAACTTTATAGGACTCTATTAGAAATATATTATTTAATTATTAAATAAATATTAAATTATTTTATCCTTTTAACTTTATTATAAAAGATTTTTTAAGTTTTTTTTAAAATTTACTTTTAATTTTATATTTAACTTTAAAAGAATATACTGTAGTAAGTATATTATTTAGCCTTTTTAAAAGACTTAGCTTATTCTATAAAATTAATAATATTTTTAATATATTTTAATTTAACTTTTTATAATTAAAGCGCTAAGATAATATATTTATTAAATTTATTTTTTTTAATTTATAAAAGATTTTAAAGTCTATAATAAATAGCTTTATAACCTAATAATATTATTATCTATTAAGTTTTTTAATTTTTATAAAATTTTTAAGATTATTATAATTAAAATATATTTCTATTAAATAAAAAGTACTTTTAAAGTAATAATACTATTACTTAAAATATTTAATAATTATAAGTAGCTTTTAATTATATATTTTATAATTTTATTTAATATTAATTATTTTTTAAGACTAAAAAGCTATAAGCTTTTAATAGTTTTTATTATTTTACTAAAATATAATTATAATTATTTTATAACTAGGAATATTAGTCTTTATTTTAATCTTTTTTTATATATAGAAATACTATATAAGTAATATTTTTATAAAAGTATTATATAGGTTTTTAAAAGTAGTATTAGCTTTAGTAGACTATTATAATAATTTAGGCTTTTTACTATTTTTACTACTTTTTAATAAATCTATTAATAAGATTAACTTCTTTAAATAAGTTTTAATAAAGTAATAATAAAAGTTTATAAAATTTAAAAATATTTAAACATTATAATAGCTTTTAGAAATTTATTACTTTATAATAGTTTTAACTTTTTTAAAATTTATTAATATTTTTTTAATAGAGATAATAAATCCCAGGAATTTTAAGTAATTAATTATAAATTTATACTTATTTAAATTTATAAATAAAAAATATTTATAAAAATATTCTAATATTTTTCTAATATAGTTTTAATACTATTTTTTAGACTTAGAATATATTAAAATATTATTAAAATATATTATATAAAAAATATTTATTAAACTAGCTAAAGCTTAGTTAATATAAGCTTAAAATATAACTAAAATATTAGCTAAGTTAAATAATATAACTATATATTTAAAATAACTATATTTAATTTTAAATATTATTTTCTATTTATTATTTTCTTTAATTTTAATATAATAGTAAATATTTTTTAAATTTATTTTAAAAAAGAACTTTATATTACTTAGCTAATTAAAAGTTTTTATAATTAAAAATAAAAGATATTAATTTTTAATAATAATTTTATGAAACTTATAATAATCTATATAAAAATATAGCTTTTTATTTTTCTTAAATATAAAAAGGATAAAAGCTTTAATAAAAAAGACTAAATATTTAATTTATTTTTATTAAAAATATTATTAATATACTAATATAACTTTATTAGTTTATTATTTAATAAATTATAAATAAACTTATATAAAGGATTTTATCTATTTAAATTAATAGTATAATTATTTATTTTAAGCTTAGAGAGTTTATTTTTTTTTTTAAAGAAAATATTTTTATATTCCTAAATCTATAATAGTAAAATAGTTAAATAAAACTTTTCCTTATTTATTATCCTAACTAATACTAAAATATAAATATATAATTTTATTTTTAAACTTTTAATAAAAATTTTAAGTTTTTAAATATAGCTTTTCTATATATTTATACTTTAATTAAAGTGCTATTTTAAATATTTTATATTAAAGATAATAGCTAATAAATATCTAGCTAGTAATTTAATAAATAAATCTTATTTAAGCTTATTTATAATATAAAAATAATTTTTATAATATTTCTAATAATTCTATATATTAATAGCGGCTTAGGAGATATTATATATAATATTATAATATATATATTTCCTATTAAAGCTTATTATTAATAATAGTTAAAAGTTTTTAGCTTTTATAAAACTAAATTTAAGTATAAATATATTTAAAATAAAGTTTAATTCTAATTTAAAGTCTAGGTATATATTACTATTTCTATATTTTATCTTTATTACTATTTTAGTAATTAACTTAACTTTTTTAATAATTTTAATATAGGAATAAAGCTTTAATAATAAAATTATTTCTCTATTTTTTTATTTTTTCCTAACTTCTTTAAAGCTTTATTAGCTTTGCTTTTAGCTTTAGCCTATATAGTTTTAATTTTAACTATATTTTTTAGCTTAAAGTATTTATTTAATAAATATTTATATTTTTTATAATTCTAGTATATATATTACGACTTATTACCCTTTTCTATAGGCTTTTTATTAAATATCTACTAAAATTTTAAAAAAGCTATAATATTAAATTTATATTTTTTTAAATTTAATAAACTAGAATTATTTTAAGGTTTTTAACTTAATTTCTATAAATTTAAATTAAAAAAATTTAGTTAGCTTTTAATAAAAGGATTAGTATTCTCTAAATTTAATATTATTTCTAACTACTTTTTTTATATTATTTCTAGAAAGTTTTTTTAAATTTAATAATAAAATATATATAAAAGCTTTTTAATTTTTTAATAAACCTTTAAACTTTAAACTTTTCTATTAAAAAGTTTTTTATAAAAGTTTTTAATTTTTTTATATAAAAGTTATAATTAAGTATAAATTAATTAAATTTTTAATAAATAATTAAATAAATATTTAAAATATTATCTACTTAAGTAAAATTAATAAATTATAAGTTTAAAAATAGTTATAAAACTTTTCCTATATTATATTATTTTTATATATTTTTCTATACTTTATATAAATTATTAAAGCTTTGCTTTAAAGAGTTTAATTAGCTTAATAAATTTTCCTTATATTACTTAAATTAATATTAGCTATTATAAGTTAATTATTAATTTAATATATTTATTATTTATATTATTTTACTATAAAATTATTTTTATATAATAGGTAATTATTTAACTTTAGCTTATAATAATAAAAAAATTTTATTTAAATAAATTATTAATTAGGGATAAGCTTTTAGTTTAAAACTTATTTCTTAAATATTAAAAATATTATTATTAAAATATTTTTACTTATTTATTTTATACTTAAAAATAATAGTAATTAATTATAATATAAAAATTTATCTTATAACTTATTACTAGCTAAGTTATAATAGTTAAAATAAGAATTTAGCTTATTTATTAAATTATTATAATCTAATAACTTAGGAAAATCTTTATTTTTATTAATATAATTATAAATTAATATATTCTATTTATATATTTATTTTAATTTAACTTACTATTTATATTATATAATATTCTAATTAAGCTATTTAATCTTATTTTTAATATTTTACTAAGTATTACTAGTATTTAAATTATTTAAAAAAATTAATACTTTTTTATTAAAACTTTATTAAAATTTTATTAAAAGATTATTATTTTATATATAAGTACTTTATATCTTTATTATAATATTTTAAGATAAATTACTAGCTTTAAAGCGGTGTAATAATTATTATTATAATATATTACTTATATTTTATATATATTTTTATATAAGGATTATATTGGCAGCTAGTATATATACTATAGCTGTTGCTTAATTTTATATATTTAAAGTTATATTCTAACTTATTCTAAATTATATAAAGTAAAAAGGAATTAGAATTATTAAAACTTAAATATATAGTATAAAATAGTATTAGAAATATATATAGAAAAGGCTTTTATTAGATTCTAATAAGTTTCTAATAAGTACTTAATTTTATAAATATTTTAAAAAAATTATAAAAAAGAACTAACTTTTATTAAAAAAAAGTAAAAATCCCTATTATTTAATATAGGATCCCCTACCTTTAGTAGTAGGCTCTAAGACGTTTCTTTTACTCCTTAGTAAGCTAGATTGCCAATTTACGCTTCTATATATATAGTAAACTATAGTGTAATAGTTATATAATAATAATTAAAATTAAAAGTAAAAACTATTTTAATTATTATTTAATCTTTAATAAAGTTTAACTTTATAATAATATTAATAATTTTAGTTTTAATATTAAAAGTTTACTTAGTAATAAAAATTAGCTTCTAAGGCCTAGAAATAATAAAAAAAATAAAAAAAAAACTTTATTTTAAATAAAAAGTTTATTTATATATTTAATAAAAGTTACTATATATTAATCTTCTAGTCTAAATATATTTACTATTATATAAGAGTAGTTTATAATATTTACTAAGTTCTTAATATTATTATTTCTATATAATTAAGAAAGATATAATTTAGATTATAATATTTTTACTTTAATTATAATATAAAGATAATTATAATTTAGTAAAATTATTTAGAACTCTAGAGAACTAAAGTATTTTAGATAAATATATAATATTGTTATTTATCTACTAAATACTATAGGGAAATAGATAAGTAGATACTAACTTAGTATCTTGTTATGACTTCTATGTTCTTTTCTCCTCTAATTTCCAATCTCGCTTCACTGCAATCATCCCTTGTGGCACCTCATCATGCATCAGGCCTTTACCACCCCACTCCCCGTCACCGGCAGTTGGCTCATGAGTTACTTCGGCCCGGTGTGAATTGAGATTCTGAGATTCATATCGCGGGTCAAGAGAGGCGAGCGCAGCTTCCTGATCCAATGCCATACCGTGCGCGTTTCTCGCTATACCGACATACGGGATATCCCCGGGCAGGGTAGTTCCCGCCGCATGTCCTGCTGCTGTCGCAGTTATCGGGTTCGTGAAAATTGCAGCCTTGCCATCTTCCAAATGACTCGGCGTGGCAGGATAATGAAGAGGCTGTGGAGTCGTTGGTATGGGCAATAACTCATACGTCGGCTGGTGCTTAGCATGCGCCTCATTCACTTCTTTACCATTTGTCTCGCTCATGCTGCGGCTTTCGCTTTTGGTCTGTGTGGTGGTAGGGCTAAGGTCCTTGGTGGGGAATGGCCAGGATTCGACCCCTTCGCCTGTCGGGTGGATATTGGTCGTGCTGCTGCCGGTTGAATCCCGGGGACGATTGCTTATATTGCGATCGCCGCGAGAAGAGCGGCGGGAGGAAAACATTTGATAGCTTGATTGCAGGAGGGGCCGAAATGTAACGAGACACGGACATATAATGCCAAGGAATTGCTCAGCGACTGTCCAGTATACGACTTTGACTAGAGTATCTGAGGGGAAGAAGCTGTCAGTAAATTTGCAGATAACCGGTGAGGAAAAAGAAGAGAAGCAGGGTGGAGACATGACTGGGAAGTTATTCTTACACGTGGGATCGTTGCCGTCGACTTTATAGAAGTATTTCAAGCGGAAGAAACTCGCAATAATGGTCAATACTCCTAAGGAGAAAATTGCGGTTAAGCCGATTTTGTGCATCGTTGTCATCCTCATTCGCCAGATTGTGACGGTCGGTAAAAGGAGCAAAAGAATGTCTGTAGTGATGTTGAAAGCAGCGTTGGCGACGAAGAGTTTGATCTGGTCTACCGTGCGAACAGGCTTCACTCTACTATTCCAACGTGCGTTGACGGGAACAGTAAGGAAGACGTCCGCAATGGCGGTAGACAGAGCGTAACCGAAGAAAATCGCGACGAACATCCAGCAAACTGTTCGGAACCATTTTTGAACAAAGATGCGATGGTAGAGAAGGACGAGGGAGATGCGAGATAATGGATAGGACGTGGTATAGAGGATGTTCGAGGAGTAGCCGCACTAGGTAGTATCAGATAAGTTGGGTGCAGGTACATTGTTGGTGACCAGATCTACTAAAGGGCCTTTCGGATATGTACCTTTTTGTATTGAACTCGCTCCTCGAACGGCAGTGAGTAGAAATGGCGTCCAAAGCCAAACTTAACTGTGAAATAGTTAGATTAACCTCTGACATTCCAGGCGTCTGATTGAAGGCGTACAGAAGAGTATCTTGCACACCATATCTCCAATTGTGATCAGCTTTCAGTGATAGCCATGATGTCAGTTAATGCTGATGCTCGCCCCTTTACTAATGGAATCACGAATCAAAGACGAAAGAGTAGATTACCAGGGCGCCAATCAAAGTGAAATCGTCGGATTTCCATGCAATCTTCTGCATTTTCCTACTCCACAACCTCAACCCCACCAGGATGGTAATGATGCAAACACCAGCAATGATGAATGCCTCGAGGCCTCCAGCGTTGAAGTCTGACGCATGGTTCCTCTGGTAGGCAATGACATCTGGTGGTGGACTAGGCATGCCAACTGATCAAAGCGATATTCGTGTGCAATAACGCCGTAGTACGTTTATGAGCTAGACTTATGATTCAACGTAAACAGAAAATGTATGTATATCAATCACATTGCTCAAATCTGGATGTTCATACCAGTGGGGAATGACAGACAGCGAACACGCTAGATCTGCCGGCCAAGATCACTCGCATTATAAGATCTGGGGTCACAGACCGAGAGGACAGAGGGGGGCGTTTGATTGACTTTGTACCCTACGTCACCAAATATTGGTGAGCGTTCCGTGTCGCAACCAGTTGCACCTCTACCCTGAAATGGAAAAAGCGTGGTTTCCCTGGTATCCCGCTTTGTTAAATCTTGCACTAGCGCCAACGGGCACCAAAGGTCCAATTTGCGACTCGAAGGCTTAAATTAGTACGAGCAGCAAATTTGCCAGAGATGGAACCTCATCAGGAGTGCGGGGACTAATTCACATGATCATGCTACTAGTCTCAGCTATATGATGCTCATGTTCGCATCCGCATCAAACTCGAAGCGACATGAGCCACCTTACAAATCAATATTGGCCCTCCTGCGTCCGAGTCTTCAGGGTGGCTTTAGTAGCTGAGACTGTATAGACCTAGCCTGTCATGTTCGTGTGAGCATCAGCTACTTGTCCCGGTTTGGCAAAGTAGGGTACCGAATTCCAGTATTGACACCGGTTATTCGCTGCTGGATCCTTCGCTTGCGAAAACCCCGCCTCTGTAATGTTGAGCACATGGGCGTGCGTAGAGTACAGGGGCCAAGCAGGGAGGTCCATTTTATGGCTAAGATCTCCAGTCAAAATGTAGTGAGTAAGATACTCCTGTAAACCTTCTGCGATAGCCGGATAGAATCCAGGTGTTGCGCCCGTGGGATAGTATGTGTACGCGAGATCTTGCGCGTGAGTGCCTGGGTCGATGCTGAAAAGATAGTTGCGGCTTTGCAATTCCGGTACGACGCCGATGGCATTCGTACTACAAGCCACACTAAGCTCCATGGTACATAGTTCGAGACGTTCCAGAGGGTTTTTGTAGGGAAGGGATCCGTCATAAAGCGGAGGGTACACTTCCTTTATAACCTTCTCTGCGACGTTAGGAGTAGAAAGGAAAAGCTGATATGCCCAGTTGTCAAAATCAGCATCTGTGCTGACACTTTGATTTGCAAAATGGCGGCCTTCATTGAAATTGTGGGCGGCGATCATCGTGACATTTTTGAAATATTTGCCCTCCTTCAACAAACGCGTGGGATAGTCCAGAAGAACATCATCATCTACGACGGGGGTGAAGAACTGAACATTGAAAGGTCCCGAGACTTGTGCTTGTTTTTGCGCTTTCTGCAACACCTCCGTGGACAAGTTTCTCGCTTCGTCTACGGTCGAGACTCCAGCGCTTTGCAAAAACAAGTTTGCACCAAGCTTCAGATACTGCGGATCTATAGGGGTTAGAGAGGGACTCTGTACTACTCCACGGATGAAAAGACCACTTTCTTCGGGCTTGGAGCCACCATACGCCACAAGGTGTCTCAGGACAGAGGTGCCCCCAGAAGACTCTCCGGTGATCGTGACTTGCTGAGGATCGCCACCAAACAAATGGATGTATTTTTGCACCCATTTGAGGGCATACCTCTGATCCAGAAACCCGGCATTGGGAGAAGTGTAATTTGCAGAAGATGGTTCAACAGCTGCTAGAAACCCAAATGCACCGAGCTGGGTCCAATTAATTTCATCGTCTATCGCGAAAGTCGTGGCTTGCTTACTCGGTAATTGATCGAGACATACACGAAATCGTCTTTGCCTCGCTCTAATAACCCCCTGGGATTGTAGATAGCGGTCTTGTCTCCTGAAAAATAGCCGCCTCCATGTATATTGAATAAAACAGGCGCTAAGGAGCCGTGGTTTTCCCTTCTGCCTTTCGCGAATACTTTGGAAGGGCTGATAACATCTAAGAAAAGACAATCTTCGTTTTGTTGTTGTCCGGAAAGTCCTGGCGGTACTGTCTTTCCCCCTCTCCTGCTTGCTTTGCTGATATAGGAGACCAAGCTGGGGAGGACTGGGGACATGTATAACCGAGCATGCCATCATTCACCTGGTTTCGGATGACCCTGGGCGGCTGAGGGTTGCGCCAGCGAAGGTCACCCACCGGAGGAGCGGCGTATCTAATATTCGAAAAGTTATAGTATTGGCCAGTCACCTTGACAACTGTCAGGTGCACGGCTTACTAACTTTCAGAGGGAGGAGTCTTACGTTCAGCGACGTTGCGCGATATAATTCGTACTGGAGGTCGACAATCGGAAGAGCACTATTTAAATCTATAATTGCAGTCGTGCCATTAGTACTTTCATCTCCAGCATGTACCGACCAAATTATTGTGGATAAGAGAATTGAGGCTGATGTAGAGACTATCTTGAGCAGACGTGACAACATGTTGACGAAAAACGATCAAGCAAATCCATCAAACAAACCGGCGTTACATTTAAGGGTCTTCAAACACAGATAGATGGATCCAACAGAGTCAGGCTGAAATCTCCGTGACGAGTTGCGGAATCGGGTGGTCGGGCTATAGGTCAAAACCATGAATATTAAATGACTGTTGCGGCTGTGACAAGCCTCTAAAGCGACGTCACCGGTCCTACTACTCGTAGGACTAACATGAAGCAAGGTTCAACACCTAACAGGACGGTAGCTGTAGCAACCTGCCGAGGAAACATAGCGCTAAGATCAGTATAAGCGTTGCAGGCGTTGCAAGCGTTTTGCGTCAGCCGATAGACCTACTCAGGGTATTTTTAAATGATTGATATTTCCGATAAATCCGAATATCAGCTCTGAATATGGTCTACAACTACCATTTGAGAACCAAATTAATTGAAAACTGGTAGTGTAATAGATTGAAGCATTTCGATTAAGCCTACCAAGTTTCAAATACTAACAATACCTTGTTGGTCTTGCTTGACTACTTAGAACTGATGACCTTAGGGCCGGATTTACCGGCTATAATATCAATCATTTAAAAATACCCTGAGTAGTCTTGCGCCTGAAGGATGCAACTAACCATCACAGGTGAATTGGATGTCGATCGCAAGGAAATCTCCGTCCGAGCCACGAGCCCCACGCGCCCAAAAGTTTAGCATCAAGGCTAAGCTTTCTTACCGACCGCCCCCTGCGCCATCCAAGATCATCGGTAACCAACGAGCCAACCAAGTAATCAGCTTGGCCCATGAAATGATTGTTCTGGGTGGTGGTGGGCCATGCTTCCAGATGCGGTCGCGGTATTGTTGCTGCTCTTCAAGTTTCATGCGAAGAATGCTGGAATGAAAAGATGGTTCGCTGTCCAATCAGTTGAGAGTCGACTGGATCGTGCGTTGCCTGAATGCCATGTGAAAAGTCGCTCTGGTTCTCGATGTATGTTGCTGATAATTGGTCAAACTTGAGACTAGTGGATGAATGTGTCTTGCACGTCTACGCTTTCCACTTGATCGACCACATCGGCAGATCGAGTACACGCCGAGGTCACTGAAGTAGATGATGAAAAGCTTTCTTCTCCTATTTCCTTTTGCTATGAATTTGATTACCTGATTTGCAATATATTTACCAGAGGCGTCGTCACCCAAGCAGCATCTTGCGCGGATCTTCGATATATTCCTTGAGCTAAAGTGCCACATATCAGTATTGCGAAGGAGGTAATGTCTGGCACTCACCTTCACAAGAAAGACCACCGCCTCTCGCCCATCCAACATGCGGTGGTCATACGTTAGCGCTAAATACATCATCTGTCCACGGGTGAGTTTACACCAGCTCACCATACGGCCATCGAAAGGCGAAGCTTACCGGACGAATCTCGACTTTGCCATTGATTGCCACTGGTTTCTCCTTTATGGCATGTAGTCCCAGAACAGCTGCATGGAGATTAGGATGAATTTGGTTGGTATCCTTGGAAGAGCAAACCTGTCTGCGGCAAATTGATGATAGGGGTCCCCATCAGCGACCCGAAGACACCCCCCTGTCCAATACTCAGCCTTGCTCCGTTCTCTGCGTGACTGCTTGACTTACGTTACTAATGGTGAAGGTACCACCGGCCATGTCCTCGATGGTTAATTTGTTTTCACGCGCCTGCCGACATGTCAGCTACAGTTTGTTACCTCCTGCGGCCTCATCAGCTTCACCTTCTTCCCAAGGTCGGCGATTGATTTCTCGATTGTGATCATGTCCATAGCTTCAGCATTGCGAACGACTGGGGTTACCAGGCCTTTTTCGGTGGCTACAGCAACGCTGATGTCGACATAATCGCGATATACAACTGTGTCGCCAGAACCGGCCCCTTCAATAGATGCATTCACCGCGGGAACATCTCGCATGGCGAGCACAGCAGCCCGTGAGAATGCGCTCATAAAGCCAAGCTTGATACCTGATTTCTTAAGTACCTCGTCTTTGTAAAGTTTCCGGAATTCCATTAACTGGGACATGTCCACTTCATTGAAAGTTGTCAAGGATGCAGCAGTGTTTTGAGACTGCTTGAGCCGTTCTGCGATGCGCAGACGCATCCGGTTCATTTTCACCTGATGTTTTTTGAGAAGACGTTTCTGACAAAGAGAAGATACTCACTCGTCGCTCACCACGTCCGCCTGCTGGCAAGCTGCTTTCGGGCTTTGGATCCCGCTTTTGTGACTCGCGGCTTTTTGCCGGAGGTTCTTTCCCACTTGAGGATGCTAAAGCATCCTCTTTTTGAGGCTGGTCTGAGATCTTAGGTTCTTTGGATTGCGGCGGCGGCGGTGAGGGTGACTCCTTCTCTGATTTCTGAGTTGACCTCTCCTTACCGGGCTGAGGGTTGGGATCTGAGGACGTGGACTGGTCATCTGGTGCCGGGGCTTTGGGTTCAGAGGAGGCTTGCTGTTTCTGACCACCTTCAGGAGGCCCACCAAGCTCAAGCTTGACGAGATCCTGTCCTACCGTTACCGTATCTTCCTCTTTTGCAAGATACTCTTTAATTGTGCCGGGTTCGGGTGCGTTGACAGCGACATCTATCTATTGGGGCAAAGCAATGGTGTTAAGTGGCTGATTGATGGGTCGCCTGGGCTCTAGGCTTACCTTGTCGGTCTCAATACTAGCGATCTCTTCATCCTGCTCAACGTAATCACCAATTTCTAGGACCAGATTTAGTCTCGATGATTCTGGTAAAAGTCGGTGCAGAATGACTTTTTTGCCATTGCTTCAGTGTGCCTTCTGATATTGATTCAGCCATCTCCGGCACCTTCACAATCTTGTCGGCTGTTTGAAAGTCAAAAAGGGTGATGTTCAGAGCCGTTAAATCTTGTTACCGTAGCATCTACACTGCAGACATGGCCTAATAGCACTTCTTTGCCGGTATCTATCCTTATTAAATTAAAACCATAGTTCGGAAATTTTAGAGCGAACCTGAACGATATTGGGATAGTGATATGAGGACCTCCTCGACTCTCAGAGCGCAAATAGGAAGAAGCAGGCAGTGATGTAAGGCGGAGCGACGATGTTCGGGAGAAGCAGCGGGATAATTGATGGCCCCAGACATTTGAAAAGGACGAGCGAGGTCGCTTTATCAAACATTGCAGTCTGGCTGCCATTCTAGGAGGTAGCAGAGGAAGCCTCGAGACGCAACTAGGGGAGGACGAAAGGCGTTGCGCGTTCAGCGTTAAGGATTAATCAACAGAGCGGCACGAGGTAAGACCACTTCAAGCCCATTGCGAAAAGCTTCCGAGGAGCTGTCAATTGGCCACAGAAGTGAGTGAGGTCTCTCTAACGGCTGGTATTGCAATTTCAATTGGGTTCGCAGTTCTAAGTTACCTTACAAAGCTGCGGCTAGGTTTAGCGCTTGCCGCGGTGACGAGAGGTCGTTTTCCCAATCTGCTGTGGATATCACGCTTCTCAATTCAGGTCACAATCAAGTCAGCTAGTCTGGAGCTCAACTGTTCGGATTAATGGTCAAGTCATAGGCAGCAGGCTGAACTTGCGATATGGCAAGCCAGCAAGCAGTCAAGTGAGCAAGAATGCCCAGAACACATGCACTCTTCTAAAGCTTGCGCCAGGTCTCTATATCGTCGAAGCCTGAAACTCGCACTGGACTGGGCTGTACAGCGGCATATTTGGAGGGGACAAGCTCTGTATATTAGGTCACTCTTTGAAGCCAACAAGCATGTTACGGAGCCTCGACAGCAGCGAGTGAGGCGATCCACAACCTATTCAAGAATTCTGTCGATTTTGACCAATCCTTAGGCTCTACTCCAAGAGACGGAGGCTTTACTGGATAGGTGGAGGCATCCTGACCCGTATCGACCGCCTACTGCCCCGGGAGGTACGCAGCACATTTACGCAAGCTACTATCCTGAGTTACGGACAATAACTGGCCTCACAGGATCGAAGTACGAAAGAAATATTCCAGCGCCTATACTTGACCGTGTGTCCCCGTCTTCTTGATTCGTCTTCTCTCATGTAGTCGCTAATCCTGATGCAGCACCTCCGCCAATGGTCATTTGACGCCCATCTAGTCCGACATAGTTGCTTATTGTCATATGAGAGGTCCGGTTTCAAGTAGTACAGCGTGACAATTTGAAGATGGAATAAACTCAATCCAAGCGCGCAGACTGCCTTGCTTATGAATGGGTACTTTGTTGATTCTTCTTTCACCAGCAAATATTACAAGGAGCCAAGAATGAATGGACGCTCAAATTGAGTCAATCGAAATTGGGTATGATGAATTCTCGTCTAGACTTCATGTCCATGCTGTCCGCATAATGTACAACATGCCCAGACTGCCAAGCCATATCCATGGCCAACCCCCCAAACCCCGGTAACATGTCAAATCAAAATTCATAAGCACGCTCCAGATCATTTGCCCACGTCTACAGCTCTTGAGAAGCAGGCTTGCCACCCTTCGCCGTCTTCTTCGGTAGGAGATCTATCTTGAGGTCAATATCAGTGCAACAGAAAGCGAAAATGATCGGCTTACTTTGATGGATATTGGGTAGGACACCACCTTGAGCAATGGTGACGTGTCCGAGAAGTTTGTTCAATTCCTCATCGTTTCGAATGGCGAGTTGGAGATGGCGAGGGATGATTCGAGTCTTCTTGTTATCACGAGCGGCATTTCCAGCCAATTCGAGGATTTCGGCAGCGAGGTATTCAAGGACGGCAGCGAGGTAAACGGGAGCACCTGGTCACAAAGCGTCAGAACAATGAAACATCCAATGCGTGCACAAGACTCACCAGCACCAACGCGCTGAGCGTAATTTCCCTTTCTCAACAAACGATGGACACGGCCGACTGGGAACGCAAGACCAGCTTTCGATGAACGACTGAGGCATGAATCAGCGAAATCGGCAAAATGGCAAGCAAGTCGCTGAAACTTCTGCGCCCAAGCAAATAGAGCCCAACCGGGCGCTGGGGAAACTCACGATTGCGAGGACTTGCTGCCGCTGGCTTTGCCTCCAGATTTACCTCCAGTCATTTTGATGGATCTGCAATCGGTATTTGGAAAGTTTGATGAAGAAATGGGGGGTGAGACGTTAACGTTGATTGCGTGAAGTAAGATATGTGGTGCGACAATGGATGGAGAAGGTCGAAAGTTGGCGGCAGTGGATGGATTAAGTAGCGACAGTCAAGCGTGCTTGATGTGATAAGTAGTGAAAAAACAGCTTAGTCAGTTGAGCTGGCCAGTCAGATAGGTAGAATGAGAGTAGGTGAAAGCGCCAACATGCCACTAGCGCGTGTTTTTTTGGCCCTCTTCAGGCGTGAATTCAATCACCCGGAGTGTGTTGTTGCCAAGGCTACAGCACCTTTTTGTTTTGAACGGGAACGGAACTAAATATTTCCCATTCCCCCTCATTCGTGTCGCGCCTACCTTAGCTCGACTCGCCAAATCACCGCCAACGGCTAGAGAGTATAAGTCCGCTCGTCGCCCGCAACTTCTCGTTCACTCACCCATCCACCATCAAAGCTATCTCAACTTATTGATCTTTTCGTTCTTGACTCACGTCCTTTTACTTTTCACTCCCAACTCACCTTTCAACTTCGAAATCCTACTTTTGAGAAATGGCACCAAAAGCTGCTGAAAAGAAGCCATCCACCGGAGGCAAAGCCCCGGCTGGCAAGGCGCCAGCTGAGAAAAAGGAAGCTGGCAAGAAGACAGCCGCCCCATCCGGCGAGAAGAAGAAGCGGAATAAGACCAGAAAGGAAACGTACTCTTCCTACATTTATAAAGGTGAGTTGCTTTGGTTTTGCGCAACCTATCGCGCTTCGCGTGCATGAGCCTGCCTTTCCCTGGGCACAGATTGCCATTCATCTTTTGCTGGTATCCTAGAGTCGAAGTAAAGCTGACGCGTTTGTAGTACTCAAGCAAGTCCATCCCGATACTGGTATCTCCAACCGTGCCATGTCAATCTTGAACTCGTTCGTGAATGGTTAGTAATACCGAGTCTTCTAAATATGCGTCATTAACTAACCCATCAGATATTTTCGAGCGCGTCGCCACCGAGGCTTCCAAACTCGCCGCATACAACAAAAAATCCACCATTTCCTCTCGAGAGATTCAGACATCGTGAGATCTCCCCGATGCTTTACTACTTGCAGTCTGCTCACTTTTGATTCAGTGTCCGACTCATCCTCCCTGGTGAACTTGCCAAGCACGCCGTGTCAGAAGGCACTAAGGCTGTTACAAAATACTCTTCCTCAACGAAGTAAGCCATGATGATTAGTTTGGTGCGATATCCAAGGGGTTGAGACCGCTGTGTCTTCTCGGTGTTCGGGGGCTTCTTTTTGATGTATCACGGAATAGGTTCTGCAGGATGAGCTAAGGTAGCAAGCTTGCATCTGTGGAATGGCTCATGTACCATATTTGACGAGCAAGCATGAATTTTCTCGCGCCAAAATCTGATCAGTTTTGCCGCTTGTCTGCATTTCATTCGTGAAATTGCAGTACACAACTCACTTCATTAGGTCCCACACCTGCTCAGTATTGCCGTCATTGTATGAGAAGTCACATCAAGTGCATTGCAAGAGATTCTTTGGATAGAGTTGTCAGAGAAAAGTTTCCAAAGCTCAACGCTTCATTCATTAACTTGACGGATGCTCTATCATCTCCCCGTGATCATCTTCTTCCGCTTCGTCATCCAAGGTTTCAACCTCTGCCAACGCACTCGGCCTCTCGACTCCTTGTTCATACAAGATCGGCTCCTTATCGGCTATGTGGACAACAGGCTTACTTGGCAAAGTCTTGAGGGCTTCTCGCCATCTATCCCAGTCTGTCCTATCTCTGATAAGAAAACCAAGCAGCATGCTTGGGTCCATATCCTTCAAATGCAACCTGCGGAGTCTCCTTGTATGACTTGATTCGACTTCTTCAGCGGTATACCTTGCGGGGTCCAAGCGAAAGGGCAGAGCAGGCCGTGTGAAGTGGGGGTCTAGGTAGAATATCTGGTCTCCTTGGTGCGCAAAAAAGTAATGTGAAGATGATGGTCTACCGCCAGCTATACCAATCGATTGCGGAAGTTCAAGAGAAGCCTTTAGAGCGTCCCAATACGCCGGCGTAATACGGTCGATACCGAGGCGGACTCCGACAAGAATTAAGACAGGCGTAAATTTGCCAGTGTCTGACCCAGCGATGCTTAGAAAGGTATCCTCGTACACATCAGCACCATCCCCATTGACATAGACTTTCAAGCCCGAGAGAGGGTCGGCATTCGAGAGAGCTCTGCTTCCACGTCAGATACTACGCGAACAAGACAGCAAACAGCGAGCATTTACTGTATACATCTAGCAGTTGCAGATGGGCCGAACCATTCCCCAGGATGTTTACCACATGCTCGTGCGCCATGCTCGACAAATTTGTGTATGGAGAATGGAGCGCTAGGATCATCTGCAAATTGTGAGAGAAGCTGCTTCTCTTCTTCGTGACGAGTGCCGCGTCTCCACTCTAGCAAAGTAAGTACTAAGACTAGAAGTCGAGCTCGTACTTTGCTTACCTCTCCCAAGGCGAAGGACAGACAAAGCGTTTGCGAGTAGGCATTGTCCTGACCGAATCATACAACCCCAGCCTGTGTCGGACGAAAACCCTTGCTTGTCGGCAAGACTCCTGAATCGTACTGCTAACGTCATGGTAGCATCCGGCGACTTCACGATAGGAGGGAAACTCGAACGGTAGGTGAACCAGATGCGTGATTCACAATCATCAAGAAATTCCGTAGGCCACGTGATATCTGGTGTTTCTCTTCCTGCTTCGTCACCCTCCTTGAGCCCTGTTACTTTTGATAGTTCCCCTGGGCTCGCGTCCTCTTTCAGCTTGTCTGTAGCTGTCTTATCCGGCATGATACATGGGGTATGTCCACCAATTGGTGATGAAGAATTGTTCGTACCATTCCTGGACGGTCTCGATGGGTACTCAGCCCCTAGGCACCATATAGCAGACCCCGAGATATCATCATTTCTCGGCTCCGGATCGAACAGACCCTGTACGATGCGTTTATATTTTGCGATATCAACAGTTGCCATCGCACCACGCGACTGACTCGCCTGAAGGCGGAGCTCTCTCTTTCCCGAACGCTACCTGTCTCTGGCAAATTCCAGGATTGCTTACACGGAAAACAACCCAGCTTGTCTGGCGCCCTGTAGAGTCGAGGCACAAGCTGCTAGCCAGTCAGTTGCTGGTAAAGAGGGGTCGTGGTTTGCAAATGTAGATCAAATGCTGTAAATGTGATGAGGATACAATCATAGCTCGAATAAGCCCGCTTGGCCGGAGATTGTGGAGATAGCGTTTTAGCGTTAAATCTACTCTTCTGCTATCAACACAATAATGAGGTGGCTTACAACGTCAAACATCCATCAGGAGCCTCGAGTGAAAGCGACAAAGTGATCACGAAAGATATACAGCTCTTTGAAAAAGTGCCTGTTGAACTTTTCAAACTAAAAATTGGTCGTATCTAGCGAATATATTGTCGTTCATACTTTCAGTGTAGGTGTCAAAAAGCTCTCATAGCGCAGCATAACACTTGTCTCATTGTGGAGAAACGCGGAATTTTGTATCGCGTTCTGTGAAGACTTTTATGAAACACTTTCGCCACCGGGTTTGGCTTGGGAGTATTTGACTCGATAGAAAGGATTCACACGTCAATATCTAACCCTATTTTACACGACAAGTACTTCATTCACCGTCACAGGCAAATGCTACCATTGAGCTACGCCGATTGAAGTTGTGTGACGCAAATCTTCGCTCGCTTCCAAAGGATTGAGTCTGGTCACTTTTGCTTTTGAGAAGAACCTATTTTCCGAAGAATGACAGACCGATAATCTACTAGATCAGTCTCCTCAGCCACCATTCGCAATGGATGCCGTTCCTAATGAAGCAATATTCTTCTCCGATGTTCAGAGAAAACACGTTACGACTGGTCTTTCTATGCCGGACTTAATGCCTTTAGCACCCTCGTCTCCATCTGAGCCTGACGAGGACGAAGAGGTCCTATTTGCCGGGCGGCAGGCAAAAATGATACCCAAGAAAATGAAGATACTGAACGATTCTCTCCGTAGCAGTAGCAATGCTCCCGCAACCAATGGGTCAAAGCGTAGCAATGATGAATTGCCCTTAAGAGCCCCTATTGACTCTGCTAAGGCAACACATAGCTCTCGTAAGCAGCGTTCGGTGGCTGCTGACGAAGTTATGTCTGATTATATAACCAACGTCAGCGCCAACGAGTCAATAGACACCACCTTCGCAGAATCATCAAGAGCTGCACCAAACCTCGCCGGGTTTGATGGAGGACATAGTGACAGCGACCTTCTTGAACCTGCTTCCGAGGTTGACGATGAATGGTCGAGCGCCGATCTCAGGGACCTTGACGATTTAAGTACTTCTAGTGGTGGCGTTGAAACGATTGGCAAAGTACTCAGTCGACGGGAGAGACCATCAGGCCTACAGTATCTCGTGGCCGAGAAGGGTATGGCGGTAGATGATGCTCGATGGCTGTCACTAGAAACGTTGGCCAAATCTCGAGAATCGGCAAGACTAGTCCAATTGTTTGAAGAAAAGAAGGCCTTTCTTTCCAATTCAGCCTCCGAGGGCGTTTCTGATAGTGATCTCGATGAAGATGAGATAATTGAAAGGGATGTGCAACAGACGGTTCATGAGTCTTACCAAGCTCACCAATTCGAAGAGCGGCGTAAATACCAGATGACCGACGAGCGAATTGCTCGCCTGCTGTCCAAACAAGAGCAACTAGGCATGGGCTCAAACGAGCTATTCTTATTTGACGTTGATGTAGATGATCCAATGACAAACCGCACTGGTTGTGCTGCTCACCGACCTCAATCCAAGAGAAATGCAGCAGGCAAAGCTCGGCAAGAGAGGAAACCTCGACGGCTTTCCGATACAGTTCTTAGGATTGAGCCGGAAGAACCGTTTGCTGGGCTATATGCGATGCAGACTCACATTCCACGCAAAGCGAAAGGTCGGCGCCGGGAATTGCAGCTCGATCTTTCCGACTCGGAGCTTAACCAAAGAATGCAAGAGTCATGGGCTAACGATAGAGTCAAGAAGACTAGGCGTAAAAAGGAGCGCGAACAGCTTCGACAACAAGGGCTGCTGGGCAAGGGCCGAAAGGATAAGCCTGACCTACGAGTCAAGTATGCTAATAGCATATCTATACAGGATCTAAAAGACGAGTTGAGGTGTTTTCTGGCATCTACAAGTCAAAATCTCGCGCTGCCACCGATGAATCCCTGTGCAAGAAAATTGGTCCACGAAATTGGTCATAACCTAGGTCTGAATAGCAAGTCTATGGGTCAAGGCCCAGGTCGGTATCCAAACTTGTACAAAACATCAAGGACTCGAGCCTTCGACGATGTGGCCTTCGAAGGCATTCGTCACAAGATCATGCCTCGCTCGTCGAAGGGTCGGAAGGAAGTAAAAGGAAAGAGGCAAAAGGCTCCAGTGGCCAAGCAGCCAGGACGCCTTGGATTGCATAATCATTACCAGGAGGGTGAGGTCGTTGGAGCATCTGCACCTGAGCTCGGGGAGGAAAACAAAGGGCGAGCCATGTTGGAGAAGATGGGGTGGAGTACCGGGACAGGCTTAGGCGCAATAAACAACAAAGGTATTCCATTGCCCGTTGCACAAATCGTGAAGACCACGAGAGCGGGGTTAGGTTAGGACTCTGACTTTGTGGCGATCGGGCACGACAGGAATGACGCTACGTGTAATCTGTTTTTATCCAGGCCGTTTACGTGCTCTACAAAGTTCAAGCATGGAAGTGAACAAAGGTCACTCGAGTATAGCAGACTTGTGTTCGAATTAACAGATTGATTTGTATGAAGAAGGAAATTATCTGTTCTAGAGACGTTTTCTTTCGACAAGCTTGCGTGAAGTGCTTTGCCAGAGTGTTGATCACAAGGCAAACACGACACCTAACAGAAATCTGGATGCAGCTTGTAATAAAGAAAGTTTGACGTATGAGGAATGTATTATGCAAAAGTCTGAGGCAAAGTTTCACTTTGTGTTCAGTAACTTAAACGTGTGTTGGCGAGGTGAAATTCGTCTAGATGTATTTGAGTTGGCCTCATGCCATCCGTATTGCAGTAATAGCAAGCAGAAGCTCACCACCTGGACAGTCCCTCTATTGTAAAAGGCAGACGTTGCTTGTATTAAAAATAACACCGTAGGACGCACAGCATTGAACGAATTTAGCCTGGATATCTATCGGTTTCGAAATCGAGATACGTTGAGACAACACAGAATTTCTTGTGAAGCAATGAGGTTCCTAAGGCTCAAGTAAACGCTTTTCTAGCTCCATTGTCTTTGTACGACCACACAAGCCACACCAAGTCAGAACGCGACCTTGGACGAAGAATTGCTAATTCGTTGATGTAGACGACTTTTCAAGCAAGCCGTCTACGCAAATTTTTGTAATGATAGGATATACATAAAGCAAAGACAGTGTGGATTATTACAAAAATCCATGCACGCTCGGTGAACGAGAGCCCATGGCTAGCTCCACATTCCACTGACACGACGCTCCCCTCGCTTGTCTTAAGATCATCCTTCCGCGCAAACCTTCCTGCAGGCTCTCTCCACTGTACAATTCCGTGCACGAAATCTAGACAACATAGGCTCGAGCCTTCAATACTCTTGGGGACTCGCCCAACACACTTGCTCCCGAATACCTCTTCACTTATAAACCTTCATTCCAGACTTTTTGTGTAAAACAAATCGGAATTAGGATATGAGCAAGTGGGAAATAATCCTTTCTTGCTAGGAATACTGCTAGGAGATTTATCCGAAGAATCAACATTTGAGGTCCCCGTAGAGTAGTAGTATGTGCGAGGAGTCAGGAAAATATCAGAAGAGAAGAAAGTCTTCAAGGGAGCAAGTCACAGACTGATCACTTCTTCTTTGATGAATGTATGAAGAGATCATACTTTAAACAGGTAGCATGTAATCTTGGTGTTATTTATTGACCGAAAGCGTAAGATATGGGAAAGTTGCTCAGCGAAATGGTGGGGAGCAACCTATCCTAGGCTTTGCTTGCAACTGCCAATACACCTTTTCTACGAATGAGAAAGTCTAATCTTGCTGGGACATCTTTGAAGAGACTTGACACTCACTCGTGTGATGGATGAATCATAGTTGTGAAGGGATGGGAAAAATGAGTAACAAGGATCGAAGGGAGAGAAACTTGCGGCAATCAAATCTTGTAACGGCACACTGCAAGGATTAAGCACATACCTGTCAATTCTAGGCGGCGAGTTATGGATCTTTCATTTCTTACCTCGCTTTTTCTTCGGCGTGGGCATTGCTACTGGCTGTGCATGTTTTGGAAACTGCTTGATATGGGCAAAAAGTTTTGTCTTTGACGAAAATTCCACCTGACAGCTAGTGCAGCTGTGGGCGTGGTCCTCCACACCACGTGAGGTGTTTGCTTGAGCAGCTTTTCGCGCTCTTCTCTCTTTGGCTTTACCAATCTTAGGCTGCTTCTCCTCTACGACAGACTCAGAGGTAAGCTGCTGGCCGAGAGATTCTACACTGCTATCAAGCTGAGAAATCGAAGGGTCAAAACCTCCCGCGTATACTCTAGATTCGTGAGTACTGGATCGCGCCGCCGGAGAAAATTGATCATTACATGATGCTTCAGACCCATGGGCATCAGCGTCTTCTATCCTTATGAACTCGTTGTCAGGGGAGCTGTCAAATCTGGAAGGTTGGCCAGATCCAGAGACCGGCGCATCTTCTGAATAGGCTTGGTCTTGCTTTCCATCATTGCTATAGTTGGAAGTGATGCCATGTTCCGCGTCCGGCTCGTGGTCTGAAGGCGATGAGTGGTGGAGGGCGAGATCTGCATCATCTTGCTGCATTTCTTTTTGTACTTGCCGTAAGGCTCTTGCATGTTTTTTGCTTCTTTCGTGCGCATTGTACTGCTGCTCACTTTTGAAAATCTTATCGCATAAAACGCATTCGAATGTCTCGTCAGATGACACAGGACTTTCCTCTTCGTATATAATCGACTCTTCTAGTCCAGCTGTGTTCGTCCATTGTGGTATGGCATTACTTTGATCTGCTCTTGACTGATTGGCGGCTCTGGATCTGGCAGCTTGTGCTGAGGCAGCGTCTCTCAGGGTTCTTTGTCGGTCTGCCTCAGTCTCTTTCCCCGATTTCACCCTTGGATCTCGCTTTCTCACCAAAACCACAAGAGATCTAACAGCGTCATTGAACTCACGGATGCTTTCTTCTCGTAGCCTCTTGTTTTCCTTCTCCATCAACCTGCGCACCCGACGATCCGGCGCATCAGAATACTTGTAAAGCTCTTTCCACGCAAAGGGTTTTCGAGTTGCGAATGCAGTCCAGACAGCGTAGAACGACCTAACAGTATCTTGGTAATCATCGTTGGCCGATCCAAAGGAGGGATAGCTGAAAGGCTCAACACCCTCCCATCCGCAAGCTAGTTCCTCTTCCTTGGCAAGATTTGTGAAAATGCCTCGTAAAGTTGCATAGAAACCGTTTGGCGAGTCTGTGAAGTCCGCTTGACCGTGGAACCTTCCGATCGTTTGCAAGATATCGTGTGACGTCGTCATCCGAACGTTGTGCTCATAGGGGTAATTCGATCCATCCTCATCATCTCCGAAAAGGATCGCATTTCGATGGCTGTCATACCATGCTCTCTCTTGTGGGTCCGAGAGGACCTCATACGCGGATTGGACTTCTGCAAACAGCTGCGTGGTAGCTTCAACGTTGCCATAGTTCCTATCGGGATGCAGTTCTAGGGCCTTTTTCCGGTACGCTTTCTTAATTCTACTCCGACCTCAGCCATGTGTATCTATCTGAGGCTTCTACTGACTCTTCATCGGTTGCGGTCCGCGATATAGCTAGCAACTCATAGTAACAAACTCTGACTTGGTTGGTTGTTTGCTTCCTTGCGTGACCCGAGCCGCCAGATGCACTAGATTGGTTTGCGCCCATCTTGAAATGAATGTCGTTATGCTATATCCTGTGCTGGCCAGCCGCAGAAAACATGCTTTACGCTGTGTAGTCGGATATGATAAACTGTTTTGGAGCTTGTATCTTACTTCAGTACCAATTGAACGGTGTATTAAAAATTTAGTGCATGTGATCCGATGTAACGTCATTTACTTGAGAGACTTGAGGAACCCATGATTGATATAATGTTTACACGAAACAGAGCCAAGGTATCGATGTGGATGAGCCAGTCACAAGTACGAAGGATTATGTAGCCTCTGCAATTGATATCCTTCGGAGCCTCGACGGACCTTTCACCTTTCTTGATCTCCGGAGCCTCGACCAGTGGCAAAATGTCCTCAAATCTTCAGGACCTTCCCCGGGAAATTTTGCATCATATTTTACTGCATCTCCCAGATACTGCAGTCTTAACCTTCCAACAGGTTTGTCATTCATTTGATGAAATTTGTGGGCCTGTCGTATGGCGCCATCTCTGTTTAAGAAAATACAAATTCTGGAACCGCAGTCATGGCTTTACAACTAAATTAATGCAACCAGTGACCGAGATAGATTGGAAACGACTTTACTCAGAACGCTTTCTCACAGACAAGATGGTTGCACAAGAGCTTGACAGCATTATTGCATTCCAGAGTTGTCGGACGCAGAAGCAAAAGACTATCATCGATGTTGGTCTCGATGCCAAGGAAGTCTTACTTGAGAACCTTAGCATAGGAGACGAGGCTTCCGATATCCTTGCTCGCAGATGGTACAGCAGCCACACCCTAGGCTGTTTGAATCGTAGTATTGCAGTTGACCAATGGGCACATCTACGAGAGCCTTCAGGCGAAGTCATTACCCTGGAGACAGCATTGGCAGCATTTGATGTGTTTGTCCTTGAGGATGGCTCTATAGATACCGGTGATATTTCTTATAAGTTCGATGGTTTTGCAGACAAGTTCCGTCAACACGATCCCAGTTTCCAAGACCTTGACCAGGAGAAACAAGCCGTTGCAGTAATCAAGTATCTTCGGAATCACCATCTTGTAGGAATTGACAAGAATGTGGACCTACATTATCATGATCTCGCAAATAATTTCATTGGAGAAGCTATCTCGGGAAAGACACACCGCTCTTTGCCACTAATTTCAGTTGCTATTTTCTGCTCAGTAGCGCAAAGACTTGGGCTTAATGCCCAACCATGTGGCTTTCCGTTTCATGTACTTGCTGTCGTCCAGCCAGACTCTACTCAGTCTTCCATTGCTGGGGATCTAGAGAAGCCTATACCAAGATCTCCGATCTATCTAGATCCCTTTCGATCTAACGAAGAGGTGCCACTGGAAACGCTCGAATCGCAACTGATTTCTATGGGCGTACCATCGAACGACCACGAGAGACTTCTAAGTCCAGCTTCAACGGCAGATATTGTTTCTCGGTGCGCGAGAAACATCATAACTTCGGTTCAGACTCTGCCTCGCAGTCCAGCAGCCGATTCAGTGAAGCCGGGTGTAGAAGTCTCCTTCTATGCTGCTCTCTGGGCTCTGCTTTTGCTCCCTAGCGGAAATGAAAACGAAGTCTCGATGATGCAACAAGCATGGTATCTTCCGAGAGTGCTCAGACTTGTTGCTGGCCAATATGCCACAGGTACGTAGGATCTCGACAGCTGTAAGGACTTGCATTCATCTTCATTTCCAATGCGCTTGTCTGGCATCGTCATTCCCTACTCTTGGTGCAATTCGCATTGCTAAGAGCTTTTTCGCTGACTTTTCACGTAGATACATGGCTGGTAGAAAAACATCTGGTTCCAAAAATTGAACAATTTGGAAGCAGCACTGCACAAACCTTGCGCGACATTCGTGCTACTGCGGATGCTAGGAAGCCGAAAAAGGCACGAGACTCACAAGCGACAAGGAACGTACGTTATAGGATAGGCCATGTTTTTCGCCATAAACGATATCAGTATTACGCGATCATCTATGGCTGGGACGCTACATGTTCTGCAGAAGAGGATTGGATGGTGCAAATGAGAGTGGACGATCTACCGAGAGGTCGGAAGCAAAGCTTTTACCATGCGTTAGTAGACGATAAAAGTACACGCTATGTTGCCGAAGACCATATCGAGATTGTGAGGGATGAGGCCAAGCATGATCTAATGGCAATAGCTGGTCAGTATTTCAAGCGTTGGGACCCCGAGGACAAGGCATTTATTAGTAATATTCGGGATGAGTATCCTAACGACTAGCAAACCTTCACGTAGTATGATAATACTGATGTATAATCCTGAGAGACGGATCGACCTTTGAGCATAAAGAAATGTCTCTTCTGAAAGGTATCGTGTGACGAGGTACTCCGCAAGAATGCTTGAGTTTCCAATATTGTTCGGTTCGGCATACCCAAGCCCTGTAGTACCGATTATATCAAGCAGAATCAAGTAAACCTACTCGCTCTCGAAACATCTGCCTTTGACTGCTCGACAAGTCATCAATATCTCCACACTCTACCTGGGTGAGTATAGGTCTTGGGAGACTTGTGTGTAGACTGGTAAGAAAGGTGAGCATCCGAGCTTCAAACTCGGCAATGGGAAACTCCCGTTGTAAGAGTTGCTGTGTATGGTCAGCGTAACTTTTTCCTGGTGACGGCATGACCTGTCACATCTTAGTATGTGCTTTGAATGCACGCTGATACAGACTCAACCCTACCGCACGCATATGGCCATCTCGGATGGCCGTCCATGTAGCATTAGCCTCTTCGGCCTCTTCATCAAAAAACATAATGTTCGTCAAGAAAGCGTCAGTGCCTTCCTCTGCCGAACTCTCCTCATCGAAACCCCATTGGAAGGCCTCCTGTAAGATATCCTTCTCCTCCGATTGGTAGACGAGGCTTTGCTCTATCACAGCTTGTGCCATATAACCTGCCGCTAATTTCATCCATGTCTCGGTAATGTTTGTATTTGCCTGCCTTGCATTCTGTACAGCTGACAATGCCATGAAGTCAGGAAGTGACTTCAAGAGCGAAATCGTCGGCTTTGGGTTTGATAGCAGGGAGCCATTCGGGTGCTTCTGGGTGCTCTCCCCCGTGTCCATCTGGTCGTCGGAAATGTCGACGACCTCCATAGGCGAGCCAGTCCTACCGATGCGGCTAACATTTTTGTCTTGCTTAAGCTTATTGTGTATGCTCTTGTGTGCCTCTCTCGAATCTAAATTAAGTTTTCGTCTTGTAAATAAGATACTGAATTTGAGAAGCCTGAGGCGAAATTCGACATCGGAGCCAGTTGGTATAGTGTCGTGAATCGTTTGGAAGATGGACAGGAAAGCTAGAAGCGGCTTTAGTGAACGGAAAGGCATGCAGTGTTTGGCAAAGCTTACCGCCTACGAGGTCCAAGGAATCCACATCATGAGACGTTGCAACCTTTGTCAAATGATGGAGGTTATAAGGAAAGTCCTCTAGTGAACTTTTCGTAGCCTGGAAAATGAGGTAATCAAGGATCAGCGTGTCGACGTTCTCAAATTTCGGAGGATGATCCTCCTTGTCCTTTCTATCCTCAGCCGTCATCGTTGAGTTGGAAAGCAAGGATCATTGTCGACCGACATGTTGAACGAAATTGGGGGTGCAAATTGTGAGGGGTGTGCATGCAATTCAACCGAGAAGTAAGAAACAAGCTACATTCTACGAAAAAGGCATCCTGAGATGAGTATTGACTGATGCTCTATGAAACCTTACCTGTAATTTCCACATCTAAGCTATTTTCACCCCGTGCATTCTTTCGCCTTCATCATCCTTACAAATCCTTGCATTTTCGATCCTAGATCTCCACATCTAGACGATGCGCTTGCGTCTTCGGATCGAGCCAGCTCCAATTCCTCCACAATATCCATCCTTAGACGTGCTTGGTCTGCAATAACGTGTTGACGCAAAGCGAGATAGTCACCCGCATTCGTACAATTGGCCATTCTTACAACATATGCGTGCTCGAGGGGAGCTGCATCTATGTCTGCCTGCGCTAAGCCATACATTTCGTCAGCTGCTTGCAGGAAATTCTCTAGCTCCCCTTTGCGGCTACTGGTCACTTCCTCTAGACTGAATTGGCGCCAGTCCTGGCCAGTTTCGTCCAGACGTGTTGTTAGTAGGTTAATTGTCTTGACATTTGATGCCAAGGAACTCGTCAAGGCTAGAAGAGGATCTTTGACGAGGCTAAGCACGGCGAAGTCAATATGATCCTCTGTATATCGGAACATTCGAGCTTCAATGTCGGGTCGAACCTGATTCACCCATTCACCTGTGAGAGGTCCTGCCCGGGAGTAAGCTGTGAAAATAAAAAGTTATATACTTACTCACCGAGACACATTGGCTGTCTTTCGAGCCCGTCGAGCTTCCACAACTTGTCGTCAACTGGCATGAAGGCTATGAAATGGAAGCCTGATTCGCCATTATCATCAGCCGAACTTTGCCCCTTTTTGGTGGCTTGATTCTTCAATAAAAGATCTGCATTGAGCATATCCATCTTCCTTACAACTCAGTTAAAACGACATAATCAAGTTGAGTGGGTGCAGTACAGGCCCGCGGTGGACGCTTCAGCCTTACCTTGCATAAGAATTATGAACTTTCTTCACGAATTCAAAATTGGCTATTGCGTCTCCCCTCAATGCGGGGCTAAAACTTTTGGTGAAGTCCCTGAATGCATTTAAATGCTCCCCAAGCTCAAGGCTTGGGATGTTGTTGATGGTGTTCAATAGAGCTACGCTGGCACAGGCGTTGTTGACGGTCTGATAATGAAAGAAACTCAGGTTTCAGTACTAGTAGATTGTTGTGGATGTCGGAAAGAATCATTACCTGATTGGCAAACCAGATGTCTTCCGGACAGCTCTGCTCCTGTTGATCAGCGTCTTCTGGGGTCCACTTGTAAAGGAAGATGAGGCCGTAAATGGGTTGTCTATTGGAAACTCAGATAGATCACAGCGATAAGCTATTTACGGACGGTAAGAGAGACAACATATCTCCGTCGAGTGAGACAACCTCTCTGACTTTGGCACCGTTGATACCGAACCGTTTGAGCATGTCGTTGAATAGGGCCCGTGAGAGCATTAGGCCTCCTGCTCCAGATTGTGCTGTTGGGACCTACGGGTTCCGATTCAATCTCACAGAAACCCTCCCACTTGGACTTGTCCTCATTCTAGAAATAGGTTAATTTCTGTTTGACACTAGGCTGAAAGCCACAAGGTTCTTCAAGCAGGAATATCTACCGTTGCGGCTGTCAACTGCATCGTAGAGTCTCCTGTCTTGACGGAGGGACTTAGCCTGAATCGACCCACTGTCCCCATAGACTTGGTACGGTGGACAACGGTGGCAATTTCGAGAGGCGAGAGATTCAGAGAAGCAAGTCAAAATCATTATGAATGACACAGGGGCGTTGCAGTGTTGAATTGTTGGAGATTAAGAACATTAAGAAGCCTCCTGTCAGGAACTTTTTTTGAAGCCCTCTCAACAGCAGATCATCAAATTCTTGTGCTTCAAAGATGATGACACAGTAAGTGCACTCGATGTTGGGTGATTTGGGAGGACATAGCGGCTGCTTGTGTGAATGGGTTATGACAACCGCGCGTACGGATCACGCGTCATCGCGTGAATTTCCGAAATGTTGTGGTGAACCGTAGATTTAATGTTCAACGACCTTTAGATCACAACGACAAATATCCTCTCCTTTTAGATATATCTTGTCAGGGCGTGGGATGACAAGAAACGCTACAAAAAGCAATGTTTCCATTGATTAACCAGGGCGGCATACCTCCCTCGGTCCCCATCGACTATCCATTGCGATGGATGCGACGCCCAGGTTGCGCTCAGCTTGTGAGTCTATTCAGAAGTCACCATCCACAGCGGAAGACATATGATGAAGGCCCCTAGCCATCATCAATGCGCTCCTCAACCTGGAAATATTTGTATAAGATCTGCAAAGGAAAATTACTGACTTCGGCCAAATCTAGATCCAATAACCCCTAAACCGCAACAACAGCTACCTGCTGACCCCATGGACTCACCATCATTACGGAAGTCAGAAGAAACGGTGCAAGGTCCTCTGCCGGCAATCCCTTTCACCGTTGTTGATGCACCGTCCCAACGTTTTTATGTCTCAATAATCTACGCTCTGATGATGGGTTGGCGGCTCTATGATTATGCTAGTCTATGGTCTGGCAATGAAGATGGGTTTTGGCTGTTTACCAAATGGGTAGGCATCGACACGGCATTCCTGTACGCATTGTCTAACCTCAGAATACCATGGCTCGAATGGTCGTCTTCCACCTTTACGGTATTGTTCGTGGTGCATGGAATCTTGAATTGGGTATTGATGTTTCGTGTATCAATTCCTCTTTTGACATGGCTTGGGAGTCTCACAAAAGTCCTTTATGACAGAGAGGTTGCCGTCTCTGAAAGGCGCGTCAAGCCAGCTTCGATTTTACACAACAGCTCTCTCATTCTGGGAAAGCAGATTATACATGTTCTACCCGAAGGATCTGCAGTGCTGAATCCAGACGGTGAACATTTTTGTACTGGTGGTCCCAAGTCCTCAGTTTCTTTGCCAATTCTGATCAACCAGACAATACCGATACAAATCGATCTTTTACGGATTGATTCTGATACAAATGCAGAAGAGCTGTTGGTGATATCGAAAAAGGAGATCAAGCGGATGAGAAAGCAGGCCAGCCGAGAATCGGGGACAACAATCCGATCCAACGCCCAGACTCTCCACTTCACAGTCAAGCAGACTGGATGGTACCGCCTACAACGAGTCGTGGACGAATCTCACTTGGAAGTGCAGAGAAGACCCTCTGGCGCTGTCGTAGCCCGCTGTCCAACCAGCTACATGCACTTTGCTCCCAGTCACAAGTGCAAGGGCGATTTGTCAGATTTCCGAATGTCTGTAATTGGCACACCGCCGGTAAAGATAAAGTACAGCAAACAAGTCAACCGGGAAGAAAAGGGACACACTGTCCTGAATATTCATCCCGATAACGTCGTTCCTTCTGCTGCTTTCCAGCGGAGCACCGAAGCGTCTATCATCTCTACCAACAGCATGGATGCAGGTTGGTCTATGGCGCAGCATATCGAGATTCCAATGAATGAGACTCTTGCTGAGGGTGGAGTCTGGAAATACAGGATCGATGAGGTGTCTGATGCTTTTGGGAATGTTGTCAAGTATTCCGAACACTCTATGCAAGAATCAACATGGTCAAAATCCTCCAAGGCGCCACTTGAGCAGCACTTTGTTGTTCACGAAAGACCGAAGGTCCTTATGCATGACTGTGACTCTCAGCATCCTTTGAAGCTGGCAAAAGGAATGCATGGCTTTTTACCCCTAACAATTACTGGTGCAGGTTTTGATTTGCAGCCTGATGGACCATACGTATTGACCTATCTCTTCACCCCTCAGGAAGATGTACTCCCACAGCAAGCTCACTCAGGGGCAGCTCAACCGCAGTACGTCACTATTGCAGACGCTAGGGGCAGTGTAGACATTCAAGAACCCGGTCTATATACTCTGCATTCGATCACTTCTGATCATTGTGCTGGTGAAGTCTTAGAGCCATCTTCTTGCGTCCTGTTGAATACCGCTGAGCCAGATCTTGACATCAGTTTCGAGCCTATCCCTGACAAGTGCGTTGGTAACTCTGTTGGCCTATCGGTGGATCTCAATCTCGTGGGAACGCCGCCATTCAAGGTCTTTTACACTATCAAAAAGCCTGACGGTAGTGTTGTGGCTGAGACCTTCACGGTCGATCATATGCACACACAGAGAGACTTGAAACCCTCAGACACGGGACACTATATTTATGAAATCATGCAAATCAGTGATAGCGTGTATCATCGTCCCCGATCGCTTCAGTATAAAAACCTGATTCTGGAGCAAGATGTTAGGGCTCCCCCTTCCGCGTATATTGTACACCCGAACGATAGACGCAGTGTTTGCCTTGATCAAAGTGCGAATATCAAAATACAGCTGGCAGGAGAGCCTCCTTTCAAGATGGATTATGAGCTTCTACATAGTGGCAAGAGAATGAGACGAGTGATAAACCATATAGCAGATACCGTTCTTCACCTCGACACAGGTACATTAGCAAATGGAGGAGAATATATTCTGGTGCTTACCAGCGTGACCGATCAATCGGGATGTCGAACACCACTGCAGGCAGAAACGAAGATAGATGTGAGAGCACAGAGGCCTAAAGCGTCGTTTGGAACTATCGATGGCCAATTCAAAATTTCCGCCTTAGAGGGTAAGAAAGTTAGTCTCCCCCTACGCTTACAAGGTACAGCACCGTGGACTTTGTATCATCGTCGTCTCGAGGATTCGAGCGGTATTGCAGGTCCCAAATTCTTTCGCAGTAGCAATGACAAGATCGAAGTTATGTCAGAGGGTACCTTCGAGCTCAGCGATGTGCAGGACGCAATTTGTCCTGGGACAATAGACCCATCAAGCAGCCGTTTTACCGTTACATGGATCCCACGGCCAAGTATTGCAATTCAATCGGGCTCATATGTGGAACGCATCAAAGATCGACATATCAAGCGAGAAGTGTGTCAGGGCGACGAAGATGTGACGGAAGTCTGTTTCAAAGGGACACCCCCTTTTAATTACGAATATGAGCAACGACTTAAGCCGATCCATGGGTCACAGTCAGTGACGAAAAAGAGATACAGCTCAGGACTTCACCAGACATCAATTGAGATGGAGACCTCACAAGCTGGGAATTACGAGTATAAGCTGTCTAAACTGGGTGATTTGTCTTACGGCCACGATCACTGGAAGTTTCAGCCCGTGATCTTGCAGCAACGGGTGCACGCTCTCCCAACTGCTTCATTTACCGAAGCAGGTAAAACGTACAAGTATTGCCAGGAAGAAGAGTCTGGAGGTGAAGTAGTGCCCATAAAATTGGAGGGACAACCGCCGTTTCACCTGGAGCTTGAATTCAAGCATCACGCACTCTCCAAGCCAGAAGTTGTAAACGTCCCCCACGTTCAATCGAACTCATACAACTTACATATCCCTCAACGTTTACGCGCGCTTGGCATTCACAATGTAAGGATTCGAAGCGTGCAGGACTCCCGGGGTTGTCAAAGAACCATAGATCGAAACGCGCCGCATGTAATTGTGCATGTTGCAGAACTGCCAAGTATCTCGCCTTTAGAGGAGAGACGAGACTACTGCGTTGGCGACAGGATTGCGTTCGCGCTGTCTGGAACGCCACCATTCAGTGTCTTCTACAACTTTGAGGACAGAGAGCGAAAAGCCACAGTCCCGGATACAACCTTCAGACGGATCGCAGAGAAACCAGGCGATTTTGTGATTAAAGCTGTCAGCGACCAGAGGAGTACTGAAGTTTGTAAAGCTAGAACAGAGCTTGTCAAGACCATCCACGAAATGCCGACTGTCAGGGTAAGCCAAGGAAGAGTGACAACCGTGGACATTCATGAGGGCGGCGAAGCTGAGATCTTGTTTGAATTTGGCGGGACCCCTCCTTTTCATTTTACGTAAGACTGGAAACTCATGTCATCTAAAGTTACTGAAGCTAACCTCTTCTGACAGCTATACGAGAAGCACTATCCCACACCAGAGCAAGAAGCCGATGGTCTTGGAAACAAAGAATGAAGTCTCGTACGAATACAGCAAAACTGCTCGTGCATCGGACGAGGGCATGTACGAGGTTGTAGCCATCAGAGACAAGCACTGTTCCTTTTCGACACAGCAAGCTCAGGGCAAGTCCGGTCAAAAGATGATCCTCAACCGGTAGTTGTAGAGACTTCTTTACTTTTCAAAGCTTGAGCGTGGCGTTAGGCGCCTTTGCAAAAGAAGGCAAACAATTGCCATATTTCCTACAGATGGCCTGCTTATAGTCTCAATTTCTCACTTTGAGCCGTTCAATCATATCACCCCCAAGCCTTGCAATGTCGTTCAAAGTTCCCATTCTATTGATGTTAACCTTTGCATTCTCATTGTTGGCCTCAAGAGTGGGCGTCGACGAGAAATCGATGTTGATTCTCCACGAGGTTGAGGTCGTTATTGGGTTCCAGAGCCCCCCAATAACACTTCCACCATCAGCGTTCCAAAAAAGAACCACATTCTTGGAGTGTAATTCTCTCAATTCCTTCAAAAATAAGTCGGCAGGATCGAAACCTGCCGGTCTTACACCGGCCTGTTGATCAATCTGCAAGTTCTTGAAGCCATTCATTTCTGGCTCTCCAGCGTTAGCAGTGTTTGTGATTTCCCGGTTCAGGTAGAATACGAAATCATAGCCGGAAAGATCTGGGGCGAATAAGCCTTCTACCTCTAAGTCGAAGCCTTTTCCTTCCATTAAAGATGTCGCTGCTCTAGCTAAGCTAGTGAAGCGTAATGCTGCTACTTTGGAAGGCCCGGACTCTGTCCAAGTGATGCCATCGAGATCTAAACTGGAGGCAGCAAACAAAACCATCTTGCTCATGGCAGGATCGATACTCCTCCATGCTTCGAACCGTGTGTTGATTGCCTCTACCTCGTCCTTGTTCAGGTTGCCATTGAGATCGACAATAAGGGGTTGCCGCCGCCAGTCCCATTTAGAGATGAAGAGTAGTGTTCTTGAAAAGCCAGTCCTGATGCTCCCAGGCAGAGAGTATGGTCCCGGGTGGACAAAAGTGCGAATGGTGAGCAACTCGATGAGTTCGTCGCTGATGTGCGCAGAAAGGAGATGAGAGTCGCGCCAAGCCTTCAAGATACGAATGCAAGGGGAAAGAAGCGCGAAACGTGTACAGAGAGTGCTCACGGCTTGAGTGTGTAACGGTGTTTGGATGAAGCTTCGCTTATAAGCCGATAGGGCCGAAGCTGCAGCTTCACGCGCAGTGGTCGATTTAGCCGTCATACTGAGCTCTTTTTCGATCAAGTATTTTTCGTGTTCGACATCTAATCGTAGGCGGAAGGCCGCTCCTGTAGGATAGTGAATATCTAGGAACGGCACATTCTGCCAGGGTCTGGAAAGATGCTCAAGCCCTAGGTAAGCATTAAGGCCATTCGTTTGATCTTGGAGGCGCTCAGCCATCTTCAGGAGGAACGCAATCTTTGACCGCTGTATGGCATTCAAATCGTCTGGCCATCGATTTGATCCCTCGAACCGGACGCATAGATTCATCAATCGTCCGCGAAAGAAAGAAGCGCTAGCCTTGGGCGCCTTCTGAGAGGAGTAGCGCAAGTGAGCATCCGCCGGTGAAACTTGACGAATCCGAAGTGGTAAACCCTCCAATGCACGTATGTCTTTCTGCAAAGCTTCAAAGGCGGTGATTAGCGGTCGATATGGAGCCAGACAATCTGTTGAGTTCAATATGTCGAGGCGAAAAATTGAGCCCAGGACAACATCGTCTGCAAATTCAATGCTTTCGGCGATATTTCTGGCTAAGTGCTTATTCAGTAAATATCGAATTATCTGTGAAAGTATAGATCCATCTCCCTCATCGGACGACCAAACTAGGCTTTCGAGGATACTGCCGTCTCTGAAACGCCTGAGCTCTGCTTTCTCTCCCCAGAAATTTCTGAAGCCTTGAGAAGCTGAAATGTCTTCTGCAGAGGGTCCCTTGTCGATAAGTCGATTAGCAGTTTTCGCATTGACGTCGAAGCCTATTAAAACCTTCCCCCCTTCCAACATTTGTCTTGATAAAGTTCCTATCTGCCGCGTTTCAGAAGGAGGACTTCTGATATCAATTCTTGTGACACGATCACCAAGTCCCTCCTGCAGGACTGTGTACAATTCGCCTAGAGGAATACCGCCTTGACAGTCTACGAGTGATAGCCGACCTTGATCACAAGCAATGTTCTTGCATGGCATTCGAATTGCACAATCGTATGCATAGATAGGAAAATTCACTCTCTGACGGAAACATGCATCAACATGATCCACCAGAGGATCCGCAAGAATTTCATTGGTTTTGATGGCTGAATGGCGCAGAGCATGATATGACCATAACGTCATTTTGAATAAGACATTGACACATCTCACACCGTCAAAAAAAGTCGGAACTTGAAATCCAGCATGATGTGGATCATTGCTCATAATAGCCTTTGGTGAGTCCACTAAACTCGTTGTTGCTAGGTACCGAAGAGTTGCTTTGAACATCTGATAAGCTGTGTATTTCGTGGACAAGACCGGACTGCCCTTGTGATCGCCACCCAGCAAAAGCAGAGCCATAATGCAATCCCATTGGAAAGATCCAAACCCGCCGGATGAAATGCTGCTATCAAAGCCTCGCTGCGAAAGCCAAACGGCACCCAAGATACTGGCTGCTTTAAATGCACTTGCGTTCTCAGAGGCTATTTTAATTGCTCTATCATGAGCCACTGAAGAGCATTCAGACCTAAGGGTAGCATTGTAAAAAGGCGTAGGGATCGTGAACGTTTTATCATCATTGCATGAGTCTATATTTTTAATGCAATTTCGGGTCGGTAAAGTTTTCTTCAAAGAGAAGAGATCTTGGCTAGCGTGAAGGACGATACGTATTCTGGCTTTAGTGCTTCGGAAATCGTCCTCACCATTGTCAATACTAGGGTTGACAACAATCACTGGCTGTAAAGCATTATCATCTTGATCAGCATATTCAAGCGTGAAATGACAGTTCGAGTTTTCTCGAACTGCCGTCGCAATACAAGCGAGATAGTATGCACGTTTGTGGAAATAGCGATAATTCATGAAATCTTTATCTTCGAAAAGTCGGGAGGGCATTCCAATAGCCAAGTCTACAAGGATCTTTTCGTGTAAATTGATGGAGGTTCTTCGGGCATAGCAGCCGGTGACCTCTATACTCGCAGGCTGGGCATAAGAGAGCTTGTACCTAATGTCTTTATTGAAATGGACTTCTGGAAAAGGTATGTTGACTTTGTGTGTGGTACTTTGGACATGCTTCGCGTCGCTCAATGACATTGGTTCCCGGTCTGGGATAGCATGAATAATTCTTGTGAGCTTACGCAATGCGCTGTCTAGCTTGCACATGCGATCATACTTTGGCTGTACACGATTTATTAGTTCGCTGACTTGAAAGTCTATGAGACTTAGGTTGCGGTTCTCTGACTCCAAGAAGCTGGCAGATCTTGGAGAGCATTCTTCAATTTGAGCTAGCGAAGTCGACTTTGAGACGGGGTTTAAGCTGCTGCTTGCATGGTCACTATGTCGCTCTGCCCTTTTGCGCTGTGAGTTGCGGGCCTGCTCCGTGGGCCGTTCCTCCAAGCCAACATGGTGTTCCTGGATCTTACGCCTTTTTGTGGAAGGTATGGCCATTCTAGATAATCCGGAAATATCGCTTGATATGGTCATCCAAGATTGTAAGGGTAAGGGTAGTCTTGTAAAGATGCAAAGAAAAACTTCGCAAGGTAAAGCCCCTCCTAGACAGTCGGCCCGAACCGACGGGAGGATCAATCGTGCATCCGTCCCGTCAATCCGCAGGAGAGGAACTCCGGTCTCGGCATGATCCGTCAGCGGTTTTGGGGCGACACACAGAACCTCTGTTCACAATCGCAACATCCTCTGAGACCCAAGATTACGGTCCAAAATGATTGCGAGAACCGACGTGTCCACGACTGGACAGTCGATTCCCTCGGACACAGCTCATGTGTGCTTCCCCGATTTGATTTCATATTGCATGAATTAATTTCGCCCAGGCTCTTTCAGTCTCCCTGCCCACTTGGCAAGCCAACGTCGGGTATGAGGAAGGTCAAGACTGGGTCGTCAAACGGATGACCACGGGATATCCTCGGTCAGTGAAGAGCCATGGACTACGGGTTCTAATTAATTAGAGCTAGGTTTTTCGTCCATAAGAGTATCCAAGCCTTTGCGACAGCCATTGTGCAGTGGCACGGCTCACCCTCTGAGCAGGCATATCTCTTTCCTTCGAATATAAGTGCATCTCGATGTCTGGCATTCTTCCGTGCGCAACCAATGCTTGATACCTCAATTTCGCCTCGAATCATCGATCTTTTCCCTAATGACTCTCAGAAGCCCATCGTGTCTGCATTTCTCTTCTCGAAGGAGCACTCGCATGTTGCAAAAATGTTCTGGCAGCATACAGGAGAAGGTATATCTAGTCGGCGCGCTGAGTATTGCTCGAAAGCCTTCTACGAAGGTCGTTTAAGCGCGACCCGAACGCTCAATCGACAGAACGCAACCAAGGTGGGCTCCACCATATTATGTAAAGGGCCAAGACGGTATCAGAAGCACAACTCGATGGATACTACTTTGTCGTGTGAAGCGATAGACCAACCAGGTGAGGTTCCAAATCAACCTCGTGACCATGCACAATTCGTCGAGGAGCGTTTTGGCAGGAATCTCGACAAGTCGCTTTCAGACAGCGCGAAGCTGGCCATACGTAGACGTATAGCAGGTGCTCTCACAGCTAATGTTGATCTTTCTGAAGCCTTAAGGCTTTCCCATCCTCCAACTAGAACTGCTAGCGTCGATGGATTTTCAGAGGATGATGTGTACCTATATTCCTGTGGCATGAATGCTATTTTCCACGCGCATAATATGATGATGGCTTGTAAGGGCAACTTAAAAAGTGTTAGCTATGGGTATGTCATCAACTATGGCCATCTGTCAAAGGATTTGATTCATGACCGTTAGCTTTCCTTACACAGATACACTCAAGATCCTAGAGAAATTTGGGCCCGGTTGTCAATTCTACGGCTATGGATCAGATGAGGAACTCGATGATTTAGAGAAGCGATGCGAGGCTGGGGAGCGATTCCTCGCAGTCTTTTGCGAATTTCCAGGAAATCCTCTGCTGCAGACGCCAAATCTTCCACGGATTCGCTCCCTCGCCAACCACTATGGCTTTGCAGTTGTTGTCGATGAAACAATCGGTAATTTTTTCAACGTACACGTCCTTCCTTACGCGGATATTGTTGTCAGTAGCCTCACAAAAGTATTCACAGGAGAGTGTAATGTGATGGGTGGCAGGTAGGCTGCGTGTCTATCTACCGAGCGTGTGGGCTCACAAGTCACAGTATGGTACTCAATCCAAGGCAACAGTATTACAGCAGACTCAAGCGAATACTCAACCTAAGCTACGAGGATAATTACTGGCCTGAAGACGCGATATTCATGGAACGAAACAGTCGTGACTTTGTGACACGGATAAAAAGGATCAATGAAAATGCGGAGGCAATATGTGATGCTCTAATTGCATCACCACACGGCACGGTTGCCTCCAGCCATAGAATGCGTAATTGGGCTGATGATTGAGATAGTGCGAAAGGTGTACTATCCGAAGTACAGCTCATCAAAGCACAACTACGATCGTTGTCGAAACCGGGGTGGAGGTTACGGCGGCCTCCTTTCTGTGACGTTCAAGCAGAGGGACCAGGCAATTTCATTTTATGATAACCTAGAAACAGCGAAAGGGCCAAGCTTGGGAACGAATTTCACGTTATGGTACGTGGTAGTCTATACCTTGCAGTACACCTGAGTGTACTGACGAATAAGTTCTCCCTATGTTTTATTGGCTCATTACCAAGAGCTGAAATGGGTGAGCTTCCATCCGTCAAACTCTTATTTGGCTAACACAGTATCTTAGGCCGCTGACTTCGGCGTGGAAGAGCATCTTGTAAGAATGAGTGTAGGGTTGGAGGAGACTGGTATGTTAATCAGGGGGATGCAACGAGCTTTGAAAGCGGTAGAGCGAGCATAGGCACGGCGAGACCTGAACAATCTTCAAAAGAAAATAACGAGAGGGAATGAAAAATTGCAGTGAAATCCATTGTCAGTCGCCATTTTTGTTCATTGGAATGTAGCGAATTGCATGTAGATGCTTCGATTGTTGGATCTGGTGCAAAAATGGCCAAATCGGGAGTTTTCAGAAATGCGCATACAAGAGGAAGGCTGCGTAGTTTGTATCACTCCCTATTCCGTAAGCAGGTCTTCGAATGCCCCCCCAGCCCGGCCTTTGGCGCGTCGCTTCAATATTATTCACGCGTTTGCGTCCTCTGATCCTATGTGCGGGAAGAACGACGGAGTCCATGCTACCAGCAGTGTGATCTCACCATGGCGCCTATGAAACGCCATCAATCCTCGATTGATGATGGACATACTGAAATCCTAGATGTCGAAAGCGCTCAGTCCAGCTTACAGCAAGCTTCAGTATGCCAACTCCCTACATTCGGGTTCTAATGCTCATGCAGTAGCAGAGGAAAAGGGCTCGGCTCTTGCATGATGAAATTGAAAGGTTCTCATCGACCGAGGCCTCGAATGATGAAGACTTTGATGAAGAACAAGCAACGCAATTTGCAACCCAGCAAAACTCGAAACCCCGTGCCAACAACAAGGCCGCAGACAATGGCATCATTGAGATGATCACTTGCTCAAACTTTATGTGCCATACGCATCTGGAAATGAAGCTGGGCCCCCTTATAAACTTCGTCATCGGCCATAATGGCAGCGGAAAGAGCGCTGTTCTGACCGCCATCACAATATGTTTGGGGGGAAAAGCAAGCTCAACGAATCGTGGCCAAAGCCTGAAAAGCTTCATTAAAGAGGGCCAAGAGTAGGATGGCTCCTTACAAATATGTGGCGCACCACTGACGTATTAGGTCTGCTATGCTGAGCGTAAAGATCAAGAACTTCGGGCAGAGCGCATATCAGCACGATGCGTTTGGGGACGCTATATTCGTCGAACGTCATTTCTCGCGCTCGGGGAGTAGCGCCTTTAAATTGAAGAACTGGAACGGGAAACTCATCTCCAACAAGAAAAGTGATCTAGACGAGATGTGCGACTATTTTGCTCTACAGATTGATAACCCAATGAACGTGCTATCTCAAGATATGGCACGGCAGTTTCTGAATAACTCATCTCCACAAGAGAAGTACAAATTCTTTATGAAGGGCACTCAACTTGAGCACCTAGACGGCGACTATCTCATCGTTGAACAAACGTTGGACGTTATCGATACTGAGCTTCACAAAAAGGCGCAGGATTTTGAGGTCTTCGACGATCAGGCAAAAAAAGCGCAGGAGCTTTTACAACTTTCAGAACAGCAAGACGTGATCCGTGAGAAGATTGACATGCTGACCCAAAAGCTGGCGTGGATCCAAGTCGAGGACCAGGAGGCGATCCTAAAAGAGAACGACCTGGAACTTCGGCGGCTAGACGATGAGATATCACGCTTAGAAGCAGAATCAGCTAGTTACAGCGAATCTTTTGACCAGACCGAACAGTCAAAAGCTCGAGCTGAGCACGCTGTAGAAATGGCAAAGCAGACTTTAACTCCTTTGGAAGAGGAACACATTTCTGTGAAAGACGACTTTGACAAGAACAGGAAGGAAGCGTCTGGATTGCAGGTCAGTGGATCGAAAGAATTCTTGAAAAGCATCTCATAAATTGATTAGGCCGAGCAACGTAGCATTGGAGATGAAATTAAAACAGTGAAGAAGAGGATTGAAACCTTGAGGGCAGAAATCGACGACGAGCATCGGCGCTTGAGCGAAGCAGATGGCGGTAAAAACGCGGAGCGGCGGCTTGAACTCGAACACAGACAAGAAAAAGCCTTGCAAGCGAAGCAAAGAGGTCAAGACCACGACGAAGATCTTCCAAAACTCGAGGAGAATGTTCGAAAGGCTAAGTCCGATAGAGAAGAATCAAAAGAACAGGTGGATATAAAACGACAAGCTGTCCGGCAAGCAGATGGAAGGCTTGGGGCAATGCAACGAGATAGCGGAGAGCAGCTCAATGGCTATTCGAGTACGATGCCTCGTCTGCTTAAGGCTATACGACAGGATGATACACTTCGAAACAAACCAGTTGGCCCAATAGGTAGCCATGTTAGGCTGCTAAAGCCTGCATGGTCGAGCATTCTTGAAAAGCAATTTGGTGGTGCGCTTGATTCCTTCATTGTTACGAGTAAGGAAGACCAGAGTAAATTGTCGGCACTTATGCAGAGATGCAATTGGTATGTTGCATGTTGCGCTCTGGTACTAATCTTGCTAACCTGATCAGCGTATGTCCGATTTTGATCGGTAATGATAAGCGACTCAATACTAGCGATCACGAACCAGGTCCAGAATTTGAAACGTGGATGCGTGTCCTAGAGGTAGTAGTATTTCTCATTGACCGCTGAAGTCGCTGACATTGACAGATTGACGACGAGCTTGTCCGAAATTCGCTGATCATAAGCCAAGGGATCGATCAAACAATTCTTATCACCAACAGAGAGGAAGCTCTTTCGACGATGAATGGGGATAGAATTCGCAATGTAAGGCAATGTTTTACTCATAACAAGAGAAGAGGACAAGGTATCAGATTCGGCTACGGCTTTGGGGGTGGTCTTTCTGAATCTTTCATCCCTGCTTTCAATGGGGCCCCCCGTATGAAGACGGACCTGGAATACCAGATAAGGTCGGTCATCGTCAGAGTTGTACTGAAACTGGCTTACCATCTTAGATTGCAAAAGTCAGATGTACAGGATTTGAAGAACGAGCTCCATGGGCTGGAAAAGTTACACCAAGAAAAACAAGCTTTTCTTGTTCAGTGTGAACAACTCGTTGGGAAACACAAGAAAGCCGCAAAGGAAATGATATTCGAGTCGCAACGTGCACAGGGTGATGTGGAGGAATTACAGGATGCGCTTGATCAAGACGCAGTCGAGGAAGGTCGTCTCGAAGCTCTAAAGGAACAAGTGACGGAGGCAAATGAAGAAGAAGAATTGGTAAAGAACTCATATGGAGATGCTGTCGTTGCCCTCGATAATGTCAAGCATAACCTCAAAGAAGTGAGGGCGAACTTGTCACGACTTGATGATGCTGTCAAAGAAGCAGAGGCGCATGTGTTCAAAGCTGAGAGCAAGGTAACTCAATGCTCCAACAAGCGGGCAGGCGCGCTGCACGACAAGAACACTTCAATAGAGGCTGTTGAGAGTGCACAACGTGAGAAAGCTAGACAATTGAACACCCGTCAACAACAGGATGAGACTGTCCTCGAATTCACACGCGAGGCAAATAGAATCTGTGGACGAGTGCCAATCGAACCCGGAGAGACGGAAACCGCCCTAGAAAACAAGTACAAAAAGCTGGAACGAGACCTTAACAGCGCCCAAGAGAGGTAAGTCGTCAATGTTCTCTGGACTAGCTGTTCCGCTCGCTAAAGCAACTGAAGGACTGGCGATCGAGCGGAAATTGCTCGCAACGCATGCAAAGCCTTCGAGTCGCGTGATCGTGCGAAGGAGGAGATTGAGAGAACCGAGACCTTGGCTCAAGTAAGATTTCCCTAGAGGCTGTCTTCTTTCGTTGTGGGCTCATGCTCGTCAGCTTCTGAAAACAACCCTCGTCAACCGTCGAGAACGGTGGAAAGTATTTCAACGACTGATCACTGCCCGCGCTCGGATCCAATTTTTCTATTTGCTGAGCGAACGCGGTTTTCGTGGCAAATTGCTGACTAGCCACAAACAGAGAACACTTGACCTTCATGTAAGATAACACTTGATTGATCTTGGCTGATCTTGGCAACCTGTACTCACGAAGGCTTAGGTTGAGCCTGATGAGACAAGAAAGAGCGGCCAAGGGCATACGACGCATGGGCTGTCTGGAGGAGAGAAGTCTTTTTCTACTATCTGCCTTCTGCTTTCAATCTGGGAAGCAATGGGCGCACCTATCCGGTGTCTGGATGAATTGTAAGCTTTGGCTGTGGGACGGACGCCTGAGCTTGTTATACTGACAGGCTGTAGCGATGTCTTCATGGACAACATCAACCGAGAAATCAGCATGGGCATGATGGTACATGCAACTCCTCAAGTGAGGCGATTCAGCTGCTGACCAGTGACGTGCAGATCCAGTTCGCGCGAAATTCCCCTGGGAAACAATTCGTTCTTATCTCGCCGCAACAGGCCAACACGAAAAACCATGGCGACGATGTGAAGATAATCAAGTGAGTCTTTTCATACCCGTCCACATTCAACAAAGTTAATGAGTCCTCTCTCCCAGAATGAGTGATCCGGAGCGCGGCCAGCAAACTCTGAACTTCGCAGCACAAGCGGCATAAGGCGTGGTAGTAAAATCAGCCTCACATGCCGAAAGACCGTCACGTCACATCCAGTTACTCTGAATACACCAAAAGTCAATGGACCATCTCACTCGCAATTCTCCTTCAAGTAGCTTAGCAGTGTATACATACAAGCAGAGCGACTATGTACAGAATCATATTACCCTTGGGTATGCTTTACCCGCCGTGTCAACCAGACGTAAAATGGTATCTTCTGAACATACGCCGAATGACTCCCCCCATAATCTTTACACCGCGCTATGCATGACAGTACCACCACCCATTGCACCACTATTCTCGTTCCCTTCCTTCCACCCAAAGTGCCCCCCAACTCCTATTCACGGCCGTCCCCGAATCCTCCAACCCCCCCCACAGTCTCCCCAGAAACCTCCTCGTGCCTTTGATCCCTTTACATGCTGCCCCTCTTTCCGCGCCCCACCGCTCTGAGTAAAAGTATATTCGCCATCACTGTATTGCGCGGCCGGGCTGCTCGGCTTGTGGTTGCGACGGCGGGTGTATGTCTTCTCGAGGCGGAGGAGCTCTAAGCCTAGTCCACCACCCTCGAAGTCAGTTGGGATCCTCTTCGCGCAGGGAAGGTGGAAAGCGAGGGAGAAGGGAAAGGGAATTAGCTGGTGCTTCGAGGGTAAGGAGGGGAATAGGTCATACGGTCCCGTACGCGAGATATGAGCGCGTGCATTATTGTTTTGCAGATGGTGGATAGGCTGCGAATAGAGTCTCATCAGACGGCCGAGCTCCAATCGTTGAGTTCGGCGAGGGAGGGAAAGGCAGGAAGTGGATTCACAGAGGAGTGGCTACCGCAGGAGGAGAGGGTAGGTGCGGCGATGCAAGAGAATCCTCTGTGAAAGGAGTGGACTGTTCTCTTGAACTACGAAGACAAGCACGAGTCGGGTCAGTAGAGAGCGAGGATTGCGGTGATTATGTATTATTATTATTATTGTTATTATTAGTGATAGTAGTAGTAGTTGTAGTATGAAGAGCGGTGAATAATAAGGGAGAGGACTGCGATTTCCGGGTGATGAATATAAAGCTATCTTTTATCCGTCATTTCCCCCGGGTTCCCCTGCCGATCCCTCTCGCGTGGCTGCCACGCTTGCAGTTAACAAGGGTCGGTTCGATATGCAATTACCGTAGATCTTGAATCGGGCGGGTCGTTTCCTCAATCTTGATATTCTGCTTCGGTTGAAGACAAGAACGCTCACTAGAAATGTATAGAAGAAAACTTGAGCAAAGGATATGGTTGGTGATGGAGATATACTGATGCTTCAGTAGTGTTTCCATCAGGAACCAATGCGGCGCCAGCGCTATGATTTGCTACATACCATTCACCGAGCACATATTTTGTTTTAGATGATGCTGCCCTGCTTTCCAACCCATTACTATACCAAATGCGCTGTCTAAACATTATACGTTCATCATTACCGATGCATATCCCTTATACCTTGACCCACTTGAAGCCTTGCAAGCTTGCTCTCGCTGCTACAAATACGCAAGATCCAGCCGCCATCATGATACCGCAAAATATCTGCAGATGTAAATAGTTGCCGTTGTTCTCGATGATCAGCTGTCCGCCAATTGGACTGCCCACAAGCGCTGCAAAACTGATGACCATAAACATCGACCCGGTCCGCACACCGAGCTGTCTGATATCGGAAATTTGAGCAATGAGAGCTGGCGCAAGCGACACAAAAGCTCCCGAAGAAAACCCATAGATGGCGGCGAACAGAATGTAAGGTATGTTGCCTTTCGCTGGCAACCAGAGGGCCAGTACAACGATAGTCGAGAGGAATGAAGTGACAATCATAATGTTGAACCGGCCCACGCGATCTGCGACAAAGCCGGGCAAAGTTCGGCCAAAGATAGAAACCGCGTTGAGGATGGAAAGCAAATAGCCTGCTAGACTTGCGCTCATCCCGTTGTACTCGGCCGACAAGATGATGAAAGTAAAAGGCAAAAACATGCCAAAGAAGAAGAAGAATGATGCGAGAACGACCAAGAAGAAGGGCATCTCGGTATAAGGTTTAATGAACTCGCCGATTCTCCATGGCGTTGGTTTTTGCTTGAAACGAGACTTGACCGTGAGGTTGGCGTAGACTTGCATCCCAAGGATTAGAAACGCCGAAGCCCTCATGGCCCACCCGAAGCCGCTTCGGGCAATAATGCGCTGAACCATGATGGGAAAGATGACACCACCTAGCGAAGAGCCGGATGCCATGACGCCAAAGGCGAGGGCGCGATTCTTCGAGAACCAGCCGCCCACCGACGACATGGCGGAGTAAAAGATCAGACAAGCGCCAATTGGGCTGCATAGGCCTGGGAAATTGTTCAGTCAAGGCAAGAGATAGTGTTTTGGAGGGGGAGCCACTGTGTACCTTGCGAAAGTAGGAATTGATAGTACGTCGTACTGATGCTCGCCATCATTAGGCCAAACACATGGAAGAACGAGCCCACCAGCAGAATCCACTTCGGTCCATAATTATCGTAGAGCTTGCCCGCGATCGGACCACCAGCAAACATCACAAAAACCTCGAGTGATGGGATCCATGAGATTGTACTTGGGGTATAGTTGCGGAGCTGATGCTTCTCCCATTCAGTCTGGAAGACGCCAATTGCATTGATCCAGCCGAAACTGCAGAAGAGACATGCGAAAGCGCCAGAGACCACGAGCCACGCCTCCAGACCTCCATCTGGGGGAGGGTCCATTGCAGACACGGGTGGAATCTTTGTACCAGCTGCTTCCACCGCTTTCTCAAGATCCTTCTCATGTGGTTCTTCTGCCGTCTCCGCCATTATGTTCGCTGTTGTCTCTATGGGGCCGGCGTGCGAGGGGGAGGAGGAGGAGCGGTCGAATGATTTCTTCTCGTGCATGGTGGTCGAAGAGCCTGAAGATTCAGCCATGGTGGTGGCTGGAATGGCAGATGAGCAATGTCAAAATGGAATTCGCAATCCAACTGTTGTTAAACTCCAAGTGGTGAGGATCGAAACACGGGTGGGCTTATAAGCATATGCCCATTCTTGTAGGATCGAGCTACGGACCAGTCCAACAATATTATAGAGTAGCGGAGAGGCTATGACTGTATGACTGATGACTGAATGAGGAGAAACGGCGGTATGGGCGAACAGAAGGGCGGAGATATCGCTCTCGGGGCTCAGAGAAATACCGAAGCGTCTACCGAGCCAATTGTGGAGGACTTTGCCTATCTAGGATAGATCCTTGCATCTGTCTAGCTTTGAGGCTGCTACCAATCACCGCCCAGGATGTCAGGCACTACTCTCGAAATAGCTCAAGCACGTTCTCTCCCATGATCTCGTCACTTTTCAAGCTTTCCCAAGCGGGAGATTCCGCCGCTATCTGTTCGGATATCTCGGGCTAAATATGTTACGGCCGAGCTCACAGCCGTCGCACCTCCATTATCAATCACGGTATTACGCCTACCACGGGGAAAGATTAGAGAATTCAATTCGTCATCCATCTACAAGACACAGCGAATGTGACTCTTATGAGGAAAGTCATAAAGCTTCCCGCATGTTTTCCACCGCCTTGGCCCCAACGCCTTTCAGATGACTCAACTCCCTCAAATCTCGTACCAGTCGTCCTGGCTCTTCTTGTGTTGCAAAAGCCTCTAGTATTGCTTTAGCCTTTTTCGCACCCACTCCCTTCAACTGACGTATCCGAGATACATCTCTACTGTTGACTACTTGCAATAGCCGTTGGCTTCGAGGAGTCTGCTCTTGACCGCTCTCCCAATCAATGGGCGGAGAATTTATTCTATCATGTCGCTGTCCGGTGCGCGATTCAGGCTCGTAATCTGGATCATTCTCGTCCATACACCGTTGGCTCGGCTTCTTCAGCAGAAACTTGTTTGGCTTCGAGCCCTGGGGAGTGATCTCTTGTCGATCTATCTCGACAGCATCTTGTTTGAGGATCATCTTGGCTTGTAGCTTCTCAATCTTGAATTCAAGCTTTTGGTGTTGAGGAAAGAAGTCTTTCGCAAGCGTATACATTCGTAGCGCGCTCGCATCCTCACCGCGTACGGCATGTTGTTTAGCCATCAAGAGGAAACTCAACCCTTGCTCCCGCCCATCATCTTTACCTTCGATCTTCTTCTCAAGATCTGCTAGTCGTCGCCGGACGTCCTCACTAATTTCCGGCTGAGGAGCTATGGACGGCTGATCAAGCGCTCGTGCGGCCAGCATGTCTGTCACCTTGCGCTCGATCATGTCTTCCATTGCCTGCTGTGACATATTCGGCTGGGAAGTGTCCATTTTCTTGAATTGTGTCCTCCGCTTTGCTGGCCGTGATGCCGATGAGGAGAACAGATCGGATGATCGCTTCAGGGGAGACCTGTGAGTCTGTGGTGCCAGACGCGATCGCAACTGACCATTAGACGGGCGTGATCGATCCGAAAATACAGCGAAAGTTTTAGACTGTTTGTCGACTTTCTTCGTTACTAAAGCGGCGGCCATGCCTGCATTGTGCACTGTGCTTGCCAAGGGCCGGAGAGGCTGTCGCTGTATGGTTGATCCAACGAAAGATGGTACGGCCCGGGTACAACCTTTGAAGACAGGTTCATTCTCTATCTCTCTGACTTCAATTTTCTTCGTTCGATTGGCGAAGTGAAGCGAGCTCAAGGTGTCCAGGTGGCACGATCGAATTGGTGCTAAGTTCAGGATCATGACCGTGATTCCTTTCGTTTGACCTAAGGATAATATCCGAGTCATCTTGCTCTCTCGATAAGGAATTCGCTCGTCGCCACGGCCAATTGCCTCGACGCATTTCGCAAGTGTGAACAAACTCTTGTTAATACTCGCGGATTCTACCATTCGCTCTTTGCCATTTTCGGTTCTCCGGTTATCTTCTGAGCCTGCTAAGTCGATGGCGGATGCTATGCAGGTCCTTAATTCGTCGCCCGAGGAGATGGTTAATGTCAAACGTAGAACTGCGTGCGAGCGAGAGGAAGATGCATTGAGCTACGCTCTGTTAATCATGATATTCATCAAAGGTCGACATATCACCCACTTTGGTAGCCCCTGTCGATCGGTTGACATTTGCTTCATCATACAATTGCTCGAATTCCTTCAAGCTCTCACACGGTCTCTCCGTCAAGCCAACAACGACTGTCTTGCCTGCATTGTCTCTGATTGGCAGTCCTGTAGCAGACCGTTTCTCTGACGGCTCGAAGAGGTCGAATACTTTGTCATTATAAATCTCGTAATATGCAAGAGCTATTCTGACGCTCGTGGCGCCGTCGGAATCTTTCATCATCTTTCGAGCCCGACGATAGACGCCAGACAGAAGCCGTGGGATAACACCTCGATCGGCGAGTGATTTCGCTCCCCGCATTGTATGCGTCTTGCCAGTACCAGTGCTGCCATATGCAAAAATTGTAACGTCAAAGCCGCTGAAGAGCTGTTTTATTGTGGGGGAGACTGCCACGATGTTTTAGCATCTGATTACTCTAAGATTGAAAGAAAACGGTGCATACTTTCATTGTCGAAGATATCCTGTTGAGTCGCATGCTGATCATAGACACCACTGAATTGGAAAGAGTACAGTTCACTTCCATTTTTGGGGTTTGGCACCTTGACCACAGCTGCGCTGTTAGTGTTCGATATTGAGATAATTGTATCCTTATCTAGCTCATGCTTTTGTTGGGGTCTTATCCTGGCTATGACTCTTATGCCCATACTGGAGAGTAAAGCGCCAGTTGCTGGCAAGCTAGAAATCAGTGAACTCGGTGAGCCTCACGTAAACAAACGCCAAGACTTTCCCAATCGCGCCGGACAGCGGCAATCTTCCGCGGCTCCTTTTAACGACCTTGATCAGACTAACTTAGTCGCGATTTCAGCGTGGTTGCCGCCACGCTTCGGCCAGAGCTTCCTCAATGTCGGGGCATCTCTTATTCTTCATACTATCTCTTGTTGAGATATCAAGTGAGGACTGCTCAATGCCTCTGACTTCCATCATGACTTTCACGAATGGCTGGTCTACATAAACTTCCTCTCCCATCCCGACACATTCCAAAGCCAGTTCCAATTTTCTCAAATTTGGCATCTCTCTAGCAAGAATATTCCAGAAGCGCTGCCATGTGGACCAGTCATATGGCTCGTAGACCAAGCCTATAGATAGGCCAGGATTTTTGTAGTAAGTCCAGGAAATCTTCAATTGGTGTATATCTTGGAAGTGCTGGAGGCGTACGAGAGGGAGGTCTCTCCAGTATCTTAGTATATTCAGATCGCTCAAGGAGAATGTGTTGGTCCTATACAAGACGTGGATTGCCTCGCGATAGATCGTCTTGCAAGTAAGTAGTAACGGAAGACCGGTAGTAGTGTTATTGCGCCAGTGTGCAACGTTGTATGCTGCTGGCTGATGACTTGGAATTTCGACATCTTTTGCGTGCTCACGTCCACAGTCGATATGCTTTATGCAGCCTGGATAGTGGATAAGGTGTAGGAGGCGCTGACCGAGGACGAGTTCATAGATCTGCATGCGGATCTCTAGAGGCAAACGAAAGAAAGTAATGACGGGCAATTCGGTCACAAGGGATTCTTGGGTGATATTGACACGTGAAGAAGGTAGAGGCTTAGGCTTGTTTTCCTTGAGAAAGCGCTTTTCAAGCTTAGCCTCCTTGGCCTGTTGACGACCGTCATAGTCCAGTGGGTGAAGGACCCGGTCCAAAGACTTCTTGATCTGTGGTAAATGCATTTTGAAGCTATTATTAATGGAGGCCCATTATTGTTTTTAGAAATGGTGGGGATGTTGAAGCTTTAAGTGGTCGCGTGCCTTCTTGGCATTGAGTTCTAGGCCTTCTAATTGGACTAATTTTCGCACCTCGTGACTTGACTTTGGACTGCCCCCAGCCCGTCTCCTTCCGCAAGCTTCCCTGTGAGCCCGTGGACAACTCTCAACAGTCCTTCTTCTTTTCGTGAAGTATCAAGTGTTCCAGCAATGTTAAGGGTGTTGCGCAGAGAATAAGGTAGTCGCAGGTGTGAAAGCGTACATGACTGTTATACAGATGTGGACTTGGCCACCATTCAATTTACGTTCTTTAGACCTTCAGAAGCCTCGAAGATCACTCTGCCGTCAGGATCAATGCTTGCAGTACGCATTCGGGGAGCCTTGACGGTCGCGGCGGACGTAGTCTGCGTATTTGCAGCTTTTGAGGGATCCGCAACATTCGCCAGTCGCTGTAGGTCTACTAGAGACTGGACTATGCCAGGTTGAGCTTCAGCTATCTCATTTACCTCGCGCGAGGTGAGGACATCATTGAGTCGGGCGGCGCGAGTCTGGAGAAGGATCGTTGTTGGGCCTCGAAATTGAAGAAATAGCTATTTCCCATTAACAAATATCTCCGCTTTAGTGACTGGCATCAACAAACGCGGTCTCCCCAAATGACAGTCCTCGTCCATGTGCGAAGGCCAAACCATGCCTTCGAAATCGTCTGCCACGTTTGGCTTGCCCTCAAGTTCACGATGAATTTAGATCCCCGGAAAAACTTAGAAAGGCTCGGAATTTGGAACCGCAGCGTCGATGAACTCAATCGGTACGGCAAAGGCAGGTATTCATTGATCGAATATGCGACGATGTTGCTGGCCAATATTAACGGGGGCCCCACGCATATCTGGGGGGGTTAGAACCTCGGATGGGCGATGTAAGTCTCTCCCACGTCTACTTGCACCTGAAATATCGATCCCCGACCTGCCAGAGCGAGCAAACCCCGACCTGTGACTTCAGTGCTTCCCCAATGCGCCAAAGTCGACTTGCTATCAGAACAAACGCATCAAGTCGGGGCTGAGCATACCAATCTTCTGTTCACCGCCGGAGATATTGACAAAGTTCGGCCCGTCCATGCAGTGAGGGCACGGCCTACAAGTCTCCAGTCTGTAGTTCCATCTAGATGTACTGTAGTGATTGACGTGTCGGGAGATTTAGTAGAGATGAGGGCAGTGATAGGCGACGTGGAGGATATTCGCTGGTACAGGAACGGTATCCTCAATAAGGCCCGACGGAAAGGCTCCAGAATAGACAGCGTAGATACGGCCTATGTCAATGATCAGACCCATTTAATGATCGTCAAGATCCGAGCCCACATTCTCTGCTTTCCCACCCACAGATACCAACGTGCCCCTTCGCGTGTAAAGCTTTTGAGATGCAGAGAGCGTGACTGAGAGGAGGGAGAAAGGAGAGCCGATGACTTCAAAGCGGGCATCTGTGAAGCTGTCAAGGATATCCGATTCAAGAGCACGTCCTCACAAACCAGGTGATGAAGTATGCTGCGGTGATTCTGGGAATGTAAGATCTGTGGACTGGGCGGAGTAAGCAGAAATCTGTACGCTTCTCTTGAGTATTTGGGAGACGCGAAAGTGACATCTTGACAAGTCTACAGCTTCCTTACACCTGTAAGATCTAAGCATTGCAAAGTAAAATGCAATTGGGCATTGTCGGGCATTCTCTGCAGAACGCGTCTCGGAGATCGCGGGGATACGGCCCACTTTTCACGCCTTTGCATGATTGCTCACTATACCACAATGGCGCAGTCCTTCCATTCAGCTCCAGAGCTGTTGACCCTTTGTGGAATATTGAACAAAATTCACGATGAAAATCAACAGAAATGGGTCTTTCCAATGATGCACGAGCTCGAATCAACATCTCAACGCCAAAACCCGAATGATGCAGGTTGTGCTACTTTCAAGATTTGGTCAACTTTACCTGAGGCCGGCCAAGAATATTCGGAGGTCTACTACAAGTCTTGGATATACCCTTCCTAAATGTCTTGATACTCGAGCGTTTCATCCGTGCCATTCCGTTCACCGGCAATGGAGGTGTTACGCCACAAAGCGAGCAGAAGAATTGGCAGAAAACTCCAGCCTAAAACCAGAGACTGTGCAGAAGCCCAGTGATGCAAAGCCTCTTGACATCGAGTCAAAACCAAAAGCGCCCAAACCTGCCCCAAAAACAGATGCACTGCTCTCTGAGCAGACAGTTTCTAACAAAGAACAGCGAAAGGCTGACTGGGCGATCATCAAGGAAATGTCACAATACCTTTGGCCGAAGAACGATATTGGAGCCAGACTGAGGGTGACCACAGCCGTTGGATTGCTTGTGGGCTCGAAAGTGCTGAACGTGCAGGTGCCATTTTATTTCAAGAACATCGTCGATTCAATGAATATCGACTTCACAACACTCGGCGGCACAGCTTGGACTGTCGGGGGTTCTATGATTGTTGCTTATGGCCTCACTCGAATCGGGGCCGCCGTATTTCAAGAGATTCGGAATGCGATATTCGCAAGCGTAGCCCAGAAAGCTATTCGTCGAGTGGCGTGCAATGTGTTTGAACACCTCTTGCGACTCGACTTGAGTTTTCATCTGCAACGGCAGACTGGTGGTCTCACTAGGGCAATTGATAGGGGCACAAAGGGTATAAGCTTCTTACTGACATCGATGGTTTTTCATATCCTGCCCACTGCATTAGAGATATCTATGGTTTGTGGTATCCTGGCCTACCAGTATGGTCCGAAGTTTGCGGCAATCACTGCAGTAACAATGGTAGCTTATACTGGTTTTACTGTCATCACGACTTCGTGGCGGACCAAATTTCGAAAGCAGGCAAATGCTGCTGATAATCAAGGAGCGACCGTAGCAGTAGATTCACTGCTCAATTTTGAGGCTGTAAAGTATTTCAATAACGAGAAATACGAGGTTGGAAGATATGACAATGCGCTACAGAAATACGAAAAGGCCTCTATAAAGGTGACGACCTCGTTGGCCTTCCTGAACTCAGGGCAGAGCCTTATCTTCTCCGGCGCGCTTGCTACTATGATGTACTATGCGGCACAAGGCGTCGTAGCAGGTACATTGACAGTTGGTGATCTTGTCATGGTGAATCAACTGGTGTTTCAATTATCTGTTCCTCTCAACTTCCTTGGCTCAGTATACCGAGAGCTTAGACAGTCGCTCCTGGACATGGAAACGCTTTTCAATCTGCAGAAAGTGAATGTTGCAGTCAAGGAAGGAGAGAGGCCTAAGGCTCTGCAATTGACCCAAGGCGGCGAGATAAAGTTTGAGAATGTTGACTTTGCCTATCGTAAAGACAGGCCTATACTGCGAAATCTGAGCCTCACGATTCCGGCAGGCAAGAAGGTTGCTGTTGTCGGACCAAGTGGATGTGGAAAATCGACTATTCTTCGCTTACTGTTTCGATTCTACGATATAGACGGTGGCCGAATTTTAGTAGATGGCCAGAACATCAAGGACTTGAGTCTGCAGAGCCTGCGCGAAGTCATTGGCGTAGTACCCCAGGACACACCTCTCTTCAACTCAAGTATCGAGCATAATATTCGATATGGTAACTTGGAGTCGTCTCTTGAGAAAGTTCGCGAGGCGGCCAGAAGAGCTCAGGTGGATGAAATGATTGTCAACCTACCGGATGGCTATCAAACTATGGTCGGAGAACGTGGCATGATGATCAGCGGGGGTGAAAAGCAACGCCTTGCCATCGCACGACTTATCCTCAAAGACCCGCCGATTTTGTTCTGTGATGAAGCAACATCCGCATTGGACACCTACACAGAGCATGCTTTACTGCAGAACATCAACAGCTTACTAAAGGACAAGGCCAGGACCAGCGTCTTTGTTGCTCACAGGCTACGAACGATATTTGACAGCGATAAGATTATCGTGCTCAAAGACGGACATGTTGCCGAAGAGGGCACCCATGCCGACTTGTTGAATGCACGAGGCGTGTACTGGGAGCTCTGGGTCACCCAAGAGAGTTCCGTAGGCGAGCAGGTTGACCATGACCGTACAATGCCAGGTAGGACGATTCAAGAGAACGAAACCGCAATCGGGGGCAAATAAAGAAACCGTTTGATCTCCGACGTCGATATATACAAACCTGGTGTGCACGAACCCAGCTGCCATACCTATCGCATACAATAACGCGCCTGCTGAAGCTGGATCGCTTCACTTGGAAACCGACCTCACTACGCAAACCGACATGGACATTGCAGTATCATGAAAAGCTAGGACTGGAAGCTTAATTTGCTCAAATGACATGAAGGTCTTATTGAAGCACTCTCTTGTCCTCACTCAGCCTCGTCAACTCCCAGGCGCTATGCAATACGTATGTGCTCGTAAAGGCATTATGGATGAAGTCTTGCGAAGCTTTAGAAAATCGAGATTCCAAGCTATTTAGCCACTGCAGCACTCAGCACCGATGTTCGGAAAAAGCTGCCTTTAGTTCGTTCAATAACCTGCCATGCGTCAGTACGAATTAAAAGGTCGCAGAACCCTAGGTACAAACCTGCTGATACACTGAATTAGCAGGGTGATTCATGAGCACCGTTCCCTCCTGGTAATCTAGCTTCCCGTCCATTCTCGTGTCCCTTATCAGATTTACGATCCATTTCTCACCCTCATCAGGCTCCAGTCCGAGGCGCTTACTCAGATCTCCAATATCAATCCTCTGGTGAATCTTGCAATAACTCTCGCTGATCAAATGCCGCGCAGCCTCAACAAAAGCGTCACTCGACGCCGAGAGAAAGAAGTCGCCTCTCAGCATCTCGTCCGCTTCGCTGAGCTTGGACTGCGCGGCTTCGAAATCGAAATCTACGTAAAGGGCTTTAATGAAATCGGTCACCGGGTCGTGATATTCGTGGCCTTCTTGCCTTATGACCCTGACAAGATCCTTTAATTGTTTTTGGTACTGGCTCGTGTTTCGTGTGCGGCTGCGATTTGTGATAACAGCTGCGCAGAGGTAGCGAAGGATCCACGGACAGTTGGTCTGGATGGTGTTGATGAAACTTGGGGAGAAGAGGAGGTCCGAGATCGTGTCTCTAGCCGATTCGTAATTAAAGAATGGAAACAGCGTCCAGTGTATCAGCCATGTGCGATGTTGCAGCTGTGCTAAGGGGTTGTTGAAGAGCTTCGTATCTATGGATTCTTTCACCTTATTCACCTCTTCCATTACTATGTCCCACTGCCCCGTGAGGATGTCACACGCTAGCTTTCCCCATGTTGCCGAAGTCACCTTGTCGTTGTCTGTTGACAGGATGCGAAAATGATCGAGAACGTGAGCGGCGTTTCCATAGCTACCACAACTATACTGGAAGAGGCCAAAATCATAAAGCATATCCACATTCTCGACCATAACACCGTGATTTGATTCGAGGTACTTCAAATTGGCCACCTTATCGCTCCGTAAATTTGAGACTACACTGTCGTCACTGAGTAGGCCGTCGATCTTGCTGGTCTCCTCTGTGAATAGTGACAGCCTCTGAAGGACTTCTTCTCTTTTCTTGGTAAATTCCTCCGGTACCTCGTCACTGTCATTGAGTTGTTGCCAAAGATTTGCTACATAATCTGTCATGTTGGTCTGTTTAAGAAGCTCATATTTGGTTCTGGTAACTTCTTCGTCATCCGGCTGGCCAGACATGAACTCCAATAATGGAAATATAAGATGGCGGTCCAGGTGAGGTATGAGTTTGGGCAGAGCGTCATATTTTAGTGCGGCTTCAGTGGAAGAGATCTGAGCCTTGCCCTGAATAAGGGTATCAGCGGATACTGGAGCATTGTCCGTCATTTTATATGAGCTCTATGAGAACAGGGTATTCCCCTCGCATCTTTCCTGTGCTGTGCGAACGCGGAACTCGTCCGAATGCCAAGAGCACCCAGCCGCCCACTCCGCAATCAAGTCCGCAATGAAGATTCCTGGTCGCTACTGTCAATAATTACCGGATGGAATCCTATGGGCGATGACTGCTCGTGGCCTTCACGGTTTCCTACGCCCGTTAACGACTCCTCAATTCCTCTCTTTGCGTTGTCTCGTGCGGTCTGCGCAGCACAAATCGTTTACGCAGTTTGGAGCACGTGGTATAGCTTGATTCTGTCCTCTGATCGTTCGAGCTGAATTCCAGTAGCTCTCACTTCAACTCCTCCAACATCATCTGAGATTCCGCCTCGGAACCCTGCGCCACCACAGAGCCTGACGCTGGGCCACCCATCAAATGCAGCACATACAGATCTTCCATTCTTACCCTATTTCGTCCATCGGACTCCCTCACAGGAACTCCCAGTCTACCATCTAGCCAAGCGTGGTGGAAATCTCAAACAGACACGAATAAGAAGGATAGATGGAGACAGATTGTCTTTGCGAAATGAGTTACAGGAAGCTTTGGATTTGAAAAAGGAGAACATTGCCATAAGAAGTGCTACCGGACACATAATAATCAAAGTACGTGCCTGATGTTGTTGGTATGCAGTAGTATTTTTTTCTGATACTCCGTCAATCAAAGGGATGGTATAAGACCGCGGTTAAGCGTTTTCTAGAGGATCGCCATTTCTAAGACTCGCAAGTTTCATCCTGAATATGTATACATCTTGATTGGTATTTATGACTTGGCAAGACTGTAAAGGAAACAAATTGTTAGATGCTCGGTCAACTCGGTCTTTGGGCTGGTGCTCAACCTACGACAATCTTATCCCATTACTTTGTGCTTCTGATATCATTCATTAAGTACAGTCGGGTATCTTCCCCCAGCGACATTATCCTGTGTACAAGGGGGCCATCTTGCGCATCTCGCACCGTAGCCTTAGGCTCACCCTAGTCATCCAAGGCATAAAGACTACACAGCTTTCTTACTATATTGACATCCATGTTTTTCGCTTTCAAAGCTTCGTATATCGTTTGTTTCGAAGGACCAGTCCCAGCAAGGATATTCGCCGCGTCGCTGCCGGCATCCTTAGCTCGATCAACCAACTTTTGAAGTACGGTTAGTCCCCGGGATGTGGCCATATGAAAGCCTTGAGTTTCCATATTTTGTGGCTGAGGAGCTGCATGAGGGTGGGATATCTGCCATCCATAGAATCTACCTTCGCCATCATATAGAAGTGCAAGTGTTCTCAGCAGCCGGAGCGCGAAGCGATCCTGGGAATTGAGCCAGCACAGAGCCAGCTCAGATTCCGTGTTGGGTATCATGCCGACAAGGATCTCTGCAACGAGCAAACCTTGAATCATGAATGGTAAGCGATAGCGGATGAGGTTTAGAATGGCCATTTCCGCATTCTCTCGAGGGTCCCTCGTGTGGAGAGTCCTCTGTTTGGCCTCCATCTGCTTTGCAGCAATGTCGTGTAAAGCCTCTAAATCAGGTATCGGACTGATTGCAAGACCAAATGCTTTAGTGAACAATTCATACGACTGAGCGGTCGTGATATCAGTTGTGAGGATGGATCGACAGAATGTTCGGTTTGATTCGCGTGTGAGAAGCTTAGCCAGCGCATCTATAGCATACGGTAGGTATTGATTGACAGACGGCGTATAGGACGGAAAGTAGACCTCATTTGGATCACTATGAACTGACTCCGGCACCGGCGCGAAAGACATGAGAAAGTGCAGGACGCAAAGCGCGTCGTCCTTGCTCTGGATTTCGAGTCGATGAGCCATTTGACTGAGGAAGATCACAATGTCCTTTAAGAAGTCCAATGCATTCCGGTGCGTGCGGAGGAACATATTCCGTGTGCCGAGATACCGAATAACAGTGGTCATCATTTTCAATACAATGGGGTCGGACAAAGCTCGATGACTGTTGGCTTCGGGATACCTGGTCTGATGGTTTCTTGACTCGGCAAACGCGAAATTTCTTAGGATTGTTGTGATACATATCAGCTTATCGACTGCCGTCTCAAGATCGTGTCCTATCGCTCTGAAGTCGGACGGGGCCTGCACTTCTTCAACCTCCGCCTTGCAACCTTTAACGGTGTCCTCATAAGAATTTATGAGCATCGCATCGGAGACTTCAGAAGCGTGTTCGGCAAGAAGGTCAATTTGGTCGTTCGCACACTCTATGAGCGCTTCGTTCAGATCGTCACTATTGTCTAGCGACGGCGGGGCTTCTTCCAGTGATAGCAGTAGGAGAGTGTCTAGTGCATGCCGAATCTCGCCAGAGATACCCGAGCGTAGGGACAGAGTAAGAGTGTGTATGTAAATTGGCCCTAGCTCGTCCGGTAAAGGAGCTTGCAATTTGTATCTGAGTAGGCATGCAACATTGTCTGCGAATCCTTCATCAAGGTGGATACCACCATAGCTCTTCGGCATCTTTGGGTTATCTACCGTATCTTTTTCTTTGGGGGGACCTAACTTCAGATTATTGGCTCTTGGTACAAACATTTCTGGTAAATAATGGATTCGTGGCTCGTACCCGACATGGTTGCTAGGGTCTTCCGTCTTCGGCTGATGCGCTTTAACATGGACAATTTGAGCTCCAACCCGGGACTGAAAAGTATCGGACCGCGGCTCTGCAAAAGTAGAAGCCGGATGACTGTCTTGTGTGCTCATCTGCTGATTGACTGCATAGCCATTGGGCAATGCGCTCTTAACACTGGATTGCGTTGCAGGGACGGCTTTGTGAGGATTGTGCACCTGGTTCGGAGGCGGTTGCATGAAGCGAGGGCCTTGCTCGTGGCCTTGCTTGGGCGGTGAGAAGGAGGCCTGTCTGAGGTGAGAATCTCCGGGTGGAACATTGCTAGCTGTTCGCGTATGATCCCCCACAGGTCTCGGTCTTTGACCTTGATTTTGCGCGTAGTAAATTTCAAATTCAGAAAGATATGTCTGCCAGAAATGTTGCAGCTCTTGAGCAGCCTGCAAATATTGTGAAGGGTGATACTGCAAAAGTTGGGCAACCTTTGGCCATTGTTGCCCGAGGCTTATCTGCTTGGAACCCCCCATCTTAATGACACCGAAGAACAGATTCATGGTGAGATGCTGTTTACCCAGGATGACCGTATGCGTTTGGAACGGCAGACCCCTGGACCGTGCAAAATTCATGTAATTCTGGAGCGTTTGTTGAACATGCAAGTTGCGCTGGTTAGCCTGTTGTGCTTGCTGTGCTTGCTGTGCTTGCTGTGCTTGCTGTGCTTGCTGTGCTTGTTGTGCTTGCTGTGCTTGCTGTGCTTGCTGTGCTTGCTGTGCTTGCTGTGCTTGCTGTGCTTGCTGTACTCGTAAGTGTGCGAGCTGATTATTCGACATCTGGTTTCCCATCTGACCCATAGGGTTGAAGGGGCCACCCTGAGGATGAACACCACCCCGCATTGCCGCCATTTGTCTTGCCCGTGTCTCTAATATCATTTGCTGTTCATGCTGTTGAGTCTGGCTAAATTGAGATTGTTGTGGGCCATTCATTACAACTGCACCTTGTGGCATATATGGCGGTCCCGTTCCCACTCCATATGCGGCTGCGGGAGGGTACTGTGGAGTACTATTTTGAGGGGTATTGACTCGGCTTCCATTTTCTGAATGGGATGGCGATGCATGATTTGCAAAATTTTGCGTAGCAGGTGAATAGGGAGAAGGTGACATGGTCTGGACATGTTGGTGAGCGTTTGGGGTATTGTAATTCTGATTTTGGGGAGCTGGCGATGGGTTTGAAGGGTTAGCGTTCTGAGTGACGTTCTGATATGGGTTGCCACCAGCGAAGACAGCTCCATTAACAGGAGCAGGATACGTCGAGTATGATCCATGTGGCGTTTGAGACCGAGAAGCGGGGGTTGCGCCACCGTAGGCTTGAGGGGAGCCGCCTATATTATCGTCTGGTGGCCTGGGGCGTTTCGATGGGATTGTAGGCTGGGTCTGGTAATGAAGGTTTGCGTTCGTGGTGGCTCCATTGAGCATGTCTCCGTTCGCCATACGCTGCTGTATCTGCTGCGCCTGCACCGTGTTGAAGTCAAAGGAGGACGAGGAAGGTGTTTGCATGAAGGACATGGCGGGGTCGCTCGAACCATTGAAGGCGACATTCTCTCCGTTCGAATAGGGTTGGGCATCATTCAGCCAATTTGGCCCACTCATGGCGATTCGACAGGTCGAAAGCCCATCTAGAAAGATTCAGACGTGTCAGCAGCTGTGCCGTCATATGTCGTAGCAGACTATCGGCCATCTGGCCTGTTTGGATTGAGACCATAGTGGTGAGGATGGGTCGGGCTGTCGAAGGACAACAGTCGCGGTCCGATATAGTTGGCTATCAAGTTTGAATTGTAGCATGGAGAGGCGAGTGGTCGAGATCATGGGGGATTAGCAAGAAGTAAATAAAGGTTGCTTACTGATAAGAGTGAAAAGCTGTTTGGCGTTAGAGCATGAGGCTCCAGCTGCTGACTGTAGGCCACTCCTAAGACAGAAAGGCTATCCATCGCGAAGTGTCCCAAGGTCAGCACATGTCATTCCCGAAGGATGGGAAGCGGCTCTGGTGATTCGACGGGGAGGGTTGGGAGCAAACAGCCAGCAGTCGACATGCGCCTGGTTGGCAGCAAGAGTGAATCAGATGCAACAAGGCAGAGACAAGCAGAGACCTGGCAAGGGTTTCGGCAGACTGCGATGCTCGGTATGATCCTCGCTTGTGTCACGGTCGCAGAGTCCAGGCCGAAAAGGGACGAATGAAGAATGGGCATGGGGTGGGTAAGGGCGTCGAGCGAAGGCAAGAGGAAGGGGGCGATCCAAACGCGCCAAACAAGTAAATAATAACACATGAACATACCTGATGCTTGATGCCTCTTGAAGACTTGCCCCTCCAATATCCTACCCTGGCGTTTCCAACGATTCCAACGATCAAACGATAACACAAGGTGAGGGGCCGCGTTGCTTGGATTTTAGTTTCGATGGAGACAGAAAAGAACAGACTCTCCCTCGTTCTCCGCTCTCAGACCGCAAGGAAAACCTCCCGAAGGCGCACTAGGCCCTTTTCATGTTAGGCTATCACAGCAGCACGGCAGTCCTTCAGCATACGTATTCTACAGCGCTCTACGCCCTACAGGACAGATGATGGGAATGGTAGTATGTTGGCAAGGAAAAGGCTTTTCAAGAACGGACAGAGACAGCGTCACAGCACCAGCCACTGGCGAGCATGGACATTAGCAGTTCCGGAGGATAATAAGATTAGTGTGCCCGTCCCAAGTCACACGGGGACGTCCAATCATCGCTTTGGTCCTGCTGTACATGCTTTTCAGGCGAGTGTCTCTGCATGCTTGACTGATCATCGGGCGTGCAGCCGACCGTTAGCATCTTGTCCGATCCAGATTTCATCCTCTTCATCTTGCTGGAAAGTCGAGGGAACCGCCAAAAGGAAGACATGCCAAGCCCGTGACCATATCTTCACCCTCGGTCTACAAACTGCAACTGTTCATCTCTGAGAAGGTCACCATCGATTCAAGTCCACGTTAACGTCGCCGTTCAGTACCTACCGCAGCTGCCCCTCTTCCCTATTAGACCATGGCTGACGTCGCTGTCGAGAACCCTCTCAACTCCCTACCCCCTCATAAGAAGCAGCTAGCCTCCAACATTCCTAACGTTGATCTTGAGGGCGTTGCCAACGACGATAACGATGAGTACTCGACACTGAAGAAACTACAAAGACACTTAGAGTAATACCCTTAGAGCCTGTCGCCTTGCTCTTGCCTTGACTGACCTTCAAACAGGTACATAAACCTGCAGGAAGAATATATCAAGGATGAGCAAAGGCGCGTTCTTCCGGGCACTCTACCATAGGGTATTCCTGACTAGTCGTGCAGAAGCCTTAAGAGGGAACTTGTCCGAGCACAAGAAGAAATCAAGCGAATACAGAGCGTCCCTCTCGTGATCGGACAGTTCATGGAAGCGATTGACCAAAAGTAAGGCAATACTACGATTCTATTCTTTCAAGAATTCTAAGAAATCGTAGCACCGGAATTGTGCAGTCATCTACGGGCTCGAACTATGTTGTCCGGATCCTGTCGACCCTCGATCGCGAAAAGCTCAAGCCTTCTTCTTCTGTCGCCCTCCACCGCCATTCCAACTCACTTGTTGATATATTACCGCCCGAAGCGGACTCCTCCATAGCGATGCTCGGCGCTCATGAGAAGCCCGACGTGACCTACGGAGATGTCGGAGGGCTCGATATGCAGAAGCAGGAGATCAGAGAGGCAGTTGAGCTTCCTTTGACTCAGTTTGATCTTTACAAGCAGATAGGTCTGACACGCCCGTGTGCTCTGACTGCCGCACACGCTCACATTACGCAGGTATTGATCCACCCCGAGGTGTTCTGCTCTACGGGCCCCCAGGGACTGGTAAGACGATGCTGGTCAAAGCTGTGGCAAACAGCACAACGGCAAACTTCATTCGGGTGGTGGGCTCTGAATTTGTGCAAAAATATCTTGGCGAAGGTCCGAGGATGGTTCGTGATGTCTTCCGCATGGCCAGGGAAAATTCCCCTGCCATTATCTTTATTGATGAGATCGACGCAATTGCTACAAAACGATTCGATGCTCAGACTGGTGCCGACAGGGAAGTACAGCGTATTCTTCTGGAATTGCTCAATCAAATGGACGGTTTTGATCAAACCAGCAACGTCAAGGTCATCATGGCTACGAATCGAGCGGATACACTGGATCCTGCCCTGTTGAGACCTGGTCGCCTTGACCGGAAGATCGAGTTCCCCTCACTAAGAGATCGAAGAGAACGTCGCTTGATATTCACCACTATTGCTTCGAAAATGTCACTTTCCCCTGAGGTCGATCTTGACTCGCTGATAATTCGAAATGATCCATTGTCAGGCGCTATCATTGCTGCCATCATGCAAGAGGCCGGCCTGAGAGCAGTAAGGAAGAACAGGTACAACATCATTCAATCTGACCTGGAGGATGCTTATTCAAGTCAAGTGAAAGGAGAGTCAAGCGATGTGAAATTCGATTTCTACAAATAATTGATGTATAGCTTTGCTGTAGATTAGCGTAATTCATCCAATAGACCCACTAGAAGGCTCTTTGCTGAGTCATTCGTCGTCTGCGTCATCCGCCGTCTCAAATTAGCGCCGCTTGTCCAGGCATCATCCAGCCACCGGTCAGACGACTACAAATTTCTTCCATCACTTCCCTATCGCCATCGCATATCACTCTTGTTGTATCAAGCCATCGAATTCAATCCATAAGAATGAAGACCTCTCTTTTAGCCGCTGCATCAGCAGCTTTGGTGGCCACCACTTACGCCGGCGTTCACAGGTTGAAGCTTGAGAAAATCCCTCTCACAGAGCAGCTAGAGCATGGTAGCTTCGCTGCGCAAGCAAAGTCGCTTTACCATAAATATGCCGGCCAAAAGGCAATGGGATATCATCCAGAATCTCACAGCGAAGAAATGTTCCGAGATACCTCTATCCACACTGATACTGATCATCCTGTCCCTGTGTCTAACTTTTTGAATGCGCAATGTAAGTAGATACTCACTCGTATGAGCATTTGACTCTAACCGTCTGCAAGACTTCTCAAAGATTGCTGTCGGCACTCCACCGCAAGAATTCAAAGTCGTACTCGACACAGGCTCGTCCAACCTTTGGGTTCCTTCTTCAGAATGCTCTTCAATAGCTTGCTTCCTTCACAGTAAATATGACTCGTCCGCATCATCTACATACAAGAAGAATGGATCGAGTTTTGAAATTAAGTACGGCTCTGGCGAACTAAGTGGCTTCGTTTCACAAGACACTGTCCAGATCGGAGACATCAAGATCAAAGGTCAAGATTTCGCCGAGGCTACCTCAGAACCTGGCTTGGCCTTCGCATTTGGCCAATTCGATGGCATAATGGGCCTTGGATATAACACCATAAGTGTGAACAAGATTGTCCCGCCATTCTATCAGATGCTCGATCAGGGTCTTCTAGATGAGCCTATAGTATCTTTCTATCTAAGCGACACAAGTAACGAGGGAGACGAGTCTGAAGCTCTATTTGGAGGTGTCAACAAGGCCCATTACACTGGCAAAATGACAAAGATTCCACTACGAAGGAAGGCTTATTGGGAGGTCGATCTCGACGCCCTGACCTTCGGTAAAGAGACTGCTGAGCTTGAAAACACGGGCGTAATACTCGACACCGGAACATCATTGATTGCTCTCCCATCCGATCTTGCGGAGATCTTGAACTCGCAGATTGGTGCTAAAAAGAGTTGGTCTGGCCAATATACTATCGAATGCGAAAAGAAGGACAGCCTTCCAGACATGACTTTCACCCTTACTGGTCAGAACTTCACGATTGGTCCGGAAGATTATATCCTAGAGGTTCAGGGCTCTTGTGTGTCATCCTTCTTTGGCATGGGTAAGTTCTTGTCCGATCAACTCTCCTTCCTTGCTGACCCTTTCCCCCCAGATATTCCCGAGCCTGTCGGACCGTTAGCGATCCTCGGTGATTCTTTCCTCCGCAAATGGTACTCCGTGTATGACCTTGGCAGCAACAGCGTCGGACTTGCACTGGCAAAGTAACAAAACATAGGGACAGAGGGTATCAGCCGCATCAATAATTGAGAATGAAGGTGTAGGTTGAGAAGGATTGGGTAAAGGCGTTTCCGTTGATTACCTCCCTTCCTAGTATGTAAATTGTAAATTCAATGCGTCTTTGACCGCCCATGCGTTCTTCCGCCTTTGCGTTTAGGTGTAGAGCCTCTGATCGCAGAAGAAAAAGTCTGCACCACTTTTACCAGTCTAGGTTAGCGTAACGGTGCTGCCTGCATCTTGACCTTCAGCCCTAAAGCCGGGCGAGTTGGAATTCAACGAGCCAGCACTAGTTGTACTTGCTTTAAAGCAATACCATGTGTTGCGTTGCAGAACTTGAACAGATGACAAGCAATACAAGTATCACTATTCTACAAAATGCCCAAGGCCCTCCGTGCAAGTGCATGGTCTTCCTTTCGGGTGTGCACGCAGGTGTGTGCTATGCAATGGATATCCCTTATCACCTGAGCCCTTAGGCTCCTGTACGCCTCCAACGCTACTTTTGCTACTTGTTAATTCAGAAGCATTCTCAAAGCTTCTTGAGGTACCAGTTTGAGGATGTCCTCAGAGCACGATGCCGTCAGAAGGGATCCGCGGAAGCTGTCAAGGAGGAGACAGCCTATCCGGCAGCCGTCGTTGAAGTATCCTGAGAGGCTGACAGAGGGAGAAGATGTACAAGATGATGTGACTGCTACGAATGGTCAGCCAGCGCAATATATGAATCAGTCTGTATTTTCAATGATTGCAGCTGCTGGCTCGAAAGTTGATTTCCATGCTCGCTTTGATGAAGCAAGCAGTGAGAGCGAAGAGGACCCTGTAATTGATACAGCAACACTGCAACTCGCTTCTTCCATGCCCACTAAGCATCCTGTCGAAGCACAAAACACGGCACTGGAAGAAACCGTTGTAGCCGCAAAAGCCACCACAAAGCATCCGAGACTTGGGGAAAAAGGAGGGTTTCGCACACTTCCAAAGCTCAATTTGAGGACTGTCAACGAGAAAACCTATATGTCGCAAAGTATTATTCTACCGTCCCCAAAAGATTCACCAAGGAGCCCAAAGGGACTCACCCCTAGAGATGCCCCGGTCATGAGCAAGATGCTAGAAGCTCAAGCCGATTCGAGCCTCTCCACCATGCTTTCAAAGGAGCAGAAAGAAGAAGCTATGAGGATGCATCAAGAAGGTGCAAGAAAACCTCCCAGTGCATTGGTCCTACGTTTGAAGGAGATTTTCGGGTTTGAAGAAGCCGAAGAGGTCATCGCTGGTGCGTGCGTTGCTACGCATGTGGCCTAGCCTTCCTTCTCTCATGTTCCAAGGTTTTCTGACCTCATATTAGAGTATCCATGCTGGCTTCTACAAAGCGTTCTCCTTCAGGGCTATATGTACATCACCTCGAAACATATCTGCTTCTACGCCTATCTGCCAAAGAAATCCGTAAAACAAACCTCTCCGAATAGATTTAAGGAACTGCTAAGTCAATCTAGGATCTCGTCTCGAAATCAGGATATCTTTCGAAAAGAGGCCGACAGAATCCTACCTACAAGCGATCTTGGTTCACTTTACAAGGCGATGTGCTATCTTACTATGCGGGACAATCAGAGCGATACTTTCCGAGCGGGAATATAGATCTACGATACGGCATCTCCGCTTCGCTATCTCACGCGAAAGACAATAGCAAAGAAGTAAAAGACTTTTCTATAATTACACATAAACGAACGTTCCACTTCAAAGCCGACAGTGCAGCAAGTGCTAAAGAATGGGTGAAGACTTTGCAAAAGGTCATCTTCAGATCTCACAATGATGGCGACAGTATCAAGATATCTCTACCTATCGAAAACGTAATCGATATTGAGGAAAACCCCGTAATTGACTTTGCGGACACCTTCAAGATTCGTGTAGTAGATAGCGAGGAGACATACGCAATAGACGAAGTATGTTTCAATAAGCCAATAAGAGCAACTGCTAAAAATTCTTCAGTACTTTTTTTCATTCTTCAGCTTCGGCAAGGATGCTCTCGATGTTTTAGGTTCTCTCATTGATGGTACGACCGCGCAACACCTACCGTCGGATCTTCTCACGAATTTACCCATGAACGACGGCGCTCCATCACGCGAGGCCTCGCAATCTCCAATACCTAGACAAAGACGTGGATATCGGGTTGCAAGCCCAATGTCGCCAAGGACACCCGTGCTGCACGATCAAGTACGAGCTACTCTAATGCCAAGTTCTCCAGTACCTAGTAGCCAGGCAAGCCCCCGTCCTAGTCGAGAATTCATGCGGAAAAGTAGCGATACAAGTCGTAAGAGCTTAGAGCTCGGCCGGAGGAGTCTCGAAGTGTCCAAAAGAGATTTCAGTCGTTCAAGTTTCGATAGAGGTAGGAGAACGGCGAGCTCTAGCCGCACAAGAGATATTTCCAGTTGTGACCGTCGGAAATCGCCATCTACAGCACCTCAGGCTTCAATGGATTCGTTCGTGCAATCTCTTGATCTGACAACCGGATCGTCTGCGCCAGACGTTGAAAGCAACAACACGCAAGCTTCTCAAGCTTCCGGGAGTCAGATATTACAACGAAGTGACGTCTTTCAGTCCCCAGCTGTTCGCCGTTTACAGCAAGCCAAATCGCTCAGCCGAAATGGAAGCCCTGCAAGATCTCCTGAGTCTGTTGGTACCAATTCCCCACCTAGCAATATACAGGTTCAACCACCAACAAGAAATCAGACAGAGCAAAGTCTAGTTCTCAAGTCTCAGATTGGAGACAGGACTAGAACCTCGTCATCACAGGCACAGTCACCGACACTCCAACAACTTGTCAGAGCCGGTGGCTATCCGCTACAAAAAGCCGCTGGATTCACTAATTATCTTCGAACACGCTCCAAAAGAATGAGTAATATTCTTGCTACAGAGTCGATGGGATACGTAGAGAAGGTGTCCGATATGTGGGCTGGGGGTCGAAAACATTACGGTCAGGAGGAAGGCCTAATGGCGGAGGGCATAGATAACGCAGCCGAGGAAGGGGTGGAGGCAGGCTATGGTGATCGATTCAGGGCACACTTTGCTCTGTCGCCGTCGGAAAAATTGCGAGCCACATACTATGGGTACTTACATCGAGTGCTTCCTCTGTACGGCAAGATTTATATCAGCAACAAGAGCTTCTGTTTTCGAAGTTTGTTGCCCGGCACGAAGACAAAAATGCTCCTGCCATTGAAAGACATTGAAAATGTGGACAAGGAGAAAGGCTTCAGATTTGGCTACTACGGGCTTGTCGTTGTTGTCAGGGGTCACGAAGAGCTGTTTTTTGAGTTCAACGAGCATGATACTCGGGATGATTGTGTTATTACCTTGCTTGGAAACCTTGAGTCCAAGAGATATGAAGGAGAGTCGAAGTTCGTCATCAGTGAGGACAATGAAGTCGCGGAAATTGCAAAAGCTGAACACAAAGCACTACAAGAGGCACGGCAAGATGGTTTCAATGAACACGAGATAAAGATGCCAACTTCTGCAGAAAGATCCTCTCAGCCAGCAGAAGCTCCACCTATACTCTTCGATGATCCCCGAGCCTCTATCCTGAACTTCAAACCCACTGAATCGCTTCGGATCACCTGCCTTACGATCGGATCTCGTGGTGACGTGCAGCCATATATTGCCTTATGCAAAGGCCTGAAGACTGAAGGCCACAGGCCCAAGATTGCCACTCATGCTGAGTTCGAGCCCTGGATCAGGAAGCACGACATCGATTTTGCTCCCGTTGATGGTGATCCAGCAGAATTGATGCGAATTTGTGTGGAGAACGGCATGTTTACCTACTCTTTTCTTAGAGAGGCTTCAGTCAAGTTTCGCAGCTGGATTGATGAGCTCCTCAGCTCTGCTTGGAAAGCATGTCAAGATACTGACATCCTGATTGAAAGCCCAAGCGCAATGGCAGGCATACACATAGCTGAAGCCTTGGGTGTACCTTACTTTCGTGCCTTCACGATGCCTTGGACCCGCACACGTGCTTACCCCCATGCGTTCGCAGTACCCGAACGAAAAATGGGGGGTGCTTACAATTACATCACATATGTCATGTTCGACAATGTGTTCTGGAAAGCGATTGCTGGGCAGGTAAACCGTTGGCGCAAGAAAGAGCTTGGCCTCCGAAGCACTACCATTGACAAAATGCAGCCAAACAAAGTTCCATTTCTTTACAACTTCAGTCCTTCTGTTGTGGTCCCTCCCCTTGACTACAGCGATTGGATCCGTGTGACAGGCTACTGGTTCCTCAACGAGGCTACAGATTGGACGCCGCCTGAAGAGCTTGCGGCTTTCATCAGGAAGGCCCGTCAAGATGAGAAAAGGATTGTGTACATTGGTTTTGGTTCTATTGTGGTCTCGGACCCTGCTGCTCTGACCAAAACAGTGGTTGATTCAGTGCTGAAAGCGGACGTCCGGGCAATTCTGTCCAAAGGGTGGTCCGACAGGCTTGGGAACCAGGATGTTGGCAGAACAGAGATTAGTCTTCCACCAGAGATCTTGCAAATCAAATCTGCACCTCATGACTGGCTCTTCGGCCAGATTGATGCGGCTGCCCATCATGGCGGTGCAGGAACCACAGGCGCAAGCCTTCGTGCTGGATTACCAACCATAGTCAAGCCGTTTTTTGGCGATCAATTTTTTTTGGCTCGCGTGTCGAAGATCTTGGGGTCGGCGCATGCTTGAAGAAGCTGAACGTATCTGTGTTCTCTCGCGCGCTCTGGGAAGCCACGCATTCGCAGCGTATGATCATCAAAGCACGCGTCCTAGGAGAACAGATTCGGAAGGAGCACGGTGTGGAGACAGCCATACAGGCAATCTACCGCGATCTAGAATATGCGAAGAGTCTGATCAAACATCGCAAAGCCATAGCCAAAGAAGGCGAAGGTTGGGACCTAGGTGAGGAAAGTTGGACATTCATCGGAGATGAGAGTGATCCTGAACTTCGAAGACGGATCCAAGAGTGGGACGCGCCATGGGCATCGGATGGTGCACATATGCATAGTAGGAAAAGTTTCCAGAGAGGAAGGAAGCAAAGTATGGATTTGGGTGCATAAGATAGCTAGAATCTCTTCCAGGGCGTATCTAGGACTTACCTTTTTCATTTTCAAGGCGGTGAGAATAGCTTATATGCAAATTTTTGGACGGTAGGAGGTCAACTTGACCTGTTTCCTGCTGTCACATGCGACTATTTAGGGGATGACGAATGATACCACCAAGGGCCGAGATTAGCATTCCACTTTGACTACACAATAATTATCTAAACATGGCCGGTCTCTTCGTACCAGGTTTAAAGGTTCGGATTAATGAACTCATGACAGGGTAACCATGCCAGATTGCCCTGGCAAACCTATCTTGACCGATTTGCCGCGTCTTGCGCGCGGCTCGACTTCGACCATATGCTCTCCCAGATCATTTCGCTGCAGCCAATTTGAGAGAAGATGCTTCATGCATTGTGAAGGGTGTCCCTTCGATAGGTCGGTTCCAAGCAAGGATGTCTGGCGCCAGCGATAAAGCTCGCTTCTACCTTGAACAATCCGTCCCCGAGCTCCAGGAACTCGAACGCAAGAAAATCTTTACAAAGCCTGAAATCACCTCCATAGCCAGAAAGCGTTCTGACTACGAGCACAAACTCAGTGCTCGCGGCTCTCACCGTTCCGACTATATTCGCTACATCGAGTATGAGATGAACCTGGAGTCTTTGCGAAAGAAGAGGGTTAAGCGTTTAGGGGTGAAGAGCACGAATCACATTGGGCAGAGACGGCTTTTCGGCCTATTGGATCGGGCGACGAAGAAATTTCATGGCGATGTGGGGTTGTGGATGCAGTACCTCAGTTTTGCGAGGAGGCAGGGGAGCCATAAGAAAATTGGGGAGGTGCTGACGAGGATGTTGAGATTGCACCCTACGAAGGCGGAACTGTGGGTTTGGGCGGCAAAGTATGCGGTTGAGGAGAAAGGCGACGTGGGGGAGGCGAGAAGCTTTCTACAGAGGGGTTTAAGGTTTTGCGGAAGAGATAGGGAGTTATGGGTAGAGTATGGTAAGCTAGAGTGTATCTTCATCGCGAAGATTGTGGGGAGGAGACAGCTTTTAGGGCTCGAGGGAAAGGAAGCTGTAAGCATGAGGGAAGTTGAGAGCGACGGTCATGCCGATGTAGACGTGATTTCTTTACCTACTATTACTGCTGGTGATTACGGGGCTACGCTCGAGCCAGGGCAGACACGTCAACATGCGATGGAACGGCTGGATACCAGTGCAGCTTTATCCGGCGCTGCACCTATGGCAATCTTCGACGCCGCAGCTAAGCAGCTAGGCCAGGATGGTCGATTCGGCCTTGACTTCTTCGACATGATTGCCGAATTTGATCAGCTACCTTGCCAACAGACGATTCTCAACCATGTGCTTGATACAATGCGAGCAGTGAAGCCACAGACCGCAAATATCACAATACGTTTCGTTCGACAGTCAATCATCGGCGTCGACTCAGGCTCTCCTCAGTTCCCCGCAGCTCTGACCACATCTTTGTCTCGAATACAGCCTGCAATCACGTCCCTCCCGAACGCTGACGTGCGAGTGGATTTCCGTCGAGAGCTTATTTCATGGCTGTTGTCCTTCTTAGTCTTAGAAGACCTTGACGAAGGCCTCAAGCAAGTCGCAGAATTATCTCTGAAAAAGGCCTGGAGTCAGCAGAAGATTGATGTCGGCGATCACAACAACGTTGAGTTGACAAACATGGTAGCGCTGCTTGATACGTCGAAGGGTGAGCTTTTCAGGCAGTTAGTCGAATCGGAAAGACTTTGAACAAGCGATCTCGGCTCTTCATTCCTTCGCTCAGAAATATTTGGTGCCTCATGGCTCAGTCGTAGAGGCTTCACTGGGTTTTCGATCTTCTCCGAGATGCTTTCTTGTTTGCGTGAGTTTTCTTGCACCTTAAGCGCACTTCAGTCCCCTTCTTCTGCCTGGGTCATCCACCGTTAGATACTTGCCCACAGCTGTCTTTACTCAACTCAAGATACTTACAAAGCTCTTACTCTGCTCATCTGCGCTTTTGAAGTCTCGCCTCTGACAATTTTACGGGCGGCTTCGACCACTAGAGAGTACAACTTCTTGTAGCACTCCATAGCATTATCAGCCTGTTTTCGGCTGCCGTCAGCTTGTATAACGAGACAACTTGAATTCTCCGAATGGTATCTCGAAGCTAATATCTCCGCATGGAGCAATTTTGGCACAAGTGGAAGGAAAGCTTGAGTGCTCAAGCGCAATGTAGCTTTAGTATTCACTCTATTCTAAATGAGCTCGATACGTGAATCAATATGCTAGTGGGCGCACTTGTTCACATTCTGGCCTCCAGGACCTGATGCACGGCTGAAGGTGACTTCACAGATATTCCTTGGAATTTGCTTTTCATTGAATTGAGCAAGCCAATCCCGAGTTTCCTGATGCTCAATTTCGGATGTGACGTCAGGGATGGCATGGGAAGTCGAAATTCGGGCGATGAGACACGTTGGTCTACCTCTGATACATGTTCGACCAGGAGACAATGATGACAAAGTATTGCGTATCATGCTTCACTATTAAAATAGTTGGAGACAAGAAAAAAGCAGTAGGTGACGCCACTGATTCATTCGTACAATGTCACGTGATCCGGAAATAGAATTATACGCTAGAACAATAAGAGCTAGATCTTCCTCGTCCTCGTGCATGAGGCAGGAGCCACCACCACAATTTACTGACTGTCTCTCGTCGCCGTGCACTCGCCTCCTCATCAGCAATCATATTCTATATCAGAGCGCATGGCTTGCTCGAGGGACTCTTTGTAAGGTCTTCAAGGAAATGCTTTAGCCCAACCTCCAGGTTTTCTGTCGAGTTTGAAAATTTCAACCTTATCTAGATAGCCCTCATCTGCCTCCGTCTATCTTTGTAAACCCAAGATACCTGTCGCTCATTGGTGTCCTACGGTTTCTTCCTGACAAGATTTCTCTATCTGCATTCATGCCGTCTAGCCCGCTCGCAGAAGCGCCTCATTACAACGGCCTGACACTCTCTCCAGCCAGCCCAAAACCCATCCACGTCCCGGACTCGCAAACCGTTCCAGTATTACAGAATCAGGCGGATGGGGAATTCAATCTTGCTGCCTACATGGAGAATGCGACCAGTGGTCAAGGTGTCATTGACTCTACAGGACTAGACCACTATCAAGTTGCGCCAACTCAAGAAGCGTCAGCCACTACTATTGCAACATTGAACGGCGAAGTCGCTGGTGAGCAGCAACCTATAATGAAGGCTGAGGATGTAGTGAAAGAGAGCCAGGACCAGGTTTATTCAACAATCCATGCTTCCACGGAGCACCCAGATGTATCTACTGGTCATGCAGAGTTTGCCTCAGCCCCCGAGAACATTCACCCTTTCGCTTCAGAACCCAACCATGGCCAGAACTTGTATGCTTCTGTGCAGGATGCCTTTGAGCAGCAGCCCATCCAAGCAGACAACTCGTACCCTCAAGCAGACTCCTCCACTGCATTAGACCAAAGCCAGCCTGAAAATCCCGAAACATCCCCAAAGAAAGAATTGACCATCGAAACCGGAAATATCCAAGCTCTGCTCGATAATCTTATTGCTTCCGCTTCCACTGCCCCTGCCGCAGATAGTGTCCAAACGTCCGCACCAGCGCCTACAGCGTCGGCTGGCCCCCAAGTATCAAGTCCGAGCAGCGCCCAAACCCCTATCAGTGCTCTTCCTACTCCAGCTGGTCTCCCACCCAGACCTCCACCTCAGGATGAACCAACTATACATCCAAATTACACTGCTGGACAAAGCATCCGCTCGTATCATAATCCACCGCCGCCCAATACCACTCAAACATCGACAGGTCGCCTTCCTCCAAATCATGCTCCTGCGAGTACTGTTGGCCCCAATGGCTTGCCTCCTCCACCTGCAGCAAGTTTTCAGCAGTCTATAGCACCTAGCCAGCCATCTCCACAAGAACAAACATCATTGACTGAATCCAGTGTTAGTGCTGCACAGCCGGACGCTCCACCACTGATTGAACCACAGCAGGCTGCTGCAGCGCCCGATACAGATTCAGCATATCAAGACTTTTTGCGAGAAGAAGCTAGCTACGTGGCTGAAGGCACGTGGGATCGCTTTCCTCAAGGCTCTCGGCTTTTTCTTGGTATGCCTTGTACCTTTCTTCCTGGAATGAAAATCTGACATTAGCGTTAGGAAATCTCTTTACAGAGAAAGTTTCCAAGCGGATGATCTTTGATGTCTTCTCGAAGTATGGTCGCTTGGCCCAAATATCAATGAAGAACGCGTACGGCTTCGTCCAGTTTGTTGATCCCGGCTGCAGCAGTAGTGCACTAGTAGCGGAGGAGGGCACAGAGTTAGGAGGGAGGAAAATTCGTACGACGTATCCGTCCTTTTGATCCCAGCGCTGCTGAAACTGCCTAGATCTTGAAATATCGAAACCCCAAAAGAACACACGGAATGCAGGAAATTCTGGAAATGCGGACAGGGCTGGACGTAACCGAAGGTCACGCTCACCGGATTATGGTCGAGGAAGTAATACACGCCAAGGAATTCAACATGTAGGGCAAAATCCTTATGGCGTCTACGAACGGCGTACGAGGGATGACTATCGGCCTGTCCGGTCGCCATCCCCAAGACGTGGATACGACAATCATCTGGCTCGCAACGGCCTTGATCGATACTATGGCGGAAAGCGAAGCCGCTCGAGATCTCCACCCTATGGCAGAAACGGACGGTATCGAAGTCGTAGTCCTCAAGGCAGAGATCTTGATGACGAGCGGACTTTGCCAATTCCTAGAAGAAACCCTGTCCAGGTCCCAGATGTACAGATAATCATTGTGGATGAGTCAGATCGAACCTTTGTGGGTTATATTCAGCAGTCATTTCGTGATCGCTCTCTTCGGTGCGATGTGCTTCAACTTCCTAGGGGAGTGTCATTGCAGGCAGTCATAAAGCGGCAGATTCTGGAAGGAGTGCAGGCTGTTGTCAAGATTCATCGAAAATCACAAGTGACAGGGAAAATCCCTCTTCAGCTCTTCGATCGTAGTGGGGGACCAAGCAACATCCGGTTCGATGGTACTTATTGTCTCTACCTCGTCGTAGGAGCTTACTAATGCATTGGCAGAATATGAAGAACTCGATGCAGCTGTAGCCGCCGACGTAGTGATCAGGTCCAAGCAGCCACAGGCGCAACCCATGCCACAGTCCCAGCATTACCCACAAAACCCTGGCTATGGCCCACCGCAACATCAAGTGCATCAGATGCCCCAGCAGCATATGCCTCCACACTCTATGCCGCAGCAACAGCCACCGGTCCCAAATGTAAACACAACCCCGATGAGTCCTTTAGCAGGGTTGGACGGCCCAGCGCTGCAGAAACTTCTAGGATCTCTAAACCAAAATCCATCAAATCCGCAACAGTATCAAGGTAATCCACAGCCGGGTCAAGCCCCACAAGATTTAGCAGCTTTGTTGAGTAGTGTTGCTCGCCAGACTCCACAGCAGCAACAAAATCAACAACAAGGCTATCAGCTACCGCAAACGCCTACTCAGGGTTATCAATATCAAAATCCACCACAGCACCAGCAATTCCCACCGCAAAGCTTAACTCAGCCAGGTGCTAATTATGGCAACAACCAGGCATTGTCGCAACTGCTCGGTCGAGCACAACAACAAGGAAGCCCCCTCAGCAAGGGTATCAAGCTATTCCGCCGCCGCAACAGCCGCCACAGCAGCAGAACGTGCAGGACATCATGGCTCAGCTTGCGAAATACAGGCAGTGATCTCTGCACGAGCAAACAACGGCTTCATTTTTCGATGTAAGGATTCCTCTATCCATCCACAATTCAGTAGTCAATATAAGCTACTAGCCGTCAGAGCGCTCACTCCCAAGCTCTTCGTAGCTGGTCGATCCGTGTCGATCGGAGTGCAGGCTTTTGCATGATTGCTATGAGGTTGCTTCATGTAGATAGCTTGGCCTAGTGACACATCGAGCCGACGAGAAAATTATCAAACAAACACGTTAGCTTCCTAAGAGCATTTACCTACTCATGATAAGCTTTACTATTTACGACAAGGATCCGATACTGTAAAGACATCAGGCTGCCCCTAACTACAAGCTCATGGTAAGATAAAGCGAGAATATCATTTGATCTTGTCCACAGTCTTCTTCTTTCTGCCCAAGCATTGCCGTCTCGTTAGCAATCATACCATTTCTTTGTCCTGTTGAGGCCCGAAATGAGCTCGTGCGGCGTCAAACACAAATATGCGTGGGAATAAGGATGGTGTCTCCGAACATTCAGGTGCCAGTATTCGCCAAAGATACGACCGTGTGCGTGACTTTGACTTTCAAAGAGTATTCTGTAAGTCTCTAGTTGGCTAACAATAGTTAGCAAAATTATTAAGTAATCATCTTTCTCTCTTTTCCCGTGGCTAGGGATACCTTCGTAGAGCCAGGCGCACGAGGCGTATCTCGTACATATATCTTGTCTCCGTCCTACGCCGTAGGGCCAACCATTCTTATGGAAAATGTATTTTTTCACAACAAATTTGATGGTGTCTGAGTCTTGCTCGCCAGCAAGTCTTGAAATTGGAAGAGACTCTGCTGTAGTTTTTTGACTCTATCAAAACCAATCTTTACCCATTCAATGAAAAAACGTCCCCAACAGAAGGTAAGAAATCTTGAAAATGCGTCCTCACTAAGACAGTGTGAGACATGTAGGCACGCAACTCCTCTTTGCATTGTTGTTATGATCTGTTGGTTGGCGGTTATGAATGTCAAATTGACAGTGCAAACTCTCAACGTTCGACGCATCATATCCCACTGATCTAAATCAGAATTTCCCAATCCTGTCTTATGATCCTATTTGAACTCAAGCTCTTTCACATTCCCGGAATGGTTTGCTACTAAGATCAACGAGGCCATTCCCTCTTGGAAATCACGCTTGAATGAAACCTAAACCTGAGACTAGGGAAGACCAGGTGAGAGCTCCCATAAAAGCTTTCCCAATGCTCCACTAGTCATGGAGTTGTAAGTCTGTTGATTCCTTCGTCCCTGATGCATTGGAATCTGTTTGAAATCTACGAAAACATGAGATTGTTTTGAACAGTCTTCTATAGCCATGATAATAAGCGTCTATGAAGGCACGCCAGGGAGGAGAGGGGGGCACACAAAGCTGAAGAAACCATGATATAGCTGAGATGGTGTGTTTTGAATCATATTAAATGCTTAAATAGACGCCTGCGCTTTTGGGGTAGCTCAGGAGTGGCTTTTCACTATGCTTATAGGTTTCAATCGCAGTGTTTGTGGCAGGAAGTGCGAAAGCAGCAGACCCATATAAATGTTTGCCATGTGACATATAACCTCCCTGTCCGACACCGGACCGTTTCTCGCTCCTCCTGCATGTATTGTAATATCTAGAGAGAGCGCAAACGAGACCGAGGAACATGCAACGAAGGTGGATGAGAAGTGAGAAGCATTTCAAGCGGGATATTCAAAAATATTTTCTTGAGCAAGCAACTATAGATCAAAGGAACAAGGGAAAACTCACGCCCTTAGACGAGATTCCATTGGATTGGAGCCGTCAAAGCATGCCGATTCACTTCCAGTACCCTCACGACACTGACCCACATTCATGATTTCAGATTTTCAAGAAGTCCAGGTTATCTCGTGGCGCTTCATGCTTTACCTTCTCCCAAATGTCACTGGCTCGCTTCGCAGTCAACACGTCCAAGGGTCCTGCCTCAACTGCTGTCAAGGTCTCCTCAAGCTGCAAAACCTTGCTCGCCCCAATGATAAGCCCATCTCCAACCTCCTTCTTCAATGCGCTATGGTATGCAATCCATCTATAGCTTAGCGCCGCTTTGCTAATGCTGGCGTCGTCTGCGATGACTCCCCACTCATCTAGCGCCTGATACAGAGATTCCTTGCCGTAGAGGGTGTTATACATATCGCCGAGGCTAGTCCTGCCGCTAAAGCGACCTTCGACGTTCTTTGACTTTAATGACTCTGTGTCCTTGACTAAGAAGCCTCCAGCGATCGGAGAGTACGCATAGAAGCTGATGTTGAGCTTGCGGAGCAACGGGAAGAGATCAACCTCAATATGGCGGGATACGGCATTGTAATTTCCCTGAAAGACTGTTGGTACGACAGACCCAGCCGCTGACTGAATGTCATACACCTGCTGGACTTGCTCGGGCGGGAAATTTGAGAGACCGAACTGGGCTCGTTAGTTGTATATTATTTGTAAGTATTAGGCACCTTCGCTTAGATCCTTTGGCAATGAAGACGCGGACCATACCCGTTTGAACTTTCCAGCGGCATATATATCCTGAATTGCAGACAAAGTTTCTTCAATCGGAACTTGTGCATCTGGATGATGCAGGTAATAAAGATCGACCTGACAGTGCGTTGATCAGCAAGGAAAGGGTGATGAAGACCAAGATCTCGTCTCGTACACTATCCACGCCAAGGTCCTTCAGACTTTTTTGCATCCCATCCAAAACACGCTGCCTCGTCAGACAACGAGGGTAAAGTGCAGGCGCCTTGGTATGGATCACAAACTCCTTTGGGGCATGCCTTTCGCCAAGGACGGTCTCACTGTCCCCCTTAGACAGTCATTAGTAGCATTGTAGGAGACATGAGACCCGTACGTATGCTGCGCCGGTGTCAAGGCTAGTCACGTTGTGTTGATGCAAGACATTGAATCTGTTCCTCATCTCGTCCGGACTCCATGAAGGAGCCGCTGCGACGCCATAGATGATTTCAACAGGGGCATGTGCCATTTTCAAGTCTCTCTGAGCAGACATTGGCTCTTTAGCAGTAATCTTGAACTCTTGAATTACAATCGAGACTTTTTTTCGTTTTTGGCTGGACGTCCTTGACAAGAAACAAGATATATACATATACGACAAGCATGATATCACAGCTGAAAGACGATCTTTCAATAGCTTACCAAGCTGCCCAGCCGGGACAGTGCAAGACAGCTCGTGGAACCTACCCGTCTTACACGCGCAAGTTGTATGAGAAGGCAAGGGATAGTACAACATGCACTCCTGAGCCAGATCAGAGCTATTAGAAATCCAAGGTCGTAGATCATTTCCCCCAGAAGAGACGCTAGTGACAGCTGAAGGAGCCAAGCATGAAAGACGAGTGACGCATTGTGAAGTTGAGGGAAGGATCCTCGACCGGGCTAAGCATCATTTACATCACTGCTCGCGGTTTGTGACAAATTCCTAATCGTCGGACAGCAAATGTCCAATGTAAGTGTGCCACAGATCTCCCGGCAGATGCTGACCACTGGAAGCCAACAGCGTGAGCGGCCACCTGCCACGGAACATTAGGGTAGACTTGAAGCCTCAGCGTGCCGTCTGTTTCGCTTGCCTCAATGGTGCTTGCCTCGAGCGATGACGGGCATATACGTTTCAACCGCCTTTGGCAGATCGCGTGCATGATGCACCACCTTATGAGTGCCAATGATGGTCTGCACTACATTGGACTGGGCGTCTAGTCTCATCCACTCCTCAACACCATCCAGTGCAATTGGACAAGGTTGGGTTCTCGGATGCTTCTTATAAAATGATGTACTTCCTGTTGAAGTTCCTGACGGACAAACAACGGACAAAGGGCCACGAATCTCCGGGCCGCGCTAAAGCCGCATCTGAACTCTTTCCTGGGCAAAACGATGACCGAGATCATGAGATGACCGCAACACTAGACTTGAGCTGACGGAGTAAGAACTACCCTCCTAGGGTGCATTATTGTGCATTATTAGCCGTTCATGGCCTTGCCTTCCTTTCACACATGCTGAAGTCTAGACGCAGCACCCTTCCTTTCTCCTACTTAGTACCGTACAATTCTCGACCTTCCCTACCACGCGCTGTCTCTACGCCATTGTTTCGTACTTTCAGACCACCACACACTGACCGATCCCGGCCCTTCACCACTACCGCGTATTCAAGTACTGGGCATTGGTCGACTGCTGCATTTGCGGCCATCTTCTCCAGCGGCGCATTCGTCTTCTACAAGAATCATAAAGCCGCTGAAGGACCGGCTGTACCTTCAAAGCACATTGGATCGGATCTACAGGAGGAAGAGATCGCCTTGATGTCAGGCACACCTTTACCCGGACGACCCGGCAATCTGACTCCAGACCAGGAGGCAAAGCTTCAAGACTTCTGGGTAGCTCTCCTCCATACCTTCGGCGTACCAGACCTTGCAGATGGAGATCATACAGCTGTAACGAACAGCAGCACGGACCACGTCAAAGAAAGTACAGACACCATTGCCTCGGATAAGCAGAATAAAAAGAAAAGTGGAGGTCTTTTTGGAAGCAAGAAGGGCAAAGACGCGAAGCATGGAGGCTTGAATGGCGCATCTGTCGTGGAGGGTGAAGACAAGTTCGGTCAGGGCAAGGATTTTCAAGAAACAATCCAGAATTACCCCCGGAACAGCTTCGCCAGGCATTTTGGAGCATGGTCAAGCATGACAACCCCGACGCCTTGCTCCTGCGTTTTCTCCGAGCACGCAAGTGGAATATACAGAATGCGCTGGTTATGCTGATCGCAACGATGAAATGGCGAATGGCTGAGGTCAAAGTGGACAGCGACATCATCAGGCGGGGCGAAGCCGGCGCTTTAGAAGATAGCCAGAGCGCGGATGCTAAGACAAAGAGGGACGGTCACGACTTTCTCGAACAGATGAGGATAGGCAAGAGTTTCTTGCACGGCATGGATAAAGAGGGGCGGCCCATATGCTTTGTGCGCGTAAAATTGCATAGAGCGGGCGAACAGACGGAAAGTAGTCTTGAACGGTATACTGTGTACACAATTGAGAGTGCGCGATTACTATTGCACGATAATGTTGATACGGCCGTACGTGTCACCAGTTTCCCTTTTACTATCCCTCCCGCCTCATTCCAATTTGGTCATCACTCACACTTCATCGCTAGGCAATCGTCTTCGACATGACTGACTTCTCACTTGCAAATATGGATTACGCCCCTGTCAAGTTCATGATCAAATGCTTCGAAGCCAATTACCCGGAATCCCTCGGCGTGGTTCTCGTCCACAAGTCTCCTTGGATTTTCCAGTCCATTTGGAAAATTATAAAGGGTTGGCTCGACCCAGTCGTTGCCGCCAAGGTCCACTTCACAAAAAATATCGAGGAATTGAGCCAATTTGTGGCCCTAGAGCACTTATTGAAGGAGATGGGCGGAAAGGAGGATTGGGACTACAAGTATGTACCACCACGGGAAGGGGAAAACGAGAAGATGAAGGATGAGGGGACGAGGGAGAGATTATTGGAGGAAAGGCGAGGTGTGGTGATAGAATATGAGACGACCACGCAGCAATGGCTGTCGGGGCATAAGAAGGTGGAGGGGAGGAGGCGGGACTTGACCGAGAAGCTTGGAGCAGGTTATTGGGATCTAGACCCGTTCCTGAGAGCCAGAACGTTTTATGACCGCACAGGGATCATTAGCCCTGGGGGCGGAATAGACTTCTATCCATCGCGTAAGAAGGCGGAGCCGGTCGCGAACGGGGGACCGATACCGGCTGGGCATGTTGATGAGGGAGTCGACTGACGGATCCGAATGGCGTCGATGATTGTATATGTAATGGGCAGGCTTGGGTATGGGTTAGATGGGTTGCACGACCAAAGCAGCGTCGTCAACTCGCATGAAAGAATATTCTTCATTTTCTCATCTTTCTTCTTCATGTAAGACTTCCTATTCCAGCTCGAGGCATGATCATCCCACATCAACTCGTCAATTCGTTTTTTTGTTTTACTTTCCTTCGAAGGCCGTGATCACCTGACCATTCACCTCGGCATCACAGTACCAACTTACATCTTCGCCTTCACTTCCTTGAAATATTCTTTCAATTTCTCCATATCAGTCTCTTGTGCCGGCCATCCAATCCCTAGTCCATCCTTCTCGTTTGGCTTCGGGATTACATGGAAATGGACCTGCGAACTCGTTCAGCTCTTTCCGCACCTGCCGTCCTGCTTCCTGCTTTTTTGACGCCTGGCCCTTTCGCCATTGCTCCTCACAGAAGGGAGAACATACATGATCAACGATTTGGTGTGCCAATCGTCCATTGTTCTGCAGAATATTGTAATTTTCCGCCCCAACGGCTTTGGCGATACGCTTTGCGACAGGCTTTGTTTCTCGTCAGCCAATGCTTGTCCATTTTCACATCTCTACAGTTCTGTCTCTCTCCATTTCGCCAAGGGAGAACGACGTACCATCACCTCCGCCAATTGCTCATCCGGAATATCGAGGAGCTTGGCGCCATGGTACTTCGGTATCACGAGCTGATCATGAAGAAGTCAACGACATATGGGTGGGGTTTTTGGGTAAAATGGGGAGATATACAGCGTGTCCCTGGGCTAGAGGCTGGATATCCAGAAAAGCAAATACGCGCTCGGACTCAAAGAGCTTGAAGGAGGGGATATCGCCTAGGTTTCGGAGTCAACGTTGCCGACGCATGCGGTATGATCTTAGTGAAGCGCAGATGAGTGGAATGGGGCGACCGAGAGGGAAAGCACCTTTGATGATCTTACAGAAGATACAGGCCGCCATTTTGAGCTTGCGTGTGCAATCTTTTTGGCAGTGCAGCAAGAGATCGGTTTGCCCTGCTGTCCCCCTCGTCCGCTATACCGGGGGTGGACATATACGTCATGGTGCATCAGAGTACGGGTGCTCCCGCTGTCAGATCACGCTAGAGACGCGTCGTCGCGTCGCGCAAAAAGTCAAGCCATTCACTGCATGCGGCATGTACCGGGACTTTGATCACAGTATCAAGCCGCATGAAATATGCTCACGTTCAATTGGTAGACAGCGCAAAGTGCTAGCAGTATCATGTTGCCTAATCGTTTGTTGTTCTTTAATTCATTCGCTCCGAATGCGTGGAGACACTCTCGTGCGCTAGCTGGAAAAGGCCACAATGCATGAGATCAGGACACTAGTTCCTCTCCAAGATCCATCCCAAGGCCCGTCTTGATGCTACCCCGTCCAACGTTGCTGAGTGGCGGGCTACCATTGGGAGGTACCAAACTATCAAAGTTAAGTTTTCTTCGAGCGTCCTTCGCAGCTAATGGTGTCCTGCTAATACCCGGTGTGCGGTCGCCAAAGGCACCTTGTGCGGGGCTTGGTGTAATGTTAATGAATTCCGCGAAATTGAAATTCTGACCGGGGGTATTTCGTCCGATCAGAGCAGGAGTACGCAAGAGTTCTTTGGAGGGGGGTGTGGAGGGCGGAAGCAAGCGGGTGTGTCTAGTACCCAGATCCCCTGCTGAGGGTGATGTAGCCAGGAACAGCAGCAGATCAGCCCCTTCTTCACCAGGGGCGGTATATTTGCTCCGGCGGTGGGTTGTAGGTGGAGGAGTTTGAGGTGGTGAAGCCTTCTGATTCGGTTGACTCCCATGATATGACAGTCTAGTCAATCGCTCTTCGTCGGCGTATGTTGGAGAGTCAGGTATTGTCGAAATCTCGGAAGCAAATGAAATATCAGGGCCGTGAATGGTAGAAAATTGTGAGGCATGGCGAGAATGCACTGGGGAAGATTGTGGAAGGTTATGGCTGGTTTTCCACGAAGCCCGTGTATTCTCGATGAGCGGCGGTGCCATTGAGTGTGATCTTGGTCGCTTGGTTTTTGTCATGTCCAAAAAATTGTATGTAGAGCCTTGATGGGCACTTCTTTTCCGAGGGTTGGTCGCTCTTCCAGAACCTTCAACGGCGTCCGAGAACAAAGGAGCAGTCAATGGCGATGATGCAACACCGTTGGGGACGTATGTGTTCTCTGATGACGAGGACGAACATGTTGAAGATGTTTCAATGGCCGACATAAGTCTTTTGCGCTTGACGGAGCTTTCGAAGAGAGCCTCGACGTCTCTGAAGCTTAAATTCTCCTGGCCGTGCTGAATCTTGTGGCTGGCCAGGGCTAGCCTGTCCTTCAGCTTCCTTGCCATCTGCACGATCGGTGATTAGCAACGGTAGCGATAGGGCCTAAGCACAGCCTTACATTGGCAAGTTCTGCCCGGCGAAGAACTTTTTCTACGACGTCTTCAGGGCTGGACTGACGCAGGTACAACGCCATGACAAGTATTCAGCTCCACTCGAAATGTGCGGGTCAGTCAAGACACCGGCCGCAGTACCTTGGGTTGGGGTGGAAACGGACGGTTGTGGGGGGCAAGAGCGGCGATTTACAGGTGTGGCAATGGTCCAGATGCGAATTGAAGATTTCTCCAAGATAATGGCTCTCTACATTTGACATGTGTAAAAGACCTGGGAGGATACTGGAAAAGGAGGCTTGGAGGAGATGTTGGAGCGGAATGGTCCTTACGGAGGAAATGGCTAGTGGAGTAGCGGGGAGAGGAGAGGCCGGTTTTCCAGCCATATCTAAATTATTAAAAGGATCCAACGGCGGCTACGCGTTTGACTTCAAATGTCCAAATGAGTGGCTGACAGATAAGCACACCAGGCAGTCCAGGCACCCTTCTGACCAAGCATAGCGTATTCTATAGAACAATCAGGATGCATTGTACGGAATGCAATAATTGCTTCAACAAATGCCAGATCTGGATCTACCCACTCTGTATACGAGCCCCGCGAGCTGCAGTTGCAGATCTCATGTGCGTAATGACCGTAAATAGATCCTGCGGTTAGGCCATTTCCATTTCCCACCAGAGTTCGATAGCCTCCTGCCTTGCTGCAACGCTCGGAAGATCGTTGGCCTTTTTGAGAATCTTTCATTTGCCATGTCCTCGTAGAGACCCTTGTGAAACGCACGGAACTTAGGTTCTCGTCGTCAACTACGCTCGTTTCCTTGCTTCCGCTTTATTCGCGAGCATTAAAACCACCTGTTCTCGTCGAAACCCACTCGTTTACATATCATCAAACCCGCTGACGCAACCAATCCTTTTCCCCCGTGCAGAGGGTCGTTCCTTCCGCAACTGGCTGTTGAATGACATCAATGCCCGCATCAAAGACAGACGTATTGATTCGCGCAGTACTCTCGTCCACTCCTAGGCCTGTTGGCCTCCTGCCTCCATGATGCCGTTCTTCAAAGACCTTCGCCGCAAAAGAGCATCCAAGGTTGGAAAGCCCAGCGAAAGCTCGCATGCTAACTCGAACAATGTCAATGTGCCGCCCCTGAACAAATCGACATCTACATTGAATTCAACACAGAATGGCAACTCTACTCCTGCTTCATCCATCAAGCCTAGCACGTCGCAGCCGAATCTCACCAATGTGACGTCCAGTAAATCAAACTCGACAATTACATCTCAACAGCAGAGACCAATGCCACTTAGCTCTGTCAGCAACAGAAGCAGTTTCATGGGCTTGAACACACCTTCAATCAATGGCACGACAAACCCGAAAGCGTCCCTGTCGCCCTGCGCTCCGCGAATCATCTCTGTTTCCGATAATTCTTGGGTGCATCAGAAGATTTTGCTTGTATATGGTCACATTGGCGAGTCGAATGACAAGGCGCTTGATGGGACTGTGACGGTCTGTCACCACCAAGACAATTTCCCTGCAACCGCTTGGCCTGTGAGCGCATCCCACTTCAAAGTCCTCGTACATCTCACACCAGGTCCCAATCGCCTCCGCTTCGATTTCACGTCGCCGAAAGTGACCGCTGCTCATCCTTCCCTACCGTCCCATTGCGCTTGGGTCACCATCAACTTTCTCCCCCTTGTCAATGCACCTCCACTCCAGCTTGCCATCATTCTTGGAAAAGATTCGCCTGGCACATTCGATGCTGTACCAGAAAGGAAGCAGAGGGAAGGAAACAACCTGGAGCTTGCGATCAGGAAATTCCGCATGTCTGTATATTTATGGCAAGCTTTCACAGGGGAACAAATGTATCGACAGGGTCTCGGAAGGCGGTGCTTTAGATTCGATGAAGAGTGGCAAACGGGCTCATTGACGTACAGGGATAAGGAGATGGGGATTATGAGAAACGAGGCCAAGATTCATATCATCAGATCAGATAAAACCGTCAGAGAGATACGAAACTTGGATGTTGCCCAACAATACAGCGAAGCCACTGGGAAAGGCGAGCTCTTCACAATTGCAATGAACGACGTGACAAATTACTTCAAGCCTGCGAAAGGGCAAAGGATCTACGTATCCGCTCTTCTCTTAGATTCTCACTGGGACACGCGTTCTAAGACCATCACAGGTCATGCTGCATTGGGTGGAGCTTCTGGCGAGGTGCAATTAGCCATCTTTGGCTCGCATGCCCTGCAAAGTTACCCGTCTAGCGTTGAAGAGATTGTGCCAGCCTTTTCTGACTGCACCAGAACTGACACTACTTTCGTTGCCAACGATTGTGACGAATCTGGTAGCAATTGGGAGGCAGCAAATGTGGGTATCGGTGCGCATTTACATGAGACAGGCCATCTATTTGGCTGCCCGCACCAAGAATATGGCATCATGCGACGAGATTTCGTTCGCTTTGGCCGGACGTTCTTGTGCCGCGAGCCGTACTCAACAAGGACAAAGTTACCTGGGGAGCCTCTAATAAAGCCAAAAGATGAATGCATGTGGCATAGGCTTGATACTTTACGGTTTAAGCACCATCCGTGCTTCAGATTACCCACAGATGCCCCACTTAATCCTGATGATAGCATTCAAGTATGGCCCGTTGAAAGCGGGAAAATCATCTTGACGGCCCCAACGGGAGTATCATTCGTCGAAATATTCGCTGATTCGGAAGCTGAATGTCGTGCATGGATTGAATATGGGAGTGGAGATGTCCAAGCCGGAGGGCCTCCGCGACAGGTCATGCTCAGCGAGGATGTTCTCCGAGAACGTTTAGCGCACAATAAAAAGGCCAAGGATATCAAGATTAAAGTATTTTCTGCTGGATTAGGAGAATCTAGCGTAGATAATGTCGCGCAGATGTTCAAGTCGAAAGAGCACATTCACAAACTTCCTAACGGATCGTACGGCTTCCAGGCATGCAAATTAGGGTTTTCCCAGCAAGAAGGGACACGACCTCAGCACATCATACTGGAGTCAGCATTGGAGCAAAACAAGATTCTGACATCTATTCGTGTATACCATGGCTTTGCCTTAGACGGCATGGAGTTCGTGTATGAAGATAAGACAAGCCAGATGTTCGGTAATCGAGGGGGAAGAGCCGATGTTTTTACGTTCGGTAAGCATTATGTCCTTGGTGCGGCGACTTACCTTTAATCGTTCGTGGTAGATAAGTGGAAAGGTGAAATATTATTAGGTTTCTATCTCAGGGCAGGCGTTTGGATAGATGGTCTTGAGATTCTCACAAGTACAGGAAGGCGATCGGGAGTCTATGGCAACGCTATTGGTGGCTCAGGGTTTGTTTCCTTCCACTCACAGACATCTTGCACTGGTGCTGATCTCTCCATTCCGAAGGCACACCTTAATTCCACCTCGTGGTTACAGCATCGCAGGCATCTCGGGCTCATGCGGCAAGTGGGTCGACGGCTTCTCGCTCGTCATAACGCGATGATGCATACTGCGAGCATAGTAGAGTTTCAAAGATCTTCTTCAGCATATGCATGGGTTGAGCGGTTCTTTTTGAGCCTACGCGAAGCGCTCTCGTACCACTGTAATTGGCGATTGGAGAAGTGAGTGATCCCAATAAGAGGGTAGCTACTCACGCATTAGATGTGCTTCATGGTTGAACGGATGAAGATACACAAAACACACATGTACATATGTAAGAATTATTCAACTAGCCAAAGGACATAAGCCTGTCATTAAAACTGGCATAAACGAAGTATGACTTCACGTACATCTTCCCCGAGAGTATCTTGCAGTCATTATATGGGAGTGGCATTTGAATAGAGGATTATTGTACCTTTAGTACTGGAGATGTCAAAGGATGTTCCATGTGCCGCATACACTCCTGTCCTGCCAAAGCGGCAGTGGCGGGACTGTCCGACGCGTCCCGCGTTTGACGTGAAAGAGATACAAGTTCAGACTGTGAATACTCCACCAGATTCGTGAATCACAGGTCATCGGATCTTCAGCAGCCACGCTTATCGCTTCAGGCGCCTCTCGCAAGGTTGCAGCCTGAGCAAACAACCATGACGGACTCCTACCACGCGCGTTCAACTTCTCTATCCCGCTCCAAACCCCCGTCGCGCCCTTCAACCCCTCTTCGCCCCTCCTCTCGCACCTCTCTCCGCGACAGCCAAACATTCACACCCCGCACTCTAAACAACAGCACCTCTGCCTTCCCACTCGAGGCTTTCGAGCTCGCCTTCGCGGAATTAAGCGACTCGATGGCGGACCTGGAGGCCAATTTCATGCATATTCAATTGATGCATGAGAGCTTGTCGAGGTTCAATGAGAGTTTTGCGGGGTTTCTCTATGGGCTGAATATGAATGCTTTCTGTGTGGACTTTCCTGAGGTGGGTTACAGCCGCGTGCACGTGCTTACCACACCCTTGGCCCCTGCCCTATCTAGCGGGAGGAATTGAAGTGAGTGGATGCGATCAGAGGGGCTGACACATTTACGAAGGCACCGATACCGGAGTCTTTTGCTCGTGCTCCCAATTCGAGCTCCAATACCGACCATCCCACCGTTAATGCAGCCAAGACACCTTCAAAGCTCGATCTGGGAGATGAGACGTTCTTGACAACAGACACCAGCTTCGTTGATAATCCACCGAGTACAAAGACAGCTTCGAAGTTTGCGACGCCAGCGCCAGCGCAACGGCCTGCCAGTGGTTTGAATAAGACAGGAGGAATGGGGGCGAATAGAGCGGGGAGAGGTGATACCGCAGGTCCTGGAAGGGGGATAGCGAGAGGAACGGCAGGAAGGGGAAGTGGAATAGCGAGGGGGAAGCCGAGGGGTGCAAGGTAGCGAAGCAATAGGACATTACGGGATATTTGATGAGGTTATGTAGTCTAATGGGATATGCTCACGCTACATACATACGTGCAACTCATACTAAGGATCACTCCAACGCCCTTTAGCAAATTAGCCAGCAATCTTCTGGGCCACCATTCAATCATGCTTGCCGCTTCATTCTCTCACACACCATCACACACTCTACGCATACTGCTCGCCGCTCTCTACATGGGCATCCGCGTGCTTGGCCATTGCATTCAGCGCGCTGCCGTTCTTGAACCACTCGATCTGGCTTCCATTGAACGTATGGCTGAGCTGAGCTTCCCAGGCCTTGCCGTCCTTCGGGTGAACTTTCAATGTCAAAGGCTGGCCTTCTGCGAGCTCCGTGCACATCACGTCGACTCTGTCGTCAGGATTGATTTTGTCATAGTCGGCCGGGTCAGCGAAGGTCAGGGGCAGCATTCCTTGTTTCTTAAGGTTGGTTTCGTGCTAGCAGAGTTAGCCAATACGCAAGAGGACACAGATCTTTGAGACTTACGATACGTGCAAAACTCCTCGTAATGATGGCAAGTCCACCAAGATGTCTTGGCTCCAGGGCAGCATGTTCGCGCGAAGAACCCTCGCCATAATTCCAATCACCAATCACGACCCAATGAAGGCCTCGTTTCTTGTAATCTCGTGCAGTCGCTGGGACCGCACCCACTTCTCCAGTCGCTTGATTCTTGACTTTGTTTGCTTCCCCGTTCGCGGCATTTATTGCACCAATAAGCATGTTGTTCGAGATATTGTCAAGATGACCACGGTACTTCAGCCAAGGACCGGCCATTGAAATGTGGTCCGTTGTCGTCTTGCCTTTGGTCTTGATGAGAATAGGGAGATCCGTGGCGTCCTTACCGTCCCAGGGCTGGAAGCTTGCAAGAACTTGGAGTCTATCACTAGCTGGAGCAACCGCAACATTGACGTTATTGCGGTCTTCTGGCGGTGCTTGATATGTATCCCTACCTGGATCGTATCCGTTTGAGGGAAGTCCATCTCCAGTGGGGGCAGAAAGTTTAAAGTCATTGCCATCCTTGTCTTTCAATGTATCTGTAAGAGGATTAAAGTTGAGAGTTCCGGCCATGATCATAGCGAGGACTAGATCTGGTGAGGTTACGAAGGAGTGAGTGGCAGGGTTTGCATCATTCCGTCCAGTGAAATTCCGGTTATATGAGGAAAGGATGGAATTGGGCTCGCCCTTCTTTACATCTCGTCGATCCCATTGACCAATACATGGACCACAAGCATTAGCGAGGACTAGACCACCAACCTCTTCGAGGGTCTTAAGCTGGCCGTCTCGTTCTATGGTAGCACGGATTTGCTCGGATCCAGGAGTGACAGTAAACATTGATTTGGCCTTTACCCCGTGGTTCAAAGCATCTCGTGCAATCGAGGCGGCACGAGACATGTCTTCATACGAGGAGTTAGTGCAAGATCCAATCAAGCCTACTTTCAATTCTTCCGGCCAGTTGTTCTCTTTCACTGCCTCCTTGAATTTGGAAATCGGAGTAGCAAGATCTGGGGTAAATGGCCCGTTAATGTGCGGCTCTAGTTCGGACAAATTTATTTCAACCAGTTCGTCATACTCTGCACCCTTATCCTCTCTGAGCTCGGAAGCGTAGGCTCGCGAAAAGTCTCCGATTGCTTTTCGCTTAGTCGCAGCCAAATAATCGTACATGCGGTCGTTGAAGGGGAAGAGAGACGTCGTGGCGCCAATTTCAGCTCTGTAAATGGTACTGAGTTAGCAATGCTCTTCAAGGTAGGGTTTTTTTAACGCCAAGAATTTGAAGAGGGAAAAGGGTGGGCAAAACCAGAAGAAAGAAATCCGGCTCGGGAATCTGGCAGACGTATCCATATCTCGGGACCTAGAAGGTATATGGACAAAGAGACAAAAATCCCGAGTTTGCGTATCCTTCATCGGCGTTCTCTTAAAGTGCGATATTGTAGGTGATGCAATGACCTGAAGAGCTTTAAGTGACCAGTAGCTCAGATAAAGGAGACAGCAGATGGGGATTTTTTGACGATCCATGAGTTTTGAAGATCTGAAAGGTAAGTAGTGCTTGACATCTTAGTGCTACGCCTCGAACAGCCTAGACCATGGACTACGTTGGTGGAAGAGGGCCGGTTGCTGAGAAAGGCGACATATATGATGTCGATTGGGGATATCTTGAAAGCCGAAAGAGACCCAGGAGTCTGAAAGAATGATCGTTGTTACCCGTGTAATTGAAAGGCAATTTGTTGCTACGTCTCCAGAGAGCTCTCGCAATCGTTTCAGGTCGGATCAAGATGTGATGGTGAGGAGCTTTCGGGCAGAGTGAGACTCGTTTCCATAGGAAAGGCTCAGGGCCGCTCTGGAATTGATTTGACGACCGGGCTGACAATCTTTCAAGGAAGAAGTGACAATTCCGGGCTCGAGGCCGGTTCGGTATGGACTCGGAGACCAGGCTAAGAAGTGCTTTTGGGGAGAGGGTGATGCTTCCCATGAAAGGATTTGAGGACCGTATGGGTTGAAATAGGTCGAGGCTATGGCCCATAGTCTGTCGTGGTGTCTATTTTCCTGGGCCCTAAACACCTCACCTGGGAGCTCCCCTAAACTGCCAAGGTAGGCAACCCAGAAGTAAAACCTAGCCTGGAAGAGCCCTTCCAGTTCCCTGCCAGAAGCTGGACATCGCCTCTGGCAGACCTTGGGCCAAGGGACCTTCTAAAAGTCGGCCACGACGACATTTCGTAAGCCGGGCTCAAGACTGGTTGTGCGAGGAAAGAGCGACTCTAAAGGTGTTTCGGGGCGATTTCAGAATAGTGTCGCCCGCTATGTTTGAAACAGCGATGCCATTCTGTGCAGGAGGATTGAAATTTGAATACGAATGGATATATGAGCATTTGTATGACGTGTAGCATCTACATACCGCGTGTGCCAAAAGTGCTTTGCCGCTCCTAGATTAGTGAAACGTATCTATGGCCCGAGACCTGAGAATGTGTAGTTGTGTATGAACCTGAAAGACGTAACGCGTAGACTCATACTGAACTCCAAAAGTACTTTTCGCCGGGATGTGTGATAGTAGTCATTTACTCTGCTAGAACAGACTGTTCTAGCAGCGCAGCCTTTGCAACATGTGTTTTTGTCACGAGATGTTCCGTTAATTTGGCCCTTTCTGTAAAAGCATGCTTGCAGATAGCACAGTAGTGCTTCTTCTCTTTTATGGCTTTATCTATGCAACGTTTGTCGGCCTTCTTTTGCGCACCAGGGTTTTCAGCGAGATACTTCTGTCTTTGCTTGACTGCTTTAGCTTTATACTGCGCGGGATCCTTTGCTTTGGCCTTTTCACGGCATCTTTTGACATTGACTTTTCGTTGTTCTTGGCCTTGAGTGCTTGTGCCTCCAATTCTTCCGCAGAATGTGTATGATCGCCCGCGGGTAGTTCAGTCAAAGCACTATGAGAGCAAAGGCCATCGTATTCAAGGCTGCCTCGGTTCCATAAGCAGCAGTTAGACATTCCGTATCCGTAAACCGTTTTGCTATACAATGTCCAAAGCGCAAAGGCGAATGTTGCTTCTATTGCCACAAACATGACCCGGTACACTGGTACTGTGGCGGCAGAGGTAGGTGCATAGAGCAAACAAGCCCCTTGTGTGTAATGGTGTAGCCCTCGGAAAGACTCCTTTGGACATATCTGGGTAACGTAACGCTGGTGCTCGAAAAGTACTTTTCGTACTGATCTAGGCGAACGGAGATACCAGTACGAGTGTCGGTCCCTGAAACAATGTAGACCCGCGATCGACAGCCTTGTCTCTCAAGAACCAGTAGGTATACAGCCCAAAATCTGAATCCCTATCATTCTTTGGCAGACTCTTAAAGAAGGCGATAGTAGGTGGCATTGTGGATTGCAGAGCCTCAGGTAGTCCGGGCGCGAGACTCAATGAGACAGAATTGAGGAGCTCATCCACGGTTTCATAACTATCCAGGACCTTGGAGAATATGTATTGGACTTGATTCTTAGGCGCCGTGCTTAACCAAGTCCAAAGTAGTAACGAGACGAATGATATTACGTCAGTTGTAGAGCTAGCCATCGCTGGAAGAGGCTTCTTATGCTAGCTGGACCGTTCGTTGTAACGTAAGTAGTTTAAAAGTACTTTGCTGTAGACTGGGCGAGGCCCCTTCTCCAGCAGAGGGAAGGTGAGGATACTGGATGAGCTGGTTGTTGTAGACGTAGATCGCCAAAAGTACATTTAACGCAGGCTTTATGACTCCCTTTGCAGTATTGCGACAGGCTGCTTCTGCTGCAGGTACGGTTCGTTGTAGACGTAGATAGAAGGGCGGCGCCTTGTTCGAGGCTCTCATAGCTGTCCATAATTGCAGGGAAGGGGCGAATCTGTTCCATGGGGAAGGAACATATCCAGTCCTGAACGGAGAAGAATAGAGGGAAGGGGCGATGTCCCAGGACCGATCACAGCTGATGGTTTTTTAAAGAAAAAAGCAAAAGAAAAGGGGCAATAGAGATAGAAGAAAAAGAAATACCAACCCCATGTTGCACACGGTCCTAGCACAGGGCAATATGTCAGCTTCGCTCGTCAAGGTGAGTCTTAGTGAACGAAGCGAGATTAAATTCAAGCCGGGGAGAGAAGAAGAGGACATACCCCATCCCAGTGGCAGACAGTGTATCAACACCAGGCCCATGATACTCGATGATCGCGCCAGTGCCTCCCTTCACAGTTAGTATACCTGCTACCTTCAGAATGATATCCTTCGGTGAGGTCCAGCCAGACATCTCTCCTGTCAACTTGATACCAAGCACACGAGGAGCCTTTACCTCCCAAGGCAGGTTAGCCATAACATCAACGGCATCGGCACCGCCAACTCCGATGGCCGCCATTCCAAGACCTCCGGCATTCGGGGTATGGGAATCAGTGCCAATCATCAGGCCACCAGGAAATGCGTAATTCTCCAGCACAATCTGATGGATAATTCCTGATCCGGGCCTCCAGAAACCGATGTTGTATTTTGCACACGCTGTGGAAAGAAAATCGTAGACCTCCTTGTTGATATCCTGAGCTCTCGCCAAGTCTTTGTCACCGCCTATCTGCGCCTCTATAAGATGGTCACAATGTACCGTAGTAGGCGTGGCGACGGAGGGCATGTTTGCCGACATAAATTGGAGTATGGCCATTTGTGCGGTGGCATCCTGGCAAGCAACTCTGTCGGGTCGAAGCTTTAGATACGACTTCCCACGCTCAATTTCTGATCCGTGGGGATCATCGAGATGAGAGTACAGAATTTTCTCTGCATATGTCAAGGGGCGGTTGAGTCTAGAGCGGACGACTTGAAGGTTCTCAGACATCTTCCTGCGGACAGTGAGTAGCGCTACTTGATTGGTGCATCAGTATTTCAATCATACTTGTAATTGATAAAGTGCCCCTAGCTAAAGATAAGTCTCTATCTTGCGGCAATTGTGCTTAGAGGAACCCTCACCTTCTCCCAATTGGTCATCTCGACCTTCTTATCTAACGGGTCGTCTGTGACAGTCGCGAATGCCCGCACCCTTGGTAACTGATGGTTCAACGTGTCAGTACGTGGTACGTAGCTCACAGTAGCTCACGGTTTCGAGGCGGTGGCGTCTGTAGGAAAGAGCTGAGACAGCTGAAAATTGACATACGATGCAGCCGTTCGACACCTATTCAGTATGTATCAGTATCGGGCACGGTATTTCGCTTGGCTCCTACACCCCAACAGCACGCCTTGACGGGGCGGTCGAGCGGGGAGACGTACAGCTCTGCCCATGCCCGTCCCGGCGAGAACCTTTGTAGATAGCATGGCTGAAGGATATCACTGGTGTCAAGCCGCGTTGGTAGCGCAGCTTGGGGGTTGGGTGAGGGCGTGGAAAGTGGAGCGCGGTCCTGCGCAGACAATGGGATGGCGAACGTTGAAGGGAGGGACCGTTATCTGCGTCCCAGCAGCCGAGGAGATGGGTCGGAAGCTACCGCTCTTGCCTCTAGAGCTCACGTGTGGCACGTATGATTCAACTAAGAACCACTTGCCCTTTCAGCAAACCTATGTGACCACCAGAATGGCTCTGTATATTCGAGAAGAACCTGTAGGAACACAACGGGTTGACCACTGGAGATGCATCGACCAATCACAGAATTGCTTTACTCATCCAGCAGAAGGTTCGACTAGCCGCATCCGCTGAGTAAGCGAGCAGAGGACGCCGCATCTGCTGGATTCGTATATGCATTCAGTCTGGGAAATCCTTGTAAATCATGTAGGATTTCAACACTATTGCAACCTTTGTCCATGTGAATTGAATATGCGTGCGCCAGTAGACGCCAAAATATGGCTGACAACGAATCTCCAAGAGTCACTAGACAGGGAACTCGATCTGCAGAAGACAGAGTCTCAGAAACAAAACACAAAAAGTCTGCCCCCAGACTCTATCATCGGAAGTCAAGAAAGGGCTGCCAGCGATGTAGAGCCCGGAGAGTCAAGGTAATTGTCCTGTTCACTCGAGTCCATTTCACTGCGTGCCGGGTGCGCTTCTGAAGACTTGCTCCTAAATCAATGTCATTATTTATGAAAAAAGTTCACGTTGATTAGCAGAATATTGAATATTCGTATGCTCTGTCTAGCGTATCAAAATCATTGGAATTATATTCAAGGCACCTTCTCCTTTTCAAAACAGCCATGAATTTCGTAGTGCAATGAACACATTTTCAGGTGCGGGTGATGGTTGGTTGGACAAAAGATAGCCACGCCAGATCTTTAAAGCTGAAATAAGTGGCTGTTGCAGTCCTAAAAGCTTAGCTTGTAGAAGTTGCTCAGGGATGCAATTGCCTATAATTGGCCCTTAACGCACAGGTGGTATCTTGAATCTGCCGTGTCAGATGCGTTGAGTACTAATCTTGTTGCTACTGGGTAAGAGTAATACTATATCAACTTCTCTGACCATTTGGATAGTGCGACGAGGTTCACCCTATCTGTGGTAATTGCAAGCGACATGAAGTGACTTGCGTCTATGATCGCCCAGAATCCGAAGGCAGCGGCCACGAGCACCGGAGTCACAGGATGGGCATAAGCCTTTCCAGGTCTCCAGCTAACTGCTCCAGTTTTAGTGACGACTCGGCTCTCGCAGAGTCCAGAGATAGGCGTCTCCTCGAGCTCAAATTGATGCATCAATATAGCACCAGCACTTTCGACTCACTCCTCGTGTCAACCAGTGCCGACGCAACCGAGATATTTCAGTCACTTATTCCAGCTTTAGCGCTCAAGAACGACGCTTTGCTCTACTCGCTGTATGCTTTGGCGTCTTTGCACTTGGCAGCGTTGGATCCAGACAACCCAGAAGTGATGGATGCTCATAGATCATACCTGGATCGTGCATTGCAAGCACATTTTCAGGATATCAGTAATCTGAATCAAGACAATGCAGACGCTGCTTGTACAACCTCAAGCGTTCTCCGCATCGCTACATTCAGTATGCTGCGGGACCGTCTTGTTATACCATACACGGTACCATTTCAATGGCTTAAGATGACACACGATTCAAAGAACATATTCATTCAAGCGTGGGAATGGATCAAAAACGAGGATTCGTTATCAATGCGCATGATTTGCAGGCCTCCAGCGATGACGATGCTCAACAAGGAACTATATGAAGAAAGTAACCGCGAAAGCTTAAAGTATCTCTTGGAGCCCCATGCCAACGAATTCCCTTCAGGGCTAGACGACATCGAGGTCCGAGTCTCTTATGAGGCAGCGCTGAGTCTTTTAGGTGGTGTGCAAATAGCGATTGACGCTGGACAAGAAACCGCGGCAGACATCTGTAGACGTGTAATCGTCTTCCCTATCTTAGTCCCAGATCGCTTCATAAAGCTTGTTGAGGAAAGTCAGCCGCGCGCTCTTGTCATCTTCGCGCACTTCTTCGCTCTTCTGGTGAAATTTAGAAATATTTGGTGGATTCAAGACACAGGGCGAAGGGAAATCGAGGGAATTCAAAGCGCGCTACCAGATGGGTGGCAACATCTTATGACTGTCCCGTTACGAGCCATCGAGGAATACCGGGATTAGAGCTTGGGCTCAGATATACTCAGACCACTTGGACTTATTTTGAACCTTGCCGTGGCTTATCTTGACAAAGGCAACCGCATTACAGGGCACGAACCCGAAGTCTACCTAACCTCATATCTCACAATCGGACATCGCCAGCGTTCCAATGTCAGAGAGGCGGGTGTTACTTAAGATTAAGGGGACCAAAGTGTGCAGTAGAGAAAGTCATGATATTTGGGAGAATTTCACGAGATTCGCTTGGCCTAGCCTTGCTGGGCTAGCCCGCACAGCCTAACGACCAGGATTCTCGCTTTCGCTCCCACCTGCCATCTCACCGCAGATTCTCCGACTAATCACAGCCACGCAATGCCTGACTGCTGTTTCACTAGCGAAGGATTGTGTACCTTTTCATACTACCGTTGATTGTTCGCGAGGTGTCACCAGTGCATAGCATGGCTGAGTCAAGTCAGAACGTGGCGCTATGCCTTGGTAGGGACGGTTCAAGTTGCGGCCAAGGAGATAATCTGAAGTTATAAAGATGGTACTTGCTGCCATCGATGTGATCCCCAAGAAATTCATACGCAAGTTGGTGCCAATCTCCAAAAGTTCATCCAAGAGATCAAAAGCATTCAGTCACTGCTTCATCTCAGCTCCCAGCCATGGCAGACGCGCTTTCCATTGCTAGCCTTGTCATCTATCTCATTTTATTGCAACCATCACTTTTCTGCTTGTGGAAGCATGGCTGGTCAGGTTTCCTCGGCTGGTTTTACCTCCAACTTTTCTGCGTCGTCCGTATCATTGGCAACGGCATAAACATCAACGAAGAATCAAATCACAAAACAAATTCCAAGAAATCCTTGATTGTGAATAGCATTGGGCTGTCGCCTTTGCTACTCGCAGTCGCAGGCATTCTCCATGAAGCGTAAATCATCCTTCTCCTATCCTCCTTTCATCAAGCTGCTTTTTGGAGCTGATGGCAAGAGTAGATACTCCGCAAGGAACCCTAACCGCGGACGAAAGCGAAAGGTTCTCGAAGTCTTCCTCGTAATCCAATACCATATGCTCGTCAGCGTCGCACTAGTCATCGTCGTCATTGGAATTATCAAATTGTTCGACGGCGATCAGGGTGACACCAAATCAGCCCTTTTGACGATTGGCTCGGCCGTTGTGATCATCGCGTGGCTATTACTCGTCTTGTGGGCTGTCCTTCAGCTGCTAGGACATTTTCAAGCTGGTGGACGAAAGGCAAACATGGCTGCTGCCCAGGGTGCTAAGGTCCGCCTTCTTCCCCTCCGAATCAGAGCATTGCTGACAATGCTGGTCAGTTGCTTCAAGCCGTCGGAATCGCCCTTCCTTTGATAGGCTTGCGACTCGTTTATGCTGTTTGCTTCCTCATGCTCGAGGTACATCATCCAACGGCCGAATTCCTGAGATCCCTAGCCGTCAAAGTTTGCCTCAGTACAGTCCCGGAAATGGTCGTGGTTGTGGTTTTTGTCTTGGTTGGCATTGTGACACGCGACATTCAAGCAGTCAAAAGGAATGGGGGCCAGGAATATCAGCGTCCTGCACGCGTGTAATACATCATCTTCTCTGACTTCATTGCGCTATCAGGACACCCGACAATAGCAGCTAAATCTACGACGCGAGACTTTTAATACCGAAATCTGTTCCTTTAATGTGTAGAGACATACAGAATATATGATTGGGCTTCTTCAATCTGTCTTTTGTGCCGCACATCTGCATTATTTGCACTACTTCCCCACATGCACGATCTCGAGTTTGTCGTGCATTGAATTTGGCATGTCTTCCCCATATCGCAGCTAGAAATTGTCCCTTACATAAAGGCGCAATGTTTTAAACAAGAAACTGTAGCTGACTTGCCTTCAGACGCATACTGCTCTGAGCGGCAGGCGTCAAAGAATTCTTCAAGTAGCAATAGCAGCTGACCTCAACAATTCATCAGTACTTGTCAGCATCCGGAGACCTAAACAATCGTTTGAGCCACGCTCAAATCAACCGCCGACAAACAAGGCAGTCTTATGTATGGCGCTTAAAGACTCTGGCAGAGTTATATGGAAAGATTGTCTCGCGGTGACATCCGTTCATTCAGACCGTTGCGAAGGAAACCCCATTTACTTTGTACGTTCGTTTTGTGTGCTCAGGTGGACACATTGATGATGTGATTTGCAGGCGCGTTTTGATTGATATTCAAAGCCAACTGGCAAGCCTTTCAAATCTTTTCAACCTCGACCTCGACGTCCATATCTACAGCCACCTCCGAAGTGCCTGCCAAGGATCTGCCCTGGATACCATTGTCTGTTCGCAGTCCCGCAGCAAGCTCGGCTTCCTTCTGCGTGTATGGCTCTTCCCGAAGCATACGTACTCTAGAACCAATAGGTCAGCCTAGCTCCCACTTCGGAGTCCTCGAAGCTTTTCAAATACCGTCGTTTGTGGTTTTTGCCCTTTCTATGTTGCACAAGGTTGTGTTCTCCGTCAAAGTACTTGGCACATTCAACACAATAGAAGTGACCTAACCCTGCCAGATCTTCTGCATTTTTTGATTTCTTATGGTCTTGAAGATGTTTGGTGGAGTATAAGTCGGCGTGGATTTGGTCTAGATCGCTACATGTAGTATCAGCTATTGAGCAAAGAATGCAGTTGGGAGGATTAGCAACCGCGTCCTCCGCTTCGTCTTGCTCCTGCGTATGGAGCCCATTCTGTGCTGAAATGTAGTAGTATGCTTGGGGAATGTGCTTTGCCATGGGGCCCCTAGAAATGGCGCCGAAAAAGAGTTTAACCTTACCGTCTCTACCTTAACTCGGGCTCAACTCCGCCGCCTCTACAGCGGGAAGTCTGCCAAGCCCGCCGCGAGAATGGAATGCAAAGAATTTTATATTTGTTGATCAGAACGCTGGTGCTCCGCCAAACTGTCTGAAATTCTCGAAAGCAACCCTTTGAAGAACCTTATGCGCGACTTGCTCTGGGCTTGCCTTTCGATTCCGACGCCTTCGCTATCTCCACCATCCCTGTAATCTCGCGCACTTACCGCACAGATGTCGTTTGGAGGGCAAACGCCAACTATAATAGTCTTGAAAGAAGGCACAGACTCTTCACAAGGGAGAGGCCAAATAATATCAAACATACAAGCATGTCTAGCAGTGCAAGAAACTATACGGTCAACTCTAGGCCCCTACGGAGGGGACCTGTTGATGGTAGACGAGAATGGCAGGCAGACAATTACGAATGACGGAGCCACAGTCATGAAGGCACGTCCATGCTTTGCCATCGTATAAGCTCATTCAGGCTGACGACTTTTCGACCAGCTCCTTGATATCGTTCACCCAGCTGCACGGATCTTGACTGACATAGCCCGCTCGCAAGATGCTGAGGTCGGCGATGGCACAACCTCCGTCGTCGTTCTGGCTGGGGAAATCTTGAAGGAGGTCAAGGAGCATGTAGAGCAGGGCGTCAGTGCACAGATAATAATGAAAGGTCTACGACGAGCAGGACAGCTAGCCGTGGATAAAATTGAAGAGATTCAAGTGACGACTGACGGTGGGAAGCAGAGAGAGACATTAAGGAGACTAGCAGCTACCGCTATGAGCTCAAAACTGATACACAGGAACAGCGACTTCTTCACAAAGAGTAGGAAATGAATATAATGTCCCCAAGTGGGAGATTCAGGGCTAATGTCGGCGCAGTGGTTGTCGACGCAGTCCTCTCATTAGACCAAGACGACCTGAATGAAAAGCTTATCGGTATAAAGAAAATTACAGGCGGCGGCCTTCAAGACTCCCTATTCGTCAATGGTGTGGCATTCAAGAAAACCTTCTCTTACGCAGGGTTCGAGCAGCAACCAAAAAGCTTTAAAGACCCCACCATAGTTTGCCTGAACGTAGAGCTCGAACTCAAAAGCGAAAAGGACAATGCTGAGGTCCGGGTGGATCAGGTGTCAGAATACCAAGCCATCGTAGACGCCGAATGGCAGATCATAATCAACAAGCTAGAGGCCTTGGTAGAGACAGGCGCGAAGGTTGTGCTGAGTAAATTACCGATTGGTGATCTTGCAACACAGTACTTTGCAGACCGAGACATCTTCTGCGCCGGGCGAGTCGCTTCAGACGATCTTGAACGGGTTGTCCAGGCCTGCGGTGGCACTATCTCATCCACATGCTCTGACATCCAACCTCAACATCTGGGGACGTGTGAGCGATTCGAGGAACGACAAATAGGTGGCGAGCGCTTCAATTTCTTTGAAGGGTGCCCTGCAGCCAAAACCTGCACGCTGGTGCTGAGAGGCGGCGCAGAGCAATTCATCGCAGAGGTAGAGCGGAGTTTGCACGATGCGATCATGATAGTCAAGCGAGCAATCAAGAACAGGAACATTGTTGCTGGAGGAGGCGCTTGTGAAGTAAGACTGCTTTTCCATTCCTACCATTCCCCCCTTTTTTCCAGGAACTGGCCCTGTCCCCCAAATACTGCATCGAGCAGAACTCATCTCGCCGGATGCTTACACACCGATATAGATGGAAGTATCAAACCACCTCCACCGCACAGCCGACCTCGTCGGCTCATCCGTGCGAAAACAACAAGCAATCATCAAATCCTTCGCCAAAGCCCTCGAAATCATCCCCCGCCAACTCTGCGACAACGCCGGCTTTGACGCTACCAACGTGCTCACCCAACTCCGTGTTGAGCACTCGCGGCGACGAAATATATGGGCAGGCGTTGACTTCGACACAGGCGGAACGAAAGATATGATGGAGGCCTTTGTGTGGGAGCCGGCGTTGGTCAAGGTGAACGCGATACAGGCAGCTGTGGAAGCGAGTTGTCTGATCTTGAGTGTTGATGAGACCATAAGTGAGTTTTCCTTTGACGTCTTTTCTGGATCCCCTATTTTTCCTGTTTTGACTACGCCCGAAGCTTGCTGACTGTTGCGCGCAGAGAATGAGCCATCAGAGCAGCCACAAGCGCCGCAGAGAGGACTGCCGCCCGGTGCTGCTCAGAGAGCATTAAGGGCAAGAGGAAGGGGAATGCCACGGCGGTAGAAGCTGAGACGGAATTCAACGACATAGATCATATAGCGACTCGTGCACAACCGCACATTCAAATGAATGGACTCATTAAGACAAATCATTAGCGATCTTCGCCTCATTCTGTCCGAAGGGCAGTGAAGGGATGGACGACGGCCTTCCACTCAATCTCAGACCTGACGAGCAACGTTCCAGCTCAATGACAATCAAGCCAAGAATTCAATTATATCTACGGCGGATAACAGGAATGAACGAAGGCTCACAGCAGCATCAAATATCAAAATCCCATATTTTTCAAGAGCAACCAGACCTCCCACCCCCCAGATACCCTCCCGAATAGTCCGTCATACTCCCCCTCCTATCCTCCTCCACGCCCGCACTCCCTCTCATAATCTTAATTTCCCCCGGCCAATATCCCTCCACGAACTCCACATCCTTCCCGTTCCACTTCGCCGCCCGCTCCGCCCGCTCATACACCTCCTTCCTCTGCCTTCTAAACGCCGCAAGTTCCTTCACTGTATCCACGACCTCCTCTCGCCGCTTCGGCATCGTTTTCATGGGAAGGTAACCCAGCTGCTTTGTCCCCCCGCTGACAACGACGAACTTCTCGTCACCGAGAGCCGGAGATATGGCAGGCTTACTGGTTGTTTCTGCTGCAGGGAGGCCGCACTCTTCATCATCGTCGAAAAAAGTGAAGTCACCCGCCGCTGCTTCCCATAGAGCCTCGCTGTCGGCGTCTTCGGTCGACGATTTAGTCCTGTTTGCGAACTTGGAAGGCTTCACTATGTGAGGGGAGAGGTAGGATGCTGCGCTCGTGGCGTCTTCCGGGGCCATCTCAAGGATGATGCGCTGTAAGGCGAAATGAGTCCTTTTCCGGGTATGGCTGTGGCGGATTTGGCCGGACGTTGTGCGGCGAGGAGAAGAGGTTTCCAGCTGGGCTTGCTGGGAGGAAAGGTGGGCTTCGAACGCACAGGATTTGATGAAAGTAATGAGGGCATCAACGAGACGGCGAGTGGGGGTGTAGCAGGGGACAGAGGTGAGGTTGAGGGTACGAAGGTTGGGAAGCTTGCCTGGGATAAGAGCCGTGGGGGTAGTTGGATCCCGACTTCGATACTCCAGGCGTTGCTTTTCAAGCATTGCTACACGGTAGACTGGACTGTCTTTTGCTGGGTTCGAGACACTGTTTCGGTAAGGGTTATTGCTTCTGAAAGGGTTGTTCTTTGCGAGACCGCCGGAGATGCCATTAACATCCTGAGCACTGATGGAAAGGCCAGTGGCACTCAGCACCGTTGACTCATCATGGACGCTAGTTGAAGGACCTTCCAAAACCTCGGGTGCAAAGACGCTACCTCGTCTGATGTCTGGTGTCTCTGTGACAAGACCTTGAGTTTTCTTGTCACTTGATAGAGCCGAATTCTCAGGAATATCACCCAGTAATTCATACGTAGGTGCAAGCTCTGTACTTTGGAGCTCATATAGAGGAGGCTGAGTATCTTCCAGCTCTGGCAGGGAATCTCTGTCTTTGACAAGCTCTGGGCATTTGTCTTGACTCTCAAGCTCGAACAGCAAGGCGTCGGACGTGACCTTTTCTTCAATGGCGGGTTCAGACACACTAGTATAGTCTATACGTATAGAAGTCATGTCCGAACAATATTGCTCCAAAATAGGGGTGAACTTAGCCAGGTTGAGTCGCGGCCGGTGATCCCGATATATGATCTCGGGCATATTGTATAATCTAGACGGAGAGGTTTGGTCGTCCGCCGGACTACTTAGTGAGCCAGCATTGAAAACGCACAGCCTCTTGGTACGAGCCAAAGCGGCAATGCCGTTCACACTTAAGTCATTGTCTGCTATTTGTAGGTGCGTGATCCCTGGGTGTTTCATGTCTTCGAAGGGGAGTCGCCTGACAACGTTGCTGGTGAGCCTTCTCACCAGGTTCTCTTCGTAAGCGTCACTTTGAATTTCTTCGAGCACCACAGGATCATGATATGGCGATTCTGAGAGCAAGGCTCGATCAATGTGACTTGCAGACCGATGGTTCCTGCGGCCGTTAGGCCCTTCTGATGGTGAAGGGTCTGAGGAAAAACAATTTCGTAGAAGAAATTGGACCGCATAGTCGGTAAGCCGATTGTTCCGCACATCTAAACTTCGTACGCGTACATCTACAGCAGCTGTAAGTACCGCGATGTCAATGTCTCTGAGATAGACGTTGCGCAGCTTGAGAACTTGCAGTAACGGCAACTTGTAGAAGCTTGAGAGCACCGATCGATCTCTCACGGCTAAAGTGCCGGAGAGATCTAGATACGAGACAAACGGCAGATGCTTGAGCGCTTCAGCTAATCCCTGAGATGTGGTGTTCTGACAATTTGAAGCAATGAGCAACCGCAACGGAAAATTTGATGCTCCAGGGAGCGTGACGGAGGACAGCACCGAGTTGCGGCGAGCCAAGGCAAGTAAAGCTGGATGATCGAAAAAGGGGAGGCGCGAGACAATAAGAGACTGGAGGTTGGGAAGTTGCTCAAGCAGATCACGAATCCATTCTGCTCGTGGTCCATCATATAGCTAGATCACTTAGCATTTTATTGCAATGCCGCTGGATAAGGATTCGTGGCCAGGGCCTACCTCTGCTTGCGCTGGGGGAAAGTGCAATGTATGAGTCAGCTCCCGAATAGGCAGGCGAACTCTTTTCAGGATTCGCTTGAATCGAGTCAATGCCACTATGGCATCTCAGTGACTCTTCTACTCGTCTGATCTCTGAGTACATACCATAAACTCTATCCCTCAACTCCGGGTCATCGTGGTCGGCGTCACCTGCAAAGTGGGCGGCAGGATTGCCCCACAAACAGGGAGAAAATGTCTTTTGAAAGTCACGACTCACTCTCACAAGGCTACATAATGTTGAAGAACAGATGTAGGGGGCGACAAGCGGCCAACCATCTCGGGCGATTGCCTCGACGTAGGATGGTGGGACGTCATCCATGGCAGCTCAGATGGCGAATTCAGCGTCTCCCCGTGAGCCATTCTCCTATGGACTGAGGTGCGTTATATAAAGGAGGCAAGGCAGCTGTGAATGAGGCTGTGAATGTCTCACTCACTCACCTGCCCCATTAGGCGCACATGTCGTCAGGCTTCCTTCCAAGCCCTGGTGGCTGGCCTTACGAAATCTGCCCGGGGGGCGCTACAGCCGCAAGCGGCCCGAGGTGTCCCACCGGCAGGGGGACTAGGGGCGGGGAGAGGAGAGACCGCCAAGACATGCTTTCAAGATCTTCCAACATTACCGTCGTCTTCCAAATCTTCCCCTTCCATTCCCCTTCGAGTTCTTATTTTTGATCTTCAACGCTCGGAAGTTCGCGTTCGCAGTCGCACTGATCTTCCTTTTTGCTTTGGCCAGTCTCCCCAGTTTGCTGGCCTTGTCATGCTGACTCATCTTCTCCTTCGCCTTGGCCCCGTCCGAATCGTTTTTGATCTCCGGATCAGTCGTTGTTTCAACATCTCCGTCTCCGTCTTGATCACCCTCCCCCGCTCTCTACTCTTGTGTAAGGTGTCGTCCTCATCGCTTTCCTGATCTTTCCACTTTGGCTCAGGTTTCCATTTCGCAGTGTTAGGCCTGATGTCAACCTTCCGAGTCGTCCGCTTCTGACCCTTTTTCTTCCAAGCCTTTTTATGTCGCTGTCCATCACCCTGACGACCTTCGACCTCGGCGCCTAGACCGTCGTCCGTGAGCGGGCCCTGGTCTGGACCAAGAGGCATTTCAACCTGCTGACTATCTTCTACCTGCACACTCGGTTTTATTGTCGGCTTGTGCATGGCTGTAGGAAATATCTCTCCTTCCATCTCCCGCATGAGCTCAAGATCTTCATCCAGCTTCTCGTCTTCCATATCCCTCAAATCTTTCACTATGGCGCTCAAAGTTCGGCCCAGTGGTCTACGAATTTGGCGAGTGGCAACAGGGCTCCATGATGCGCTTTGTTCTCCTTCATTGTGCCCCTGTACTGACGCGGCGACCGCTTGACTGTCCCTCCTGAGGAAGGCCGGTGTATTGTCAAAGCGAAGCTTTCGCATACTGCCCCGCGAGCTTGGCGTACTGCTCTTGATGATTCTTTGGATTGAAGGTGTCACTTGGATATCTAGCTTGTCCTTCATGATTGGATCATCCTCTTGTGACGCCTTTTGAAGAGCCAAGTTCTTCGTTGGTGTCGCGTGAATGTTGTTGCTAGCATCTCTTAATGATCGTCTGTTCGGTTGGGTCCTGCTCGCTGGTGTGGTGGAAAATGCATCAAACATTCCAAGAACTTTTCCGTCTTTCTGCGGCGTGGGACCAATACAGGCGCGATGTTGACTTGGGCTTAGCAGGAATGATATTGGAGGATCATATGGATCAACAGCTGCGGGGTGGGAGCTTGGGAGCTGTTTCTGACGTTTGCTTGGAGTCTCATAAGGGTCCTGCGTTTCACCTAGCCCAGAAGAAGAGCGCTTTCTTTGCGATGGCGTACTTGCAATGTGTCTTTTCGACAGTCTCTCTCGGATAGTATTGTACTCTTTGTACCTTGTGGCTTCGAAGCTCAGCATGACGATTAGTGTCATTGCTACACGAAATTTACTCACTAATTTTGACGTCTTGCTTGACATCGTCGCGGGAAGGCTTACGACCATCATGGGCAGCTGTAAACGAAGCCTCCCACTCCTTGAGCCTCTGGCGCAATTTAGCGCACCGTTGATCCAGCTCAGGTATTGACATTGTGTGGTCAATTTAGGACCTGTCAATTCCCAGGTGCCGTGATGGCCGCAAATGCCGATATAGCTGGAAAAGCATGCTTCGTAATCGTGATAAATGCTTAGAAGAAATGCAGAACGTCGTAGCGACCCCAGAAGAATAATTAATTCTCGTACTTGCAGAATCAATATATGGACCAAGAACGCGCTCGCGGGTAGATCCGACGTGCGTCACGCGTCGTGGCTGTGGTGGCTGTGCTTGTCATTCTTTCTTCGACAGCAAGCGAATACTCACCTGGGGACTATACTTGGGACTGGTCAACGAGGCTTTCTTGCTTATTCGCCTCTGCTAACTCAACGCTATCTCCTACATATTCTCTGTAAGAAAGTCTTTCTCACAGTCGTGTTTCAGTCCTAGCACTTCCGGATGAAGGGTTGCGCATTCTGAATGACCTACAAAGCATTCATTTCAATGTACTTACTCCCGGGATGATACTGCAATGAAGTTGTTTCTCATTTGCTCATCCCTTTTCTGAAAATCAAGTGCACTTTCTTCAACCAGGCCACAGCAATCGGGTACCTAATTGCAGCCTTGGCGTGTCAGGTTGATGCCTATCCTGCCTGGCGCAAGAAATATGCATAAATGACCCAAACAATGCAGCTTTCTTGTTGACACCATCACAAACGCTACCGCACTCATGACCACATCATCTATATCTCACTCTCTCTTCGGTGGCGCCATCATAGCCTCAATTCCCACAAACTTCGCCGATGTGTCCTCCATCCGCCAAGTTCCCGATAACCAAGAAGTCTTCCTGCGCACCGACGGCTTCACATCACTGACGATCGACCTCTGCGAGCGTGTCACGTACTTATCATCGCTCCAAGCAGCGCTTGAATACCATTTCTCAGATATTGTGGCCGAAGGAGACGCCAAGCGTACTTATGCTATAGACACTGACATCCGTTTGCCGAATTTTCCTGATATGGCCGTGGGAACGTTGATGGCCGTTGTTACACCACCAGCACCGACGGAAGGGAGGGAGCGAAGGGAGAACGAGCCGAAATTTGTGGTCATTCTGTTTGCGCTGTTGAGGTTGGAGCAGCAGATGACGGATGTGACCGTGGCGCTGAATGTGCCTTGTACACCTGGTGGACCAGAGGCTGCTATGATGGAAGTTGAAGATGTGGATTTTGAGCGGGGAAAGTATGGCAGTGTTGTAGAGGAAGGAAAGGAAGTGCTAGGGGATATTTTGAGATCTTTAGAAGTGAAAGATTGGGGTATGTTCGGACCTGGAGGGTAGAGAACGCGCCAAGTGAAGGGTAGTGAGGTTTTGAAGAAGGTATCATAAGACGAAATGCTTGTCACAATCACCAAAACAATCCACAGAAGAGCTCTGAGACCATCCACAGCTCAATCACCAAGCTCCAAGTGTTTGAGCTCATTCATCATATTATCGACAGCATCTTTCGTGGGCAAAACCTTCATCGCTTCAGCGCCGCTCATCTTCCTCTTTCGAAATTCTCGACCGAGTATAGCCATTATTTCACCAAAACTTGCCCCAGGATTCGCCTTCTTGGTCCTTTCATGCTCCCTCTTCACGAAGTCTTGGTACTCGCTCCGCTTTCCTTCTGCGGCACCCTTTCTCGGCACAGGGCGAATTTGCATCAACTTCCCCTTACATGCTCCACAAGAATGCTTGGCAGGGTCAATACTCTTACTGTGGCGTTTATACTCGGTGCCACATTCCAAATTCGAACAGCTCCAGATATACTTATACGAAATCTCATAGCTGTGCTTAGTGTTTACCTGCACACCACGGTCTTGGAATGCTTTCGTACACCTGGCTGCCCATTGCTTGAATTCTTTACCATGCGGATTATCTTTCACCCCGCTAATCATAAAATTAGCAAGGTGGCAATACTCATGAGCCAAGACGTTGGTAAGTCTCTCCTCATCGTCGATAACCTTCTCTGCCAACTCAATAGAGGCATGGTGTCTATGAGTGGTTTCTGAGGTTGTGCCGTCAGTATGCTTATGCCTTATTGCCTCTCGCCGCCAATTTGCTCGACCGGCTGTCGACGTCAACTTCTTCGACCAGATGATCTTGATGCCACCAGTCGACTCTGACATCTGTGTAACCTGACTGTTACTGATGATCTGATCTACCTCCGTCAGGAAGCATGTAGCCATGTCGTGCTTTCGTTCATTAAAAGCCCTGTGTTTCGCAAGAGAGGCCTTGTCCTTCTTGGCTGCGCTTTTCGTGGGGCTTTTGGACGAAGGGCCGGAAGGTGGAGCCTTCGAAACAGAATAGTCATCGAGGATTAGTGGCTTTCGACAGCGTGATTTTGGTGTCTTCTTTGGCGAATACTGGTCGTTCCAGTCATTGATAACGTCTTGGCTCCAGAAAGCATCAATACTCGGTCTATGCGGCATTGGTGGAATCCGTAGCTGCTTAGAAGGTGATTGGAGTCGCCTTCTACCCGGACTAGATGGTGGCGTGATCGGTATATCATTGACTATGAGCTTACGAGGGGATCTAGACTTTGCGGGAGAGCTAAATCGATGAGCTTCGTTCTCGTGGCTGGCGGCGGTACTCACAACACAATGACTGATTGTAAGTCATCGGTGGGCGAATCATCCGTCTGACTAGGCTCTTGTTCGTCAAACTTGGCACTGGGAAGCTTATGAGTCTTCTCCAAAAGGGGAGGATCTTTTGGTGGCGTAAGTGAAGGCAAGCTTCGCGAAGAAAATATTTTCTTCGGTGGATGCCACCGCCCCGCATGGAGCTCGTGGCTGTCAGATTCGTCCGCGGTGCTGTCCGAGTCAGAGACGATAAAGCCCGAGAGATCCGTGTATGTGTCCTCGTTCTCAGTTAAGGATGATTCATCATCAGCGACCTCAATGACAAATTTGGAGTAATCGACCGGAGCTTTCGCGAGCTTTCTTGGGCTAGATCTAATGAATGATTCGCTTTCTCCCAAGATTCCATCGGATACCTCCTTTAAAGCCTGTATGTCCCCGCCGCTTGTTTGTATTTCAAGAGATAGTGGCCTCGGATCAGTATCATTGCCTTCTCTCAAGTGGTTCAGGCTCCTCTGCTTTCTCGGCTCACTTTTCTTTGTAGAAACTCTGACAGACTCTCCATAAGCACTTACGAGATCATTTGAGGGCGCTGGAATATTTATAACTGATGTCTGCCGCTTGGACTTCTCTGCTACCACAGGTCGCACCTTCCCTGTATTTAACCTCGCCATTGCTGGCCTTGCAAGTAATGAAAGGACATATTAGGACGGGGACTTTCGAATCGTAAACAACGCGCTTTGGCAGGGCAACAGCCGCTTTCAACGCTAGTGGCGATTACGCGATACGGGCGGTCAAGCCTACAAACGTCCAACATCAAGACTTTTGAAAAACCAACTTTGGATTTTTGATTTTTCAGATTTTGATAATGGTCAAAAGCATGGTGTAACAGTACAAGCTATCTCTAAAACTATATCTTAGGCCATACCAGGCTTTAAACAAGCCTAATGCAGCTAGCTTGCGATATAATCTATCTACAAACGTATTTCTTAAGCCATATTAAGCTTAAAATAGGTAGGGAAATAGCAATGCAGCTATGCAGCAATGCAAGCTGTTTGCAAACCTATTTCCTAAGCTAGATTAGGCTCAGAATAGCTCAAAAACAACGGAGATAAGGAGCATACAGGCATGCAGCATTGCAAGCTATCTACAAGCTTGTTTCTCCAGCTAAATCAGGCTTAAGTAAGGCTCAAAAACAGTGGGAAGGGAGCTATGCAGCCAGCTAGCGATGTAAGCTGTTTGCAAGCCTAGTTTTCAGGCTCAAAAACGATAAAGAGGGAGCTATACAAGTATATAGCATTGCAAGCCGTCTATAAAGCTGTTTCTCGAGCCAAATCAGGCTCAAAAACGGTGGGGAGGGAGCTATGCAGCCAGCTAGCTATATAAGCTGTCTGTAAAGCAGTTTCTCCAGCCAAATCAGGCTCAAATCAGGCTTAAAGACGGTGGGGAGGGAGCTATACAGCTAGCTGGCTATGCAAGCTGTCTGCAAAGCAGTTTCTCCAGCCAAATCAGGCTCAAATCAGGCTCCAAGACGGTAGGGAAGGAGCTATGCAGTTTCTCCAGCCAAATCAGGCCTAAATCAAGTAGGGAAGATATTGCGCAAATGCACTGTTATAGATTACACTTGCAAGCCAGTTTCTCAGCCTAAAAGTAAGCAAATTCTAAGGAATAATAGCAGAGAAAAGGCTGTATAGCTAGAGAGTACTGCAAAGAGCATGCATGCTGTCCTAATTAACTATTACACCACGATTTTGAGTATAATTATATCCTCAAAACCAAAAATCCAAAGTTGATTTTTCAAAAGTCTTGATGTTGGACGTTTGTAGACACGACCGCCCGTACGCGATAATGATCCTCAAACGCGCAGGCTTGAATGCCTGAAGATTATACTACGATAGGGGAGTTTCTGATCACCAATATCCTCTTCTCCTTTATGTGCGAGCGCTACTTATTCGGCACACGGCCATGCGAGATCTCAGTCGCAGGAGATAAGGGGCTACTGCGTTTTGGAAGGTCCGACATATAAGGCACTCTCTCGTGCCTCTAGCTTTATAGTAGTCTTAGAACACGTCTACAGCAAAAGATAAGCACTTTCTAAGGGCTGCCTTCCTAGAAACTTATATAAGATTGTAGACTGACCAACCTCGGCTGAATTCATCCGAACATTTGTCAGCTTACTCTATATAAAATGCCCGCTATGAACATTCCTTCTCGCCGCCAGATCCTTCCTTGAGACATTACCAGATTTTCAGGATGTCGGTGGAAATTGAGTTTTTCGACCTGCCTAGTAAATCACCTTGCAAGGCTTGGTCCATCAACACCCTTCGCACGCGTTTCATCCTGAACTACAAAAACATCCCATACAAAACTACTTGGGTTGAATACCCGGATATAGAGCCCACTTTCAAATCTTTTGGTATTCCAGCCAATGAGTCTGGTACGGCTTATACTGTTCCCACCATTAAATTACCCGATGGCAGATATCTGATGGACTCCCAACGCATTGCGCAGGAACTTGAGAAATTGTACCCCGAACCGTCCCTTTACCTTGACGACCCAATTCTCCAAGAGGTGTTGGAGGCTTTCGCAACCCTCTCTCCTGCGATCGCTGGTGTATACCTGCCAAAGTGTGCGAGGAATGTTCAAACTCCGAGGTCAAAGGAGTATTTTGAACGCACAAGGTCGGCGAAATACGGAATGCCATTGGATCAGCTGGAGCAGGAGACAGGTGGAGACGATGCATTCAAGCGAGCAAAGCCGGGCCTGAAGATGGTAGGGGAGGTTTTGAGGGCTAAGGGAGGCCCATTTTGTTTGGGCGAGGTCGTAAGTTATGCTGACATTGTTATTCTTGGTGCCTCTGTTATGTTTGAGAGGATTGGAGAAGGCGTCTTTGAGAAGTTTGTGGAGATTGAGCCGAGCATAAGGAGATTGGTGGAGGCGAGTGGCAACTTGTTGGACAGAGTTGACCACTAAGGCACTTGCGCCCCTTGTCTTGGATGGTTTTGACAGGCACTTTTTCGTGGTTCATATCGCTACAAGCACGCTGCTCACGAGCCAGGCTGGCCACCATACGCACCAGACTATCACTTGTGTCCGCATCCCATTGACAGTCCATCCAAAAGCCGCTTGGGTCAGAATGTCGACGACGCCTGTCTTGGATATTGCGCTTATAACCCATAGTACCGAAGGTGGAGAGACCACGGCTATTACGACGCTGTAGAATGCTTTCCTTGTCCTTGGAACATCACTCTCTTCTTCTCCCTGCAGACATGGAATGAACGAAAGAGGGGTTGCAAGCAGCCCAACGAATAGTGATAATGAAAAGTTCAAAGTCGCTAGCGTAGCCAAGAACATTCCCAATAGTAGTAATGAAAAGCAAAGCGTGAGCGTATGATGCTGATTACTTATGTGACCTTCGGTGCGGAGTGCGAATACTGTAGGTAAGCCCATGCTAAGGGCAGTGAAAGGCGCGAATATAGCATCAAAAGTCTAGACCTCAGTCAGATATGTCGAAGTCAATTTGAAGGAAACGGTACTCACGTCGCGGGATATATTGTTGAATAAGTATAAGGGGAAAAGGCCGAGGAAGTGTGCAGAGAAGACTAGTACTAGTGGTATGAGAAGGTGACGCTCGACTACTTTCACGGACTGCTTAGGCGCTACTGCGATCAGGCCATCTGTTTGCACAATCTCAACCTCAGTCTTAGATCCCTTTGCAGGAATTGTCGAGGCCATAGAAGGTCTTTTTGGTCGTCCACTGCGGATCCACAACGCGATCGCCATGATGGAAAAGTTCATAGCCACCAGCATTGCACTAGGCAAGTATGTGCCTATACTGACAAAGCGGTCCGCCTGCATGAGTAAGTAGAAGAAGAAGCTCTGATGAAAATGTTCCAGCAGATTGTTCAAGCTTCTGAAAATGCTCTCTACGACACGACCCATAGCCATTTCGTCCTGTGGCCCATCCCCCACGGTTTGCAGGGTAATAGCATCCACATGGTAGGGAAAGAAGCTGCCATGGGAACCAGCGGAGAGGCCGACTGCCTGGTTTGCCATACCTCGAAGCATGGTCTCAAGGCGCTCGAGGTAGCTATCCTCGTGATGCCACATTCGTTGGAGGACAATCCCAATACCCATCTGTCCGCTTGCAACGGACACCGCGGTGTTGATGAGATCGAGATTGGGCAATTGTCCATTTATGCCATCATAGACGATGTGTATGGACTCAAAGCGATGGCTGTTCGCCAGGTCTATGACAATCGCACCTTGAAGGGCACCACTCTTAATAGATAGAGGCTCGACAGAAGATGAGGGCTGCTCGTCATGATATGCATCAACCCATGCTTGAGGGCCCGCTCGACTATCGGAAGTGATAAGTATGATTATGTCCTTGGACCATAGCGACCATCCTAGAGCTGTTTAGCATGTTACTGCCTGAAGTAAATGCAGACCTACGACTGAAATATCTTCCTAAAGTAAGCACCAGCGTAACACCATAAGAATTCAGCTTGTTGTCCATATTCTCCCAAGCAGCAGTAAGAACGACAGCTTCAGTAGCGTCGCCGCGTGGGGCTCGCAGCACTGCATAAACATTTTGACCTTTATAAGTATTGCCTGCTGCTTGGTACTGGAAATTCTGAGTGGCAGGCTTCAATCCTGCCGATTCGAATATTTCTCGCAATTTCGCGGAGATCCTATCCACTGTTAGCCCCGTACCCCCAATTTTCTGAACGTCATCCTCTTACGTGTTCTGGTCCTTGCCTGTCACGTCCTCGATCTCATGCCTGTAGGCGTTGAAGATCTGCTGTTCGCTGCCCCCAAAATAGGTATGTACTTGACCTGGGAGAAGTGCATTTTCAGAGATGTACGTATGTCTTGAATATTGATTCAATGGCAAGAGCAAAAGCCAGACGACTCCAATGAGGACCAGGAGGGCAGAGATGTAGGGAGGGACACGGAGAAGACGCGGATCTCGTCTTAATGCTAGAATAGCAGGTACTGATGTCCGTCCTCAGCCATTCTTGCGTCTCGTGATAAACAGTTGACAGCTACTTACGGATCGCGGCCATATATTTTCAATTCCACAACTCTCAGACTGCGGTGCTAGTTAAATTGTCCTTGAATTGGATGAGCGCCCTGTCCATTCCCCCTGGCAGCGCTGCGGCCTCCGCCTTTGGTGGCCCGGGATCCCTAGAATGAGACTAAAATTGCGCCCGGAAAGGCTTAAGTTTCCGCGGACCTCCTTCCTTTCACAAATTCTCTTCTCTGCTGCCTCCCAGACGCACACCATCCGCATGTTTATGCAGATAGCATCATCTGTTCAACTAGAAGGGTCGTAACATTAGTCGATGCTCAGGACTCGTAGCATCGTATGACATTTGCATGTCAGCACGGTGACGCCCTAGCGCCAAACAAGGTAAGGCAGTCGCTCTTTTGGGTGAGTAGCGCCCTGTTGACAGGACCCAATACGGGGGAGCGACCTTGAGCTCGCTGTCATTTTGTCTATATACCCCGAACACGCGAGCATGTCCACCTTCATCAGCCGTACATCCGTTTATTTCCTCGCATGTCAAGACTCACTCAAACAGTCTTGCTTTTCTTATCAGTCTCTAAAGCCGAATGCCATATCACTTTCTTACCACAATTGTCACACTTGCCCTTGTATTCTTGCCAGTCCCTATCAACACCTATACCCACTACTCGTCTGAGGCCGACTCCTGCGTCATCATTGGGGATACCGACCTCTATGGTATCGGAATAAGACTTGGCCTCTATTTTCAGTGGCTGACAATCTTCCTTGCCTGCCTCGTCTCGCCTAAGGATGCTATATACTCCTTCATCAGCTCGAATGTCTTGACCCTTTCAATCTATCTTGGTTTCCTAAGTGGCGACTGGGACAAGGGCATTCTAGTGGTGGAATGGTTCGTGGTCGTTCATGAAACGTTTTCCCTCTACGCTGGCCTGATACCAGCAATTTTATGCTTCTGCGGCAACATGCCGAATGGGCGGACCATGTGGCTCATCCTTTCAGTCATCTATGGAACTGTGGCCTTCGCGTCCCCTTACGTACTCGTTGTTTATAGTGGACGCGGTCGAAAGGAAGGTTGTCGAGACCCAGTCGATTCGTCTGCAGCTATAATGTCGGCTGTAGGGCTCTGCTTCTTTACGATAATTGGGCTTTTCTGGAATTTCAGATTCGGACCCGTGCTACCCTGGTTTTCAAGAAAAGCTCAGATTTTGGCCTCACATATTAGGGAAAGCCCTGTCTTTCGCGCTTGGACACTTCGACTGAAGCGTTATAGGTTCATTATTAGCGTCATGATCGCTGTTGGGTGCGGAGTAATGTTCGTCACCCGGATCGAGCGTAATACGCTCGTGAAACGCAAAATTGACACCAGCGCAGCTGGCTTGTCCTCCACAAGCCAGCTAATTCCATTTCTAAGTGAACTGTTTAACCTTATTTATATCTGCTATTGTGGTTGGGAGGCTGGACCAACACAATGGCCATTACGGCACTGGTGAATCGACATTCAAGAATCCACAGCGCCAATCTCAATTGCGAGTTTCTTGCGGTCGAGTGCGCGAGAAGCCATGCCCTGGCTTTGGTATCATGGTGGCTGTTTTGAAAAGAAGCCGAAATACATACATCCACAAGCATAAATGAGGAAATTCTGAGCGAGGAGAATGGAGCTCTCGTCTCTCGACCCTCAGAGCTATTAGTATGTCAGAGATAGGATAACTGACTGGTCGTGCGAATGGTTTCTTGCTCAACCATCTTGATTCAAGTACGGTCAACACATCTGGTTATTTCGAGAGAAGGCTAACTACATGACGATCGCCTTTGAGAAGAGGGATCATTGCCACGTTTTGTTACTATGACGGGTTGCACATACGCTTCCACTCTTTCAGAAGGGTGGAAGATAATACAATTGCTTCCAGGCACTGGCCCTGAAGTCCCAGCAGAAACAAAAAGGAGGCAACCCAATTGACCTAGGCTGTATCTTCAGCGTTGTATATACGTGATAGAGTCGATATCGCATTTGATCATTGCTCATGCTACTTTTACATACGCATGACGGACCCCCGGTTAGGCGTCAAAATACTATCCATCTACCCAACATACGGAACCAACTCCTCCAACGCCCAACGGAAAAAGTATGCAAGCCCACAACGTAACACAGACAACAATGAGGGATTCTATTGTATGCCTTAACACGCTTCAAACAAACCGTTAAATGACATCCTTTTCTAATCCCGCCCCAACTCCCTCCTTGATCTCCCACTTTCCCTCCTGCAAATCCTGGATCGTCCTCTTTCCCTCCTCCGATAAGTCAGGCTTCCCGTCCTTTTCGATTGTTTGCGTGAAAAATCGCGGCTTGAATGCGTTCTCCGTATTCTCCCTTTCTTTAGCAATTCGCCGCTGCTTTTCTTCAAGCTCTTGTTTTAATCTGGTAGCCTCGGTAAATTTCTTGTCTTTGATGGCTGTTGTGACATTTGCCCAGAATCGTTGCGACTCATTGGGTAATTGAATTGTTAGGGGCGGAATTAATTTAGGTTCGGGGAAGAGGGGGCGGAGGTCAACTAGGGGGTGGGTTTCCTGCAGGATCAAAAGGTCAGTGGCATTTGCCAACATGGAAAGAAGAGAGTCGATGTACTTTGTGGTTGGGAAGTGTGTAGTGAATTTCTTCATGCCAGTTCCCTTCAATTCGTGCTAGAATATCCTTGTCTGGGACGTCCTTTATTCGCGTAATTGCGTCGTGTGTTGGGTCATAGGTGAAGATGACCCCCTTCACCTTGTTTTGTGTTTTGCCCAACCAGCTCTCTTCTAGATACTCCAAAATGGTTTTTTGCTTCGATTTTGGACATGTAATGAAGCATGTGTCGGCCACTGTTACGCTTAGAGAACCTCGTATGATTCCTCCGAGATGTGCGATCGGATGGGTGAGTTGGTACTCTTCATTGTCACGGTTTGCGATATTGACAAAGATACCCAAGTTATGGGCACCAGGTACGACTCTGATGCTTGTGCCCGTGAACTTTGCGGAAAGTTGATCAAAACCCCGCGCGCTAATTCCTTTAACCGGGCAGTCAACGTAAAATGCGGACACAGGAGGATGATGGGATGTTTGCTCTGTGAGGTATGAAATCCGCACAGGCTTGTTCTCTGTTTCTATATGCTGTGTGGTCGATTCCTTGTGCGTCGGTCCAAGAACTGGGGGTGCATCATCTTTGATCTCCCAGTTGCAGCGGAAAAACTCTCCGAGAGTGCTGTTGTATGGCTTGCAGGGTTTGCCTTTCACGTACTTCAGGTCTTTAGTAAACCAGAAGCGCAGCACTTCCAGCATACGACCTAAGGCATCGTCCGAATCGCCGATTGCAATGAATGTTTCAGGACGGTCCAGATAGTTCCAGTATTCGAGGTTGGGGGTTGGCTCGAGCAACTGGGCAGGCAAAGAGAAGCGGACAGAGGCCAGATCAGAAATGCCAATGAACTTGCGTAGAATGCTCAAAAAGGTCTTTAGCTTCGAGCTATCATCCTGCTTATCAGAGACATAGGCTGCGGAGATCGATTCGGGCTTATCTAGGGCAGAGCTCGTAGATGGTGCGTTAGATGGAGCAGGAGACGCATTGTCGATGGATCGAGAAGTAGAGGGGTCTCGAGACGGAGCGGAGGTCATTATATCGTTGTAGAATATTGTGAGGAAGCAGTGGTTCTGGTCCTATGGCGGCGCGGAGCTGGGCGCGTCGTCGACTTGCAGCTAATGGAATTCATACAGCTTACGGCATGACGTAGGCAGGCCGTCTTGGCGCTGTCTCCTGAGAGAGCGCCCCGCAGCTGTACCAGCCGTTCTCTCGAAGGGGATTACTGGCAAGAATTTGGCTGCATACCATTGAAGGTGCACTCCTGTGAGCATCTCACGGCTCTCTCATGGCGTATCTTTGGGGTCAGTATTGCGGAAGGACAGACTACAAGGACAAATCACTCTTCAAAGCATGCCGGCTTCGTCGCTGCTATCGTGAGATATGTTCCCTCTACTGAGGAACATAGAAACATAAGAAGATATCGACCAAAATCTACGTGATCAGCATGCACTTCCGCGGATCCTTGGGCACTTTCGCTTGATCGTCGACCGCGGCGTCCTCCGCACATAGGTGGACAAGACCAAAGCTCCTTGCCCAAAGCTTGACTACATGGGCCTTGAATGAAGCAGTCCATAGGCGGCAAATAACAGACTCGCAGGAGGGCGTGCTTCGGCTGAAAGTCCCCGTTCGAAATAATGATCAGAGCCTGCTGTACGAGGATTGCTACCGACCGTGACACTGTAGCGAGCCTACAGCCTAATTGACTATTTTAAGCATTGTTCTGCAGCGCCGATCAGCGACTACCTTCTGGAGCATGTGTAACGGCCTGAGTTTGGCATGGATGGGCCTGCTGCTGGCAGGGTATTCTTTGTTTTGCTTGTCTTTGCCAGTCCACGTCAGGAAAGCTTGACCGCTCGGCTGAGCGTGTCGCCACAGTTACGCAACCTGTGGCTCATCACCCGTCGATCTTGCCTTTCTTTGAAACGGACCCGAATCGCCGGAAAGACCCCTCTTTGTGGCGGTGCACTCTCATACTTTACGGGGTCCAAGGTTGGGCGATCGTGTGCCGACCGTACCTCAGTCAATCATCAGTCAAGTGACAAGCAAGCGTAGACGCTCAACCATGGATCACCGTCAGGCGATAGGCCATGAGCAGAGCATTACACGGCTTGGGGCCTTATTAGCTACGACACATTGATAGCGGTAATTGGACCTCGGGAGGACCTGTTGTTGCTGCCTAGGAGCTGGGATGACGTATCAGAAGGCCCTCCTTGCAAGACGGCATCGTGAAGCATCTCGAATAATGCCGACAGCAAGCGAGCCACACTATGGCTTGCGTGTGATGTGGCTGCCGCAGATCAATACCGAAAGGCGGTTTGGCGCCACAAGACCCTGTTGTCAAAAGGGCAATGATAGACGCTTTTGGGGGCCATCACGATCCCAGTATAAGAAGCGCCACACTCCACGGCGACGCTAAGGCATGCCGGTGAGGGTCTAGATTTCTCAAACGCCTCAAGCCAACGGGTTGTCCCCTGCACCTCGTCCAGTCTACCGCCCGAACTTACGCGCTTTCAGTTTTCATAGAGGAATGAAAAAATGATCATCAGTTCCTTAGTCCGCACGAAGACTACTGCTACTGCTACTACCCCTCGACATCCTTGTGCCCGTTGCAAGCCAGGCCCTATCCGTCACTCTGGCGCGCTTCTCAATATCCATAATTAATTTACGAGCAATCTCCCGGCTCTTCCAGCCTCCAGGTTCGACTCGATTCTTCAGACGCTGCAATTCACGCACCTCCACGATCTGCCACACGCTTTCTACATGCTGCAACACAGCCACACTTAGGAGCATTCAACCTCTCATGTCTTCCACCTTAAGATCAATCTAGCATCATGTTTCGCAACAGGTAAATATCTCTATTCTTCAATGCTCATCAGCCCCATCTAGCTCACACCACCCCATAGGAGAAATTCTCAAAAACCCTCCAGCGAGCTCTATGCCACCTTCAGGAAGAGCTATCCCAACGTAGGGTCTGGGACACCTAGTTCTCCCTTTGGAGAAACATCACCCGCTCACAGCAAATCCCCGGCGCAAATCAAATCGATGCAACAGATAATGGATCACAGGTGCGTAGGGTTTGGACGCATGTCCCTTTCCAAACGAAAGACTTTTCCGTTGAAGCTGCTTGCCACCGTACTTACTGCCACTTTCGGATTTCAATGAATTTGAATAAGGAAACTAATCGCCCTGTCAATGTAGTGCCGACTACCATGGCGAACGAGAGCAACAAAAACCTCACGAGCCTTCGATCCACGACCACGATCAATGGAATCTTACGCCTTCAGTATTGGACTCAAACTCATTCTCCTTCTCTCAATTTGCAAACCACGATCCTGTCGAATTCACCGCGACCGGAACTGCGATGGGCCCAATGTTCCACAACCGGGCGGGCGACCTCCACACTCCTGGTTTTGGGATCCAACTCGGTACTCCTCTGACAACGAGCGACAGTAACCTTTCAATGATTGATCCCCATGGGCTACATGGCAGCCTATTGCATCAACACGCTTTCCACAGCGCCCAGGAACTTCACCTTCAGCAATCATATGCGCCGCACGCATTTGTGCATCGAGATTCTGGCTATGAGACGATGGGTCCATCAAAAAGCCTCTCGGCTGGTCGAGGATCGGACGCCGCGCAGGATGCATTGGTCAGCTCGCATTTCTCGCATCATGATGCTAGCGTCAACGAGATGAATTGTCATGAGGTATCATCAGGGGAGAAGTGTGTAGAACCCTGTCTTCTCGAAAAGAAGGACTTTCCGGGACTAACATGTGTGGAAAGGCTCCGATATCGTGTGACGCTAAACGCTGCGACGGCCATGGTGAAGCAGTCAACAGAGATTCCAGTCACCTACCTCAACAAAGGTCAAGCTTATGCCCTGTCCATACATGACACACTCGGCTCAGGACCCGCTCCTGGGCCTTGCAAATATCGCACGATTGTCAGGGTTTCCTTTGAAGACGAGGAGCAGAGACAGAGGCCGTCAGCCTGTTGGCAACTGTGGAAGGAAGGCCGTGGTACTGCCGAGGCACATCAGAGAGCCGGTAAACTCCAAGCTGTTGAGTTTGTTGACCAGCATCAAGGGGCCGATGGTGATCAGAAGCGACCAAGGATCGACCTGGACATGGCATCATTCGACTCATTCGCTGTCACTTGGAGTCCTGCAGCAGGCTCTGCTACTGCGGATTGTACAGTGGCCGTGCGGTTTAATTTTCTATCGACTGATTTCAGCCACTCCAAGGGCGTCAAGGGAATCCCCGTCCGACTCTGTGCAAAGACTGAGCTCATCTCTTCAAATACGCCGGAATCGACTCCTGGATCGACTGCCGAAGTCTCTTACTGCAAAGTGAAATTATTCCGAGACCACGGCGCGGAGCGCAAACTTTCCAACGATGTCGCACACATCAAGAAAACCATCGACAAGCTAAAACAACAGATCACTCAAGTCGAGAACGGATTGAAAGACGTCGGAAAGCGGAAACGGCAAGATTCGACAGTCGCAAAGCCATGTAGCCATCGAGCTGGGAAAGCGCCAAAGCATCGAAGAACCTGGTCTGTGTCTTCCAATGGCTCGAGCGAGCGACCCACCATCGAAGACGATTTACACATCAAGCTTGCCACTTTCCAAGATATGTTCAGCTCGACACGACCCGTCAGCGTGCTCCATCTGAAAGGCGACAATGAAGATGATCCCGACGACTATCCAGTGTCTTTACCTGGGCATCCTCTAGATCTAGCGAGCATTCCCATGATCGAGCGCAGACCTTCGTATGAGACGGGAAGTCTAAGCGGCCAAAGTACACCTACACCATGCAAAGCAATCTCTCCCGTCTCCGCAACGCAACCCAACATTACGACAGAAACTTCCCAACAAGGCCTGTCTGCCTATCAAGGATCTCTTGTCATGGAGCAACTTCATCCTCACTCCGACTGGGATCATCTGACTCATGTTTCTAACCCCAATTTCACCTACGATGCACCGACCAAGGTAACGAGGCACGACGACACGCATAGCCTTCCTGCTTGGATCGAAGCATCCGGGGTTGATCATTCATATCAAGCGCCACCAGAACGAGCGAGCAAGCCTATCGCCTGCTGCTACATTCGAGGCTCTCTACCGAATAGTAAGGCACAGCCTGACTACTACCAGGCGGTCTACTTGATGGAGAGGACAGCAAGGCACTTGATCAAGGGTGTTGCTACTAAGTGTGACGTCGACCCGGCATCTATCGCCCGTGCTTTACGAATTGATCCGAGAGGATTGAAGATCATAATCGACGATGAAGTGGTACGCGAATTACCGGAAGGGCAGGATATGATCGTGGAACTCATAGAGCTTGACGGTGTTTCGAAGCAAGAACCGGGCTCGGGCCAGGCCACCCCCCTCTCAAGGCCAAATCCATATTTCCAGAATGCGAATCTCGAATTAAGACTCATGTTCTAAAAGCAAGCTCCTCTTTCGACAACGGCGACCACGATCATTATAGACCGATCATCCTGAGCCTCTCGTCTTGTCAACGACTATGACTGCCCACAAGCAGAAACTCTTTCCAACTGAGATACCCCATGAGAGCGGTATGCATCCAGCCGCTCTCGTTACCACAGAATGTACGATAGCGAATATTTTATGATGGACGGATTTTTTGATTTTGGTTTGAAGGATTATACCCAGCTGAGGAACAGCTCGCACACGTTGAACGCATTTGTTATAACGACGGTAATGAAAACGTACACACACACGACAGATACCACCATCACATATCAACTAATAATCCTGGCTCATGGCCTTTCTATCTACTTCGAGTACATGCCTTTTTACCGAGTTTTCGACGCTCAGGGACATAATATTTTGATACGTTGAGAGGACTCGCAAGGTGCGAGGTTGCGAACCTTTTTACATGACATTGAGAGCTAGACAAGATAACCGCTGCCGAACAGGCGTAGCTATATTCAATTTCGACTTTCCTGATGCCCTTAAACCCCCTGTCTCGTAGCATTCGCACAAATCTGCGTCCTTGCTGGGTTGGCCCTTAATTCCCGCAAGCACATAATCGCATCCGCACTGACATCACAACGAACGTCATGCCCGGGAGAGTCTAGCCTGCGTAGGATTCGTAGGACCCTGCAGACTGAGAGAGAGGAAGATTGGCTGGAAAGGAGATTAGTACTCTTTAGGCACCGCATCGGTGGAGCCACATGATTGTGGCGTAGGGGATGAGGCCGGCCAGGCCTTCTCCGAGCACGTCTTACTCTTTCGGTTGCCGGCAAGTCGCACTAGACTAGCGCTTCGCCCGTGCGCCACGATTTCCAGATGGGGGACGACAATCGACCGAGACAATCCTCACTCGCGCTCTCAAATCAAGTGCCCATTTCCAAGGTTCAGATTGGGAATGATGCTGCAATTGCCCGCCATATCTCATCATTCTCTGTCGACCCTTTGAATTCCCGCTTCTTGTTGACCCTTTCAGTACTTGTACTCTTGTCTTGACTCCAGCATCTTTTTGTGCCGAGCACAATCACTTCAGCTCGCTTTCGTTGCGCTACGGGCTCTCTGACGAAAGATCTATTTCCCTGCCCACGCTGAAAATTGTCGGAAATCAGCATCATCGAGTCCGTTCCGAGGAGCAAGTGCAGCCTAGGCAGAGCATAAGCGTCCTCGATAGCTCGAGGAGCCTTTTCCATATCCCGCGCGAAATCCAGGCAACTTTCAGCGACAGCTTCCCAACCATGTGAAACAGTCATGCCTTGCGGGCGATGTCCAGAGTCGGGATCTAATAAGTCCCAACCTTCGTCTTCCGCGACTTCAGTATCCGCTTCTTTGATACCACAACGATCCACGTTGATGGTAGAAAGCAGTGGCAGTGGGGCTAGGTATTTAAATACTTTGGCGTTGATAATTGGTTGCAACCTCAAATTTAGCACCCTCAGCATCCCAAATGGCGTTGCACATCTTTCTAAGTCTTTTTCAGTGACCATTGAAGCAACACCCTCAGCAGCGTACCTGCCCCATTCCCTAAAGATTGCGACATCAACGCCATGGCCCGGTTCACACGCCACGCCCTCTCCCAGAGTCAGGCAAATGAGATTTCTTAACCCAGAAAGCCCCTGGGTCATCGCCTGCCTCGAGGCCTTCACATTCTGCAACGTCAACACCGCCATCCACTTGCCCAGCGTATTCCTCCCGCTCAATTCCAAAAGTGGTCCCAAATACGCATCCAGTGGATACCTACGGGCGTGTACTATTCGCGTTGTATGTCTCCTCAGGCTTTCGAGCGCCCCATTTCTATTCTCAACCTCGTGACCATTTCCGACCGTCCGCTCTTCTATTGCCTTTTGTGCGCTCGCCTCTCTCCGGCCCATCCTCTCCAGGGCAGGGAATTCTACCTCCAGTTCTTCAGGAAACGTACTGACAAAGGCGCACCACAATCGTGCACTGACGAGCTCATTCCGCTCTAGGTTCAGCCAAAGACTTCGCGCTATTGACCATGGAAGCGTCGACAAGGTTGCCTTCGTGATGGTGCTTGAATGGATCAGAATTGACCGCGTAGCTATCGAAGAAAGAGTCGTAGCGTCCAAAGGATTGAGAAAGTGCTTGTGCTCGTTTGGGTTGCCCCGAGTTCTATTGGGCCAGGACGAAACGGTTGGGGTAGCAGGGACGAGCGTTTCTGTGAATGTCTGACCAGACGAGTCGAAGGTGGTGGTAGATACGGCCATCGCCGCCGTGGGTCGGTGCGGAAAGGGACTACATAGCCAGCAGACGATGTTGAAGTAGACCAAATGAGCTCCTGAGATTTGCTAAGGGCTACAACGGACCCTAGATCATACTATGGCAATGTGCAAGGTATTTATCACAAGCTGATGCAATATGAAGGCGTAGTGATGTAAAAAGAGAGTAAATGATATAGATTGTCAATAATATAATATAAACCATTGCACGCGCCACGTTCGCGTACCTGGACCAATAAGGGGAGCGTACATTTCATCACGTCTGCGTACTACGAATGAATCGGGAGTCTCGTCATCGATCTCATATCGGCATCAACTCTCACCCCACACGTTTCAGTCGTGGCAGTCACTGCTGCCGGTGAGTGCCAGAACATGGCCTACTTTGCAGCAACACGTGCACGTCCAATTCAATGACAATGAGGAAGTCCGTCTTACTTCTTCCGCCCTACAGCAACCTTCACTGTTCATCAATTCCGCTCAACCGTTCAAAGCCAACCTCGCAGAATCCGTCTCCAAAAATAAATAGATATCACCAGAGAGCACGTGCATCTACAAACAGTGATGCGAGGTCAGCAGATCTTGGAAAAGAGCATTGCTGGCCAGATTTGCCTCATCCGACCGCAGTACCCACACCCTACCAGATCTTTCATATCAAGCGGGGAGAGCATTACACCAAACATCGCTTCTACCAACTAGTCAAACTGTATCATCCCGATCGATTGCGGAATAATGAGTGTCTGGATCATATCTCTGCTTTACCAGGGATGGTCAAGATAGAGCGCTATCGCCTCATTGTGGCCGCGCATGAGATTCTGTCCGATCCTGCCAGACGGAAGGCGTATGACATGACGGGCACTGGCTGGGGCGGGCAACCAAACCACGACCATGCTCCATACTATTCAACAGCATGGCGTAATAGTAAATGGTCAGGATTCGATACAAATGATTCGCCATATTATAACGCAACGTGGGAAGACTGGGAGAAGTGGTACCACCGAGGCGAGACAAAGAGCCAACATACGGTCTATACATCCAACAGTGGCTTTCTCACCATTGTTGTCTCGGCGGTCTTTCTTGGTGCATACGGTCAGAGCCTACTGATTGAGCAACATGATTCTACCTTCAAAACTCAGATAAGGCAGACGAATGACCACGCGAGCTTCCAACTACGGTCGAGAAGAGAAGCGTCACAGGATCTTGTGAAAAATGATAGAGTCAAACACTTCCTGACGTCGAGGCATGATACAGGGTATGGCGCATGGTATACGGAAGAACCTGACGAGACGGTCCCAGAAAAGCGTATGGGCATTCAAGACGATATACCCAAACAAGAAGAGGGTGTTGTAGCGTCAATTGCAAAATGATAAATCGCCCACATTCTTTGTGTACATGATTTGAGCCACCATGGCATGCGCCACAGGCAGCAGCCGAGGTATGACGCACTGACAAGTCAGATCAATCGAAGCATTTCACTGTAGTGAGTACCTCGCACAGTACAAGACCGGCATGTAACGCCCACACTGTCTGGCGGGGCTTAGAAAACGTTACGCTGTGTCCGGTCGTATGACAAAATGGCAGCCCAATTGCCTCAGCTATTAGAGATCGAGAAGTTGAGCCCTCGAGTAATACGGATATTGGGTGGAAATCCCGGCAAATTTACACTACAAGGCAATCAACAAGCATTCAAGTACTATCGAGACTGGCTCGCTGAAATATGCAGGTACCGACACTTATCTGGTCGGCACTGGCTCTGATCGTCTTCTGGTTGACACCGGCGAGGGCAAGCCATCTTGGTTTGCTGCATTGTCTTCCGTGCTCAAGGCAGAAAATGCAACTATCTCTCATGCTTTACTTACGCATTGGCATCCCGATCATGTTGGCGGCTGTGGTCAGCTCCATCAGATATGTCCGAATGCCATAATTCACGAGAATGAGCCAGCTGAAGGCACGGAAGATATCGCGGACGGCGAAAGCTTCAAAACGGAAGGCGCAACTCTTCGCGCCTTCTATTGTCCCGGTCACACCACCAACCATATGGCTTTCGTTCTTGAGGAAGAGTCCGCCATGTTCACTGGCGACAATGTTCTAGGCCACGGCACAGCTGTCTTCGAGGACCTCCCGACTTACCTGCAAAGTCTCGAGCGTATGAAGGAGCAGTTTACTGGCCGTGCTTACCCGGGCCATGGAGCTGTAATTGAAGACGGACCCGCGAGAATACGCGAGTACCTTGTGCATCGAAAGGAGAGAGAGCAGCAGGTCTTGCAGGTACTGAAAGATCTGGATGAACAAGGCGGAGCAACACCAATGGAGATTGTGAAAGTGGTGTATAAGGACTACCCGGAGAACCTTTGGGAGCCAGCGGCGAAGGGTGTGCTAGCTATCTTGCAGAAGTTGGAGGGTGAGGGGAAGGCTGAGCATGTCGGAAATGACAAGTGGAGGATCACCAAGAAGCCGACGTTGTGAATCATTAAGTAGTGGTGGTAGTAGGCATCTAAGATGAGTTCTAGCTTCCTAGGCATCTGCAAAGCCTTGATCTACTTGCACCTGTCTCTTAGACTTACGTCCTCTTATTGCAAAGGTCTTTCAAATATCAATGTAGTGGAGTCTGAACTAAACCCAAAGTACATATGCCTACAGAAACAAAGATTAGTCAATCATTTAAGCCGTCACTGGCGGCGATATGATGGATCACTAGCGCAGTAATCTCTCGATCTTTTTGGTTATATCACTTACACTTTTCTCTTATAACTTCTTTTCCAAAAAAAAAACTGAAATTAACATTGATATTATAAGGGCGTAATATTAACATTCTAGTTAGAAACTTTAGGAACCTACATATAAATACATTCAAATTAAGAGAAACTACTTGGCTTTCTTAGCACTACCTAAGTCATCTCTATTAGAAACACGCAAATTTATAACCCCCTTTAACATTTTTGAATATAATGAAAGTGAACCAACGTAAGAAAAAAAGGCCATAGGAGTTAATGCGTGTAGATCTATTTTGTCTGTGAACAGTCTACTTCGAAGCTCTTAGATAGATCGCTAGAGGTAGAAATACATCTAATATATAATTTAGAGTCAACCGAAATCGGCGGCAGGCTATATATCGTCTTTCCATGGCTAGAAAAGTGCTTTCAAAAGACGTTAGCATAATTTAATGATTCAACAATTCAGTCTACGCAAGTAGTCACAATCTTCAAACCGTCAACTGAACTAGGAGTCTACTGAACTGTTGCCATCATAATTCGGAGGTGCCTCCGCGACGGTACAAATCATAGTTGTCGGAAACAGAGCGACAGAATTATAGTGATCTTCACAAGAATGTCAAAAGAAAAAAGCAAAGCATTGTAACAGCAGCGAACGTCTTGCAGTAGGAGTGGTATTCCTAGGCAATTTTTGCCTCGCCATCGTAACAGAATTGAGATCTCCCAGTCAATGGGAAAAGGGCAGAATAGCTGGCAAAAAGTCAAAAACATACAACAATCGACATTCGCTGGTCGTCACCGACCCAACTACTACTCAATCGGTACACGGTTTGACTTTGGGTGAGCTGACGGGAACCCGTATTGTCCGTGTCCTGTGGTCGTATGTATCAACAAGATCGATAATTACGTAAATATACCGTAAACCCAAATGGTGAAGGAAACGCATCGCTTTTTTTCGTGCAAATCTTTTGAAGAAAGGAACACACGTTAAGGAAACGCAGAGGCACCGTACTACCCAACGAAGGTATACAACTAATGGAGGGAAAGTCGAGAAGCCGAATCCCACGAGATCTGCGAGTTGTAGTCATTGCATTTGAAAAAGAGACAGAACGATTTGTCAGTCAACGAGCACTTGCGTTATCCAAGACGGCCATATCACAGCCGTGACTTGAGCATATTCCTCCACAGAATGAAAGTCTCGGACTTCAGGTGAACTGCTGCGTACTGATCCTACTGGCCGGATACCCACCAGGCATATCAACCTTGCTGGATGTCATGCTATCCTGAGTATTCAGCACTGGCCGATCTGCCAAGTCTCTGAGCGGTTCAGCGGGATCCGCAGAGTGCTTCACGACAGGAAGCAGGGATTGCCCCTCTGTCGGGGTGTCGACAGCATCGTTGTTCGCAGGACTGATTATGGGACTGAAGTTGGAGAGCTGTACGGCAGCTTGAGCACTAGCCGACGTATCGACTGGCGGAACGCTTTTTACGACGGTTGCCGGTGCTCCGACGATGACAGATTCCAAGCCAGGTTGTTGCTCCAGCTGTCTCTCGTGCTCACGTTGGCGCGTGGCTGCTGCAGCGGCAGCCATCCCTCCTGCTCCTCCGATCGTTGGAGCCATCCATTCGCCGTACTTACTATCGTGTCTCTCAAGCGCACTTGGCGGCTGGACCGGTATTGTGTATAATTTTGCTCCTTCGTCTCCGGTATCACCGACACCAGAGCTTGGCAGTGCCCCAGCAGCAGCTATCACGTCTCGGTCGCCGGAATTATCTGAAGGACTAGACGGCGCAAGAGGCACTTGTGAGTCTCGATGGATGTTCAGATTGCTCGGGAAACGCCCACCTGGATTGGGGCGTTGCGGGAGCTTCTCTGTTGAGGGCTCCGCTTGCGATGCTGCGGCAGAGTATGGCACTTGGTCTGCCTCGTCTTCGTCAAGAGCACTGCCTTCGCTGACGGAGCCTGCACTGATTGAACGAGCATGTGTTCGTCTTATGAAGGCGTCTCGCTCAATGCCAGTCTTTTCGGTCAGGTTTTTGATGTCAGAGAACCATGCCATCATTGTATCGTAAGACTCAGCCCGAAATACCCAGGCGTGTGATTTGTGCAAACCACCACTTTGCCGGCCCTTCAGCATGAATTTGTGGGAAGTAGAGTCTGCGCTTGACCGCGAGCCAAGCTTTTGTTCTATCAATGGAAGAGACATGACGGGGGCTTGAGTAGACAATCGATCGGGCGATTTGAACTCGTGTATGTGAGTCGGCGTTAGGACGTACCTGCAAAAGTAAGCAGATTGTTCTCGTTTTGTTTGAAAGGAAACGTACCATCCTGGGGTGTAGCTCTTGAGGTACTTGCTCTTACGCTCAAGCATTCCAGCCCGGACTTCAGCAGCTGCTGGCTCCTCCTTTCCAGGATATGTGATGTTTTCATGTTTCCTTACTGGTATTCTAGGGTCAATAAATGCATCGTTTTGAGATACAAAAGATGTCCATTCGTAATCCTTTGCCAGCGCCAAAGGACCAGTCTGCAGGTCCTCTATAGCTTCATAGCCTTCATCAGACTCCCTTTTCAATATTCCAGCGTAAGCGTTGTATGCCTTCTGTATCTCGCCCATGACGATTGATTCTAATTCTCGTCCCGAGCTCTCAAGATTCAAAAATGCCTACCAAGTTAGCTTACACCATGACCAAAATTGACGTAGAGGGTTCGTACTCTATGTAGGTAATTCTCCTCCTCTATCTGCCTTTCCAGCTGCCTCTCAACCCCCAACCGGATGAGGTATGGATCATTCTTTGCGTCCGGCTGTCGATCTGCGAGCGAAGCTTCTAGTGTCCTGATGGCACGCCTCGTTCCTTCGGTCTCTTTGTCTACGTTATTTTTGAAATCGCCAGATAAGCCTTTGATCTCCTTGACCTTCTGTCCCAAGTCACTGCGAAGCCCTGTCAACTGGACAATGACGTCTTCCTCGACTGTCTTCGCCTTGTTCCCTTCAGATATGGACTTTTTATGATAGTCTCGGAGGACGGAGTAGGCATCGCTGATACCGCCCTGAGGTATAAAGCCGGGTGGGGCGGTGATGTTGCTCATTACATTTGAGAGAGAATACAGTGATTTCGACCGAGCATCATATGATTTCTGAAGGTCACGAAAGTAGGTAATGAGATCCTTAAGAACTTTCCGCCAAACTAAGACTGCGCATTAGCTGACTGTCTTTGAGCCTCATGTGGTCAGATGCACCTTGAAAGCGATTTGCCAGGATTTCCGTGGGGCTTCCTTGTGTTGGCACGGGTGTGTAGAAAGCATCATTCAATCTATCTTCGCCGATGCCATCTGCGAAAGTCAAGTCCTTGACGCTGCTTGGTCGACTGCTCTTTCTGCTTCCGCTTCGCTTCACGCTCGCTTTCCTATTGATTGAGCTCTTCTTTTTGAGCGTACCCCCTCGGGAAGGCGTCAAGGTGTGCGATTGAGAGATCCCAGAGTGAGTGCGCCGCATTTCGCTGCTGTCTCCAAAGGTCGAAGAACCTAGCTCTTCATGCTGAGTATTCTGATTTTCGAGGTTGGACTGCGATAAGGGCGAGGATGTATTGGGGACACCCTGGGCGAAGTCGTTACCTCCCACAAGGGATGACATTTTAAAGTCCCGATTTGGTTGTATGGCCTCAATTACGTTACCGGGGTCGAATGAGGGCAACAACCCTGGTCATTCAATTTTGGCGGGGGAGGAGCATTCGCAGCGTGCAGACACTGCGACAAGCCGAGTGACGAATCCGATGGATACTCGCGTCCGGAGATAATTGCTAGGAAGGTAGTGTAGGGGTCTAGAAATATAGAGAGTCGCGCCTTGTTTATGATTGGGAAAGCTTCCGCCACACCGGAAGGAGCTGGAAACACAGGCAGCGTGAGGTTCCGGCTCTGGTTCCTCACCGCTATGGATATGTTGCCACAGTGGCCAAGGGCAGGACGAGGTGTTCAGCAAGGCGGAGTAGGAGATGAAGAGGGGAACACGAAAACGAGGGTCCTATTAAAGCAACAGCTTCATTTCGGATAGCACTAGTGATGGCCGCCAAAGCAGACCAACGTCATTGGCGTAGTTCGGCGTCAACGGGGAGACCGTTCCACGCCTAAAACCCTCAATCATCATCCTCTTGCGCTGAAAGCTGCACATGCAAGACATGATAAATACACGACAGCGTGCTTGGGCTTTACCAAATTTTGACTTATTGAGAGGCCTACACATCTCCTATCTCATCATCATGTCATACGCTCATATCTTGTTAATCAACCGTCGTTCCTTTTTCAACGCTCTAAGTCTTGCAATCACGTCGCTCAGTCCCACTAACTCCCCTTTTGCCTGTGTCGCTTTGTCGTCTCGATTCCTAATATTCACGCTCCTCGCTTCTCTCTCCTGAGCACCGAGCACGAATATGAAATTGTACTGTTGCAATTGTCCAGTGCGAATCTTCTTTTGCATTGTATTTCCGCTCAGGTCCACATCAGCCAACAGCTTGTTCGCTCTCAACAATATTTGTACCTCTTCGCAATAGATGTTGACGGCGGGTGTCACTGGTATCACGAGAATTTGGCGAGGGCTTAACCAGAACGGCCATTTCCCCGCAAAGTGCTCGGTCAGGATTCCCATAAAACGTTCAAAGCTGCCAATGATTGCGCGGTGAATCATGACAGGACGCGCTCGGCCAGGTCCAGGTGCCTTCAATCTTTCTGTTTCGGGTGCGTCCCCATTAGTTGCAGATACTGAAGCGTCTTTTGGCTTTGAAGCAGCCTGGTCTGTCATGTATTCGAGCTCGAAGCGTTGCGGCAATTGGAAGTCCAGTTGGATCGTGGCGCACTGAAAGTCGCGCTTCAAGGCGTCTGAGATCGTGATATCAATTTTGGGCCCGTAGAAGGCGCCGTCGCCCTCATTGAGTTCCCAATCACCGTTTCCTGCGTCTGAAAACCTGTTCAGTGCTGCTTTAAGTTTGGCCTCTGCAATGTCCCAGGTCTGAATGTCGCCAAGAAAATTTTCGGGCCTCGTTGACAGCTTGAGCTTGAAGGGAAAGCCAAAGAGGCCATAGACAGCTTTCAGCATATCGAAAAGTCCTTCAATTTCTTCGGTGATCTGTGAAGAATAAGCTCGATCGTGCAATAGTTCAAAAAAATCCTACCTGGTCTTGTGTGGCGAAGATGTGACAGTCATCCTGCTGGAACTTCCGCACCCGAGTCATACCATGCAAGGCGCCTGACGCTTCATTGCGGTGCAATACGCCAAAGTCTGCCATGCGTATAGGTAGCTCTCTGTAGCTTCGTTCACGATGTCCAAACATGATACAGTGACCAGGACAATTCATTGGCTTAAGAGCCCATTGTCGCTTTTCTACACTTAGTCCGAACATGTCTTCTGAGTAATGCTGCCAGTGCCCTGACTTTTTCCAGAGCTCGGCGTCATACATATTTGGGGACTGCACTTCTTGGTACCCTCGCATGTGGTATTCAGACCTGAGCAGCTTTTGTATGGCATTGAATATTAATGTCCCGTGCGGCAGCATGAAGACAGAGCCAGGAGATAATTCATTGAAGAAAAAAAGTTCTTGATCGATGCCGAGTTTCCGGTGGTCTCTTTCTTTCGCCTCTTCTAAGAACCTTTTGTGCTCAGCCATAAGCTTTTTGTCCGGAAAGGCGACGCCATATATCCGTTGTAGGGAGTCATCATTCTTGTCACCTCTGAAATAGGCTGAGGAATTTTTCATGATTTGAAAAGTTTTTATCTTTCCAGTATTTTGGATGTGAGGTCCCAAACAAAGATCAACAAGTGTGCCGCACTTGTATACTGTACTGCCTTCTGCAGGTAAGAGATTGTCTATATAATACATCTTATACTTGCTGTACGCAAACATCTTTCTTAAGTCCAGTATTGAAACATGCAAACGTTCAAAAGGCTGTTTCTCTTTGAAGAATTTCGACGCTTTGGACTCGAGAGGCGGCCAATCGCTTTCTTTGACCCCTTGCCCTTCAGGTAAGGCCATATCGTAAAAGAAACCTTGATCTACAGGAGGACCGTGCGAAAGTAGACACTTATACTGACACTCTGCCGCCTCTCCTAGGACATGCGCGCTCGAGTGCCAGAAAACGTTCCTTCCCTCGGCACTCGTGAACGGGAGGTAACTGACGCGGCAATCGTACTCTAGTGGCCTGTCGAGATCCCAAAGTTGCTTTCCGTCGACCTTGGCAATCACAACGTCTGCGCTCACGTCTTTATCGACATGCCTCAGGAATGATCCGGGTGTACTTTCCCATGCCTTTGCAGCGACAGGCATTGCCGGTCTTAGCTGTCCGTTTCTGTCGCGCCCCAATTCAAGCGTGACATTGATTGCCGGCTTGTCTTTAGAAAGCACTTCCGCATCACTCTTTCGCTTCAGCTCATCAAAAAGTTGGTTTCGCTCAATTATGAAATCTGGCAAGGACCCATCTGTAGAAGCTGGAGGTTGCGAAGCCATTTTCCCAGCTTTTTTTGCCTTCTCATAGCCCGGCTGTGATTGTGGCACTATCACAGGAGCCTTCAGACTCGCTCTTTTCGACTTCGGTGAAGCAGGGTTCTTTGGTTCTTGTGGGTTAGACCAGGATTCAATTGTAGAATCTGCAGCTGAGGATTTTAAAGCGTTATCATTACGTGACTCATAGGGTCTCTCAGCTCCGCCACTTGATGCTTCCTCCATTTCCCCTGTCAGTTAGTGTTTATGACTCGTTCGAAGTGCCGTATTCAGATAAGTAGGGTATCCGAGCCTGGAGCCCTAGCCCTAATTCCCGCTTATGTCCGGCCTGTTACTAGCTTCAACAAGCCACACCAGGGCTTGAAAGACCTTTGTGCGGCATCCTCTTCTTCACAGATTCACGATGTCTTTCCGTGGCGCGCCTAGAGGTCGGGGGGATAGAGGCGGAGGCTTTCGAGGAGGTTTGTTCCCAAATCCCAAGTGCGAAAAATCCATCATTGACTTTCGCAGGGAGAGGAAATTATCAGCAATCTTATGGCCCACCAGCATCCGTACTTGGTAGGACACCGTACAAGGATACGAATGTTCAAACTGACGATCACCAGAAATCGGTTCATTTGTACACCCTTGCGAGGGTGAGATGGTCTGCGAATCAACGAATCCTAAGATCCCTTACTTTAATGCTCCTATATACCTCGAGAACAAGGTGCGCCCAGATATTCGAAATATGTACTAGGGGCTTACGTGGTTTAGACAACAATCGGCAAGGTGGACGAGGTCCTTGGTCGAATCAACCAAGTCCATTTCACCATTAAACCGCAGGAAGGCATCCAAGCAGGCTCTTTCAAAAGGGGAGACAAATTCTACATAGGCGGGGACAAGCTACTGCCATTAGAAAAGTCGGCGTGTATACCCTGAATTCTCGACCGATTGCTGATTTTACCAGGTTTCTCCCAAAACCGAAGGCGCCCCCAGGCACAAAACCGAAGCGGGCAGGTGGAGCGTCAAGGGGTGGACCAATCCGAGGGGGCAGAGGAGGTGGTAGGGGAGGAATTAGAGGTGCGCCTCGAGGAAGGGGAGGATTCGGCGATCGTGGAGGACGAGGAGGTTTTGGGGATCGTGGAGGACGAGGGGGTGGTAGAGGTGCACCAAGAGGAAGTGGCTTTGGTGGCGGACGGGGCGCTGGGAGAGGTGCCAATGCTACACGAGTATCCGGCTCGCGAGGGCGTGGATCATGATAATATTGTTTGGCGTTTGTCAGGTATCTGGAAATATAGCCTTTTTGTGCCGACTGGTCATCGGAAATAGACCACATCCAGACTCCAATTGATCGTAGGATGCTGTCCTAATGTAAAACCTACTACAGTCTATTGCTGACAATCCCTAAAACAATGTTCCGAGAACCAGTCGAGTCATGAATCACATCGTGTATTTCGAGCTATAGATTGTTGGGGACGTTTCGCGTAAGAGCAACTTAGCCCCGCGTAGAGCCACTAAGGTACCTGTTTCCTTGTTTCCTCATCCGGACTATTCAAAGATTTACACGTGCAAGAATTCCTATTGTCTAGTGATGATGTCTCACATCCTCCCATGATTACAGTATACGTATTTTTTGCCCTCTAATTGAAGCGCCAACATGACGACCCACGAAATAGAGAAGCATCCCCAATATGACGACTATGACTACCCCACCACAGCTCCTACTGTCCAAAGTGGGCACCCAGGACACACGACGAAAGAGCAAGATGCAGCAATCTTCTCGCTGCGAACTCAGCTTGAGCAAGCTGGCTATAAGGAGCGCCTCGACACGCTGACGATGCTACGATTCCTGAGGGCGAGGAAGTTCGATGTCGCGGCCGCGAAGAAGATGTGGGTATCAAGACGCATGCTGGACGAAAAGGGTGAAGACTGATAACGCCAACAGGTTCGAGGACTGCGAAAAATGGAGAAAGGAGTTCGGTGTCGACGATCTCGTCCGCAACTTCGAATACACGGAGAAGTCCAAAGTCTTCGAATACTACCCCCAGTACTACCACAAAACAGACAAGGCAAGTCATTTTGATAGTGCAATACTAAGATTACTCGCCCTAGTTGTGATCTGATTACTTGTTCACAGGACGGCCGACCAGTCTACATAGAGCACCTGGGCAAAATTGACCTCCCAGCCATAAACAAAATCACTACAGACAAACGAATGTTGCAAAACCTTGTTGTTGAATATGAGAAGCTAGCAGATCCCCGCCTGCCCGCTTGCTCCAGAAAGTCAGGCCAATTACTGGAGACGTGCTGTACGGTTCTAGATCTTAAAGGGGTGGGCGTCACCAGGGTACCCTCAGTGTATGGATATCTCAGGCAAACGTCTGCAGTGTCGCAAAACTATTATCCTGAGAGGCTAGGACATATGTATTTGATCAATGCGCCATGGGGATTCGCATCTGTCTTTAGTGTGGTAAAAGGCTTCTTGGATCCGGTGACGGTGCAGAAGATTCATGTGCTAGGTAGCGGGTACCAGTCGGAGCTGCTGAAGCAGGTCTCGAAGGAGAATCTGCCGGAAGTACTTGGTGGGACATGTAAGTGTGACAAGAGCTGTATGTTAAGTGATGCAGGTCCTTGGTATGTTTGTTTTCTCTAGACTCGAATAGCGTCCATGGTGCTAAATTTCATACAGGCAAGAGCCCGAATGGATGAAGCCGCCGAAATGGGCCCAAGATGGAGCAGCACAACCGAAGGCTGAGGAGACCAAGCCGACGGAGGCAGCCAAGCCAACAGAGGTGTCCACGGCACCAGCCCCACAACACGGTCTCACTGGAGGTGCAGAAGCAGGCGCGGGCGCTGGACAAGCACCAATGGGCGCATAGACATTGTTCCAAGCATTCATTCACAGCGTTCAGCGTCCAAACCGATACAGCATGATATCAACAAGTCATCCTCACCCAAAACGCCCCCTCAACATCCACTCATCTCAGGTCCCCTGTACAACCTCCACAGCCCTCCTGGCCCGTTCCAGTTTCCCAATCAATTGCGTGATCTCGCCCAATCCCTCCAGTCCCTCCGTCCCCATCTTCCACGTCTTCTCCATCTCCTCTCTCCTGTCCACCCCCTTCACCGCTTCTCCAAACCCTACATCCATCTCCACATCAATGATTTCTTCATCTTCCACCCTCTTCACCTCTCTCCCTGCCTCCAGGCCATTACTCAGTTCCTTCACATAAGCATCCGCGGCCTTCTTCGGCACATCCCTCCGCATGCGCGCTACATTCTCCGATTCGATCTCGAGTCGCGCGTAGAGACCCCTCAATCGCTCCGCGAGGCGGGGGTCGTAGGGGGCGTAGTTTCCTGTTGCTATGTCTTCTTCCGAGTAATTTACCGGGCTCGTTGACTTCTCGTTGGCATTAGAGATGTTGGTGGGGGCTGGCTGGACCAGAGAGGGTGGCGCGTCAAATCCGTTGATCGAGAGATTTGGGAGCGCGAGGAGCAGTGTGCGATGAATGTACTACATTGATGTATGAATGTCAGAACTTGATCAATTTCAGTGGAACAAGCACCCAGCTTAATGCAAAAACACGCGATTGGCGCAAACGTACGTCTTGAACCAATTCCTCGACTTTACTTCTGTACGCATCTTCCCCTTGGGGTGCGGCGGAAGGAGGAATTGCAGTATCAAGTTTTTCTTGTGCAGCAGTGCGGATGTTTGTGAGAAGATATGTCAGGTCGGCGGGAGCTTGTAGATCTATTTTGCGGTGGTGAGGGTCCATGGATGGGATTGGTCTAGGAAGAGGGGTAAGATTGTGGCGGGCTCAACAAGACAAAGACAAGCTTCGATATCTTGCGAGGAGCCAAAGACTCATGTATCATAATAGGGATTCTGATGGCTATATCGGTATTTCCATGGTTTAGCCGCGGTCTGGTTTATATGTTTACATGTTTAATGTACTAATCGGGCTTAGCTCTAGGCTACATGCATTGTCCAGACTCCAGAGGTGTCAGTTACATCATCTATCTACATGACGCTGGAAAGTATTACAGCAATGTTTGGTCAGTGTCTGAGGCAACTGATCGAACCAGTAAGATTAAAGGACAGTCATTGTGATGCTTATGATCTATTGCACTTGTTGGCAGCTTGAATGGATAAGGCCGCCACGTGAGTTCGCTATTCCTACTGCAACTTCACAGTACGTCCGATGACAACACGGGTGTAAGGCGGCTTCAAGCAGAGTCTGTGAAAACACTACGCGACAAAGCTTACGCGTCTGGGAATATATTCATATATTGGAAATCAAGTTAGAAAGTCACCTCAAACAGTCGAGACGCTTAGCCCAACTTTTCTTGTATAGTATGTCTGCTTTAAGAGAGATCAATCTGATAACAAGCGCCAATCAAGGCTTCGGTCTTGATGTCACCAAAATAGCTCATTCATAATCCCGAGCATCAGATGCTTATGGGCTGTTGGTCGCTCACCAAAGGTAAGACACCATCTCATCTCTTTCTAGCCCATTGATCGTGGAGTCCAACGGCTTGGACGTGACATCGTACGACTTCATAGTAGTAGCAACTGGATCAACAGAGTCCCAATTCGGTCGCCTGGACGTCTTGATCAACAATGCTTGTACTTCCATTTATTCCACCGACTCGCATAGACTTCGAAAAACTTTATCTACTAACATTGTCGGCCCAGCTATTTTAATGGACGCTGCCCTACTACTGCTTCACAAGTCATCAACCCGACGGATTAACTTCGTCTCTGGTGTTGTAGGTTCTATCTCCGAGACACTATATCCCAAAACAGCCTACTATGAAATCGGACATCTTGTAATGCTACACAAAGTATCGAAGGCTGCGATGAACATAATCATGTCTCAAGATGTCGTCATGCTTAGGGAAGAATCATTCAGAGTGAATGCGTGCACCCAAGGGTTGTCGGTTACGAATTTCAGCCAAGGGCATGGTCGTGATCCGAGTATAGGTGCTGAAGTCATTTTGAATTTGTTTACAGGTGGTATTGAAGGTACTGGCGGGTACTGGACTGATGAGGGAAGACAGGTTTCTTGGTAGTATTGCGGGTTTAGCGAGGTTTGTTACACTCGTTTCGTATGAGACTTGTTCTCTAGTAGCTCAAATTGAGACCTTCCGACCAATATTAATGGCTCGACGGCCTTGAAGGGAGTAAGTATAACAAGCAAGTTGTTTCATGGCTTCGATTGATGAAACCCCATAGATTCTTCCCACCACTCCCTCAGTCCACACGTTTCCAAGTCGGCTGCAAAAGTTTTGGCGTGGTCAAACTCCTTCACTGTACCAAAGGAAGTACCGAGACTGCCTTTCTCCGCTTCCTCTGAACATATAAGCTGAAAATCTTTATACCGTAGATTCTATTGAGGAAAGATATCAGAATCAAATGCTAGAGTCGGAAAATCAAAAGTGTAAAAACTTAACATCCCAGAACTTCTGACGCTGCGAGTTCGCTCCTTTGGATTCCCCAAAGGAGAAGCGTATCATTCGCAGAAGTTTTCTGACAGAACTAGGAAATTTGCCATAACAATATTCGAACTCACCTTTACAAAAGCGACCCAGTCAGAAAGGCCATTTCTTTCTTCTTCTGTACACTCGGCGATCATTATTCCCGGCGGATGAGACCCAGTCTTTAGATAAAGAGCACAATCATATTTTTTGGCAGCCTTGGTGATAGCCTGGATTTTCTTTCGTGATGTCATATGATGAGTACGGATTAGAGCGCGATAGACCATTCCGGCGGGCGAATTTCTGATTCGGAGACTTGAGAGGCGAGTCTGATGAGATCAGTGTAATTGAGGATGCACGCACTATCCTCTCTGTAGAGATGATTGCGACTCAGGATGAAGGACTAGACAAAACAGTACGCTAAGCTCGATAGAGCTAGGTCAATCAGCCCGATTATTGTCGTCACACAGGGCGAAACGAGAAGATCAAAGAAGGCGTTGGCAGCTCATTCACTCGGAATTCTGCTTGAGATACTGAGAATGTGCTTCGGCGATGCCGTCAGGTTTCAGTGCCGTCCGATAAGGCGGTCGCAATCCATCTGCTGGACTTCGCAGTCGCCTCAGTATATTCGATCTGTAATGGCCTATTGCCAAACATTACAGGGAAAGACTGTGTTTGTACCTGCGGCCGTACGCTTTTCGTTCTCTCTCCATAAACGTCAGAAAGCAGTCTGGCAAATTCTGCTACTTCGAGCAACCTGCCTGCACCCGACTGGAGCTGTCTGAGCCCGTCAACATCAGAGGTTGTAAATTCTGGAAGGGTGATCTCAGGTATCATAAGTAGGATCTGCTGAAGTGTTTCGTCATTCTCTCCAATCCTCCGGCGAAGGGCAAGAATTGCCACTATGATCGGTATGTGGAACTCCTTTTTGTCGAAACACTTTGCAATGTAATGCAGTAGCCGCACTTCCTCGATTGTTGTTATGCGTAAGGTACCGAACATGTCTTGGCGCAGTTGCTCCACTCGGAGCGAGAGGTCGTAGCTGGCTCTTTCTGCTCCGAGTTCTGGCAGCTCCTTGTACAGATCTTGATCTTCGAGGTCAACCAGAGTAGCGATGCTGTAATTTCCGATATTAACAAGTGAACCATAATGGAGATACTCGTGATCATAGAGGTTATGAGACATCTTTGCCTCATCTCGAATATTGTACATTCTCAAGAGACTCATTGCAGGAAATATTTTTTGACGACTTTTTCCCCTAGTGTCGAAGACGCAAAAACAGATGTTGGATTCACGGCAGTTATACTTCTTCCGTATACCATGTCGCAGCACAAATAGAAATGAACTCGACCAAGAGCTGAATTCTGATGGTATCCCATAATCCCACGAAAGATGGGCTTCGAGCATTGTCTTCATGTCTTTCAACGGTAGCTCATCAATTGCTGCTTGTGCGGCGGGACAGTGGATCATTGCGTGGTCAATAGCGCCTAATGGATTCCTTCTCGAGAATGGCACCGAGAATGCGTGGGGAACTATAGCGTTCCCCGAGTTCCTGCCAGAAGACTGGTCTGAGAAAGCGCGGAAAAGGTAGCGAGGGACAATGTTTGTAGACTCTGTGCCACTGTCAAACAAGATTTCACAATCGTCGGCCGTGTGTGACATACTTTGATCATTCAATGAGTCAGATGAGGCCGCCATCAGTCAATTACAAACTTCAGAAATGCACTGAGTTGACTTCCGACACAAGTCTTTCAATAACTGTGTTTTGAAATAGAAGGAAAAGTCTTGCAGATTTACAGAGTGATGCCTGACCAACAAGGTGTAGATTATAAAGAAGGTCATGATGAATGGCAGAAGAAGGTAAGAGCGATTGTGATTGAGCGAGCAAACGAATTCACATGGAGGTCTTGCCCAATGAGAGCAACCTTCTGCAGCATTCAATGCAATGGTACCAGATGATTTGACCTCGGACATTGAACTGTCCAATTCGAGTGCCAATACTTCCGGTCAAACATCCTCAGTTGAACAGGGACATCATCTGCAGATGACAAGTCTTCCTCTCCAGCCAGCATCAGTATCGACACCAAGCCGCTCTCAGAAAAGCCAGCTCCTGCAACCATTACGTAATGAATACTTCTATGGCAATGTCGCACTCGTGATGCTATCAACTATCAGCACCCCCGCGGTCATCCCAAGACCTGAGTTCTCTTACAATTGCTTTTAAGGGATGAAGAGAGGAGAAGCCTGTCACTTAGGGGAAAACGCGGGTCTAGGCTCGCCGCTACGGGGCGTTGGACCCCCTAAAAGCAAGTTCTAGCGGGGAACGAAGCCTAAAACTCTCCTTAAAGCAAGCGCCTTTACGAGTATCGCGCTATCGGACTCATTACGTCTTCCCTCGGTTCTGAAGTAAGCTTTGTTCCTCTCACTTGTGGTAAATACTCTTTCAGAATGTATATATTAGACGCTCATTTCGCTCTTCCTGTCGTGCTCACATATCCCCCCTCCCTTTTGCTCTGCTTGTGCACCTTGATTGCCATACCCAACTTACAATTGCTGCATCCGTCCGATATTCACCGACTCTAACACCTGTCTCCATTTCCTACCCTGACGATGGCATATCCCACCACCTCCATCCCCTCAAAATTCCTCTCTCATCCCCACGATCTCGGCGTCATCGCCGTAGGCTTCTCAGGCGGCCAATGCAAGCCCGGCACCGAAGCCGCACCGACCGCCCTCCTCTCCGCTGGCCTGATCTCCCAGCTCCAAGACGATCTGCATTACACCGTTCACCACGACAACACCGTACATACCTATGCCTCTCTACTCCCTTCACCGGACTCAGACACTCCATATCGAGGGATGAAGAATCCGCGTGCCGTGTCTGCCGTGACTAGGGAGCTGAGCAGACAAGTGTACGAGCAGGCGAGGGAGGGACGGATGGTGTTGACTTTGGGCGGCGACCATAGTATTGCGATCGGGACAGTTAGTGGGAGTGCGAGAGCGGTGTTGGAACGGTTTGGGGGGCGGAGAGAAGTGGCGGTGATTTGGGTAGATGCTCATGCCGATATAAACACGCCGGAGACGAGTGGCAGTGGAAACGTGCATGGGATGCCAGTGGCGTGGTTAACGGGTTTGGCGAAGGAGGGAAGGAAGAGAGAAGACGTTCTTGGGTGGTTGCCGGGGGAGGGGAAGGGCGAGCGAGAAGAGGAAGTGCCGTTGAGTTTAAAGAAATTGGTGTATATTGGATTGAGAGATGTGGATGCGGGGGAGAAGGAAATTTTGAGGACGCATGGGATTTGTGCTTTTAGTATGCACGATATTGATCGGTGAGTAGATCTTCCAAGTACCCGCAAATTTCTAGTCTTGCCTATTGCTGATGGTGATGGCAGACACGGAATAGGGCGCGTTATGGACATGGCGTTGGCACATATTGGGACGGATACGCCAATACATCTTTCATTCGATGTGGATGCTTTGGATCCGCAGTGGGCGCCTTCGACGGGTACGCCTGTGAGAGGAGGCTTGACGCTCAGAGAAGGCGACTTCATTTGCGAATGTGTGCATGAGACTGGAAGTCTTGTTGCGATGGATCTGGTGGAAGTCAACCCAAAATTGGAAGAACAAGGTAAAGAAGAGACCGTCAGAGCTGGAGTCAGTTTGGTAAGGTGTGCACTGGGCGATACGCTGTTGTGACGAGTACGACCACTATCTTTAGTCAAATTATCTAGAGCTGGAGCAGGTGAGGACTTGCAATAGAGAAAGGTATCAGTCAGGGACCGACTTCAAATTAAAAGAACGATGAATGATTTCATTTCGCTACGCTTTGCCCTGCCATGCCAAACGCCTGTACCCCATCGTTACACGCATCGTTCATAGATGCTGATCTATTTACACGGCCGTGATCGACACATATATGTAGTACGAGCCATTCACATTCCCTTCATAACACCATCTACAACATCCCCAAGCATCTTCAAATCGCATCCTCTGCCCACCCCTTCTAGCACCTTCAAGTCCGTAATCATTTTTTCCCTACTGACGGTCTCTCCCCATTCCCCCCCACAAGCACAATGTTCCATGAATTCATTGACTCTCACTCCCCTACATTTCTTACACTTAAGATCCTGAATCTGCCACCCGGTGACCATTTTCTGCACTCTCCCAATCAATTGCTCTTCAATTGCTAATTTATCATAAGGATGCCGGCAAGTTGGGCAAAGCCAAGGTTTCTGTCTTACTGCCTCCTCCACAGCGGCACCACCGCTGGATGTCATGGAAACGTCAGGTATAACGTCGTCGTCCCGGCACAAATTGAGGTCGCGTGACATGGTACACCACTCGCAAGTCACACCCTCAACCTTGCAACTTGCGCTTGGGTTCTCCCACCGCGCTTGAGCGGAGAACTCACGCACCTCGAAGAATTTGAGTACATCGGCGCGAAGTAGGCGTGTCTCCAGATTGATGGACTTGTCGAGCGAGAAGACGTGCATTATGTTTTTCACGAGATGGAATACTGGGGAAGCGTTAGAAAGGTCCAAGTGAGAGCCAGGAAGGATAGGGAAAATGTAGTCGGTAGCAAGGTCAGGATGGGTGATTTCTTGGCGATGGCGAGATATTAAGTGAATAATTGACTTTTTTAGAGGCCTGGATATGGACTTGCTGAGGACGTCGGTGGGCTTGTCCCTGGATGAAGAATCAGGATCTTGGGTGAGGGAGCGAAAAGGGATTTGGGTCGGCCTTGAGGGCTGAAAGGAATCTTCGCCGCCAATGGGTGTCTCACGGCGGGGACATTTGAGCGAGTGCATCAGATCTATAAATTCGACTATCCAATCGTGAAATATTGTCTGGTATTGTGCAGGAAGGAAGGTATTGAATTGCCAGTGCATGATGGTGTCGAGCTGTTGGGCTTCTGCTTCAACGACCTCCTGACAGGCTTTTCCGCCGTAGTTGTGTTCATCGTACCAGACCAGATAGTCCCAGTACTCCTTGATATCAAGATCAAGAAAATGAAACAGAGGCTTCGCTTTAATAGATTTGAGAATATATTGACTGTAAGCATAGGCGTTACCGACTTCTGCTTTCGTCGTTTGAAGTAACAGCCGGCCGGTGTTGGCGAAAACAACGTGGGAACCTACACGTCTGAAATCTGTCATGAGCTGTTGAAAAGCCTTTTTCGACATCATTTGCACGTAATATTGGAGAGACTGATCAAAAAGGAACGAATCGGGGCTCTCAACCCAACGGACGAGATGCTGAACCATAATGTCGGCCATTCCACTGCCTTTGCAGGCTTCCGTCCACCATGCTTTGACCATCTCTCTCAGAACCATGATACCGGCTGATGCAAATGCATTGTCAGAATACAGCACAGCTGTTCCGTCGCTTGGGCCGTCGTCTGCAGGCGGTGCATTACTGAACGCAACAGAGTCACTTCCCTCAAGTTCGTTGATCAAAGAGGACGTCAAGAGCGTATTGATAGCGAGGTTCTTAACATTCAGTTCAATGCACACAGAAGAGTATGTTCCTGGGTTATTGACTGCTGGCATCTCAACTTCTTCCATTCTTCCTGCATAATTGTCTTTCTCATAACCTGCGTGGTCGGGTAGGGGACCGCCAGACCACCAAAGCACGACATTATTCTTCTGCAACCTTCTCGCGTAGGCAATATCAATCAGAAACCGAGGATCATCCCTCTCAAGATTGCAAAGCGGAACATCGCCATATCGGGCAAGCTCGATCAGATGACTGATCCACGAACCGAGCGCAAGGTAGTGGGTTACAACTCGTTTGACTACAAAGCCTTGCCAACCAAGTAGCGGAGGCTTGCTGTCTGACGGCTCGTGTTTGAGAGGCAAAACCGGGAGATCGTTGAGTGAAGGTATATCGTTAAGTAGGAGTTTTCTCCGTGGAGACTGCAGGACCAACAGAGCAGGTTTGTTCTCGTCTTTACGCATCTTCTTGATAGCATCACTAACGTCGGTATGCAACTTTCGCTTTGTGCGGACTTGCACTGTCTTGAAACGAATTCTTTCTTGATACTCAACTACGTTTTGCCATCTTTCTCCGCCATTCTCGTCAAAGCGCTTGGCTAGCAGATCCGCATACACTCTGTCAGGATTTGGAAGCCCTTGTGTATCTTTCTTGCGATCAAAAACGAAAATTTGAGCGTCATCTTTGGCAGTTGAAAATAAAGCAATAACCTCTCGGTCGCTCATGACCATATGATAGAGAAATACGAAGTCCATTTCAGTCTCGGAGAGATACGGTTGCTTCGTTGATTCTCGGCGAAGCGCTGTAAGATCAAAGCCATGCTCAAGACCTTGACCTAAGACACCCTTTTGACCTTCGTCAAAGGAACAGATGCTTCCCAACTGAAGGACTGCTCTAATGCTCAGGGGGACCTGTTTTTCATAGATGCCCTCGACGCTAGGATGATGGAAAAGGTCGCTCAATTTCTCTGCTTCTCGTACATACACCTCCTCTGGCATGACTAATTTGAACAGATGAACGGAAGGATGGCCATTTGGTAGCGTGTGCGTAACTTTTTCGGCAACACAACCTTCTATCTCGATGTCTGGGAGCTCGTCCCCTCTGAAATTCAGAAACAGCTGTCGAGGTACCTTGACTGTCAAGGCGTGCACCTTCCTGTCAATCAAGACAAAGGCACGAAGAGCCCCAGGAGACTCGGACTCCCTGACTTGAAGGAGTTGCCAAGTATTGGTGAAGAGTAGCTCGGCTTGATTCATGAAGTAACCACTCAGGCTATCAGACACAGCATTACCGCGCTCGCCAAACAGCTGACGTCGCCTTATGCGTGCCTGCTTCTGAATTTTCCACTTCTTCTTTTGATACTCTAAGAAGCCAGCATAATCCTTCGTAGGATCGGGCATCTTGGATGGAAGGCTAGCATAGGGGTCTAGGCTCGTCTGCGATTCCCTTTCTGGCACCTTTCTCTTCTGTACTAGGCGTGCGACTTGACCGTTCTTCGCCCTCGCCAATTGGGTCGAGCCAAAGTCTTCGAGATCAGTAGGTAACCGGTGATCCATAGTATTAGGACTTATGTTTGATAGTGGTTCTCTTGTGAAAAGGTCAGTCATCTTTTTCTGCTTCATCTTATCGTCTTTGATATTGATTCTACGCTGAAGCCAGTCTGGGTGATTGACACGTGGGACTGGGTTACGTAGCTTCTGTAGTGCAGCCGGTATAGTGATCAACTTTTGCACCACAGAGCCAAGGCGGTCGAGGTAATAGTCCCAATCAATTAACGCGCGAGGGTTCATATCGGTAGGGTCCTCTCGGAGCCATTTGCGAAGAAAATAACGCTTGACCTGATCGTCAGCTGCAAAGATAGTCGTGGGTATTGCTCGTTCGGTCACAGGAGCGTTTCTAGGTCTAGCTGCAATGATGTACTTGCAATTCAGGCCTTTGTCTTTGACCATTTGCATGCCCAGGAACTCAGCTAATCTCTTTGCCGTAGTAATGGAGGTGGACTTTTGGGTGCCGTATTCTTCAAGCGTCTTTGACATGCTCCGATTTTCACAGATAAGATCGATCAATTCTTCGTCAGCAAGGGTGGAGCCATGCTGATGAAGTACATCAAGCCATTGATTAGCGACCTTAGCAACAGAAGCGTAGGTTTCCTCCAGTGATGCGCCTTCGAGGAAAAATTTGAAAATCTGAGTTTGAAAGATTTTGATCAGTTTCAGCTCTCCTCTTCGCTTGACTTCGAAACCTTTCAATTCAGCTAGACTGCCGTCGTGATTGAACACCGCATAACGCTTTTTCAGATTACGATCCTCCTCCTGGGAGGTCGGCAAAACCATTGCTTTGTAAGGACCATCGACCTCGAAGAAGATGGTGTTATCGCTATGGGTGTCGTAGCGAAAGTTCGAAGGATCTATGAGATCCTGATATTGGTGATTGGTAAATTTACCATGCACAAGGTGATTCAACATAACGCATGGGTATGACACGGGCATTTTCTTCCCATTTTTCAAAATGAAGACGACGTTTTCCGGGAATGTTGCTGGCAGCATGCACCAGATACCGTCCGTGTCAAGTTCCAGAGGTCTTCCTATGCGCTCAACAAGTTCTCGTGCCATCTGGATGATGTGCGCCCCTGTAAGGCATGTTACACCGGCCATCTCCATTGAATACCATCGTGAGCCTTTCCTCATGACATAACCGTAGAAGCTGTTTAAAATGACTTTATGAGCTAGTTGAAGCGAATCGTATAAGATGATCATCTTTTTAGCCTCTTCAATCTCCACCGCAGTTGCGCCTGAGCTTTTCAACGAATCCGTGTTGTTCTTCCATACCTTCTGTTTACCTTTGAAGTCGTATCGACGATCTCGAAAGTTCTTCACGGTGTCAACGTAGAACGGATTCTCTCGCTGACAGATAATCGCTTCACGCTCGCGGGTTTTAGTCTCGTGAATTTTATGATAGATCTTCTTACTGTAATCGGTCAAACGTTTCTTAACAAGACTTGCTTGCTGCTCAGTGGTCATGTCTTGAAAGGTGATGGGCGGACTATTTGGAAACTTCCCCGGAAAGCGCTCGTTCTCGAGTGCATGCCGAACCATGTTGTACTCGCTCTTCTGAGCTGGCAGGAACTCCCCCTCCACGCCCAAGGCAACCGTCTATCGCAGGTTTTCCCTGGCCTGTTGAAATCACAAGCTGCACAGTCGGCTTCTGTTATCATTGAATCTGGCTGTAAGCGGTTTGTCGTCATAATGTTTGGATACATAGACGCGACGTCTAAGTGATATATCAAAGGTCTTTCGCTTCGATTTGGAGTTCGTTTCAAGGTCTCCAACTTCGCTACAATTTCTGCTTTGACTTCATCGTAGTTAGTAATGTCCTCTAGAGACTTCTTCTCTTCGACTACGATGCTGAATTGTAATGCAGCGTCGAGATCCCGAACGAGCTCATCAATGGCGGTTGTGTCAATGATGAAATTCACGGGTATGTCACTTCGGAATACGCCTGCCTCAATACTCTCGACGTGGCCACCAACGTATGTTTCTGATTCTAAGAGATGGCCTTCCCAGAAAGTTTCTTTCGGCTCTTTGTGCTTGTTCGGAAGCACAATGTTCTTTTGGTAAGCCTGAACCATGAGCAACATCTCACAAAGGGTACCCGTCCCTTTCCGAAGAACGTCATCCGGATTGAGGGGGACGATGTTACACAGGGAGAAGATGAAGGGATGAATGTATTTCATATACAGATAGTACGTCGCGACGGCGTCAGAGACTGAATATTCGGCCAATGTTTGAGGCCTTTCAACGGCGAAACGTGTCATAAGCTCCGGATCCAATTCATCAGGGTCGTATCCAAGTTTAGCAACGGTAACGGCTTTTAGACCTCTGCTTCCTTGTGGGAGATAGCTGTCGCGATTGACCCACGCAAAACAGTCCATATGAACCCCGTAATTACTTTGGTATACATCCTCGCTATTCTTCCGAAAGCCGATTTCCTGATACATGTCGATTCCTAGAACGCTCGCTCTAGCTTCAACGAAAGGCCAATCGAAGAAGTCTCCATTGTAAGTTGCAATCACAGATGGCCTAGCTTCCTTGATGTGCTGAAAAAACCTGTCCACCACGCCCTTCTCATCAGGTTCATTGAAGATGAGAAATTGCCCTTCATACTCCGGCTTCGGCGTATATTCAAAATCTGCTATGTCTTCAGAGACTATCTCCCGATTAGTGATTAAGAACCCTTGGCCGTCGATCATGTATGATATCATCATGATCTGATCTGATACGGCGTCGGGAAATTTCAGTGGTAGTTTTGTTGTCTCTATATCGTATGCCAACACGACGGGATCTGCCCGCGTTATTCGCTCTTCTATGCATTTCATGCTTGTTATACCGTATTTCGCTTCTACCGTGTACCATTTCCCAATTCGAATGTCCTTATCAATTGCGACCCTGACGTGGTAGGGAACATCATATTCTCTAATATCAACGATAAAATCGCTTGCATCGACTACGCTGGTTTTTAAATGTTCGTGTCGTCTTTCGTCTTCGTCGAAAAGGTCGAAGCCAGCATTGGCACTATCAATATTAGTCTAGATGTTCACACCGGACATGAACCTTTAAATGGATTGCTCACTTAGCAACTTCTGCGTATGTGTCCATCGCATTCATGTTTTTCTTGTTCTTTTCCGCAATAGGCATAATGTCTCTCCTGACATTGAGAAGGTCCGAAACGTTGTGAAATGCTAATTGTAGAAACATTCTTCGGTATCCTAATAAGTGATTGGGCATCTGCAGATCCTCCTTCTCGACGCGCTCAACGTCTTTCACAAGACCTTCAAACCGTCTCCGACACCATTCTTCGACTTCTGCTTCCTTCCCCTTCCGAACAGCGATCAAAAAATAGGGATCATATTGCACTGTCGCCTTGAAAGTGCCCCCGTCATCTTCAATAAAGTAGAACTCCACACCCGCTCGTCCTCCAGGGATCTTTTCATCCTCTATGGTTGTACTATGCATGTTACAAAGCCATCCAATCTTCCTTCTGCCTGAATCGTAGCGTGCGAAACCCATCGACTCGTCGATGGAGTGGGCGAGGCGCGCAGCTTGTATCTTTTCATCTTGGAAAGTAGCCTCGCTTGCGCGCAGCGTTGATGCATCAACCACTTTAGATCTATGCGGGAGGGCAGAAGATCCTGCTGGGCGAAAGTTCTTAGGACCATATCTTCGGTCGGCCTTCCGCGTAGGCATCGGTGGTTCGAATGGGGAAACAGAGGTATTTGAGGATCAGAAAGCGGCAACATTGGCCACAGCACCAAGTAGCGTCATCATGCAACAAACATGTCTTGAAGCGACTTGATCATCTGAAATGGCAGTGAGAGCGGCAAAATTGTGCGGTGTAGTCCTGCCTGTAGGAGCTGGAGGACGCGTGCTCTTTTGGGACGCGTCTGCCAAGCCACTAGCAGCAAGCCCACTAAATTGAAAGTACCCCCTCGACCAGACGTCAATCCGTAGGTCTTGTCGCCAATAATCGTCGTGAGGAACGATGGCTGCCGATAGAATTGATCCGAGGATAGAAAGGAAATCAGAACCAGCAAGAATCCCAGAGCCTTCCGGTGCTCCCATACCAGAAGTTCGACCACAAAATGCAAATACCCTGCCAGGCGGTGGGTTACACACTGCCGGAGGCAAAATAGAACAGCCTAGTATTAGTGATGCACTCAAGAGCGTCAAAATTTCCGACTTCAAGGAAATCCACAAGAAGCCATGTGTTCGTGAAGCACTCATGATAGGAATTGGAGGCGGCTTCGGGGTAGGCGGGCTTCGAGCGATATTTGGCGGTGAGCAAGGAGATATTTCCGTAATATGTCTTAGGCTGATTGATCTAGCATCGGTTATGACTTCGTGCAATTGGGCTGTTGGTACTTTTTGCTTCGGCTCATTCCTGATGCACGAATACTGCCAGCGAAAGCGGGCGCTGGAAAAAGGGGGTATGAAAAGAGCGGTCGAAGTCATGGAAAAGAAACAGACGGAAAAGCGAGTGCAGTCTGCGGCAGCTCGAGCGGCAGACGTTAAGTCTAAGAGAGAAATTTGAGTCGATTGACGGTGGCGATCGACAAAACAACAAGCCGGACAAGACTCGATTGATTCTTCGTTTCATCATGCACCGGTATTCCGTTGAGCTCATACATTCATTACATTTTAAGTGCGACACCTTCCGTCATTATCGTGGTCGCAGGTCTACAATATCGAATTCTAAGCCTTGGGCTTCGAAGACGTGGCCAGGCCGTAAAGCATCGGTGTATATGTTGCTCTCAGCATGTGGGTGAAATAAGCCGGTCTGGGTACAGTTCAGAATTGTTTTCATGCCCGGTGGATCTGTCAATCGGAAGACCCCCCATTCGTCTTTACTTGGAGCACAGACTATGGCAATGCTCTCTGGAAGCATGACTTGGTAGCCACCATGTGTATGCAAATCTCGAGAGCTCATGAAGCATGTCTGGGTAGGGTGCGTGTGTATCCATCCAAGGACAAGAAGGTCTTCGCCGTCAACATAATCGAATAGCTCGCTTTCGTTGACAGTCTCACAAGTATCCGAAGTGCTTTCTTGGTCTGGAATTACTAACTTAGAGATGAAGAGAGCATTGGAGATGAGCGTCCCACAAAGAATACCGCAAGTCTCAAGATTAGCACTGGTGTTCGCTTGCGCTATAGATAGAAACGTACGCTGAAGGTCTGGAGGCAAAAAAATGGTGCGCAACGGTGTACCGTTCTCTAGGTGTGCTGACGGCTTGAACGTGAACTCCGATGGTTTCGGATCTGGACGTTGTGCGGGGGATTCGGGAATACCGTCGTCGTCACTGTTCGTATATGAGAGGAGCTTCTCAGGGCGTTCAGGTGGAGTCGGTGTTTCATCAAACAAGAATGTCTCGGGGTCTTTTGGTGGTGGCTGAGGGGGTAGTTGACTTGCATGATTCCTTAAGGAGGAAGAATGCAAAGAATTTGGACGCTCTGAGGCCAGGTTTCCAGAGCTGATAGTCGCAGACCGGTCGTCCGTCGAAAGCTTCCTTTCCGGAACTGCTGGATACTGGAAGTATTTGGATTTGAGGCCCTCAAATGTCGGCGGTCGCTCTCTTCGACTGGCATTTCCCTTAATTGAACCTTGTATTTGCGACCTCACGCCCTGTATTTGCTGGCTCAAAGTGTCTTTATCGAGTTTGTTGTCGTCCTTTGTAAGAGCATCCTCCCAGTCACCCCACAGTCCTCCAGCTGACCTTCTCTCATGCTCAACCTCCTCAGAAATTCCAGCTTGGCGTGTAGCCTTCCGTGCCGTGGCTCTCCGCTTGATCTCTCGTTGAGCTAATTTGACAGCTAGTTCTCGGTTTTCACCGGCAGCTATCGTCTCGGTCACAGTCCCATCTCCATAATGGTCTGAAAGCGCTCTCTTATGACTGACAGGTGTTGAGGCCCTCGAGTTTTGAGGAGCCGCAACAGCGGAGGCGCGGCGAGCATCACGCTCGTGTTTAAGCTTCTCATATCTTTCATAGTATTTATTGATATTGGGTTTGAGGACTTCAAGCTTCTGGAGATTTTGATTGGCTTGCTTTATAGCGACATTTAAAGCGGTTTTGTTGGCAGGCTGTCGGGCATCGGGACTCAGAGAGTTCGACAACTTGACGATGACGAGTTGAGCATGTCGGTAGAGTAGAAAAAAGGTCTGTTGATCATTGCCTTCCTGTTCATAGATGTCTGCCTATTACGGTGACTTAGCAGGTGAGTCGAAGGAGCGCTTTGTACATCGGTTACGTACTTCTTTAAGAAGGGTATTTGCAGTTCGAAGATAGTATTTAAATTCGATGTGCGGATTGTAGTCGAATTGTTCAGCTTTCAAAATGATCTCTTCCACGTTCATCGGCTTCTCGAGAGCTCTTCCTTCCGCTGCGAGGCCTGCCATATCTAGGAGGCTATTTTGCGCTTTAAGTGAGAGTCTGGAATATGCGGAAGTGGGTGCCTAGCAGAGGTGGCGCACGAACGAGAAAAATCTGCAGATTTTGGGGAAGTTCCATATCAGCAACATTGACAGACATCTTCAATGTTCTCAACAGCTCATACATGAGCAAATGGTGAAGAACAGCGCCAACGAACACTTGAGAAGGTGCTCGGAGGAAAGCGGAGTTTACTTTTTTTGGAGGTTTCGTCATTGGACGAAGCTTGAAAAGCTTCATTCTTAGCATCACGCATAATCTATGAGCGGTCTGGCATGTACGTCGGTACTCAAAAAGCTGCGTCAAGTGAGGCATCCAAGAAGAAGCCGGACTGACATCGTCAGCCCCAGTCTTTGCGGTAATGCCATCCCCCCCGTGCGCGCTTCGGATTCTGAACTCTGAATAATGATTTACAGATGATATCATACGACGACTTGCGCCATCGTTGGCGCCTTATGTCGGCGGGACTATCATAGACATATGTCCCGGAGCCAGCTTGTTCTCGTCAAAGTTACATGATTATTTAAAACCCCGCGAGCACATTCTAGTAGAGCCTGACCACAAACTGTACTGGCCTTTCTTACAGCCTCTCCTTGAAGCGCCGAATTCTTCATACAGCTTGCGGGACTGGAGCGAGCATGAACTACTATATACACCATCTGAATACCTCAAAGAAGGCTTAATTCCTGAAAAGTCGTCCAGCCAAAACAACTCGGTTCTCCAACTTGTTAATGCCGCTGAGCAGGCCACACCCACACGTGGTGGGAGAGATAGTCTACAGAGTTCGGACCTGGTAGCTTACCGTTTCATGCATGATGCTAGGTTACAGAGCAGCTTCCATGCCAGAGGTCCCACCCGAATGCTGATGTGGGCCTTGGATCACCAGACCGCTGGACTTCTACCACACACTATAGACCAACGACGGAAGCATGCTGTAGGCCTCGAAGCACACTGCCACGTGGACCAGGTTGTTGGCTTCAACACAGCAGCACAGAGGGTCTCTCAGAGAGAGCAACGTCTAGATATCGCAAGCAGCCAACGTGCACGCCAGCGAATGAAAGAGCAAAAGGTTTTCACTCCGCCCACTCGAGAAGACACCACAATAGAGGATTCTAAAGGCCATGCAGAAGTGAACCGAAGCTGGCATGAAGAATATCGTGACCTTGTCGCGCGCTTTGCAGCTGGTCAACTCTCCAGATTCGTTGGAGATTCACCGGCTCCTTGGACCGACTTATCGTCCAGGAAGTCTAGGAAGGAAGTAAAGGCATTCACACCAGAATTTGAGCGTTTGAAATACTTCAAACGGATCATGCAAGGCCAAAGCAACCTGATAACAAAGGCAAGGTCTTTCGTAGAGAAGCAAGCTGAGATCGACGCACTCGATCTCGAGCGCTACGACCCGTCGATCACTCCCACGCAAATGCAAAATCTCGTCAGTGAAATCAAGAAACGCTGCGCAAGTCTCAATGACGGCCTTTGCAAAGCTCCCGTGAAGATACGAAATGTCTTCTATCTGCGCTCCGATGACTATTACGCCTTCTACATGCCCACAGGCCCGCTCATGATGTGGGATCGGCGGAATTACGAGCCTCTCAAGGCCTCACCAGATGAGTTTCATTTGCCAAGAGAGGTAACTTTATTAGACTTCCAGGCGAAACCGCCAGATACTCTCCCGCTGACAGAAAATCAATCCATGTACTGGGACATGATCACATCTTGCCTCTATTCACCCCGTGGCTTTCACAATCTAAAATACTTAGATAGCATAGCTCCCGGTGCTTACGAAAGCCTCGTCCCTAAAATAGGCGAGTTCAGGGACGCTCGTGAGGGTGGGAGATATGACGTTGATATGCTCAGGGTCCGCCTACTGACGCCGAAGATGCTGTGGCGGCTCGCTCTTGAATGGGACCACTGGCTTTTCAAGCCCGATATATATGAGATGGCAGGATCATTTGAGACGCATGTCGACACAGAAAGAAAAGTTGCAAGTCGGTACATCATGCCTGTATAGTTGCTTAGTACAAAGTAGCAACGGAGCAATGAAAGAAGCAAGGTCACTAAATGAGGCCCGCTTCGTAATTGCAACTGCTACATCCGTCTGTCAAATTACTTGTTTGATTTCACGGTGATACAAACCAGCGTACTCACATATTTCCAGCCAATTTGTCTCATGGTCAGACCAGCTTAATGGCTCATTCATCTAAGTCCGAACCTAGATCTGCGTCACATACAGCCTCGGGCCTGCCTGTCAAGCCCAAAGTTGCCAGAACTCCCTTCTCATTCTAAGTCGACTCTATCACTGACTTAGATTTTGAGTGTCTACTCAATATTGTTTCAGCAGATGACTCAGGCCACGTACCGTACCTTTTTGCCCACTGATCCTGGCTTTGCTGGTCCCCCACAATCGTCATAGAAGTCGCACTCTCCTTCCTCACTTTATGAAAGTAACTCATGGGAGCTGGACTGTCTTCGCGTCAGTAGAATCTCCTTGTCTCTTTTTTCTGCTGGATGCTATCTAGGAACTTCTCACGCCCATAAGAGTATGCTGAGAGCAGATAGCAAGCTTAAAGCCCAACTGAAACTTGCTGGGAAGGGGCGATTGTAAATCCAACTTCGACCAGCACTCGTCGCCCAAGTCTCTGACAGACGCTTTCTCCATCCTTTCATCTCCCAATACTGAGATAAGGCCGTCGCCTTAGACGTTGTCGCCTGCTCCTGGCTCAGGTCGGTATCGGGGTCGGTGTTTGTAGAGAAGGCGATTGATGGTGCGCGAGCTTTGAGACTTGACCTGAGTTGCCCCGAAGTGAGCTGAGCTCTGGCTTCACTTTCTTTTTCGCTCTGGAATGCTGGTTCGTGAGAGATTTCTGTTGGTTGGTGTTCTGGCTTGAGATCAATGCTGAAGACATCCGTGTGGGGTTTGGAGGAAAAGGTGATGTGGGTCTGAGGTAAGTAAGAGGTTAGAGCATCGAAAGGCAAAGCCATAAAAATGGAGATGTTGGGCCTCGAGAATTGACGAATCAAGCCTTTGCTTTGAAATCTGGTCGTGGTCGAACTCGAGATTGACCTCGAGGAAAATGTCGTTGAATGTTTTCTTGGACATCTCAGGTTGGGGTTCATCTTCTACGCTGGGCACCCACTCGCCGAGAGTCTAGTAAAAGACGACGTCCATGAGCCTAGTTTAGGCCTTTGCACCCGAGGATGACCCTATTGAAGGCTCAATTGATCTTATATGTTTGCGGCTCAGTCACTATCAATGATGCGGATGGTCATTAAATTAGTTTCGTGACTTTGAATTATGTCTTGTTCAGTTGCACTCTGATCAATCTATGGAATAGATGGGAAGGAACTTTGAGAACAGAGAAGATAATAACTCGAGACGCGTCTTATATGAACTATCAAAATCCTTCCATGGGGCAAACATGAGCTGTGTGTTACCTGTGCCGGCACACCAGGTCCGGGATTTCTTTGCCATTTTAAAAACAAAGAGATATCTTTGCAATGTCGCTGACCACTTCAACAGACGCTTTCCAATCAAGCTTTATCTAGGGCAAATGGACGGCAGGTTCAGTGCCTTATTGTGAGTACTATCGAATGAGAACGAGACCGATGGCTTGATGAGGCCAGGTATGATATTTTTTTATTGCTCGTTTGTGGGCATACTTGTAACTCGCGCAGGTGCAGACTCTACTTCTCTTCTACACGATGATCGAAAGAGGCGAAGAAAATTTCAATCAAGCCTTTCTGGAAATGCACCAGCAAACATCTAGAGCTGATGCCGTTCGAAAAAAATGTTTAGAGACAAGGAGGAAGAATCGGAAACGCAGTCAAGTGGCAAAGAAGATCTCGCCTCGGTTTACCGTGCGTTTGGAATGCGACAAGAAGGCTCATCAGGCGTCCTCGTTATCGTCTTCTCGAACTGCAGGCTTACCATTCGCCGCATCGCCTTTGGCCTCTTGCTTTGACCATAGCTCTGCTAAGAAGTCGGCTGTACTGGCTTCATCAATACTTTTGTCTTCTCTAACCTTCAAAAATCTAGGAAATCGCATGCTGAGTCCTCGATCTTCATCTACTATACCCAAGGCAGCAACATAGGTTGGACTTTTAGTGATGTCCGCGAATGCCATCTCCCAAACCTCTTGCGGCTCAAACCAGACATCCGGGTGACCAGGGTATTCAACATAACTAGGCCTACTGATAAGATTTGCGCCTGTTTCTTCGTTGTAACGGTCCTTGTTGTCTTTATAAAATTTGTCAGTGAAGCCTGAGATGCATTTAGTCACTGCCTCAAGGCTCCCCGTGGCTGGGTTTCGAACGGCGAGCAAGATGGGCGACCACCATTTTGCCTTCCGGCCTTGACCATGCCAGGCAGCTACGGGGATCAAATCAATAGTGTCGGCAGACGTGTTGTAGTCTTTCTTAACCTTGAGCCAGGAGTCAAGTCGTTTATCGGGCTCATAGGTTGAAAGAAGCGCCTTGCGTCGCGTGCCCTTTTGCTTTTCCTCCGTCTTTTCTGCTATTAGTTTCTTGCTAGACGACAACTTTGGTTTATTTGTCTTGGGGTACTCTACAACTAGAGCCAAGGGTTCAATCTCTTCTGGGCTTTCATCAGGTAGCTGAAGAGAAGGATTTGGCGCATTATCGAGCACCTTCACCATGATACCTTCACACTTGAGATCTGTGGCTGACTTAAAGAATTCAAGTACAGTCTCTGAATCGCCGGACGAGGAGTCGATACTTTTGACCCAAGTGAAACGATGTGGAACCTCAACGAACAGGCTGCGCAAGAGAGACCGCCTTTCACGGAATGGCCTATCAAGTAAGGACTCTCCATTGAGATACATCAAGTCAAAAGAAAATAGACAGACGTCAATCTTGATCTCAGATATTGCGACGTCTTTCTTTGCCCTGTTAGTCAGAACCTGGAAAGGCTTTAATTGGCCATTCACTTTGTCGATGGCAACGACTTCACCTTCCAGAATGAAGCTACTGACGCTCTCACCGCGGATGTCGGGCACCATGGCGACTAAGTCCGGATACTTATCTGTCATGACCTCCAAATGTCTCGAGAAAATTGAAACTCTGCCGTTTTCATCGCAGTGGACTTGTGCACGCTGACCGTCATACTTGAACTCGCAGCTAAAGTCACGCCCTTGTAATTTAGTAAGCATCTCGCCAAGATCTCTCGTTATGCTGCCTAACATAGGTCTCAGGGGAATGTGTAAAGCCAGCCCGCATCGAAGCACCAGTTCATCTTGTACCCCGATCTCTAACATGCCTGGTACGAGATCGTTGTAGTTCGGTCTCCGAGCAAAGGAAGCTTTCACAATTTCTTCAGCCCGGCTGTAGACCTCTGATAAGCTGTCTTTCTTGAGCTTTGCTAGCTCGAATCGTTCCTTGATCGGATAAGTCGCACCAGCAGGTCGCGATAGAAGACATGCACGAGACAGAGCGATGAGCATTGTCGTCTTGACAGCGCCAATGCGCAGATGCTGGCACAATGTTCGAACCAGATACCTGCTCTCCTCAGCGCCTTGCGCATCTTGTAACAACCGCTCCACAATCCGCTGCTTAAATTCTTGACTTCCAGTCCCTTTACTGTTCGCTACCTTGACGAGGCTCTCAAAGACTCCTTTGATAGACAACGGCTTCGGTTTCCGCAAAGTAAAGCTTTGCCGTTTCTTTGCCTCAAAGGCTACGTCACCGGCGTCGCCATGTTTATCGTACAGAGATTTGAGCCCGGCATTGTCAAGCATACATGTTTTCTTCAATGCTTTTGAGATCGATGAGCCCCCCAGTCCCAGCTCCAGAGAGACGAACGGAGGCGCAATCGCGTTTGTCGTAAGCCACACGGCAGGCAAGACACTTTCAGGATCGGCCTCGATAATAGTCCGTAAGAAGTTCACTAACGTATCTACGATCTTGATGCGACTTTGAGTGCTATTCACGAGAACGAAGCATCTAGTCAATAGACCGTAGAGAGCATTGCCACCCTCTGTAGCCCAATGAGCCTTGAGACCCGGTATGTATTTCGAAGGATCGAAAGACAGCGGGCTTTCATCAAACGGGACTGTCGAGGAGACAGTATCCTCGGAAGAAGCTGCAGACTGTAATGAGAGCGTGTCTCTTGAGGTACTTTTCGCCACACTTAGAGTGCCGTGACCAGTCGCGCTCCTTTGCTTGGACCCATGATCGGCGCTATCAACAGACAGCTCATCTTCAGCTTTCGTTAGGGTCCCATCAGCAGTCGATGCAGACCTTTCTGACTCTTTAATCCCTAATCGAGCGACAGAGCCTGCGCTTTTGTCCTGTTCTTCCCATTCTGCTTGTAACTTGCGCGCAAGCGCCTCGTCTGTCAGGTCACAACCGTCCTCGTCGTCGGGTATGATATGCTGCGACTCATCTGGCGAGCTAGTATCCTCGAGTCTTGAGGATGGCGACTGGAGGGTGTCCTTGACAGTCCTCTGTTTGTTGAAGAAGAAGTCCAATCCCTTAGATTTCTGTGGCGAGGTCTGAGTGTGATTTATCTTTCGCCGCTTGCTTGGGGTCGTCATTGAATCATCTTACACACAAGGGTCCTAAGATATCGCTTAAGAAATATTGTTGGCTGAATCAAAGGAGCTGGTGACTTACAATTGCTAATTTCGTCATCGTGCAGCTCGCGCGATCCGCGCGTTTGGGTTGACTTCCCAAGGTTTCTGTCACTACAACCTTCAAGTTTGCTCCCTAAATACAGTGCGAGATGAGATGGCTTTACTTGGCTTGCAAAGACAGCATGGGAGCTATGCTCAGACGCAACAAGATATTCGCGTGGAAGATTTCTTGGATGACAAGCTTCAGACTACTGCAGACCTCGGGCTCATTGACGGATTACTGGAAGACGTAAAGAGGCAGCAATCGCTTCTGGACCAGCAAGTACATTTGACTTTCGCCTCGCTGTAAAGCAATCTCTGATGTACAGCAGTTGCGAGAAGCCAGAAGCGATCATGGAAGCGCCGCAAGCGCTTCCAAAGACCATAGACAGAGCCTCCGATCAAAGGCGCGGAAGTTCCAGGACGTTCAATTAGACATAGATTTGCGGCTGAGGATTGTAACTCAATCCGAAGCAAGCGATGATGCTGTCAATAAATTCGGCTCTATTATGCAAAGCTTGCAAATGCTTGATCTCGCCCAAGAGTATATGGCATTGCTTGGTGAAGTCGAGCGTCTTAGGTCAGTTGCTCTGCTTCAATCAATGTACGTTGCAATTGACTATCTGGAAGCGATGAGGCTCGGGCAAATTTCAAGAAACTACCTCAGAACGCTTTAAAACCTTACCTTCGTTTGCAAAGTCTCATTGCCGATCTGCAAGCAAAACAGCCAGCCGCTGAAGGTGCAGCGCCACATCTTGTTGACCATGTGGAGCAGGTTACAAATATTCTTTGGAAGCAGATGAAGGAAGCTTTCGCGCAGGACTTCGAGGTCACGCTGAAGAAAATGAAATGGCCAGGGAAAGATCTCACGATGGAAGGCTTGTTAGCCGACGAATGGACAGAAGGTGTGAAGAAATTACTAGATCTTCAAACACCGGAACTACAAAATAGATATAGATCTGGAATAACGCCTTCGGGAGAGCCCCTGACACTCTTACCCCTAGAAGTGATGGCAAAACCACTGGTACTTCGTTTTAAATATCACTTTGAAGGAGATCGCCCAACAAACAAGCTTGACAAGGCGAGTATACCGCCATCTGATTGAAAGTGCTGTACTGACACTCCATACAGCCGGAGTACTTCCTGTCTCATTTCGTAGGTTTGCTGAACACGTATGATGAATTCTTTGCCAGTTTTCTGCAACCCGTTCTGCGAGATCGGTTTGTCAAGACCAACATGGCAATGACCTCGACATACATCGACTCGACCTCTGCGCTCATAACAGCGTTATTGCCTATGCTTCACCAAAAACTCCACAGTCTATTGCCTCAACTCACAAATCAACCTCGTCTACTCAGCCATTTAATCCATGAGCTGATGTCTTTCGATTCTAGTCTTCGTGATGAGTGGTCTTATGATGGTGGCAGGGCTATTGAAGGCTGGAGAGGGCTAACATGGGAGGTTCTCGTCAAAATGGCATGGTTTCCACGTTGGCTTTCCGTGGAGAAGGATTTTGCTATCCAGCGTTACAATACTATTGTTGAGCATGTCGAGAGCTTTGAACTCGACTACGACCTCGATACTTCTAATGCCACGAAACCTACACATGCCGCAGTGAGAGTCAGCGACCTTCTTGAGACTATAACAGACCGCTATCGTAATCTAGCATCATTCCAGCAAAAGGTTCAGTTCCTGATCGACGTTCAAGTCGAAATCCTAGATATCTTCCACAGCCGTTTACGTGACTCACTCCAAAGATATCAAACGCTAACGTCAACAATTGGTCGAAATATTCAAGGAGCGTCACGAGAAGACCGAGCTGACTTGCAAGGTCTTGGGGGTCTTGAACGGCTTTGCAGCATCTACGGTAGCGCAGAGTATATGGTACGTAAATTGCGAGACTTCAATGACGACGTATTCTTCATTGAGCTATGGGACGAGCTACAATACAGAGCGCGACAGGATAGGGGTGATCAGAATATCGCGGGACAAATGAGCCTCGAAGATGTTGCAGAGCGGACTTCTAGCGCTGTAGGCACAGAGGAAGACTCTGGCGTTTTCTTTGATGAGACTGCAGCGGCTTTCCGACGACTACAGGTGAAGACCGAGGAGGTGTTGCAGGACAGATTGGTGACTAGCATTCGCGATATACTCAGGCCTTACAGCAGAATCAATCCTTGGTCTTCTCTTTCAAATTCGGAATCACCTTCTTCACTTGCTCCAACCGCAGAGCTGGATGCAACGGTTCAATATCTCAATGAAAACGTCTCTTTCCTCGCCAAAGTTTTGGCACAAGCAGCCCTTCGCCGCATTGTACGACAAGTCACTCTCGCAATTCAGTCCTTTTTGTATGACAACGTCTTGCTACGGTACGTATTCTCTATTGCTGGAGTGGCGCAATACAAGCGAGATGTTGAGGTCGTGTTGTCGACGATTGATCGCTGGGTTGGCGACGGGCAGGCTCAGAGCGGTATGCGAAGGCTGAACGATGCTTTGACTCTGCTCGATCTACCGGTCCAAGCCGGTGGGGGTGCAGACAACAGTTTAGAAAAGGTCGACCTAGGACTGTGGGAAGTTGAGGAGCGTCTATTCGTTAACAATGAGAGTGCTAGAGAGATCCTTCAGGAATTGGGTCTGGATTACCTGAGTGAGAGTGAAGCCAGAAATGTTCTTAGGCGTAGGATCGAGCTTTCCAGCGGATGAGGAGACCTGCAAATTCTCAGTGTCCAGCTTGAACCATGGGAACAGGTGACGCGTTACACGTGGATTCTCAATATTGACACAGACATCGCCCAATCCTTGGGTGTACGACAGCACTTTTCGACTAAATGATGTCGTACACTCTTTGCTTGCATCACTTCTCCAAATCAGAACGTGTTATATATCAATATTGTTGGGGCGGTAGGTCGGTCTGTGGCTCTTACGGACTCTACACATCCACAATCACATTTACGATCCCCATCACAGCTCCTGACAAAAGCTTCCGGCTATCAAGTTACCACCTGCGTTGTGCCGACAACCTCACCTCAACATGTCTGGTGCAAAGCCTGCGTGTGTGACATACAATTGCAATCATAAAGTGGTCTGCGCACCCCAAGGCAACTCGACGTTTTCTTCGAATAGTACCTGCAATTATCTTTGTGAGAGATGTTCTCGCGCAGACGCTCGGCAAAGGCAAACAGCAGTACAACTTCGATTCCAAGGAAAATTCGACAATCTTCGGAGGCAAATCAAATACGCTGGCAGAAAACCAGCGAGGAAGGAGAAAGTGCGGGAGTGGATAGATTTGGAGATGAAGAGAGATGATCGCATGGATGCTTGCTGGGCAGAGTACGAGGCTCGATGGAGCATTGAAGAGAGAGAGTAGCTATGGCTTGATGGCTTCGACAGCGACTGATTGGTAGATAGAGCAGAATTCTCGGAAGTGAGGACGTGAGGCGAGTTTGAAGCTGGAAAGATAGGGTGGGTAGGAATATGTCTGAAGGGAGTGTCACTAGGTTACCGTCAAAACGTCTGTAGTGAACCTAATCACTCCACGTGAGAAGCCTTAAATGTGATCAACTTGAAATACCATATCTTCAGACGACATGCCATCTGACAGCCCAGACCACAATGGTAGGAAGTGGGTGACTTTGTTCGGTGTAATTCTGCAGACTGCAGGGGGCGTGGTGTGCGTGGTGTGATCATAAGCGTCGTCTGGGGTCAACCTCACTTGCCCATTTTTGTCACCGTGGTCAGTGATTCTTGCCTATTACGGCCTACTTCATCAGCAAGGATGGCTTTTCCCCATACCAGCCCGCACAAGCCCGTGCAGATCAGTGAGCTAAGGCAAACTCTGGGGAGGTCTGGAGGAAGACCAGAATGAATTTAGTGGCAAGGAACTCGGGAGCTTGAAGAGGGTTGTGTTCCTCTCCTACCCGTTTGAACCAAAATTATCTCGCCTCCTCTACCTATTATAGCCATAAATCCAGCCGCAAATGCCGCAAATTCCACCCAAACCCAGCTTTTAAAGCTACTCGGGCTTGGAGGGAGGCGCGCAAGACAACTGCCTTCCTGCGTTGATCCGCCGCAAGAGAACCCACTCAATACCCAACGCCTGAAGCTTCCGGAAAATAAGCGGACCATTCGCGACCGTACCAACCTCCATTCACAACGCGCGCTTACAGTCCTGGTAAAGCCTGACGACTTGCCCCGGATCCTCGTCAGCTTTCTGCGAAAGCCAGGCGGCTTCTGCAAAGCCGTTCAGCTCGGCGAACGACAACAGCACAGAGCGAGAGAGCGTGGCTAGGCCTACAATATCAAGGGGATTTGGAGGATGAAAAGAGCCTGGCGAGTACATGAGCATCCACCGCCTGGGCACAGCTCTCAATGTCGGATGAGCAGATAGCCTTTCAACCAAGTCGCGCAAGATAAGCCGTCGTGATGAACGGCCTATACCACCCCCAAAAGCAGTACTCGGCGGAGGACCTGCATAGTTATGCAGGCCTAACCGACCAGCAGAATGCCATGTTGGGACTGATCAATGCAAACGGCGGCAATGGCATGGTTGGGACGCCAATGGATCAAATGATCCAGGAGAATGAGAAAGACTTACATCGGAGACGGAGCTTTTCGAATCAAAATTCATTTGGTGCTGGCAGGCCCATGATGGATCAGGACCCTCAGCGATCCTCCATGATGGAGTTTGGATCTCTTGACAACCATGAACTAGATGGCTTTCAATTCAACCCTGGTGCAGTCCCTGCCGAAACCGGGATGCAGCGACCTGGCAACATTGCCCAAAGGCGCCTTGAGAGTCAGCAAAGAGCAAGGCGGCATATGTCTCATGAAAACCTCGCTTTGAATACCACGTACGCCAACATGCCTTCGTATCAGTCATTGAATTCAGCTTCGCCATACGGCCAGCCCATCAACTCTGGCGACCCCATGAGTGGATTTGACTTGTCTAGTGATTATATGATGATGGGCATGAACTTTTCCCCAAACCCAATGGACAATAACCATAACGGTGCCGCCACCCCTCAGGACTCGTATCTGCAAAATAACTTCGCCACCCAAATAAATGATCACCAAATGCAACGAGATATGACATCTTCCATGTCTGGGAGATTACATGACCCAGGCGGAGGCCCAACGACTACAATCATGGCTGACGCAAACGCTTTAGATAAAGTGCCAATCATGCGAGTCTCAGACCAGATGCGGAACACACAGTCGCCGCCTCAAACGATACCGATTCCAAACCCTAACCCTGGCTTGCCAATCAATTCAGTCGAGAATGCTCATCCCCAACCGGGCCCCCATGGGTTACCCACGTACAATCCAAGCCAAAAATCTCAAGCCGCACCCAATCTGGACGTCTCGACGGATGGAAATGGTGTGCCTTTCCAAGGCCAGAATAATGCTGGAAAGCAAGTCGTACCGATGTACAAAAACGCGTATTCCTCAAGCGGCTTTGACATGCTTGGAGTCTTAATGAGAGTTGCTGCTAGACCGAATCCTCAAATTAACATCGGTGCTGTAGACATGTCATGCGCTTTTGTAGTGTGCGATGTCACACAGCATGATCTACCAATAGTGTATTGCTCTGACGTTTTCGAACGGCTCACTGCATATACAAGACACGAAATTTTGGGAAGAAATTGCCGCTTCCTACAGTCACCAGATGGAAAGATACAGGCTGGCGTGCAGCGAAAATACGTAGACGACAAATCTGTGCTCAGGATCAAGAACATGATTACTGAGCGACGCGAGGCACAGATCAGTGTCATCAATTATCGGAAAGGGGGTCAACCATTTATGAACCTGCTTACTATGATTCCTATTGCGTGGGATACCGATGAAATAAAGTATTACGTAGGGTTTCAGGTGGATTTGGTTGAGCAGCCGACTTCCATAACAAACAAAAACCCAGGTAGGTTGTTTGCTCTCCCATCAAATGACCTGTGCTTAATGCAGCTATAGATGGCTCCTACACCATTAACTATCAGCGTGGTCTCCTACCAAGATACGTTGTGCCAGAGGCTCAAAAAGAAAACACTCTGGAGACAGGTCAGACTGTCAACCGGGATGATGTCTCCACGGTGCTGAGTACAATTGGCTCTGAAGAATCGGAGTTGTCCAAGCGGATATGGGACAAAGTGCTTCTTGAGAACACGGATGATGTAGTTCATGTACTCTCCTTGAAAGGCCTGTTTCTCTATCTTTCCCCCTCGAGTCGAAAGGTATTGGAGTACGACTCGAGCGAACTTGTCGGTACCCCGCTTTCTTCTGTCTGTCATCCTAGCGACATTGTGCCTGTCACACGAGAATTGAAGGACACGTCTACGGGCGCGGCTGTGAACGTGGTTTTCAGAATCAGACGGAAACACAATGGTTACACATGGTTCGAAAGTCACGGATCGCTTCATCTGGAGCAAGGGAAAGGACGCAAATGTATCATTATGGTTGGACGAGAGCGGCCCGTGTATGCGTTAGCAAGAGCAGATGTTATGACTGACGGCGGCTTCGGGGAGAGCGAGCTTTGGACCAAGATGTCTACTTCCGGCATGTTCCTTTTTGTTTCATCCAATGTCCGCAGTCTTCTAGACCGGCAGCCTGAGGATTTGATAGGTACAAGTGCGCAGGCACTTATGCGTCAAGAGTCACGGCTGGAGTTCATGAAAAAGCTGGAGGTGGCTCGAACAGGCGTGAAAGCTACCTTCAAACATGACGTCGAGAACAAGCGCGGTCAAGTACTTCAAGCACAAACGACGATATATCCTGGTGATGCCGCTGAAGGTCAAAAGCCTACGTTTTTAGTCGCACAGACACGGCTCCTCAAGCTTTCCCGTAACAAGCAGTCATCTAATGCTTCGCCTCAGGTAGACAACCAATCAGTGTCTCCCACTTCCTCTGCAAGTGCTCTTTCAGGAGGTCAAGGGCCAACGCCTTCGGCAACTGCTGGGAATCATCCTGGAGTTACGACACAGGCAGGAGGCGCCGGCCTGTCCATTGGTACGCAACATGAAGCGTTAGCTTCAGAGGACAATGTATTTGACGAGCTCAAGACGACGCGAAGCACTTCCTGGCAGTTTGAGCTTCGACAAATGGAGAAGCGCAACCGTCTCCTTGCGGAAGAATTGCAAAGCTTGCTGTCAAGTAAAAAGAAGCGGAAAAGACGCAACGGGGCAGGCAACATGCAGAAAGACTGCGCTAATTGCCATACTCGTGTAACGCCCGAGTGGCGGCGAGGGCCAAGTGGTAACCGTGACCTTTGTAATAGCTGTGGCCTCAGATGGGCTAAAGAGGTACGTCCACGTTTGCTTTCAAGCCAGCTCCAGCAATCTCGTATGGGTTTTGGCTGACATAAGCTACAGAATGGAAGAGTCACCCCACGAACATCATCCAATAAATCTAGTTCGCCCGTGAGAACGATATCTCACGAATCTATCTCTGCAAAGCTTGGCAACCAACGCAACATGGATGCGAGTCCCATTCATGGGCAAGACACGCAAAGTCCGCAACAAATATCAGCAAATTCACACAATGCGAAAACGTCTCGCATGGAGGCACCCGCAAGTCATGGATTTGGTGGGGGCATTCCTCCGAAAATAGAGGAAGGGGTGGAAATGTAATGACTCGACGGGAGCCTCGATGGTAGTGATATGATCACGCACTTTTTGATCTGAAAGCGAACTGACCGGTGGTGGCTATTACCTTTTTGCTATTTTTGCCGACTTTGGAAGTTATGGATGAAAGGCCGTTAACGATACCACGTGACGATTTTCTAACCACATTCCGTTATATTAAGGCTTCTGGAAGTCTTCACAAGGCTGCTTGGAGGGGAAGGAGTTCCCCAATTATGGGGATTAAGAGGCATAGGGCGTTTCATGGCGCATTATGAAGGAGGTCCCTTGCATAGGGTCTTGATGATATCTCTTGGGATATTTTGCACATAGCATCTCTCCAACCAAGATATGAATATATCTAATTACCTTAGCATGCCTGTGATCGAAGCACAGTGAATGAGCTTGTGCTGCCAGTTGTGTGGATGCCCAGTGGATCTAGCTGAGATGTGGCCTTCTCCACTGTACTAGACCTCCCTTATCCAACATCCTCCTGAAATAATCATCCAAACTATTCCAATAAAGCGAATGGACTTCTAGACTCCTTGATATGAACGCTAGAATAAGTTGTCCTATTATTGTTCGCGAGTGTAGGCATCATTGTACTCATGATCTGGCCTGACCACCGGCCACGCGCTAGTGAGGCAGGAGACGTCAAATTGCAAGTACCAACGAGTAGCCACGTGCAGAATCGATCTTACAATTCCTTCACATGGGGAAAAGGGGTTCCACCAAGGTCCAGTAGTCCATACAACACGACAGATCACAATCAAATGCAACTACCGACCCCTGGTGCCCCTCCTCGGTAATGGTACATCGTGATAGAGCCTCTCCGACCTCTCGCCGAGCCCGCCGAGCCAGCAAGTTGGCCGAAATTCGCATTTCGCTCAATTTGGGCTTATCCCTTCCGTAAGAAGCTAGGGGCATGCAGCCAGCCATGTCCCCATCAAGCCACTTCCGGGGTTAGCGTATACCCACACCACCTGCCGGAGCGGGGGGCGACATCCCGCTTCGTTAGTATGGCACTGGAGTTTTGCTTACGGCGGATAAAGTTCATATCTTCAATCTTGCACAGGACGATCACTGACATTCTCACGTGGCGAGCAGGCTAGAAGTACGTGCGCTTGGATATGATATCGTCTTCCCGGCGGAATGGGAGAAATGCACCAAGCATGGTGTGACGCGCATTGATCATGCTGTGCACCCCGCGGAGGTGGAGAAGAGCATGATTACGAAAATCACCCACCGCATGCAGTGCATTTGAGTTAAGCACGGTTGGGGAAAGCCCCTGTTCTCACTTCTTCTCCTTTTTTGCTTGCTGCTCGCGTGGCCCACTACTGGGTCGGTCCAGCCTAGACTAGGGATACCATGTGGTGACAGGGGTTCCTTCTTTGATCGACATGCTCATCACCCTTTGCTGGTGCTGCTGTTCCACTGGTTCCTGCTTCCCGCGAAACACTGTCACGGGGAAAAGGGGGAAGAGTGAAGTTACCCTTCGTTGTTGGGTGGTTGGAGTCGGTTTGGAAGGCGTGATGCTTCCAGAGTCCTTCTGGCGTCGTTCTGGAAGGTTGAATTGCACAAATGAGATCGGCATTCCTTATGAAGAGCCCCTTGCCTGTGCGTCACTCGCTGGCGGCCACTGATTATCTTTGCGCCGTGTGACTGTGATTGAGGCTGCATGAACTGCATTCTTCGCTTGATTGAGAAAGCCACAGGTCATTTACTTGCGCTGAATCATCCTTGACTGCATACTACTACTCTTTATTCTCCGTCACAGAATGACAGATGACAGCAGGATATCCATTACAATTTGCGGAGATGGTGGCTGCGGTAGGCTTTTCAACCCACTTTCTGAAAGCCACGAAACCATGCTAACGTGAATGCCCTCGAATAGGGAAGTCCTCAATCACGTTGCGTCTAGTTCGGAGTCAATGGACACAAGAGTAAGTACAATGCAACAATTGAAAATGTGTATTAACCGCCTCACAGGTATGACCCTACGATAGGTACCTTTCTCTCCCAGCGCACCTGAACGTCGCTCACGACAACTGCAGAGGACTCATACAGTGTGACTCGTACCATCGATGGTCATACCTATCACCTCTCCTTAACTGACACAGCGGGTCAAGAGGAGTACCGGGGTCTCTGGGCAGCCTCCAATTTGCGCAGCGATGCCTTCTTACTCGTCTACGACATCACACAATCACCCACCTTGGATGCCTTAGATTACTTCCTGCAGATGATAGATATGGAGTGCGATCACCGTCAGGATAGTGGAGGCGTGCTACCGGTAAAGATGGTGGCCGGGAATAAGTGCGACTTGAAAGACTCAAGACAGATTCCTGCAGCAGTTGGTTTACAGTGGGCGCGTGATCACGGCTGTGGCTTCATGGAAACAAGTGCGAGAGAAATGGTCAACATCGAAGAAACTTTTGCTCGTATGTCACTGCTTTTCAGCATTCACTTCCCAATTTTCCCTGAGCAATCGATTGACTGACCATGCCATCTCTGCAGTCATCATCCGCCGAGTCGTAGCTGCACGTCAACTTCACGCACAGCAGCAGCAGCAGCAGCAGCAGCGTCCGCAGCAGCTGAAGAAATCTCCGTCAAAGCTAGGTTTGTTCCCCCAAAGACAATCACCTACCCGACCTCAAGCATCATCAAGTAGTCCGCATCTACTGTCGAAAGAGGCGGGGAGTGCTTTCGACTTTGCAGATGGTCCTGGGGATAAGAGAAGAATGGGTTTCTGGGGCCGCCTGAAGTGCTGGTAGCGGCACACTGGAGAAAGGAGTTTGGTTTACGCAGCGAAGGGCGCTTTTGGTCTAGGTCAGAGTTTGGAGTGCGTTTTCAAAGGAACACATGTTCTTGTCACAATATTGGATACTGGTGGGCGGCTATTGTGTTTGTATGATACCGATTTGTTCACGACCCAGGGTAGCAGGCGTTGATGGAGTGCGGTTATAAGCATAGACTACGTGCAGATTTCGTTACTTAATGCCAAACTTACCCACCTCTGGCTCATCGAGGATTGCAAATTCATCGGGGCGCCTGAGCTTCATACTACCAATACTCTTTTTGTTTACCTGTCATGTTTGTTACGAAATAATGTGTATATTCTGAATATTCTAAACAACGCGCTACCGTACTAGCGTGATGTTGCATCGAATTATGACGATTGGTCGTTCGTCGCTTGGGATTGTGGGGACGAGCTTCTGCAGATGCTGACTTGCGCGACTCACTCACGAAAACCAGAACTACGCAATACTCCCGATGAGTCTCAAGCAACTTCTGACGGCCAATTGCGGCTCTATCATACCATCATAAGCTTCAAATCATCCTTTTCCAACTTTTCTCACCTCATCAATCTATAAAAACGTTTTGTAAACATGGCTGATTCACACCCACCGCGTTCCTCTTCGCTTTCGAGCTCCATAGCCAACTCAAGCGGTCGGCCAACCCCACAGCGCACAAACTCGCAGAATATGCGTTTGAGTCCATCGCCCTCTGCTAGTCACAATCATCGTCCTAGTTTTACGGAGCAACTCCGAGGCGCCCCGCCCTCTCCGCGACAGCAACGACATCTTTCGCTTTCCCAATCTCAAGTTCTGGACTTGCTCAATAACCCACCTACTGCAGGCCAAGCCGATCCGAAGTTTGCCGGAAGAGACTGGCAGCATATTGTTGTAGGCGAGCTGGTAGCAACAGAAGATGTACACTTCGTGGAGTTCGATACGGGTATTGAGGAAGCAACAAATGTTGATACACCATCCCTTGCGACAAATAGACCGTACACTAAGAGAGTCGCAGATACTCACACAGTCAAGTCTTCCTGTGCTCCTCATCCGTTCCTCCAGAGCCGACAAATCGGCCGTAGCTACTTTCGACTATCGCGACCTGACCCAGTATCTCCTTTTTGCAACAGGGCAACTGGCCCCTTCCACCGACGAATACATCCAGCTTTTCCAAACTCTCGCTAACAAGGCGCAAGCTGGCCAAAAATCCCACTCCGAGAAGCCAAGTCACTAGGCAGTCAAGAGGCATTCGTCACACTACCGCACACGGCGCAGTTGACATCAGCTGTCGAGCTATTTGGTGGTGGTGTTCACAGAATTGTCATTGTCAAAGAAGGCAGCGGTGAAGTTGTAGGTATATTGAGTCAGCTACGGCTAGTCAAATTCTTGTGGGAGAATGGTGGGAGTTTCCCTGTCCTCGAACGATTGTATGGGCAGGAGATCAGTCAATTAGGGATCGGTAGCCAGAATCTCATTTCGATCAAGTGAGCTCAAAACTCTTTGTCAGGAGTATTATGCTAATGCGTTTCCAGTGGAGATACACCTTTAAAGGAGGCTCTAAAACTGATGAATAATGAAGGCGTATCGTCACTCGCAATCGTGGACAATCAATACAATGTAGTAGGGAACATCTCTAATGTTGACGTCAAGGTATGTTCCGATGGATGTTCTCTGAGGATCCTGCTGAAAGAGTACAAGCTGCTAACCAAGTCCTCGTCTGCTCCTCTACTCGAAAACACTTGCATACATTTCATATCAGTCATTCTTTCGACTCGTGGAATGAATGATGGCAAAGACTCGTATCCAGTCTATTATATCAATTCTTATTCGACACTCGCTCACACGGTTGCGAAGCTGGTCGCTACCAGCTCCCATCGGTTTGAACAAGGCCTGGTCCTCCAAGCGTTTTTAAGCTAACACTGTCCCTAGCATGTGGGTCGTAGACTCCGGGACTCCCAGCTCTTCCGCACCCACTACGCCTCTACCAACGCAGCCGTCACATCATCACTCTTCTTCGAGCTCATCATTTCACGCACCCCCGCCATTAATCACGAACCAGCATAGTACCCCAATATCGATTGCTCATCCCCCAGCTGTACATCCGCCACATTTAACGACAGACTTGCCCACAGCCGCTCCACCTTTTCAGCATTCTTCTGTTACAGCATCAGTCTCAGCCTCAGCGCTACCGGGCCAAAATATGTCTGGCCGCTTGAATGGAGTTGTAAGCCTTACTGACGTACTCAACCTCTTCGCTAGAGCCACTGGCCTGCATCCAGAAGACCCAGAAGAGGCCCGACGAAAGCGTCGAGGAAGCTCGAGCAGTAGCCGCAGCGGTGTGAGAGCAAGCCTCGATAGCTCGAGAAGGGAAAGTCTTAGCCTTGATGTCCCTGGCGGTAGGCGGTGATCGCATATTTCTCGGATCTTTTGGCCGCGGCATTCACAATATCTGCATCACGGGTCCGTTGACTCTTTTGTTTCTCTGACGGGAGGGTTTTCTTTTGCATTAGATGGCCAGGCGTCTTCAATGGTAGGTGGCTATGGCTTGGCTCTGTTTACGAATTATTGATGTTGTCTGCTTTGACAGCTTATAAGGGGCAGGATCTCAACGCTACAGTCGCTAAGGCTAAGAACTGCTTCTTACTCAAAACTTCCCCAAGTTAGGAGTGGTATGAATCACTGTTCAGACGAAGAGAAAGACTTCCGCCATTTGCTCTTACGCTCCCCTTCCTCACCATCATCCTCGCTAGCGTCTTCGCCTCTCTGCTCGCGCTTTCTCTTTCTTTCATATAAATCACTGATTCCCTTGTTCATTTCCGCAATCATATTAATCAAAGAGCCCGGTCCATCGCTCGGCTCTTTTCCACGACCTCTGTCAAGGCGGCGATTAATCAGAATCTTCACCCCATCAATTTGACGCTGGACGGCGTTTACTTGGGCTTTCTCGTCACTTAACACTCCATCCTCGTTTTGAACGGCACGATAGTCATCCAGCTCCTCTTCGATGCTCTCTGTCATTTCTCGGACCCGGCCTAGCAGAGCGCCCGTTTTGCACGCGCCCTCGTAAGCCTTTCGAGACATGCGACCTACTGCGGCAGCCGAATTCTTTCCATCCTTCGTCGACGACCTGTCATCGATATCCAATTCTTTGTACCTCTCCGCCCCCCTGCTTGAATCTACCTCACCATCTTTATCAATATCGCCACTCCCAGCAGAACAATTGGGGCTCTTTGGACCCTCTGAGTCCACATCCCCACCCACGCTGCTTCCCTCCGCCGATCTTCCGCTCCACTCGCCCTCCTCATCCGCCGAGGCTCCAGAAGCACCTTCAGGATTCGATATCCCGTCATCGACCACTGACATGCCATCCGGCTCTTCACCCTCCGAATTTGGCGTCTGAGGTCGTAGCCCAAACAAGTCTTCGTACTCCCGCCACGCTTTCTTGATCTCCGAGGTGCGGTTAACCTTGGCTTCATCCAACTCGGCACATTTAATAGCGCGCACATCGATTACTATGAGGACGTTCAAGTCAGCGTCCCCCCCCCCCACCCAAACAAACAGATGAGGCAAGAAAACTCACTAGCACTAGCGCTCCTCCACCTATCTTCTGAATCCCCCTTAACAGATCCGGGCACCATCCCCTCAATCCAAATCGACAGTGACGTAATCCGCCCCGAATATCTCTCGCAAATAACGAGCTCGGCTTTCACGGCCGCGATTCGAAGGCAGTCTTGGCATTCGGAGTTCATGTACCTCACATCCTCATTTTCGCTGGTCTTCTTCGCTTTGGCACCGTCGCCGGAATCAGGTAAAGCGGACTCCGGGGGCGCTGACGCCTGTAGTTCAGAGAGTGCAGGGCGTGAGCCGGCGATTGCGTTGGAGCGTGCTCTACCCCGAGCTGGTGGGGCCGGGGGAAGTGGGTTGTTGCCGTTTCTGTTGCCGTTGGTGGTGCTGGTGTCCGCATCAGTGGGATCAGGTGGCGATGGTTCAGCGAGCTTGCTTCCCGCCGGCAGTAGCACGCGCATCCTGTGCCCGCATTTTGTGTATGTGATCCAGAGGGCTCTACGTGGAGGCTTTTGGGCTTCTGGTTGTGTAGAGGGGTCGTGAGGGGAGAAGGGGACGTGGGATGGTGGTGAGGCTGGTGGTGGGGGCGTGCTTGGGATTAAAATGCCGCTGTAGCCTTCCTGTGGTGGCGGAGGAAGAGGAGGAATGACTGGTGGTGCATGGGAGAAGGGCCGGGGTTGTGGTACCATTCGACGGGGGGCTGGGCGGGGAGTTGGGGGTGGATCTGGTACACGATCTCTTTCACGGTCTGGTGGGGTGTGTGGTGGTGAGGAGGTTGATCGGTTCGATGGTGGTGATGGAGGCGATGGAAATGGTGGGGGAGATGGCATGGTGCGCCTTTTGCGTTTCGTCCTTCGTGAGATATTCGGATGAAGCAAATGGTATCTTTTGACGAAAGGACTGGTTGCTGGTGATGCAGGATAAGAAAGAGCGACTACTAAGTTGGATAACTGCATAGTGTCATCGAGACGAGGTCTTGAAGCGGGGCGATCAGTCGTCTGCACAACCGTGAAGGAAGGAAGGAAGCCATGGGCAACGAATATATGTGGGAGACGGAGATGCACGAGGTAAGAGTGAATGAATATCCGGCTTCGGCTATCTGAGCATGTCGAGCTGATGTTCATTCACTTATCAGGCGTGCTCGCCGATTGGTGAGAATATGTCAGTGTCGACGAGGTAGCTTCAATTTTGGTATTGACACGAATCTTTGGTAGAAGAGTTGTGACCGACCACATTTCAGTCACTTAGAGTCAGCAAATTGCTGCAACACAGCGGCCAGTTCTGTGTAGGCGTGAGTATTGCACGATACACCAGTCGAGCAATGTTGACTGAAGTCTTTCCATCCGTACAACAGTGTTGACACCCCGCAGAACACTTTTCTTGCCACAGATTGCATAACACTATTTACCGCTACTGATCCCATTCATCTGTCCTAGCCCAGTAAATATACCGCGTCAGTCCTTTTTTTGACGACGATTGATTCGCTTTGCTTGCCACATATGGGCGTTTACAGCTGCGATCATCCCTACAATGGCCCCAAAGACCTCGCCTACCAATGCAGAGATTGCTGCAGACTCACAACATTGGAAAAAACCAACGCAATCGAAGAGTTTTACGGCCCTAGGATCGATCGATTGAAGTATTGGATCGAGGGTATCAGGTCGAACAGCTGGACCGTCGCGCGTGAGTGCTGGTTGGAAGTAAAGAATAAACAAGGGCGAGTGATGGTCTTGCTGACCTTCGAATTGAGAGGTGTAGTGGCTGAAGCACGATTGACGATGATCGAGAGATTGAACTCTTTGATGGAATTGCAAGAGAGCGCATTGGGAAAGGCCTGGAAGGAGTGGGAGGAGCATTATTGCTGACCTGATGAGATTGGAATGGTCGGCAGATGGGATTACGGTTGAACAACGTATCGTGTGTCCTTTGCTTGTATCTGGTCTGATGAGTTTGGTGAGTCTTTGATCTGTCCTGGCGTTTGAGCTGTGAACAACTCTGTTTAAGAAAGCGAGACTGATGTCTGACAGGAGGAACAATGGTCGGTGTGAGATGCTGATCGTTGAACAACCTCAACATGTCACACGAACTCCTGGTACAACACGATAGCTACTGCTTCTAAGTATAAAGCCGGCATGAGGCTCTTCCTTGTTTTGATCCCAAACATCGTGAATATCCGTCTTACTTCAATGAGCGCACGCTAGCCCTGATCATAGCCTCTTGAAGCCAATGGGACGAAGACCCACTTACTCTTGCAATTGTCCTTGCCTAGGAACAGAAAGCGTTGGATATGCATGCAGGGCTCACTGTTTGATTTGAGGGCAATGCAGATAGAACTCGATCGAATCAAGTCATATTTTGATTCGAGGATAAACCAACGGGAAATATGGTACGAAGGATTAGTATCGAGGAAACACCAGAGAGCGCGTAAGTTAGCGTTTTTGAATATGCGGATTGCTGTATCTGAGCTGATCATATCCTAGTTGCCAGCGCCCAATTGAATCTGGCGGAGGAGATAAATGAGCTCATGGAGGAACAAGAGCGCGCGGAAGACAAGGCGCGGGAGGAATGGGATACGTAGTACGAAGGCCAAGGGAGCAGAAGATGAGTGCAAACACAACAGGTCTGCGAACTCTTGCTGCTTCGAGCACTACCTTGGAGTTATTACGGTGAAGGACACAGAATTGGAGAAAATGCAGTCGGCTCAACTCTAAGTTTGCCGAAGTGTTCAGGTTATCAGCAGTCATCCCTTCGATCTGCGTGAGCAGTCACGCTTTCCAGAGATCAACGTACAACAATCTCATGTTTCTGATCAGATCATACCTCAAAGACACGGTGCTCTAACATCATGGCTGTACGATTTTTTTTCCGGTCAAAGTAAGGCAGTAGCACACGATGCGTTTGTCCTTCTTGGAGGAAGACTTTGCTCGCACAAAATCGAAAAGGTAGTGAGAGTGACATAACATCTGGAGGGAAGGATAGGTGGTACAGCGTCATGCGAAAATAATGCCTTGTTCTTGCCTGGTCCTTGTCCAACCTCAATTGTCGAGTGATGAGCTTTTGTCTATGCCTAATGGATTCCATTGTCAAAATCATTATGGACGAGCAATGTTCTCTTTTTCCAACCTTTCATGCTTTTCACGAAGGCATCAATAAGCTTTACTAGTCTTCCCTCATGATCTTTTTATGTCGATCTCTCCTTGTAAACCAAATCTCAAGCAACAAGGCTATCATTATGTCCTCGGAGAATCAGGAAGTAACACCGTCTGAGTCAGTGTGTGAGGGTGGTCACACAGCAGATGCACCCGTGTCACACGGCTCTTTAGCAGACATACGCAGGCAAGCCGAAGCGATACAAGCCCACATCAAAGCTCATTACGATCCACTCATCCAAGCAGTAGAAGACTCGATCAAGAATCTGAAAAGCTTACCCCTTGAGCTTCAGACACTAGATTGTAAGTAATTCGCGTCCTAGGCCTCTATTTTGACAAAGCTAAATATTTGCAGTCTTCTGGAGATCTGATCAGTACCAGCGGAAGCTCCGAGATCTAGTCGAGGGGAAAAGTAATGCCTTGTATACTGCATGGGAAGAGTATGTATCGGCTTGTGAGCAAGACTCTCACGAACTCGGGAGGCTTATAGATACCAATGCCACTTAAGCTTGAGTCGCTTATAGAGATCAGTACCTCGTTTGCTGAAGCATCCGGCATGAAAATCAATAACTCCTTTCTCAATGCAATACTTCATCTTCTTGTGCAACATGGGCGATCTTACCGCAAGAAAGTGCTGCATGGTGGCTAATTATGCTCCAGGTCTGTCTTGCATAAGATGTGCGTCGCTGGATACGCCCACTTGTCGGACAATATGCAACATCAAAAAGAGTATGGTGTTGCTTGTTTGTTTGAACTTCGTTGCTTTTATCGAGATTCACATCATTTGGACTTTGAAATATCATGCCACGGGTACCAACTGACCAATGCAGCCATCAAGCTGCCGACTTCAACGGACCGTATCCATGCTTAAGCTGTGCACGACAAGATGCTCAATATCAACAAAGGGAAATTTTAAGGACATACGGTCACGGGCTTCACGACAAGAGGCTCAATATCAACGCTATGAGTGAGAATTCGCCGTATCGACAAGACAGATCCTGTAAGACATGCCCGTCTTTGAAAGACTTTCTCCAGTGCGACTAATTGACCGTAGTCTTTCAAATTTGGGACGTAAGGAATCATGAGATACAAAATCTGGAGGATGCCAAACAAAATGAGATACGTCTAGCGTGGGCAGAATATGAGCGAATTCGGCGGCGAGAACGAGACCTTCGCAGATGACTAGTCTGCCATCCCAACATCGTCTTTACTTAGAAGGAGCTTGTTGATCGAAAAGGATGTACTCATTTGGAAATTGAGTACTTCAAGACGCACAGGAAAGGAACTTCTTGTCGTCAACCAAAAGTGTAATGAAAGTCGTGAAAGACTGGAGCACTGCATAATCGTGACATTATCGGCCCTGTTTTTGCATGTGACTTTCGTTCATAGGGTCGTTGGCTTTGTGGTCTTCGATGTACGGACATTTCTGTGACGTGGCTGATAGAGCAATATGTTGCGAAGATCATATGAAACATCCATTTTTGTTTTCACTGGGTGCTTAAGCGTTATCAATGCCCTCATTTCTCGGCTCAAATGACGAGTCCATATCAACCACACTTTCCGTCTGTCGATGGACTGAAGCCATTTCGCCCCTCAGATAGTACCGTTCCCGTGTGACATTTCACTGCTCGGAAAGGGCTTGGTTTCAAGCGCTGGCTCCTTTTATTTTTTTGTGGTAATGAGACTCTTGAGCTCCGGTTCTTTGAATATGACGCTCTCTCGCAAGCTCAATACCAGTCTTTCCAGAGCTTGAGGAACCCTTGCCGTCTTCAAGCCACTCTTTTCGTCGACGTTTGTACACGTCCATCTTCCAATTCCTCCATATGGCTTTACCTGGAATCGTCTGCCGTATGACGGACTCATTTAAGGCGATCTCGTTTGCGGCCCTCTCTCTCAGGAAATTCAAGCCCGAGGAGCCTGTCCACATGGCGTCGACAACATGAGAAGCAACAGGGTGGGTAGAAAGCTGCACGATTGAATCGAGCAGGGCTTGACTCAGTTGACGTCTTACTGCTAGGCTCTGTTCTGAGCACGTCAGTGCGGCCTGCAAGACTCTAGAGGCCCCTCTGTCCTTAGCGACATCTAACAATTCTGAATTAGTAGCAGACATTAGCGCTGCATTGACGAGCTCTCTCAAATTATCTGGTGCTTCGAGCATTGTTTGCATAAGAAGAGAGCCGTGTACTTTGCTGAGGGCTCCATCACCTCGCTCATTTTTATTCTGCGATGATGGTTGCTTACTTGCCAATGGATCTCCTAATATCATACTTCTGATCTGCTCATTGACATTTGCGCCAAATGAACTTTGAAAAGCATCAGCAACAGGCTGGGTATCTAGTCCTATCTTTCGGCTTTGCTCAATCAGCATTTTGATAACGGCAGTCCGAGATCGTTCAATGAGAACCTCAAGGCTTGAACATATTCTTTCCACTGCAGTCTTCAGTTCCTCTTTACTTAGACGCTCTATAACCTTCATTGTGACGAAGCTAGCAACTTCGTTTCGGACCAAAGTTTCTATGTTCATCTTGAAGTTGTGCTTGTATAGTGCCTTGACCATCTTTCCTGGAGCGTGAGATACAATGGTTTCCAACAAACGAGATCCTACAGGATCATACAAAAGGTGCTTGACAAAAGCGACACTTTCAGTCCCCTCTTCCAGCTTTTCATCTGGGAGCATCCTCCGCAGAAGAGACTCTGGCTGCTTGGCACTCTGCTTTTCGGACAGCGTTAGTTCGAGCTCTAATAAGATCTGTAGTACTGGGTTTGCAACTGGATGTGTTGCAAGAGCTCTTATGCTACTGGCATCTAGACCAGCTAGAATACAATCAAAGATTCTACTCAAAGCTGTACCGAAAGAGGGAGGTACAGTACGTGAAGGATCGCCCTCGTCGGCCATCACTGCTATTTTATGGATAGAAATGTTCTCTTTTCTCTTACTTTGTAGCATAGTCGCTCTCTGAGGGCCCTCAGTAGGCAGACCAGCAAGAATTATCAGAAGCACACGAAGAACATGCGAAGCAAAAGCGTCAGTCAACAGGTATCCCAGATGTGGCTGTAACTCCGCGACGACTGAGAGAAAGCCCGTCTCCAGATCAGCCGTGGGATGATTTTCACTCTGAGTACTGGCGTTTTCATCTACGAAACTAGCTGAACGTAGGAACAGTGCCTCACAACAATGAGACGCAAAGCGATGTCGTACGAGATTGAGAAAGCTGAAAGTGAAGTCAGGATCTTAGAAGCGGGTATCTTTGGAAAAGCAATCATACTGGCTCTTGAAATTTTCAAACATAGATGTCAGCTGATCGGGCGTTGATAACAGAATGAGCCTCTCGAGAAGCCTCGAACATGACTGGCTGTTAGCTAGCTTTAGTTCCTTGTTATGTGCCTCTTTCCAGACACTCTCTAGGAAAAGGTCTCTCTCTTCGCGGGTGGCGAATCGGTCATTCTCAAGCAACGAGTCCGCTTGCTTGAAATATTCTTGCTCTTGCTCAGTCAGAAGACCGTAGAAAGTAAGATCTCCTAGTCCAGAAGAAGTCAATTGCGGCTGCGCAGCGGCAAACCCTTCGCCCGCACCAGGAACTGAATCAATTTCTGATACCATCAGACCCTGAGGCTCAACATCTCGTTCATCATCAACCCGTTTTCTCTTCCTTTCTGCGCGTCGCCCACGCTGTTTGCGTTCCTGAGGCATCGCTATTGATAATGCAACTTTGAGGTGGTCCCTCCCTACAGCGCTGAGGTCTAATGCATCATGTGCCCTCATCCGAAGGAAAAATTTGTGCACAGTACATTCTCTTAAGTTTTGGCCTCTTGAGTGTGAGTTTAGCGACCTCAAGACATTTTCGAGATGCATCGGATGATCACTCACCCGCAGATCCGATCGTCTTATAAAATGCGCAATCAAGATGCAAAATACGCATTCCTTGGACTAAGCTCTGATCTGGGGGTGGCTCCACACCTAGTTCTAACGCGATTGTCAATCCTTGGCAGCGTATTGACACTCACCGTGAAAATGTAGTGAAGCGGAAGCAGACTTCTCTTCTAAGTCATGTCGCGAACAGCAGGTGTCCAGGGTGCAGATGGCTTCTGTGCGATCCCTCGGTGTTCATATACCCTCAGCGCTACCCTTTCTAGTGGCTGAGGGTATCCTCCCTTCAGACCCATCCAGAGCCTCCTACAAATGGGAGGCCAACTCGCACGACGAGGTGGGGAAAGGCTTTGTCCGAGAAGAATTATTGACTACAGCGTATTGTGTTGTATGGTCGAGGGGGGGTATCATAGAACGAGTCTTTCGGTTTGAAGCTGAGAACGAAATTGTCACCCAAGCCGCATTTACCGAATTCCCCTCGCATCCTCCCTCAGAGAATATCCGAAGAGAGCGGCAAACTGATGGAAAGAAAGTTGGAGATTTGTTGAGCGGTGAAGATTCGAAGACTAAGGGAAGAAGACCAAAGGGAAGAGATCCATGGGCTAAGCAGGACGGATACACACAAGTTGAAGCCGGCCGAAGCAGTCATGGTAAACATCTCGAGCGACAGCCAGCTTGCCGGGCCCTGGTAATTGTCCTAAAGACACAAGCTCATGTATACCTCATATCAAAGACAAGCCATGTCGTCTATTTACCATTCGAAGTGGATTCCATTTTCCCTGCTTACCGGGGTGTACTGCTCCAAAGAAAGGTCGTTGAGCATTTGGAGCCACAACATACCCCAAGATTACCGACTGTGCCACAGAATACTTTTTCTCTCTCCCAATCTACTGCTGTGACCAAGTCGTTTGGCCCATCTGGCGACGGCGATGGCCTTCAAGATCCCCTCGCGCCGTTACTGGCAGGTTTACGCACCGTTGACTCTATACCAGGGTCGCCTGAGCTTCCCCGGCTGTTTTGTCTTAGTGACACAATGACACAGCTTGGAGCAGTGGTCACAGATTCCACGGCTGGGTCGAGGAAGACACTATCTCCCCAAGCAGCTATAGGCACAGCATTCGTGAACTTGGATTCGAATGAAAAGTTGTTGTATGTGACAAAAGAGGACGAATTCAGCAGACACAATAGCTTGACTGCTCATGCGCCAGCTTTTGCCATAGCCGTTACCGAGAATGCGAAAGATGACACAACGACTGTCTGGGCAATGACTTACAGCATTGGAGACAATGATCATGCATTGCGATCTCAGTCGTTCCGATCGTTCAGCGGAAATGTTTCGCGCCGACGCAGCTCTTTTAACAGTCGTCTTAGCACGGGGGCAAACACTCCAGTAGCGAGCACGCACCGTCAGCCCAGTAGAGAGCTTTCTCTTGAAGATCAAAGCCTGCAAAGGCAGCCTGAGCTACTTGAATCCGTTCTCGAAAACCCAGCCAACCCTGCGAAGTCATCGCGCCGGGTCAGCTCATTGCTAGCTCGAGCTGATTTGTCCACTAAACAGGACAAAGACACCTTTACAGACCTAATGGCTGGAACACATGGATCAAGAACAAGCCGCCGTGGAGCTTCGTTTGGTCCTCGACTGTATGAGATTAATCAGGATTATGAAAAGACTTCAAAGTTTTCAAAATCCCACCCTCTTTTGGAGATCACTTCGAGCATTGATTCTGTAAGTTTACAAAGTCAGCCGCTTGATGACAGACTAGAAGCTGTTGATGATGGTGGTGATATGAACGCTGGTGGGAGCTCTGCTACAGGCAAACATCGTCTGAAGAACGAGATCATTTTCAAGAAAATATCTCGTCTGCAGTCGCCTCAATCGCGAGGCGTCCAGACTATGGATAATCTAACTCTCTCCGATACACATGTATTCACACTGCAGTCTCCTGGGCCATTTTTCAACAATTATGGGGCTAAAAATATCCTCGTTTGTGTTATGAGACGTAGGCTTGGTGAGCTTCTCATAGTCCATGTTAAGGCAACAGACCGAGGAAAGTCAAAGAAGATAGACCATTTAGATCTTCCAGATGTTCGGAATTACGAATGCAGCGTCACAGGCACAAGACGCTCGGGTATACGAGATGCTTGCAGAATCAGTCATAGAAACCATGACTGGATACTAGTGCTGGATGCCAAAGGCGGACTCAGCCTTCAAGCTCCATGGAGTTCTATGTTCAAAATTGACATTTCTGAACCTCTGAACCTCCATGACCCCCACAAGATTAGTCCTCAACATCCGCGCCAGCGTGCAGATGAAAGCGGTTCAAACCGCAGAACTAGCCAGACTATTAAGGCAATTGTCGCTCTCGAGCAAGCAGACCGCCAAGGAGGTGTAGACGTTGTCAGCGAAAAGGGAGAAAAGCACAGGATTACGATAGAGCTGGCGCCTTCGAGTTGGTTCGTAGCACGAATAATTAAGATTTGCCAGACGGTTTTGCCATCAACTGAAACTGATGGTGACTCTATTCTAAGAGGGTGGTGGGATGTAATGGCGTGGCTAAAAAGGCGAGAAGAAAGCACTATTGACGAGGAGTGGACTGGATTGCTTGTCCTCCTTTGCTCTTTCGCTGTACCTTTCCTGGATAAGCCACAGCTCGAGACTACACCACGCCAGAAGCGGCGCAAAGGTGGGCTTCTTAGATCAAGCAGTGGCGCAAATACTGACCAGGAGAGCTGGCATGAGATGATGAGACAAGAGAGTGCTTCATCCAAGACATGTCCGGACTGGATGAGAGGCGGAGCGTGGCAGTGGACGAGGGCTGAGGAGCCAGTGGCTCGATCTTTAGCCCAATCAACTGGCACCTTCAGCTCAAATCTATCCGCGGGAGCTGCCAAGTCATTGCCAAAATCATCATATATGTCGGATTGTATAGCGCTTGCCCGAGATTTTGCAAATTCTATCCAGGGCCAATTGGCTTCTGGCCAACAGGGCTATTCACCCGTAGCTGCTTCAAGAGACTCAAGAGCTCGTCAGATGGCATTGCCATCCATTCTTATTGCCCTACATCTATACAGAGAAGAGCTGAAACTGGATACTACTTCCACAAGTCATATGCATCGCTTGGCCCCTATATTGGCCCAGATAGGCAGCTGGATAGGATGGCCTGATTGGTCCTCAAAAGTATCAGCTTATTATATGCTCGAAAGCGTAGACATGCGGGACTGGCAATTTGATGGATCGATAATGACGGGTATCAAGTCACCATCTCAGCCATACCCACCACCATCGATCCTAAAACACCTTGAGTCAGCTGCCTCCATTGATCAAGTATCAAAATTTCCCACTCTCATTGATGCGATTGCTTCGTTCTCACTGAAGCAAGAAGGCCATGAAGAGCTGGTCCAGAGCATCTTGATGGATCTTACCCCTCGGACTCTACTGGTCACAAATCTTCTGGGCAGTCAGGGACAGCCCATAGATCTTCAAATTCGCAACATGGCAACCTCTGGCATCAATTTTTCAGTTCTTGAGACTCTTCCCGAGAGCGTGGCAGTCTACTTCCGGGCTGTCCTATCTGCATGTCAGATCAATCCATCAGCGCTCTCCGATACGGCAACCTTACAACTTGTTGAACGAGAAGATATTGCTATGCTTGGCAAGGCCAGCGAGAAGACCCGTTCAAAGGGGAGAATCCTCTATACTCCTTCAGAGAATCCGATGCGAGATGTTCATATCATCTGCAGTCAAGCTTCTGACGTTGAGAATATCGGTCCGTATGACGGGTCGGCCGAAATCGATAGACAATCCATCACACGCTATCTATTCAATGAAGATCAACGCTTTGCTGAGGCAGCCAAATTAGTTCATCCGCTTCAGAATCCTATTGCGCAGTGCGTTCCTGAGCCGGGCTGGGCTGAAAGTGACTTACTAGAGACTCAGCAAGAGTTGGCAAAAGTTGTGGCTTTGAGAACATTGTCTGTTTCGTTAGGGCGAAGTCTACTGTTTTACAGTGCTCGTATGCCGTTGATTACAGAGAAATATCCGATCCATGGATTCACCCTCAGCTGTACAATGAAGCCATCAGACACAACCGTCACTGCAGATCGTACCGCCTTCACTGAAGAGAAAGTATCATGGGCTTTCTTCCATGCTGGGGTTGAAGCTGGCCTAAGTATTTCAAGGGAAGCGCAAGGAATTGACACCTCCTGGATCCTGTTCAACAAACCTCGGGACCTGACACATAGACATGCTGGCTTCCTGTTCGCTCTTGGCTTGAATGGCCATCTTAGGTCCCTCGCTAAATGGGTGGCATTCAAATACCTCACTCCAAAGCACAATATGACATCCATTGGGCTATTGCTGGGCCTTTCAGTGTCTTATCTTGGCAGTATGGATACCGTCATCACGCGGCTTCTTTCAATCCACGTAACTCGAATGTTGCCACCTGGCGCTGCCGAGTTGAATTTGTCCCCTCTTACACAGACTTGTGGTATTATGGGCATCGGGCTGCTGTATTGCGACTCTCAGCACCGTCGTATGAGTGAAATCTTGCTTTCAGAGCTGGAGAATATGGAGGTGGAGGAGGCACTCAACCCTATGGAGATCTTGAGAGACGAAGGCTACCGATTATCTGCTGGCTTTGCTCTTGGCTTGATCAATTTGGGCAAAGGGGGGACCTGAGGGGATCACGCGACATGCACATAGCGGAGAGGCTCCTCACACTAGCCGTCGCGACCAAGTACATGGATTCTGTACACATCTCGGATACCGCGACTGCGGGCGCAATCATGGCCATTGCACTTGTATATATGGGAACAAACGACAAAGCAGTTGCGCGAAAGATTGACATACCCCCAACAACTCATCAATTCGATTACATCCGGCCAGATCATTTTCTGTTACGGTCGGTCACCAAACAAATCATCCTGTGGGCCGACATACAAGCCACTCATGCCTGGGTAGCAAAACAGATGCCGTTGCCATATCGACAGAAACGAATCACGAAGATCGGAAGTCTGAACACTGAGGATCTTCCCTTCTTCAATGTTCTCGCGGGTCTATGCCTCAGTGTCGGACTTCGCTTCGCGGGCAGTGGAAATATAGAGGCAAGGGATCTTCTCTGTTATTATCTGGATCAGTTTCTACGCGTTTGTCGCTTGCCAGCGCACAACTACGATGCTAAGCTAACTCAGATCACCGTTCGCAATTGCCAAGACGTTTTAGCTCTCTCATCATCGTGTGTCATGGCCGGTAGAGGGGATCTCGTGGTCTTCCGGCGGCTTCGCTCTCTGCATGGCCGGACCGACTCGGAAATCCCTTATGGAAGTCATCTCGCAGCTCATTTCGCGGTTGGCATTCTCTTCTTGGGTGGCGGTACGCATACGCTAGGCACATCGAACCTTGCTGTTGCATCCCTCTTGTGTGCCTTCTATCCGCTCTTCCCGGCTTCAGTGCTAGATAACAAGTCTCACCTCCAAGCGTTCCGACATCTGTGGGTCTTGGCCGCTGAACGCCGTTGCCTCATTCCTCGAGATATTGACAGTCATCGCCCTCTCTCCCTACCCATCATCATCACGCACACAGACGGTACAAACACGCATCAGATAGCGCCATACCTCCTCCCAGACCTCCACACAATCTCATCAATCAGTACGAACGACCCAGAGTACTGGCCGATAACGCTCAATCTGGCCACAAATCCGGCCCATCTCTCCGCCTTCCGAGAACACCAAAGCATCTATCTACGCCGTCGGGGCGCCTACGATACCTCTCAAACGTCCGCCTTCTCTGCCACGATGAAGGCGCTCAACGACACGCAAATAGCGCACCAGCTCCACAACCAACCTTTTGAGTGGCTTTTCACAATCCCCGCCTTCAGCGGGTTTGATCGCGCGGAGCGAGCGCTCGTCTTACCTGCTGATACTGCGGGTCTGGCTAGTAGTGTGTACAGGGGAATCCGAGGGACTTCATTGGATGATCGACTGTTAGTGGAGACAGGGTGTTTGGGTGATGGAAGGAGTGAGAGGTTGTGGAATTTGAGGCTGCTGCTGAAATGGGCTGAGGATTGTGAAAGGCGAGGCGAAGAGCTGAGGTGGTTTAGCAAAGATTTTATTGAAGAGTTGAGGGCGAGGTTGGCTTTGTGGAGGTCTGGAACGGGCATGTGAGGAGACTTGCACACGACGCGGGCGTTGAGGCTGAGATGCATAGTTAGCTCCGCGAAACTACGTACACAATGAAAAGGCGTTCAAGAATACGGTTATAAATCTCATTTCCATGTACATCGTACAAATCGTCCATCACACGTTGCATTATATAAACGGGTATCAAACCCAAGTTTTCCCGTGTGCCTATCCTTCGCTTGACAAAGACGTGCAACGCTAGTCCAATCACCCTAAGCATATGCCTCAAGAAAGATAAGAAGCTCCCCCTACAAAAGCTGCCCAATGCAGGTTCACTGGTCGATTTCACCCAGCTACCTAATATCCCCTTCTCTCAACTTCCTCGCCAACTCTGTTTCCGCAAAATCCCACCCCTTCGTCTCCCCAAAGAACGGCTGTTGCTGCAACAGCGTCCCCGCCGTCGGCCGCTCCCTCGGGTCAATCGTAAAGCAATCCAGCATAAAGCTCAAAGCCTGCGCACTGATCGCCTGACTGACATCATCCGGGATTGGGGGCGCCTGATTCAAGGTCCCTAATTTATAGATTGCCCCCACGGCCTCATCCTTAGACCAAGGGCGGCGGCCAGCGAACATCTCGAGCACGACGCACCCGAGAGACCAGATGTCGACCTTGGCAGAGTAGCCCTGACCTTGGGACCGCACGACCTCGGGGGCCATCCAGAAGACGGAGCCTTGCATGTTGTTTGTGATGTCGTTGCCGTAGATATTGTCTGTCTTCTTGGAGATGCCGAAATCGGAGATTTTGCAGGTGCCGTCGATGTCGAGGAGGATGTTGTCGGCTTTGAGATCGCGGTGGAGCACGCCTTCTTGATGGAGGTATGCGAGTGCGCCGAGCGTTTGGCGCGTCAGGGAGGAAACGAGGGATTCTTCGAATTTCCCGTGTTTGCGCAGACAGGAGCCTACGCTGCCGCCGGAGATGTACTCCAAGAAGATGGAGATGGAAAAGTCTTTTCGCTCGCAGCCGAGGTATTGTACAATGTTGGGGTGTTCGAGGTGTTGCATTGTGTCGATTTCTTGGTCGAGTGCTGCGACCATGTCTTTCATGCGGTCTTTGTCATTGCCGGCGGCTCTTTGGCTCACATCGACTTGTTTCACGGCGAGGAAGTCGCCGGTTGTGAGATTCATGCCTAGGTAGACTTTACCGTAGCTGCCTTTGCCAATGAGCTGGCCGCGAGCGATTTGGAAGGAGTTGGCTGGTGGGCCTGGGGCTTGTTTGGGCACAGCTTCAATCAGGCTGACGCGACTCCCTCTTCCTGGTTTGACTTGGACGATGTTGGCACCGAACATTTTGGTGCTCTTGCGGCGGACGATGTCGCTAGACATAGGTATAGAAGGAATTCCGGGTGTGTGGATTTGGGTATTACGCTTGGAGGAGCCTTCATGAGCGCCACGCGCAACGTCACGTATTGACTTCATACGCCCCAATCCACCAGATTTGCGAACGCTTCTGTTGGCCAGCCCTGAGCTCATAGGAGCTCGGCTTCGCAAAGTGGACTCTTCGGATCCTAGAGTTTCTGTTTCTGGCTCTTCTGCGATAGATTCGGGTCGAATGCGATCATACAATGAAGACCGAATCATACGTCTACCAGCTGCTTGAGGCTCTGAAGCTGCGCTGTCGAGCGGGTTGTGATCATCATTAGCACTGGGCGAGGTCGGTGTAGAGCCTACCATGTCTTCAACTACAGGCTCGTCAAGATCGAGGTTGGGAAAGAAAGCGTCAAGATTGTTAAGGAGATCCTCGGTTGGCGGTCTGTTTGCCCACACGTCGTCCCTCATGAACGACTGTCTTCGCGAGATCTTCGTGATGTCGGGTGAATCAGCAGACACTGATGTGGGATCATCGGACTCTGGAGTTCGTCGATCAGACTTTCCGAAACTCGACGTGCGACTATCATTATCTAAATCTGTTGTATTGCTCGATTGAGCCGTGGAAGGGTCCGTCGGTAAGTCAGGCGACTTCTTCCAACTCACTGAAAGCCCTTTCGACTTTCTTGACCTTTGGTCCGTATCCAAAGTCAGGGTTGGTCTCCGCGAACCATTACTATCTTCTGCAACTGACTTCCTGGCCGCTTGTACTTTTCCTGCTAGTGGTTTTGCAAACAGCCCGTCGTCTGAATCGTCTTCAGAAATCAGTTGTGGCACAGGTGGTGGCCGATCAAACGAAATTTCGTTTTCCTTGAAGAAATAGGCCGGTCCATAAGACCGAGGGCGTGACGCTGTCGAGCTCTTGCGAGAAGGCGGGCCTCCGGACGTGGGACTGTGCTGCGGTGACGGACGCTTGCGCATCTTTTCTTTGGAGGGATTGCGGAACATTTGCGTCTGTAGAGCTAGATTTGGCTTTTGGTTGTCAGAGCCTAGGGGGATAGACATGCGGTTAGCAATGGCTTTCGCAGTTCGACTATTGATATCGAATGGAAGATCGCGGGTCAGCTTACCAGAATTCATCATATTTTGGCGTTGTGCCTGTGCGTTCAGTGTTGGATTGTTCCTACGTGATCCAACGAGCCTTCCCACAGAGCTTGAAACGTCACCAGCGTTCACCAAAGCAGCTCCGATACCACCGCTAGGAGGCAAACCGGTTGCTGGTTTGGTTTGACTTTGATCGTGCACCTCTTCTTCGACTGGATCACCAATAGATTTCCTATTCGACTGGCTCGATGGCCCTGACAGAGATGACCTGGCTGAGTCGCCTGCTTTTCTCGTCAGGGAGTTTGCTTTTTCGAGCATTTGAGAGCTTGCTGGCGGGGCAGGCGGTTTCCGCGTTGGCACCAATGGATCCGTTTTCTTCTCAGGCTCGTAGGGTGATCTTTTAGGGGTATCAAAATTCACAGTCCGTTCTTTTTGAGATTCTCCCGCTACTTTACCGCCTTCAGCTCGGTTGGTAGTTTTCTTCTCTACGTCTTGCTGGAACTCTTCCACTGCCGCCTCAAGCCAAGATGCCCAATCAGCGTCTGAAACACTGCCACTTTCGCGAGCAGTCTTCATGGTCTGAAGCTTTTGTTTGGCGGTGGTAATGTCCGACAACGCAGCAAACTTGTCTGCATCACCGTTCATGTTGGTAGCCGAAGCTGGGTCGCTAGCCTTTAGCGTATTTTGTCTAGATGCTAGAGGCGGAGAGCGAGAGCGAGCCATGCCATTGACTCTGATGCGGTTGTAACCGTCCTCATCTACAGCTTTCCTTGGGAACACACTACCTGGTGGAGGTGATGCCTTTGGAGACATTCCAATGCCCAGACCTGCAGAAAGCGGCGGAGGCATTAGAGAAGCCGAGTTCGGCCCACGACGGACGAAGATTTTCAGCGCACCGCTGGAGTCAGCCTTGCTGTGTTTTGAAAACAAGAGCATTGAGTCGGATATTGGATCATCATGTTCAATTTGTCCGGGCTCGGTAAGGTAGAGCAATGCCATGTCCACATCATTCTCCCCATAGTTGAGACCTCTACAAATGGCTTCCCTGATAGCTAAAGAGCTTTCAGCTTCCGTAATATCTACGAGGCGGTAGTTCCACTGATCTGCAGTGACAAACGCATACCGCCTTAGACCGCGTGCAAAAGCTCGTTCACGTGACAGTCGCTCGTGTTCCGACATTTGAGTTGAGGCCGAAGAAGGCCGCTCCAGAGACGTAGTGCTATAGTTTCTGCCACCCTTTGCGAATGGTTGCGACGGTGGCATGTAGCGATGGTTCTGTGGGCTTGTTGGAGACTCCTGTGAATGGTCTTCTGGAGAGGGATGAGAACTATCATGGTCTTTCTTCCTCTTCCTAAATCTTTCCAAGAATCCTTTGCTGAGTTCTTTCGCACTTGAAGGAGGGTCTGCATGGCTGTTCTTGGGCCCAATATCGAGTGCGGTAGGTCTATGGCTTTCTATGCCATTTCTTCGTGATGCCGTTGAATCAGTACTGCCAGTCTTACGATGGCCTATTCGATTGTGAGGTGGAGCGGAGAGCGCACCACCTCCTACAAGCGTTGAGTGTTGGGTTGATGGACTACCACTTTGTGGGCTCGCATCATATGTGTTGCGAATAGCATCGCCGATGAATGTAGACCCAGTGCCGGTATCGCTTGATGCACTAGGGCTATGGTGGCGTTTGGACGCAGCGTCGTTGATGTTGCTTAAGATACCTCTAGAGTATCCCGAGCGAGCCATTTGAGCCATTTCAGCTAGACCTGTATCGCTTGCCGTGGCACCAACCTGGCTATATATCGCAGTTGGGGCAGTACTGCTGCGAGTTTTGGAAGCCATGCGAGGGTTGAGCGCGGGAGCAGGAGATCTGAAGAATTTTCCAGGACTTTCGTCTTCCACACCAGCCGTACTAGGTGTTTGACTGAATGCTTCCATGCTGCCTGGGTTGGGAGATGTTTCCACACCGCCATCTGTCGAAGCGCTGGGTATTAAGCCAACAGATTCACGACGACCATGACCTCTGAACGTCTCTGCACTCTCAGCGATAGCCCTAACAAGGCGCCTCATCCGTCTTCCTTCCTTTTGTTCTCTTTCTTGGTTCCAACCTGATCCACTCATGCCACATACTCTCGCCAATCTAGGGTAGACTTGTTGGTGCATCATGCCAAAGTTGCCTCTCCCGTTGTTCGCCCGTCCAAGATCGAGAAAATCTCTTCCCTGTATGTTGAGACTTCGGAAGGTCTCTTGCCAATCTTCCGAGAAGCTGTTTGCCTCAAGCCATTTGCTTACTCGATCAGGAGGCCACTCTCGCGCAGGGTCATTTGGAGATAATAGACCGGAGCTGCTGCTACGTCCATGCCCAGATGCAGACGACGGAACTTGATCAGAGTTGGTCTGAGACTGACCATTTGGTACCGTCGTACTCATGGGTGTAGAGGCATGTTGACTTACACCTTGTCTATTTTGAGACAATTGGATTCCTGGCCCGCTCATATGCTCGTTGAAAGCAGGTAACTCTTTACTAGGAGATATGGCAGAAGAAGGACCATTAAAGAATCTCTGATCGTGGAGCATGCCAGCTTCAAAGTGACTATATGAGAAGCTATCGTCGCGTGCAAATGCAGGCTCTTGTTCTTGCTGGGTGTATAATGGCGGTATGCCAACACCGGGGCCAAACGACTCCCCACCTGGGATATAAGTTGCTGAGACCACAGCTTCCGATTGAGGGGGGGAGGGGGAATCGTAAGCGCTGAAGGTAATTGGTTTCGATATACAGACTGATTCGGATACTGATTTTGCTTGGCCCCGATTTGATTGGGACCTAAAGGCGGCGGGGGTGGGAGCCTGCCCCACCCTTGTTGGGTCCATTGAGCCGGCATGTTCGTCGCTGAAGGAGGAGGACCCGGCGGAGGTGGTGGAACCATACTGTGCGGTGCGTTTGCGGCAGGTGGACGAGGAGGCGGAGGGGGCAAATTGAGGACATGACTCTGTTGCTGGGGCGGAGGTGGCGGTGGAGGAATATAGGTCGGTCTCGAGTCCATGCTGATTGGGTTCGAATGATATCGTTGTCCCTGCTGGTACTCTAGAGGAATCTGATTTCGTTGAATCCCTCTATTCGGTGGTCTTGCTAGCTGACCACCGTGAAGATCTGTGGTGCTCGCTCTTGGACGCGAAGGTGATGCTGGAGGAGCAGCGGATAGCGATGGGTATGGTGATCCAGTCCCCTGAGAGGGAATAGCTAAAGAAGGTCCAGACTGTCCCTTATTGGATACCGGTACATCTTCAAGTATAAGATCGCCTGGACGACGTGAATGGGCAGGAGATGGCGTTCTCGCCTGTAATTCTGAGTGGTTTGATAAGGCAGAGGATGAGCGCTGGCGCAAGGTCATCCTCTAGCAGCAGAGCTGCGCCTTTCAAGAGGCCAATGACCCCGCACAACCGCCAGTGGAAACCCTTTATATTCCTAGCATGAAAGACTACTTCGGTGCCTTAGATGAAAAAGTGCTGTGCACATTTATGTGCCAAAATTCGAGCGATTGACAGCAATCGTAGCTGTGTAAGCTGTGTGACTCGTGTGTTTATGTGACTCCCACTAGCAATGAATGGCGTAGACGTCCCAATTTCTCTTGCTTTAGGTCGCTTGTAGGAGGGGTCGTGTTATAGTATCTTGAGGTGTATGAGAGCTACCCATTCATTCGACAGCTCACGAATGCGCTGGATCTGTAAGACTTCTTCTCTGGGCGCAAGGAGTAGCACAAAGGCGTGGCGCACCGTCATGGGTTGTATCACGAGTGTCTGAAATAATCTGAGGTCAGAATTGGTACCAAAACTTCCAATATGCTGTAACTTTGGAATACCGGACGAGTAGCCTGGCCGATGCAGGATTGTTCGTTGATTGCGAGGTTATCTACTGATCTCCGCCTCACCTCACCACCTGCAGATAGTTCCTGGTCTTGGCGGTCTAGAGCCGCATTCTGCCCGGCTATTTTAAGACGACAGCGGGTCGTTGCGCGCTTGCGAAATCTCCCAAATTGCCCTCGTCAATGCCACGCGATCACGGAACATCCGTCACGTGTCAATCACATGTCAGAGACATTCTACCTATATAAAGATCTGCCACTGATGGCGGACACATTAATTTACACATAGGACGATGCATCATCCACTGGTTGCAGCATTCATTGTAAAATGGTATTGAGTGGAGGCTCGTTGAGGAGATCAAGTTCCCTCGGGTGATAACCGCATCAATGCTTCTGTCAAAGTTCTTCTCGCGTCGAGTTCGCAGGCATCATTGGCCGACCTATAGTGATTCCGAACGACAATGAAAACACTGTCGTAGCAAGTATACCTTCACACGTCAGTATCAAGATCAATTACATTACGAGGGCGCACAAGACGTACAAAAGCCCCTTGATATCTTTCCCTCTTCCCACTTCAGCCATTGCAACATCTCCCCACATCGCGCGTCCATAATCAAGCAAACCAGTGACCTCATTTGCGTCAAGGTCGATCAATGTGTTTGACGGATCGCCCAAGCCAGGTATCACCAATCTCGCCTCCCTGACGTCTTCTAAATACGTCTCCCACCTGCTGATCGCCTCTCTGATCTGAAAGTATGGGAGATTGACCAGCATATCTTCCCCGTCCATGAGAAGGGACTCAATCATGGCGATGAATGCTTCCTTCCATGTCCTGAAGCCTTTGCCTGCCTTGACCAGACCAGCTGGGCCATATGTGAAGGATGTATACTGGTTGAGACTGGAGCGCAGCGCTTGAACTTGCCTCTCGATACCTCCGCGCTCGGTTTTTGTTCGGTGATGGATGACGTCGGCATAGAGAGAACCTGGGAGGCAGGTCGTAAGAATAAAAGGAGCGGTCGAGCTGCTCAGGGCTGGTTCATATTTCAAGATACGAGGTACTGGTATATAGGTGTTGGCCAGGAGCTGGAGTATCGTGGCTTCAGAATCGAGGTATGTTTGTTCGGGTCGCAGCAGGGTCTGGAATGGTGATGGACAGGTTTTGAATATGAGGCGGGCGCCGTTGGAGAGTCGAATTGAACATATTCGGTGGAGGTGTCCCTGCAGCTCTTCAAGACCGCTGACTGTGAGGCGTGAGCAAGACAAAATCTGTTGGATGGTTTTCTGTGTCGTTGAGGAAGGGGTCATGGGAGGAGACAGTGGTCTATGAATAAGGCCCATGGTGACCCAAGGGCAACTGAGAAGGTTGCAACACAACTTGGCAAGAAAGGGCAGATTCAAGAAATGATAAGAGTTCTCCTGTGAGGCAACAGATGGGGGAGGCGCATACTCATATGATGGCGTAAGGCAATCGAGGATAGCAAAGCCCGGTCATTATGTCAGTGCATTTAACGCACGGTCGAAGTAAAGACCACTGTAGTGGTAACTTGGCAGGCGGCGGTCTGCCAAACCCAAACGTCCTGTCATCCTTGAGAGAGGCCAGAACAAGGAGGGAGGCTTTGACTCGGCTAGTGTATGGAGAAGCGAGGCATTGTCAAATAAGCAGCTTCTGCTCTCTTGGATCTGAGGTGTTCCAGAAGCGCGTGTAATGGAATTCATGCCGTTGGAGCCGTGTTAGTCAGACGGTAACGAAGCCATAGCAGTCAGCAGTGCTCCTTATAGACCGGTGGCTCGCCTCACGAAGTATTGCCGAGGGTGAATTCTTATACATGACGTGCCTGTGTTCTGGCGAGTACCACAAACTGCGAACCGCGAACGACAGCGGTAAAGCGTCGTCCTCAGGTGCATGAAGTCCGCAGCAGGGAGGCCGGCTGGTTGCCTAAAGAGGTAAGACAGAGCGGACGGGGTGGGACTTTCGCTAGGCGAGGCAATCGGTTGGCTTCCCAGACGCCAGTGAGGAAAAGGTTCTAGCGTTTGTGTAACGGTGCGATGGCAGGGTGGTCGAGAAAGGCTCGGTAGTGATGCAGGGACGCCATGCGTTCACCCCCATGTTGATACAATAATATTAATGATATAGACCCATGCAAGTGCCGTGCTCGCCGAAGAGCTGAAACATAGCTTATGGGAAGGGACGGGATGGTGGCTTTCGCAAGTCAAGAAGGTTGGATGCATGTATTTGTCAAAATGCCCGAACAGGTTGGCTCGCTTTCCCCCTTCGTTAATAGGTCTGCTGTAGTTGGCCTCCTCGCCTACGCCAAGCGAGAGCTTCGCATCCTTTGGATCGCAACAATCTTTGATTCGTTTCCGTAACGACTCCCGCTGTCTAGGTTCGTGGCCAGCCCTGGCATCAGCACCTCCTGAGGTGAGTCCTGTCGTAAGGGAGACCTGTGCTTCTGGTCCTCGAAGGCAAATGATGATCGTGGTCAATGCGACTCGCTGCAGATAAGTCGCTGTCTGAAATGCTCGCTTGTAGAACTACACCTCAAGAATCAGACCGGGTTCAACAAGGTTCTGAGGCGTCCAAGTTCGTTGGTGTGCAACTTCTTTTGTTTCATCACCGACATCTTCCTCATGCAATTTCAAAGGAAATGTTCGCTTACACGCTCATGATCTTCGTCTGCTTTGCACTGTTATTGGCACCGCATCGCAACAGTACGGCTACAATCATAGGTGCCGATGGCGCGTCGCGAGCATTTTCTTACCGTGATCTTGATTCTATAATTCTTCGAGATCTGCCAAGCATATTCGGTCACAATCACACAGCATTTGTCCTGCGGTTCTCAAGTAGCTAGAGCGTGAAGACTAGATATGCTCCACATACATGCCGATTGCACACTTTGAGCTCGAGCAGCGAGATTGAGAGGCATCGAATGTGAAAGTATTTGACACAAGAGGAAGATGAACAGATGCGAAGCCGAGACTTCGTCTAAAGCACTGGTGCTGGTAACTAGCTCCGTACTTCTGTCGTGTTATTTGAGCTGCGAATATTTCCCTTGAAGGCGTCACCGCGATCGATCAAGACATCTTTCAACCGCCTCCTGGATCGGTCGCTTTTTCGATGGAACCTCCCTTGAACTGACCATAGCTGCCCCGTAGTCGACTCCCATTTCTTAGCTCCCTCTCTTATCACCCCATGTTCTTTCACTCACTTCATTCAGCTCACGTAGCCTCCCGCTACTCGTTGGCGCATATGAAACGTTCAAAAATTGATCGGTCCAGAAAGATAGCGGGTTGGAATGAAGAAACACCCACCAACAAAGTTCAAGTGAGTCGAGTAGACACAATCACACAGGTGACTTTGGTGGCGTAAATCTCTTGACATTAAAGGGGCGACACTAAGAAAAAAGATCTTTGAGGAGGAGTACCGAAAGATTTAAAAGCCCATTTCGCTTTTGATAGTAATTTGATTATGATGTTGCCACATACTGGCCCTAAGACGTAGGCGTTGGTTCGAGTATCTCCGCGAGATTGTATCGCTTCAATCTCTCAAACTCCCCAGGGACTACACTCATCCCAAGCACATTCCTGTAGACCTCTACCAAAACAACCACATCAGGATTCTTCAGATCGACTTTGTATGACGGTCCACTCTGCGCCACCATCCTTGCAACCAGTTGAATGATCTCGTCTCGTTTCAACACATTATGATCTCTCAATGTAGGCCGGATGGCATACTTTGTCCCCTCGACCCCTATTCCATCGGCCAGCACATAATCACACACACTCTCTAAGCCAGAAATGGTAGCCTTTGCCATTCTGCTCATAGGTGTAAAGCGCTTAACGAATCTACACCTTTTCTGCGTGACGCCACCTCTAGCATCTTGACAGATTTTGTGAACGAAATTCACTGATTCAATTGGCGGTTTAGTTTTGAAGAATAAGACACACTGCGTGTCTAGCTTTACCGTTTGGAAGACTGCTTCATTCTTCGAGGATGATTTCACACTGGATTGCTTAATGTCTTTGATTTCGCCTTTGAGCAAGGCTTCGATGTCATCGGCACCTTGCCCTTCGTCATCGTCATCTAATGGAGGAGCTTCTGAGGTATCCGCGTCTGTGTTTCCAAGGTGATTGTACAGCCTCAAAGCGTAATCCTCAAAAAGATCGCGTACTTCGATGGTGGATTTGCCTTCTTTACCTTTGGCACATGTTACCCAAATCCCAGCATCACCAGGTTCGATGGTGGCAGGTGGGCTACGTTGTTGCTGGGGTTTTTTGGGATTGCGCCATTGCTTCTTCAGCTTTTTCTCGACGGGCAGATCACTGGGAGGTGAAGCTTTGCGCTTAGTGGATTCCATCATTGTTAAGTGAGTTGTCCAAGATTGGTTGCGAGTTGTGACGAGGAGTGCAGGCAAATGGTTGTACTGTGTTGAGCGTATTCTACGTCATGACTAAGGTCGAGAAGTAATTATATATTACTAGTTATTTACAAATGATCATCTACTGACTAAAAGCACTGTTTCTGAGCAGCATTAGTTCTCACAGCGCATATCGTGATTTCGGGCTCGCTTGCGATACTTTCATCTATGTTGTGATTCTCATAGCACATCCCTCCTAATATACTAGCCTTGCAATCATCGTATGTCGTATCATTGCTTAGCATTTGTTTCTGCTGATGCCTTGGCCGTCAGTTGCAGTGCCTTGGGTGCGTCCTCTTTCGGCATGTAAAGCTCAACGAACTATTGAGATTAGAAGAAGCTAGATCATCGGACTGCCATAGATACCTGCAAAACCGATGCTGCACAAAATTCTTTACTCTTGAAAAGTGCGTTTGCCTCATCTTTGGTTCTCACTTGATACGTCTTGGCTGTTTGTGGCGTCGCGCCAAACACGTCGACAAGATCTTTGTTCCTCCATTCTTGTATATCGTTGTAATTGGCGTCCATCCCATGGATATATCGTTCGATAGTATAGCCATTGTTACAAATGAGGAAGCTTGATCGTTAGCGTTGGCAGGGCTGTATGTTGGAAGTGCAACCTACATGATGGGTTTCAAATCGTTTCTGATCATGGTACTCACCTCCTGTGCGGTCAGTTGAAAACTGCCGTCGCCGACAAAGAGTACTGTTCGCCTGCTACCGCTTTCTTTGGCAGCTAACGCGGCACCCTGGCATGCGCCGACAGACCAGCCAATCGAACCCCAAAGGACTTGGGACAGGGCCGTCACCCCTTTGGGGAATTTGGTCTCCCATATTCCGAAGTTAGCAGTGCCAGTCTCGGTAATGACTATGTCATCTGGCTCAAGCCATTGGCCGACACTTGGCCACAACCAATCATGTGTGATGACTTCAGTGGTTGAGACTCCTTGATCCTTTTTGGGAACAATGTTGTCATATGAAGGCCCTGGTTGTATGCTCAATTTGCCCATCTTTGCAGTCACCTTCTTCAAGACTCCTTGCATTCTCACACCGGGGTATTCAGAGAATCGGACTCTCATAATACTACTGTGAAAGTCAATTGTCTTGAGCTGGCTCACTCTGTATGTAAATCCTGCCGTGTTGAAGTCCGACTTGATGGCACCGATGCTGAGCACAAGGTCTGCAGACTCCACGCGATCTGCCACACCGGCATTACTCCCATTCCCAGCATAAACACCCCCGTAGTTTGGAAGAGTCTCGTCTATAGCACCTTTTCCCATTGGTGCGACGTAGGTGGGTAAACCTGACTTCTCTACCAACTCATGTACTTCATTCAGCACCCGATGGCGAATCGCACAGGCATCAACAAGTATCACAGGGTTCTTAGCCGCATGCAAGTACTTCAATACGACATCTACCACATAGTCCTCTTTCTCTTCGTTATTGGTAGGATAATCTAAGTCAAGGGGAGTCCTCAGTCGTTCTCCCTCAACTTTTTTTGGACCATGTCAGTCGGTAAGGTGAGATAGACTGGCCGCGATTGAAGCCAACACTCTCGTATGGCATGGTCAATAAGAGTGGCGGCTTCGTGCGGATCGTTAAGCTTCGCTGTCGCGCAAGAGATATTCTTGCTCATGTCTGCAAACACCTCAAAGTTGCCATTGCCCAATGTGTGATGTAAGAGCATTCCATCTTTTTGAGACAACGTCGAAGGAGTCCCGACTATATGTACGATGGGTACATATTCAGAGTAACCCCCAGCAATTGCATTGAGAAGACTCAATTCGCCCACACCAAACGTTGTCACTACAGCTGAGATGCCTTTGACTCGAGCGTATCCATCTGCTGCATAGCCTTTCGACGGGTCAGTCTATGGATGTCGTCTACGCCGACTGATCCTCACGAACCAGCATTGAGTTCATTGCAATTGCCTACCCAGTACAGACCATGTTGAGGTATATAGTCCAGGGCTACCTGTGCCTATTAGATCCAATGCAAACTTCATGACAAAGCGTTCCTCACAAGATTATAATCCCCTGGCACGCCATGAACACCTCTTACGCCAACTTCGTACAGTCTTCGAAACAAGTACTCAGCCACATCTACCGGGTCTTTCAATTCGGAGACCCTTATGTCGGTAGCCATGGTGGAGGTACGTGAGACCAATGGCTTCAAATAGACAAGAGCTACTTTTGTTGATCCGCTGCTTTCCGGTACGATGATGCAAGTTATGAATCCTTTATCGATAAATCACGTGACTATCTCTCTGCTCCAGCCTGCAACCACTTTCAGCCCTTCTTTTGCTATCTGCGATGCGGAATAGGCGATGGCTCATTTTCTGCGAGGGAAGCAGGCGGGAATACAAAAAGATTTCTCCGCGGGCCTTGATTCGCGACTCTTCGCCATCGACGAGGTTGCTCCCCAAATCACCCAAGGCTGATTCAAAGCATTAACGCACTGCAGGTGGCCCGATATGGAGTCAATTCCCAAGTATCCGCCATAGCATATGATCCGGTTCAGTCAATACTTGCCGTAGGTACTAATGATTCGAAATTCGGAAGCGGCCAAATCTATGTCTTTGGTAGAAAGCGGGTTACCGTAACTCTACGTCTCCCTCGTAAAGCTTCCGTGAAGATCCTTCAATTCTGCTCCGACAAGCTAGTTGCGGTCGATAATAAGAATGAACTGTCCATTTTCTCCCTCCTGAATACGCGTATTCTCACATCATACTCACCGTCCGGGTCAATCACTGCGCTAGCAACAGACCCTACACTAGACTATGCTTTGATTGGCCTCCAAAATGGTTTGTCTATCCAGGCCCCTAAAACTTTGCAAATGATCGATGCTGAAAGATCTGGTAAGGCGAGGTCCTCGCTTATGATATGGACCGACAGAATCTTGCTCCCTGGCGAATTCCATCTCTCTGGAAGGAACAGAATCCTAGAGCTCGTCCAACGCCTGTGGTTACCCTGGCATTCCATCCACGACACATCGGCAACCTACTGGTTGGATACGCTGATGGAGCTATAGTATATTCGTTCCAGCAGAACAAGCCGAGCAAGACATTTCAAACTATTCCATCTTCGAGAGGCGTTCAAGGCTCGGCACGCTTGACACAGGCTATATGGCATCCTACTGGAACTTTTGTGCTGATCGGGCACGAGGACTCGACATTCGTCATTTGGGATGTCAAAGAAGGGAGACAAATACTCGCTCGTACTTTGGATGCAGCCGGTCCTGGCTCGGGAACATCTGTTCAAGGATCAAGTAGTGGAACGAGTGTTATTCGTGAACCGATATTCAAGGTCGCATGGTGTGCCAAAGAAAACCCAGATGATACTGGTCTACTAGTAGCTGGAGGACGTTCAACGACAGACGTGGACAAGGGACTTAATTTCCTTGAACTTGGTGCAACTCCTGTTTATGCTACTTCATCATGGCAAGCCTTGACAGATCATTTTGTGAGGCCGAAGCGTCAATTTGTGTTACCATCCCCTCCAAACGCTCAAGTCGTTGACTTTTGCCTCATACCGAGAAAGACACCCCACTTCGCTGGAGCAAGCGATCCCATAGCTGTCATAGCGCTCCTTGCATCTGGTGAGATGGTGACAATGAGCTTTCCTTCCGGCCATCCCATCACGCCTACAAACCAGCTTCACGTCTCTTTAACGTATGTTCACCCATTCGTGGACCGTATTGCTATGAGCTATGTGGACCGTACCAGATGGCTTGGACTTGTGGAAAAGCGTTTGCAAGGCCCACCAATCTTGAAGGGTGGCGCAGAGGCCAAGCGTTCACTGATGCGCTTTTCTCACCGTAACATTCTTCATACTGCACATGCCGACGGAACAATTCGCCTATATGACGCTGGACATGGCGATGACATCGAAAACGAAGATATTCTGCAAGTGGACGTCGCTCGCGCAGTCGGGCGCTACGATAATGTAGAAATCGTGACTATGTCAATGTCAGGTGCTACCGGAGAGTTAGCAGTAGGTCTGCGCTCTGGCGAAGTGTCTATCTTTCGATGGGACCATAACCAGAATTATGGCCGTGATATACCCCACAAAGAAGCTCGAGGTTTCGGTCTCGAAGCAATACAGGATCGAGCGGAACCTGGCATAAAGGAAGGTCTCTCACCATTAGCTGTCTTTGATCAGCAGCAAGCACCTGTGACAACTATAAAAATGAGTGATGTTGGTTTCGTCTGCGCAGGATTCGAAAGCGGGGCTATCGTCGTAATTGACCTACGGGGGCCTGCAGTGATTTTCGAAACGAATGTCATTGAAGTGTCTTCCCACTCAGGTAAAAAGAGCAGCTTTCGTAGATCAAGCGTCAGTCAGAGTCAAGCAACAAGAGAGTGGCCTACAATCGTAGACTTCGGCGTCATGAGCCTAGAAGGAGAAAGTGAGTTACACGTCTGACGATTACCTTACACAGGAGATAATTGTGCGTAGATTACTCAAGCATCCTCTTGTTTGTGGGTACCAACACAGGCAACCTGCTGACGTTTAAGCTGCTACCCGAGTCGTCCGGTGGGTATGCGGTTAAGATGGCTGGACTCTGCCATCTGAGTGACAGAATCATCTCTATACATCCCATCAATATTGACACGGGGGGTCCGGCAGACGCAGCTCAAGAGATTATTGGTGGTTTACGAAGCGGCACCAAAGTCAATGGAGATGTGCTGGTCATTACAAGCAATGGTGCGCATCTGTTCAGACCTCCGTCTTCGAAAGGAGCCCACAAAAGCTGGGATACAGTTGTCTGCTATCAAGCAGCGGTAGCTCGATTTGAGGCACATACATACGCCTTAGTTGGCGTGTTCGGTGACGGAACGGCAAAAGCATTCTCAATTCCTGGTCTAAAGGAGATCGCGTCTGCAGATATTTCTACGATACTAGACATTCAAAGGCTATCAGAGGCAATCGTAACCCCCATCGGGTACATTTTCGGCTGGATAGGACCGTCTGAGGTGGCAGTGTTAAATGTTTGGGGTACAGGGCAGGACCTGTAAAGCCTTGCTCCCGTTGCATTCACGCAGCCATACTAAGTGGTTTAGGACTCGATCGCTCGATAGAATATTCAACCCGGAATTGTCGGTCCCGCCGAGGCCTACAATATCAAATCTACAATGGATTTCGGGCACGACGCATGTCACCCCTGCAGATATGGACAAGCTGAGTATGATCCCATCGTCTTACACTGACGACTAGACTGAGATCAACTGACAATGAGTAGTCGGAGGACCTGATCGTCCTCCCTCAAAGCGCATGCTCGAGCAGATGCGTGCGGATGAAATAGCAGAACGCCAAGCTGACCGTCAGAAAACCACTAGCCCGTCATCTTCTCATCAATCTGAACAACAGCAAGAGGGCTATTGGGCTTACATGCAAAGGCAGATCCAAGAACGCACTGAAAATCTAGGCTTGGCAGGCGACTCAATGGACAAACTTGAGGATAATAGCTCAGGCTTCGCAAACGACGTCAACAAGTTCGTCAGAGATCAAAAGAAAGCCGCAGTAAAAGGATGTAAGTGCTTGAAGTTGTGTGTTATCTTGACACTAAACTCCGGAAATTATGTTCAATAGACTGACCTACCTAAGATTTGTCAAGCAAGCTTGGACTGTGAAGTGTTTCGACTTGATACCCTCTACCAAGTGCGGGTCCCGTGTTGTGCCAATCATTCCTTCCTAAATGATTGTTTTCAATGAACATATTCTACGACTTGAGATGCCTTCGGACCGCCATCAAGGCGCATAGTCTCAAGCTACATCCGTTCATAGATCTTTTAATTGTCGGCAAAATATATGATGATTTGAGGTGGCTGATTCAAATGAAACCGCTAATCTGCTGGATCTAGTGCAAGGTAAATTGAAGCCTCCATCGGGTTTGCAGCTCTAGTTTACAACAGTCTTTGATCCTGGACGTCTGAAAGTGGCGATGTCGAGGATCAAGCACGACCAAACATCGATGAGCATCAACGTCTACTCTTACGCGACGTGGTAGTGGTTGACGACTCCGAATGGCGAGACGATTTGGCTAAACGACTGAATCACCCTCAGATATCATATTAGCTAGTGGTAGGCATACCCGATCACACAAATGCAGGGGTATGTCCAGCGCCCGACATGGTTCAAGCCTGTTTGATCGAGCAAGAGCTGGCTTTCTCAATTGATTCATCATATATCTTATTCAATGTTAGAAACTGACGGTCCACTATGCAGCTGCATTGTAGGGGCAGCCAAGTAATTCGGACCGTGGCTATGGTGCGTGTTTCCTCCCAGTCTCTCTCCTTTTTCCAGTCATTGCCTCAATTTCTCTTACTGCTCAACTTGAGCTGTTCAAGTTCTCCCTGAATATCAGGACGTTGTGTCTCCTGTTAATACTTGCGTCATATTACCTTCCAGTCATTGTTTCAATTGCTTTACTCCAGAAGACTACAAAGCAAGCTCGTTTGTTCAAGACCAGCAAATTATCGGGCGTAATGTATCACCGTACCTATTCTACGGTTTCTGTCGGTCTCACAAGCCGTGTGGTAATGCGTGTTAAGAATTTGTTCACACTTTCAGATACTCCCTTTTTCCTGAGAGCCTTAATTTCTCGTAGAAGCTGCTTGAACAATCTTCACGTCAGAAATACACATCGCTTATTTGACGAGTGAGCTCTTTGTACAGTCACGCCTTGATCTGCCTCGAGACTGCCCAAATCGAGGACAGTCTCTGCCTGAGCTTTCGCTGCCTCCATGAACGGAAGAAATTCGGTATATGATCGGGGCGAACCCTGGTATTACCTCTGTGATAATGGGCCAGATCCAATCGGATGCAAAATGGCTTCCACAAATAATCAGACAATCATAAATGACCAAAGAACTTGAAGGTCCCAAGCCTTACAATACCCATTGAAGCGTCATTTTTGTTGGGGATACAACAGACATAGGGTTGTCACCATGCACCATGTGTTGATGAGGATTACTAAATACTTAAAATACTTCACCTTTATCTGCATTGTGGTCGACGGTATGGTCATCCATGCTTGATGAGAAGCCTCTTGGTTTCACGCCCGAGCGGCCGGTAGAAATTGCCGCCAAGCCCAAGGGAAAAAGGAAACAATTCCGCTATATTGAAGATGACTAAGCCGGCTTGCGAAATAATCTGCTCTTCTCCAGCACATCAAGAAACAATCAAAATTTTGCTCAACTCAAAAGCATCGGACTGGAGACTCATTAGATATTGGAATGTCATCGTCTCTTGCTCCAGAATGCAACGAAGTCAAAGAGTCCGTATATTTCCTCACTTGTCCCCCTACCGTCGTCCCTAATTTTACAACAGGCGCTACGACTCTTGTTTCCTGAAATGGTATACGGAGAGTATTTCTGCCAATTCCTTTGACACAGATCTAGGACTCAAGGGCTAAAATTTCTAGGTTTCCTCCGCGGAAACGCTAAAGAGAATGAATGCGAGCCTTTGTTTGCGCAATATAAGCAATGTCTTGACGTAAGGCGATTCCAATTAAAGCTTTCCTGGTGAATCTCCGTGAAATTTGGCTAATGGGAGACGCTGTTGTAGAAAGCGTTGAAAGACAAGGGCATTAATCAGATCTTGGAGGAGGCGAAGAGCGACATGTCGGATACGGATGCTAAACATCTTGTAGGACGATGTAAGTGTGAATATAGAGCTTTTCGGTTTGACTAACTCGGTGTAGGATTGAGGGGTTGGATTTGGGAAGGAAGAAACGTAACGCCACTCGATTTTGAGGCCTCAGAATAATGCGACCGGGGGCCGGTGGAACTTGGACCCAATGCGATATTCTCTGCTCTGAGGGGCTAGCTTCTGAAGTACGAAGCCTTCAAGGCTTGGTCAAAGGCGCAGGTAAGCGACAGGAGCCTGGACTGGGATAAATTCAACTCCGACTCCAGCTACGCTGAGAAGCGTAGCCATTTTCAAAGACCACGCGATGGATATCTACGCTCCATTGTAAGATATGTATTATAGCAGGTAAAAGTAGTTTGCACAGAGATACATCTACTTATGAGACAAACTAAAACTAACAATTCTTCTCGCGCAATTTGAGTTGAATCAAATCACTCTCGAATGTTGAGGACTGCAACGAATGTTCCGCGTGAATGATCCTTCGACATGGAATGCACTAAGTGAACATCTCCCCCAGCTTTATCAAGGCCGAGTCACACCAGCTTGGTTCCTCCACATGGCTATTCAGTAGTAGTATGGATTGGCAGGGTCTGTCAAGTCGAACACAACGGCAGAATGCGGCTTACCCCCACCTCTGTTTGTATAAGGTGTTGTGAAGTCAATGCTTCGATTGAAGTGCAACGACCCATCGTCATTGATGTCAATGTACTGCGCCTTGAAGTCTGCCGGCGTATTGATGAGACCGATGTCGCCAGTTTGGACGAAATAATCGGTGACGACAATATGCTTCGCGTCCGGGGTGACCTTTATGTAGTGCGGGCCAATAAGTGGCTGTTGTTCATCGGGGTCATCTAGGCGCTTGACGTTGGAGAGATCGGAGATGTCAAGGGCGGCGACGTGATTTCCGGTTGTGATGGTAAGGTAGATAAACTTACCGTCTTTGGTAATATCCGAGCTGGTGGATTTCAACATCAGTCATAGAGGAGATTGCCCGTTGGAAACAGTGCCTACTAGATTGCTGTCGTATCGCGTGCCTTTGGGCCTAGGTCGTACAGCAGCTGAGCAGTGCCTTGCTTGCCATTGGCGTCGGTCTTGAATGGGTAGATGATCCAGACTTGACCGAGATGCACGGCAGTTGCCAGGGCAGCTGAGTCGGGGTTACCGGGAATGAACTTGACGTCTTGAATACCGCCCCCTGGAGCGAAGATGTCGTTAGCTAGTACTGAGTAGACTCACTGCCCGGAATTTCAAATGGATTGGCTCTTTATGTTGACTTACGTCAGGAATAGTGATGGTACTGATAATACTCCGGCTGCTCAGTTTCCAAAGACGTAAGGTATTGTCTCTAATGATCCCCAAGCTAGGTTTCAATATTGATAGAGGCACAATGTAGTCGGAGGTGAGGATGATGTCTTTGTCGAAGTCAATACTGAGGCCGTGCGGGTTGAAGTTGTCGGCAAAAATGTTGACTTGAGACGCAACATCTTGTGGATGCTGTCCAATAATGTCGAAGTTGTTGTCGGTCTCGACGAGGCGTCCGGGAGAAGTACCACCCGCCGCTGATGCCGTCAGTCAGATGTCTTCGACGTTGGATAGGTTGCCAAGATGTTTGGTTTGTACTCACATCCCATGTACGTGATTAAGAAACCGCTGCATGTTTTAGTCATAGTCGACTGACTCGCCTAATTTGGGTTCGTCAGGGTCTGAAGACTTACCCATCGGGTTTGGCGCGAATCTCGTCAGTGATCGCAGCTGTCAGAGCGCGATTGCTCTTCTTGAAAGAGGGTCGATATGGGTCGGACACGTCAAAGTAATAAGCCGTGTCCTGAGCTTAATGAGTACTAGGATATTGTTTTGCAAGGTAGTGCCTGCCGTACCTGAGTTTTGAGGAGGGAAAGAAGGCCGCCTCCAACGAGAGTCTTTCCGTCAAGGGTAGTGCCAAGATGGTGTGGGCTGTTGCCGCTGGTGGGCACATCGGTCAACCAGATGAACTCTCCAAATGTGTCCTGAAGATAATTTAGTATTCGCTGTTCATTCATTGTATCCTCCGTGCTCACGTCATCGAGGCTGTAAGTCGCGAGAAAGTCTGTAATTTCGTAGTCAGCCACAGCAAGAGCACTGGTGGTGCAGGTTAGGTACCTGCATGGTCGTTATCGCCGGCTCCAGTCCAGAAGTAGCCAATCTTCTTCGGCTTGATATCACTTCCTTGGAAAGGAGGACTGTCCTTAGGCGGGGTTGGAGCTTGAAGTACCGGAGTCGGCGGCACTAAGGTGCTGAGTGGGTCGTCGAATCCAGGTACTGAAGGTATTATCGGCGGTAGAGATATCTGCGGTACTGGGTCTGGTTCCGCCTCTGGCATTGGAGATGCAAAAGCAATGGCTGTCAGGTGGCTGGTGGCCACAGCTAGCAGCAGCTTTCGTCCAGTCATTCTGAGAAAGTAATGCAACACGTCAGGGGTCGGGTCTACTGCCGATGTAGATGAGGAATGACAGGTGCAGATAAAAGAGAAGCTTTGAGAAAGTAAGAGAGGATAATGAGGTAGTTTCCACCTTATATGATATGCGGAGGGACGGTTGTTCACTTTTCTGCCAGCAGGAAGTGCCGTCGACTATAGAAAGTGGGGTCGCCTGAATCCGTAGAGCTATATTGGAGACATTCAAGGAACTTCTACTGAAAAGACTTTAGTCTGCTGATCAGAAAGCGTCTGTGAGCAGCGTCGTGACAAAGCCGATGTCTAGCGGGTCTGTGAGAGGCAACGCTTGCCAGATGCGTATCTTTGACGACGATCATCATTTGATCAAGGTCAAATGCCGTCGTTGACCCTGTCGTAAATGAATGCTTTGGCATTGCAGAAGCTTTTGCGTGGCTGCAAGTGCCGTCACTGCCCAACTCTTTCGCAAAGAAAACTCGCCTTTAGGCCCCCACACTATGTGCAGTGTGGACAGTGACAGGCAACTGTCGAAACCAAGCAATAAAAAGTAGCTCAGCGTGAACAAGGATAATGGCATGTAATATGCAATAGAGGAATTTGCAAGCAGAACGAATGGAGACGTGATGCACGTCAAACCCCTTACGGCAGCGCCTGGTCGGCACTCACAGGTCATGCAGCGGATGAAATTGATAATAGAGAAATCGCTCGTGAGTAAATTTTCTAAAGAGATGAAATGATTCCGATCTCAAATCGTTGTCTTGCAGCTATTTTCAGTAGCATGACTGAATTGCAAAGAATCTCATTCAATTTGGTAAGAATTGTAGAAGCTGAATGCCTGGTATCAAGTTGAAGTAAAATATGTTTGTAGGGTTCAAAGTAGACACACACAGACAGGTCCAACCCTGAATCTTTCACGACGAGGGAACGTTAGGCAACGCTGGAATCGGAGATTTGAAAGTGAACCAACCTCGTGCTTCAATTTGGGAGTGTTGGATGTCGTTTGACATAAGAGTGACTTTGCAGACAGGGGTACAGCCAAAATGGGGTATATAGACCGTTGCTAAGCACAGCGTGCATTATGTTGGAAACATTTTGGGCAAGCGTAGGCCCGTCGACGGCGTAACGCCCCATCAACCACTTCCGCAATAGAGACAGCAAATGACGGAATCGTGGAGAGATGTGAACTTACCAGGCGTGAGAGCTTAGCAGGAATACATTTGGGGTAAGGTGACAGGAAATTGTGGACTAAAGGGGCATGTCGTGCTCGCAGGGTCTGGTACTATGCCATTCTTGGGATTTTGAGAAAGGTTAAAGGATAGAATGTCATTTCGAGACTTTGCATGGCCTGAAGCTCCGCTGACAGCCTGGTACGAAGTGGTTGTCCAGATCTCCCAAACTTCAATGCACGCGGCAAGAGATCCTTGCTGTTTTGCTCGGTCGACGCTCAGGACAGCAGGCACGCTGTGTCTTGAGATATTGATGCTCCGACAGCCTGACAGTCACAAAGCATCTCGAGCTTCTTGAATGGAATAATAACAAAGCCTTTGAGACGTGAGAGTGGCAGTCTGGACATTACATGCAAATATAGACAGGTTTGCGTGCTGAGGAGGAGTGTGAATAGAGCTTGCTTAGTCATGAAGCCAGCGCTAGCCCCGTCGGGTGCTTGCTCGTCCTTGCCTGGTCGCGAGCCACGAGAATCTGTTATCGTTGTTGGAATTGCTCTATATGAAAAAGCGGCGAGATTGCGTATTTGATTTGAATCATTAGCTTGTTGATACTCTCTCATGTGATGAAGCACATGTAGGACGTTCAAGCGACCGTGACTTGCATCGGGGAATAAACACCGCCAAGGATCTAGCGAGCACGACATTGACTCCGGTATGAGGCCATTCCCCCAAGAGCGCCATCACGTAATCTGGAGCACGTCTCTCTACTCGTTGCTGATTGAAACAAGCATTTGCTGCACAAGACAACCTGGTGAGTGATCGCTCTTACGAGTCTGGTTTGGAAATACTAGGCCAGCTACGTCCAAGATCATTGCTTCTGTTGCTTGGCTCATCTATGCAGCTGCCTATTCAGGAGCTATGACCTTAGCTTTCAATCACGTCTTCGCGTGTCTTTTTCATGATGGCTGCAGGAAGGGAAATTGCATGCTCATGTCAGGGCAGAAATGGGAAAGACTGAAGTAGCACTCATGCACTCAGAAACTTAGTCTGAATGCATCTCTTGCTCGAGGATCGAGACTATTTGTTGCCTGCATCGTGCTGCTTCTGCTTTCTTTTTCTTGCACTGACTGCGTCTTTCCGAAGACGAGAAGCGTGCTCTCCTCCCCGCAAGTAACAAGCTTTGGAATATCTAATCATCCGACATGAAGCTGGCAGCTCTTTCCCTGCTGCTCTTGATTGGCGCAGCTTTAGCCACACCTACGCCTGCAAGCGACCCGGCAGAGGAGATAAAGCTCAAGCGAGCAACAAGTAAGCATCTACGACCAATACTCGAGAAACGACAGCAGTTCTCGCAAGGTCAACCTGTCGACGGTAAAGGCAAAGGAGCTCCCATCTTGGGTACGTTGTGCCATTCACCCTATCCACAAACTTCCTCAAGCCAGCCAAATTCCCACTAACCTTTGTCACAAGGTGGCACAAACAAGCAGATTGACCTACAGAATCCTGATGGTCTCGGCGCACAATCAACAGACAATGGAGTTGTCCCAAACCTGAAATGGAGCTTTTCTGACTCCAAGACGAGAGTGTTCCCTGGAGGTTGGGTGCGTGAACAAGTCATTACAGACTTACCTGCAAGTCACGACATTGCTGCAGCCCAGCAACATCTCAGTAAAGGCGCGGTCAGGCAGCTTCACTGGCACCGAGTGGTAATATTTTTTTCATTTTTCAACGTGAGAATGGAAGCTTACCAGATGCAGGCAGAATGGGGTTACGTGTACGCTGGTTCTGTCCGAATTTCAGCAGTCGACGAAGACGGCAAGAATCAAGTGGACGACCTGCAAGTGGGTGACATCTGGTACTTTCCGAAGGGGGAGGCCCATACAATACAAGGTATATGGCGTCTGGAGAAAGAGACGAGATCATGACTCACTTTCTCCAGGTCTTGCCGAGGAAAGTGAGTATCTTTTAGCGTTTGACGATGGTAAGGGCTTCACGTGAGAGTGATTTTGACCAGCATGCTGAAACCACTGTAGGAAACTTTGATGCAACAGGGTGAGTTCCCAACCCCAGAGACGCTCATGTCGTAAATCTAAGAGATTAGCACAACTTTCAACGTGGACGACTGGCTTGCGCACACACCGATCGACATCGTCGCAAAGAATTTTGGTGTCTCTACAGACGTCTTCAAGGCCATCCCGACCCCCGATCCGTACATCTTCAAATCCAACGTCACCAACGGTACGATAGAGAGCCCCAACGGCCAGCTCACCGGCAATAGTTCCTATGTCTACCACCTGTCCCAAGTTACAACTCCCCCAGCTCCAGGCGGCGGAGGAACGCTCGCCAAGGTTGACTCGAGAAACTTTCCAATCGCTACCACGATAGCCGCGGCGATTGTGACGCTAGAGCCAAAGGGTTTGAGGGAGCTACATTGGCATCCTAATGTACGCACATCCCCTGTAGAAAGATAAAGTTGATTGAAGGTCTAGGCCGAGGAATGGCTTTATTTCCACCAAGGCACTGCCCGTGCAACCATTTTCCTTGGTGGCGCGATCGCACGTACTTTCGACTTTTCAGCCGGCGATACTGCGGTATTCCCCGATAACAGCGGCCATTATGTCGAAAACACGTCTGAAACGGAGAAATTGATTTGGATTGAATTGTATAAGAGCGAGCGCGTGGCGGACGTGAGTCTAACGCAGTGGTTAGCGCTGACTCCACCGGACATTGTGGCTGCAACGCTGAAGATTCCGTTGAGTGTGGTCAAAAGTTTGAAGAAGGAGAAGCAGAGTTTGCTTGCTGCCCAGAAATGAATGGGCCCTCGCCTTGATAGAGTAAGAACATGCAGATGTAAGCGCAAGAAGGCTGTGTAGCCATTAAAACATGTAATGTCGGGTATACGGTCTTCTCCAGCACAGAGATACCTGTCGAGCTAGAACAGGCTCGAGAAGGCTTCTCAATTGTATATGAGCCCGTTTGTACAATCCACGTCGCCCTTAACTTGGCCGTTCTCGGCATTCGGACTCATTAGAGCATTCATCTACTTGGTTCTTGTACATCAAAATGCCTTTTTTGATCGAACACCTTTGATTCCGGGATGCTTCTGAGTGGTACAGACTCGGTTCATGTTGTTAGACATCAAGCATGGAAAGTCTGACAGATCAAGAAACCACTTTAAGGGCTCGCTAGCGCGCCGTGCTACGTGCCCGCGTTGGAACCTTAATATACGCGTTTTCCATTAAGAGGGCTTTGGAGCATATCGGCTCATTTGAAATCCGTTCGAACAACAAGCTCATGATGCCTCATGCGACACTTCCTGATACAATGTCGTCGTCTCAAGCTGATAGAGGAGATAATACCCTACCAGACGCGCCACCCATTGACGGCGAAGAAGCAAGCGATGAATCACCAGCGACACTTGTCGATAATGGAGGCCGAAAGGCAGACGTAAAGCTAGAGGATCTATTCAATGATGATGACGACTCAGATGACGAGTTCCGAAGCTCGAGCAATGATACTGGCAAAGTCGAGAGCAGCCCACCGGCTGCCCCCATGTAAGGGCCCATATTCAGCATCCTTGAGATCAATTACTCAATGCCATGGTCCAGTCAAGCCGTACCCTCTGCAAAGTACACAGACCCCGAAATAATGCTAGCCTTCTATCAACGATTGTTCCCCTTTCGATATCTCTTCCAATGGCTCAACCACTCAATCAAACCCTCCAACGACTTCGCACACCGCGAATTCGCCTTCACACTCCAGAACGACGCATACCTCCGCTACCAAAGCTTTCCAACCGGTGATCTGTAAGCCTCCATTCTCGTATCCCATTCCCACAAATTCAAACCAACTGATACACCCGCATAGCCTCCGCAAACAAGTCCTTCAACTAAACCCCTCCCGCTTCGAAATAGGCCCCATCTACAGCACCAACCCGCGCGACCGCAAAACCCTCCGCAAATCCACCGCCTTCCGACCCATCGCTAAAGAACTTGTCTTCGATCTCGACCTCACAGACTATGACTCCATCCGTACCTGCTGCACCAAAGCCAACATCTGCCACAAATGCTGGACCTTCGTCAGTATGGCCGTCAAATGCGTCGACGCCAGCCTCCGCGCCGACTTCGGCTTCCAGCACATTATGTGGGTTTATTCCGGCCGCCGAGGCGCACACGCCTGGATCTCCGATAAGCGGGCGCGGAACATGGACGATGCGCGGCGCAGAGCACTAGCCGGCTATCTCGAAGTGATCAAAGGCGGGGACCAGTCGGGCAAGAAAGTCAACGTCAAACGGCCTTTGCACCCGCATCTCGCACGAAGTCTCGACATCCTGAAAGAATATTTCGCCACTGCCATCCTTGAGGACCAAGACCCCTTCGCCACTCACGAGGGCGCAGAACGCCTCCTCAATCTCCTCCCCGACAGGTCTCTCACGGATGCGTTGCGGAAGAAATGGGCGGCCTCCCCGCACCGCTCGAGCACGTATAAATGGTCGGACATCGACAGCGTGGCGAAATCTGGTGCTTCGAAAAGTCTAGACGGGAAGGCGCTGCTGGAGGCGAAACAGGATATTGTGCTCGAGTACACGTATCCGAGGTTGGATGTGGAGGTCAGTAAGAAGCAGATTCATTTGTTGAAGAGCCCGTTTGTGGTGCATCCTGGGACCGGGAAGGTATGCGTGCCGATTGATTTGGAGAAGGTGGAGAAATTTGATCCGTTGGGAGTGCCCACGGTGACAGAGTTATTAGGCGAGATTGATGAATTTGGTCAGGGGATGGCAGGGGGTGAGGAAGAGGGGGTTGCGGGGAAGAAGGTGGCGGATTATGAGAAGACGAGTTTGAAGCCTTACGTGGAGTATTTCAAGCGGCATGTGGGGGAATTGCTCAAGGCAGAGCAGGGAGGTGTGAAGAGGGAAAGGGAAGAGGATGGCATGGAGTTTTAAGAATATGGAATTCAGACCATCCGAGTGACCTTACGGGGTTTGAATATAAGTTCTCAATGCTTCAAATTGCTCGCTATCATATGCCGAACAATGCCTTTGCTATGCATGCATACCATTCCATGTTTCCCGACAGTACTTTCAAAAAATGGTCCGCCACCGCTCAGGGGTATTCAAGATCAGAAGCCGAAGCCGAACACTCCATACGCCACGCGGTCCGCACGATCAACGCTGGCAAAAGCATTGCACGATATCAGGAGAAGATGATAGAGGCCAACAACTCCAACCCTGACAAGCAGCCAACATCAGACAGGCAAAGAAGCCTCCTGCTCTTCGCTCTCCGCCTCCTCCAGCTCGGCGTCAAAGTCGTCTTCGTCAAAGTCACTCCAGCCATCACCCTCCTGCTTTGGTCCATCCTCGACTGGATCCTCATTCCCCGCTTGCGGGTCTGTCGTTCCGTCGTTCGAATCAACTAGGGTTGTCTGACTTAATGAGGTACCAGTAGTCTGCTTCTTCTTCACCTTTTCGTCGTCGGACTCTTCACCGCTTTCATAGTCTTCTCTACTCCGTTTCTTAGCCCGAATACTAACGGTGCTCGCGTTGCTAGCTTGACTGGCATTACTTTTGTTGTCGTCGTCTTCCTCTTCGTCCTCGCTGCCAAGGAAGTCTTGGAGGGCGGCGTCCATTTCATCCCAGTCTTCTTTTGTACCGACGGGGCTTTTGTTGTCATATTCGAATTCAGCGGTCTCGCCTGAGTCAACTTCAGATTCATGATCGTCGTCTAGAGGCGGAGTCCTTGTGGTAAGCCTAAGCTTTACGGGCTTGCCATCAATTCTCTCCGGGGTTTCTACTTCGCCTTCATCGGAATCCTCGTCAATCTGGGAGTCATCATCGGTGTTACTGTACGAGTCCTCATCCAAGAAAGAAGCATCGTCTTTTGGCCCTTCGATGTCTAAGAGGTATGGGTCTTCATCGAGGTTCATCCACGAACTGAAGCAATCCTCTAGCCAATGGCGACTGACGATACTAATGTCCCAATTGCGCTTATGTTGCGCTAATTTGACCTTGTCCGTCCTTTTGGGGGCTGCAACAAGATGCGTCGTCCGCTTCGTCACCTTTGAATCAATTCTGGCGCCGAACTCGGCGGCTTGTATGCCCCAATCAGTTGTCCTCATGTCTACGTTCTGAGGAAAGAGAGCTGAGAAGACGATGACCGTACCTGCGAGTACATTTGACTTGACCCGAGGCATGATGTCCTTGATGTCTGGCACTAGGTCGAGATCGGACGTCTCAGGGCCAATCTTTCTCTTGTGAACTCCACGAAGTTGGCCCAGGCGACCGCCCTGGGAAGATGCTACCTGTTGTTTGTGTGCTTCAAAGAAAGCCTTGTGTACCGCGCCAAGGTGGCTCTCCAATTTGTACAATTCTTGGTCTTGATCATGCAAAAGATTCTGCTTTGGTCTTTCCGACTCACTGGACTTCTCGGATACCGATTTGCTTTCGTCGTTCTCATCTTTCGTGGTCTCGGCAGCAGCATTTGCCCCTTCTTCTTCAAGCATCTTTTGTTTCTTAAGCAGCGGTCTTTCTTCGACCTGCGCCGCTATAGTCTCGTCTTGTTGTGTCGACTGCGCCGTCCTGTTGGCAGGATCATCTGCACCTCCCATTGCAACGAGCCGATCCAGAGGTGAAGCGGTACTGTCTACGAGATTCTGTTGCAGAACTTCGGCTGCTTCGGCCGGATTGACGTGTTGGTCGCCGTTAGTCGATGGCTCTGGTTCTTTGGTCTCAGTACCTTCTGTCGAATCACTAGCCGTTTCAGGAGCTTTGAGCCTGGTCTTCGGTATCTTGAGCTCCGGCTTCTTGGGCAAAAAGCTTGAGTTGATATCACCTATGCCCACAAAAAAGTCATACGCCTTGACTTTGATAAGATTGGGACTCCACTTCCAAACATCAGCGCGATCATCTATGATAACCACCATTTTAGTATCCACAGGAAAGAGTCTTTGCAGGCTCTTTACATTCATGCTACCACTTTCATTGCGGCTCAGGATGCGATCTCCAAAGATTCGATGATCAGGGTCCACAATCTCTGCGATGTTTTGGGCATATAGCCTCGTGCCCATTGTGTAGATGTGGAGCTCATAGAGCTGCGATACGTTCTCAAGAAACTTTCGCAAGCCGGGTCGAAGCTTGACAAAGTAAAAACATCCTCTATTCCCAGGTCCATCATCTTTCAGTAAAAAGGACTTGACGTCTTTCACAGCTTCGTGATTCGGATTGCTTTCGTCCTTTTGCCAGTCTGCTACAGTTGGGTCAACCGTAGCATGGATTATCGTCTGGTCTAAATCGACAACGAGAGATAGCTTTTTACTTGCTAGGAGCCTTCTCTTGGCTTCCTCTTCCATCGTCGTCGCTGTCGCCGTGCTGACAGTAAGGGAAACGTTGTCATGGACCATGTTGATGGTCGCACGGGATGAGTCGAGCTGCTCTGTCACATACGACGACCTAGAAATGGTTAGATAATTTCGTGCGTTCTGACCAAATGTTCGGGACCTACTGGGTCATGTCTTTGCCGCAGTTTGCACACATGCCGCCGAATTGTACGCTGTGTGTACATGGTTCCTCAATCTCTGCTATTATTTCTCTACCACACATGTCAGGGTCTTACGACTCTGACGAAGCCTAAGAGTGGTCCTACCTTGAATGGGCGATGACTGTGCCTTTCTTCACCTTCCATGCTTTTAGTTTCCCTTCGACATTGGACTCGAACCTCGTGGGGAAAGTCCTTTCGACCTGGAGATCATTGCCCAATCCATCTCCTTCTGATACCGTCGATTTGAACGTGTACGCGAACAGTGGAGCAAACCTCTCGACATCGTCGTTGGGCTGCTTGAGAAGCTCTGTGACGGTGATTGGGTAATGAAGGCTAGCCGGGAGTTGCAACAGCATTGACAGTGGATTTGACCGGGAGGTTTCGTGATTTCATGAGGGAAACGAAGAAGGTCCTAAATGTGAATAAGTAGCTGGGTGAAAGAGTTGAGTCGCGTGCCTTGACAGAGAGGATTTTGGTGCCGATGTGGCGCTGGAAGCAGGTGAGGAGTCAATGGAGAGCTGGAGGATGAGAAAGACTTGTCAGGAGTATGATTGACGAGCCAAGTTAAGTGCGAAAGCTCTCAGCAATGATGCGCAACGATCTAGTAGGTGACATACGCTTTGCCTGTTAGTCATCTAAGGGACCTCCAAATGCCAAGCATTTCCAGAGAGGGTGGAGCAAGCTCTTTATATGCTCCCTAAAGAGGGGCGAGGGGCCCCTTTGGCGGCGGCTTGTGGAGCCTGCGGAGCTAGGCATTTTAGGCTTCGCGGAACTGCGGAGCCGCATGCCATTTCCTCCTGTAGGGAATACGGGAGATCATGGTCACATTCATCATTATGAATGTACTACCGTGCAGCGATCCGCAAACGGGCGAGAATGTGAGGTCCCCTCTGAATTCTGGTATGAACGCACCATGGGGTGGATATAAATGTGAAGGGAATCTATCTTCTATGAGGAATACCGTACTATCCATTCGGTTTCCCTTTCGCCCCCCTTTTTCCCTCTTCACCACCACCTTCGGCCCTTTCCCTCCTCTTCATCATTACGTCCCAATTATATACTCGTGCGGTTGCCACCTCGAGAGTCTGCAACCTCATCAGCTGTGTGAAACGACTGTCTCTAGTTGTCGCTGCATACCGTAATCTGCTCCCTCAGGAAATCCAAATCCTCATCGCAGTTTTGCATCGTTTTCTGTGCTCCAGAGAGCTTACCCTCCAGCATAGTCTCAGCTTCGTCCACAGGGTAGGACAACATCACGTTTGCGCCTAGCCAGAGATATACCTCCTCTGTTGGGGGCACGAGCGCTTTCGCATAAAGGGTATCGTTCAACTCAAACGTAGCTTCTAAGGGGTCCGAATCGGGCTGGTAGCCGTCAGTCTCCAAATGAACCGTTCCACACCACATCGATCACACCCTTCGTGTCTTGAGAAATCTGACAGTATCCAAGCTTCGCTGCAGATCCGGTATCTTGTCATCCAGCCCCGCTTTCCGCCGTTGTGTATTGACTTCCATAAATTGGTACTTTCTGTAGCCTCGTAAGACGTGGATATGCGGGACGGATCAATTTGACGCACGATATCATTTCCTGAAAGCTCTTCATCGTCTGATCCACCTCTGCTCGCGAGGAGACATAGTCCTCCACCTTGTCCACGAACGGCGCATTGGGAATGCCTCGAGGATTGGTACCCAAATCATTGCTGCCAGAGAATCAGTCTCATACTCAGCGCACGCGAGTAGTCCCGTAAGTACCTGCCGGTCGTCTTTGACATAGCAGAGAAGCCTCAAGCCTCTGTTATAGACTTCTGTACAAGACCGTAGCTGCTTTCACTGGCAAAAGCATTCAAACACCATCGGCCGAGACCCGGGCCGCGAAAACGTCACGCTAGCGATGTCATCACCAAAAAAAAACAACATATTGACAAGAATAGGAATGGCCAGAGCCGAACAACACATTCATTCTTTTGTTATCAAGCGATGCTTAATGCCGGCCGTAATCTCTGCAAATCCAAGGTCCACAAGCATGCCAGCTTCTCGCCGTTCGCTCTCCACCACCACACTCCAATTCCCAGCAAAAGCCAAGCTCTAACCTTCACCACCACGCACCCAAAAGCTCAATCACGGCGGCAGCCATATAAACCATCCTCTCGCATCCCCTCCGCCAAGAGGCACATACCTCCCCCAACAACTTCCTCACAAACGCCACCTGCCGCAACTCAATCCTCTCCCCCTCCCGTCGCCACTTCATCCGCCCTTGACCCATCCTCCACAACCCTCCCCCCTCCCTTGACCCTTCCCGACCGCCCCCCAGGCACACCATGGTACAAATACTACTTCAGCGTCGGTCGCACTCTCCTCAAATTCTACAAGACCGGGCTCCTCGCCCTCTTCGCGAACCGCAAAATCCTCTTCCAGGCGCCGCTGCGCCCTCACCTCCTCTCCGCCAACGCTCGAAAAGCTTTGCTAGCTGGCGAGATCACGCGGGCGCAATATGTATTCATTAAGAGGGTGAAGGCAGATTTGTTGAAGGTCCCGGTTTTCGCGGTTTTGTTGCTGGTTTGTGGGGAGTTCACGGCGCTGTTGGTGCCGTTCGTGGGGGCGATCGTGCCGAAGGTGGTATGGTTGCCTGTGCAGTGGGAGAGGGCGCGGAGGAAGGCTAAGGAGAGGAGGGAAAGGGCTGGGAAGAAAGTGGGGTATGCGCGCAAGGAGGCAGGTGGTGGGGAGGTGAAGGGGCTGGATTTCTCTTACTTTCCGAAATCTAGGGAGGGTGTCGAGAGAGGGGAGCATTGGAATGAGATGGTCGTGAATGGTGTGAGGTTCAATGCTTGGCCTGGCCTGTGGGACCCTCTTGTCTATTTGAAATTACTTCCTGGTGCAACTCTACTCAAGCGGCTGGAAAATCGAGCGGATGAGTTGCGGCTGGATGATCGGGCTATTGCCAGAGATGGTGGGGCTAAGGAAATCAGTGTTGAAGAGGTGAAGCTATGTCTGGACGCAAGAGGGACCGATGTTCGAGGGATGGAGGAGAGCGAGATGAAGGCTATTCTAGGAAGATTCATCGAGAAAAATCGAGAGGAGCACAAGAAAAAGAGGCACGAGGGAGGAACGAAAGGTGAACCTTGGGGGAGTAAGGTATGACTCTGATTTCGGGGGCTGTAAATAGGAAAGCGACGCTACTCCGATACGAGAGACACCACACTGTAGAGATATTTGATTAGATAGAAGCTGAACATTAAACGTAGATCTGGTTCTTTTCATCATTGTCTCTATATTTTCAAGCCCAAACATCCCCATTCTTCATAGCGGCGTGGTATCATATGGTGAGAACCCTCTCCTGAACCATAGAATGTTTCAAACCCAAAAAAGAAGAAAAGAAGCAGAGAGAAGCTCGCTTGACTGTAACCGCTACAACGCTTGCATCCAACCAAATGGAGAATCCCGATAGCTCGGTGCTCGAATCTAAACATTAAAAGTCGTCAAAATCGTCAAGAATTAAAGTCGGGGGTGGTCATATTCGTCTTGATGATGTTGAGTCTGTGGAAACGTCCATGGAAATAATGTGGAGTTCGCTGCACAGCCCATCCTTTGACGGCTAGTACAATAATTGCCCAGGCCATCAGGAAGGACGTGAATCCCATGGTGACCGCGAAGGGAAACATGGCATGAATACCGTGTTCATCCATTGAGTTTACAGTGTCGCGATTGCTTGCCATGAAAATTATGCCGCCTGAGATAAGACAAAAAGAGGAGATTAGCTCCGTCGGGGGTCGAGAGGGGAGGTAGGAGGTAGGAGGTGAAAGGTAGGTCAGAAGATAGGTGAGGCCACGAGCGAGAGCAAAGCCCACCAACAAAGTGCCCCATTGTTTATGGACCATGGTTGAGACTGTTGAATGTTGATGATGTGAGCTCATCATAACGCCAAGTAACATAATGACCAAGGCCGGCAGGGGGTTCATTGAGACTGGATATGTCTTTGGAGGCTTCAAGCTCTCCTGGATTTGCTGAGGTCCATGAGCCGCAGGAGACGTCAACATCACAGCGTTGAGTAAGTCTCTTATCCTCGTCGATTCTATGAGCATGCCGCAAAATCCGCCTCCGAAGAACATGATCGTAATAGAGATGTGCTCGAGATCCATTGGACTCCATTCTTTACCCCATGCGGCCAAATGCTCCAGGAAGACATTAGAAAATCCGTAAAAAAAGATGACGAAAGATTCCACAAATTCAGCTGAGGGAACGCGCGCTTTCCAGGAGCCAACAACGCCGGCAGGCGGTTTGACATTCCAGGCCCACCCGTACTCAGAAAAGCATCCCGTCCATCGACCAAGCGTAAGCAGGCCATACCAGAAGAAAATGCCACCTTTGATAGCGTGTGCCAAGCCATTGAAAATGCTGTTACCCCGCTGAAGTATGTATCAGTATTTGCTAAATATCTTCTCAGGTTGAAGGAAAACCTTACGAAAACACCGCCATAGACAGCGGCACCGCTCACAAAGGCTATAAAACCTATCACGAGGATGGCACGGTCTATGAAGTTGGAAGCTAGATCGACAAAACGAAGCATTGGATTCGACAATTTTCCTGCTATAGCGGTCGCGACACGCTCAACCCTCTTACTATCCGGAAGACCTTCCTTTCCCGCATGTTGAGTGAAGGCTGCATGATCAGCTTCGTATTCGTGAAGCCTCTGCTGCTCTTCCTGCGTATATGTGGCCGTAGAGGAAACAGACTGGCTTCGTGACTGCTCAGGTGTTGTAAACGGCCCGTCCTCTCCAGAAAACCTGTGCTGATATGAAGTAGCTGGTTGCTCTTCTTCATGTTGCTTCAAAGCCTGTGATGTCATACGTAAGAGCGCCTCTTGCTCATTCTTATCGCTTGTTGGTCTTGACCGAAGACCAGCGGCGAGTTTGAATATTGCCAGGACGGTTTGCGCGACGACAATCCAGGTCACAATCCACCCAATAGGTCCATGTGAATTGTGTTGGTACAGCTGGGGTGTCTTGTACTTGTAGATCGTCCCGAGCAGGGTGGCTATGCCGTGCAATCCCAAAAACGAGAGTTGAACGGGGAGGGTGAAGGAAGAATGAGCAATATTCAACACGATGGCTAAGATTACACATCAATATGAATGGTTATCATTTCGGAGAGAGAGCTCTCACCAACGGGCAACACAAAAACCCATCCCAGCGTCATCAGAGCAATGTGGGCGAGCATCAGGCCGCCAGACTCCGGATATGAGAAGTAATTGCTGGCAGATGCGAATACAGGATTCATCGTTGCTGATGCCACAGTAGTAGGCGACGACACGATCGACGGCATCTTAGCAAAGCAAAGATGAAGGACCTGCGATGTACCACCATCAAGGATTAATAATATGCTATTAGTGAGGTAATTTGAACTGTATGAAGAGACTGGTGTTCATAATCAGCTGGGTTGAGGGGCGAGGAGGTCAAAGGCGCAACGGCAATTGGGGACGTTGGTCTTCTTTTGGTGCCTGGTCGGCCTGGCAGGATTATTCGGAGGGTGGTAAAGGTGAAGGGACAAGGCACCAGCAGTGGCAGCCCAGCGGAAGGCAACATGATAGTTATATCTGACGGTATCAAAGGCTGCTGACACCATGATCGGACTTTTGGGCAGCGGAGCCGACGGTCGAGGAGCTTCGCTTTCCTAGAAATGGTATAGCAGTGAACTGATGTAGGTCAGTTGGTGGCCTGGAAACAGCGGAAAATGTGAACGTTATTGTCACAACCAGGGGTGCAGAAAACGGTGGTCGACTGCGCAGCTCCAATAGGATTTTATCGTAAGCTTTTAGCTTGACGTGGGTTTCGCCCTGCAGTCTGTCAAGAAGTGCCAAGACGGCGGATTGGTAAAGTACCATATACCCCGGCCTTTCCGGCTCCTCGCAGATGGTTATTTCCCTTACCCAGGGGCAATGAAAGCCATAAGGAGTCGTCGGAGAGTGATCATTACCAATGAGAATCTGGGATGTATCACATGCCTACATATGTACTCTAGCAATGGCAACAAACTCCGTCGTCCGGGATCATTCGGCGATTATCAAACCGAAGTGCTTTTCTTACTAATCACGTGGAATGGGATCACCAAATATACTGGACGTGATGACATCAGTCGTGTTCTGACTCACTTGCTTATCATCCACAGCCATAAGGTATTGACTCTTCAGGAAGTTCGAGCCGTGGGTTCGAATTGCTAGCCAGCTTTTAGGGTTGAGACCGTCACTGCCGCTGCACGCTCAACCCTTTTTTAAGCGTCAGGGCATCCAAGGCATCCCACACGGATGCACGGCCTCACCGATGTCCGCTCTAGCCCTTGCAGCGTCCATTCTGTGACTGACCTCAACTAGGCAGAACTTATACGTTCACTAGCCCACACAGATTGCCTTCTTTCCCACACATCACGATGGTGCTCTGTGTGCGATGTGGCGCATCACTCGAGCGCCCACAAATTGCTCTCATAGTTAGCATAACATCGAAACTCATTACCCAAGCGATCTTGAGCATGATGAGGCCTGAATGTTGTGGTTCTCGTGCCAGGATAGATTCGATGAATTAGTTGCTCCATTCTTTCGCCAGTGCAGATTAGAACACGCGGGCTCGTTGCCTTCTCCTCTTCACCTCGAGTCCTCGCCAGCCAGCGGACTGTTATGGCTGTCTTGGTTTGGCAGTCTTCACTCAGGAATGGTGGATCGCAGAGAATTCGATCAAATCGGCCCTTCAAACTTGGATCCAATTTTAGTGGCTGGCGGAAGTCATATTGATGGAGCTCGGGGAAGACACTGAATCTATCGTCGTACTCGAGGAGGTAGATACCAGGTCTCTCATGCGCTATGACATCGTCATTCAGTAGGTTCTTCAGTTGCACAAAGACACTTGGGGCTGAGATGACTGCGATCTGTGTGTCGTTCGTCGCTTCAGACAAAAGTTCAGTTGCTAGGGCTACGGCTGTGTCCTCGCTATACTGTACTCATCAGTAAGACAAGGCACGGGAAGCCTGATACATACCCAGAATTGGCTAGCGTTCCAATCTTCAGCAAACATATCCATAGAAAATCGAGTAGCGGAGTTGGACTGTTCTGTCACTGACTTCAGTTCTTCGAAGCGTTGCTTTTGCATATCCTGTTCGCTGTAGAAATGTCGCAAAGCCGTGAGAGCATGATCAGAAAGCTCTCTGGAACTTCGTTAGTTCGTAATGCAGCGAGCAAAGGCCCAATGTATACATCTTTTCCTCCTCATCTTGGCTCGAACTATCCATTTTCCGGCGGTCGCTAGTTTCTCAAACGCTGCGTAACTTGCATTTGCAGATCTGTCTCAAGCTGTAGCGCATGATAAGCCAGGGATAAGGAGCAGCTTCGAGATAGGGGAACATCGATTCAACAGTCTGCACTAAAACTAGCGGCAGCAACGCCAGCCGTCCCGACCCGCATCAAATCTGAAAGTCTGAGAAGCCAAATTAATCGTCAGATTTGCTCCAATGGACATTACGTTGAGGGAATGGCTCCTCATTCTCCATTATCTCTATCTCGGATCATTTAACACAGTGTGTTGACTAGACGCTAAAGTCATTGATATCATGGCGTCGTACCTAGCTCAGTACAGTCCAGCAAAGTTCCAGAAGTACATCTTTCGACTCCCGCTGTTCACGCGCATTACCCTACTCCTCATCGTAATATTTTGGATTCTGGAACTACAATCTGCTTGGGATGTTGCATCATGGGGTGCTCTCATACCACAAGAGATGAATCTTGGAACGATGTATCGCCTGAACACGTATCCTCTTATACACATTGGCTTCCTACATTTCCTCCTTAATACCCTTTCGATTGTTCCTTTACTTGAAAGATTCGAAGCGGAACATGGTACACTCCTTACTGCAGCATTCTTTGGTGGTCGTGAGTATTAGTCGCGAAAACAGATATGCCGAGGATACTAAGACACACCCTTTTAGCTTTCTCGACTCTGCCAGGCGGAGCATATACATTGATAGAGCGAGGTATTCTCAGGGCCAATACAACTGTGATGGGAGCGAGGTACAGCTAGGTTGCCATGGTCGCAGGCAAGAGAGGCTGATCATACGTAGCGTGTGGATATTTGTACTGTTGGGTGCTGAAGCCATCAAAGCGTTTCGCGCAAACCCACATTTCGCGTGAGTTCTGATAAACCATATGCTGGAAACGTTGACTAACACCATGAAGCATCGGAAGTAATAAGATACCAACATGGACTACTCCTCTGATTCTTTTGGTCTTCGTGTCTGCATTGGTACCAAACACCTCTTTCCTTGGTCATCTATGCAGTGTTGCCGTTGGTTATGCATGTGAGTCATCCTTTCTGCCCTAGTCTGTGATTTGAAGTATTACAAAAGATCCGTAGCTGACGGCAATGCTCCGTAGATGGCCTAGGTTACCTCAAGATACTTGCTCCACCCGAGAAGATACTCCGCTGGATAGAAGGAAAATTGAATCTCCTCGGACGACTCCCACATTATGTCTCAATCGACCAAAAGACTTATGGACGCTATGGTGTTTTACCAACCGCGAACGCTCCAGCAGGCTCATCGCCGAACGGCGGCGTCCGTCCAACGTACTTAGGTTCGTCCCAGCGATTAGGACCATGAATTACGCGGTGATCACGCGTTTCATGCGAGGCAGGATAATTTATATTTGCAACGCACGAACAACATCTTGGCTCGCCAAGGTATCTTAAATGCAGTCGATCAGTATACAGCTCAAGGCAACGTCTCCGCCATTGAATATTGAAGCAATCTCCATTTTCGACGTTAGCTCACTTCGATCGTCTTCGCACAAGCCCAGGTACCAGAGTCCAGTCTGGAAAGTGTACGCCGCATGGTCTCTTGCAAATCGTACCTTTCCACTGACGTGGCCTCTCGTTGCAAGAACACTGTGACGAGAGAGCTAGGCAAAAATCGCTGTGCGTCCTACATCCATGACTGAAAGTGGAATGAGAATTCTTGGGCCCCAGTACGCTTTCTGAGAGCCCTGTTGATACCCACATTACCAAGGAGATGGCACAAGTGATCAGGAGCTCCAAATTACCCGTGAAGCTAGAAAACGGGAGCAAGTCATCTTGCGTATTGTTTCGTGATATACAAGGGAAGAGCATAGCTTCTCTTACACCGTCTTGATACCGGCAAGAAAGTAGTAACCAGTATGGTCGATACGAAATGCTTGAATGCGAATTGCAACACGGCCCATATCACTTTGGACAAGCTGATTCAAACAATCCTCCTTCTCCGCTGGAGACTACTTTGGGGCTCGCATACCTCTGACCAAGTTTTCAAATGTATGATCAATTTTGTATGGTGGAGTGAGCGTCTTGTCTAGCGCCGAGCTCAAAGCAAAGCCGGAGAACAAAGCAATTCCGCCCTCCAAACCTCAATGCGGCGATTCGTAAAAGCAGAATCAATTCTCACAGCATTTTCACTCGACAAGATCAAAAGGACCATTTGGTATCTAGCATACTATGCATTCCAAAGACTTTAGGGTCAAAGAATCTGTTGTAATCAACAATCTTTAGTCTTCATGCTCGCGTCTTGTTGCTTTCACCCGCCATGACCTACCAAAGAGAACAAGGCACAATACTAAGCCTGCTATTACACCAAAGATTAGAATGTCTTTCGCAACGTCCCCTACAAATTTCTGAAATTCAAACTTTGCAAAGCCATCTTTCCGTATCAATGACCTAAGCATTCTCAGTCATGGGGCTATTGACCTCCAAATTACTCTCAATCGTTGCTCTCGCCCTAACGACCCTAGCCACCAATGAAGCCGATTTTGAAGACTTCATTCCACCCAATGAACTCCAGAATGAAGAACAGCTTCCTCACACACTATCTAACATAACCGCCCTCCTCCCCCGCGCCGTCGGCCTTGTCAAAGGCGACGACAAAAAAATATACGGCGGTAAAGTCGGCACCGCAATTGATGGTCTCAAAGTCTTTGTATATGCCCAGCCTGGCTGCACAGACGAGAAACAAGAGATCGACGCGAACGTTTACTCTCAAAATGTGGCTCCCGAGTTCAAAGGCCAAGGCAATGCTATCCACTCCTTCTCGCTCTCTCGCGAATTGAACCCGGGCGAAGTTATTGATTTTAGTTCAAAAGGGCCAGCGAAGGTAAATATGAGTCCACCTCCTGATCAAAAGGCTCCTGCGCCGCCACCACCGAAGCAGGAACAGGGGACTCAGAAGGATGATAAGTCGGATATCAATATCTATTACATGGAAAATGCGGTCTTTGTGAACAGGAATGCGGCGAAAGATGCGAAACCTTTTGGGACACCAGACGATACGAAAGTTGGGAGCGGGAAGCACTTGAAAAGAGGAGAGACGGTGTGGACGGATGATGATGGAAATTCGTATGCGTACTTGGAAGAGGAGATCGACGTTGTTGTTGATGGTGATGATGATGATGATGATGACAAAGTGGAAGGGGGACTGACTGGTGGTGATGCTGGAAAAGGGGTTTTGGATAAGAGAGGAGGGCCGGATATGACTGCAGGGTTGGCTCAGTGTGCATTGTTTTTTGGGAGTTGGGATAAGGGAAAGATCAAGCAGGAGTGTGTGGATTTGAAGGGTGCGGCGAATTGTTTCCGGATCTGGCTGCCGCAATAAGTTAAAGAGATGGTTGGGGGAAATTCCATCCTCGGTCGACCTTGGATTTCTTGGTGACTCATTTCCCTAAGTGCTGAAATTCATTGTTTAGGTGTTTGAATAGATTGTGTGCTTTGCTTGCATTAATGGAACAACCTCATTGCCTAAATGTCTACCCAAATAAGAAACAAGTCTGATTTGGTCAGTAAGCGTCCAATTGACCATCTAAACAGTTGTCAATAGATTATATTTTTAAGGCTTGATCAATTTAAACAAGGCATAATACCCTGGCCTAAAGTCAACGATACGTCCTCCTGAGGGTGGACGACGTCTTATTGAAGGGTTGATGGTGCTATATTCGACGATATGTTAAAAGACCCTTCAAGTAAAAAAACTTCTAAAGACTAAATAGGTAAGACTGCCCAGAACCACCGCTGCTCCACCCAAAACAGCACGAGATTGGCGAACAAGATAGCAGCGGGTTCACCAAGCTGACTGATTGGTCATGAAGTTGAGCATTTGGTCAATGAGCCCAATTGGTCAATCAGATGTGACACATATACAAAGGCCAACTTCTGGATAAATCGTGTTCCTTTCTTTTGTTTGCTTCATCCGGCGGTCCCGCTCACCACCATTTATAACTCATTAAAATCTTGTATTTCATGATTAACTACTCTACGAAACATCTCCTCAATCAGGTCTTTTGAGATGGCGTGAAGGGTGGCAAACGAAACGTGGAAGCAGAAACACTGAACACTGACTGACATGTTGACACAGGACACTCAGCAATGATTAGAATTCACCCTTTGCCGTCTTCTTCTAATCATTCACTCGAGAAGAAATCTAAGGGATTATAGCGCAATTTCTGTGCCTGCCAGCCCCAGATGCCAACCTTTGCATCCTTGCCAAATGAGATATGTTCGAAGGTAGCAAAGCTGGTATGTCAGTTTTCTACGGTCATTGTCCTCAAGCAAAATCATACCAAGCCGACCCAGAACGGGACTTCAAGGCAATCAAAAGTCTTTGGAACCAGCTGATATGCAGCCATAGCTACCTAGAGACTCTTTAGCCGCGCTGTGTCAAGTTGATCGTGCACTTTACCTGACTGTTCAGCCTGTGCTCTATGAATATTTGGACATTCGGGTGCCATTGCGATGGCAGCGCCTGGCGAGTCTCGAATCGCTCCTAAGTACAAACAATTCTGGATTTCGTTTCACACGCGCTTTCAGGATTATAAATTCGAGGACTTTGGACGGAGCAGGTGCTGACAAAGGAGGACTTGGTGTATTGAAAGTGACCGAGCAAGACGTTGAAGCTCGCTTCTTATCCTACGAGCCTGAATCCCATGCATCATACACTCTCAATGGACTGATTCGTCTCATACTTGGGAGACTTACTCCTAACAGCCTTCGTATATTTTTATGGCATCATGATTGCTTCATCGACACGGTCACCATATATCAACTTTTCACGTCACAAGGAAAGTCTTTGCAGCACTTAGCATTTCGTGCCCACATCTCGGGACAAGGAGAAGCACAATTGTCTTATGCTGGTCTGCGTCGTCTATATATGCCTGACCTACGTCTGGATGAGGGCACTTGGCCCTTGCAGCTCCTTGCTCAGAATTACGGGACATTGGAACACTTGCACATTGGGATTGAGGGATTTTTGTTTCGCGAATACGCCAAAAAAGGTAGACTTGAGGCTAATGGAGATGAGCGATGGCAGAAAACAACTGCCATTGTGTCCGCACTCAAATCTGCAAAAGACAAGACAGATCAAGCCACGAGCGACATGCGTCAGCTTAAGTCAATGACCCTCATTGGGTTAGATATTTCGGCTCTTTGTGCAGGGACCGAAGCTATTCTCAAGTTTAATTGCCTTCAAAGACTCTGCGTTGAGTCATGCGTGGGATTGGAAACAGCCTTTTCATTTCTCGTGGCTAAAGCTACAGACTCCGACCGTATACCTTTTCAGGAACTCAGGATACGACATGAGCACATCTCGGCCACTTTCCTTAACATTCTTCGCGACTTTCTAGTCAAATTACGGCCTTTGAAACGACTGCACATACTCCTAGAAGGTGAATGCACCCGCGCAGGGGATCTGAAGAGTATCTTGAAGGTTCACGGTCGATCACTAATGTCATTGGTCTGGGAGCAAAGGACCGGACCGCGTCTTGTCTGGGGAAGAGATACCATAGTCAGCCGAAAAGACCACATGGAGTTCCGACTCATAGCAAAGTACTGCCGAGAATTGCGATCATTGGGTCTGGGAGTCCGGTGGGATCACTTCCATGACTTTATGGGCGCGAATGCTGAGGTGAGTACAGCGTCGGTGCCAGCGTTCCGTAAAGAAGCTGACGTACATAGCTCGAATCATTCTTCAGTAAGCTCAAGTATCTGAGGACTTTCAACATTCGGGGACTGCCTGCTATGTCTCTTGACGAACGGGGCATCTGGCTAGATGAGGATTACTTTTTTGAAGGTCTAGCGACAAAATTTGCAGAAAGAATATGCCAAGCTCTAAAAACCATCAGCAATGTCGAGACATTATGTTTGGGACCGATCACGTTCGGAGGCATGAAACTTTCAACAGCTGCTTACGATCGCGAGTGGAATTATATGCAACCTCGAATTTATCATCTACAGTATTTGCGTAGAGAGGGAAGACTTAGAACAGTGTCACCATGGGTTGCGAAAGCCCAATTGCTCGCGGTAGGAAACGTACACGATGCTGAGGACTGGGCAAAGGATCTTGGCATATTCAGTCCGTGCTGGCTGGATGGCAAGCATTACTCATGAGATTAGATAGGATACAGCCATAACACAAATCTTACTCAAAACTATCGTGAAGAGTCAATGAACGAGGACCCTGGCCAGTGAATTCTGGCCTTTTAATAGGAAACAGCCCCTTATCAGGCCGCCTGGAGTAAAGCATCCCGGGCTACTCGTACGGGTCTGGGCAACGTTTAGGGCTGTCTGTACTCAAGATTTTTTTTTTAAATGAGCCCTATTTCCAAACTTCTAGGGAAAGGCTCGAAATAGATTCTTAAGTATTTCAACCATGAACCGACACTTACTTAGTCTGAAATTTGCATACTTATGTTCTTGATATAATGAATAGGTTTTCGGAATTTGAAGTTATTCCAATGAAGTTTAGTCATCACTAGGCATTAAAAAAAAGATTCTTTACCATACGAATTCATCGAGAATATGATTCACTTAAAAAATCCCTAAGTAGGCCTTGCCGAAAGCAACCACGCTATTTGCCATAGTGCGGCAATAGAACCGAGTAAACCTGAGGCGACAATCCGCACTTCTGCAAAATGATGTTTCAGTGACATAGGAGAGAATACGTCTTTTGCCAGCTCATTTGGATGGCGGAAGCAGACGCCGAGGCTGGGGGCCTCCAAAGGACTCTCAAAGATCTCGTCGCAGGCGCTGCGGGTGGGATAGCCCAAGTCTTGCTCGGTGAGTATTCATGCAAACCGCTGTTCTGACCAATATTCGGTCTTCCTGGTCTACATGAGTGAAATTTGTCTTGCTTTTCGATTTCTATTTCGAATAAAAATCGTCATGTCGTGGAATACCTCAAGAAATATCTTGCGCTTTTCATACTTCCTCAGAAGCCCAAACAAAATCTACGGTGGAGAGAGATCTAATATGACTTGAGTAGGTCAGCCATTCGGTATGTTTTGTTGAGAGAAAATGCCAGAATTGATGCTTAAATTGGACCGTAGATATTGTCAAGGTCCGGCTCCAAACGACATCACAATACTCCGGCGCTTTGGACGGTGCTACACAGATCTTCAAGAATGAGGGACCACTTGCTTTTTACAAGGTCATTGAGACGATGTGAATATCTTGAAGAAAATCATTACTGACTTTTTGAAGGGTACACTGACTCCATTGGTTGGTATCGGTGCGTGTGTAAGTCGCGCTTCCTCAAGCCCCTTAATCATTTTCGTGCTGTGGCAATTCATATTTCTTTCTTCAACATAAGAACCATGGCGACCCCTCGTTCGGGTATTCATCATTATAGCACCTTTATCTGACGCCTTGAACTTGTCTTAGGTGTCAATACAATTTGGCGGCTTTCATTACGCTAGACGACAGTTCGAAGCACGAAACGCTTCTATCCATCCAACCAATCCAACTTTGTCCTACTCTCAGTACTATGCTTCGGGCGCCTTCGCCGGCATCACTAACTCCGTCATCTCGGGTCCCATCGAACATGTTCGTATACGGCTGCAAACCCAGCCGCATGGTCACAATCGCTTGTACTCCGGTCCCATTGACTGCGTCCGGAAACTCTCCGCTCACGAAGGCGTACTTTCCGGTCTCTACCGCGGTGAGGCCGTGACCATTCTTCGAGAAGCTCAAGCGTATGGCGTCTGGTTTTTGTCGTATGAATATCTAATGAATGCGGATGCCAAGCGGAATCTCGTGAAAAGAAACGAGATCCCGCAATGGAAAGTAGCATTCTATGGAGGGCTTGCGGGTGAGATGCTTTGGTTGAGTAGCTATCCGTTTGATGTTGTGAAGAGTAAGATGCAGAGTGACGGTTTTGGACCCAATAAGAAGTTTGCGAGCATGAGGGATTGCTTTGGGCAGACGTGGAGGAGCGAGGGATTGAGGGGGTTCTGGAAAGGTATCGGACCGACCTTATTGAGAGCTATGCCCGTCAGTGCTGGGACTTTTGTCGTGTATGTATGCTCCTATCTAGTTGTGAAGCGATAGCTGACATGTCCAGGGCCGAGATGACTCTGAGAGCTCTGGGATAGATACCCATAATTGATACTCAGAAAGTTCAAGCAAACTGAGGGTGAGGACTGGATAGATATATGTATAGAGCCGAAAATATTCACCTCTCAAGACATTCTCGCTATATTTATACATCCACCACTGGCTCATTCGATCCTGGTGAGTCTACTCCCGAGGTATCCGAAATGCCAACAAAGCTTCCAGCCTGAGCAACTTGTATACCTTCTCCCGCGTTCTCTGCTTCTAACCATTTGAATAATTCTTCTTCCTCGTCGCCAACCTCCTCAGTATCGTCATCATCATTCATACCTTCCACACCCTCCATATCAAAAGGTTTGTAATTGAGTTCGCCCCTCATTGCATCCGCCATCCTCATCTTCTGTCCCTCTTCTCCCGCCCGACCAAGAACCCCTGCAATCACCTGCACACACCTAACGCTGTCGTCATTTGCCGGAATCGGATAAGTAACCCATGTGGGATTAGCATTTGTATCAATGACGCCAATTGTAGGTATATTGTTCAATGCGCACTCATGCAGTAGTACCCAATTCTCGACTGGATTGAGACACACCACAAGATCTGGTTTTAACGCCGGCTGCTCGCTCAAATCGATTTCTATCCCTGTCACCGCTCGATCAAATTGATCAACGAGCTTCTTATCGCCTGCAGCCAAGATCTGGTTTCCATTCGTGATCGCGCCTGGGGTCCATCGATCAAAGACATGACAGCCCTTTGCCATTTGAGCTGCTTTGACAACCGCGCCATCTTGCCCAGCTCTTGTGCCAACGAACAAAATCAGTCCGCCTTGTTTGGCTACTTCTCGAACGACTCGACAAGCCCTTCGTAAATGTGCTGCTATCGCGTCTAAAGAAATTATGTGTATGCCTTGCCGTATGCCAAAGATGTAGCGTGAATTCGCAGGATTCCAGTGGGAGGTCTTGTGGCCCATATGAGCCTGGGAAGCTAGCAGGAGCTCTAGGGTGATTTCATGTGGGCTGGGAGGACTGTATACCATGCTTTCAAGCTCATAGTGAGGCGCAAGTGTGCTTCCATATTGCTTATCCAAATTACCTGCAGACGATGAGTTCGAAGATTTCTAAATCGTTTGGTCACATTCTTACGCTGCCACCGATCATGATCGAATGCCTGTTTAGTGCCATCTTCTCGTAATTGCTGTTGTATGAGTGCATGAGTATCTATATGGGACACCACTTGAATGCCTGCGAGTGGTTTGCCATTCAGTGAAGCTTCTATCCAACGAATGGATTTTGCTATTCGATTTAATTGGCCAACTGCGAAGGCTCAGCAGGGCTCCGAGCAGGTATGTCTGGCAGACTACTCACACTGTTTGCTAATTGCACGTCGTAAACTCATCGCTTGTCGGTGTATGCGGAACAGCACTTTCCTGAGCTTGTATATCAAAATTTAGCGGAAAGTTTCCGTCAATTTTCTTCGAGCTGCGGCCGTCCCACAGTGGTCTACCTTTGTACCCTATCAACTGAACAGATGAATGGAGAATAATGTATGATGATGCCTCATACTACTATCCGTCCCATAATGCATCTCCCTCACGCCAGCAGCCCACCAAAGTGAAACATAAGAGGAGACAATCGCTGCTGGAAAAGCCCGCCGTCAATGTATGACTTTCGATACGCCATGCATTTGTGTCTTCTGATTTTAGTCGCAGGAGGGAACGCAAGCTGATGGTCGCTTAGATGGGCCAGGTCTCGGATCCGTAAAAGAGGTTGGACAGTTGGGTCCCCCTGAAGCAACCTTGAAGAAACGAGCTCAGTCGTACACCGATTTCCACTATGCTGCGACGGCGATACTACGGCAAGATCTGAAGCACGAAGTCAGATTGAGCAACCCTAGGACATCGAAGGATGATCAAGATATTTCGACCGAAGATCCAGAGGAGTTACACAATGATTTGGATTTTGCGGATCAGTTACACGCATCTGAAGGGATGTTGCTGGAATCGAGCCATGAAAATTACTCGTAAATGATTCACTCTACAAGAACAGAGTGGCATCGCTCACTCGAGTCTACAGACAGTACTTGAGACAATTGGTTGCTTCTGAGAGCCACCTCGAAGGGCTTTTAGCTGAGACTTCGTCGTCGCTCGATCTCCTAGATGACCTTTCCAATTCATTTAAAGCTGTCGAGGCACAGACCAGCACGTTTCAAAAGCAGTGCGAAGGGTTGTTAGAAGAACAAAAGCGAATTGAAACACTGGCGAACGAGATCGACCAGAATCTTAAATATTATAATTACCTGGAACCTGCCACCAGAAGGCTCAATGCTCCAGGAGCCGGAAGCCTTGTGAGAAGCGAAGAGTTCTCCGAGATGCTAACGCGTATCGACCACTGTCTAGATTTCATGGCAGCTCACGTATGTTCCCCTTTAGTAGACCTGCGCCAGTACTGATCAATTTAGCCCAAGCACAAAGAAGCGGCGACATATCGATCCCACTATAGGCTACTGATGACCAGAGGGTTGACTCTAATTCGTGTTAACTTTATCAACGGTCTTCGTGATATCGCTTCAGACGTGTCTCGCCGGATAGCTGACAAGCAACTGAACGACACTACTATGTCTGCCCTTTTATATGCCAAATTCCGCGTCGGTGCTGCCGAGCTCAAGGAGGTCGCCCAGGAAATCCGTAAGCGGGCAATCTTACCTGCCAGTGTTCAAGCCGGTGGCGAAAGTGAATATCAAGGACTCATGAACGAGCTTTACACTAGTTACTCGGCAACACGCGGTAAGCTTGTGATACCGCTCGCCCGAAAAAGGATAGGGGACATTGCCATGGCTCCAAGTACTTCAAAAGATCTTGTCTCATTTGCACGTAGTGCCATTGGCTATACAAAAGGTGTCTGTTCCGACGAATATGATCTTTGGAGGGAATGGTTTGTGGGTGAGGAAGGAATGTACGACTTTCTTGAATCCGTTTGCGAGCCGCTTCATGATCATCTCCGACCGCGCATTATTCACGAGGTTCAATTACTGAAGCTCGCCGAACTCTGCACGCTGCTTCAGATGCGTTATATGCATGATCAAGATGAGGACGCAGAACCCTTGGAGGCCAACCAGCTCGATTTCTCTGTTCTTATTCGCCCAGCATTGGAAGACGCTCAAACAAGACTCGTATTCCGGACACAGTCGATACTTCGTGATGAAATTGAGAGATACAAGCCAAAGAAAGAAGAGCTTGACTACCCAACTCGCAATCGGCAGGTCTCACTCTCTGGTACAAAGTCTCAAAAGACTCCAACGTCCGGCAGGAAGGCTTCCAACCCTGAGCCATCGACCCCGATGCCTAAGACCCCAATGATCGTAGAAGAAGGTGACTCACCCACAGGCCGCTGGAACTTCGATACCGAAGCCGCATTTCAAGGCTGGTATCCAACTCTCCGCAAAGCAATTTGGTTACTCAGCCGTATTTACCGCCTTGTCAATGTAAGCCACATTCCACTACACCCAAGGGCCTTATCAATACTGAAATAGCCAACAGTCCACAGTTTTCGACGACTTAGCCCACACTATTGTCTTCACAACTGTCCACTCCCTCCTGAGCGCCTCTCAATCTATCTCCTCTCTGACCCATCGCACTCCGTCCGATGGCCGCCTCTTCCTCATCAAACACCTCCTAATTCTGAAATCTCAAATCGTCGCCTTCGATATCGAATACGTCACTCCGGACATCGCCTTCGATTTCTCTAATCTAACCAATACTTTCTACGAGCTACGCGAGCGTGGTGGACTATTCGACCCTCGCAATTGGTTCCGCCTCGTCCGCGAAGGCCTGGTCGGCGGTGGGCTACTTCCTAAGGTTGTAGAGAACATGTTCGACGCCAAGGTCGAGCTCGACGGAAGACTCCGAAGCGTCATCAATGAGTTCACGGCAGGTTTTGCGAATGCGATCACGGCGCCTATCAATGCTTCTGCTCTAGCGAGCCCGAGATTCGATGCCATGGCCGCTGTAGGCAAGATTCAGGAGATTGCGGGGAAAGAGGTGCCGACGCTGCGGAGGAAGTTGGATGAGTATCTCGATGAAAACAGGACGAAGGAGACGTTGGTTGCTGCCGTGCAGGAGATGGTAGTGGGGAATTATGAGGGGTTCTATGATGAGATTATGAGGGAGAAGGAGAAGGCTGGGAATCAGGGCGGAAGGAAGAGTAAGAAGGGAAAGGGCAGAGATGATGAGGTTTGGGATGTGGACATGTTCTCTGAATGGGCCAATGGAGTATTCGATGTTAAGGGGATCGATGGATTTGAAGGGGGTAGCATCAGGGGTGGGAGTGCATGGGGCCGGCCGACGAGCTACAACGGGAGCGTGTATTCGAGGTGAGAGAAAATGGAAAATACGATAGTGAGGCATTAATGCTCCCACGAAAAGTATGTAGCAACTTATTGCTAATATTCCAGATTTGAGAACCTTGCTTCAGTTTTCCCTCCCTATCTCACTCCTTGGATTGAGGTCTATCAGCTGCCCACTTATCAATCCAGCCCGTTCGCACAGGCAAGTCGTTGCATTCATACATACCGTCTCGTCAATCATGATATATCCACAGTAGATCCCTCCATACCCTTTTCCCGATTCCAACACGAAGCTAAGCCAGCAAGCAGCCTCAATTTTCCCCTCAATATCCCCCCACAAAGCAGTATCATATCCTCCTATCATCTCTGCTGCCACAACCCCCGAGAAGTCGCCTCCACCCGTCTCTGCTGCTCTCTTATCTGCATGTCACTCTGTCCCGCCGCGTTCCCTCTCGGGTCGAATTTTGGCTTCGGTTTCGCGGTCCCTCCACCATTCGTCTCAATCCCTTCCATCGGATCCCCTCCCCCGTCTGCATCACCAGGAGCCAAAGCTTGCTGCCCTGCCCTGCCTCTGGCTTGCTCCCGCTTCTTCGGATCCACACTCATCGCCCCATCCATGAACCCTTGTGCCCCACCCTCTCTCAACTTATTGATCGCCCTCACGGTATCGATAGCTGCATGCAGCGTCCTCCTCGCATTGAAATTCTTCTTGATCGTCGGTAATAGATCCCCGCCGTCTTTTCTGGCTTCAGGGTCTACGAAGGGGTGAGAGAGGGCTTCGTGCGCCGTCATCCGCTTGTGCGGATCTACGGTGAGGCAGCGTTTAATGAAATCGCGCGCGGCGAGGGAGACGCTACGCCAGTATTCGAGCGGCGTGAAGGAGTAGTCGGCTACGAGGATTGCTTGCATTTCTTCGACGTTGGAGTCCCGGTCGAAGGGCGTGTAGCCGCAGAGCAGAAAGTAGGTTATTACGCCTATGGCCCAGACGTCGCTGCAGTCATAAAGTGGATATTAGCGGAGGGATTTTTGGGGTTCGGATATGGAAGATGCGGTAGAGCACGTACACTGGCTTGCCATGTCCACTCTTCTTGAAAATCTCGGGTGCCATGTAGCCTGGCGTGCCACACGTCGTGGTGAGAACGTGGAAAGCCTCCTCATCCATTATCCTGCTGAGCCCAAAGTCCGCTATCAACAGGTCTGCGTTGTCCTCCGGGGTTCTGAAGAGCAAATTCTCGGGCTTCAAATCGCGGTGGACAATGCCATGATCATGCAAATATGAGACAGCGGAGAGCGTGGCTCTTATAAGGTCGGCGGCGTCGGATTCGTAGTAGGAACCTTTCCGGCAGATGCGGTCGAAGAGTTCACCGCCCAAAGCTAGGTCGGTGACCAAGTATACTGCGATAGACTTGTCAGTGGTTGCAAGCCAAAGCTGAGGGAGTACCTCAGGTCTTCAAGGGGGCATATACGGTTGTTCATCGTCTCGAAGTAGTCGACGAGCGTCAAGATATTCTGGTGACCTATAGATACCTTTTTCAAGACAGCTATTTCATTCCTCACCTATGTCGTCGAGTCAGCTATGTTCAATACTGCTTTGCTCCATCGACCCTGTGCCATAGGACTCTGTAAGACTAGGAATTTGACGCACCATGTGCTCCCTCCCTGCCATCATGCGCTTGTTGATGACCTTTGCTGCGTAGTAGCGGCCTGTGTCGATATGTACACATTCCTTGACTACTGAGTACGATCCTGCACCCAGCGTCTTCCCTGTCTTATACCGACATGGCTGTATTTGCGGTCTTATCCCTTGATGGGCGTCTTGTGCATTTTGTGCCATAGTCCCAAGGGACGGTGGTAGGTCGCAAAGATTGGGCGAAGACAGCAGTGGAGGCTTTCTTAAAGAAGAAATAAGCACTTCTAATCCTTACGATAGCTTGAGAGGGGGGAAGATCGTGGAGGGGCGGTAATCCGTCAAGACATGCAGGCACAAGGCGCAAAAGGAGGCTTTGAGTGGTGGCCAATTGAGTGACTGGAGGAGCCTGAGATTGGCCAATGGGCAATTATGTCAATGCTAGATATCGAAGATATATCATATGGATGTATCGTGAAGGGGAAGGGGTAGATTGTACAGATATTGGGCCAAATGAGAATGGTTCCTCGGCTCCTTGGCCCTTAACATCGAGCTATCAGTGAAGAAACAGAATTTGATGAACTTGCACAGGCAATAGTTTATGGATCGTAGAATCGATGCTACACCTGAACTCTAGTTCAATTGCCAAATCCTCGCTGCTGAAGCGTATATTCTCGTCTATCATGAGCGCCCCCTTCCAGCACCCCAATAAAATGGCTCTTGAAAATAGGACGATATCTGCCCAAGTCCGAGACATTCAGCGATCCTGCAATCCCCTATGTAGTCGCAACACTCCTCATCCATTCTCTCCACCTCGCCCACTCATCCCACTTCAAGGTCGCCTTGCTCCCCTCATACCTTACCACTGTCCCTTTCCCTTTCTCAAACACCTCACGCCATTCCCGGCTGCGCCCACTCCACCCAGCCTTTTTCATCAGACTAGCAAGAGTGTCTTCCTTCGTCCAGCCTTGCTCGGTAGCCACATCTGGTAGGTAGGTTGACCCATATCGTCTGTTGTGGTGTGAAAACGAGATCTTGATACCGTGAACACCGAGCGTCCAGTCGAACGGAGAAGAGCATGTCGTGAAGTTCATGAGAAGGGTGACGCTACATGAGAGGCTGTACAGTTCTGAAGCGCCGATAGGTGGAAAGCGGCTGTCGTTGAAGGCACTGTGGAGGGCATCGGTCAGTCAGTGCGGCATCATAGACTTGCAAGGGTTGTCGACTATGACGCCTTGACGTACGCTGTCAGGGCGTAGCTGCCCAGGCCGCTCGAGAGTTCTTGAGAGTCGAATGTGCCAATACAGCCTCGTAGATTCTTGTTTCCAGTCCGTTGGGATATGGTGTTCCACGTGATAAACAGGGGATGCTCTTCTACCTTTGGTACAGCTGGTGATGGCTGTTTCGAGCGGCCGAAGGAGAAGAATGACGAGTTCGATGAGGATTTGGAGTTCCCGTTCAGAGCAGCACTTGAGGATGTTGTGGATAGCGATGACGACGTAGAGGATAAGGACGATGCGGAAGCTGGAGAGACTGCTTGCAGCCGCGATATGCAGGGAATTTGCAGAGTCGAACGAGTTGCAGGCCGACGCTCTGGCTCCGCGTGGATTATGTCAAGCCCGTCATCTTCTTCCAACCCTTCCGCGGCGCCCTCATCACCTTCCAGCTCCTCGCCATCTTCAGAGTGCTGGTTTCCGACACCTGAGGCTTTCTGCTTGCTCTTTTGATATAGTTCATAGCGCCCCCATAGATCTTGTACCTGCTCAAACCCCAATGCGTCTCTATCTTCAAGGTCAGCGGTCAAGGTCTCAAAGCAGGTGGCGCAATGACTGGCGTTTGCCATGAGATTGCTTAGATTGCAAGACGTGACGAAGTGGATGATTCTCCCAGAAGATTAAGCTGCCCTCCTTATCGTTTCGGCACGAGCAGGCACGTAGAAGATACGAGACCTCATGGTGATAGGTCGAGGGCCATGACAGACGGTTAGGCAAGGGCCTAATGGCTGATGAGGCTCGATTTCCGTGCCTTGCTTCCTCACGCAGGGATCTTTAACGTCTCGGCCGCCAAGCTTTGAGGGAAACTTGCCTACCTTAGAATGAGCACGAGTGGGCCATGTCATCAATTATCTACTTCGTTTTCAAGAACAAGTCAGTATGGGCACGGCAATCACTCTGTCTGGGTTAGTCATTCTACGCCGAGAATTAAAAGAAAGAAAGCAAGAAAAAGGAGGAAAATGCAGCAATGCTAATGGTTGTCAACAGCTTGGATTGGACCTAATTAGAGCATTTCTTGCAAGCTAGAACTGATGAGTGACACGTGGAAGTATGCACTGATTCCGTGATTGACTGCTGCCTCTGACTTGCTCTCCTCCGCCTGTTTCCTCCGCCGTTGCTTATGCTTCTAGTCATGGATATCCGCAAGTTTGATAGTAATGATCATGATAATAAGCTCGTGCGTGTTCATCTCAGCCGTCGTAATCGTCATGTTGCAAAGGAAAAAGAAAGTATGCATGATTTTTGCTGCCATGGGAACTTATCGCCTCGGCTTGCTGGTATGAGTGTGTTCAGATGTACCACATAGCGAAATGGATTTGGTTTGTAGGCTCCATTGGAAGTAGTGCTGGAGGTTCGGAAAGAGTTTCACCGGGCCTCGCTTGATAATCGATTTGAGGCATGCCTGGTCGCTTTGCAGACTCATTACGTTGAATCCAGCGGTCTTGCTCCGTAATGTTGACGTGACTCACTGCACGAGCAGCAGCAAGATGGGCGTAGTATACCGCCGGGAAAAGAGATACAGGTGTCGTTGAGCGCTGGTACTGGTAGCAGTGCTCGTAAAGGAGTTGATGTAGCTGATTGACTGGCACTTTTGCATCATCAAGGAGCACCTGGTAATGTGTAGGTCTAGCGGTGCCTTGGATAGCAGAATGCGAGTTGAGATACATGTCGTATTCAAAAGGACGAGTTACATCTCGCTCAACCAGGGTGCCGGGGACTGGATTTCCGTTCTTATCAGAGCCAGGGCCTTGAGGAGGAAAGAAGCGGATGTGGTGCCGCTTCTCACAGACAACAACGGTGAACTTTGGCATATATTTCTTCTCGTTATTGCACTTCTCGTAAAACGCCTGTTTGATATCGGCCACCTCGTTTTCAAGCAGAGGGATGTATTGAGCCTCAGAGACCCCGTCTCGGAAGTAGTAGACATGTTTTGGCATGCGTCCGCCTCCAACGTTCTCCATCCAACGCTGGATTTGTGGTAGCAAAAAGGAGTTGATGTTCTTCGGACTAATCATTTCTTGGCGATATCCGTTTGACTCGACAGCTGCAGTATATCGTGAAGCCGTCATGTCCATTGACATTGTCATAGCAGCGAACGAAGGCTGTACCATTCCAGCCCCAGCATGCGATACGTCGGCTCCAAGGATCATAGTTGGCACTTCGAAATAAGGCTTCTTTCCCTTTGCCATCGAGACTGTGCCGCCTAACTTGCAGTGAAACTTCATACTCACGTTCGAGTGGTATTGAGGAGAATTTTTCTTAACGTTTTGACCTGTCACACACTGGGATACAATGCCCCATTTGCAGTCGAGGTTCTTCTTGACTCGTTCGTAGACGTTCTTGTCAATGTTGGAGACCACAACGAACATTATTTGTGGTCGTTTCTTAGCTGCGTTGCCAGCTGCGTAGAAGCAGCCCTCAATAGCTTTAGCTATGTCCGGCACTCCACCAATGATAGGTGGCTGGGCGTTGTCTACGATCCCTCCGTGGCCACGATAAGTCTTAATGAACATTTGAATAAAAGCCTTGGTCTGATCCATGGATGGGACATTGCGTGTATCACCTCCCTCAACGCCTGTGCCTGTCAAGACGCATACGCCCCATGATTGGAGGGGAATTGGGTTTGGTTTCAAGAAAACCTTTCCACGAAGATCCCAGCGTCCAGTGTAGCCGGGCTTAGCAGTTGTATTTTTAGCATATTGAACCTCTGGTGGATCCAAGACGCGAGCATCTGATCGAGTCATTTCCCGATCAATCTTCAAGCCATACTTCATAAGAAATGGATCTTGATCCCACTTGAGATGACCTAGGCCTTCCCGAATGCCTTCAAGTCGCTTTGCTGGCCGGGTTGCTGCAAACTTAATCATGTTGCTTGTCTGGTTCTCATTGAGCTTGGTCTTGTACTGCTGACCATATGCCATCTCACAGAGCTCCATGGGATAAAGCTCCTTCGCCCTCACCTCCACGAGAGGTAAGTAGGAATACGTAAGACGATGCTTGTACTTCTCTAGCATATACTGGACGATGCTGACATTCTTTGTCTGTCCAGTCTCACGATTGACCCAGTCAAAGCGGTAGGTCTCGGCACTCTCGTTGAGAATCCTAAAAATGATCTTCGTTTTAGGGTCTTTTCCTGTTCCTGGGCGACGAATGTGGAAATGGCATTTGACAAAGCGCTTGAGGATCTTCCACGCTTTTGGATCCGGGTCATTAGCGTTCCGCTTTCGAAGCTTTCCTTCGAAAACCACAGGATTCAACTCCCCAATTAGCTCCATAGACAGTGTATGCAATGGCATTGCTTTCCAGAAAGTTGCATTGGAAACATCGACATTGACAACAAGCTTCTTTCCCTCAGCCATGCGAAGGGATTGGTAAACGCCACGCCAAGCTTCGACGCCATTGCCAATACCAGTGAAGAGAGGCCTAATATCCCCTTTGAACTCTTCTGGTTGTTGGAAATAAGATCGACGGAGGTTAATAAGATGCTTCGAAGGGTGTTCTCGGAGTAGATGGTCCAAAAAGTTTATGGCTGAATAGATCGAGTCATCGAATTCGAGAAGGGTACCATCCAGGAACGAGCGCAATGTGTCCAAGCGAATATGGGTCGTCTTTCGAATACGAACAGCATGAATATCAGCGACAACTATGCCATCCTTCTTACGAGGGTTTCGACCCATCTCCTTATCCATATCCACCTCAATCTTGAGCTCATTGGGCAGGTTTCGTCCGGACCTGAATTACTTGTTAGTATTGTACGCCAGCGAGTAGGAACGCTTGACTTACCAGGCAAGCTTGTTGCCATCGAACAACCAGAATTGTCCGATTTTATCCTGAACGGCCTTTGATTCCCAAAGCAGTTGAATCAATTTTCGCTTCTCCTTGCCTGAGCCGATAACAACCTAAAGGGTGTTAGCGAAGGTCTGACGATGTGAGAGCAAGCAGAAGTACTTACATCATATTGATAAACGTCCATTTTTGGCCAAGCGTTGACGGTATGGGAGTTCAGTGTAACCTTGTACGCACGGCCAAGGGTTCCGAAACCAGGGCGCTTCATGAGTACCTTGGGCATCTCCATGCGAAACATGTTAGAAGCGTAACTTGCAGCACGAGGTTCATCGCCTTCAACACCGGCCACGTTTGGTTGATCATTATTGACCGACATGATGATCGATGAAAGGAAGGTTTGGAAAAGGACAAAGAGAGGTGTAGAAGAATGAAGGTCAGATAGGAGTAGATGGTTGAGAAGGGTGCTCAATGTGTATGAGTTGATAGGCTTGTCTGTGTGGGTCTCGGAAGAGGTTGAAGATGAAGATGGTAGATGGTAGATGGTTGTAAGAAAGAAAGAAGCTGGGGGAGGAGGAGGTTTATATACCCCAAGATGGCTTGGCAAGTCGATGAATAGTAGGTCACACTTGCCGGATACTGTGTGAAATAGGAATGAATAGAACGTGATTATGGAGTGTGAAGGGGCATAGAATAGTGAAGAAGAAGAGGCAAACTCGCGTGTCTAAGACATTCACGGGGGAATTGCAAAGACATTGTAGGAATGTTCATGTGTACTCATAGTAGAAAAGGAATTCGCACGGCAGTACAAGCGTAATACATTCACGCAAGATTGTGGTATGAACACAGCGGCAAGTACGATTCACGAGACCGTGCAAGGCACGCGAGGAATAGTAGCTTACCTTGTAGTCCGTGGCATACGCCATCCCTCCAAGATCTACTTTTCGTGAGAGATTTCGCATTGCTTCGCTTAGTACGAGTTGAGGACGAGCCGGCTCGCGCTGCTGAGAAGCGGATCTCGTTTGACTCCCTGGGCGGGATCCAGGTCGGCCAGTGGAGGGAGAGCGCCCACGCGCCTCAGAAGGTCCATCAAAACGCAGAGCCTCCGCAACAGGAGGAGCGCTGGGCTCCCCACGACCACGGCCAAGAGCGCGGGGGTTCCTACCAGCACTAGGCATCGTTGCTGATATTTGGGGACGTGTCTATCTACGAGTGAAGTCAGCCGCTTGCCACGAGTGAGACAATCGTATTAGGATTTTCACGTGAACGCTGAAAGTCGAACGATGTATCAGGCGTTGAAACTAATGAAATAAGGTGTGACGATGAATGACCAAACAGCAGTGGCAATCAAAACTACACTCAGACCCGAGGGTGTGACTCGAGATGATGTGTGAACAATCTTAAGACATTGATCTGGTGAGAAGAATAACCGTGTGTGATAATGAAGACTCTTGAATTTTGATAGTGAAGTGTAGAAGAGTGGGTGTTCGAGTGTGAAAGTGAAATTTTGGGTTGAGACTTGTGTGGGGCAAAATGAGGTGTTGCTATGGTGATTGCTTACACAATAATAAGAAAGAAGTGAGGCGCCGAAAAGTGTCTATTGTTTGTTGTAGCAGCGGTTGAAAGAAGCTTCAACTGATGGTTTGTTGATGTTGTTTGGTGTGTCAAATTGAATCGAAGCCGAGTTTGGTAAACGGTGAACGTGTTAGATTCAGAACGACAAATTACGGGAGCACCAATTCGCGTGAGTCAACGAAGTAGATAGTGGTGTTGGTCAGATAGAAGAAGACGAAGAGGGGGGACGGTGAAAGAAGGAAGGAGGTAGAAGGAGTAAGGGTGGTTGAGGAGGTGGAGGTGGTCGTAAGAAGGAGCGAGGCAAGGCGATCAAGGCCGGGTGCGCTAGTCCACTAGCGTGGTTTCTTTTTGATCGACGATGAGGTGATAGCGAGGAATGCAAGAACCTGGCTCGAGTAGTCTGTCTTGGTCCCGTTGATTGAGATGAGTAGGAATGCCTTACCCCTTTGTATCATGAAACGTCGCATGGCATAGCTGATGTATTTCTTAGGCTACCATAGGACAATGGTGACGCATAAGATTTCTGGTATAAGAGCTGACTATTGGATGATCACGTACTGTATGGTAATTTCGCACCAGGATGTATAAATCCTTCTGCCCAGTAGAAACCTGCTGCCTACCGTGCGAGGAACACTGTCTCTCTTTTGAATGAGGGAAATACACTCGGATTTTCCCTCAACCTCGCTATGCACACAACCTGGGTATCGACAGATTTGACGTCACGCAAACCTTTCTCTGGAAACGCCTTTTCTTTCTAATGAATTCGATGCTGCCTAGCATGCTTTCTTACGGTACGAAACGGTGATGCTTCAGCGTCAGTCAAGATAGCGCTCTAGAATGTGTTCCGACCTATAACAAACTCAATCCTTTATCGAGAATAGTATGGAGCTGTGTCTTACGTCAATACTACAACAAGGTGGATAGAAAAGGCAAATACTTACTTCCTGCTGGAACTGGATAAGGTGGATAACCAACCGGGGGGACTTGAGGCATTGGAGGTAGACCAGGCCGTTGCTGCATTGGCGGGACTGATCCAGGTTGAACATATGGCGGTGGTGGACCTTGCAGTTGAGGTGTCTGCGGGGGTGGGATGTGTTGAGGTGGCGGAGGAGGATGACTAGCCCCAGTGACTCCCCTAGCTGCTTGTGGAGGTAATTGGGAGATATGAGTAGGAACGTGGGTTTCCCGGATTAATCGAACGAGCCCGGCAGGATTGAACTTGGTTGCAGTGTAGGTCTCTGCCTTTGGTATGATGCTGAGAAGATAGGTGATGTCTCGAGGCAATGGTGGAATTGCATAGGACTGTGGTAGGGGTGGACGGACAGATTGGAGCGGTATTTGCTGATGTGATTGCTGACTGTTCTGCTTAATCATGGGCTGGGCCGGAGCTGGCTTCAAAGGTGATGCACCGCCGCGCATAGCTTTTCGCGGACGGTCTGACTCGTTATCTGATTCATCCAGAGGCAAAGGGCGTTTGGGCGAATTCGTAGAGACTTGAATGAATTGAGCTTCAGGCGCAATGGCCTGTATGGTAGGGAGAAATTTGGGCTTTGTTTGCTTAGCAGGAGATATGATGGGACGGATGGCAGTTGGATCGAAGCCATCATCAGAAAAGCGCTTGGAGAACAGCGCGAGAGAAGGATCCTCGGGGAACAGATCACTCATACGCTTCTCCAGCTTCACAATTTGGCTCAGTTCGCCATAGCGGGACTCAAAATCGTGGAAGAAAGCATACAGAGGCTTTGCTTTGGCCGTCGTCTCAGGTTTATGGGCTAGTCGAGTCACTACGGTCTCGAAGACAACTCTAGCGTCTGTGCAGTGTCAGTGTTAATCAAAGTGTACGGAGCTGGATCTTGGCTTACTCGTATGGTCGTTGTTTGCAACGAGATGCTTGATGTATTCCAAAGCAAATGCTTCATCCTCCTGAAAGAGCTTTAGGCCGCGCTCGAATATTTTCCGTCCCGTGTCGGGTTCATAGCAATGAAACTCAATCAAGGCAGCTTGCACGTAGACATCAGAGGTGACTCGCCCACGCTTTCTAGCATCTGAAAATACTCCGCGAGCACCGCCCACTCCCACCCCCCTTTACCTTGAATACGACGCAGGGCCCTCATCAATGCTATCCAGACATGAGACAAAGTACGCGACAGCAGACGCATTTGGACTGCATGAACGTTCTTGGTGGCTTCAATTCGCTCGGCTTTCTGTTTCTCTCGATTCTTCATATCTTCTTGGCGAAGCTCTTCGTCTTCATCACCCTTTTCATCCCCTGCAATCCCGTTTGTAGGCTGCTCAGTAACACTGACCTGGTGCTGGACCTCAATGAGAGCTAAGTCCTGTTCCTCTCGCGCCTTGGATCTGGCAATTAGTTCATAAAGCGCATCTAAGACCTTGTCAAATGGCTCTCTGACTGAAGCAGCACGGCGTAAAGTCTTCTCCTCCCCTTCCTCACTAGAGGTGACAAACTCTATACGATCTGCACGTTTGAACGCTAATAGACAACTCTCGGGATTCGCAGCAATACCCTGTTTCAGGAAATCATCACCTGCCTCGTCCATGTTGTTGGCAAAGCAAAACTCGCTTGCGTCACACCAAAGCTCTGGCCAGAATCTCATGGCCATTAAAGCATGCTTATATACAAAGATGACTCGAGCTTTGTAGCCGTCCAGATCGTCTTGCTTGAGAACAAGCGGATCGTCTATCTCCCATCGTATCCACCGCTTCCAGATACTGAGCTGTTCTAAATATTCGGTGTCACCTTCGAAGCCGAGAGCAGGTGGAAGTGAGGGCAACGTCGTCCTTTTGAGATTTCGTGTGATATTTTGGAGTTCTGTGTAGGATGCTCGTGCGGACATGTAAGCTGGTGACTGGTCTTGAAGAAATTTGCGCCCCTAATGCTCTTAGATTGATGTCATTGCCGAGGGTTGTTTCACTTACCGTCATTTTGTTCAAGCCCATCTCAAATCCGTCATACTCCTTCCATAGAGTATTCGTGGCTTGTGTAGGGACGCATATGGCCTGTTGATATGTCTTTCGAAGCTCGTCCATCTTTTGTTGATCTTGCCAATTGCTGCCGCCAAGGATTCCAGGTCCCGATTTGAGGAAAAGGATGTAGTCTTGCCACATCCGGCCGGCATCTTTGTCGAGTCCCACTTGTACCACGGCAAGTTCGTAGGCTTGATGGATAATTTGACGACCTGTGCCTGAAGTATCGGTTGTGAGGTTGTTGTGACGACGGACATGGTCCAGGTACACGGACCAGAGCGGTAGATACGGCATTTGTATGAGACTCTTACCAAGCACGTTGTCAATACCGTTCCGGTTGTTTGCTTCATTTTCCATTTGAGCATAAGAAACCCAGACTTCAGCCTAGTGAATGGATTAGCTGGAACTCACGAGGCGGTAAAAGTCCCATCTTACCGCAAATGGAAATAGTGAAAGAAATTTCTCATAAGTGCTGCGAGCATCTTCCGACTTGGATCTCCTCTTGTGCTCGTCAATGAGACCTAGCCACGCTTCTATATCACCCCGTGGGTCGTCCTTGATCCTATCCTCTAGCATCCCTATTTTGTCGTGCGGAAGCCGTGCTTTTGGAAGTACACTCGCTACGTTCGGTACATCTTGAGGCGGCGCTTTTACCGGCACCGCCGAAATCTCAGCTCCAGACTGGCTCGGAGTACCAAAAGGTGTTTCGACAGCGCCATCTAGGTTTGGGACTGGCGTTGCGTTCGAGACAGCACGGCCTTGGACATCAGTACCCGAAGATATTGTATTTGATGGATCAACAACAGCAAGAACACGAGAAGCAGGTGGAGAAGAGACAGAGGCTCCGTTCACGCTGGGAACGACGGCCTGCTGTGCGCTTTGAGAAGGCATTATATCATTGGTTTGCTCTGTTATAATGACGTTGCTGCTTGAACTGGCACTGGAGGAACCTCGCGACATTGACCTGGATTGACTCTGCCGATCCGCTGCAAGGTCAGAGGTGGCGACAGCAACAGGGAAATGAGCTAGAGCGGGTTTGGAAGTGGTGTTAGAGGTGGGGTTGTTGGACTTGGAAGGATCAACAGGTGTTGTGCTAATAGGAGACAAAACAGCGGAAACAGCTGGCTCTGCTGGGGCAGGGTCATAGCTATTGGAGGACTGATATTCTTGTGTGAATGCGCTACCTCCATCCGCTGTACCAGAGATATTTGCAGTCTCCATACGCACTGCCTCGAAGTATCACAAGCCGTTGCCTTACCAGTGCGGTTTGTCTCCTCCCTTGACTGTCTCAGGATAGGAAAGATGCGACCGTGGAGGGAACGGGGTGAAGATCGATTGCGAAAGGTTGCCGTGGGCGTGTAAAGCGAATGTCAAGAAGATCTCAAAGAGTTCAAGGAAGGAGGATGCTCATCAAAGGGAGAAAACGGATGTGGTCCGTGGAGGTGGTTTGATGGATGTGTGACAAAGTACCCAGCTTTCCTTTGTATTTTCAGATTGTCTTGGCACTCTCGTAGCCTGCGCTAGGCCAGAAGAGGGCTAAAATGGGTGGAACGCGAAAGTCGCGTTGCCCTCTCTTTCTCTCAAACAAACACCCTAGCAACTTCACCTCCCCATCTCTCTCGACTGTTTTCATGGCAGTATTGAGCAGTACGTGTTGATCATTAAAAAATTCTGAGCATACAAACTTTGACTTCAGCCCACCCTTCTTATCGACTCCTCAAGAAGCACCATGTCTGTAGTATCAATCTTAGGCGTGAAAATCCTCAACAATCCTGCAAAGATCACAGATGCTTATCACTTCGAGATTACATTTGAATGTCTAGAGCAGCTTCAGAAGGGTTCGCTCGTCTCGATAGCTTGGAAAATGAGTCGAAATGCTAATGCTAGAGCAGATTTGGAGTGGAAGCTCACTTACGTGGGCTCAGCTACATCGTGAGGCGCGAATGATGCAATATTGTGGCCATATTAAGTCATGTCTAGGTCTGAACACGACCAGGAACTCGATTCCTTGTTTGTTGGGCCGATACCCACCGGAACCAACAAGTTCGTTTTTGAAGCAGACCCACCAGATCTGCGCCGGATACCCTCTACCGAGATTCTAGGCGTGACTGTCATTCTATTGACATGTAGCTACGATGATCGAGAATTTGTCCGCGTTGGTTACTACGTTAATAATGAATACGATTCAGACGAGCTGAACGCAGACCCCCCGCAAAACCAGACATTGACAGGGTGCGACGGAGCATACTAGCTGATAAGCCAAGAGTCACACGGTTTGCAATTAAATGGTAAGGTCTATTGCTTATCACACGCACGAGACACTTGCTGAATCTTGATCAGGGACACTGAAGACTCTGCCCCCGCTGAGTTCCCACCGGAGCAACCGGAGGCAGACCAAGTTGAGGACGACGGTGTAGCCTATGGACAAGAGGAGGTCGAGCTCGAAGAAGGACTCAAGGCCGAACTTGCTGCCGAGGAAGCAAAGGCTGCAGCAGACGGTGAAGACGAAGACATGGGTGGTGCTGACGACACCGCTGGAGCGAAGGACGAAGATGATTCAGACGCCGGCAGTGAGGATCTTGAAGCAGATACCAGTGGGAGCGAGGAAGAAGATGAGGAGGAAGTGGAAGAAGAAGGCGAGGGCGAAGGAGATGAGGATATGGAGATGGGTGACGGAGCCTCCAACGAAAAAAAGCAGAAACTCATAGCCCAACAGCATAATGCTGAGGTAATGGTTCATTGAGTCTGTGAAATGAATGATGGGTTATCAATACTGCCGGCCAAACAGGTCTCATGATTCGAGAGGAGGGTGTTCCACAAGGCATCTGCCACTTCTACGGCAAGGTGGCCCGCGATACAGTATGAAGGTAATGACAGTAAGATTGGTATTTTGCATGGCCATCATGATCTCAGGCATACCATCATCTTCAAATGGCATCTCTTTAGTGAACAATGAGGCTCTCGAGCTGTGATAATGGATGTTAGGTCCCATCATTCTGCGTTCTCCGATGCAGACTCTCTCGCGTGTCTATGTGCAGTGGGCATGAAGACTGTGTACGCTTTCCATTGACAGCTCCCGATTCTTTCAAGGCAGTTTTCCTTATTTGAGTATTGCCGTTTTCTATGTCTACTATTTGCCGTCGTGTCAGGAAAGCCTAAGCCGCCTAGAGTCTTTCCAAAGAGTGAGATGCCCGGTCACCTCTGTCATGTTACTAGTACTCTAAGGCCAACTTCAGCCTTTCGATGATATTCTTTGGTGGTTGGTGATGGACGCCATGTCCGGCTCAAAATAGGGATATCTGCAGACAGTTTTTTTCAAAGACGGCCAATTGGTTATTGTAAGACTCGTTTAGATTATGATGTAAGGTTTCGAAGGCAGGCGTATCAAACGCCTCTGCTTGTTTACTCGGCAAGTCTCCTGATTCCCAGTCGCCTCCCAGAGCGTCACATCGGTATGAGTAAGGTTTGGTTTCGTGAATCTAGACTCACACTTTGCACGACACCAAAAGTAGTGCATCATATCCTGTCTTGCAGAGATGGCCGTTGTGACTGCTCGATCTGTTAGCAACATAACACTCGAAAGAACTTCAATCAAGCATCCAGCACTCTTCATCATCCATCTATTTCGCCGACCAAGCTAGTGAAGTTGAGATCAATGGCTATCATTATCAATGGCGACAGGTGGGGTTGCTGCAAACGCAAGGTCAATAGAGCAGATAAAGAACACTACGGCGAAGGTAATGAGTTCGAGGTAAAGCAGTGCTATGCATGCAGAATTCAACAAATTGAAGACGCATTTGAAAGCGATCGGCAGGACTTCAGGAGACGACTCAGTAAGCTACCACGAGGCATCATTAAACGATCAAGGTTGAAGCCTTGGAAAAATAAACCCACGCCGGAAGAGAGGATGGAGTTGGCGGAGGTTGATCGTCAAAGGCAGCGGTTAGAACATAAAATAGCGGAAATCCCCAAGCAGATGGCGCCGTTCATCGAGCAAGCACGCGTAAATCACGGCCTCAAACTTGTACAGAAAATGCCCAATGGTCAGGAAAAGTGGATCTGTAAGGGTAGATGTGCCTATCCTTCAAACTGTTGGCTAATTTCTTCGCTATGTAAGACTCCCCTTCATCTGACTTTCGTAAGCAGTGAAACTAATATTTTCGAGAGCATTATCATCTCACTACTCACAAGTATCCTACAGTCCAGCCCTTCACTATCCAGCAGGCGTGCAGCTTTAGACCTTCCAGCAAAGTAGCTTGAGTCTTGATACGCTCTCCAGCTTTAATCAATGATAAAGTGACTGAATTAGGCTGAAATTTGACATAGCACGCCAAATCATTCCCCTATCTTTCCCCTATCTTGCGCCCTGAATCGCTATTTTCTGTCTTCTCACTCGAGTCTTCTCGGATCATATCAATGAATGTTCGCTTCGTCATCGGCTGGTGGATCCTCGAGAGCCCATTTGGGCAAGCCTGCGACGTGTGTGTCCGGATAATGTTCGCGGAAAGTCACCCAAGCATCTCTGATCCCATCCTTCCTCTCCCTATCCAGCTTATCGAGCTCTATTCCCTTGAGGTTGTACTCAAGATGGTCTTGATTGAGCACCTCATCGGAAGCCTTGTTGAATAGATCAAAGTTGAACTCAGCCTCCAGTGACACCAGGTTTTCGTTTTCCTTGTCGATGGTTGGCTTCATTTTTTCGTTGATTTTGTCCATTTTCTTCCATGCACGGTTCATGCAACGTGTCTTGTGTACTTGAGTACGCTCCAACGGGTCTGCTGGACACTTGCATTTTGTAGGCATTTTTCTTGGTTTGGATGTGCGTCGTTCACGAGGTACAGAGAGAGACCTTGTTGAGATATGAGCAAGGGCGAGACGGACTTCGATGATGGAGGAAAAATGTAGTTGTTCGGTGTTTTATTTGACGGAGGATCTTTTTACACCAGACAAAGTGAATTCAAAGACAAGTGTGACGAGTTGTCCCATGTTTAATGTGTTAGAAACATGTAATGTATAGGACACCACTGCGATAATCGCCACTGTACTACTTGAAACAATTGCACTACACTACTTGATAACACCAGGGAACAGATTTTCGAAACTGCAAGACTAAGTCTCGGTCGCAGGCGATTCATAGCTGAAAGAAGGGCTATGTGGCAGACGAGGTGTTTAGACTAGACTCTTTCTACATTCGGATAATGCTCGAGAGGGTGAGACTTCTTTGATTGAACACAAAGTACATACAGGTATTCATGATCATAGGCATGTCTACCTTAAGTGCTTGAATTCTGCACTCTATGAGTTCTCCACGTGGGTTTCATGCCGAGCATTCCATACCTTATGCTCGCGTTTGATTACGTTCACGTCAGGATGTATGCTGCTACTCCTCCTTGCATATCCTCATCATCGATATATGAGTATTTATTTTTCTTCATTTCATCTTCAGGTCTCCCCTTCATGCATACGTTTGCCAAACTCGCTACTTTAATATCAACGATTTGATCATGCATTTCCAATCCATCCTTCTCGCCCTCTCCCTAGCCACCACTCCATTCCTCACATCTGCCCGGCCACCAAAACGCAATGTCAAATCAATGATGTTGGCCGCACCAGGAGAATGGACCATCACAGCCTTCACGCGTCTTTGCGATAACGAAGACACTACCTGCACGTTTACCTACGGCATCGACAAAAACGATCTCTCAGCTCCCGCCTTGTGCTCCTATACTCAAACCGGATCCAATGGGGTACCAGCTTCACGTACACCGTACAATGGCGTGCAGTGCGGCACCTTCAGCATTTTGTCCACCTGGACCGATTCGTTCGTTCCAGGGAATGGCTTGACGCTATTGTCCATGGTGGATGGGAACTCAGCCATCTTCCCTTCCTTTACAGAAGATCAATTGTTTGGAGGGAAAGCGGTGAGCCCGGATCAGAGCTATGCACCTAGTTATCTACCGTGAGTCAGACTATATAGCGCGAGGCGTCTTTGAGCTGACATACTGCGTAGAATTTGTACCGATTGTGACAAGAAGAGGGGATAGTGGAGGGATGAGGGGACAAGTAGCATCAAATGAAAGCTCGACAGCAGGCAGTGGAATGGAGCATCTAGAAGCGCGCTACCTTCTTGATATCGATGGTAATTTATTGCAGGGAGGCATCGGCATAATATAAGCTTGATCCACCAGTTTTAAAGGTTGGGGGGTATTATTCGCGTCACATTTTGTTCTCTCAAGAACCCTTCCACCCTTTATGCCAGCGTGGATATCAAAGGCCTTGTCTTTGGCATTGGATGAATGCAAGCATTTCTTCCCGTCATCTCAATTTCTCCTGTATTTTCTACGCCTAGGCAGAGCTGAATTCGGGGTCGTTAGCTTCAAGATTTACTGGTGCTTGAGGTTCATCTTTGACCATCGGAAGCCAAGAGACATAATGGGTAGGGTGGAGGACGACCTACGCTGAACATGGCCCTCATTTGGAATCATTTCGAGCAGGCCCAAGCCAAAGTAGTTGCTCCCATTTGACCCCTTCTCACAGTACGACCTCCGTGTATCTGATGCTCTTTAAATCATCATCGTCATCATGATCACTTTGGACACAAAACCTCAGTAAGCCAGCACATGAGCACTCCATTCACCCCAGCCTTCAATCTAATGTCCATCAGGATGGTGCTCTTTGAATTCCTGTACTTCCCTGTTAATTGCATCGTAAAAGTCTCGCCACAAGGTCCTCTGTTCATCCTCTAGTTGGCCGATTTTGTCTACTATAGCCTGTAATTCTTGATTAGGAATGTTTTTTGTGCCTCCATTACTGGAGTCAAGTAGGTCATCTTGAAGTCCCTCCATCTCAAACTTTCGTTGTACAATCTGGGACTTGTAGAATTGTGAAACCTTGTCACAGTTCTGGTACCTTGTGGCTTTGCAACTTGTCATAGGGTTCAGAGCTTCATAGCATCGACAGTCAATTCGGTAACCCCACACGGCTGGCTCTTGCCATCCAGGTGCGTTCATAATTTGAGAGCGAGGGAGACGTCGAAGGGCTATTTCTGGTAGCTAGCTGCGTGAGTCGATGTATTCGAACGTCAGATTGAAAAGGATCAGGGAGATCGGGAGTCAGAATTGTAGTTGCCGGGGTCCTGTGGAAGGTGAAGTAACGCTATTGTCGAGAACAAAGCTTTGTTCGTTGAGACAGAAAAGCGAGCAGGAGCCTATTTTGTTGAGGTGACAAGCGTTAATTGCCACCAGCAAGTAGTACGGCACCACAACACTTGTCTCTCAAGCTAGATCATTCATCTCATGAGGGCTCACGCAAATCTTGTCTTGTCCTCGGACTGGATGCCCAATGGTTCTGTTGAGGATATAGTGTACATTGTAATCTTTGATTTGACTGTTACCGGATGACTCTCGATAAGCAAAGCCGTCGTGAGAAGAAGCCCCCTCGTCGAAATCATGACGAACCTATACGTTAGCAACAGCGAGAGAAGGTGCCAGATGACATCAAGCCTTCGATCTACCTGCCATCGGACAAGAGACAATAGGAAGCCTGCGAACTAGCAATGTTCAGCCGAAATATGAGGCACAAGAACATTGAGAAACATTTCGCTCCTACCAGAACAGAAAGTCGTAATTCTCGCACCGGGCTCTCGTGAATGAAGACTCACGTAGAAAAGAAATCCTATATCAAAAGTGACTACAAGTTTCCTGCTAGAAAGAAAGGGAAATATGCACCAGGGAAACCAAAATAGATTTGTGGCTCGCGTACATCAAGGATTTGAAAGATGATTCATATGAACTTCGTTTCCAAACGATTGTATCATTCGCTTTTTACCAAGGTAAATACATACGTCGTCGTACACTTCGAAAATGGTCCCACGGATTTTCCTCGCTGACTGAACAGCCGCTCAAGGCGTAAAACTCCAGTGAGTGCGTCGCAGCTTCCTCCTCACCATTAGGACAAACAATCCTAGACCACGTCACCGACCTCCTTAGTCTCTGCTCGAACGCCATCCTTCGTCTCATAGGTGCTACCCTCACTGGAACTGTCGTCGCCTTTCTGTGGTGGCAGGATTGCCTCGTCGACCAGCGCACTAGTGATAGGTGAGACGTATGTGCAGATGATGTAGTAGCTAAGAACAGCGATGAAGAAGCCATATAACCAAGCGAACGTATAAATCTACACATCGTCAGCTTTATTCACGGTCCCGAAGACAATTCGAGAGCTCACCTTCCATGCCCCTCCAACATTCAAAGTCACACTGATAGACTTTGCAAACCCAGGAAGCAAAGGGATGAATGCGATGAAAAAGGCAGCAAATGCTCTCCAATTCACACCATAAGAGTAGTGATAGATTCCGTGATCCTTATACAGCTCGTGGATATCGAGCTTTCTTTTCTTGATGAGGTAGAAATCAGATACCATGACACCGGCCAAGGGTCCCATCAGACAAGAGTAACCAGAAAGGAACGCTAGAAGACCAGCAGCGTTCTTGATAATGTTCCATGGGGTGCAGACAACGCAAAAGACCGAGATGATGACAGTGGCTCGGAAGATGTTGATGTACTTCGGACAAAGACCAGATACATCGTTACTGAAGGGGTAAGTGCCGGCAGCAATTTGATTGCCAATAGTCGCGAGCATGAAAGAGAAGGCGGTGAAGAACTGAGCGGCCCGACTATCGAAATCCATGATCACGGCAGGCATGTACCATTGAAACTCGCCCCAGATGTAGCTGTGAGCTGATGTGACGAAGATTGGCGTTAGAGCTCCGAGTGTCCCTATTACTGGCAGTGCAAAAAATTGGTGGTATCCTGCAAGACCATTTTTGGAAAATCGCCCGAAATCTGGCATGTTGACCGCCCTAGAGAGACATCGCAGTCAGCATCAAGCTTGCGCATTGACATTCCTACAAGGATCACTGACATGCTGGAGAACAGGCCTATGATGGCGTTCAGCCCGGTCAGGGACGAGTAGGCAGTGTTCATGTAGGTACTCGTCAATTTGGCATGACCAGTCACTAGAGGTCCTCCACCCTTTGTCACAATGGCACCCCAAAGGAACAAGGCCAAGAAGGTGGGAGGCACAATGACTGCTTTGACGAGAAACAGAATTCGAAGCTTCTGAATAGGCATCAGGGCCAGCATTGTCTGAAATATCCAATAGAGGAAGAAGCACAGCAAGCCCGCGGACGTGATGCCAGCATCCGCGGGAAGGTGATTAGGGAACCTTCTGAAGCTTGGCCATATCGCCTGGATGCAATTTTGCAAAAAGCCTCCGGCTTGTACGCAAAGAATCGCTGTCCACATGGCTGCAACGAAGGCTCTAATACAGATGGCTGGGTAAGAGCCGTACATTCCAAAGATTGATCGGACGATGACAGGAAAGGCGATACTGTATTGGGCGCCCATCTTGCCCGTCAATGTGATGACCACGCTACAGATGGCGAAGCCGAAGAACACGATTGGTATGGTCTCTCGAGCAGTGAAGCCGAGAGCCATGACAGATGAGACAGTGCTTGCAAGCGGAGGTGCCAGCCTAAGCGACATTAGGACTCATCGTAATATCTCGAAGTGTTCCATGCTGGGAAGCATGTTTATTGCTGCGAGTACAGGATCAAAGACTTACATGTCCGACGTCCAATATGCCCAGTAATCCTAGCTCTCTGTTAGCACACTGATACAGCGAAGAAGACTGCATTATAGCGTCTGGAAGGTCGCTACCAAGCCGCCCCATGTCCTCATGTGTACAGGTACAGGGTCAAGATCTGACAGATGTTTTGTGAGCACAACGTAGGCAGTGGACTCATTCATTGAGCAAACCTTTATTCGACCATCGTGGGCTATTGGCGTACATGCCAGCCTCGAATGGAACCCGTCGATGTAGCTGTGGGGCAATGCGAGCCTTGAGGCGATTGGGAGAAAGGAAAGACATGACGATCAAGTTTGTCAAGGCAGACAGCAATCAGAGGTTGGTAAATATTTTCCGAGGTGCAGAAAAGGAATGTGCAAGGATGATCAGAGCAGAGACGTGACTGCAGCATATATGTTCATTGTGAGGACGTGTCGAGGTGCAGAAGATAAGACATATGGACAGAAAATAGCTCTGCTTCTGCCATGGCTATGAACGCATTGCAAAGAAGGTGGGCGTCGGCACATGCACAATAGGAAATCAGGGTGTATCATTGTAGATACACATATATCTAGAAAACATCTGTATATCCCAGGATGCCATCATATTGGTAGATAAGATGGGAGGGCATCAAGGGGTTCGAGATAGTCCAAGGCCTCGAGGGTCTAGACCAAAGAGTAAGGGGCATACTAGACTGTAAGAGGCCTAGAGTATCCTTCTAGCCAATCAACAGCCGCTGTTCCGCGACCCCACGATCTTATCTCCCTTCCTTTGCTCGAGTCCGAAGCTGCAAGCCACCGCCTGCGGTCGCCGTCGGGCGTGCCGTCGGTCGTATCTTCGAATCTCCCGGGACCCTCTGCGTCGAGTGAGCTTTGTCTGCTACGGAGATGAAGTTGACCATGTGGAAAAGCTCGATTCGCAGCGCTTCGTGGGCGCGGGGTAAGATCTTGGTAGGTTGAGCGAATCTTGCTTGTTTCTGAACCTGAGATTCTTCATCTTCTCCTTGTTGAAGCATTGCGAGCTCTATACCAACACGATGGCAGACATGGCGTCGAAGATCTCTGCCCTTCCTTCTGAGCTTGTCATTCCAGCCAAGCCGTATGACTTTCATTTCCCCCACACAAGACCGCGCTACTCATCATTGACATGCAACGTGACTTTCTGCTTGAAGGTGGGTTTGGCTATATCCAGGGCGGCTCCCTTGAAGCTGTGCAAGCCTCAGTTGCTCCCACCAAGAAGTTGCTCAGCATCTTCCGAAGTGCTGGCCTAGCCGTCTTCCACACCCGGGAGGGCCACAAGCCCGACCTCTCAGACTGCCCGTCCTCCAAATTAAATCGCCAAGCTGATGCCCCGGACAATGTCCAGCACAACAAAGTCATTGGCGATATGGGGGAAATGGGTCGCCTACTTATACGAGGCGAGTATGGGCATGATATCGTTGACGACTTGAAACCTTTTCCCAATGAAGTAGTCATCGACAAGCCAGGAAAAGGAGCCTTCTGGAATACAACATTACTTGCAAGACTGAAGGCGAGAGGAGTCTCACACCTCTTCGTAAGCGGCGTGACTACCGAGTGCTGCTTTGCCACCACCATCAGGGAGGCAAATGATAGAGGATTTGAGTGCTGTGCGTTTCCCACTTCAACTTTGAAATCTACTTTATATCGAGGCTGATACGATAAAGGTGGTATCGAAGAGGCTACCGCTGGCTACAATACTAAATTCAAAGGTTGCTCGCTTGACATGATACATTGGTCACAAGGCCTTTTCGGTTTCGTCGGCAATTTGGAACCGCTTCTGAAATGCCTCGCACCATATGTCCCAGCCCCAATCCACAGTTGCGGCACGACACCCCCACAGACACCTCCAGCCTTTGACGGTGATCTTAGCGTTGCTGGTCTGCAAAAGTCATACCGCAGAGGCTTATCCCCAGTTACCGTAATGGAGGCGGTCATAGAGAAGATCGAGAAATACTCGAAGATTGATCCAGCGGTTTGGATTCACCAAGAAACCAAGTCCGCGGTTTTAGACCGAGCAAGTCAGCTGCAAAATGCCTGGTCAACGACCACCGGCCGACCACCACTCTTTGGTGTGCCTTTCAGTGTAAAGGATAGCATCGATATCGCTGGTATACCGACTACAACAGCGTGTCCGCCTTTAGCACATGTACCCTCCCAAAGCGCTCGATCATATGATATATTGCTTTCGCAAGGTGCCATATTTGTGGGCAAAACGAATCTGGACCAGTTGGCCACGGGACTCACCGGGTGTCGTTCACCATTCGGAATCACGAAATCTGTTTTCAACCCGGACTATATTTCAGGCGGATCATCTAGCGGAAATTGTGTCAGCGTAGGTGCCGGCTTAGTTTCATTCTCCCTAGCCACAGATACTGCAGGTTCAGGACGCGTCCCATCGGGTTTCAATGGTGTAGTAGGCTACAAGCCAACCAGAGGAATAATTAGTGCTCAAGGGGTGACTCCAGCCTGCTTGTCTCTCGACTGTATAGCTATCATCGCCCAAAGCGTAGATGACGCACGTATGATTTGGGACTCGAGCGTTGAGTACGATCCAACAGATCGCTACTCCAAAGCATGTGCTCCCCTGCCGAGACACGTCAACTCCATTGGTCCTCAGGCTACATCATTCTCATTTGGCATTCCGCCGCCAGAATCTCTCCTCATCTGTAGCCCTGTCTATCGTCGCAAATTTAACGAGATCGTGAAACTTCTCCAACAGCTTGGGGGTCATCTGAAACCCATCGACTGGTCACCTTTCGAAAAGGCTGGTAAGCTACTCTACAACGGCAGCTTCGTATGCGAGCGCCTCGCCAGCCTACCAGATAATTGGCTTGCTCAGAACCGGTCCAATCTCCACCCAGTCATAGAAGAGATTTTCTCAGCTGTCGTTGCGAGACAAAGTTCAGCTGTTGATGCCTACCGCGATCTTCAAGCTAAAGCTCTTTATACACGCCAAGCAGAGGAAGTGTTTGAGTACAGTGCGGCAGGAGTCGAAGTGGTCGTCGTACCAACAGCCCCTACTCATTGGACTGTTGAAGAGGTACTAACTGACCCTATCGCCAAAAATAGTGTGTTAGGAGAGTTCACACATTTTGGAAATGTGCTTGATTTGTGTGCTGTGGCTGTCCCTGCGGGAACCTATCCAGTCCATGAACTCAGGGGAAACAATCCCAGGGATGAGGATGGCAATCTGCCATTTAGCGTAACCTTTCTCGGTGGATCGAGAATGGATGCGGAGACATTGGCCATCGCTGAACGATTTGATAAGGCGATGAGGAATGGGCTTCTAGATTCTTCGTGACCATGTAGGCTACGAACGCTTACTCACTTGATGCATACCCTTATTGCAGACCTTCAAGTCCCTTGACTTTGAATTGGCTGGAACCGAGCATTGACAAAAATCACTTGTAGAGAATTACATGAATTCTGGCTCGATTAGATAGACGAAGGCTCCCAATCGTTCTCATGAATACAAGGACCTTGTCTAAGCTGTCACTCACAGGTAGATGCGACTTCTAGAGCCTCCATCTATGTTAGACAAATCAGCCAATCAAAGACCGCACTAAACCTCGATCGGTCAAAGATCGCTTATCGTGAAAGTTGGGACCTTGTTATCTTGACTCGCAGAAAGGCCTTTTGACTCTCCTTGTAGTAGCCAGCTGCACGTCATCGTGAGTGTTAATTACAAGGTTTATCAGTAGAGCTACTCGTAACATCTACTTCTAATGGGAATACTTCAAGGTTGAAAAACTCTCTGGTATGAGACATCTGCTTCTCATGTTTTATAAAGAAACATATATCGAAGAAACTTAGCTTCATGACTAGACTATATGGCTTCTTGAAGGTTGGAGGAAGGAAGACCTCGCGATGACTCACTACGCTTCTCTAATTGAAGACCAAGCAATATCATCCAAGCGCATGTCGCCGTTCGAACGAACGACACCCAATGATAGCGCTAAGCCCGCACGACAGTCGTTTAGTGAGCAGAGGATACTCAAGTCACGTCCCTGTGATGCTTGCAGAAAGCGAAAAAGTCGGTGTGTGATCGACGACGGCCTTGTCAAGTGTGTGCTTTGTGATTTTCACAACCAGGATTGCACGTTCGTGGAGAAGATTCCACCAAGAAAACGAAAATCAATCAGTCGGGAAGAAGAGCTTGACAGGTGAGCCTTAACTTTCAGACCAAAATGAAAGATTGTCTGACATTGCCTACTGAACAGACCTTCTGGTTCTACTGTGCGTCCAAAATTCTCCGAGTCTACCGACCTTCGGAGATCGCAGGAAACGGTCGTCGAAGATTATGCTAATCTCAAGGGACCAACACTTCTCAAGCGAACCCTAGGTCTACAACGTCGGCACCACGGTCTCCTCATCGGATCAAGCGGCAGCGTTGAGCCAGTCTTTGCGACAGCAGAGAAGGTTCTTGCAAATCCCAGCACGTCACATGGCACATCGTTTCAGCGTGTTGGGAACCATGACGTGTTCATGATACGCCCCGATCAAGGGACTGAGCAATACGAAGAAGAAACTGCTGACCTCGACGCCATCGAAGACCTTGTAGCCCCGCATGGAAGGGCGTTGATCAATCTCTATTTCCGAATCGTGCATCCTAGCTTTCCCATCCTCCATAAAAGAGTCTATTTGGAGAAGTATGACCGTACCCATCGCGAGTTCTCCCCGGTACTGTTAGCCGCAGTTTATATCTTGGCCACAGGGTACTGGAGCTATAATCAAGAGCTTTCAGGCTCTCCAGCCCCAGACGTGAACGCTCTGGAGACTCTAGCACTAAAGTGTATGAACTATGCAGTCCATAGACCGAAGCTATCGACCGTCGAAGCAGGTCTGCTCCTATTGCAGAGATCGCGTGAGACATTCTGGCCATTCACTGCCCAGATGGTGGCGGTCGGTCAAGACTTGGGCTTACACAAGGACTGCTCAAGCTGGAACATCCCTGAGTGGGAGAGAGGTCTTCGGAAGCGGTTGGCTTGGGCATTATTCATGCAGGATAAGTGGGCGAGCCTGGTACAAGGGAGACCGTCTCACATTATTATTGCAGACTGGAGTGTTGAGCCGCTAGTGGAGCAAGATTTCCCCGAGAATTTTGCCGACGAGAATGACGAAGAAGGAAGCACTGAAGTAGAGAAGGGACGGATACTCTTCACTTCTATGGTATCCTTGACACAGATACTCTCGGGCGTCCTGGCATCATTGTACTCTGCAATCGCTGAGTCTGACATCCGGAACAGCTCTGATGCCACGACAGGGGCGCTCATGAAAGCGAAGCCTTTGCAAATAAGGCTCAAAGAATGGTATGCTGATCTTCCTCAATGTCTGAACATTGAGCAGGTAAAATTTAGAAAGCTTTCTTCAAGTGGCTACCTGCTTTTAGCATATTGGGCAACAGAGATTACCCTCCACAGAGCCATTGTCCGCACTTTGGCCACGTGTGCGAATCCCGAGCTTGTCAGTATCTGCCGACAAGCTGCTCTTGCTCGATCGATGTCTTCAATGGCATTTGTCAAAGCTCTCAAGCCTGAACATTGGCAAAGTTTCTGGTACTTTGCTTCCGAGTACAGTCTTGGGCTTATTGGAATTTTCGAAGCATTGGTCTCTACGACTCTAGAGTCTACAAAAGACCTTGAATCCAGTGTTGACAGGCTTGATCAGTACCAATGGACCTTGAAAATGTCAAAGCACACTGCTGGGTTTCTGGACAAATCCATTGCTATGATAGGTCCGGCAGCAAAAGATCTGAAGCAACGAGTCTCTTCTGTTGACAATCTTTCAAATGGCTATCGTGATCCTCCAATCAATGAGTCGGTAAAGCTACATTCCCGGTCAACTCTTTCCAATATCTACCAGGCAGAAGACAAGCCTGACGACGTTTCATCAGGGCATAATGATCTGACTATGTCACCCATGCACACCAGTCCTTACCACCCTGATGTCGGCGACTTTGCCTTCTTCAACGTTGACCTAGGCCTCGAACAATCTTTTATGGAAGATGTCGCCACCTTCGAGTAACTAGTAATTGAGCATCAAATAGTGTTGGAGCACGAGTGAAAGAGCGCATTGACCCGTCACTGACTTTCGGAAAACAAGCCGCTTATCACGTTTCTATCACCTTTCTGGCAGCTTCAGGCCGGTCAAATATTTGCCATCCTCTGCATTCATCCTCCGAAAACCGAGGACGGCTATGATGGTCCGAGTGCATGTGCAGCATGAAATTCACGGCCCGTTGGTCACGAGTAAAAATGTGAATAGTCTATTGGCAGTCTGCAAGGTCATGGGTGCCCGTATTGAGCGTTTTGGTTTTTGAAGACTCGTGCTGCAATGCCTTGATTTGATGGGACTTATCAGCTTTCAGCGGAGGTTCCGGCCATGACCGGCAGTTTTCAGTGAGTTTGCTAAAATACCCCTCATAGCCTGACAAAGAGCCCACTTCGGACTCGAAATCACCGCAGACAACACCACACCAATGAGCGTGGCTTACACGAATGCAAGACTGATCAATTAGTCGTCGCAAATTGTTCCCTTGGTTGTCGACTATAGCACGTGGACCCTGATCGCTTACTGCTGACGAACTTAAACCACCAATCATCTGATCTCCCCATAGGAAATATTCAAGACACGAGGAAACATCTCGTAATGGTGGAGGCGATCCGAATCTCCCAGCATGGTCCAAATACGACTTTCTGCGCGAACATAGCCCTCGGGTCTTTTGCTGATGGGAGGGTTAGGTGATTGCTATAAAGACCTCTGTTGTGAGCCACATACCCAGCTCATTATCATTGCCCTTACGAAACCAATCTCAGGCGACTGAAAACCTTTCATATCGATCCAAGATTTGCTCAACACCAGTGCCAATCGGTCATACCATCATATCGACCTTCCTAATACTCAAAATGATTACCATCGCTCCTGCTGCTCTAGTCTGCCTGACAGCCTTCGCGGCTGCCAATCCAGTCCCACAAAGTAACCCAACCGCCAGCTACGATGTCCTTGTAAACTTTGACGACCTGCCTAACGGAGCCATTCAAAATCCCTACCAACATTTGACCTGGTCGAGTCTTTCTGTCGGCGCATACAATGAGGCCCTAAGCCCGGTATCGCCACCCAATAACGCGGTCTCTGAGGTCTCAGTCAGCGATAGCGATCCTCACACCATCCTCAGCATTGGAGGGACCGAAACTACATCTTTTGATCTCAACTCCTTCTCTGCTGCTCTGGTCGCTCCCGTCGGACGCGGCGGTCGTGATGTCGCTGTGTCAGGAAAGTTTTTCCTGTCAGCCCTCACTACAGGAGGATTTGGCCATACCGATGGTTACGAATCGTACACGGCATCAGGACCACAGGGATCTGCACTACAGACATATGGATCTTTCAAATACGTGACGAGTGTGAGTGTAATTGTAGCTTCGAGCGATGCACCTCTCAACCAGACGAGGATAGTCTTTGATCAAGTCCAGTATACTGCCAGAGAGGGAGAGACATTTTAAGTAAGGGGTAAATGAGCTTGAGATAGGGAGGGAGAACTCAGCGAAGCAAGGCCTTAAACAAGACGTGCAACATTCAATATCGTACGTAGATCATCAAACAAAGACATTCATTTACACTCTAAGATCTTTATGGGCATGAGCATGAGAACGAGCATTGAATATCACACTCAGGGGCTAGACCTACCCCTAGCCCCTATCTTCGAGCCCTAATTCCGCTTTCTTGGCAGTTCCGCTGTTGCTACCGCGCCTCGGGCCAAAAAGCTCCTCGTAAGTTTATTCACCAGTCTTTGCTCTGGTATTGTCTGGACGAGCTCCTTCTCTTTCCATACTCTCTTTTAGGCTCCACAGCCGTCTACATATTTCATGAGTGCCTCTTTTGATCTTTTCTGACGTTCAGCCTGGCGTAATGGCACCCCCCAAAAGCAAGGAGAGCGACGTTGTCTTCGCCCTTTCAGGAAAATGGATCAGTTGGATTCACACCGTTGTTGCGTACTGCGCGTTTTTTGGGGCGTTGATTGTGGGCATGTCCCTACACTATCAAAAGATTGTGCAGAATGAGTACTACGTAACGCTCGCCGTGCTTTGCCCTAGCTTCCCAGTGCTTACTCTTCCAGGGCTACCCTCAAGAATGGTTTCCCTCCGTTTCAAGCACCATTGGTGACCGCTACCCCGAACGCGCGGTCTTCCAAGTCTTCATCGCTATAACCTCTGGCCCACGTTTCGCCTTAGTCTTCCTGTACTACCTCCTCACTGCACGACCGAACACTACCCTTCCTAAAGTCATCCTCGGGGTTGGGATCTTCAGAACTTTGACGTGCGGTGGATGGACATATGTTACATCTACGGATGACCACGGCTGGCATGACATTTTCATGATATCCTATCTTGTGGCGACACTGCCCTGGACGTTGGGTTGCATAGCGCTCAGTCCGAAAGCAAACCCGAACTCGCTGAAGTGGAGAAAGAGGCTAGCGACGGCGTTCTTCAGCACATTGGTACCCTTGATATACTACTTCATACAGCACAAGGTACATAGAGTGGCAGGAGGTGAGACGCTCTACTTGAGATCGATCGTCGACAACGGGCTGACGACGAATAAGCATATACGACCTACTCCTTCTTTGAGTGGTCTCTGATTCTACTGGATGTCGGATTTGATGCGGTGACAGCACTCGATTTCGAAGGATTCGAGCTAGCTGTGAGGGATGTGCAAGGTGCAAGCAGAGGGTATGTCTATTGGCTTCCGAAATATGCAAATGTAGGAAGATGGCTGGCTCCTTCTGTCTCCTGATCTGATCGTTGTGCGTCGTAGTAAAAGCCAGCAAGTCTCAGATGCAGTAATTGAGAAGGAGTAAGTTTTCTTGAAGTCTGAAACTTACCTCGCATTGACACAATTGTAGAAAAGACAAGCCAATCGGCCAAGCATTTGGTTCCGAATTTGCTGTCGGTGAAGCCATTGATGCCGTCGCGGATGTTTACAATGGCGTAAGCGAACAAAGTTCACTGCGATGGGTAGACAGCTAATGAATCTTAGTTTGTTTTCTGGACATTGCTCACTTCTCTCGGCGTGACGGTCTGGTGTCTGTTCACCTTCCATAATGACTGTACTTTGCTGACGACGCTCAGACTTCCCGTTATGGCATATGGGTATCTCTGGCTACGAAGTTGCGGTCATGTCCTCGGTCTCACCATTTTTCCTCTGCTCTAAATCCTATCGATCAGCTATCATCAAATACCTTCGCTACATCCATCTAGCCTCACTTTCTGGACTTCTTGCCTATTTAGTGGTCAAACCCGAGATTAGATTGTTGATCGTTAGCTTTGCGGTCTCCTCAACGTGCCTGGCTTGGTCAGCAACTTTTTATGCTGAGCGTTCATCACCTGTCCGACTTGAAGCTCGAGCACTAGCGTGGAGCTTGGGGTTGATTCTGTCAAGTCTCGCAAAGTTTGCAAATCATACGAGCAATCCGTTGTGGCCAATTGTCAATGCAGACAATGGAGGCTGGAACAAATTAGGATTTGGTCTGGCAGTCGCTGCAGTGCTTCGATCGACCAGACGTACAGCTGACAACAGAGGCGGGTTTGAAGTGACTGGTGGACCCGTGAAGTCTCCGACCGCTGCTGCTCTTGGCCTTGCCGGCCTTTTCTTTGGCCTTCATTCTTTGCTTTCAGACTCTAGTACAATGATTTATTGGGTCTGGGAAGGGTTTCCTGTCAGAGGACCTATTGCTGCACATGGTGTCATCACTTTGCTCATCATGGGGGCTGGCGTGATACATTATTTGTACTTCCAGGAAAGGGCCGCAAATTGGATCAGCTTTGGCATTCTTGGAATGGGGGCGTTTCTGTTGACTAACTTCAAATTCTGGACTGGCTATCTAGGTGCTGCGTTCTTGGCTCTAGAGCTACTATCACTGAGTCCACCGCTCATTGCATCAGCTGCCCGTCATGGGCCAGTGGTCTTTGGGCTAGGCTTCCTGATCTACAATATCTTGGTCCTCGCTCACGTTTGGGTCGTCGCCTACGCTTTCGTCCCCGGAGGCCCACTGATGCGGGAGCATACAGACTGGGTCATGACGGCGATGGCGTTGTTCGTTGGGGCTGGTGTATTTGCTGTGCCCAAACCCACCCCATCTTCCAAGACACCCAGAAAGCCAAACACAAGAGCATCCAATAGACTAAGGTCGTATTACGTCTACATCCTTGCTGCATTGGAACTACTCGCCGTATCGGTCTCCTACCTACGATTTCCTACAAATGACTTCGTACCCTACCACAAAGAGGACAAGGTGATCACTGCGGGCATCTGGACCGTCCACTTTTCTCTCGATAACGATATGTGGTCATCCGAACGTCGTATACGTGATCTCATCAAGGAGCTCGAAATAGATGTTATTGGACTCCTGGAATCGGACCTGCAGAGGATCATCATGGGTAACCGTGACACGGCACAATATTTGGCGGAAGATCTCGGCATGTATCTGGACGCTGGGCCTGGTCCCAACAAGCACACATGGGGTGCAGCTCTTCTGTCCAAATTCCCCATCCTCAATTCCACTCATCACTTGCTCCCATCACCTGTAGGCGAGCTAGCGCCAGCGATACACGCAACGCTCGACGCGTACGGGGAGCATGTGGACGTTGTGGTATTCCACTCCGGGCAAGAAGAAGACCCTGAGGACCGCCGCTTGCAGTCGGAGTACCTGTCGAAGCTGATGAAGGAATGCCCGAGGCCTCTGATTCTTCTGAGCTACCTAGTGATCAAGCCTGGAGAGGGCAATTATCATACATATGTCGGCGAGAAAAGCGGGATGCGAGATATCGATTCGACGGATTGGGACCGCTGGTGTGAGTACATCCTTTACAAAGGTCTGAAGCGATCGGGGTACGCTCGGGTGAGCCGGTCGACGATCACAGATACCGAGTTGCAGGTAAGATATTCTAGAGCTCTATTGTGTTGAAAGCTTTCACTCATACTGACGACTACATTAGGTTGGCAAATTCGTGGTAGGGCAACCCGAAGGCACGGATGAGCAGATAGCAGAGGATGCAGTGGACGGGGGTCTACGCTTCCCGGCCATGTTCCGAGGCGAAGGCAGACGAGGGCATGCGTATCATGTGTTCAACGAACCTCGCTATTATAGTTGATAGATAGCTTGTACATATAGGCTTCATTGTGAATTCCAACCTCATTCCATATGCGGCTCGAACACCTGGTTCAATAGGATGGTTATGAACGTCGCATCATCGTGTCATTGTGGCGGCAGGCGACAATTCCGGGCCATTATTGTAGACGATATATATATATATATATATGTGCATATGTATGTCTGACGTACTGACAGCATCCCGAGGCCGAGCTACGATGACTAACCGCATGCAGTACGAGCGGCCGTTTTAGGCCCGCCAAGTGGCCTCAGTCGCTGGCCTCTGGTTGGCTGCTTAGTGATTCAGTTGGCGAGACAGGGGTCCTCCTACAGCCAAATAGAGTTTGCTAGCATGTGCGCTTACGAGATGGGACCTGAAAGGGTCTAACGCCCGTCCGTGCCTGCAGGATTAGTCACTGGTGGAGACTCTGGGGCCTTTCTTTCCTCTGCCAAGCTCGCAATCTCTTTTCTGCCATCCGACCCTTCCCTGACCTCTGACCCTCTGACCTCTGCCCTGACGCTCTCTTCTGTCCTTTGCATTCTCCCATCAAAAGAGAAAGCCTATGGACGCCCCGTTTCATCGACAATCAGCTAACCATCGCTGAAAGACACTCGTTGGATATCATTGGACGCCAAGAGGAGGATATTTGACTCTCATTAACGCCGTAACTGGCCGTTGCTTAAAGGGGTTGGAGCCAATAATCCGAAACAACGAACCCCAAACGGCATTCCACAGTCGTTCAACCATCGCGACTTCTGAACCGTGCCATCTACATCAACCTCACTCCTGCCACCTGCAGCTATACATCCACTTCGCGTACGCAATTACAGCTGCTGGCAGCCACTCTATCGTTTCTGCTTAGCGCGTCATCATAATAAAACTTGGGGTGTTGGCCGTTGCCCGTTTTGAGCGACTCTCCGAGACGATTGCCATCATCAATCCATCACGCGGTCGCAACTGCTATAATCACTCATACGACATTCGACTTGGAATCGCTGTCGACAGCACTCGTTCCGCACAAAGAGGGGCCAACAATACCTGACCTACAGAAGCGCCGATACCCATTGTTCCTTGACCTGCACAATAAAACAAATTTCGAGGATCTTGATGGTCCATAAAGGTAGTTGCCTCCTTTGTACAATCCTGCCACACCCTTGAATGGAATTGCTCGTGGCTGGATTACGCTCAGAACTTGTGCTGATTCACCCGCAAGATCTAGCCTAATTTTGTACCTCTAATCGTCTCCATTACGATACAATCACCATTATGAAATCATTACCATCAATATCAAACAGCGTCGTTTTACCGCTATTAGCCTTTTTCGCATCAGTTCAAGCTCAAGGGGCTCCCCAAGCCCAAGGGTGTTACTCGTCATCAACTGGCTTGACGTCTGTGGGGTCCTACCAATATCAATCACCTGGATACTGCCAGCAACAATGTCTGGGGCAAGGCAAAGCGGTTGGTGCTACAACAAAAGGCTCAGATTGTTGGTGTGGTGACAAGCTGCCACCATCAAATGGGAAGACCTCAGACTCATCTTGCAATGAAAAATGCCAAGGCTATGGCACTGAAATGTGTAAGTGAAGATACCTCAGTCTACGTCGTTCTAAGTTAACACTGGCAATAGGTGGTGGTTCCAGTGCATTCTCCGTCTTCTTAACGGGTACCAATAGTAATCCCGGTGCTGTGTCTGGTGGATCCTCAAATTCTAATTCCAACTCCAATTCGAACTCGAATTCAAATTCAAACTCCAACCAGAATCAGAACCAAAATCAAAATCAAAACTCCAACAGCGGATCGGATGACTCAGATACGACTACCGCAAACTCACCAAAGACTACAACCACACCCGCAGCCCAACAAAATGCCAATAAAGCAAACCCTACATCCGTAATTACGCGCGCCAGCACTCTCGTGGTCACCGCAGCTGGTGGACAGACACAAGCTCAAACTACAGTGATCACAACGACGCAGTCTCCGAAGTCTGGCGGAGGAACAAACACTGCGGGGATCGCAGCGGGCGTTGTTGTCGGAGTGGTCGCCATTGCGGCCATCGCGGGTGGACTGTTCTTTTTCCTCCGATATAAAAAGAGGAAGGCGGTTGAAAATGAGTATCGTCAGAATGCGGCGATGAGCAGCTACAACAACCTCAAGCCGTCGCCAAGTTCTGCTGGGTCGACCTCCGACTCGAGGCTAGAACCTTCAGTGATGATGCAGCGACGGCAGAGCGACGGCAGTATTGCTGACAACCAAGACTACTCCCGGAGGATATTGAAGGTATAGTCAACGTTGATGTCCCTTCAGATGTAGTTGCTAATGAGGAAGCAGGTCACGAATCCTGACCATTCATAACACTAATCGACATTAGGTTGAACTCCTATCATGCGCCTCTCCCTCCAAATAATCCTCAATAATTCGATCTCTCTAACTTAGCGCAACCTCTGAGTTGACTTTCACTCTTTCTGAATGGCCAAGGAGCATTGGCGTTATACCATGGGTGGGAATGCATGACGAAGATACGAGGCCGGGTTTGACCTTCGCCTGCAAGCATCCTTTGAAAAGACTTGGAAGTGGTGGGGATGTAAAGAGCAATCTAGATATGTTTAGTAGGTGTATCTCGAACGCCATGAACATAATGCCGGGGTCGGAAGGATCGATCATGTCGCACCTAATGGTAGCCTACCTTGATTCTCATGGTTTCCCTACGGATCCAACAATGTCGGAGCATTGGTTTGTGGATCAAGGATGGATCCAACGGTACAGGATTGCACGCCCATCCGAACGGTGGCAGGATTGGACTGAACGCCGCATTGCTGCACAATGCAAACCACTACATAGCTTATAGAACATAATGAACCTCAAGTTCAAGACACTTCAACTGAAGCCCCATGATCTGTTTGACTGTCCACCTTATTCACAGCTAAATGGCGCAACATTCCGCACCTCTAGGAAACTTGGTCGGCGCTACCTCTGTGCTACCCTGTTCGTGAAGCTGTCCAAGCTTTCGGGAAAGCGTATTTATTGACCTCGAATTCCGTCCTCAATTTTCGGATCTCTCACACCTATCGTCCTAGCTGTTGATCCTTCAAGTTCACAGCACCATGTCACTCCGCCCAAACGCCGCCAGCACTGGCGACGTGAAAGAGAAACCCTCTTCTGATTCTCAATCCTCCCCTTCCAAACCCAGCACTACACCGCAAGCAAGTACGTCCACCATGCCTTGGTCCAAGATACATTCTTCTGAGAATGCTGGTTGAACGTGAGAAGAAAAGGCTAACGCCTTCATCTGAACAACAGGTCTAGAAAAGCAAAAGAAACTCCTCGCAGATGATGCAGGGCACTTCTCCATGATCAAAGCGCTACATCTTGCAGATGTCGTTACGGAAATGAATGGTACATCTTCCTCCTCTCCTCTTCAATTTCACCCCCATCACCCTCGTCATCCACACCCCCAATCCCACCAACTAACATCCCATGACAAACAAACAGCATTCTGCGGCTTCCTATCCATCCTCTCCTCAATCCGGCACATCCTCACCAATCTGCCTTCTCCCACATCTCCAGCTTCCCCCGTCACCACTACCGCTCAACCCAACAACTTCTGGATCTACCTCGCCCTCGCCCTCGTCCCCGCTGGCTGCTTCTTCGACCTCCTAGACGGCAAGATCGCAAGATGGAGGGGGAAGTCGAGTCTTATGGGCCAGGTATTTCGCCCATTCCCCTCCCCTCCCCTCCCCTTCGCTTCCCTTTGCACTTTCCCCTCCCCCCACGTTTCCCTCCCCCCACGTTTCCCTCCCCCTCCCCCCCTTCCGTACCCCATAAAACTAACAAGAATAAAAACAGGAACTCGACTCCCTGGCAGACCTAATCTCCTTCGGCGTAGCCCCCGCCACCTGCGCCTTCGTCCTCGGCCTCCGCACCCCCCTCGACACCATCTGCCTAGCCTTCTTCGTCCTCTGCGGCCTTACCCGCCTCGCGCGCTTCAATGTCACTGTCGCTACCATCCCGAAGGATGCGAGTGGGAAGAGTAAATACTTTGAGGGCTTTCCGATCCCGATGAGCCATATCCTTGTGGGCGGCATGGCGGCGTGTGTGTGGTTTGGACGGGTGGAAGGCGGAGGGGGAGGGGAAGGGGGGTGTTGGGTGGCGTGCTGGATGTACTGGGGATGCGGTGGATTAGTACTGCGGAGGGGTCAGGGATCGGTGCAGGGGAGGCGGCAGGGGAGGCGTGGGGACAGTTGCATGCGGTTGCGTTGGTGTTTGTGGGATGGGGATGCGCCATGGTTAGCAGGACCATTAGGATTCCCAAACCGTGAGGTGTATTGAGCGGGTATTTTGTGCAAAATGCTAGAGATGGGAGGAGAGAAGCGTGAAGATAGGGGTTGGGGCTGTGGAATTCTCTACTCGTCCGAAAGAATCAAAAGTGTGATCTCCATTGCTTTCCTGCCCTTCCCCTTCTTTACGTCGATTACATGGGAGTCTGGGATTGGATGCATGCGTTGGTCTCATTATATATCCTACTTCATTGGTCGACCGAAATGGCGGCGATATTGTGCTCCGATATTCTTAGATTCTTTGGGTTTGTTGAATGGCTTGACTTACTCAACTTACTCAACTTACTCAACCCACCTGTTTACCTCTCATCCTCAGCCCACCACTTCACCTCTCTCACCCTACCTAACCCCTCCAAACCACCTATCCCAAATTTTTTCTAAGACAGCCAGCAAGGCATATCATCCCATAGCATAGTACATTCGAACACAACATCGACAAGCCAAGACAGATCTCGAGTAATGAAGAGGGGAGAAAGCAGGGAATGCCATAGAGTACCTTAATATAAGCAAGAATGGACAGGTGCATCCACGCAACGTGCCGCGGGCACCAGTGAATGATCCCATTATCCTCTCCCAATACAGCGTGCATCGAAATCTCTCTCGAGAAGTACATGGAGGAGGACAAGCAGATAGTAGTACTGGGCCAAAAAAGAATGAGGAGATAATCGCTGCTTTGCAAGATATCATTCAATTCAATAGTATAGTCAGACATCGCTTATCCTCCCTTCCCTCTCTCTTTCAATAATTTCGCATTAATCGTACAAGACCTACCTACCACCCGCTTGCCAAGAAAGACATGGTGTACCGCTTAGATTTGGAAAACGCTGTGTCCAAGATAGCATATGAATCTGACAAATAGAGCAAGATGAGTTTTTGCGCCGGTTCATTTCGGTTGGTTATTTGGTGGTGAGCGAAGCAAGAGGGATCTGTTGGGAGGTGATGCGGGATGAGGAACTCAAGGCCTGCTTGAGGGTCCATTTGGTGCGTAGGGGTGAATTTCCTGTTTGGGGTTCGTCGAATTCTGTATCAGCCTGGGTCCGGGGGTTGTGGAGGCGTCATGGCCGATCTATTTCGTTGACGGAAAAGGGGCGTGCTACTGGTCCTGTGTCGCCATTCCCAGTGCAGCATGCACAGGTAGACGTTGTGATAGGCAGCCGGGGGTCGACTATCCAAAGGATGTTATGCCGTTGGGCAAGGCGTTTCGCTTCTATTTCGGACCAATGTCACACGGACCAGCGCCCATTCCAATTTTGGTGGTAAACCCAGTGACTTTGATATCTACCACTGATGCGTAGTTCGTTGTTGTCATACGGCCGAAGAAGGTCAAGCTTACCAACCTTTCTTCCTTGCGAAGCGCTTGTTGAGCAAAGCCAGCACTTTCGGCACGTTGAACTGCACGTATTCTAGGTCGAGGGCTTCCTGATTGTCTTTCTGCATTTCAAGCAGATCGTCAAGCTTGAGATCCAGCTCAAGCAGGCCACGGTTACGCCCTGAATTTGAAAGTTAGAACAGCGGAACTGCGGAGAGATTAAAAGCATACCCTTGTAGTGAAGACTTATGACAAAGGTTCCCGGTAAAGGACTTGTGAAGTGGAAGAAGATATTTGCTCTCCTGTTTTCTGGCACGTTGCTTCTTTGTATTACACCCTCCCTCTCCAGCTGCTGATGAGTAAATTTGTAAGGTCCCAGCACCTGCACTTTCTGCTTGCGATTTCGACTTTGGCCTTCGCTTTGACTTCGTACATTGTGTAGATACGACTTGTACGTCTCAAGCTGGTTAACCAAGTAGTGGTTATGATCACGAATTGTACGGTAAACCTCTTCTAGCTTCTTCGTCTCGTCAATCACCTTTTCCTTCAGCGAACCGAGATGTGCAAGTTCGGATTCAATTTCATCGCGCAGAAGAGAAAAGCCGTCCGACTTATCAATCACGCTCATCTCCTGCAACTGGGAGAGCAATTCCATGCATCGAATACCTTTCTTGACCAAGATGGCATCGTTGCGTGATGTACCTGCTGCTTCAGCCACACGATCGAGCCGTAGCGGACGACGGTGGACATTTGAGTTTGCTGGAATAGAGCGGAGAATCTGGACGAAGGTAGCTTTGGCTTCCATGAAATACACTTCCTCCTGTGTGATGTCCAAGGCCGCCGTAAAGTCATCTATAGCATGTTCCCATTTTGAGAAAAGGGGAAGGTTGATCACACGATTTTCTTTACGGGGCAGCTGGGCCGGTGCAGAGCCGAGCTCTTGCAGCAATACACCGAGATGGGGGTTATCCTGCCTCGCGAGGTCTTTGCTGTGCTTTTCAAGCAGCGCATGTGTGGCATAGACTTCATTCAAAGATATCGAAAGGTCGAGATCTTTCTTCGACAGCGCGACGTAATTGTCCATCTCCAAGCTTTCGTAAAAGTCGGAGACCTCGCACAAGTCGAGCATGAATTTATTGACACGTTCCTTATTCTGTTCGATGAAAGGCGCCAGCTTGATCATGTATGGCTCTTTGGCATAGCTTGGCTTGTTGGCAAGGTTCTGAAGTAACTTCGCAATGTACGTGAGTGACCGCTTCGGGTTCTCAGCTGGTACGCCGTCGATAAGCATGTAAGACTTGGGAGTGACGATGGCAGGGTTGATGAACCGGAGGAAGAAGAAGCCACCAATCAGCGTACAGATAGTTTGATCGTTGGCATCCGGGTATTTGCGTCTGGTCAGGCTTCGTATTTGCTTACATATCCATCTAATGCCATAAGGGGTTTCCTCAAGCCCGTTGATGATCGTATCGAGAAACACGTTGGCAAGATTCATGAGATCGGTGACTCTAGGGGCGATGATTTCTTGTACAGCTTGGTTTTCTTCAGCTTGCTCTGCCGTCACGCCCTTCGGTAGATGATCGGGCACAGAGCCAGTATCTTTTTCGATTTGTTCGACCATCTGTTGATAGACTTTCAGTGGATTGATCTCAAGGTTGACATCTTCCTGCTGGATAAGCTTGTTGATTGTGCTTTGCAAAACGACTTTCAGATATGACTGCCCAGGACCTCTTCTTGTGTATGTTGTCATCATCCTCGACACAGGAGTATTCTGTCGTAACAACGATGAGTAGTCTGGGGTGTTGTCAAACTGGTAGGTCAAGACAGATTGAAACATGGTCAGAAGTAGATGCTCTTCTCTACTCTCGTACTGGTTCCCGTAGATCGTGAACATAACTGTCTGCATGAGGGAGTCAATCTCCGCCATTGTCACCAGTCTGCAAAGATGTGCAATATATCGTGGCTCTGTCTGGAGGAGGAAGAACAGGTTGCCGTATTTCTGAGTTTTTTCGTCATTCGGGAAAAAGCCCTCTTGGAGGTCCGAAGCGTCTTCGAGATGGCTTGCTACCTCGTTTTGCTAGACTCTTCGTCAGCCTTGCGATTCACAATCGTACGCGGAGGGCTGACTTACTTCTTCTAATGCCATCCGATTTTGTATGAGCAGCGCTATCCTGGAATCAAGATACCTGACATCTTTCTCGAGCACGAAATTCTTCTTCGATTGACTCGAAATCTTGGCCTTGTAGTCTCTCTGCAATTTTTGAGCTGGTCAATTTCAGCATACCGAGTCCCAATGAGGATTGTCAAATTTGGTACCTCTTGCTAAGTCATCCTCTATCTCAAGATCCTTTTCTTTGGTCGCAGACATTGACAGGTACAAGGCGGTGGAGTACCGCTTTGACTGTCGCGCATTGCGTCCATCACTGGATGACGTAGTATTTTGCCGCGAGATGGGAAGGTGCGATGAAGACGAGGAGGTCGACACTCTGGAGAGCTGGGGCATGACTGCCGCGGCCATGACTACTGCATGCGAGGCAGGCGCGCAGATTGATCGGAGTCAGAGGGGGTCGTCAAGTACAATTGTGCGACTCAGTGGTCTACTGAGCTGAGTGTCCGTGACAGAAGGTGGAAAAAGAGCAGGCAGATACTCTGGATGGGAGAATGACGTTGCGCACACGTCGCTCTTGTTGGCTTGACACCCGCACAGTGTATGTTCGGTTATCCCAGCAGGATTTGTGTGAAGGCGACGTCACTGCTGAAATGGCTCGCGATCCCGTGGAATGATGATGGAGGAGGTCTAGGAGATGGATTGTGGGGTTGTCGAGGGTGAAGCAACCCCTCCCTTTAAGCTGCTGTTGTTCCTGCAATATGCGCTTGGATGATGAGACGTCTCCAACAATTACCGGACAATCAATCTCAGGGAAATGAGCTGCTGTGGTGAATGATAGTGATACAGAGAGGCAGAGAGAGGTATAGGGAGGAAGGCAAATAACGTTTGGTATGCAATGCAGGTAAGACAGGGTTGAGGGATTAGGTCGGTGAAAATAGAGTGGGAAGGCTACCGCTAGTTCTACGGTTCTACTGGGTAGTTTCGAGTAGTGGGTGCGAGTCAGCGACTACGACTGATCTGCAGCAGCGGCATTGCCGGCATGAGGAAGCACAGGCCACAGCAACAGAGCTTCCATCATATGCTGGATGTGAGACACTCTCATCTCCAACTGTTTTCGTACAGCAGATAGCAGATAGCATATATCATGTGGATATATATACACATTGAAGATGCATGATGCAGACGCACCTGCAGCAAGCCGAGAGCGAGTGGTGTATCATGTGCAGTCGAAACGCCCCAGCCATGCAGCATGAACAGGAAATGAAACCACCTCCCACGATAATAATAATACCAATACGACAACGTGAGTTTACGCGTTCCTTCCAGAACCGCCACCAGATCCCAATCGAGCTTGGGGGCCGTTTGGCTCTTCAGGAACAGGACGCCGCTTGCTGCTGAGCATCGCACTAGTGAAATGACTAGCAGCAGGGCAGGATCCTGACTACCCACTGTTTAGCATCCATCATGCTCCGGAACATGCTGATCACAGATCGCCTTCTCCTCTGTGCGTATCTTGCGGCACCCACAGCAATTAATGAGATCTGGCTGAGGCAGGAGAAGATTACGCTTTCCCTGGTACCGGATCAACTTCTCCGCCCCTGCCCAGCATACCCACGGAACGCCTAGGCCGACAAGAATTGGGAAGGATCTTCGCATACTTCAGATACATGCTTATCTACACTCCAAGAGCCACTGATTATTCTAGCTATCACCCTCAGTCCTGATCTTTCCTCCCGTTATCCGACTTCTCCCAGGATAAAGATATACCAGCCATCGGCCCACGTTGTGCTCCCCAGCTTTACACAGCTGACGTGCAGGACCATCTACTACTAGGATCCCGTCTCGATCGTGCCAGCTGCTTGCAGGAACGATCAGCCATCTTTCTGACCCACGAGCTAACATTCAAGGCACCTGTCAAAGATCAAAGCTTACCTGCAACAGGCGCTCCCATACTAGCCCTTTTGTAGCTTGAATTGTACTGTCAGTGCTCGTGCTCGTGCGCGTTTCTTCATCACATTGCATGGGCGAAATCTTCCATTAATGGAATTTGATATCATGCATCTCCTCAGCAGACCAATGCCTTCATTTCGTGAATGTGAAACTCTTCCCGCCTGTCTGCCGTTGCACTCGAGGGAGGCCACTAGGAGCGTTGAGCGATTTGGCATACGGGTCAGCTGCTTTGCCCTTGTTCTTCGCCCGCTCTTCCTTCGTGGGTTTTGCATGGAAGACCGAAGGCGCATTCTCGTAGTCGAACGGCTCTGGCTCGTTTTGTGCGGAGCCTTTCTGGGTCTCTGAACGATTCTCACGTTTCGCAAGCTTCCTCTCAAGTCGTCCTTGTCGTTTTGCACGCTTCCGCTCTGCTCGTTCAATCTCCGCGTCCTCAGCCGCAGTGTCCAGCTTCATCTTCTCCGGTGCCGCACTCGCACCGTTCTGCGACGCTCCATCGGAATCGCGTGACTCTTGTCTCGTATCGGATGCTTTGCGCTTTTTCGAGTTCCTGATGACAAATACGTCATTTTCCTTGACTTTTTTGTCTTTCACATACTGATGCTCGGCGCGGGAACCAGGTTCGATGGGACCAGGCAAAGATGATGCACTCGGTGATTTTGTGTCGACAAAGACTTCCGCAGTGAGATCAGGAAGCGGCAAGACTAGTCGATGATCTCCAACATGGCCCGCCAATTTGTCAGGATGGCCCGTCTTTGAGTCGTCCAATGTTGAGCCCCAGAATTGAGAAGCCTTGGCTCGAAGAGGTAGTGGAGTTTGCGAACGCACTGCGGCAATGACCGCACCAACTCCTTTACTGAATGGAGTTGTCCCATCAACTGTAATTTGATCGTCTGCTTTCGAAGGACCTTTGCGAAAGAAGTCCCTCATCTCCGGGCCAGTTTTGCCATCTTTCTTGGCCTTGTGGACCACTCTAAGCAGATCATGTTTGTGGTCTTTCAGCTCTTTTGAGAGAGGATGGCAACAAGCAAGCAGGGAAGGTAGACTCATCGGCAGCTCTCTTGCTATACTAAACAAATTCTTCTTACTCAAAAGGTTGCTAGGGCTTTCGTCTTCATTGCGAGCGATCGTGTCCCGCCATTGATGTACAGCTCGGAAGACTGCGAACTGCTCCCGACTGAACGCACTTGGAGTCTTGTACAGCATGCTGTTCCAGCCTCCCAAACCCTCTCCACGGTCCTTATCATAAGACGGCCGCTCGTAGCGCTGAAGGCTTTCCTGTTTTGACTTCTGCATTACTTCCTCAAGCAGATCTTCGCCAGGCTGTGTCAAGTTGGAGCTGTCAATGAGTTCATTGCGCATCATATCGAAGACATAAAGGAGGAAGTGTGTATCTGAGCGAGCATAATCAAACATCCCTTCGGAAAGGGGTCTATAAAGCGATTAGCGGATGCTACTAGACTGAATAGTTCTTGACCATGCTTACCGAACTCGCCAATCAGCCATTTGATATTTCTTTGCAGCATCAAAATCGACAAATCTCTTCAACAAGAAAGCCAACCCATGTTTGTGATAAAGCAGAGCGTAAGATGCATGGTATGTGTCGAAAAGGCCAACGACATACAAGCCAAGATCGCGTTGGAGCCAAATGATATCCATCGTAGAACCGTGGAGTACCTAGTTGCGTAAACAGACCGGAAAGGAAGTTCTCAAGTGCTACCAACCTTTACTATATTAGGATCTGCAAAGACCTCGTTGAGCTTCTGCAGCTCCTGTCTCCAAGGCTTGAGCGTGTCAACGATCCAATCCTTTTCCCTTGTACTTATCTGCATTAAGCACACAATTCCTATGTACGAATGTTCATCATGGTGCTCAAGATCGATTGCTATCTCGCTTGCACCCTTTAGTTCTTCCAACATAACGTCTACAGCTTCCAGTGTATCAACGAAAGTTGCGTGGGTCGTAGTGAAAGGAAGGTAAGGCACTGGTTCACGCTTAGTCGATATGATCGATGACGTGCGAGCTGCTTTGATTTCCATCTCGTAAGGTTGTGCATAGCTGCGGTGAGATTAGCACATTAACTGCACGGTAAAGCTCATGCCAACACACCTCGCCACGCCATTTGGTAATTTCGACGGTCGTGCACACTCTTCAAGAGGGGTAAGAGCGTGAGGTTTAGATTTGAGTAAGGGCTTAAAAGGGCTAGTATCATGATTTGAGGGAGGGTTAGCAAAAAGAAGCTGTGGTTTTCTTAGTTTGGCTCGGGAGAGTCTGTCTTGTATGACTACGCTTTCAGCGCCAGTTGGCTTTTCTGGTTTGGATGGGCCTTCTTTCTTGATCACTCCCGTATATTTATCGAGACAGACATCTGCTTTCTCAAGCAGACTGTCAAAGACATCAACCAGACCACCCCATTTATCGTCAATGGCCTCAGCATCTGAAATGCCGGGTGCCGCTACTTCAGTCCCCTTAGTAGCAACCTTAGTCAGATCATTGACGAGGTCAAGTAAGCGGGACTTCTGACGTTCAAGCAGAGGTACGACTGCAGGGTTTGAAGCACAGTGAAAGGCAAGGTCTTCATTTGCAAGTTGTCCGGCGGAGCGCGTTGTATCCACCAAGGCTTTTTGAATACTCTCTTGAAGCTCTTTGAAGCTATTGGCATTCATGCTTTTGCGTCGAACGGTGCGCGAGGGTATCACATCAAAACCTCATCTTGACTGTCGCAAGGATTTGGAGTTGAAAAAGAACTTTTGGTATGTTACTTAAAGCCGGACTGTATCTCCGTTTGCCAATATTGGCAGAAGTCTTTATTTGGCTTGCCGTAGTACTAATGGTCAGAAGCCCCCTCGCCCTGGCTCAAGCTCCACGGTCCTTACAGAGGTTCATTTCTACAGGACCGATGGATTCTGTATATGTCTGACACATGATTTGAGTACAGCTGGTTCTAGTGAATCTTGGGCCTTTCTGCTAGAAATATATTTCTTAAGTAACGACTTATTGTGTTGCCGTAGGTAATGTGAACTTGGCAGCATAATAATTTGATTCCTCCGTGTTTCTGGTAAAGTCATGTCAGTTTACTTGCGTGCCTTGCAGATTTTCTTGCAAGTGAATGACCAGGTATCTTCATGAAGATTTACCTGGTACAACTTTGCAAATCTGACTTCACGTTGCTCATTTGTTAGTAGCGGCGGTACAGGCAGTCATTTTTGTGAAAGATCTAGCAAACCTCATGATTTTAGCACGACTCAGTGTGTGAAGTATTTGAAAATTATTCTCAAGCAAATGGGTTTTTTTTGAGTTGACATTGTTTGCATTGATCAATACTTGAGATGGTCAAGGACTTTGAGCAAGCTGAGGCTACTTCACGCGTTCAAGGCTCATCGGTAGAAGGTGTCGGAGTCAGTATGCAAAGCTCCCTGAAGTCTCCGTACGCGTCCTGTCTTCTTTTTTCATGGCACATGATTCTCTCCTTGCATTTACGAAGTGTTCATCTGTGGAACCGGGCGAACTTGATCCTAAAACGCCGAGGTACTTAAGGTAGGTGGTCAAATCAGTCAGAGTACCAAGAGCCTCATTTCGACAATCGCAAGATTATCCTACTCGTGGGCTGCGCTACAATAGCGCGCTACGCCACCTGGTGGCCTAATACAACAATAGCCTTCAAGGTCTTGCTGTTAGGACAAGGCTCGATCACACCATCCTTGTGCGCCAACGGGCGCTCGACGGACAACACTGCATCTCCACGGTATGTTTTGCACCCACACCGTTGCAACCCAATCAGGCATACCGTCTCGCAGCCAGTGTCATGCAAAAATTGTGGCGAAGGGTGGGGAGATTGGACTGGTGAGCTAAAGTCTGCGGATGAGGCTCTGTGAGAGAGTGGATTTTGCTAGGCTGTGTTGTGGCAACAGACACAGAATCGGCGACGCGCTGATCAGAAGACCCTGCTTCGTACACTAAGTCCAAAAGTGTTGAGGAAGGGCGGATCCTAGGACACTACACCCTAGTAGTGGATCCTTCAGAATCCTGCCATATCGGCGACTCAGCCTTGCTGGCTTATTGCTTCAGGCAATCGAGCCGTGCTTGGGCAGAGTAGACAGGCTGAGAGGGAAACAGTCCAACGATTGATCGGAGACAACGAAAGATTCAAGAGGCGAAAATTTTAGTAGTGAATTAGAGAAATCGTATCCGGATTGCAATGAGTCTCTTTGGACTACAAACAATAAAGCCTCTCCGTACATATCAGAGACAATTGCTCAGTGCCGTGATTCTCTGTTTTACACCTGATAATACAGTAAAGCCATGTCATAGCGATGGGTCCCGTCATCCCAATCGTAAAGTCATCCATCTGTCGCTCGATAAGAAAAAGCCTCCAAATGTCGGACAAGAGAACGATCATCCCACAGCAAATGCCGCCAAAGACCAAGAAAAGAGTGACCCAAACAAAATACCACCCGTCGTCCGTAGTCATCATCGTAGTAGCCGAAGTTTCATCTCATCAAGTATCGTGCTCCAATCAAATTCACTTCCCAACCGTCTCCTCCGAATCCTCACTCTCACTCCTTCCCCTCTTCTCCTCCCCATCCCTTCCCCTAGAATCAAAATAACTCTCCACCAGCTCCTGGCCCTCCTTAAACCTCCCAATTCCCACTCGAGTCAACACCCCCTTCACCACCGTGCCCTCCTTCCCATCCCTCAAATACACGACTCCGTCCCCGCCACCTGGGTCCTCACACCCCTTCCCCAGCACAGCCGCCATCCTCGCCTCCGTAGTCGCCCACTGCCTGCCCTTCGTATACCGCGCCACATAAAGCGCGATCGTGGCGTACAATTGGTATCCGAGCCAGAAGTACTGCATGCCCTCTGGCATCCAAATCAGCGACGCAACCAATCCCGCGGGAAAAGTGAAGCCAAGAGTTATGATGATGATGATCTGAAGGATCTCCCGTGGGCGCGAGCGCACAGGGTGCCCGTAGTGGCGGAAGAACTGGAGAACAACACTCTCGGGGCCCGAGATGATCAAGAAGCCATTCCCTCGCGTATTTATTTCGAAGCGCTTTATTGGCTCCTCTGTTTCAGGAGGACATTCTTTGGTTTGAGATGCAGGCTGATGGGGAGCGGGCAGGAGACCTTCGCGCTTGATACTGCACGTAGCGCTCAGCAGCTTGAGCAGTAGCGGGAAGAACCAGAAGAGGCAGAACGAAGAACGCCAGTAGCCGAGCACCGCTGCGCCGGTTGCAATGGCTGTTATTTCGCTCCAGACCAGCGCGAGGAGGGTGCGGAAGGTAATGCGGCCGGTGTCGTTCTCGATGACCAGGGCAGGGTCGATGGATTTGGTGTCATGGAAGACGTGCGAGAGTTCGAGGAAGTTGACGGCGGATTTGGCGCGGACGAGTAGCGGTTTCTGCTCTTCGCCTGTCTCTGGGTGAGGTTCTTTTCGGGGGGTTGGTTGCCGACGGGGATGCGGGAGATGGCTTGCACCCAGAGGCCGTTGCGGACGTATTCTTTGCCTGTATTGCCTGGTGAGGGGTCATGTTCTCTGTATTTGAAAGACATGTCGTGGAAGAATGCTGTTCCTAGCATGTTCCCTAGGTCGCGGCCTTTGAAGATGCCATTTGTATGAAATTTGTCGAGGGTTGTGAGGGCGGCTTTGTGGATGGGGCCGCCCATCGGCAGGAGTAGGCCGACTTCGAATGCATCTCGCCATGTTACTGCGTTGAAGAATCGTTGAGGCCATAGCAGTCGCTCGAAGACATCTTCGGTCGCGGCTTCTGAACCGATGTATCCGATCAGTGTTCCAAGTGCACTGATCAGGGACGAAGCCTGAGACTGCTTCGACATTCCACAATCAGTGTGTGGAATTGGTATGTGAGAATGACCTGTGGGGGAAACAAATGCTTGTTGATGGCCCCGAAATGTGAAAGATGAAGCAAAGATGCCATTAAAAGTGGACATGATACTTTATGGAAACTTTCGGCAATCCTACCGGAGGATTGCCACATTAGGTTTACAATCCTTTTAAGTGACTAGCCGTGCGCAGTCGGCGCGGAACGTCGCTCTGCTTCTAAGTCGCGCCTGAAGGATTCTGTAGTGCTTCCGTAGGATTATTATTATTGAATAGGAAGGGATCAGTTCGATAGTCCGTCTGACGCCATGGATGCGCATTAGCCACCTTCACGAGAAGGGTGGCTGTGCCCGTCGGGGGTCCGACCCGCCAATGACAGCCGAGACGGCAAAAGTAGGACCGACCAGTGAAGCCATAAGCCTCAGGCCAACATCGAGCGATCGAGCAGGTGTGAGGCTTGGCCCAATCCATGCGGTCAGAAAGCGGCTGTCAGCAGGTGCATTACTGATTAATATCATTGTAGTGGGATGGGGGACGCAGCCCACGCCAATGAGACGCTTTGCACCTGAGGCTCTCACATGCCAAGGCTTATGTCAGTTCGGCCAGGGCGTCACGCTTCACTACATTTGTCCCACCTCCGAACGGTCTCAAAAAGGATATATCCAGCGCAATATAACGCTGTTCCCTTCGCCTTCGGCCCTTCGCGCTACTTCGACAGAGGGGAGTCAGCTCGCCGGGGTATGAGTGTGAATCCAAGAGAAAATTAGCCTTTGTCAAGTATGCGGCTAAGAGCTTCGACGCCTCGATAGCGTAAAGCAAGACTGGGATTTGTGCGTCCATAAGCGAGGTCTACTGGACGTCATGGATTTCTTGTACAAGAAGCTGTGGTCCTTCCTCGACAGCAAGTCAGCATTGCCGGAAGGAGGGAGCAGCGATCCTTATCTTGCAGCGCTGAGGCTATGGAAGCATTTCCAAAGTATATATGCCGCAAAGGCCGATCAGGACGAATTCAAGGCCACCCTTTCACAGCCGCAGGTCAGGTCATGGGTCATTTTGAATCATTGGTGGAATGCTCATCTTCACCCGAAAAAGCCGGAAGAGGACGAAGCTACAGTTGCTCTGCTCAAAGCTGCACAGGCAAGGCAGGATGAGCACCCTGAAAATGGCGACCGAGCAGGCTATCAAAGCCTTCTTGCACATTTGTTCGTCGCTGAAATGGTCATCTACCAACAAATCAGGCAGCTAGATGCGCTGCCTCTCTCGAATCTACCCCCGAGAGCGCAGCAAATCATCAAGCAAATCGGTGACAAGGTGACTTTGGCAAGACAACGCGCTCTCAAGCAGGCTGTATGGCAAGCGCTTGGGCAACGCTCATATCAGATACTGTCAGGTGGTGCATCAGAAGCTCAGGGGATGACTCACATAGGATCCACGCTGGAGCCCTGTCCATGGCTGAGATTTGAAGACCGAGCAACTTTAAGGAGACCAGCTTATTTGTGGGATAGACAGGCCCAGAAGTCAGTCAAAGTCAGGGATATCGTCGATCGAAGCCTGAAGTACTATTGCGTTAGCCATACATGGGGCCGTTGGCGCAGAAAAGCAATTCAAATTACTGGCGTAGAATGGGCTGTGCCCACGAATTCTCGATTCAGAGTCGAAGACCTGCCTGCAATTTTCCAACGCCTTGATTGGCCCGTGCGGTATATCTGGTTTGATCTGTTCTGCATTCCTCAAGTAGAGTGTGCTGAACAAGCCGAAGAAATTGGAAAGCAAGCTGAGATATTTCGCCAGGCGGAATGCAGTGTCATATGGATGCATGATGTTGTCGGATGGAAGCTTCTCGAGCTATGCTTATCCTGGCTGGGCTTGAACCATTTGCACCGCAATGATCCGCTTGATATTGGAGTTCGGAATTGTTTGGAGGATCTCAGTAAGCAGCTGAACGAAACTCTTCCCTCTCTTCCGTCGGATGAATCTCTTAATCCATGGGCTCCAGTGCCAGAGGACGATTCGACCTCGGCCGAGGACGTCGCATTTCATAAGAAGAATCCAGGATCACGGTGGTTCTCATCACTTTGGACGTTGCAAGAGGCCTACCTGCGCCCTTCGTCCCTTCTCGTTGACAGAGATTGGAATTTTCTCAGTATAGGCAAGACAGCGTTGATCACCTTGGACAACCTCGCTAGTCTAGCCTACGGACCTCCTTCAGAAGTCGCCGAATCGAAGGAAAGACCTAAAGCTATAGAGGTGCTACTGTTCACTATGAAGAGATGGGAGCTGACCGACTTGTCGTCTCCGAGTCGAATGTCCCTTCTCGTTGCTGCTGAATCTCGTCAGTCAACCAGCCCAAGAGCTGAAGCAATCATGTCTGCTTTAGGAATCACTGATTGGTTTGAGCGCTACCGGAAACAGCATGGTAAAGCGCCTCCTCAGAAAGATCTTGTGTTCAATCAGTATCCCTTAGACTTTCTTCAAGAGGCACAACGTAAGATTGGCGGGTCCTTCTTCCTTCATGGGCGTCTTCCACAGAATACGTTTCAAGACGCGGAGAGTGGGGAATCGTTTGGGACAATGCTCCCCTTGGCCCATAATCCAAAGTTCTGGCAGGTTGCTCAAGCATTCACTTTCCCTGCAAGTGAGTGGACAATGTCGCTCACAGACCATTGGGAGATACAACTCGATGGATCCGTGATAATGAAGGAAGCTGCTGCCCTGTACAGTAACAAGGATGAGTTGTCGTCCGCTGATGGTGGGCCAGTGACCATCTCAACTCCCGAGGGATACGTACCTTTTGATTCGTTTAATGCGTGGGCTTCACAGCTTCCTGAGGCCCCCTATCGTTTCGCCGTGGCTGTTGTACGTTACAACTACCGTCAATTTGGCATCATCCTTGAAGGTATCGAATCTCCAGCTCGTGATGGTAGCATTGTCCTGGTGAAGACGGCCATTTTCTTCACAAACGAGCGGTGGTGCCGGGAGGATTTGGTCAAACCTACGCCCGTTCATTGGCGCGTGCTTTGATTAACTGTCACTTCAGATTTCATGTGTGCGACTGAGGCGAGCGGGATTCTCACGGCTGAAAGTGACCTACGTGGTCACAATGATAAAGCAAGCAGCCTCCTTTGTTATCGCTAATTGAGTTCTTGGCTGTGTTCGACCCCTCTCTCAACTCTTGCCTCGTCCTTGTTAGGGCGATTGAACTTTTGCGTGTTCCACCTGGGGCCTCGAAGACACCTACATTGCTGTCCAGTTGACGTACTATTTCCCTACCGTCTATCTCGTGCTTTTGTTGCTGTTCGGCCTCAAGCTCTGGCTTCTGTTGTAAGTATAATTGGTTATTCTCGTTTTCAGCTGATGCACGGCGACGTCCGGCCCTCTCATGTTGCCGCAGAATGTGTGTGCGCCAGGCCATCGTGACAACGAAGATGAAGAAAACGGTTGCCGAAGGTATACCGACGCCTAACCCTATTTTCGTAGGCATGTCCGATGGTGAAAATTTTGGTGTCGTAGAAGTCGCCCTTTGAGATGATGTGATCGAAGGGATAGGTAAAGTGGAGCCGGATGACGGTGTTGAATAACCTGCTGATAGGTATTGAGTTGTGATGAGAAATGCAGTCGTAGGAATCGCCCTTTGAGATGATGTGATCGAAGGAGCAGGCATACTAGTAACGTCAGATGCCAGGATTAATTGATCTGTTGATAAATATTGTTTTGTGATGGAGTTTGCAGTGATCATGATTGATGATCCTGTGCTAGGTGTACTATCGGCACTCAGCAAAGTTGAGATCAGAAAACTCGAGCAAATTCACACCCACTCGCTAAATCGAACTGGTTTCATGCTGTTTAGATTAATTATACTTGGCTCTCGGAACACTGGCGCTGGTGGCGCTATACATCTCGTATATCAGCCGACTGAAGTTGTAGCGTTTTAGCAAATCTGCCTTTTGCTGACCTGTGGTGGATGATGTCAAATCTCTAACTAAGCCTGTTGGCGGGCATCTACCAAGCTCTACGCAGCTTACTAACGCCTAAAAACGAATCAATGAATACATGGTCATTCGAAAAGTAAGAAGGCTCTCAAACGATACCAAGGATTCTACGAAGTCCTAACACCCTGAAATCCATTAAAGCTCGGACTTTGACGCACTGAGTGCCCAACACCAGAGGTAGTACAGCATTCTTAGTAAATTTTACATATTATGGCTTCATACTCGAAGCGTTTAGGTATCCTGTAAACTATGATCCATCCGTATATCATTCCTCATACATCTTGTCGTCAATACAATTCAATTTACCCGATTTAATCCAAAAAGTTCGCCAGACTTTTATATACCCAAAACACTTTTGCGCAGCACATGATATTCTTTTGTTAAGACCTTGAGATGCGACGCTTGATTTGCGCTAATCCTGTTCTCCTACGCGCATTGTCAAACAAGAAGAAGTTGATTCAAGAAACAAGAATCAGTCCAGGGTCAATAGTCTTCAAAGCTTCCTCCTCAGAGCCCCTATTGCTTTGGTACTGTCAACGTAAATTCCAGGTCGAGATGAGCCCGTCCATGTGGACTGCTCTCTATTCACCGGAGTTCAAATACTTGTGCCGGGATGCCGTTTTCGTTCTGGTGTGCCATGGCTTCCCCATCCATCATACCATGTATGTAACATTCACCCAGAAATTTGTAGTAGCACCATTTCTCTTGCAGATGCAGACTATCTTTTTCCGTGCTATCCCAGTCAGGTTCACTCAATACGACTTTTCCATCATCATCTACACGTCCCTCGTACGGCTCAAGGTATCGCTTTTTATGCCGAAGGATGTAGCTGTCGTCCTTTTCTCGAAGTTTGGTAAGCCCATCTTGACGGTGACGAGTAGGAGAACTCTGTGGGTTGGTATAATCTTCGGCTGGCGTGAAACCAAGCACTTTGCTACGCAAAAGACTGACCAAATCGAGAATTTGCCGAGGGTTGAGGACGGAAAGGAAAGATTCTCCGAGGAAAGATGTCGCTCGTTGGTAGATGTTTTTCGGTGTACTCATCCCCTCCAAAGCCTTTCTTTTGGCCTTTTGCTTCTGCACGTTCAATTTCCAAACTCGTCCCCATTTTAGCCGGAGTGCGAACGTTCTCTTGTCTCCTCTACGAAACCATTTCACTGGCAGCTCTCCGCTTTTTCGTTTCTGAGCTTTCCATTGTACATACGCTCGCCTCTCCAACAACTGTTCAATGTTTTCCAGATTAGTGGAAGCTAGAAGTACCTCATTCTCTTCATCTGGCTCGTGAAGCAGATTGTATAAATTCCCACACACATGACGGATGGATCTTTTCTGGGCTTTCCGGGTCTTCAGCCAAGCCTTGCGCCCATCAGGGTCTTCATACCACCGTTTTTTCATCTCTCCTTCCCAGAAGTAGTTTAGGGCGCGATCAAGATTTGCAATTTGTCTACGATAAGCTCGGCCGTCCCTGACTTTTCGATATTTGGCGCAAATTCTTCTGTGCAGGATAAGAAGATCATCTTGCATCTCTGCTATGACGTCTTCCTTGTTCTTCCGCAATCGGCGTAGAGCGACAGGGACGCTACATCCATAAAGGATGCAGATGAGGTCATTGCGTTCGACACTCTGCCCAGTAAGGCCGAACCTTTGTAATTTAGTTGTTGTGATAAAGCATCGATTCCAGATAACAGCTTGAACGCGTCGACAAAATTGGGCGATGACGGAGCACCTCTCGTTATTGATCAGATCTGTCATGTTGACTGATCCACTTGACAAACCACCTTTGAGGAACGACTCTTTACATGCACGAGAGTAATATACAGGCGGATTTCTTCCATCACGCCCGCGATCAGCGACCAGGGTGCGCCAGAAGGCATCAGGAGGATCTGAATCTGGCACTTCTGACCAGCCACCTGCTATCGCCCAGCTGTATGGGATTGCGCCGCCCTGAGATGAAGGCTGTATTTCATAGGCTTTGTCTAAGACGAAGCCCTTGACGTACATACTCCAATGCCCCGTTGCAGGTCGCTTGACAAACCGTAGTGACTTACGCTCAATACCTCTGGTCTCGGCCGCATTATAGTTTCTCTCCAGGGATTGGTTAGAAGGGGGTAACCCAACGAGTGTATCGGCATTCTTGCGACCCATCTTGAGAGTATGTACACCCGCTTGAGAGTACATCGCGTAAGCTGCGCCTGACAACGATGGTATCCATGAAGGTAATGGGATGTCTTGGTCAACATCTTCTGAAATCTGTTGGTTCATGTGTGGCCACGTCGGCTCAGCATCTCCTATCTTCAATGATTTCAGTATTGTTGTTCATCATCCAAACATTGTTTCATTGCTTACATTATCTGCAGTTGACGTAGTGTTGCTTTCAGAATATTCACTAAATCTGGATTGGGAACGTCCATGATTGCGATGAACTTTTCGTTTGTGTCTTCCTTTCTGTTTCGTATCATGACTAGCGACGTCTGGTGCCCAAGGCCTGCATATGATGTCCAAGGCTCGTGAAGAATCCTTGGACTCCTCAATGCAGAAGGCGACAAAGTCTTTGCATGTATCTGCGAACGGCTGCTTGTAGTCCACTTTGTATCTTTTCTTCTGTGTAAAGGCCTCAAAGACTTCTTGTGTACTTGTTAGCTGCCGATGAAAGCCGCCTTTGTCATCGGCAAAGGGAGTGGTGTCTCGAGCGATAGCAAGTAGAGCATAGACGGCATCATGAGGAGTCGTCACTTCAAATATAGACAGACTTGACACAAGGTACTCAAGCGTCAGAAGCGGCTGGCCTGGAGAACGTCCTTTCAAGATCTTTCGGTCGACACTGCGCTCAACGGCCGTCTCATCGCTGCCGGCGTCGGCCTCAGAGGCCACTTCTTCTTCTTCGTCGGTGTCTTCCGCATCAGGATCATCCTCACTCTCCGAGTCATCCTCTGATTCCATTGGGCCATTAGGCTTGTAGTTACGGAACAGTTTTCCAGTCGCTTCTACTAGGAGACTGGCACCAAGAGCGGAGACGTATTCAAACCAGCCCGGGACGTGGTAGAAGCGGCGGTCCTTCTTCATTACCTCAGAAAGTCGATGAGTGGCAGTCTCTACTTCGACGAAGAGCTCAACAGCCACAGCAAATTTCTTCCATAAGATCTTATCAGACCCGCAGTATACTACTGTTCTGTGTGCAAGCGCGATCTCCTGAACGACCCAGCGTCTTGAGAACCACGGTCTTTGCATGAGGTCTAGCAATGCAGACCATTTCTCACTCGCCTTCTCACTCTCGCACAGTTCATCGAAGTTTTGCAGCTGTAGGACCTCGTTTTGGATGAATTTCAATGCCATCCGGCTCGAGCGATCACCCTCTCCAAGCCAGATGCAGACTTTGCGTGCTCGACCATAGATGTCAGACATGACTTCAACCTGATGATTCTTCTCAAGTGGGTTGTCCTGGTCAATACAGATTTGGTCGATCCATAGAAAGCGGTCTGTTTTCTGGTGGCGCAGCGCTTTCAACGCGGCAACCAGGTCAGGAGTGACTTTCTTTTCCAGTCGTATGTCGTCCTTGCGGCCCTTTCTGGCTTCTCGGATGATGATGCGTCCTGTGGGCTTTGATGTACCCCAGCACCATGACAGTGCTTCGTAAGAGCATTCCAGCGGGGTGTCTTTGAGAAAGTCTATTGGCAGCAATCTGACTTCCACTTCTGCTTCCATGGATTCTTTTCCAAGCAAGACCAAGACGCGGATGGACCCTCTATATCTTGACAGTGGCTGATACTTATATTGTTTGTAAGGTCTCTCCCCGACTTTTGCAGAATTCGAAGGACTCGCCTCAACAGGCCCGGCTCGTGATTGTCGAGATTTTGATGACCGAGACTCAACATACTGATTGCAATGGTCGCAAACATCCATCACGCTTGCGATGGGAAAGTTGACCCAAGTAAAGGAGAGGCCGGACTGGCAATGCGACAGTGCATAATCAACAAGAACGCAGAGTTCCTGGCCGAGAGTATTATTATAGAACGGCGCATCACGCAACGAAAAAAGCTTGACGAGGAAGGTCAGCATAGAAAAGGACTAACCCTGCATTAGGTGCGTTCGAACGGTACATCCATGCGCATATCACTCTCCTTCTGGGACGATCGTTACTCGGTAAGACGATGGCGCACACTATCAGCAGGCATCCCACTCGACTGGGGTGATTCCAATCATCCCATTCGACGAAGCTGCAGCGTAGCAACAGCTTGAACGGTCTAGCCTTGCCGCGGCGATTTGCGTACGCACGAACGTAATGACAACGTCGCAGAGCCTCAGCCTTTCCCGATAATCCTCAGAAAGTCGCACTTCCACACGCCGAGAACGGTCGAGCGAGTCTCTCCCCGCGCTATGCCTGCGCCGAAGCGCACTGAGGCGCATGAGGTTTTTTCTTCGAGGATAGTGGAGTAAAAGCAGGAAGCAAGAGAGATGGAAAGGCCGGATGCTCCGTCGAAATAATGGAGAAGGCTGGAGCCGGACACCCTTGACCCTTCACCCTTCTCACATCCCTGCCGAGGGGCCCTTACGTCTGCTCCGGCCCCGGCGCTAAGCACCACTAAGCTTCCAGCGTGTGGGGGCCCCTCGGGCTAGATCTTCAGGTACCGCCGTACCTGACGGTTCTTGATGTATGCCCGAACTCACCTCGTACAGACTCTAGGGCTTCTTGTTAGAGAAACAACTCTGAAGACCCCGTAGAGTACGCCTGTCTCTGACTGCATATCCTGAATACTGCGCATTTCTCGTCACAGAAGCTTCATTTCTCGACTGGACAATTGGATGTGAAGTCTTCGAACACGGTGAGGGTATTTTATCTAAAGCTACATCCTTTCGACAAATATGACAATGTTGCGAGGCAGACCTCTTCAAGGTTCCCTACACTCTAAAAACCCTTCAAGACCATTCGGATGCTTCTCGATTAATCGTTGCATGTCCTGTCTCGCGCTGCGGGTGTCAGTTGCAGGCCTATTCGATGCGAGCGATGCTTACAGCTCTCTGAATTTTAGTCCATAAGATGTACCTGGATACAAAGCCGACACGAGAAGGTCATACCGCATCGCGTATAAGGCATTTCGGTCATCCCAGTCCGCTTCAGGCTCCGAAATACTTATTGTTCGCTGATACTGTTTGATATATGGCTTCCCAAGCCGGTACCTCGGGGCACGCCAGCTGCCAAGATCAGCTTCATTGTGGCCCCAATAGGCGCAGGAGTCGAAGACTATAACGTCATCGGAGTCCGCGTCAAGCATGCAATTGCCAGGCCATAGGTTCGAATGAATGAGACATGGCTGTATCGAACGACCGCCGGTCTCCAAGGGTCGAAGTAGTCGAGGCAGAACTTTAGCCATGAAATCTTGTTTGAGCCCTTCGAACTCATCGTCGGGAGGATGGGCATCAGCTTCTACCTGCATCATACGTTCCATCAGCTGTTTGAAGAAAGCCTCCCATGTATCCTGCCACTCGTTGTTATTTGGTATATTGGCAAGGTGAGTTGGCACATGGAAACCATATCGCTGCTCTTTCCCTAGGCTATCATTATGCAAACTGGCGATAACGGACACGAATTGATCAAGCGCGGGAACCTCATCGACCAAGTCATGGAAATCGCAGAGGTAGTACCACGTATTGGGGGCCTGTGGTGAGCTGTAACTACCCCAGGCGTGGGGTTTTGGGACGTAATTTGGAAGGTACCGGTGAAGAAGAGACTCAGATTCGAAACTTCCTTCAAACATCCGCCTTGCCAGATCACCTGTTTGGTACTGGAAAGCCACTGTCAGTTGTCGTTTACCCACAACCACCACTTGCAGAATGTCCCGAGCTTGCCTTCAAGAAATACAGCTTCTTGACTCCATCTGCGAGCCGAGTTTCCAGACACACACTGTGTGCCCAAGCACTGGCGCCTGATGGTGTCACTGCAACAACATTGGTACCGGACGGTAATGCTGCGAGAATCGCTTCATCAAGCTCAATATGCTTGGAAGCTTCGATGTTGATTTCCTTTTGCTGCGTATTAACGTTATTGTACTCATTGGCAGTGACTACTGTCGTCATAGCAGCGGCATAAGCAATAAAGTGGCTCTTCTAAGGCAATTGCTAAGTCTATATAGGTCGAACATGTCGCGCTCATGCTTTCGACCGGGTGAAGCTGCAACATGGGTAGCATAAGATTGCCTACTTTCATGCACAAACGCCGAACTACTTCCATTATTAGCCATGATCCGGCATCATCGAAGGAATTACGCCGGGCGGTTAATCTCAGACAGCTCACATCATTGGCTCAGTTCAAGAGCTAAGCACCCCGGAAGGATCCCCAGTCTAACAAACCGGGCGTTGGCTCCAAGCGTCATATTAATATTATTATTGAGCGACGTCGCGCGATCCGTGTGGAGTAACCTTTACGGACCGATCACTTCAACCCAAATGAAAGTTGCAACCTTCTTGAAACAAGAACACTACCTGCTGTGCAGGACTCGGAATTCCGTTATTGGGTGCGAAACAAGACCAAACCTCCTTCTTTGCCACTAAAGCATCTATCAGTGTCTGGACCGTTCTCCGTCCCCTCGTCCACCCCAACTTTCTTCCCACCCGCTTATTGAGAGGTTACATTCTCAGCTCGGAAGGCTGCGATCCACTAGTAAGCGGCTATGGCAGTTACCCTTGCCCTTTGAATAACCTGGAAATCTTCAGAGGCATCTCCCCATTAGAGTCTCATTCGATTCATTTGCTTTTACGATCTACCATGCTCAAGTACATTGAAGCCATTTGTGTTTGGTAAATCTGTCTTATGCGATGGGTTCAGGATATAAAGCAATCAGGTTTAAATAACGCCTAACCTATGATAGGCATCTTTGTGTTAAATTTTGACGTCAATCAATTTTCAACTTGGCCACGACAGAGATGATGTCCACTGGTATATCCAGACCACCGGTCTCTCCAGAGGGTTCTGTTCGAAGCAAGACTTCGTCAAGCATGTCGTTCCTAAATAGAAGATTGACTGTGTTTAGTCTGGCAGCAAAGGGGAATGAAGTAGAAAGCAGTAGCGATGTTAGGGGCCCTCTAGGGCTCAATTTCCTCCACGAACCCTCAGAACCACTCATCGATTTCATCTTCGTGCACGGGCTCCGCGGAGGCTCACGGAAGACGTGGAGCAAGAGCCCAGACCCTTCGACCTTCTGGCCTAGAGAATGGCTACCGTTGGAGTCGAGGTTTAAGAATGTCAGGATTTCCACCTTTGGCTACAACTCTGACTGGGGCGAGAGAAAGACCAGTTCCTTGACTTTACATGATTTTGGACAGGCATTGCTCGGCGACATCCAGAATACTCTGTGTTCGGGCAGAGCAGCCTCAAAAACGCCACTGGTTCTCATAGGACATAGTATGGGGGGTATTGTCATCAAGAAGATGCTTTTGCTTGCTCGACAGGATCCTTTATATCATCACGTTGCGGCACGAGTACATAGTATGTTCTTCCTTGCTACACCACACAGAGGCGCAGATAGCGCCCAATTACTACACAACGTGCTCAAGGTTGCGGTTTCTCACGGTCCAAAGGCTTACGTGGACAGCTTAATGCCCAATTCGGATGCTATACAAGCTATCAATGATGGGTTCCGGCACGTGTATCAAGGGATCCAACTCTGGTCCTTCTTCGAGACAGTACCTACAAATATTGGCTTGATAGTTGAGAAGGAGTCCGCCATCTTGGAGTTACCAGGAGAACGGGTTCAGCTGCTCAACGCTGATCACCGCAACGTATGCAAATTTGACAATCCGTCTGACTGTAATTACACCACTATTCGAAACGCGTTTGTTGCAACAATTGAGTCAATTGAGGCCACCTTTTATTCGACCCAAAAGGCAGACTGCATGCAGGAAATGCGCCTTCTGGCTACTTACTTCGGCTTGTCGAGTCAGCCGGAGAATGATCTGGCTAATATTACAGACGCACAGCTGGAGGGTTCCTGTCAGTGGCTGACAGAGCATCCAAATTTTCTGAACTGGCGATCAGGATTAGAGTCGCAGCCCAAATTCTTCTGGCTGACAGGAGATCCGGCAACAGGCAAATCGACCATGTCAGGCCATGTGGTCAGACATCTGGAGCAGATGAACGGAGAATGCTCCTATTTCTTCTTCAGACATCACAGCGGTGGTAGTTCAAAACTAGCAGAGCTTCTTTGCTCCTTAGCGTGGCAGATGGCTTCGTCAAATGCAGAAATCCGACATGCGTTGCTGACTATGCAGAGAGACGACGTGCCGTTGGAGCGTACAGACGAGCGTTCGATATGGCGTGCTGTCTTTTTGTCAAGAATTTTTCGTGTCGAGCTCCGCCAACCTCATTTTTGGATCATTGATGCCATCGATGAGTGCACAACATTCTCAACCTTTTTTCCATTCTTCGCTCGAATGGACCAGCAGTATCCGCTGCAGATATTTTTCACTAGCCGACCTTCTCTAGTTATTGAAAGAGCACTCTCACATGAGCAAATCTCCAAGCATCATGAGATACTTTCGAGAGACAAATCCTTGGCAGACATCGCGCTTTATGTGAGGGTACATGCCTCATATTTACCGTGCGAAAGCGACGAAGCTCGTGAAAGCCTTGTACAACAGATACTCGAGAAGTCGAACGGCAACTTCCTCTGGACAAAGCTTGTTGTGAAAGAACTTCAGAGCGCTATGAGCGAACAAAGCATCAAAGAGATCCTAGATTTGGTGCCTCAAGAGATTGACGAGCTCTATGAGAAGATATTCGAGCAGCTAATGTCTGTACCAAGAGAAGCAAGGCTCATCACATGCATATTTCGCTGGGTGATCTGTGCTTCGAGGCCTCTCACGGTCGACGAGCTGAAGGAGATTCTGCGGCTAGAGTTGACAGAGGTCTTGCCACAGCTCCATAAAACTCTGAGCTCATTATGTGGAAACCTCATCTTTGTGGACTCGCAGTCTCGAGTTTGGCTTGCACACCAGACAGTCCGAGAGTATTTGCGTCAGGACAACTTGCCATCAGGGCTGTCCATTGATAGACAGGAGGCTCACTCACTCTTAGCTATAGTATGCTTAGAGTATCTCCAAGGGGAGGATTTCAAGGTTCCCAAACATCGCCGCATAAGTTCGCTCACAAAACAACGGAAGCCTTCAGTATTCAGCGCTTATGCTATCCAGTATTTCTCAGATCACGTTGCAAGAGCGTCCGCATCAACGGATTCTTTGCTCACGAGCCTGGATGGATTTTTGACGAGTACGACTCTAGTCTGGCTAGAGTTGATTGGGACAAAGCAGGATCTGGGCCCCTTGATATCCACAGCGAAGAATTTGAAGACTTATCTGGAGCGGAGAGCCAAATATCATGCCCCTCTCGGTCCTGAAATCCAAAAAATTTCACAGTGGACCGCGGACCTTGTTCATCTTGTTGCCCAACATGGCAAAGCAATGCTGACAGCTCCGTCAATGATCGCTTTTTTGATTCCGCCGATATGTCCAACAGAGTCATTCATCTACCAACGATTCTTTGACTTTTACCCTCGAGGTCTGCGCCTTACCGGCCTCTCCCAAAAGACTTGGGACGATCGTCTCTGTTGCGTTGACTTTACAGGCACTCAGGCGCTTTCCGTTGCTTGCAGAGATAATAAGTACGCCTTGGGACTTTCAAATGGTTATGTGCAAATATATAATGAGACTTCGTTCCAGGAACAATTAAGGTTGCACCACAATGAGCCGGCCAGGCAGCTCGCATTTGGGAACGTTAACCTGTATTTGGCATCCGCCGGGAGGAAGCGAGTCGCTGTCTGGAATACCTCTTCAGGAGTGCAATTGTGGGCAAGAGATCTGACGGCTTTGCCGTTGGCGATTGATTTCAATGAGACTGATACTATACTTATGGCTGCAACCAGAGCAAACACTCTCTCTTTCTGGGAAGCCCATTTAGGAACAGAGGTGGACACGTCGCAATTCTGCGACATTAACGAGGAGGATCAGACAGAATACCACTACAACAGACCACCAATTGGAATCAAATTTGCCGCTAGTCTGAACCTGATTGGTATAGCCTACCGCCAAAGACCGATCAGCTTTTGGGATCTTGAGGATAATTCCTTCATCGGACAGTATCACAAAACCGGAGCCGTATATCCCGAGCCACTCATCCATGATTTCGCCTTCAATCCAAACCCGGACATATGCCTGGCCGCTGTCGCCTATCAAAGCGCAGAAGTCGCAGTATTTGACCCATTCACTCAACATACAGTCGCAGTGGCAGCTGCTCCAGTCTCATCGCTTGCTGCCTCACCAGATGGGAGTACTCTTGTAACAGGTAGTGGAGATGGCATCATCAAGATATTCGAGTTTGAGACATTGAGACTTTTGTACCAGATCGATTCCTACCAGCAGGATATCCGTGCCCTAGCATTCAACAGTAACAACCTCCGAATCCTTGATATTCGTGGCAATCAATTCAATATCTGGGAACCCTCGACTCTAGCGTACCGGCCAACATCTCGTGATGACTCAAGCCTAAATTTCACAGAGAGTGCTCGCGGTGAAGCTGAGTACGTTGCAAATGCTATGTTTGATGATGATCTTACCGTCACCGCGATCGCAACACATCAAGATTCTAAATTTCTCTTCTGCGGAAGGGAGAATGGTACCGTGGCACTTTATTCCTCATCAAGTGGACTTGAATTGAAAGCTTTGGCTGGACATGGACCGAATCTCGCGATCACTAGGTTGCAATGGATCGACAAGCATCGCTTACTTCTTGCCAAGGATCGATCTGGCAGCGTCTCGCTACAGAGAGTCATCAGAGACGATAGCAGAGAGTTTCAGTCCACTCTTGTGCTTCCACACTCCGGATGCCGGGCGTCCGAAGTTTTGCTCAGTCCTGACGGAGACAGACTCCTCATTTCCACGAACGATGGGGCACAAGTCTGGACTTTGGATGGTACAGATGGTTTAGCGAGATCGAAAATCAATATAGAGAAGTCGGACCTGCAAAACTCTTGGTTTCCGCACCCGAAGAGCCCTCAGCAGCTGTTGCTCGTTGGCGAAAGTCAAATCAAATTTTTCGATTGGCTAACTTTGCAGGAATCAAAGGGTCCGTTCTTGAGACAACCGTATCACTCCACGCGCATAACGTTAAACGTGGAGACAGCATCAAAAGGGACTCATCTCTGCGTTTATCACGCCGGCATGAAATCAGTAGACCTGGCCCCCTCACTACGTCTGTACCCAACAAGTCAAATGACGAGCGACTCAGAGTTCATTGGTGCCAGTGTTTCGCTAGATGATATAGCTCAGAGCATCAAACGCATCGTTGGTACTCACAAATCTCAGATGCTCTATCTCAATCACCAAGGCTGGGTCTGCTCTATCAATATTGATGACATTCTGCCTGATAGATTTTACACGCGACACTTCTTCATACCGTTACAATGGCATAGTAGTACAGAGACACCAGTCATTCGGGTCACCTCAAATGGATCCATTGTTTTGGCTGTCAGGGATGAGATTGCCATATTCCACAATGGACTGAATTTCGAAGAGAGAGTCGGTTGCAAAGGACTAATTGTATCAACAAAGGCGTCAATGCGTACAGTGATGAGACGTGGAACCTCCCAGCCTTAAACTACTTTGTCTTCGGACACTTCCATTGCAGCAACTGGCAAATTGAAACGTCGCCACCGAGGGCCACGACTTCTGATAACAAGGAGTATTGGTAAACAAAGCGTGCCAGCTACTGCGAAGATCGTGAAGCACCATCCGATGCCCAGTTGTCGGACAATGGGTTGTAGGACAGCCACTCCAACACCTCCAAGAGTGCATCTGACAAGATTGTAGCTTGCCTGTACAGTGGCAGCCCTGGTTGGATTGAGATCAGTCAGAAGACCCCCGCATACGACAAATATAGCCACAGAGAAGCCGCCAGTAAGACATTGCATCACCAGAGGAGCCACTAAATGCGTTCTCGACTCGAGTGTCCAGCCATAACTTGCAGTTGCAAAGGCATTGATAGCAATAAAGATGAGCACTGATCGAAGTCGTGCCTCCTCAATCGGAAAGTGGGACACATCACTGTCCGCCTTCTTCACTGGCAAGCCATGCTTTCGGGCAGTCAAGCGATACTCGTAGTCAAGAAGCCTGCCAGTCAGGTATGCAGCCACGATACCACCGACACCAGATGGTAAGTACACTAGGCCTGCAGTCAGGTAATTTAAGGAATAGATGTCGATCATCTGAACTGACAGCGATGCGGCAAGGCATCCGAAGATGGTGTACTGTATACCGCCTACAAGAATAATCATGAAATTATGACGGTTGACTAACGCAACGAGACAATGAAAAGGGTTGGGAACAGATATCTGTGCCTTCTGCTCGCTCACTGGCCTTCGAGGCTTGCGGGAAAACATAACAGACGCAAATGACTTATTCATCCATTGCTGTGGTGCCCAGCTGCCATCACCAACCAGCTTCCGCGAAGTCTCCGGTAGAAAGACAGACAAGGCGAACAGATGCACGCCAGATAGAACAGTCAGTAACCAGAAGACCCAATGCCATGTGAGCTTTTCCGCGAGGACACCACCAAGCACAGGTCCCAGCGAAGGAGCCGCATTTGTAAACCCCATCAATATACCCATATAAGACCCTCGCTCCGCAGGCGTAGAAATATCCGAAATAATCCCATAAGCCAATGCAATTGTGCTCGACGCACCAGCGCTCTGTAGACACCGTAACGCGACTAGTGCACTGTAAGAATGCTGGATAGCCAATCCAATATTAGCACCTAGAAATAGAAGCATAGCCAGGAGGCTGATGGGACGCCGTCCAATGCGATCTGCCATGTCGCCGAGAATGGAGGGGGCTAGCCCCGCGACCACGAGGTAAGAGGTTATTGTGAAGTTGATTTTGGCTGTAGATGTGTGCAAGTCTCGCGCGAGGGCTGATATGGCTGGGTAGTAGATGAATGATGCGAGGCCTGAGAATGTGGCGGAGATGGAGGCTGCGTAGGCGAGCAGTAGCTTTTGGGTGCCATTGAACGCAGAGTAAGACGTGGGTTGCTCTGCCATCGTAGTTGCTGGATCGCTGTCGCCTTTGGGCTCTTGCGGCTTGGTGTGATTGTTCGATGCGGCGGACCTTCTGAGTATCTCGTGATATGGAATTCGGACTGCGAAGATCTTTCCACGAGAAATTGTTTGCCGTATTCTCTTCTTCTCAGATGTGGATCCATTGCGAAGTGGTGCAGTGGCAGCAACCCAGCGCTGTGACCTTTCGGTTCAAAATGGGCATCTAGTTCTACACTTTCCCTGAGACCGCTATTTGCACGTGGAATACTCGAAGCTCGGCGTTTGCGGGGCTACACTGACCCTTCAGAGACATATTGGAGCATTGAGCTGCGAGTCTTTCACCTTTGGTAATGGACGAGAGGCCTCTGAGAAGAAGAAGATCTTCGGAAAGAGGTAGAAATAATGGGCCACTAATCACCTCGAAGCCCAGCCTCAAATTCACGCAGACGTGATTAAGATTGCGCCAAAATTTTAGGTAGCCGCCACTCTGCCCTAACATTGTGGGTTCCTCAGGGGACAAACCTCGTCAGGATCTTCGACCCTGAATCTTGTCACGATGCAAATGCTCAAGGTGTAGATGCATCACTGAGAAGACACTAGTTCCGGTTAGTAGAAGGTATTAAAATACAAGGAGGGAGGCCCATCGGCTTGAAATCCAATTGGGCGTTCATTAAGCGCCAGGACTTATGCAGGGGGTCTGGTTTTGAAAGGCTTCAGATTGGGTGAGAAGGAACGGATCGTCCTTTCAAAACATGAAATTCTATGTTTGTGGGATGGGTTTCGTAAACGTAATGGCCCCAATCCTTCATGCCTTGTTGTCTTGCATATATCTCCCATCTCAAAGCCTCTCGCGCCCGAGTTTTCCGATTCGAGAAAGATAGGTTGTAGAAATTCATTAACCACTGTGAATGAAGTCGATATGACATGAGACAGACGTCTACCGATTGTAATTCAAGTCCGAAGCCTTCAGCAAACGGACTGGTCGGTTGGGTCGTTGAATCTCCTGGCAGAGGGACCTTAGGGATCATTACCAGCTGCCTCACGACTATATTCCTGTGTACTTGGGTTGTGATACATGCGCGAGTCTGCAAGCGGCCTCTATTCCATGGGCTCCACAAGTTTGTCCTGTTCCTCAAGACGATCCTCGCCCCAGAATTCATTGCAGTCGAAGGCCTTCAAGAATGGAGCCAGGCACAAAAGATGGTGAGGAATTGCATGGGACTGACTGGAGGCCGTCTGAAGCTTGTTCATGCTTTCTATATCGGGATGCTCGCTCTCAGATACCGTACACCGCAAGGTCAGAAAGTCATCTGGCCGAATCAATACACTTGGCTGTTGGAGCAGGGTCTCGTTGACTGGGATAACCATACGACATGGGGCCTATCCGAAGAGAACATCCGTGATAAAAGTAACGCAGATAGCGCGGTAAAACTACTGGCACTTGGTCAAGTTTGCTGGTTCATGGCCCAGAGTATAATGCGACAAGTCCACGGACTCCCTCTTTGTCAGCTGGAAACCATGACATTGAGTTATATTCCTCTCATTGCCATTACGTACTTCTTCTGGTGGGTCAAGCCCAAAGACGTCATGACACCTTCTGTGGTCGACCTGCCAGAGATGTCTGCTGAGCACACGGAGACATTTGAATCACTGGCCGTGAGCAACATCTTCGACAATGAAGGCGAAGCCAAACAAGACTCGTTTTGGACCATTTTCTCTCTTACCCCCGAGTATTTGAGAAGGAAGCCGAAGATAAAGCCACAATGAAAGCGCGACAGGCAGCTTTGCAAGAGGCCAAAGAAGGTACTATACACCAGGATGTGCTTGACCTTGTACTTCCAAGAGGCTCCCATGGCGAAAACGGGAAGGAAGACTCGACCTCGACGAGCGAGTTTCGAGGGTCGAATAAAGAGGTGGTGCTTGCGTGTTGGGACCCGGACCTTTATCATTCGAAGGTACTCTGGCCGATTATATGTGTTTTCGGAGCCTCGTTTGGCGCTATTCATCTCATATCCTGGCACACGGTCTTTCCAACGTTTGTCGAACAATGGCTGTGGCGAGTAGCGGGGCTCGCGTCAATCTTCTCGATGCTGGTCTTCATGCAATATGAAAAGGTCATCCTGCGATGGGGTGGCCCGCTGACTATGATAAGCCTCATCTCACCGGTCTTCTATCTTGCCAGCCGCCTTGTCATGATAGGTGGTGTCATTGCTGCGTTCAGAGCTTCGGAACCAGCCATCTATGATACCTATATCGTTTCGACCTATTGGGTTCACGTACTCTGATGAGAGGGCAACAACCAATTGTCTCATGTTCATGAGAGCCGATACCGCCTGCTTTCAGGGCTAATTTAAGGCAGCTGCCGACATCTGGCTGTAGACAATTGATAATCACCCGTTTGAAAACTTGTTGATAGATTATTTGACGAGACGAACAGGGTAGGGGGTATACGATTGAGGGTAGTTTGTGGCAGGCTATGGAGTTTTCCCTATAGAAGCTGGTAATGGTCGTCTTGGAATATGAATCGAATGACGCAAAATCTCTACCGCCTCGGCTTCTAATCATTTGAAAGAAGGATCTGCAGCTACCAGAAGGCGCATAGTAGCTAATGAGACTACTGGATTGCCCATAACGACATCATGTAGCCCAGTCTCCAGTATTTCCTCTCGAATAATGCCATGGTCTGTTCGCCAGTCAACAACAGATCCTGCGGCGCCTAGGTTCTGTTTGTGTTCTGACGTCGCGAGCTCAAACTCGTCATCTGTCAATTCTTGCGACACTGTAGCGTCAACTGCATGCCGGAAAAGTTTTTGCGTATGAATATAAGGAATATCCCAGTCGTCTCTGGCATGAATCAGGGTTAACTGATATTTTTCGCTGGCTGCGGTAACAGCTCGTATGTAGCCCGAGATGCGGTCTTTGCTCGACCATCTATCCTTTATGAAAGTTCTAAGGTAGCTGAAAAGACGGGGATACTTGGCGAGAGGTGATATGATGGGTATAGTGCCTGCTACACTGTATGTAGCCACGAGTGTCGCCACATCAATGAATGGTGCGATGAGAAGAGTGCCAGCGAAAACAATTGAGGGCGACTGTAAAGCGAAATGCTCTGACACAGCGAGTGCCACGGCGGTGCCTATAGATTGCGCAACAATTAGAATCCTGGAAGACGGAATTCCTGCAACATTCATTGCCCATTCCACCACCGCAGTAGCATCAAGGCATAGACCACGTTCAGATGGTGATCCTGAACTATATCCAAACCCACGATAGTCAAATGTTAGGACATGGATCTTGCTAGGCTGCCCTGCGGATAAGGCACGATAATTTGGAACTCTGTATCCTGATCCAATGGTACCTGCAGCTCCATGCATGTGAATGACTAAACGAGCATCGGGATCATTGCGTAGTAAATTAAACGCTGCTCGGGAGGTGGAATCCGATACGAAGCCAGCGGGCTCCGCCACGAGATCTGCTTCGTGTTGTCGATAAAGCTCAACAGGCAAAATATGCCAAGCAAAAAGCGATTGACCATCTGGAGATTTGATGGAAAATGGCGTGACTTGACCGCGTAAAAACCCAAAGGATTCCGGAACGTTAAGATTTTTGGACCACGTCATCTGAATTTTGTGTAGATAGACGACATGGGCTTGAAAAGAAGGAGTCGTCAGAAGTCCTAGAAGGCCAAGGTAAAGTCCAAGAGCAACTGCTACCACGATGAATGTATATTTCAGGAATAGAGAAAGCATTGTGGCACCCATTGTTTTGCTTCAAATTTCTAAATGCGCTCACGAGAAAAGACAGACCTGGAGTACGAGAGGCTTCATGACATGGACTTAAACGATCAGATTTGGCGAGGGCAGACTCATGGGCAGAAGTAGAAGTAGGAAGGCTCTGATAGTGTGATAGGCAGAAAGGAGAGAAAAGCGGCAATTAGACGCTAGCCGAATGGGGCACTCTTGACTAAATGAAGTAAGGTGCGATAAGCAGCGCTTATGACGATATATCCATTTTGCATAACGCTTTACACCAAACTTCTTAGCAAGGACATTTCAGCTTCGACTAGAGGGGATATAGAGAGAGCATGGCTGCTTTGAATAACTGGCCTAGGCTAGTTCGACAGATACCGAAGATTGGACATGTCGATGTAGTGGCATCGAGCAGATTTGCTCGCCGGGAACTCCATACTAAATATCGTCCTCGTGTTGACGGTGCCCTAAGTGAAAAGCAACGTGTGCTTCGAGCTTGTATTCTGGGCTTAGGTGCTACTCCATTGCTGATCTATGGCTTCTCAAATTACAATCTCGCCGTTCTGCATGCAGAAAGCCCCCCTGCTCCAGCGGAGGTCCAAATAGAGAAGCGTCGCAAGACCGCTGGCCTTTCGAAGGAAGATAACCGAGATTCAATCAGCTCACAGCACTTTCAGGTCAAAAGAAGCTGGGAGAACCCTGGCGTCTATGCTTGGGGTTCCAACAGTGGAAAAGTCGTTGCGCCTGATTCTGATGAGACACAGATCAAGACGCCTCGAAGAATCCCGTATTTCGATGGTCTGCTGCTACGAGATCTAAAGCTTGACCAGAACTTTGGAGCTGCAATCACAGAGAAAGGCGATCTGCTTCAATGGGGAGTTGGATTTGCTAAAGATCAAGCACAGCCAACGCCTACGCTTGTGGGTAAGAACCTCAAATCAATCAGTTTCTCGGGGGATAGGATAATTGCCCTTGGTTCGAATGGCAAAGTGTACTCACTACCGATATCCCAAAATGATCAAGCTCAGGGGCCGAAAAGGTTAGAGAGCACGTGGATACCATTTTGGACTTCTCGCTCTAAGGTAAGCTATCGCACGATAGAGCCTTCCAATTTGTCATGGAACGAGAAGGTCTCCTCCATCAGCGCAGGCTTGGAGAGTCTCCTCATACTCACGTCATCTGGGCGAGTCTTCAGTGCCGCAGCTAGTAGCGAAGAATTCCCGTCTCGAGGCGAAATGGGAATTCCAGGCCTCACATGGTCATCAAGACCTTCTGGCCCCTACGACCAACCACATGAAATATCTACTCTCCGTGGCTTCGACATAGCTGCCATCGCCTCTGGAGACTACCACTCACTCGCCCTTGACAAAGAAGGTCGAGTCTTCTCCTTCGGAGACAATACATCTGGCCAACTCGGATTTGACCCTAATCTTGAATCGCCCTACATCGACGCGCCTTCTCTCATTCCAATTTCTCGTCTCTATGCTGGCACAAGTCTCTCGCCTCGCGTTACTTCAATAGCTGCCGGTGGCTCCAATTCTTTCTTTACCGTTGACGCAACGCAGGTCTCTCAGCGCGGCGAAACAGGGCCTAACAGACTTCTCGGTCGTATAACGGCCGATACCTGGGCATGTGGATCCGGTATCCTAGGAACCCTAGGCACAGGCCGCTGGACGCACATTCAGGGGAGCCCGCAGAAAATCAAGCCATTGAGCGGCCTGTTCGAGTGGGACGAGATCAACAATTTGGTAGTTCCCATACGGCTGAAGTCATTGTCCGTGGGTAGTACTCATGTAAGTGCAACGATGGACAATGTGACACATGTGGGTACAGGTGAAAGCAAATCAACAGACTCCAGAAATGATACAAACTGGGGAGCCGATGTTGTGTGGTGGGGCGGGAACCAAAATTATCAACTGGGGACTGGGAAGAGAAATAATGCCAACACGCCGCTTTACATTGCGCCATTGGATTATGAGGCCGAGTTGGTAAGGGCGAAGAGGAAGGAAGAACACCGGTTTCAGATCACACCGCGGCATACAGTCAAGATTGGTGGAGGTAGGAAGGTCAGTATGGAGCAGCGTGTCGAATGCGGACGGATGTGTAGTGCCGTTTACTCAAGTTTATAAAGAGGTAGGAGGTGGCTGACTGGTAGGTTTTGATAATTCGCGACTCTTGGTATATTCAATAGCGCCTTGCGATCCATTGCCCGCGAGCTTTCTTCTTGTATCTCTTTGCGTATTCACTTAGTTGAGCGACTGTTCCTATAGTATCATCTATTGTCTCAATTACCAACAATGATGCACAAAGCTGGCTACGAACTGTTTTCGCCGCAAGATGTGGCTTTCCTTAAACGGAACCCGAAATTCTCCTACGCAAAGAATCATTGTGATATTGAACTTGCGCCACAACTCGGAACCCCAAGACCTACGACAACCTTAGTAGAGCCGATGCGAGCCAATACTCCGACTTCGAATGTGTGGAGGATTGCGCTTGTTTCGCGCTTTGCAAAAAGACGTCAGAAGCGGCGATTATGCGACTTTGTCTTGCAGAGTAGCGTCTACCGTGTGGCCGCTTCCCCTGCCACAGCCGAAAAGGTTGCTCAAGCGCCTTTGACTAATGGCTACAAGGCTTTCGATGTCTGGTCAGAGGACCATGCTCTCCCATAGCAGGATGTGACGTTCTGGGCCAACTGTGTGTCTCAATCACCGGATCTGAACGCTTGGACGAGAGGGCTAGAGAATCTTCAACTGTGAACAGACTGGTACTTAAAAGCTGCAACCTTTAAGCTGTTGAGGCCTCAGGTCAACCATGGTGACAGTATACCGCCCATGATGTACCAATCACTCGCAGGACCAATTCTTTCAACACTCGTTTTCTCTCTACTATCCCTCGCTCTTCCAGCAACGCCTGCACAACCCTTCGGCTCGATCCTTTACCCAGACAAAGCCTACGATTTTGCTCCAGGCGACGCAATACAAGTAGTATGGACGCAATCAGTCGTGAACAGCACATTTCAACTCTGGTGCGACGTAGGTGATGGATATGAGGGTAAACATGACCCCTCTCCTCCCTCCCCTTGTCCGGAATCTCGTCCCAGACACAACATCCGACTAACACAGTCCGCACGCCCAGCTGTCTATTCAACAGACATCATAAACGACGACCAAGACCCATACCTAAAATTCAACGTCTTCCTCTACACCTGCCACGGCACAGACTGCTACTTCGCCGTCTCCTCCGGCCTCAGGCAAGTCCCACCACCCGAACCCGCCTCCGCCGTCTCCAACATCACCAACGGTATCAACTCCGGCCCCGTCCCCGTCCCCGTCAACAGCACAGTCGCCTCAGCCAAGAGAGCACGTGCTGATACCACCACCGATGACACCTCCTCCTCCGCCTCCGATAGCCAAGACGCAGATTCTAATGACTATGCAGAGAGCGTACATTTCAACATCACAGTCTGGGACGTGAGCGGGGATAATTTGGGGATCAGTGGGCCTGGTGGTGCGGGGAGGAACAGGCCGCCGCCCGGGGTGCAATGGAGTCTTGCGGCTAGCCCGCCGCATACGAGTTTTCCGGAGGTGCCGGGGACGGCGAACGATACGTGTGGAAATGGTTGATGGTGGGAGTGGAAAAGGAGACATTGAGGTGGGAATTGGACATAGGGGAAGGAAGATAGATAAGGGAGGCATGAGGGATTGTACATAAATTATCAAAGACTGGCTGGCTGGCCGGCTGGCGGGCGTTAAGCAAGCATCGAGGGATAAACCATGATCAAGACGGGATCTCGCAATTCACGTACGCAATCGAGGCAAACAAGATAATATTCCACCCAGCGAGCGTGCAAGCTAACAAAAGCCAACTACTCCCCCTCTGTCGATGTATGCGGGTATCAATCGCTCGCTCTGCTTTATGCTCTCCCCTTCCCTCCTATCATTACCAGCACCTCCCTCCATTCACGATTTCCGGCTCAAAGACATAATATCATCCCGTCAACCCCTCCCTTCCCATCACCGATAAGACATCTAATTCGACACCTTATCCGGCACCTTCTTGCCCGTGAACTTCTCAAACAATCCTCTCGCTTTATCCGTGATCTTCTCATTCATACTGCGCTGCTTGCCGGGGTCGATTTTGCCGCCTCCGAATTTCTTTTCTACGGCATCGAGACCTATGCCACCACCACCAGTAAGTTAGCATCTAGTGATTGATTCTGGGGACGATGAGTGTAGGGGGGATGTGCGGAGGGGAGTGGGAGGTGGTACGGGGGTCGGGGATGGGATGGGGAAGTGAAGAGGAATACCCTTGTCAACATAATCTTCCTTCTGACCGCCCTGGTTAGGATCCATCTCCGCGCGCGTAGGTATTTGTTTGTAAAAGGTGGTGGGGTTGTAGGTGTTGCGTGCAAGTTGCGATAGCTTCAGGACAGTGGGGGAACGATGGGAGTGTGATTGCGAAGAAGTGATGGAGGGGTAAAAGAGTATGAATTGCTTGTGCGTCAGGTGCACCCGGAAACGGAAGGGGCGGTTGTTATCGGCTTGGCGGAGCTATTATTGGCACAGCGACCATGTGACGTGATCGGAAGTGGGGCGCCTCATATCGGCAGGGCGTCGCAGATCGGGAGAGGGCGATTAGATAAGGTTCAGGACTAGATAGGGGACTAAGCGAACAACAGTCGTACAATGGAATAGGTACCCATCAGGCGAAGATTTGTATTTCTAGGTGATCGCTCACACGTTCATATCAAATACTCAATATCATACATGTGCGATGCAGTAGTCGGCAGAAGATAATCTATCTAATCATTCGCTAAATCCACTGTCGCTCGATTCTTGATCAACGCTCATACTGTCGACGTCGCTTTCACTGTCTTGATCCAGCGCCAGTGCAGCCGTAGTCATAGTCCGTGGCATCTCACCTGGGGCGATCACATCCCCTTCAAATTCCATCTCCCTGGCGCGTACTGCTTCAGGATCCTGTAGCCTTGCGTGAGCAAGCAGGTCAATGGATGAATCGTCCGAGTCGGAATCAGAGGCTGCTTCCTTAGCCTCGGTATCTGACCGTGGAGTGATAGGTGCAGCAGCGGGGCGCGGGCTACAGTGGTAAGCATTTTCCAGCTGACTCTGACGCATCGATACGTCAATGCCTTCATCCTCGCTACTATCGTCATCATCCTCATCCTCATCATCATCGTCGGAGGAAGAGGAAGAAGTGAACGGTAGGTGGACATAGGATGGTGGAGGCAGCGTGGATGGTGCAATATCTGTCTTCACCGCAGAAACAATCTCGCTGTTAACGACAGGAGCTTGGCTGCGGGGTATCTCAAGCCCCTCCCGAAAAGTGTCAATCGTCGTCTTCGGAATTGTGCGAGTTACTCTGTGCACATACTCGCGTCTCGCTGAGACAGAAGCGAGCTTGTGTGGGAAGCTTTGCCCAATCCCGCGGCGAGTCTGCACCTTCACAATAAAGTTGTCATCAGGATGAACACCACCAAGTCCCGAAGCTTCCATAGCCAGAGGAGAATCAAGCTCACTAGCACAAGATGGGATCGACTCTCTAAGATCGTTGAGATCCAATGTCGATCGAGCTGCGGTTGGTAGGCTAAAGTCAGAGTCCGATCCATCATCCGTCGATTGCGCCGATGGCGTTCTCGGAAATCCCACGGGTCGTTGAGTAAAACGATTGTAAGAGACATGATCCTTCGCAGGGCTCGGATCAGCTCCAAGGTCAGTACAGAACTTGGCTCCATTGTAGAAGATGATCGGCCCGCCTTCGGGATTTCGATTACGCGGATGTTTCTGCTTTTCACGTATGACATTCGACTTAGTATTCGGATTCGGTTTGAGATCAATCGAGTTGGTAGTGTCTGTGGACACGCTTTCCATGTCAGAGCTCTCCTCCTCGTCTGAGGGCAGTATGCGATTAAAGAGCGGGCGATAGTGAAAGTCATCAGACGTATTTGAAGTCTCGAGATTGACGAGACGCCTTTTGGTACCTGCTTGAGTGTAGTTGAATGCTTGCGGATCAAGACCATCTTTACTAAACATGTCTGCCGACGACCCAGTCTTACTGACTGGATTGCTTGAATCGAAGCTCTTCCAATTGTTTCGTTCCTCGCTCTCATCACCATCTGAGCTTAGCTGCGTACCCTCTTGGCCTCCAAGCCATTTGATTTTCGTACCGTCTTTTGATAGCTCAAGTCTATCGCTATGTGTCTTCACAGAACTTCGAATAAACTCTGGTGTCACATTCAATGTGTGCAACTGCGCCATGCTGATGAGGAGATTCAGATAAACCCATCCATCGTCGCCATCAACCATGACACTATGCTCGCCAGTGGGACTGGCAAGACCGAGATGGCGGATATAGTCAATGTTGTCCGACGGAGCTTGGGCACGATGAATGTCCAAATCCAATGGGCGCGTAGGCCTCTGTTCTGGACTTGCAGCTCGGCTGACTTCCGGACATCGCGAACCAGTTTCCGTCTCGTCAACCTCCTCTTTTGTTTGGCGTAATGACATAAACCCATCTTCCATTGAGTCAACCTTGAAATCAGCACTGTCAGGCAAGATGTGAGCTTCGCGTGTGCCTTCCCTCCATACTCTCTGCCCACAGGCTTCGATTTTAGTACGATCAGCTTCCGCAGCAGCAGTCGACACCTCCTGTTGCTGCTGCATTTGCCCTTGCCTGTGTGCCTTGGCTCCTTTGCCGGTAAAAATTTGTTCGAGGCGACGAGCAACAAGCTTACTGCGTGACCTCTCTGACATGGCAAAGCAATTCCGCGGCATCAGGGCCTCAGGAATGTCTCTCAAAAACGATTTGACATCGTTCGGCATCGAATGCGAGACATTCTTGAGTTGAGGGTGTGCTTGCGATAGAGCGGAGACAGACATGGATGCGTATGCTGAGTCGATCGGTTTCGAACCTGATGTTGAAGATGTAGACGGTTCATGGTGGAGACTCGACGTTGGAAACGTCGAGGATATATCTTTCCTTGGGTGCCGCTTGTGCCGCGATACTCCCTCGATGCCTGACGCAAAGCTTTTCAGCGTGTCTTCTAATTCTCGTTTTTTGTGAGATGGCAGCCCGTGAATCCTGACTTCAAATAGTTTGTCATTTTGCAAGTGCGAGCAATGCAGCCTCTCGTACTTCCCAAGCTTTTTCTTCAACTTCCGGTTTTGTACCGTCAGATCGTCAATTACACCACGAAACCCTTCGCTCGGACTGTCGATGGTAGCATTTGTAGCATTCATCCTCGCAAGTAGAGAAGCCGTAGGCGCGGTGGGCCCAACGTTTTCTTGAGTTGGTTGCATAGACCTGTTGGTTTTGGGCCCCGAACCGTGTACTATGCCTGAGCTTTGTCTTCTAACGAAGAATGGGGGATCATCTGAAAAGGATTACTAAAAATATGCATCGAAAGCGGTGACAGGACTTACTGTCGATGAAAGGGATGTTCTTCGTTGCGACTGCATCGTTATTCGCATGGTCAAACCACTTGTCCGACTCCTCATGACATCTGTGCGCAGCAACCATCTGTGCTCCGTTACTATCTGATGACGACGAATCTGTCCGGATGCGTTTGGCGGGTGGGACTGCGATCATTGCGGCCCTCTTCCGGGCCGTCGTTGATGCTCGAGGCGATCGGGGCCTCGGAGCATGCGCAGCAGACAGCATCCTTGAGATCAATGTGTGATATTATGGATCTGATAAATCGGCAATTGATCCCAGACTGTGTCTAGCCGTTACTCGTCGGCGGAGTCGAAAGTGGCTTGAGGATTCAAAGTTGTATCGACATAATTTATACGGCAGATATAGCGTATGAGCGTAAGCAGCTCAACACTTGGGGATGCTTGAGTTGGGAGGTGGGAATATCGATATGCAGCTGATGCAGCGATAGGAGTAGGTTCTGTGTCGGTCTATCACGTGTGCAAGCTCACGAGTGTCGGCATGAATCTGTGCCGTTTGAGGTTTAGGTAGGGATGACGGATCGTGAGAAGATGGTGGACTAGCCGAGATGCCATGAGAGGCAAGATGAGACAACATATTTACCCACGGCGGTCGAGAAGTGAATCTCGATTGTTTCCTACAGAGACCCAGGGTCCGCCTCTGGCTGGGCGTGTTCCGCATGAGATTTCTGCGTTGATATGGCGGCGATCTGGAGGAGTACTTGTCGGCTGCGGCACCTAGTGCGTTGAATTGGGCATCGGCCCAATCATCGCTCCGGATCGCATGACTCAGCGGCGACTGGATCTCGGCGCAGGAGCAATATAAATCTGCTGCATCGTCGATGCGGCTACAACACCTCAATCCGAGCCTTAAATGTCGTCAGCAGCCGGCGGAGATGACAGCGTTGCCTGTAACTTCACGCCCCCGATCGTAGATGGACTAGGTATACACTCCCCCACGCCGAGAATCAAAATGGTCAACAACGGCCACGATGCGCACGAGAGATCAATGCAACACCACCTCACACTGTCACAGGAGGCGGGGTACTCCTGTAGACGAGAAAACTCAATATTTTGGTGTACTATAATTCAGATGCACAACATCGAGAGATTAGCACATGATGCTGCTCCACCTTCACCGCGCAGCGAGAACATTTGCGCGTCTTTGATCACACGTTTCCTCGCATCTGCCTGACCGTGACAGCTTGCTAACGATAAAGACTATTGTGGCCCCTGTGCCTGGACGCGGCCCCCTCATGACATAACGTACCTCATGCGACACGCGCCTGTTACAATATTGTTGGTCTCCGTGAAGCGGAGACTGATTGCACCGTTATACGTACCGTGCCTCTGCGCCCGCCTTTTCATTCTGACATGCAGCTTCCCTGCAGAACCAATGCAGGCATCCTAGTCTATGAGCCGCGTCTTTTTCTCAAATTTGCTCACCGAGCTGGATACCATAGTGACCTTCCCGTCGTGCAGCACACGATACTGTCCAATATGTCACAGCATCTTGTCGCTGTCGGTTTGAGCACGAAGTTGAACAATAGGGAGGCCTCTGCATCAGGGTTTGGTGGTAGGGTATCAAATCAAGATAGTCGCAAAAAGCCTTTCCAGCTATTGATTTTGGATGCAAACCATGATCTGTTCGGAGCTTCTTCGAGTTCTTTCACCAAATCATCATAATGGGTAGGGTTTGATGCGGGCTTCATCATGCGCTCCGGGAGAGGATACTGCTCAGTCTTCCATCAGAAAGCTCGTCATAAGCTCTAGGGCGCAATAGGAGTCACCTTCTTCGTGTACCGGTTCTCTAGGAAAGAGTATAGAGCATTGACTTGCTCGAGCTCTGCCTTTTCGTCAAATGGTACAGGCGTTGGCGCAACTACATGCGCATCATTCGAGTTGTCTTGCACCGAGTTGAAAATTGACGAAGGACCGAGTCTGTTGTCCATTCTACGTTGAAGACACTTCTGGAAAGTGACGTCAGGACGTAGTTTGTCGACCGGCCATGAAGTGAGGATGCGTTTGTAGTGCTTCAAGATGATCTACAAATCACGGCGATGTCAGTAAATTCCTCGAACGATAGATCAATTCATCGTGATTGCCCTCACCTGCTTAGAGGCCATAGTCATCGCGATAAAACTCGTGTGCAAAGGAAATGATCAGTTCAGGACTGAAGAAGCAAGACGCACCATGGTCAATGACGACGAGGACAAGTCTTATGCCTCAATCGTAAATGGTGAGCGGGTGCCAAGAGACTGAGCCGATAAGGTATGGCGTGTAATTACTCCGTACCGATTCGATTGGGTGGGTGACGACGGCCCTTCGCCTCTCCGTCCGCCCATAGCCTAGAAACGCGACGAATCTCCAATACCTTCACTCTTACAAACCTCCCTATCAACCATGGTGTTATGATATCAAGTTCCTTGAGCGAGTCAACGGGTGACTGAAGCCAAGTCTCTATCTAGTGAACAGCATCACTGATTCAAGGCTTCACAATGAGCCCTCAGCACTATGAAAGGGTACGTCTCGGTCAGCCTTTCGGGCACCCTTAATTATCAATCTGGACTCTGCAAGGAAGATTGCGCTGATGCATGTCTTTCTAGGTGTCGACTAATGATCAAGATGAGACTCCGATGACCCCAATCAGTCCCCAAGACCAACGGAATGACCGCCCTTCTCCGCCTCCCTCCTTTAGATCTCGAACTTCCTCCCCTTCTTCGAGGCATCTGCTGTCTTCGGAGGACCCTATAATTACCGACGCTGAAAGGACATTAAATGATACATTCGATGACGGATCTGATTCTGATGATGAGGGCGACAATGGGGGTGACGACAGGCAACGGCTGATGCGGTCGGCAACCAGCCAGTCTCGGACAGACTCCAGGTTAGCGCAAGATGGCGGCCGACCTGACTTACTTAGAAGCTTCACACGCTTTCCTGGTCATGAGCCTTCTGTTCCTGTCCAGGCAACGACCACACAAGCTATACGCAGTGCCCCTCAAAACCCATACGCTCGATTGAACGATGGTGTCTTTGCTAACCTGAATGCGAAACCTGAGAGAGGAGAAAAGTTGGAAGAGCAACCACCTGTATGTTTCTGTTCCTTGCAAATTTCCTCTTATAACGAACTTACGATTTCGTGCAGTCGTATGAAGATGCAGCTGCGGATGCCACTCCGCCCTACTGGGAACCAACAACAATTTTCGCTCCCGGCAACCTTTCATCCTCGGACGAAGTCTATGTTGACGGCCTACCAGTCGGCTCTTTATTCTCGTTCATTTGGAACGGCATGATAAGCATGTCGTTCCAGCTAGTCGGCTTCCTACTTACGTATCTCCTACACACCACACACGCGGCGAAGAATGGCTCAAGAGCTGGGCTCGGAATCACTCTTGTGCAATATGGATTCTACATGCGAGCGGGAGCACATAAATCATCATCTCCATCAGACACAAACGACTCATTTGCCCCTCCAGCAGATCCGAACAATCATGACTTCGACCCAAGCACCCAGCCAGATAGCGCCGCAGCCGCAACAGCAGCAGCAATGTCACAGTCAGCAGCAGACGCAGCATCGTCAGGCAGCAGTAGCAGCACAGACTGGATTGCTTACGCAGTCATGATTATAGGTTGGTTTATTTTAATAAGAGCAGTCAGCGACTTCATCAAGGCAAGAAAGCATGAGCAGCTGGTTCTCCAGAGTCCGGATCGGGGATTGAATGTTCCTGTGGTTGCCGATAATGAACGACCCGAGACAGCGGTCTGACGAAGATATCTCGGGAAAACTTTTGTGTACAGAGCATTGGTTTTATTTCTGGGCAGGTATTGTATCATGATTGTCAAGAGCTAGGAGTCATCAGCGTAACGATTCTATTCACTCATTCATTCTGATCTTGTCTCACTGCTTTCGTTTGTTTGGTTGGCTGGCTAACTCTGGGTCGGTGGACCCTTTGAGGCTGATGCCAAGAAACCCGTTGGTTACCGGTCCTCAGCGAAAAAGAAGTGCCCGATTGCTCTCAGGTTCCCGTGAACTACCCTTGTTCCTCAATATCTTCCTACCTTTTCTTCTTGGCTGCATGTTCTGGGTCACTTGTTATTCTGCTCGCAGTACCTGTTGCTTGGGGTCCTAGAGCCTCATGGCTGCTCTTTGCACATCCAAACGCCTGGCCGGTCCTCTTACACAAGCCGCCAACATATTCCACCTGCCAGGCGAGACAACCCGACGATGCTTCTCGACGACGCCTTATCACCGAGCCACCCTCGGCCTCGACCAGCTCGACCAAACGCGAGGAAATCGTGAAAGAGTCGTGATCCTGGGCTCAGGATGGGCTGGTACATTCCTAACCCCCACCCCCTTCCACCCCTTCACCCACCACCTCCCCCACTCACTTCTCCCGCAGGCTACGTCCTCTCCCAACGCCTCTCCTCTCAATACCAAACCCTCGTCATCAGCCCCCGGAACTACTTCGTCTTCACGCCCCTCCTCAACTCCGCAGCAGTCGGCACGCTCGAGTTCCGCCTCGCCCTCGAACCCGTCCGTTCCCATCGCACTCCGAATATCGAGTACATGCAAGGCTGGGCGGATACCCTCTCCGTCAACCGCAAGACCATCACCATCGAGGAATCTGTCGTCGATCAGCGCAAGGGCCGGAGTAGCACGGATGCTGATCCCTACCGCCATAGCAGTCTCACGGCATTGAAGCTCGAGAAGTTCGGGAAGCGGAGAGAGGGGAAGCGGTTTGAGGTTGGCTATGATAAGTTGGTCGTGGCCGTCGGGGCGTATAGCCAGACCTTTGGCACGCCAGGGGTGAAGGAGAATGCGTATTTCATGAAAGACGTCGGTGATGCACGGAGGATAAGGAAGAGGGTGTTGGAGTGTTTCGAGATGGCGAGCTTGCCGACCACGCCCGAGAAGTTGCGGGAGCAATTATTGCGGTTCGCCATCATTGGTGGTGGGCCCACAGGGATGGAGTTTGCCGCCGAACTGTCGGATCTGGTGCAGGTGACGCTCGCGAAGGTGTATCCGAGACTGGTACCCATGGTCAGGATTACGGTGCATGACGTGGCGAGGAAGGTGCTAAATATGTTTGATGAGAAGTTGGCGGCGTATGCGATGAGGACGTTTTCGAGACAGGGGGTTTCGATTAAGACGGAAAGCAGTATTTTGGAGCTGCGGTCGGGGCAGCCGAAGGGGAATGGGGCTGGAAAGGGGGGAGGGTCGGGTGTGGATGAGGAGTTGGCGGACGCGCAGGGGCTGTATACGTTGGTTACGAAGGAGGGAGAGGAGGGGGTGGGGATGTGCGTGTGGAGTACAGGCAACATGATCAATCCCTTTGTGAAGAGTGCGCTGAGGAAGCAGAGACGGTTCCCGAATTCTTCTGCGATGGTGAGTGAAGGGAGAAATCCTGGTGAGTTGCCGAGTCATGACTGGATGCTCGCGAGCCACCCGAAGACAGGAGGGCTGTTGGTCGACGACCATCTGCGCATGCAATTACATTCACAAACAACGACTTCGACCAAGGACGGCCAGGAGAAGCCTGCCACGAAGGCTGCCCTTACGGACGTCTACGCCCTCGGCGACAACGCATCCGTCGACGGCATGTTCCTACCCGCAACAGCGCAGACTGCCTCTCAACAAGCCGAATACCTCGCCAAATGCTTCAACGAAGAGGCGCGCGAGCGAAGCACGCCTGGCTTTTTGCATTCTTCAAGTGGAGGGTATGAGATGGCGAACGTGCGAAGCGGGCTGGCACAAAGCACGAATGGCGTTGTTCCAACAGCAGCCGCGAAGACAAAACCTTTCAAATTCAATAATCTGGGCATCATGGCGTATGTAGGGGATAGTAAGGCGATTGTCGATAGTGGAGGCGAGAACACACCGGATCTGAGCGGACGGGCGGCGTGGCTTGTTTGGAGAGGCGCGTATATGGTTAAGAGCATTAGTTGGAGGAACAGGGTGCTGATTCCTACGTACTGGTAAGTCGAGCAATTGTCTTTTTTTGTCTGCAATTTCTTCCAAAAAAAAAACCAGGTCGGTTCGGTTCTGCGAGAGGTAGAAGGAGGACGAAAAGTAACGCATTGAGATGGCAAGGCTAATATGAGTGATCTTGCACAGGTTCTTGAATTGGTTGTTTGGGCGTGACATCACACGCTTCTAGCTGCATACATTCGCTTCGACAAAGGAGTCCCGGATGAAAGTTAGGGGCATATGACTTCACGGCTGAACGGCAAAAAGAGTCTTCATGGAGTTTAAAGCTAGAATAGAGGCCAAAAGCGAATCGGGCGCCTGACATATGAAGCAGGTCTTCCGTAATAGATCTGGGGAATGGGAACATAGAGAAAGAGTTTAGTCGAGGGTTCAATCGACGACATAGACGGGTTACTTCACAGTACAGGATCAGGATCAGAAATGCAAGTCATCAAACATGACCAAGATTTGTGCTCTGACGTTCCGTTACACCAAAGCTACTGTAGCTAGCGCTACATGCGTCTTGCACACCATTGCCACCCATCTTGTTGTAGTGAAATCTACCTGCTTTCGCTGGCCACCTCTAATTCCTGCGTCTTGATGTGAGCCTGGAATCTATCACAGCACATCTATCCCTCCTACTCCTTACAAGAATATCCAGAATGCAAGCTGGTGCATTCACTCATAATGCAATATCCCATAATTCCATGAATACATCCCTCATGGAAGCCCCCTGCTTACGGGAAAATGGTCCTGTCTTGTGGCATACGGGAAGTCGGGCGTAGGCCTTATGGTCACTTCTCATCGTTTGAAGATAGCATCGAAGGCTCTTGGTCATTGAAAGTAAGTCCTGACGGTCTGTTGCAACTCTGGCGTTTGAGTTGAAAGGAGCTGGTTGGCATCGAGGCTAGCAGTTTGGACTAGCGTTTTGGCTGACGCTGCTACGCGCTGAGCTGTCTGTCCCTGCAATGTCTCCGCCTCGAGTGCTTGACAGATGTAGATGAAGCATTGGCTTGCAGCTGCTATGACTGCCGGGTTATGTCTAGTAATGAAGTCAGCTTCTGTGATCCAGACAATCTATTGTGAAAAGGTACAGTCGAAGAAAGCTGATGGAATGGAATCAAGGAACGAGACTCACTGCTCAATTAGAGAGGCGAGGAACATGTAAGAGTATGGAGCTGCCTCTTCGTCATTGACGACTGGCAATGTTTGTAGCCAGTGTTGCAAAACTTCTTGGAGATTCGGAACTTTGCTAGAGTTCGTCTGCATGATCTTGGCGATCGCAGCGCAAGCATTTTCCGTTGCGAATACATGATCATCCATTCGAGCATTCGACATTTGTGTCACTTGAAATAGCGTCGGCAAAGCTTCAGCGACAAAGGCAGACCAGTTCTGACCGCCTTTCTGAGCGGCTATACCAACCCCATAACAAGCTGCCTGTCGGTTAGCCGGAATTGGATCTCTCATACCGTCGATGAGGGGTTGACGAATATGTTGTTGATAGGACCAAGATTGATCGCCGCAGAATTCAAGAACGTCATCCATAATGCAAAGAGCCCATTGGCGTTGAGTGGAATCGTTGCTGGTGATGAAGGAATCGTAGAATGGCCTTAGGCGTGCCCACGCAGGCAGGAACGAGGTCTCCTGGTTTTTGAATATGGTATGGAAGGCTTTGTTCATGTCACTGAGCAATGTCTGATCGTCTTCTATGGCGAAAAGGGTCTCTTCGGATTCTTCTTCGCCTTCTTCAATCTCCTGCCATTCTTCTTGACGATTTTTGACTCGCGTTTGATAGTCTTCAAGTGTCTCCTTCGCAGCTCCAATGAAGGCACCCATGTGTTCAGCCGTCAAGCAATTCTTGCCCACTATCTCCAAACATTCATAAAAACACTGGTACATCTCTGCGAGGGTATCTATCGCTGGCTCGGCTGTTAGAACTTCGAGCAATTTATCGACTGTCACCGCCCAAATGTCTTGTAGCTTCTGTGAACGTTCACCTGCTCCTTCTTTGACTGCATTGAGCAACACTGGCACACTTTTTGCAGCAGCCACTCTAGTTGGGTCATGGAAGAAGAATGCTAAGCTTGGTAGTGACACTTTGCTCATAATTTCCTCCACGTAAGGTTCAAATGCTGCTTCTAGGTTCTGCGCATAGATGCAGATCAATTCAATGGCCCTATGCTTGTCCTCAAGCACGGATGTCTTGATGCCGATGATCTTGCCTTTCAAAGGTACGGTTTCCCAGCCCTCATCTTGGCTGACCTTTGCTGCTTGCTCGTCATCATCCAGTAGCTGCAGGTCTGCCTTGGCGCTGGCAAGCTGCATCAAAGGCGGCATGACACCAACAAGATATGGCACAAATTCTTTGCCTAGAACCCTGCACATTCGACCCCAACAATGGAGAAGATATTGAGATTGCGGGTCGTCCGCATCGACTATGCTCTGCTGAACGCGCCCTAAGATTTGGACAAGGGTGATCGCATCATTTCCCATTTTCTGTCTGCCGACAGCCAGCGCAATCAGAGTAGCACACTCCATTGCTTTGGCTCTAAGCAATCTAAGCTCTTTAGATTGCTCTTCTTGTAAGACGTTGAACAACATTGGCATCAAAGTATCATAGTACTTCGCGAAGGCATTCTCGGCGGAATCGGCTATAGTGGCAATAGTTGACAAGGCTTGTTCCTGTACATAGCGCTTGGGGCTTTGGAGAATCTTAAGTAGCCGAGTGAGTAATTCGTCGAGATATGGCTCCAAGATCTCCTTCTCCGCTTCCTCGCAGAAATTGACCAGAGCAGCTGCAGCGTGCGACTGTATACGTGGTTCGGGGGCATCCAAGACAGGTATGATGTTTGGTAATACAATCTGGTGATACTTGGATTGCATAGTCCCTGCGAAGTCAGTGCTCATCTGTCCAAGAGCATTACAGCCAGCCCATCGGACACGAGAATGTGGATCTCTTAGAGCGGGTACTACCAGCTCGAGGACTTTGTCAAGCTCAGCTACCATAAGCTCTTGACAGCCCTCAGAGATGGCAGAAATTGCCATAAGAGCGGCGTGTCGGTCTCGCCAGCCGGTAGATGAAATCATTCGCGGTAGCCATGTGAAAGTACACGGAAGAATAGCAGGACCACCCAGCTTGTTGGCAAGACGATCCATACATTGCTCACCAGCGACGTGGTTTAGATCGCTTTCCTCAACGTCAAGATCTTCCGATGCGTTCCATTCTTCAGCATCTTCATCGTCCTCTCCAACATCTGTCATTAGGCTTAAACATTGGGTGACCATGTCCGATGTGTACGAAGGGTCTTTTCTGCATAGTGCTGGAGCACTGTCTGCAAACGTGCCCATGAGCTCGAGCGCATTTTGACGCGTTTGATTGGTGAGTTCCTTGTCCGAAATGACCGAGATGCTGAATTGCACGAGATTGTGGAATAAGTGCTTGAACATCATCGGAGCCTCTTCGGCAATCTCAATAAGTGCGATCAATGCTTTGGACAAGTTGTCCGTATCTCCAGCTTCTTTCAAGGGTGGCAAAGTATTCAGTAGCTCAGGGACTAAGGCATAGTATTTCTTCTGGTTCTTTTTATTTATCACGGCGAAGAAGGAGGAGAATGCCTCCATGGCCGAGATCCGTACTTTGGCATCGTCATCTTTAAAGCCTTTCGTGAATACACTCAGTACAATGCCATCATCCTGCGACTCGATTATACCGGGGGTCGAGGTGAGTATCCTAAAGGCCCCTTCTCTTTGGCCGGTGTCTGGGGATTGACTAGCTTGAAAGAGTGCTTGCAGCAACTCGTGCCACTGTTCGTCATTGTCTGCGTATTGTCTTGCGACTTCGGCCACCGCATCATCAACATTGTGTCTGACTTGAGGAATAGACTCGCGTTGCAAACATTCCAGGAGCTTCGATCTTATCGCTTGTTGCTGTGTCCCTGGAAGAGAAAGGAAGAGTTCCTTTGATTCTTCCGTGCCGGGAATCTTACGCGATTTGGTTGCTATTCGACGAAAAAGTACAGCCGCAAAGGATCGTGTCTGCATACGTGGCCAGGTAAGCTTAATTCTACCACAGGCAGGCGGGTCGTCTCTTCATACCGAAGCTTCTGGATCCCCCTGTATATGCTCTACCAAGCCCATCAACAGAGCGTCTGGCCTCGCAGTCGCCCATTCATTGCTCAGCTGATCTTCCGCTTTTTGGCGAATGTTGTTGTCTGCCGAACCAAGCCCTTGCAACAGCTGTGATAGGGCGCTCAGGACCTCTTGCGGTAAGACAGACATGTCGATGGCGATAGGCACTACTCGTTTGGGTTTGCGCAAGCTTGCCGTGGTGATTGAGGTCTTTGTGCGCGTCTAAAGACGCGGTTTACGAATTCCCACAATAGAGCAGGCTAGCTGCCCATTGAGTGGTAGGAAGAAAAGCAGGTGTACGTTGTTGGATGACCCGAAGGATGTGGGCGATAAGATGACGAGCAGGAGATAGAGCTATGAATAATGGGATCTGCAAATGCAATGCGCTCCAACCCCAATTCGGTTCTAATGGTTCTACTATCTTTTATGGGAAAAATAAATTTGATATAAGGGCCTGCCAAGACAGCACTCCCGATCCGGTTCCGCAACAGGCGCCTGCCATTGAATTGCGGGGGTGCTCTTATAGGGCAGTCACCCCGGAGTGTTTTCCAGCAGAAAGCGCATATTCAATCACGTTGATGTAAACTGGAAACTGACTCATTGGAAGTCTGTCCCCTGGGTGATTGAAACCAACAGGAGGCACCTGGTGCACCTTGCTTGGGAGTTACAGTTATACGCAACACTGTCCCTACAAACACGTTGTATGTTGCCGTTGAGCCTTGAAATTGAGGTGAGAAAGGCCTTGATTCAGTCCGGCTAGCAATTAAAGACTTATAGATCTTTTAGAGATACAGATCGCTTCGCTGTCTATGCAAGCTTGAAGCTGAGAAGTAGAAATATCCGCTTAGAACAACATTCGAGTCGAAGAAAGTTACGCGAAGAAGGATAAAGATGTAAATAGAGTCTTACAGGAGCTAATTTCGACTCGATCTGCTAAACGCAAAGACACCGACAATCACGACTGCCAGTGCTGCGATTGCACCTGGTAAAAGCAGTTCATTCGGAACTCCAGCAATGACCTGCTCTGGCTGCTTGGCTTGGCTCGCAGGTTGCTGCCGCTTCTTGACGGGCGTTGCCATATCGTCCTCAGATTCCTCCAGATGCTTTCTTCGGCTCTTCAAAGTTGACGATGGAGGCGGCGTTGGAGGTTTGGTAATGCCTGGGTGAGGGTCTAGCGTAGCAGACATAGGAGGTTTGTCAGGATGATGTATGAAGAGGTCCACTTTCTCCCGATGATGCCGTCTGGATAGCGTAATTGCGTCCACGACATCTCTGTCCACCGTGATGGATACAGAGTCCCCTTCATTGTCAAGGTAGCTCATTGCAAAGCCCGAAGGTAGGAGTCTACCGTCATCAACTTTGGCTTCGCCACCAACGGCCTCAACCTCGTTGCCCAATTTCGCTATGACGTTGGCAACAAGATCTTCGATGCCCAATGTTGGAGTAACTTGGAGCTTGTGCACACGTCCACTTGGGGCCTTGAATTTGAAAGGGAATGGGGTTTCTGTGATCATTGGAGATGACACTTCCGGGCTCTCGGATCTCGACTCATCACCATGGTGTGAAGCCGACTCATGGGGTTGAACACTATCAACGCGATCAACAGCCGGTCGATCAGGCATTGGCGATATCATGCCAGATCTATGACCTGGGGTGTGAGGACGGTGACTTCCACCTTCCGAAACGAATGATTCAGAGTCATTATCAAGCGATAACCAAAATTTGCCCCAAGCCGGACCTTCATTGTCTCCAGTCGACATTGAATTTATTTGCTCCAGAGTTGAATATGTCAACTTAAGGACGTCGACCATACCAACAATTTCACCAGGTTCATTCATGACAGGGAGGTTGAGATAATGCCCATCTTGTAATTGTTAGATCGCAGTATGGGAATACGAAATTTCATAACTCACCATGCATTTTCCGAAGTGCAGCCTGTATGCTCATGTCTATGGGAGCGAAGTCTGGATGTGGAGTCATGACCCTCACAACGCTGCAGTTTGCTGGATCTAGACCTGGTGCAATAACCCGAAGAACGACATCTTTACTTGTGAAGATACCTGTAATAGATCCCTGATCTTGCACCAGGACGGCAGTTGTGTGATTCTCTTTCATAAGCATAGCAGCCTCCTTTACCGTAGTACGGACAGACACTGTAGTCGGTGGCATTCCATTCAGGACAGATTCTAGGGTAGGACCTGACATTTTCTGCCTCAAAGCTTCGACATATTGTATGATTTGTTGCGGTTGACTTGAGCCAAGTTCTGACTGAACACCCTCGAGAGCGTCATATAGTTTCCTCGAGGAGCTGTAAGCTCGTTCAAGTTTTTCCATTGCATCGTAGAAGCATTTGGTGATATCCAGTATTCCCGAGATGTCCTGATTCTCGTCCATTACAGGTAAATGCCGGAAGCCTTTTCTTACCATGAGATCCAAAGCATCTGTTGCACTAGTATCTGTTCTCGCGCACATCGGGTTCTTCGTCATGATCTCTGAGATATTGACTTCACGCGCTTTTATTCCAGCACCGACTACGCGAAAAGCCAAATCCTTTGCCGTGAAAATCCCAGCAATCCTCTCGTCGTCGTCTGTGACAAGAACGCAATCTTCTCTCTTCGCGGCCATCAGCTGTGCTGCCTCCGCGACAGTTGTGCCTGGTTTGATCTGCAATGCCTGACTTGGTTTCAGGGCAAGTACAGTTCCTGGTGGAGCTTTGCGAGTATGTCGAGCTCGAGATACCCCCCTTTCTTCTTGTTAAGGTCCGACTCCAACTTCTTCCGTATGGCCTACAGTCCTTTGTAAGCAGCGCCATGGTCCATTGAGGATTTGGTTTTACCTCATCTCGCTTTGATTGTTTTTGTCTGCTTGCGGATAGTGTTGACGTGCCAGCTTCACTTGAGAGTGCTGTGCTAGCATGATTTTCGAGCCTTGGACGAGGGATATTGGAAGGACTGCTTTCGAAAGTAGGCATTTGACCACGACCTTGACCTTGGCCTCTGCTCGTCGGTGTTCCACGGAAAGTGCCAGCAGATGACATATCTAAAGATCACTGAGGACTGTGATGCAGAGAACAGGACAAAAAATGATCTCGGCGATGTAATGTCCCTTTACACCCCCTTCGGATCCGGTAAACAAGAGCCAATTTGACTTTCCTTGGCACGCGAGATAAGATGACGCGCTAAGATAACCGAGAACCGCACTTGTGTTACCGCGAAAGAGACGACCGCAGAGCTCGCCCAAACAGCAACGACATTTTAACATCAAGGTGAGGGTATTTACAAGCTTCGTACAGAAGCTAGCTCATAATTCATTCAGAGCCGCAATCATGGTGAAGAAACGAGCGTCTAAGTATGTTACTCTCCTACCTCGAAGACTGTTCTTGACTGGCGTTCAGCGGACGCAACAAGAAAGGCCGCGGCCACGTCAAACCTATTCGTTGCTCGAATTGCTCTCGATGTACCCCCAAAGATAAAGCAATAAAGAGATTCACGATACGGAACATGGTCGAGAGTGCTGCCATCCGTAAGTCTCCCGCTCCGTTGAGCGCTATTGATACTCACCCGCCACCAGGTGATATTTCTGATGCCTCTGTGTTCCCCGAATATGCCGTGCCAAAAATGTACCTCAAATTGCAATACTGTGTCTCCTGCGCTATTCACGGGAAGATTGTGCGGTATGTCTTTGCAGTAGTCCGGATTTAGATGTGCAGAAGCTGACCCACCATCAGTGTGAGGTCAAGGGAAGGAAGACGTAATCGCGCTCCACCACCGCGCGTGAGGTTCAACAAGGATGGGAAAAAGATCAATCCACAACAGGCAGCTAAGACGGCACAAGCATCGACATGATGATGGCTGCGGTTGGGATCGCCTTGATCAGTGCATAGCAAGTACTCATAGGTCGCGCCGTGAACGTGAGGGAAGCAGATCAAAATAATGGGATTATTTCGGCTCCATTCTATGAATACCAAGCCCATCCCGCTGATGCTAGCAAGACACAACGCCACTATGTCCAAAACGCTATCACAGATTGCCTCCGTCGCCGATCCCTGGTCATGCAGTCTTATTTGTTCATCCATGCAACGAAAATCCCCACGAGTATTGCCATGGTTGCACCGGAAAAGATAAGGCAGGATCCTTCAAATGACATCCAGAAGTCCGGCTTATCTGTCATGATTTCAGATTGTTGTTTTCCAAATAGTGGGTCACAGAATATTTCATCTAACCTTCTCCTGTGTTATTGCTTTCACTTTTTGCGACTTCGGGTGTATTGTCATTCGCCCCACTCCATTGAAGCTCGGGTTCTGATGCGGGCATCGTGGGTTTGAAAGTGTCTTCAGAACTAGCTTGTTCAGTCTGGCCATCGGCAGTGTCATGGATCTCAATATTCGGTGTTCCGGGAGCCTGCAAAACATCGATTTCGTCTAGGACTGCGATTCTGATTCCATCATTGAGTTTCATAAGCTTTGGTGACGGCTGTTCTGACATTTGACTTGCAAAGATCTTCTTTGCCCACTCTTCGGCAACCACATCATACAAAAATTGATACTGCATTTCAGATTGAACCATCAACATGCGCTGTTCCCTTAATTGATGCACGAGATCAAAAATTATGTCTTCTTCTGCGTCGACTTTGGCAATTGCACCGGACTCCACTTGGGCGAGCAAGTATTCAAGTGCGATGAATGTGCCGGAGCGGCCAACGCCGGCACTGCAGTGAATGGTCCTCGGATTCTGGGGATGGGAGTTCATCCTTGATGAAATTTTGATAAGATCCAATAGCTCCACACGATCTTCATCTTCTGGCACACCGAAGTCTGGGAAGGCTGTGAATAGAAGATGCCAAACGACTTTAGTCTCATCACCAAAAGTCAAATGAAGTTTCCGTATTTGGGTGTGTTCGCCTTGCTGCTGCTGCAATTCTACAAATGAAACTCTGCCTTCTTCTGGGCTATCAGGGTGACCGTTGGCTTTGATCTGAAACGGACTTGCTTCTGCATCGAGTGGAAAGTACTGAAAGCATTTTTCTCTACCTTGCTCCTCAGTTGGAGTGAGCATGACGATCACAGCAATCTCCTGAGTCTCGTGCCATATCATGTGCCAGAAATGACCCATACTAGATCTTTTAGGGCCCTTCAAGCCGGTTATTAGCAAAGGTGCTCATGCAAAAGTTAGAGTTAACTCACTTGAGTTGCAATAAATCTAGTTTCGAGACCGGTACCCGGGTCCTTCAATGCGATTGGGGAGGCGTTGATGTAATCTAGCATTCCCTGCCCAACCTTCAGCCGGATGCGCGATTTGTCCCATGGCTGAACACCAGTGTAGCGATTTCTTTGTAGCACAGAGATATGCGAATCTTGGGTCCAGGGTGAGTCTGGGTCGTTGCGCCCTTGCATGATGCGCAACTTTTCCTGCCAATTCAACTCACTGAATTTGGCGTTAATATCTAACGCCAAAAAGCTTAGTCTCAGCACCGTGCATATGCAGACGTGGCAATTGGTAAGTGCACAAATGGCTTAATCACTTACCAATTTTTGATTGACGCAAAAAGGCAGGGATAGTTGGCTCTGGCGGCTCGTCTACTTTCGAAGCCTTAGCGACTGGGGGAGTTTCGGACTTTCTAATGCTGTCCTGCGAACGAGCTCGTTTCGTGGCCGTACTTATTCCTTTGGCAAATGGAGCCGCCATCAAGGCGAATCGCTGTCTTACATTTGCCCCAAATCTGCCGCGAGGTGATGGCGGCGCTGACTGTGCTAGGGGCTCTGATTTTGTAGATATTCGATAGGGGAGACTGAAGATTCGTTCTTTCGACAAACCCGCAGATGGCTATTGTTGTACGAGAAGTGGAAGTGTAATGTTGATAGAAAGACAAGTAGCTCGTCAAACCAATGAGCAGATAACAACACTCATTAGTCCCCTGCTGTCTTGTGACCAGTGACACTCAAGAGATCATGCAGTATTGGCGAACTACAGCAAATTGGGTCTCAAGCTGCGACTTTTTGTTCAAGTGGCTTGTTGCAGAGTAGAGTGTGAGATCATACAGAGAAGAAGACTGGCAAAAGCATTTATATGTTTAATTGGAATCTAAGAAGGCAACTTGTTGGGAAGAAAATGATGCAGCATTTTCTCAGCCCTATGAGAAGGCCAAAGTTGCCACACCACAATGGGGCACCGCTACATTGAAGATTCTTGTCTGCATCTACCCACCACTCACCTCTCATACGACAAACCAAGCGATTTCATTGGCATCCAAGGCCAAGTGCCATAACGTGGACCTCTAAGTCTCCGTTTTCCTGTTTTAGCGCCGCACTTTTCGGGCAGTCCTGGAAAGGCTCAAAATGAGACTCTGGTGGCTTGCGCTCGTTGAGGTAATTTTTTGCCCTTTTTGGTAGATGTTCGAGGCTAACGTATGTCAGAGCTACATGACACGAACGGTAGCTCGGCCTACCCTTTTCTATCTGCCGTTGTTTACGTTGAAACGCCTTTGTAGCTCTTACGAAGCCCCACCTTTCACCGCGGAGTCCAGAAGATTCACAATGCTATGCACGAAGCAAAGCATGGACCAAATATAGAGAACATGGGTGGGACTAAGATAGACAACCCCAACAGTCAGTGTGATAAGTGGGTCTGACAACACGATGAAGGTCACTGATGTGTCACATCAGAGCCTAGCAACAGCTTCGTCCGGCATTTCGTTGAAGAGCTGAAGAAGGGCGTTCCGTTTGGCAAAAGATGAATCCCAATATCCCAACGGCTGCGAGTCTCGCCATGATATCTTCTGGCCGCAGCGCCTCATCGTTTCGGGAAATATATGTCACATGCAGTACAAAGTATGGAAACCTTTCCTTTTCCCCATGTTTTTAGGAAGATCCGGGCAAGAAATTGGGCTTCTTGGACATCATCAATGTTACTTGGCTCTCATTCCGTCCGAAGAGCAAAACCACTCTGAACCCACGAACAGGCGCCAGTTCCACAGACCTGAGTCGTATTCTTACCTCTGAGTGGACATACAACTTCAGCAAAAGTCCAACATCATTGCCGTCATCTCTTGACTTGTCGCTTGATCCATATAATTCTATTTTCCATGTTCAAGAAAGAGTTTGCTCAACTGGCTCTTGATTGGCTCGGTCGATGCCCTAGCGTCCCAAATGGGGAAGCTCAGGTCCTTGTCGTCATACTTACGTCTTGTCTGTTTGATAGTTGCCATTCCGTTTTTAAAGAACATACACTACCTGGTTTATTATTCTTGAATTTCTCGACACTTAGAATCGCTGTTTAGTATGCCTAACGCTATCGTCACTGGTGCTACAGGTCTGCAGTGATGTAAATGTTTTGACACTGGCGCTGACTCCGCATTCACATAGGCATCCTTGGCCGAGGCATTGTAGCAGCCCTCGGCAATAATGCAAAGCAATGGCAGACTGTATATGCATTGTCTCGAAGCCAAAAGGAGAATTTCCCACCCAACGTAAAAACTCATCTTCTCGATCTTACCAAAGATGCCCATGGAATGGCCAAGCAGCTTGAAGGTGTCCAAGCGGAATACGTCTTCTTCGCCGCGTACCTGCAGAAAGACACCGATCAGGAGAATTGGGATGTAAATGGAGCCATGCTGAAGAATTTCCTCGAGGCATTAGAAATTACAGGTGCCGCTAAGCAACTCAAACGCGTCATCATAACTGCAGGTGCAAAGCAGTACGGGCTGCATCTCGGCCCACCAAAGCAGCCAATGGAGGAGTCAGATCCATGGGTGGAAGGCGAGGGACGTCCACCAAATTTCTATTACTATCAGCAACGCATTTTAGCCGACAAAGCCAAGAATGCTCATTGGGATTGGGTGGTCACGTATCCGAACGACGTAATTGGCGTTGCAAAGGGTAATTTCATGAATATTGCCACATCCATCGGCCTTTATGCTGCAATTTCTAAAGAGCTGGATGGCAACCTCGTCTTTCCTGGCTCACCAACATTTTATACTATGTTCGATAGCTTTACCTACAGCCCTCTACACGCTGACTTCAACATCTGGTCAGCTTTAGAACCAAATTGTGGCAATCAAGCATTCAATATCGTGAATGGCGACACCGAATCTTGGCAAAACCTGTGGCCTAAGATAGCAAGACGCTTTGGAGGTCATATTCCTCGCAATCAGTTCAATATAGGTCTCGGCGAAGATCCTAGCTCAAGCGTGGAGCTAGCTGAGAGACCACCAATTGCGGACGTTGCAGCGCAAATTGGGTTGGAGAATAACGTGCAAAGGGGAAGGGTGGAACAGAAGTGTGACCTAATCAAATGGAGCCAAAGAGAGGATGTGCAGAAGGCGTGGGAAAGGCTGCAGGAGAGGGACGGGCTTGATAAGGATGCCTTCGCGAAAGCGACCTGGGGTTTCTTAGGATTTGTGCTTGGGAGGACTTTCAGCGCCGTGATCAGCATGAGCAAGGCGAGAAGATATGGATGGACTGGGTACGCTGCATTCTCCGTGGCAATTACAGGAACAGGCTGACGTTTGCAGATATGTTGATACCTGGGAGGCACTCTCTCAATGCTTTGATGAGCTCGAGCGTGAGAAGATCTTGCCGAAAGCCAAGTATTCAGAAGCGTGAAAGAAGCTTTGAAATCAACATATACATTCACATCGAATGCTGCCTTCAGATATCATACAAACATAGCCTAGGAAAGGCAATTGATGAATCAAGGAAATTCCCCATTTGCTCCCAGTCGGGATCTGTCCGGTCATTTCGCATCATTATTATTGGCGGCATCTCCTGCTTCTACGCTGCCATCCTCTTGCGGAGTCTCTTCTTCTCCTTCTTCAACCACGCCAGTCTCTTGCACTCCCAACTCTACATCATCACCTTCTTGCGGCACCATTCCATAGCCCTTCGCTCTCCGTCTCCTATCCAACATTCGCTTGTGATAGAAAGAACACAGCCCCAGAGCGCACAGACTTCCGATGAGGTTCGCAGCAATATCCAAAGGGTCAAATTCCCTGGCTGTAGCTAGGCCTTGTAGAGCCTCTGACCCAAGCCCTAAGAAGACGGTCACGAAAAGCAGAGTAAAGTTGAAGACTCGCCGCCTAGTGGTGTCGAAAATCCAGTAGAAAGCGAGCGTAAGGATGAAGAAAGTCAGGAAGTGAAGTACTTTGTCGTTTGCCTGTGGAATTTGGACAGAAGAGAGGCCGAGGTACGCAGCGAGGAGGACGAGAGCTACGAATGCGCCTGATGCTTATGGTTAGAATGTCAGGTAGGCGGGCATACTGCAGGCAAGTTACCTGCAAACGGGTAGCGGATGCGCATTGTTCGACGTCTTGCGGACTGAATGACTTGACGGCGAAGACTATGTGCCGGTGCGTGTGTCCCTGTAGAAATGGGCGGCCGCAGCACGCATGTTGAAGCTCTGGGAAATGTAGATGGCTGAGTTGGCCTACTTGATCGCAGTAGTATCGGTAATAAGATTATGGCGGGCGATCAAGCTTAAGAGTGAAGAAACGCTTGGCAAAACTTAGGCATTGTGTCGTACCTCACTTCGACAATTACTGCAGCGCTCACAGAAAACCGACCATCACCCACGCACCCTCAACCATCGTTTTTTGCCTTAAAGACTGTTGTTCCATCATTCGAAACATGCGAACGTCAGTCTATCGGTCTTTTTCCTACCCAAACCCCAGCAGGTAGCCCACACCACTTCACCTGAGGTTGCAGGTGTCTGCGGGCGTTCTCCGCTAAGGGGAGCGCATCTCCCCCCCAATGACGGGGGAACCGCAACATCATGTCTAGCCACAAACTCCACCCCTTCTCTACTCCGACGGGCCTTGCGCATAGCAAAGTGAATTCGCGCTCCCAGTCACGACGATCCTTGACACCCAATGGCCGCGTCCTTGCGAGTTCTGCCCGCCTAATGAACAGTATCGAGGGCGATCTTGGCGCGGACGACGACCCACGTTTAGCCATTTTCAAGGAGTTATATGCCAAGAGCGAGTCTCGTCTTGCGTCGTTGTTCGAGAAGGAAGAGGTAGAAGATGCGGATATCGAAGAAAGTGGCGCAGAACATGAGCCTAAGGAAGATAACGCTATGGACGCCGCCCCCACCCAGCCGTCACCTACCTTGAAAAGAAAGGCCCGAGCTATCGACGAAGACGATTACGACGACGAGTCAGAAGGCGAGGAAGCCTCAGACTCTGCCAATGTCTCGCCTCTCAAGTCCAAGAGCGCTCTTCCCCCCGCCAAACGGGTCCTTACTTCCCACCCTATGCTCCGTCAAATATCGCAGTCCTCAGCACCAGGCATGGGCGAAGGAACACAGGCGGGTAAGACCACGGAGGAGGCGCGAAGGAAGCTAGATGAAGAAGCCAAGGCAACGGAAGACGCGGCGCGCCGCACGTTTCATACGATATTCTACACCTTAGAGAACGATAAAGATGCAATGCTTGAGCAGAAGAAGCTCGAAGAGTTAGAGCGTAAAGTCGACGCCGAGTTAGGCGACGGATCTGGCCATCACGCTGGCTCAGGCAACGCTCAACAAGGCATACTCAGTCAGACGAACTTGGGCGCATCGAGTCTGACACTGAAAAACCTCATCAAGCGTATTGATGATGAAAGGGACAAAGTGAAAGCGTCTGACTCGGAGCTCAGAACCTTGATGAGCGAGGTCAGAAAGAATCGGAGCAAGTGGGCGAGTGAGGAAAAGATTGGCCAAGAAGAGCTTTACGAATCTCTAGATAAAGTCTTGAGCGAACTGAAAGGTCACACGGAACACTCTACATACTTCCTCAACAAGGTCAATAAGAAGGAGGCGCCAGATTACAGCGTGATCATCAAGCATCCCATGGACTTCGGAACAATGACAAAGAAACTCAGAGCCCTTCAGTATAAGTCTAAGCAAGACTTTGTCGACGATTTGATGCTCATTTGGGCCAATTGTTTGAAATACAATGCTACCCCAGATCACTACATGCGTAAGCACGCCACTTTCATGCGGAAACAGACAGAGAAGCTTGTACCATTGATTCCGGATATCACTATCAGGGATAGGGCAGAGGTAGAAGCCGAAGAACGTAGACTACAGCACAGTGCTGCTGAGCTTGATGGTGACGAAGAAAGCGATGATGAACCAATCATCTCTTCCCGAGGTCGCCCAGCGCCGAGCAAGAAGTCAAAGAAGGGGACAGTAGCTCGAAAAGCACCTGCCAGCACCAAAGAATCTTCGCATGGGCCTGACAGCAAGCCGCCTACGTCTTTGCCTAATGGGCTTTATGCGCCTAGAGACGATACTGTCAAGCCGGATTCGGAAGTAGGCGCAGAAGGGAGCCACAGTCCACCACATGGGACGGCAACGCCTACTGGTGTCGGCGCTTTACTTGCTCATGCAGCCACGGGCTCTCAGAGCGAGCTTGCGGACGCTGACACGGAATCTATGGTTAATGGCATTGTTCCTTCAATGAATGAGCCTCCCGAGGAGCCTGAATATGAGGATTTGGAGTATAAGATTTGGAAATCGGTCACGAAGAAAGATCGAGCCCTTGTGACTGCAGAGCGACATCGACTTTTTCTGGGTGACCGCCTGGATCCTGAAGCGCCGGCCCTTCTGCGTACTAAAGCAGGCATGAGAGGCTGGCTCCGGAAACAGAAGCAAGCAGTGACCGACAGCCCTATGAATAAGCCACGAGTAGACGCGGAGATGGACGAAAGAGAAATTGCACAACCAAAGGGAGAGACCTTAGCTGAAGGAATGGAGGGTGAGGATGAGAAAGTGCTTCCAGACTACTACGACCCACTAGCTGCGATACCTGACATATCAGCTCGCCTACGGTGGGTCGAGGACTCGGAGGGTGATGTTCAAGACAATGCCGAAGAATGCCTTCGAGAAATACCGAAAGGGATTTTCCTTACTCCACAAAGTGCTTTGACCAAGAAGATTGACGGCAACATGCATCAAGTGCAAAAGACCAGGAAAATCACCGGAAAGATTGGTGTTGTCAAACAGATGGCGTTGCAGTCTCAGCTCTACCAAGGCCAATTTCAGAAGACCGACATTGTACCACTTGCCGAGCAAGACGTCAATCCACACGTCACGTCCTGTGAAGGCCCCGTATTAGCCCCTGATACAAGTCGGGCCGCACTCCGACGCTCAGCAGCAAAGCTCCTCATGCATGCTGGCTTCGAAGAATTTCAACCCTCAGCAATGGAAGCATTTACTGACATGGCAAGCGACTACTTTAAGAAAATAGCTTCAACACTAACGCAATATTCCCAAGCACCTCTTGTTCCCATCCCTGTGCAAGGCCAGGAGAATAAGGTCATATGGAAGCCTCGCTTTTCTCGGCAGGACTGCATTTTGCATACCCTTCAGGAGAACGGCGCAGATCTAGAATCCCTAGATACATATGTCAATGAAGAAATTGACAGGACCGGCACCCGAATAAATGCGACCCATGACAGGATAAAAGCTCACCTGGCTGACTTGCTGCGTCCTGCCCTTCATGATGCAGGCCCAGATGGGTCAGGTGCTTTCAATGACGACAGCGAGCAGTTCGTATCTGGCGACTTCGCCGAAGAATTGGGCGACGACTTCTTCGGGTTCAAGGAATTAGGTCTGGATGTTGAATTTGGTGATGCAAGCATGAGTGTTCCACTGCACCTCCTTCAAAAGAGCATGTTCAATGCGAATCGAGCTCAAAATTCACAGTAAGCTGTTATTTTCATCCCGCACGCACTACGACACTGACCATAATTTTAGCACCGGAGCATCCAATCTTCCGCTGGTGCTCACAGAGCCTGAACCTTACGAACCTGTTACGATCGAAAACGTGGCAAATCAAGTCGGCCTTGTGCAGCAATTCTTCCGTGACAAACTCACCAGCAACGGCGACAAGCCTCTCGTTGAAGACGACAACCTTCCCATCAAGCAAAGGATGCCGAAACCCAAATTACCACCGACCGGCAAGATCACCAGTCCGCGCAAACGACCATTCAAGGAACCAGGCCCTGGCAAAGGTCATCCTCGGAAGAAGATGAAGTTGAACGACGGCGACACTGCCAAGATCGGCGAAGGCGAGGCGGCTGTCTCTACGGAGAGACCGGGCGACCCTGTCAAAACGCCTATGAATGGTGAGGCACCAAAAGTGAATGGAATCGTGGGTGGCGAGAACATGTCGAGAGAGCCAAGTAGGAACGGTGTGGTTAGCGGAACTACTCAGCCAACGAAGCCGCTGACGAATGGCATAATGGCTCACTCGAAGCCTGATGAGAGTGGCGGTGATGAGAGGGAGTTTGTCACACCAACGAAAAAGGGCAAGGAGAAAGAAGTCAATGGCGATAGTCTTCCTTCGCCTGCAAGCTTGGAAGCGACCTAACTTCTTGTCCGCTTGGGTTGACCACGATTCAGTATTACGAAATCGAGGAGCGTCACAATATGAACGAACGTCATTCTCCTCAAAAGTGAGCCGACGTTAAGACATGATGCTGAGGCTCAAAGAGCCGTTCTCTTCACATCATGCATGAAAGATCTAGGGTAGGGTAGGGTATGGTAGGGTAAGCGAGGCGATGTTCATATGAAGTCACCGCGGTGGTAGGGCGCGGCTTCTTTGTTTTCATGTAAATTATCCATCTCATTACGTGGACAAGTCGAAACGGTCTGATACCCGGGGGCACGTCTGAGATTTCATGAGCGAGCGGGCCATCATGGGCACTTTTATTGATAGATGAACGGATACAGCTTTGAATGAATTGAAGTATCTTCACCAGTCAAAGAAAATTGTGGTGTGTTGTTTCGACGACGGAGTAGAAAGTTATGCTGATTGCTTGCGTTCTTGTCCTCCCCTAATCATGAATATCCAGGGGGGAAGGCCTCAAAGTACTTTTCTGCTCTTTACAATGAAATTGAAGATCTGATGGCAGGCTCTCCCGATATCTAAGATTTCTTTTTACTTGTCTTTTCTTTGGCTCTGCGAATCTCTGAACTTCATTCTTCTACATAAACTAGCGCTCGTGGCGCGCCAACCACCTACGTGAGAATTTGAAGTAGGCACGACTCCTTTTTCAACGTTGTTTTTGATGTCAATCCTTTCGGCTTTAATAGCCGAATAGCTGTCCATCTCCCTGGGCAGAGGATGCATAGCCGCAGTGCGGTCTAGCTTAATGCTTTCTCTCATCCTCGAGAAGGATTCTGTCGAGGTCCCCCTCGTTTGCGCTTTTATTCACATCCAATCTTTGCCGGCGGTTTCGCAGTGCCGCTTCACAGCCTGGTGCATGTGCATGATCGTGCATTTGCACATCATTTTGGATCCTACTTCGCCCCAAGCTTTGGAATCTCCGCCGTAAATGGGCCTCGTCGTCCCAGATAATTTTGTGCTTTCCCTTGAGCCATCGCCAAGTTTTGAAAAATTGAGTCTGTAATACCATTTAGGGCAGATTCGGTGGAACCTCGGTCGATATGACAACGGAGGAGCCAACACCTCTTATCATATGTCTGTGAATTCTTTACGAGCATCTGGAAACTATCGATTGAAGACTTGACGCTGACAAAAAGCGTTGCCAGCACCAGGACCACTTGATTGCGGCCTTTGCTATCTAGCTGTAGCTACGCGGAATGCGACGCCCACAATCTCTGCAGGTGAAATATTGTGAGTGTCCTTTAGGGTTCTCGATTTGTTTTGCTAATCCGACAGATCTTCCACGCAGAGGTCAGGTCTCGTGATGACGGCATACTCGATCACGAGTAACTTCTTGTCGGACGGCAATTGTATAACCACTTCAGGAGCGCCTAGTACACTCTCCTCGCCTTATACTGTGTTAAGCCCAACAACTGTTGCTGAGACTGACTTCCCTTCCTATGCTGGGTCGCAGTTCAGAGACTTTCTTGGCTTCTCAACTTGTTTTGGCGGAGGGGAGCTAATAGCACCAACTCCTATCGCTCCTGTTGCCACTCCAACAATGCTGTACAACGATAGCAATCCATCTTCCTCGCAGAATTTGTCAGACATGAGACCCCAGATATCATCAAATTCTCAAATTACTAAGTCGTCGTCCACATCGCGGCTTGCAAAACCTGCAGGCATCGGCGTAGGTATTGCCGTGCCTTCCGCGATTATATTGATCCTACTCATTTCCGCGTTTGTATTTCGTAATTTTCGTAGAAGGCGACTTCGCCGAAAGAATGAGATGAGCAAGTCCGAGAAGTCGCCACTGGCTGACAACACACAAGCATATCTCCAGCAGAAACCAGAGCTGGAAGCTGAAGAGCAGCAGAGACACGAATTAGATGGCCAGCAAAAGTTTCACGAGTTGGACGGTGTTGAAGAGGTACAGGAGGCCCCAGCAGGAGCTACTGAACAGCGAGCAGCTCTCGTGAGAACGAGGCAAGAGTTGAGGGGGGTAGAACACAGCCAAGAACTTGATACAACGAAAACAAGAGTTTAAAAAGGATTTTTCTTGGGAAACGGAATCTACATCGAGCATCCAATCCCTGAGAACCGCAGACGGCGATCAAAACCACAATCTGCTAAATCTCGACATTGCCACCCCGTCTTCGTGCTTTACTCCAAAAGAATTGTGCGAGCATTGCTTACCTTATCAGCATCACTTACATGATCTTCCGTCAACAAAATTCTTCTTTATCTCCGAAGCATTCTAGTCAAAAAGGCAACTTGAAACCCCCAGGCACTTGCTTCTGAAACACGCCGTTGGGATCATACTGCCTGCTCGCCTTCTTCAACCTCTCCACATTCTCTCTACCATACCCTCGGATTGGATCCTGGCCATTGAGCGCATAATTCAGATAAAGAAAATCATTATCCACGCCCTTCTCCCTGGCCGCCTTGCCGATTTGTTCGATAAAATTCCTCGCTGTGGACTCGATCACTGCATCATCAGTGCTGCGCTCCCATTTGATCGAGAGACTGCAGAGGATGAGCGGAGTTTTGGAGTTCTCGAGACCGAGAGAATTGCCTGTGTCGCGGTTGGGGTTGGAATAGGAGTTGGAAGAGGTAGCGGGGACGGATTTGGAAGTAATGGCAGGAGGAATAGGCTGCCATGTGATCGCGTAGTTGAGGTTCGGAATGCTGGTTATGCTAGATGTGACAGTCGATTTCCAGGTGTTGTAGACGTAGGTGAGGAAGGGGAGGTCGTTGCGGAATGTTATAGTTGTGTAGAGATCTCTAAGGTGCAAGAAATCAGCTACTTAGGACGTAAGAGGCTTACTGTCGTCGTCCAATTGGAGACTTACCTGAAACCGGCAGGTGAGAAGGCTCCCTGTTCATCCGTGATATCCTTCAACGTCGTGATGCGCAAGGTAGAACTCAGCTGAGGTTGGATGACATCGAAGCCCGCAAATGCTGGTGGATTTACAACCGGTGCCGTATATTGGAAAGAATTTACAGCAACTAGTCCAAATGTAGAGTCAAATGCTACGCTCTGGATGGTGCTCGCGTACTCGTCGTAAGGGTTAGCAGCATTGAAGTCAGTGAAAGCTTTGAGTGCTTGTGGAACAAGTGAGACGTTATACACCACCTGACCGCCCCACATTTGGCCCAATTGGACTGTCCTCAAGTCGAAGCGTGTCACAATGCCAAAATTGTTGGAGCCACCCTTCAAAGCTCGGAATAGATCAGAGTTCTGGTTTGCGTTCGCGTTGGTGATTTTGCCTGAGGCAAGGACGATCTCGTAGTTTTCAACATTGTCGCAGACGAAGCCGTAGCGAGGAGACAAGTAGGATATACCACCTAAGATATTAGGACGAAGAACAAGATGTATATTGTTTGTGGGTCAACTGACCACCGAGGGTCAATCCGCTGACACCCACCAGAGAAGCGCGACCGCCAATGACAGTAAGATTCAAAGGATCCAGTGTTCCATAAACATCTCCCCATGTTGCACCTGTGCCAACTTGGGTGGGGGACCCATTGGAGCCAACCTTGATCTGATCGATGGAGCGAAGGTCTATCGTTACACCATCTTGGATGTTAGCGCTCCCTGCCCAGGCTGTGTGACCATTGCCGCGGATCGCAAAAGAACAATCTAATTTTGCCAAAAGTTTGACAGCAGTCGCGACGTCATCGGTGGACTGAGGCTTGACGATACAGCTTGGCTTAAGTGCTGATTCCTGGGTTGTCCAGTAGGATTTCAAAGATTCGATGTACCCCTGATCTTGAACGTAGAGAGTTTCTGAAGAAAGAGCATTGGATAAAGAGGCACACTGTCAAAACATAAGATCAGCAAAACAAAAGATTGGAGAACAAAGTCACAGCACAACCATAACAGTATTTGGGTGACCTACGCATGACTTTTTCAAAGCATCTGAAGCGGCGAACGTGACGCTTACGATAGCAGCACTGAGGAAAATCAACTTCATCTTCAAATTGATTCGCAAGCTCACAAGCGCTGTACAATTCTCGAGAGTCGAAGGGTTGGCAAGACAATAAATGTAATGGGCCTGCAGGCTCAGAAAGGGAAAGTACAAGGGTGTTCACGCGCCTTCGTTCGCGGCTGACGATCCACACCGCCGGAGCATTACTCAGACATATGCTGGCAGCCACGTGCTAGTGCCGTCGCTTCTGGTGCCATTCCCCGCTCGAGCGAACAAATCCGAGATATAGACTTCACTTACCAGCCACATTGGAGATAGTAGAGCGACGCGGTCAACGCCACTGTCGCTATTTAGAAGTCAATAGCATCCCATCGATGCCGCAGTGACAGCAGTTTTCAAGTCATTGAAAGTGACAATATGTGGGGCAAATTCGGCCAGCAATAATTCAACGACTCATGCGCCGAGCTTTCATTACAGTAGCAACGTTCATCATGAGCTCCGCAATACTTTGCGTGTCAAATGAATGCGATGTCAGTATGGGTTGTGGGCCTCTCTTTGGGCGGGACGCGATGCACTCCCGGGAACCGCCAACCGACATCGTCTCTGTACAGCAGCCTGGTGCAGCATCATCGCAATCTTGACCGCATTTTAGCGCTAGTGTACGCTATTAGAGCAATAAGCTCCTCTCTTGAGTTTGATGAGTGGCTGTCAATCGGCAAGATCTAGATCATTGGAACGTCCACGATTGTGGGGAAATAGGGGTACATTTAGGGCCCCTTGGCAGGTCTCACGGGTCGGCTCGGGGCCACCATCCTGGCCTCCAACGGTCAAGGTCCTCGACAGAAACCTACCAAATATGCCTCCCTCACAATCACAAACATGCAGCTTCCTACGTTATTCTATATGGAACTCACGCAAGAGCTTTTCCTCTCCTCAACTCCAGCTCCTACGCCCTCATATTTCCCTCCCTAGACATCCACGCCGACCCTACTCCACCCCATCCCTCCCATCCTTAATCCAAACAACCGACATCCCCGCCCCTCACACCGGCCACATCCGGATCCTTTCTCTCTCCTCCCCACGCAACAAAAATGCAATCTCCACTCAACTCCTCTGGGAGCTCTCCTCTCAAATCCGCGCCGTACAGGCAGAGACTCAAGGGGAATGGCAGCGCTTCGTCTCGGCGCAAGAGCGCCCTCCAAACGAGAAAGAAGCAAAAGTTGGTCAAGGCACTCGCGCCTTAATCATCGCAAGTGCAGTCCCCGACATCTTCTGCGCCGGCGCAGATCTGAAACAACGTAGAGACATGACCGCTGCCGAGTAAGCCCGCCGCCTCCCTTTCCTCCACATCCACCCCACCCCACCCCACCACCTAGAACTAACCCGAACATTTCATTTCCAGAACCTCCACATTCCTCACCACCCTCCGCCAAGCCCTCTCGGACCTTTCCAACCTCCCCATCCCCACCATCTCCGCCATCGCCGGCCCCGCACTAGGCGGCGGCTTCGAGCTCGCCCTCGCCACAACGTTCCGCTTCATGTCCCCCTCGTCCATTGTGGGATTGCCCGAGACGCGGTTGGGCATCATTCCCGGCGCGGGCGGGACGTGGCGGTTAAGGAAATTGGTGGGGGAGAAGGAGGCGCTGCGGTTGGTGTTGACCGGGAAGAAAATGCGGGCGGCGGAGTGTAGGAGGGTGGGTGTGGTGGATGGAGTTACGTTTTGTGGGCGTGAAGATGGGGAGAGGGAGCTGGGGGAAGGGACGGGGGATGGAGTAAGGGTGGATGGGGTGGATGGACGAGGGAAAGGAAGGGGAGAGGAAGAGAGGGTTGGCGTGTTGGAGATGGCGGTGGATTTTGCGAGGGAGATTTGTGAGGGCGGGCCGGTGGCTGTTATGGCGGCGTTGAGGGCGGTGAGGATGGGACGGGAGGGAGGTCAGGGGACGGATGGGGAGGAGGAGACGTATGAGGTTGTGAGGCGGACGAGGGATAGGGATGAGGCTTTAGCTGCTTTCAAGGAGAAGAGGGCTGTACGGTTCAAGGGGCATTGAGGATGGTGGGTGTAATTGTGTATGTACACCTTTATTGTGTGTCCTATGTATATAAAAATCAAAGTCTTGTCTACATTATTCATCCATCGCGTAGCCCATCATCTTATCCATCATATACGAATCAAGATTAAAAAGCCAAGTAATCAACGCCACCATCTGATATTTGCCCAAAACTCGAATCCTATCGCATCACGTCCCTCTCAGCTTTTCCACCGCCTCCCAACACTCCTCCGGCTTGAGAAAAGTCTGCCAAACCCCCTTCTCCACCCCCTCAAACGCCTTCTCAAACCTCCCCGCACTATTCTTATCCGTCCCCTGCATCTCCGCCACATCCTCCACCCGTCTAATAAACACCTTCCTCACCCACCCTGGATACTTCCTACAGATATCCCCATACGCCTCCGGATCACTCTGCGTGCTATCCCCCACACAAATGACCTTCCTTTTCGGCAACCACTGATGGATCTTCTCAATCCTACTCTTCTTATACGCCTCAGTCCCCTGCGTCAGACTCGCGAGGAATCCACCGAGGTTCATCCACGAAGCGTCGCGCAGCACAATGGGGCCGGGCGGGTAGTGCGCGTGCAGGAAGGAGCGGAGGAAAGGGTAGAGGTTGTAGGGCGAAGCGGAGAGGTAGAACCAGGTGGGCGGTTGTGGGAAAGTGGATTGGATGCGTTGGTAGAGCTCGGGCATGCCGGGGATGGGTTTCGGGTCGTCGACGAAGGTGGTTTGTAGGATGCCGATGGGAGAGGGCGTCATGGTTGTTTTTACCGAGTCGTCGATGTCGGAGATTATGAGCCAGCCTTCGGGTTCGGTGAAGTGTGTCGTCATGGCCCCGTGTATGGCGACTTCGGGCGGGTTGGGCTGGATGGAGATTGTTTCGCCGTCTTTGTGCGATTCGAGCGCGACGAGGGTTTGTTCGCTGACTGCGCTGCGGCCGCCGGGACCGAGTCGTTCTTGTTGGCCGTTGGGGAGGGTGATAGAAACAGAGCGTGCAGGGGCGATTGCGTCTGTGAATGGTTGTAAGCGCTCTGCGATGCGCTTTTCGGTCTCTGCTTCATTGGCTCCCTGCTTCTTTAGCCCTATCTTCTCCGCTATATCTGCTACCGCTTGGCTGATGTCTTTCCCGGTGTTTCTTTGGAAGTAGGCTGCAATAAATTCTGCTTGATGAGGCTGCGGCTTGTGTGGATAGACGTGTACGGGTCGGTAAGCAACGTTATCAAACAGCCAAACAGATTCTGTCTTGGGATCTATATCTCTGGCCATAGGGTTGCGACTCCCAAGGTAGGAGGAAACATTATCGGTGAGTGATATTTTCCAGTCGCTGGTGTCGCGTCGGGGCATGCTGTTTTCGGTCTTGCGAAAGTCGCCAGCTTTTCTTGTTTCGTTTTCTGGTGCATCTTGTTGCATCCACTGGCGACCTTTATCGAAGGCGGACTGCATGTTGCCTGATCTGAAGACTCACAGGGAGAGTAATCGTGATATAAGGATAATGACAATCGAGTCAGCTGCCTTGCGCCAAAATGTACAAAGAGTGGATAGGATAGCCTGCAGGTGCGATAAGCACGTGGTGGGCCTTAATTTTGGCAGCCTCACCGGCGCCGGCACTAGCCGTAACCTAATCCCGAGCAAGGCAAACGTCAGCGGGCCGAACCTCGATCTGCGAGTTCAATCTCAGGATTCGCTGGATAGTTGAAGTCGAACGTGCCTGAAAGAAGTCGAAAGCATGTAGCTTTAGACATCTCGAAAGAGGATCGATGGACAAGGCCTAGCAAAATCCGGGGGCAGAAGCGTTCCATCGACACGATGGCGGTTAAAGACCCTCATGAGCGTCCTCCCATTGTTCCTCCTCATTGTCATTATCGTCATAGCCGTCGTTTTTGGCGTTATCACTGTCTGCAATTTCGTCATGATTGATCTCAGCTCGAGTTCCACTGCTCTCTGGACCCTTGTTGTCGTCTTTGGACATTCTCACACGCTTGTGACGTATTCTGATGTCGAGAATCAAGTTCCCGAAAGCTTCGAACCATGCTATTGGATCTCTGTCCGGAGGCATGCTGAGCGTCTTTGACCATTCGCCCTGACAATCTCTTCGCCATCTCGCCAGCTCCATGCAGGTCCATCCATCGCTATCCGAACGATCTACGTCTCCTCGAGTAAAGGGGTTTGATGGAAAGCCTTAATGGTGTGCTTGTTTCCGTACATGGCAACGTAATGGAGAAGACCCTCGCCTCTGTTCGTTGCGATTGTCCAGTCCAGCTTTTTGTTTTGGAGGAAGACTCTAAGATTACAGGCTGTCCTACGTTTGATCGCCGTAAAAACGGGTGTCTCACGCCCATTACAATGGAGGTTGATGTCAGCGCCATAAATGAGCAAGGCTTTACAGACAGAGGGCGCCGCAAACATTGCTGCAAAATGCAGCGGTGTGCGCCCTACATCATCTTGTTCGTTGATCTTGGCTCCGTAATTGACAAGGGACCCAATCTGCCGTTCCACATCGGGATTGTCCTTCACTGCGTGCAAAGGTCTGCAGTTGGTATCATTGTTCGCGTTTGGGTCAGCTTTCGATGCTAGCAGAATCTCTATGCATTCGGTATTTCGAGCACTGACTGCATGATGAAGAGGAGTATCACCGTGTAAGTCGACTTGATTGGGGTCCGCGCCGCATCTCAGAAGTCTTAGGATTGACCGTGCATCACTCTTTATTGCAGCCCATGATAAGACTGTTCGACCTTGAAAGTCTTCTCCGTCAACATCTGCCCTGGAAGTCGACAAAAGGGACGACTCGAAGCTTAGTCCACCAGACCTGAAATAAGCGCGATGTAGTGGAGGAACCCGAAGAATATCAATTTGACGTGGAAACTGGCAGGTTTCTACCAGTGCTTGATATGTGCGAGCCGGTATACGTCGCCTTGCCCAGCGCCATTCCCAAAGCTCAAACCATGGGATCCTAGTAGTGGTAAGTTATCTTCGCACCAATAATGCCAACGTCACTTACCGCCCACAGCTACTCTCATAAGTCATGTCTGCTCCGTAGCAAATGAGTAGGTGAACCACATCCCATAGCATAAAACAGATCGCCAGCTGCTATTACGTCAGTCGTCGTCTGCAAACACCATATAATTCAAAGGACCCACCTGCACCAGGCTTTTGTCAACATCTTCGAACAGATCTAGTACCGAGGCTTCACCAGCATCAAGCTGTCGCTTGACTTCATTCAGCAATGCCTTATTATCAGACCACTTCATCATCACTTGGACGATCGAATCATACGAACTGCGGACTCTCAATACCCTCAGAAGGAATTCTGGTCCCTTCGCTGCGAAATTAGAGAAGCTCAAATTGACTGCTCGGTGTAAAAGCCAAGAGGGAAACAAATAGGTACAAGAGTATTTTCTAGAGCCAGAAAGACAGCCTTGTTCATCGCAGGATTGTCTGAGCCATGGTGACGCTTGATAGCCAATGAAAAGAGATCCAAGTACAGAAGTGAGGAAATTGGGGCTCCTGCCTATGCTGTATGAATGGCATCGGCATTTGCAATCTGATGAGCAAGTAAATGTAGACACGTAGAAGTCTAAGGTGTTTTTGCCTGACTCCTGTTGTGAGTAGTCACTGTATTTCAGGAGTGACTGTGTTCCGTTGTTCTTCCGGAGGCCTCTCGTGTCAGAGCTGATTCTCTCATGCAGGTCAAAAGTATTATGGCAGCCCACCGTTGAAGGATGTGGGGATGGTTGTTGTTGATGGTCCGCGTCACAAAGCTTTGGTATTGACTGAGATTCAGACTCATTCTTGAGAGCATCTCGGGAGTCAAGGATGCTGTTGTGCACAGCCTCGAGTGAGCAGTAGACCTTCTTGGTTAATCTGACGCCATCTTTCGCTGTGATTCTGTGAAAATAAGCAAGACAAGCGCATATTATCATATAAAATTCTACTTACAACGCAATAAGATTCAGCCCTGAGCCTAAAGCGACTCTGTCTCCGCGGATAGCTTCTCTGAGGTTTGATAGAACAACCTCTGCTCTCATCCACTTGGATCTATCAACTCGAAGATCCTTTGTCTTTCCATCGACGGTGGTCAAGTCGTAAGCAATGTAGCGTTCAAGTTCCAGTGTTGTCGATTTCACCTTTTCGAGCGCACTGGTCACACTTTTCGGAGGTGCGCTGTCGGATACTTCCTCTAGGGCTCGGAGGTGGTCATCAATATCAGCAACTACGAGTTTCAAATCCGCTACTTCGTTATTCAACGCCAGTAATGCATCAGGTGCGTCTTTGAGATGGACGACCTTTTTCAGCCCTTTGCCAATCTTCCCACCTGCTCCAAGGATGGCCAGTATGCTTGCTGTGACTGACAAGGGATCCATGACATAGGGACTTTCGAAAGATGATCAATCATGCTCGGTACAAAGCTTATGAGTATAGTCAAGACATGACGAAACACGGATAAGGCTGAAAGGGGAAAGAAGCAGCATTTGGGTCAGTGGCGAGGACTCGCGTACGCGAGATTCAGCAGTGACGAGTGAGCAATGTTTGAACTTGATCTGTTAAGCTAGAACTACAGCGCAGCTGAAAATGATGAGGCGAGGATAGGCATCACTTATCTCAAAAAGTATAAGCGCCAACGCTAGGAGCAGACATGCAGGCACGTACCAACCTAATGTACCTTGGACGTTAGCGTATAAGTTGTCTCTGAGGGAATCGCATCAGACCGTTCCCTCGAAATTGTATGCCAACGTATTGGTTCATATTACCGCTCACCCTTCCCTCACGACAAGAAGTCACAAAATCGGGAAGAACGCATGTAAGTGCAGTATTGTACCGTCTGGCTTTTGTTGAGGCAAACCCTATTTTTTCTGCAGCAATTTGCGGAACTCGACTCATAGTACATTTTCACAAATTTATTGAAGGAATATCCTGAAATTCCAACCTCTTCTCATACGATACTTCCGCACATTCGCTCAATAATCCCAACCTTCCACAAAATGTTCCTCCATCTCACACGTGAGTAAAGTCTCCATATCCGTCCCAACACCCTTCAAATCGACCTCCGGCCTCACAGTATTATTCCTCGGCAAAGCATTCACAATACGATAACCAGGCGCCGTGCCCACGGAAGACGCACGAGTAAAGACCCTATGAATAAAAGGACACATTTTCTTCGAGACCTGTCGAACTTTCAAGAGCGGCCCACAAGCCTTCGAATTCTGGGCAAATCCATCCCCGCCCGAACCCTCATGCTGCACAGTCCATGCGCCAGCGGGTAGACAGCAGTCGATGAATGTCTGGTCGTGATCGGGATACAGCGCGGCTGGCATGTAGAGTGCAAGCCTATTCAATTTGTGGTACTTTTGCAGGCTTCGAAAGAGGAGGGCGAGTCCTTTCGATTCGATTTTGAGTCGTGCTTCAATCTGGCCTCTGAAATAGTCTAGGATTTCCGGGGAATCGAGGTCCGGAAGACCGCCCAACGCGGGGAGTTCGTCAAGGTTGTATCGCATGATTTCCCAGATTTGAGAGAAGCATTCGCCGTAATGTATTCGTAAATCACTTATAGAGTGATCAATTAGTGGTAGACCCCACAGAAACATCGGTGTCTCATAAGGGGCAGCGCCATCACGGGGCGGATTCAAGCCAGTCAAGGTTTCTATGCCAGAAGGTGCGGAAAACGTGTCGTCTTTGATCAGATCGAGAATCGACGCCTCTTTTGGGCGTGGCCAGATTGGCGCGAAGAAAGCTCCGCTATTCATGCAGTCTAGGGCCACCGTGACAGGCAAGTCGTTTTGTTGCAACTTGAAGAAATAGTCTGAGATATTCCTGACCTCATCCCAGACTCGCAGGCTCCGACTGGCGACATCACTAGGGAACGTTTCTACATTGATTACAAACCTTTTGTACTGGTCGAAGGTGAACATTGGCTCCCCGAGAGAGATTGACATGATCTTCAGCCAAGGATAAATTGGGTTGAAGTTCATTCGCTTGAGAGCTTCAGCGGGCATTCCAGGGTGGCATATCAGCTTGCCAAAACCTGGGTCGAGTCCATCGAGAGAGTAATCATTAGGCTGGTCCACAAGGATTCGGCATCGTCTTGATTGTATTGCGGTCCCTAGGTCTTTGACATAGTCGATGGCCTCCGCTGAACTTTCGTTATCCTGCATGTAGGCTAGATCTCCATGGAGTGCGAACTTGATGGTTTGTAAGTGAGACATATTGTCTAAAGCGGCGATGAAGTATGCCATATTACTCACGATGCGGGGCAGGAAGGTGAAGCTTATCGTTTTAAGTGATGGCGGTGCGCTTTCCAACTCGTTAAGAAGCACATAAGTAGCTTCGAAGCGCGACATGAAGGGCTCTACTCTGTACTTCATGTCAAAGTATGAAATACTAACCATCCGGGGGCGAATTTCAAGTTCCAATGTCTCCAGCTGAGGCGCTGCCTGAAAGAATACGGGCAATTGCTGTGAGGAAGGCTCGCAGAACTGTCTGTAGCGATAAACGCCATAGTTCAAGGCTGCATGTCGAAGATTGCGGAAAAGCCCCGAAGCAAGTTGCCGCAGCGGTGGCCACACGAAGCGAACCTTACACCAATCGTTATTGTCAGTCTCGTAACGGGTGCAATCCATGGTCTCATTCAATTCTGTGAAGTCGATTTTCCTAATCCTTGTGCAGAAGTGATTGAGACGGTGCATGTCTTCAGGAGTCGTCCAGGCCCCGAGTGTGATGTTGTGTACTAGTGGACCTGTCACAGCATCGATACCATGGCTGACGGATGGTGTCGAAGTTCCTCCTCCCCTTTCCCTCCACCTCATCATGATCATGCATACGTCGGATCTATTGAAAAGTATTCGATAAATAGCTCGAAGAACTGCATGATTATGTTTCAATGACTTACATGTTGAAGCCAACATGATAGCATCCTTTCGAGGTACGTAGTCCATCACACAAGTAAGAACATCATGATCGAGATTGAGGAAGCCTGATGATTTGGATGCAGAAGCCATGGTGGAAAAGATGGCTTCCGTAAATTTGCTCTGAGGATGTGAAGATGAGGAAGTGGTGAAAGATGCTTGGAACTGAATTCAAAAAGGGCATCCTTGAGATAAAAGACAACTCTGCCTTCGTCACAATGCCTTGTCTTAGACGACACCTTGCTGAATGTTGTAACACAGAGCGTTGACTCATGCTCATGTGAACGTGTCTCACGCAGCGTGATTCAGTACAACAAGAACGACGACACCAAAATGCCTATCGTCCAAAGACACACCACTGTCGTACCCGCTGTGACCTTCGAAGCTGCTCCTGTTGGTGTTGAAATAGGTGTTACCGCAGGCGCAGTCGTCGGCGCCCTGACATCTCCAGCTTTGCTACACAATCCGACGGCAGCACCAAGTTGAGATTTCACAGCAGCAGCACTCACGGTCGCCGTGTCCGTGACCGTGACTGAAGCCGGAATAGAAGCCGTTTGCAGGTACTTATTGCACTGAGACACCCAGCCATCATACTGCGTAGCGACCCATAAAGGTGTACTAGCATTGGTCGCAGAGGTGTAACAAAGACAGGACGCTTGGCTGCGAGCGCCTGCGTCCGCGAAGTCACCCTTTTGTATGTCATTATTGATCTGGTCAATAGCATCGCCAGTCGTAGATGTGAAGGCCTGTGAGCAAGATGAGTAGACCTGTTGAACGCTGAGACAGCCCGTTGCATCCCCCGTGATCGATGCTGGCAAGCTACTGCTCGTCTGAGACGGACGACGGGCGGCGCTTTGCGTATTTCTCGAACGCTGCGTTGAAAAGGCGACTTGACTTGTGGACGAACCCGACCCACCGACGGCATCACCAATCTTGTCGGCAAGCTCCTTGATGATGTCGCTCAGTGCATCTAGGGCATCGCCTAGGGGATCCTGCTCATGGGTCGCTGTTGATCCACTACTACTACCATCTCCACCAGCAGTTCCATAGGTACCCGCGGTATCGCCTTCCCCAGTGCGTGACGTTCCGGAATTGGAACCTTCGTTTTCACCTTCGCGTGCGCCTGCGCCTGCGTCGTCATTACTTGCTCCACCTCCCGCTCTACCTCCACCCCCAGAAAATGCAGCGTAGGTGCTAGACAACAAGGTGACAATGCAGACGAGCAAGAAAAGGCTTTTCATGGTGTAATGTTTGATGGGTAAACCTGAGCCGATAATATTTATTTATATGAATGATGGAGCAAGACGATGTGAGTGAAGAACAAGAGGACTGACTCTGCTTTTGAATCATCTAGCAGGCGCAGCTCGATGCAAGGCTTTGCTGTCATCGTATCCAAGCCTCAAAAGGATGCGGCGGTAACATGGTATTGAAACACCGGCTTCATCCATCGTGGCGTTTCAGGGGTTAAGCTTTTGAGATGCGGCCCGCTGATTGGTGACAGCTGCGGTCAGTAAGCCTGTTTTGATCTAGCGCCAGCCCTACCCTAGCTCCTTCATTTCCATTCTATTAATTGATTCTACAGCCCTGGCGTCAGATCTAGAACTAGGCATGTTTACTATTGTTTAGTTGTTTACATAAAGTGTCCTTCCATGACATACTCCTCCACCTCCTTATCCCTCGGCCACCCTCCCCACCACGGCATGTTCTCAATCACGTGCCTGATCGCCTCCCATACTTCGCGCGGGGAAGGCTCAACATCCCTTACGATAGGAACAACATTCTCTCGCCCAGGAATCTCGTAGTAGACCCAGCTTCTCTCCAAAAATACTCTGGTAGCAACCAAAGCGCGACGGAAGGTCTTAAGTCCACCCCGCTGCTCCTTAGCATGAGCTTTCAATTCGTCACTGAAGAGAGCCATCCATTCGATGAGGTCCAGGAGTCCGTGGTAGTCACACGAAAGGCCGAGGACGCGGATGAATCGGTGGAGGTGAGCTGGTCGTGGAACTTCAAGGAGGCGCGGAAGGAGACATGCTGACGGTAGGAATGGAGATTTGTCTTCCAAGGAATCTTCATCTGATATAGATTCTTCCCCGCTGTCATCCCGACTTCCTTCGTCCTCGACTTCAGACTCTAGAGTAGCCTTCTCTTGTAGGAGATGTGGAGGTACTTCTTGTCGCATTACTGTTGAGCGAACGCAATTCTTGAACATTTCTTTCACTAGTGGTACCCCTTTCAGTGATACCTGGGCGGCCGAACGCTGAGTGGCGTCGGACCATCTGGAAGGGTTATCTTGTGTAAAGATTGCAGCAGAAGCGAACAATGCTTTCTCCAGGCACTTGCAGACTCCTATGAACACTGCTGCATCAGGTACTGCGTTGACCTCGCTCATCTGTTCGAGCATCTCCAAGGCCATCTGCCAGGATAACATATCTTGAAGTGGCGCAGGAGCTCTAGGCATGTCCACATTGACAATCAAACCTGTACGAGAAAGTGTGAAAAGGAGATGCTCATAGGGTTTTGCGCGAGTTGGTTTGGCAGCTCGCATTAATCTGAATGCGTAGCTCAATGGGTTTTGAATCAATCCTTGAGATTCCGGTGCGCTTTTCTGGCCATGTACAGGACCCTCGCGACCATGACGCTTGACAGAGCTGAGACAATGCCGGTACAGTCCTTGAAGAAAGGAGTCAAACAGGACAGGTGGGATCTGTCGCAGCCAAAATTGATATTCGGCCTCTACTTCAAAATTTGTAGAGCCACCAAGCAGTGCTTCCTTACACTGCCGGGGCAAATGGCCCGCTTCCAGGACTTTGAATGCCATCGGCAAGCTCGTCGCATTTGCCAGTAACAGTCCGAGGATTATCTTGCTTGGAGTACGGCCTTCACTGATCATGCTATCAAAGAATTGCTCGGCGGTGGGTGGCTCTGATCGAATGTAGACGTTGTCTCTAGGTAATGCCGGCTCTTCGAAAATTTCAGTACCATCGCCAGGCAACGGATTGGATGTGCTGAATTTAGTCGAATTGCTTGATCTACATACTCGCGCTGATTGTACTATTTTGCATAGCATCGCATGGTAAACACTCATGTCCGGCCTTTCTACGTTGTCTCGACATTCCAGATAAATGGCCCAAGCCTCATTCAAGGTTCTTGTGGCTTTGATGCGGTTGACCCAGACTGTATCGATTTCACCATCTAGTGTCTCGGGAACAAGTATACTACGTGTTTGAATGGTTGGACTTGTATCGGTATCCCAGCCTGCGAGAATAGTTGCGGCATCCTCCCAACCCTCCTTGGCGTAGCCGGCTTCACTAGCCTTTTGGAGTATATCATTTGCCTGGCTACTCCCGTGTTCAATGCCGATCAGTGCATCGATACCTGTTCGATCTTCTTTCCAAGGTGGCCAAGACTTTGACTTAAGAGCAGCCCATTCCCGTTCCTTGAGTGTCTTCTTTTGCATCAATTGAACAGCAGTGACAGCACGAAAGCCTCTCCTATCGACCACTAACGGAGGATTATTTTCATGCATCCTTTGAAGAATTGTGGACTGCGCTCGTAATTGATGTACCGCTGAGACAAAGGGGTGAGATGATACTGGCACCGCAAGCAGTTTGAGCATGGTGTTGTATATGAAGCTAAGTCGAGCCCGATCCGGTATTTCATTCTCTCCGAATCCTGGCGTTGATGCTGATGATAATCTCGGATCATATTCCAACGGTGCCAATGTTGATTGGAAATTCTTCCCATTGACAAATTTGCAACATAAAGCCGTGATGCTTTCAAAAGCTGCAGGCCACACTTCTCGAGCACGCCGAAGGAGTCGAATTATCATCACAATGAAAACATCCTCTTGGAAACCAGAAGGATCTTCCTTGGGGCTAGCTATGACTTTTTCAGGAAGAGGTTTCCCAAGGTCAAGGTGTGCGGACAAGCTCGCATAGCCTCCTTCTTGGAGCAATCGACGAGACGCAAGATCGACTGACCTCCAAGCGTAGGTCAAGAGATCACGTAGGCCTCTGGCAGAAAATCTTTGGCGGCGAAGCAGAAAGACGAATAAGAAGTGAGGAACTGGTAAATTCTTGTGTTTCCCTGTAGATACCTCACTGATCATAGCCAATCTTCGCGCAGCTAGGTCCGCCGAAGATGCCGTCAGTATCCACGTCCAGCTCATCAAGTCCGTGATGTCCCATCCACGATACTGAAGCCACTGAAGACTGCGAGTCTCTGTGAAAACAGACAAAGCTCCATCGTAAAATTTCGCATTGTGTGATGAAGCTCTTGTCCTGGCAATAAATCCAAGAATGGGGTAGACATCGCGAATATAACGAGCCAGCAAATTTTTGGCATCCCACGACGAAGGCGTTACGAGTTCTAAATTTGCTTTGCCTTCGGCAGCCGCTCTTCTTCCTTGCGCATAATCATTGGTCGCAGTGTGAGCATCTATATATGACAGGTCCGCCTTCTGGGCGTATATTTTTGGCGTCGCATACTCCTGTCCTACCGGGCCAAGAGCATCTATCAACTCTTCGGATGTTGTGTGCCAATGTGTGTTTTTCTCTGATGGGACGGGTATAATCTGTTCAATTTGCAGATCTGGTGGTACATGCTTAACTTCTCGGCCAGCATGTAACTCAAATAGATGCCGACGCGCTTGAGGACATGATGCCCGTAGATAACGTAGAGGCTCTCGACGTCCCTAAGAATATTAGTTGTGCCGAGCTAGACAGTGTCGCGGGCAAGAAGCACTCACAATAGCAGACCAGGTTTGCGATAGATCACTGCACAAAGCCCTGATGTTACGGCTGCCTGAAGTGTGAGGTTTCAATAGCATTCATAGTCGTATTGTGGATTGCAAAGTTTGAGGGTCGTGAAAAAGGCAGTAGTTGAAAGGAACGCTAGCCTTTTTGGGATTAGCGTAGGCTCATCAGCATCCGTCGCTTTCACACGGGTCCATGATGTGGCAAACGTCGCATATTGGTCGACGATACAGTCAATTCTGCCCGAAGTCAGCTCGCTAGATAAGGCTGAAGGTGCAAGCTACACCCGGTTGATTCACCATGTAAGCCTCATCATGCATGGTGGGGGGATCAGTGATTTCCACGCCTTGCACAGTTTGTTGTTGAAATTGTCTTGCCGTAAAATCGGCAAAAGTGAGACCACTGCAGGCTTCAGCATGTGCTCCTGCACGACACTGCTCTTGCCTTTGCGACTTTTGTCTTGAAACTTATTGGGCGGTCTTGAATACGCTTAGAACAATGATCTGAGTTTGTCTATTTGATTTCATGACGTTCGCTATCGTTCCGGCATCTCACAAAACTTTCTGCATGACGAAACTCCATTGATCATGATTGATTGTCCAGGACTCGATACTTTGACTCATGTTTCTAATAACGAGGGGCTCAGGAAATCTTCGCCTCAATGGACGAACCCTTTCCCTGCAGATTCTGACCTCGCTGGAATAGGGGTACATGAAGTCCTGGCAAAGCAATGTGTAGACACGTCTTGAGAACTGCGCAAGATCCCGAACTCACAAATACTGACGGCTCTGTTGAAGGTCATCATATCTTTTGTCACAGGCGCCTGGCTCAACACTGTTCTAGTTCTGGTCGCAATGCTGTTAGTGCGCAGCTACCCACTGGAAACACACGTTGGGTGAATGACTCAAGGCTAGCTGGTGTGTCGGCGGTTTGCTACTTCTTGCATATGAACGATGCATCAGGCTACCCAGCCGAGAACATTATCCATAGAAATATTTTTAACCATCTTGGGCTTTGGTGATATGACTGCGACTATCGAACAAAGGATCCGAGCTCAGCCGGAAATAAATTCGACATAAACATTGCAACGTGCTCCGCTTGACACTGCATAACACGCATCAGCGGTCTTTCAGAGCTGGTAGGGCAGGTATCTTTTGAAAAAATGCCCCTTGTACTGCAGTATGATATATTTCGAACTTCGTATGATCGCCGATGTGTATCAATCCTTATTGTGGGAGACGAGTTGCTCGCAAATCGAAAATCCTATCGGACGACTGAGTTTTGACCCTTTCGCAATTCCTGTGGTTAGTATTTGCCTTGGTTTGGGGCACCTTGCAGCTGATACAAGCTCGTGGTGACCGCTCGTGGGCTCCACCAGGTGATTTCCAATGGGAGTTTGGCCAGTCTCTAGCTGTCATACTCCTTAGTCTCCCTGTGCTAAGCTTACAGAAAGGCGTTCTCGGTAAGCTGAACATTTTGTGCTGAGCTTTGAATCAATTCCCGTACAGTTCCATTGCCTACCATCTGCTTTCACTGCGAAAAGTCTCATGTTGTGAAGGTTCAAGGATGATTCTATGAACTTTCAAGTCGCCAAATTTTACTCTAAAGAACTTTATCTGACACATCATATAGAGACTAAGAGGTTTTGGGGTTCACATGAAGCGGCAACGTTTCCTCTTCGTTAGCTACCTGCGGCTGCAGAGCAATGCTTTAGATAAGAAGACCACCCCACCAAACCCTGAGGACAATGTCATGGAGCGCATGGGCTCCCAGGCCTTATGGCTAGTCTCCGGGTCGTTGCTCCGGGATATGAAAATGGACACTTACCAAATATGGCTGACATTTCGCATTATGATAACAAAGATCAGCTGCGGTGGTTCAGCCTCCTTGTCATTCTCAACATCTTCTTGTTACTCTGCCATGTAGCTGGAGGTTTCTACTTAAATTTTGGGCAATGTTTTCGCCCGGGCGACCCCTGGCTAGTATTTTATCTGGCACAGGCAATGTCTTGGAGCCTCTAAGCTATCTCTATATGGACTGGAACCTACTTGTTTATACAGTATTTTGGATATTTTAGCGGAGAGACACTGGCGCGCTAGTTTCGAGTACGCAGAGGTGAGCAAAGAAGCCTGCCATGAGCAATTCTTGTCGTCATCAGTGACTTCTTACAAAGGCTGCACTCGGACACCAATCCCCTCTAGACTTACAACAAGTGTATCGTACAGTCAACGCCACATTGAGCTACACTTATCAAGCTCCCGTACAAACAAAGCCTACGAAAGCACAGGTTGGAAAAGCAGGCGCAAATGCTCAGTTGAGGTACTCGGAATGGCAATCTCTTCGCCTTAGCTCGTCTATATACAATGACAATGATCATTACTGCCCCTCCTGACTACTCTATTCCCAGCGGTGGCACCTCGCCCTGTTCTTGCCTCGGCTCGCCTTGCATCCGGTACGAGGCCTTCCACCTCATCTTGACACCATTCGCTTGACCCTTCTGTACACCATTTACCACGATTGGTTGCGTAATGCCGTCTTTTTGGCTCGGTAACAGATTTCGCCCGGATTGAGGCGTCAGCTTGAGGGTCAAACCCTGGCTATTGCTTAGTATTCTTCGCGAGCCTCAAGAGTGTAATGTGGTAGGAAACATGAAGCTTACCTTAGTCACTGCAACCTGAAAGGCGTATTCGGTGATAAGATTTGCGGTGTTGTTGGAGAAATGGGCGGCTATCGAGATTGAATCCACAGCGGTTCTGGTTGTCTTGAAGGCGATATTGACGGCGGTATTAGAAACCGTGATTAGGCTTGAACTGGGGAGGTGACTTTCTTCGGGCAAGGCCTGAAGCGAAGTCCCAGTCATCATCTGTTGATGGGACATTCGTTTTCTGCGTGGACGCGGGAGGTTTAGGCGTTGGCTGAGTGGATGATGAGGAGAAGTCGAATAACGAAGCAGAGGCGCTGGCTTGGGGTATCTGAGATGGTTGGACGGACTGGGACGGCTGTGGAGACGAGAGAGACGCAAAAGGATCAGGCGCTGTTTGGGTTGACTTTGGAGGTTGTTGAAATTGACTCTGAAAGGACGAGAATCCAGCAGGTGTCGATGTGCCGGACGCATGGCGCGAGGAAGAATTGACTGACGAGAAAGGGTCATAATTTGGTTTGGGATGTGAAAGAGTTGGTTGTTGATATGCGGGAGGCTGATCTGATGGGGCTCTGGCGGAATTGCCCTGGGTTGTACTTGACAATAGTGACGGTCCTGGTATGTCTGAACCACATTAATTAAAAGGAAGCTCACGCTAATGGCATGTTTTGAACTCACTGGTGTTAGCCCCAAATCCGAGAGCAATGCCACCTGACTGGCCATAATCTTGATTTTGGATTGATAGCCCGAGTAGGTCATCCTCGACAGACGTCGCTCTTTGCCCACCTGTTGCATCTGTGTTGCCATTTGCGTCACCCTGAGACTCAGCTTCACCACTGAAATCTATGAGCGAGAGCTCGTTGTCACCAGTTTTGGTGACTCCAGTAGAAGTTCCCAGAGTACCTTTCGGGATCTTCGAGGCTGCTTCCAAGTCGCCTTGCTTCACCAGTTTGTATCTCTCGATGGTTCTGTGAATGCTATCATTGATTTCAAGCAGCTTGGCGACAGCTTCCGCGTCGTCAGACTCCTCCTCGCACATCCTCTGGATTTTCGGATGGGCACTTTGCAGTGCGCTTACCAGTTCCTGACCTGTCTTAGAAAAAGAAAAGCGTGGCAGAATGATGGGACCCACCTCGAAAACATCACCCTCGACCACCTTGTCTCCTGGCTTGAAATTCTGAAGTCGTTCCTCCAGTAATCTTGCTTTCTGTTGAACCCTGCTCACTTCTTCAGCTGCTTTTGCCCGGTAGTCTGTTTTATGTCTTGTGTCAAAACCCGCCATGACCTTCATTAAGCGGTTGGCTTCCTGGAGATCTTGTGGCCCACCTCGCCTGATCAGCTCCTGTAGTTTGGCAGACTGCGCAGCTTTCTCTTCTTCCTCCATCTCCTCGGCTGATTGAAGATTCTAGAAAGCGTAAGATATTGCCATCAGGTTCGAGGGGTTTCATACCTCGCTGCGATTGAGCACAGCAGCATCTTCCCGTCGTACCTCTGGAAACATGTAGCCTTTGAAGCTCAGGAGGCGGTGCATATCTCTGATAAACCCTAGATCTTCTTTGTAGCGTGAAGTCTGGCATATGGTCTGCCTCCATTCTTCTATGAGCTCCAATATTCTTGACTGGACTCTCGATGGGCGTATCGGCGGCCTTTCTGGAAACCGCCTTACCAATTCATTTAGGAACTCTTTCGTGCTGATTTGTAGGTGAAATGGGTATCCGCAATTTTTAACGCATATGTCGAGTAGGGAGAGGGCAAGCAATGAAATATTGGCGTTTCTGTGGTTGACATGGTTGACGATAGCCACGGAGGCTTCGCGAGGGGCGCTGCCTTTCTTCGAGTTGATGAGGTCTGCAATCTCGAGACTTAGCGCTAGGTTTGGCTCATAGTTTTGCTGAGGGTCGACTGCGTTTTCTGTGTTTTCCGATGAGCTACATGGGCTATCAATGCGCCCATGGCCAAAACATACGAATGTAGCGCTGTAGTGGGGTCTGAGCAGCTTCGCCGAAGGGTCCAAAGCGGTCTCTTGCAGCGTACCGCGCGGAGGCCGCTTCCATATTGGAGAGCAGGAAAATGGGCGATATGAACCAATTGTGGGCTCGAGTCGGGGTGAATCGGCCTTGAATATGAATATCGAAAGCTGCCTACTTGAAGCAAGTGGCTTGACCTCATTGGCTGGTGCTCAAGCTCCGCAAGCGCGCATCAGCCCGCAAGCCCAAGATGTCATCGATCTGGTCATACACTTCTAAAATCTACGACTGCGGACACGAATACAAAGGAGTAGACACCGATTCTCTTCATCTCTAGCCAGACCCCAGTCACGCTTTGTTCAGCTACTACAGCTACATCACAGAAGACTCGGGCCCGAGGATGCGTCACAAGAAAGATGGCTACCGCGGCAAGGGCAAAAAATATTCCAGTACCCCTCGACACCAAGAGCATCAAGATGATGACGAACAACAAGAGGCGACTGGCAAGCGACCACCTTTCAAAGCTGCATGCTGGGATCTGGAGCACTGCGATCCAAAGAGATGCTCGGGTAAAAGGCTCATGCATTTTGGCCTTATGAGGGAACTCCCTGTGGGCAAGAAGTTTCCTGGTGTCGTTATTACGTGAGGCACGGTAATTGGACGAGAGATGGGCAAATACTTATGAAATTGTGAAGGCCGACTGCAAAAGAAGTCATCTCACCAACGGACAACGATCTTCTCGAACAATATGGCGCTGCTGTGGTGGAATGCTCATGGGTGAGAGTCGCAGAGATTCCCAAGGGCAAAATAGGTGGTAAATGTGAAAGATTATGTACGTGCCGAGCACAGCTGGACTGGGATACCGGTGCTGACATGTCCAGTACCATACTTGGTGGCGGCAAATTCGGTCAACTATGGAAGACCATGGCGGCTGAACTGTGCCGAAGCGCTAGCAGCTTGCTTCTACATCTGCGGTCATGAAGACTGGGCTCATGAAGTCGTTGCTCACTTTTCCTATGGCGAAACATTCCTCCAGATCAATTCGCAATTACTCAAACGCTACGCAGCATGTTCTAATGCTGCGGAGGTTAAGAAAGCAGAGGAAAATTGGCTAGCGAAAATTGAGCGAGAATATTCAGAGAGCAGAGTCGAGGCTGATATTGCAGGGAATGGAGACGCATGGGCAGGCGGCAACATAAACCGCAGATCGTTTCACGACTCCAGCGACGAAGATGACTCTGACGTCGCTCAGGGCTCCGAGGGTGAGGATACTGAGGCAGGTGGAGTTCAATTAGAAGACCGTCCAATTGACATTCTTAATGAGAGCGAGGAAGATGATGAGGAAGAAATGGCAGACCTGCGAAGGCGCGTGCTAGCCTCGAAGCCTTTTGCCAACCCAGCCAAAGACGATAGGCCTATTATGGACACGATACCTCGGCCTCTAAACCAACAGCTACACGATTCTGATGCTGAATCAGGTTCTGATCTAGAGGATAACGAAGCCTTCAATACTATCATAGATGCAACTCCGGTCACAAATCGGACAGGCCTCAATATAAAGCAGCGGGCGCGTTAAACCAAGAGTGTGAGTGGCACGTTTCCACGATCACGAACCAGTGCGCCCAAGAAATGGTGAGGCTACACGCAATGAGGTTATGGTGCCTTCAATTCGCTGAAGGGACTTTCTCAGTTGCGCCAAGATATCCTTGCGGGACGAATTGCTTCCCTCGGTATGCGAACCCTGAGCGTTGCGCTTCTAAGCTAGATGTTCGGAACGTTCAACGGTTTTAGGAACATGCAATACCATCCTTCATATCATTGCAGCAACAGATCGTGCCAATATATGTGGGCGACTTTCACCTGCCATCTTAACGCCTATTGCCGTCGATGCAGGCGAAAAGCCACGACTCGGGCAGCCACGATTCGGTAGCCGATCGCAACCCTCCATCAAACTAGGCATTTCAAATCAATAATTGACGAAGCCTAACAATCTATCTTCGGACTCCCTTTTCAATCGACGGCGGTGTGCTATATTCCACATACGTGAAGTAGCATCATCAGCGTACCACAATGTCCACCTACGAAGGTACTGTACTTGTCACGGGAGGCACTGCCGGGCTTGGGTATCACGCTGCCCTGCAGATTGCAAAACAGCATCCGGATTATCTTGTTATCATTGCATCGCGAACAAATACCGATTCCGCAGCTGAAAAAATAAACGGCGTCACCGGCCAGCAAAATGTCGAATTTCAACCTCTGGATCTTTCGAGTTTGGTGAACGTGCGAGGTTTCTACGAAAGTTATTCGAAAAGGAGTCATGCACCAATCAAAGCGTTACTTCTCAACGCCGGTCTCCAGTTCCCCAATCAGGCGGAGTACTCGGTTGATGGGATTGAGAAGACTTTTGCGATCGCTCATGTTGGTCATGCCTTGCTCTTCTATCTTCTACGATCATCCCTCGCTCCAGACGCTCGAATCGTCATTACGGCCAGTGGTGTCCATGATCCCGCGCAGAAGACAGGAATGCCACCTGCCAAGTATGTCAAGGCCGAAGAACTGGCTCATCTAACTCCTGAAGGCGCCAAAGCTGACGGCCGGCTACATTATTGCAATGCTAAGTTGGCAAATGTCATGTGGGCTTATGCTCTACACCGAAGGTTTCAAAATGGTTCATTAGGGGGAAGAAATGGACAGTGAACTCTTTTGATCCTGGCTTAATGCCCGGCACAGGCTTGGGAAGGGAGTACCGCGGGCTTATACGCTTCATGTGGGATAACGTTCTACCGCGAATGCTTCCACCACTTAGACTACTGGTCAGTTCGAATATCTTCTCGCCGGAAGAATCAGGGCAAAACCTCACTAGGCTGGCTGTGGGAAATGATGTAAAGGGCATTAGTGGCGTCTACTATGAAGGCAAGAAAGAGGTAAAATCTAGCGTGGACAGCTACAAGGAACTGTTGCAAGAGGACTTATACGAATGGACTGTTGACGCAGTGGCGAGCAACGAGAAGGAGAAGACCTCGTTTGGGGACATGAACGCTTCCTAAATACTCTATCTTGGGATTGCATCCATCCCGTCTCTCTGAACAGTTTCTTGGCACGGCATTTTGCCTTCCGAGCTCCTGGCTTCCGGGTCGGAATCTTTTTTGTTCCCGGTTCCGATGTCCTGCTTACCACCACCCAATCTTTCTCATCCTTTCTCACTTCTACACCTTTGTCATGCTCTGATCGCAATTACCGAATATGAAACCCGCAATTGAGCCAGGAATTGCTGGCAAAAAGTTGCTGCGGTCCTGTGATAGCTGTCGGACTGCTAAAGCAAGGTGCCTCCCGCAAGAAGGAAGTCGCACGTGTCAAAGGTATTGAACATTGGTATTCAAAATCTGCGCTTCTTGTTGATGTACCTAGATGTTCTCGATTTGACAAACACTGCGTCTTCTCCGAGGCGCGTGGCAGGTCTAAGCAAACGAGTCCCAGGTCCCAAACGTCAGCTGCACCGATGTTAGGACCTCGTGAATTTACTGATATGGTCCATTCAGGAAACTGGCCGATGTTGAGAAGAGGATTGACAATATCTATAACCTATTGCAAACCGTCGGTGCCTCTCAAGCGGCGCCACCATCGACTGTACCTCAATCACAGAGCGGTAAAAGTAATATAGCTTCGGATTCCGGAAACTTTCCATCAAATGATGATCTTTCATTATCACAGTCGGCTGCCATGTTTCCACCAACTCCAAGCTCGTTGAATACCGAAGAAACAACGGCGGGTCTCTCGGATGTAATCACAAAAGGCATCCTTAGCTACGACGACGCCGAGGAAGCCCTGACACTGTTCAAAAGTGATTATGCTGCAGTATCTCTAAATTGGCCGTCGAATGACCCTGATATGTCATCTCTGCGGCATGATCATCCATTTCTTCTGCAGTCAGTGCTTACTATCGCCTACCAAAAGGACGCGACAACTCAACAGCGCCTTGATTCAGAGCTACGAGAGACTATGGCGCGTAGAGTCTACGTTGACGGGACTAAGGACTTAGATCTACTGAATGGTCTGGTAGTCTATGTTCAATGGTAAGCATTTCAGCCCCACCGAAACGAGTGGCATCGGTTCATTTGATGCTCCTAGCTTACAGCGAGAACAGGCTGTGCTTACAGCTAGACTGCCGTATAGACCATATGTATACCTCTGCTCAATTGTGTGCAACCTTAGCCGCAGACTTGAATGTTGTTAGTACGGCGCTCTCGCGGCCTCCCAATCGCAGCAATTTGGAAAATTGCCGGCTTTATATCATGATCTATCTGCTCTCTTCCGTGTAAGTTTCCGCAAAGATCTTTCAGATATCGGTTGCTGACCGCTCAGTATGTCAATGACGCTGAGGAAACCATCTTTGATTGCTTTCAATAACGACCTCAAGGCGTGCTGTTGTATTATCACTGATGCTTCGAGAACTCCTTCCAATGACTATCTATCACGAATGGTACATCTGCAAGGATTTTTAGAAGACGTTACCAGAACATTCTCTTATGATACAATTGCTAATCGGAATCTGGATAACCAAACAGTTGAATTGACTACCCAAGCACTTCGAAAGCGGCTAGAAGATTTTCAGAGCCATGATCCACTCCAAAATGAAAGCCTAGATAGTAAGAGCTTCCCTCCTTTCTCTTGAAATTTTTAGGCTTGCATGACAACACATTGCCTTACTCCACCACTCACCACCCTAAAGAACTTTCTGCAAGGGCACTAAACTGACAAAATCCCCGATTAGCATCTTTCAACGTGGCCCTCCGTCATGCCTGGATATATCTTTACGAAGTATCCATGCATTTCGTACCGTCCCCACCCACGGCCAATCATCATTGCCTCCTCCTCTCCTGCCTTGAGAAGGCCAAAGCTTTCTTGGACTTCTATCTCACAATTCCTCAGCAGCTCATCTTTCGCCAAACGACGATTGAACGCTCGTATTATGCCCACGCTTTCATGGTACTCCTCAAACTCGCCTTCTGGACCACAGGTGGCACTGCCGAAAATCCCTATCCTCTCCGTCATGCCTGCAACATTTCCGGATATTTAAATATCTTGTCAAGACCATGCAGATTTCACACTAATTGTGACAGCAAATGTATTGCTAGGGATGGTTTAAAGGCATTCACAGATAGAACTCAGAGGTTGAAAGTCTGGTGGGATAGAGTTGAGATGTTTGGGGCCCTAGGCGGAGATGGAGGCGAAGGGAAGGAGGTAGATATGATGAATCCGTTGAGCTTGGATGAGATCATGAAACGGGAGCGACTGCCAGGCGAAATAGGCTCGGAGATGGATTTCGAAGGAATGGGACTGGGCGATTTTATGGATTTTGATTTCATGACTTGGTCATAGAAAGAGATGAAGTCGGCAAGTTTCAAAGTCAAGAACGGAAGAATACTCTATTGGTGCACCAGTCATGGGGATAGACAAATTTGTTATTCTATGGGATGGTCAGCGACAACTTCATATTCATGTACATCGGATCATGAATACGGATGCGCTACGCCAGAGTGAACTAACTAGGATTAATGAGACGCACCTTCATGTCTCGATGCATGACAATTTCTCATGAACTTCATCGCGCCTTTGATCTTGGGCTTGAGACAATAGCCTATCGTCCTATTTCAGAGTGTTGTTCAGTTGTTCTAAACCAATATCCATCCAAGCTCGACAGATGGCACGAAATGTCCATTCGCATGAAGTCTTCCGAGGGTATGCAAAAGTTTGAGGCTACAAGTACAAAGGTAAATCTTGTGATATCGATGCGGCGGCGGTGTAGAGACCTTGCTATGGACTGGCGGAAATCAAGATTCAGGGGGACGGAAGCTAACCTGAAATTTTTGGGTTGACACAGAGGTCGGACTGACCCATTGCCTTGCGACACAAGGGGACACTAGTCGACATTCATTGTGATACTCGCTATACCTTTGTCATGTGAGCCGTCTGCTGGGTCCAAACAAAGAGACAAAATATTATAAGAAAGATCAGAATGGGCTCGAGCCCAGTATTGACTATCTATTGTTCCCCTCGCACAATATTGTGCAAACAACGCCATCATGGAGAAGCTACCACCGGAATTAAAGCTTCAGGTACTGGAGAGTCTTCTCGAGATAGAATTAGTCTTCGATATGACCGATCCCGCGAAATTGGTACTCCCAAGACCCTCCCGCTGCAAGACTTCCTGGCATGATCTCAAATGGGAACGTTGTCTGGATTGGAAATTGCACGCTTTTGCAAGAGGAGAGCGACACCATGAATGGAACAATGCAGTCTTCAATCTACGATCGCTCTTGAGCTTGGCGCTCACGAACCACCATCATTACAGCTTCACAATGCCATTCTTGAATAAACTTCTCGATAACATACTCAAACAATTTCCAAAAGAGCCTTGGCAGCGCTGGCTCAAGACGCCTCAGACATCAGAAGATTTTGGCCCCGACTTCGTCAGTCACATTTGGAACATCCTTCGGCTCGGGGATGAATTTCGCATCTGGGCTTTGAGGAAGGCTGCACCTGAGAACTCTTATCCACTCATCCTCGAAAGGGACTACAACCATGTCAAAAATTTCGATGAGACCTGTTCACGCTTCGAATTCGTGGAATTCAAGGATACGCATGAGTTCCAAGGCTGGATATGGAGTACTTTCTGTAGACTATGAACCGTGGATGAAGATTGCTTCGGATTAGAGTTCGTTGAGACACCGCGTCGACCCCATGATCTGGATAAGGTGACGACTGTGGTGATCAAGAAGAGGACTGAAGAATCCACGTCAAAGTCTGGACAGGATGTCTGAATACTCCGGAAGTGATTGCAATCGCCATCTTGGAGAAGCAGAGGCATCAAATGAGCAACACACAGAACGATCTAATTGGCACACATGCCATCATCAATCATCGATATCTTGTCTGCGACTCTTGACCACTTCATGTACTGACTCTGACGTAATGAAGTCAAAATCAGGCGACAGACATTTCTGACATTTCAAAATACGCAGACGACACCAGAGATAAGTGCCGAGGCTGTAAAAAGAAGATATGGGAAACCATTTGTTCCTCTTCCCTTTGTTTAGATATACTCGGATAATCAAATTTTGTCAATGATATCTAAACTTACCCCCTACCATTCATTCTCATTGCATCTCAAATGGACAGTGCTTTCATATCGCCGGACTTAGACCGATTGGAATCATAGACTCTCAGGTCTTGTCAGAGTATGTAGCTAGTAGCTCTGCAATGATCGTCGTGATCTCGAATGTGATTGAATGATTAAACGAGACCTCTTTGTGAAGGCAACGTCACCGGACCGAGCCTAGCACAATCGCCTTAACTTTGTGAAAGCCTCATGTGATGATTCAGACCGCACCTTACTCTCTATTGGACACTCCCAGCAGACTTCTGAATTACTGCAATGTGCTCGAGTAGGGTAAAAGTTCCTTGATTAATGTGGTTGAGGGACTGATCGTGATTATATCGATGCTGCAAGGCACAAGAGACGTGAAGGTTAGTGCCACAACCAAGGTAAAATCATAAATTTCTTGGATTAACTTTGCGTGGGAGCGCCATCCCACAAATCACCAAGTCTTTATTCGAAATAACCCCAGATCAGTCTCTTTCCTTCCACCCATCTCTTTGAATATTCTTTTCCCTTTGGCCTGCTGGTAGTCTGTGACACCCATCGGAAGTCACCCAATGACTGGACCGTTCAGACCCCTGAGAGAATTTCGAATGTCTAAACTTATCTGGTACTAGGTCACAGTGGACTGTTGGAATTTATTTCAAGACAGAGGATATTGGGCGTTGAGGGTATTGTGGGTACTGAGGGCATAGGACGATGAAGAAATGCCTATTCGTCGTTCGCCGGGTTCTTGTTCGATAGCTTCGATCATAAATGCTGGGCGGCGGCAGTGAGGTCCGAGTTCTAAGGGAGGCAGATGATCGAAAGCCGTGTTCCTAACATGACGAGTCATGGAGGGTCTCACGATGGTTGAAGGCGCACAACCCTTTCGTTGCACTGCAGCCCCCGAGATAGAGCCCCTCTCAGATCGATTTCTGAGGAGGGTTATCGTGAAAGTCACAGTACATTTGTTGCCGAAAGAATCATTACACCGCGAGCTGTTCCCTGTTATCAAAAGTGTGTGGTGAGAGACTATGATGTTTCCCCCTCGCTGGATGTTCGTTCGATGTCCTCGATCGTATGTGCCAGGCGATGGCGTGGATTTTGAGTCCTAAAGAAACTACGGTGGTCAGCGCCACCGCAGTCCTAAAAAAAGGAAGAGGTCCGGGTCCCCAACAAAATGAGTCTGTTGCCAGAACAAATCATGAAGGGTCTCATGATTGCCACAGGTTTAAGTCATTGCAAAAAATAGCTCGTAGTTACCACGGGTATTAATCTTTTCATCGCAGGCCCGTCATTCGGGAGGCGATGAAGCCCCCCTCGCCGAAACAAAGTTCGACTATCGTCGACCAAGTATTGTCCATAGATTACTCTATGGTACATACCTTTGTGGTTCTTGACAGCTTGCAGCCGGCTATGATGACTTCACACATTTCGTATCCTACTCTTGTATGCTGCACAGCAGATCTCGGTCGAAGTGCTCGTCGAGAGGAAGGTATTACAGTGTCTCAATGTACTGAGCCGGTTCATCGATCATGTATGCTTGTGTTGGACAGCTTCATGACAGTCTCTGTCGTCAAGTACCACCGTGAGGAAACAAGCAGCGAGGGAATGCTTTCTGTGCGTCAACGTCAGTCATGAGCTTTCGGGCAATGGAGCATTACGGCATGATACTGTGGTATAAATCTGCAGCGGCAGTGTATTGTATGTATCGTCGTGATGAGGTCCAGAGATCATCATTAGGATACAACTTTATGACAGTTGAGGACGATGAACAGATGACGATGTACTCCTCCAGCAATAGCGGAATCATGAACGGCCTATGGATGCTATTGAGGATGGTCGGGTGGGTCAATGTGGAAACGAATATTCAATGAAGCTGCCACAGGAGGACAAGCAGGCTGGGCATGACATTAAGAGAGACTGCAGAGAGGATGGAGAAGTAAACAACGAGAAGACGCGGAGCAGTCTTTTGTCGGAAAGCCAATCACTAAGGGGCTCCTTCCGTCTCAGCAATTGCAAAGGGGCGTGTGGTCTCTGGGCAACGGGCATGACAACGCCTCCCAGGGCGTTATTAAAGTTTCCCCGAAAACACATTATGGTGAGGTATTGGGTGCTCTTCATGACTTTTCGACATGATTTTCCGAAGGTCAAGTACACATTGCTAGATGCGATTCCTGACTCAAAGATTGATAGTCACGGCTCAATCATTTGGGAAAAGCATCAATCATAGAGCATCGACGAGGCCCCATGTTCAGGGCTAATAGATGTCCTCAAAAAAAAGATTCTTTCCATTCTTCTGCAATGCTGTATAGCAGCTTATTGAATTTGTTCGATTCCAGATCGTTTACTTTTATTTCAGAACGAGAAAGCTACATACAGACTTGACATCATTTAGCGTAGGAATCACCAGTCAGAATCTGTGGAATCTCTTCATACTACCTCAAGATTTACATTTATGTGTTGAGAAAAGCCGCTTTACCTTTCTTCGCAAAAACGCACACACTATTGACAGTTCCAAACTTGCCACCTCGGGTTTTGATACCATGACTTGCCTCTCGAAATAGGATGTCAGGTTTTACAAAGGAAGAAGGGCAAAGGCTCCACGGCACACCCATATCACGAGATAGACTCAACATTCGCGTAAGGGTGACTGAGCTGAACGTCTATAGATCAAACATCCCGAAGAACTAGCTTTCACCAAATTAGTTCTAGGGACCCAGAAGATCGTCATTACTTACAACTAGGGTAGTGATAAAGGAAGGCATTGTCTGCTATTCGGGTTCGTGCAAGTAATTACTAATATTCAAGACATGCATGTTCATCAAATTTGAGGAGGTAACAAATCAACAGAAAGTTGCCTTGAATCAGTACATAGACTGAGTATCAAGGTTTGAACAAATTGGTGGCAGCCACTTCATACTCCTCCTGTGCAACCTTCATAATCACGCGTTTTGACACAATTTTGATCCTTGAAATGATTTTTACCGCGAGATCAAAGTCCTTGCACTGGTAGTGCTGCACGGTCAAGACTATCATCATAAATATGCGCAAAAGACCCCGCGGAGAGTGCCAATACTGTTTACTGTACCCCCAAAATGGAGCAATGACGAATTGATGAGTCCTAGATTCGATGCATGTTCTTGTTGACTATCATCGGATCAGACTTAGGATTTTATGGTGCCTCGTGAGACGTCAGAAGCGCGTGCAAAGTAAACTTTCGCGCTTGAAGTAAATATTGAACCGGACTTTTTACGTGGTCTTGACTTCCTGGATAGACAATCATTATTGCTCTAATGAATACACTCCATAAAGCACTAAATGCTCAGATTACCTACCTCATTGCGTTTCGTACTCGCTTGACAAGTGATGTCCTCGCTTTGAATACTCCGAAATACTATCGAATGTCTGAAAGTCTTCAGGACATGCTATATGCACTTAATATCGGTATCCCTGATTGACTGCCCATCGTACTGCTAATCGAAGTACGTACTAAGTTTTGAGAGCATCAAGACAGAACCATTACTCCAACAAGTGTATTGAAGGTACTTGAGGTATTCACATACCTCCAAAAAGCTGAAAACACTTTTACAGCTTCAGACTTGGAAGACACGCAAACCCTCTAAAAACAGCCAAGAGGATGAGTAGTCCGCAATAATTTGGAGAGCGTATGTACCAACAAATTCTGTTAATCCTGAGTCCTGTCAAAAATCGAGGCTGAAAAGATACCTGTGCGTTTCCTCACTCTCGCTAGAAGGCTGATTGTTTACCAACCATGGGTCCTGCAGGCTCGTTGTCCAGCAAATAGGCAATATTAGAGCAGACTGCGAATGATTAGGAACATGTCAAAGAAATGATCCGTCGAAATGCCAGCAACACCTCAAAAAACCGCTCGAAAAAGTTCTGGAATAAGTTATCTAAGACTGGCAAATGCATGTCTTCCTAACGCAGCAAGGACCTGCTACAATTCCGTCAAGATTGAATAGAACCGCTGAATGAATCACCGCTCGTACAGACAATTGTACCTTGTGAGCCAAGAAGTTATCCCGGCTTTGTGGTAGCACTATGTGGCCCCTTCAGCAATCAGGAGTCTTGCCTTCAGGGGAAAAATGTCAATACAGTGGCAAATTCGCCACCCCGCCATCCCAGTCTTGGAGTGTCGAGAGCGTAGAATCAACATTTTGTGAAGGTACAGTCAGCTTGCAAAGGCCTGTATGCATGGCCAAAAATCAAATGAAGCCGTGAGAAGGTTTCCTCATTGTTGAGAATCAAAATTGAGACTTTCACATCAACCAGTGGAATCAAGAATCGAACGCTCGAACTGCAAAAATTCCTCCCTACCACAGCCCTCGCCGTGTGCCAGAGGTCTGTCACACACGATCCCAGAACCGTCGATCTCCGAGAAATTTATTGAGGACTTTAAACCCTTTGGCGTACTCAGTAGCGACCCTTTCCTACCACTGAAGAACAGACATACTATGTTAATATATATACCATATCAGTGCCGCGAGTACTTTCTTTCTTTATCAAGTGGAAATGGGTTGCATTTACTGTAGCGCTTGGAGGCTGAACAATGAAATTCTAGCGCCTTCCTCCCAACGCAATGCTGCTTGCATGACTTAGACCGACTTTTTGTATGACCTGTAAAGCCGCTTCTAACATTTCCTCAAGAATTTACAAACAATGATGGTTGTTGGCTGTTAAGGGTTTCGGCGCACCACTGCTGACGGTTTCATACTTGGTCGGACTTCGATTCCCAAAATTGAACATTGGCCCTAACATTTGAATATACCAACTTTTGATCGCTTTATCTTCCAAACCATGGAATAGAAGAAGATCAGGAAATCTACCCTATGCGCAATGAAACCTAACAAACATTGCATCCAAAGAGCATAAAAATCTATCCTAATATCTTTCCAGCGGTCAAACCTGCATATTGTAGCTTCGAAGACTGATTTCAGCGTAAGAAATGTTCGACATACGACTCCTGCGTCATGGAAGGGGAAACTGAGTTCATGCATTGTTGAAGAGCGATGAGGGTCAATGAAAGAAGCTCGATCTTGACAAACAAGTTTCTGGCGGTCAGGTCAGGACTCGCAGCAACCGATGAGCTATTTCCGGAGTACCACATCAAGCTATGTTAATTCTCTTATAACGTGAGATTGAAGACTATCATTCCTAGAGCTATCTGTCAATTTTCTCGTCTCTCAACGAATCGTCACCATTCCTGACGGCGTGCGGAATCCCGCGATCCCGAACTATGAAATTCCTAGATGATAAGCGCTGATGAAATAGTAAACAGTACTTTTAAGGAGCGTCCATATTGCGGTCCTAACAATGGGAAGTGAAGCGCAAAGAAATCCGAAGGATTATGTATCAGAAAGGGGCGCGGCTACTCACTGTTGGGGCAGTGAACCAACTGCTCTATCACCTAATCCTCATATCCTCCACTTATCCAATACGAACCCGCGCTCTCCTGCTCTTTCTGTTCTTTAAGCAAGACCATTGCTTGGTTTCTTCTGCTGAGCGCAGCGTCGATAGCCGCACTGTTTACAGGAAGAATACTAACCAAACAGACTCCGTGAGATTCCATTCTTTCACTGAAAAGAGCCAAAGGGCCTGGCGAGCCTCTAGCTTTATTACTATTCCGATGCTAGCCACGACGTGTTTAACATCCGCCGTCTCGACTTCATACATACCAATCCTCGCAGGTAAGTTGTCTGATTTCAGCCATCTGTCCCCTTCAGACAAGTTCGTAATTTTGAATCTCTTCTGCATTCTCTCTCCTTTTTCGGACATCAATTAAAAGCCTCTTCCATCCTAGAAAATGACTCTCCAACATAGCTTACCTGCACACTCTGCCCTTTACTCTTCGCTGTTCCTTGAACCTCTTGTCTATTTCCTTCCACTGAAACGTTGATCTAACCTTTCAACTCCAAGCGGCCTCCCTCTCACAATTCGCTACATTGGCGACTTCCTCTCATCTACAGGCTCAACCCCCTGGCTCAACATCACCGGCAGCATCAATGGCCGACCAGAGCGCTCACCCCTCTACTCTTCTTCCATTTGCGACAGTGACGTCTTTCAAAAGATCATTGTTCAGAGTCCTGTAGGTGAATACGATCAGAAACCTCGCCTCCATCGCTCTTGCCCTCCAAGCGCCCACGCCGTTGTGAGCTCACCGCCAATGCCATTGACACCACGAATAGTATTGGAGGGAAAATGTGAAGTAAGGGCTGAGGCAAAGACGCAAGATGAGAGTAGAAACTTTTGCATTGAAGGTAGCTTTGATAGTACAGAGTGAGAGGAACCTTGTAATAAGACAAAAGAAAAGTATGAGATGCGGTACTTACAGGGCAGCCCAATCAAGATAAGCTGACTAAACGTCACTAAAGCACCTTCTTCTTGTAAAACAAGGAATGTAATATATCTCTGCCTGCTTGAGCAAGGCATCACGAATTCCCAAGCCCACACGTCGACATCCCCACCACCCATCCAGATCTCACCTCCTCCCACAATGTCAACCGTCCCAGCCCAAAACCCCTCCGCAGACAAGATTGACGTAGGAAAAATGATACGTACCGACACACTCGCCTCCAACATCATCTCCCGTCACAACACCGCCGACGCCGTCCTCGACACCGACGAGCTTACGCGACTCCAAGCATTCTGCAGCGATCACAGTCGAAAAGATAGCATACTTGACGGGCTGGACATGGAGGCAGATAAGGTCAGCCTTGTGGGGTATACGCTGACTAGGCATGGGACGGCGGATCCTGCTTTCACGGAAGAAGAGCTGAAGGCGCTGAGTGTTTGGTTTGAGGGGAATGATGTGCTTGATTGTTTGTGATTTGGGAGGAGATAGTAGGGAAGCTGGAAGGGGGGTTTGAGGAAGGTGGTGTGATGAACTTGAGGGCAGGCAGTTGAAGATTAATTTACAAAATGTGTGGCCATCTTCCGAATAAGCGCGTAGGAGACCCCTGTTCACTTCCGTTCCCATGAGTAAGAGCGCGAACGAATCAAGCATTATGGTTGTCAGAACAACGGACGGTGATGTCTGCACAACCTGTAGTAGAAAGAAGAACATTTTTGTACTTTCAAAAAATCCTGGGGGGCTTTCACAAAAAGGTCAAGCCTCATCAACTCATTGTGACATAATCCCTATAACATCTTCCGCCCTCCCCAGTCGACCCACCTAAGCCCTACCCTTCACACCACTCCCTAATTCAAGTCCGTCCCCTCCACCCCCTCCACCCCCTCCACCCCCTCCTCACCAGCCACCCCACACTCAATTCTAATCAGAGCCCTGCACCTTCGCCTTTGCATCCTGCCCCTTCGCCCTCGCCTCGGCCGACACTTCCTCCGCTGTCCCCTTCGCCTTGCCTGTCGCTTCTGATGCTTCGCCCTTTACCTTCCCCGCTACCTCGCTCGCTTTGCCCTTTGCTTCTCCAGCTAGTTCAGAGGATTTGCCGCTGCCGAGACCTATTGCTTCTTTGGCTTTTTGTGTGGCTTGTTCTATGGAGAGAAATTAGGATTAGCACGGGCTTTGCGAAAGGTCTGGTGGGTTGCTGGGGCTAAAAAAGGGCTGGGAAGGCAGAGGGAATGAGGGATTAGAAGCACGCCGAAAACACGTAGTATGGCGAAATGTATGGGTGGGGCTTAGGTGGAACGCGTGGGACACGTAATTATCCCGCTGACGCCAAACTCACCAACTGTCTCTTTTGCGGTCTCGGTGGCGGTTTTTCGCGTTGTTGGTGTTGTGGCGAAGAGGCGGGTTGAGGTGCGTGGGACTGAGCGCGCAAGCGGGACGGTGCGCATGAGGAACGACATCGTGCTGATTTCTTGATGTATTCTTTAAGTTGTAGTTTGGTTTGGGATTGCGTGAAAGTTGTGGGTGGTGTAGAAAGGATGTGATGAGAAGACAGAAAGAAGTGGAGCTTTTTACGTCGAACGGTTAGCCATACGTCACTGACCAAAGGCGCCAAGATCTGGGGTAAGGGTCTTTTGATGGTACGGCGCTACCTTAGGTCTCTCGTATCTTTGATATAAATTACGGTCGGGCTGGGATAGGCTGACCACCTAGCGTTTGACAGCTCGCTTTCGACGATAACAGTATTTGGCACCCTAACATTCAATTCTCTAAGTGTACAGTTCAACATTTTTGCCCATGAACCCCACAATTACCCTCCCCCGACAACATGGCGGTGCCCCTAATTTCGGCATCTCGACCTCCTCAACCCGCTCCGAAGGCCTACGAATGCCACGCTTCTTCAAAAGGTCCCTTCACTCCTCCCTCCTCCTCCCTCCCCTTTCCTGGCCCCTTCCTTCCCCTTCTCTCACATTTCCACTAATGCACCCCCCAGACTCTTCAAATTCCCCCAAATGGACTTCGAGCTCTCAACCTGGGAAATGGCCACCCTCCTAACCCGCCCCAAAGCCGTGTTCCGCAGCATAGCGCACCACTCCTCGCACTCGCACTCGCACCGCTACCACCGCGGCGACCCTTCCTTCACCTACCTCCTGTCCGCCTTCCTCTTCCTTACGGGCTTGGCCTGGGGTATCGCCTATACATCTTCTGTGGGCGCCACAGTGCGCTTGGTCATGCTTTTCGTGTTTGTGCATTTTCTGGGCGGCTGTGTGGTGCAGGCCGGGGTGTGTTGGTGGGTGCTTCCGAGGCTACTGGGGGAGAGGGGGTGGCTTGAAGGCGGGGTGGGTGCTATGGTTGTGGGTTGGCTTGGGGGAAAGGTGGGGAGGAGGAGACGGGGTCTGTTTCCGCAGCAGGAAAGGGAGAGGGGTGGGGTTGGTGAGGAGGGGGGGCAGGGGGTTGAGTTTGGGTATTGTTTTGATGTGAGTATGGGGTGGGCATGAATTGAAGAGGGGAATCAGGCGCTGACGGGTGTGGGAAACAGGTCGCTATTCGGGCTTTCTTTCCGGTTTGGGTGATGGTTTATGTGCTACAATTTGTCCTGTGGCCGGTAATTGCGAGGGACAATTGGTACGTGCCTACAAGATGCATGGTTTGAGAATCTTCTAAAGAACTGATGTCTGTCTAGGGTATCACTTTTCTTCGGAAATACTCTGTATCTGGTAGCTGCTGGATACTATACCGTCATATGTTTCTTGGGATACAATGGTAATACCTCCTCGCTCCTAAAGCGTCATCTACTGATCGAAATTGCAGCCCTCCCATTTCTGCAACACACAGAGATTCTGCTCTCTCCCGCCCTGGTATTTGGAATCTTGTGGTTCATAAGCCTCTTTGGCTTCAACATACCGAAGCATATCGGCCCGCTATTGCTGCTGGGTGCGAGGTGAGGCTGTTGTAGTACAAGCTGTATCATAGATTACAGGTCACAGTTTAGCGCGGCGTTGGATGGCTAAGTTGTTGGGAAAATAGAAGATGTACATTTCTGTACAGATCTCCAAAAGTGCGCCTTTGTTGCTTTGACCAAATGTGAGGGTCTCAATCTCCCTCCCTCTCCTTTGGCGGCAGCAGTAGGACGTACTCCCTACTACTATCCCCGAACCTTACAACATCCCCACTTTTGACCTCCACATACCTCTTCTCTGGGAGCCTCTCCCCGTTAACGCTCGTCCCGTTCGCGCTCTCCAAGTCAATCACATATGGCTTCACCCTTCCCGTCTTCTCCCCGAATTCATTCCTCTTCTCCGTATACCTAAATTGTATTACCGCATGCTGCTTGCTGCAACTCGGATGCTCAGTCACATGATCCACGACCAGCTGTTCCCTGCCAAACAACCAACACGTTCGCTCATGTAGATTTAGCGTCTCTAAGACTTCAGAGCCTTTGAAAATGTAGAGACGCCAAAGAGAGGTCTTTGGAGGGAGCCGGGATTCGGGAGGCTCATTATATTTAAGCACGATGTTTGTGTTAGCTACTGTATTGGTTTCAGCTGCCAAAAGACCAGAGGCATTGAAGTTGGCTTTTTGCTTCTCAATTGGTGGACCGTTTGAGGACTGAGACGGTTTAGAGAGGTCTTTTGAGGCGTGGGAGGATTTGTCGTGGAAGGCATCCAGCTGCGAAGGTAGGGGAGCTGTAGATCGTCGGGCGGGAGACAGACTTCGCGGTCGCGGAGGATGTTCGTGGTCTCGTACGCGGTGAGGATGATTGTCTCGTTGTCGGGGAGCTGACCGTTCTCTACTGCGCGATCTGTACTTTAAACGGCCTTCTTCCTCTCGATACCTCCTCTTTGGCGGAGGTGAGTGAGAGGCGCTGGGCAGGCGCCTACGACCGCTGTCTCGTTCCCTGGACCGTTTGCCTCGATGAGGCGGTGACCGACTTTCTGACGTGTATCGTCGTGGTGAGGTCTCTCGATAGCGACGTGGACTGCGCGAATGGTGTCTGCTTCTTCTATTTTGGTCGTCGTACCTCTCTGTGCTCCTCCGACGTTTATGGTAGTCTTTGCTTCTTGTTTCTTCATTGCCAGAATTCTCTCGGTATCTCGGCATCTCTCGGTAACGATATTTCCCTCTAGAAAGAGAAATTCAAGCTACTCTATGGCTTTGTGGATCGCAAGCCTGGTGCGGTCCAGAGGCATGGTAAGCAAGGCAAGGTAACCCGGGGATCGGATTTGCTAGGGGCGGCCCGGCGGGCTCTAGCTGCCCCGCAACTGGGATCTCGGGCTCCTTGTTAGGTTGCCCAGCCTTGCCCGGTCTAGCAAGCATGGACAGCTCTATTCCGTACCTACGGTCTACTCGATTATCTTTCCTGCTACCGCTTTCTTCTACTTGATGTCAGTGGTTCCACGGAAGCAGATTCCAAGCACATTGTATGCCTCAAAGTGCCTTGAAGCCTATGTAGTGCAATACGACATTGTGGCATTGCAGGATACCAAAGCACAACATCTTTGGAAAAAATGAACGAATGATGAGGCAGGACGAATCTCATTCACCGAAGGATGTAACATATTGGTAAGAGAAAGGTCCTGCCGCAGCATCGACAATGCAGTCGTAAAGAGCAGTTGTCTAGTAGCATATGTGCTCACTGCGAGTGCAACAGACAGCCCCTCACCGCCGTTGCATGATGATGGCAGGCAAACGCTTTTCTGGTGAAGCAAGGAACTCTGTCCTTAGCGGCACTGCCAGGCTACATCTCAGGTCCCTGGTGCCTTCGATGGCGGACTTGGCGGCCAGCATATGTCACGGCGGATTTGGAATACATGGGAGGAAGGTGGGGTTCTCGAAGGGCGCAAGAAGGCCTGAAGCATCGACGGTTGGTAGATCGGGGGGTTCTCGAGGCTGCAGTATCGTCCCCACATGCTTCCGAGGCGAGCAGCTTGCCTGAACATGCCGAGTCTTTACAAATACACCATTCACCAATAGATGACTAACCTGGTGCATTATTCGGTGGAGAGTGGGTGGCGGCTGCAGGCTTTATGCAAAAGCTTGGGTGTCTTAGGTGTGAGCCTAAATTGACAGCGTCTTCCGGGGCGTGGCCGGATGGCGGCAGCTTTGCCTAAGAGGGACTCGATGCAAGGGGCCGCCTGCGCATTCAGTCCACCAGACCGCCTACACTATCCCCCAATGAGACTACATTACCAGTCTAGTGCTCGCTAATGACCACGCGTGCAGCAAAGGAGACTCGGCTATGCCCCAGCTGACCTTCAAAAAGTCACACTCGAAGCAGCACCAGCTAATGAATTATAGTTGCCTACCTCCATGAGCTCGATACTAGAATTGCTGCTGCGCCACACGTCTGCTGCTGCCTCTTGACTTTGGCCCTGGAGCTTGTCAACCTCTGTCCACCCTCCCTCAAAGAGTGCATGACTCTATGATCACAAACCTTGTGCAGCTTCTGCGTCATCGATACCTAATGGACGCGTGAACACGAACATTGCAGAGCCGCAACTTCGCCCAGGCAGCCATCCCTGCACGCCCTTTGTTCTTGCATTGCCTCTGCTGCATCAGATGACTCGATCGAGCGGTCCGCATATCCTCTCACCGAGCGCGAGCAAGACTATATAACTTCGCAAGCATAGCTCTGTGGTGGGATATGAGTATACACTGGCCTTTATAGACTCTTATGGTGAGCACGCTTGGTTACTAGAGCCAGGGAACCCTTGTTGACTCACGCTAACGTGTCCTCTTAGGCTGCATCGTCTGGTGGCAACCCCGAGATGGAAGAGATCCAAGACTATGGTCTGACCCAAGTATACAGTCCAATAGGAGGTGGGAAGGTTGATATCGTCTTCGTTCATGGCCTCAACGGTCATCCTAAGAAAACATGGACCGCAGAGAAATCAAAGCTATTCTGGCCGGCCCAGCTCCTGCCCCCTATCCTCGAGGAATCTAAAGCCCGCATCCTAGTATATGGCTACGATGCCACCGTTGCGAGTTTCACGGACGGCGTTTCAAAAGATAAGATCCACAACCACGCCGAGAGCCTCGTTGCTTCGTTGGCTGCAAACAGGAATATACGACGTGCAGCCGAAAGACCTATCATTTTTGTCGCGCATTCCCTTGGGGGCTTGGTCGTCAAACGTGCATTGATCTACTCAGAAGACATCAAGGGCAGTCACACAGAACATCTTCGCTCTATATATGTCTCGACGTACGGTATATTATTTCTGGGCACCCCGCACAGAGGGTCAGACATTGCAAAATGGGGCTCGCTCCTCGAATCTATCTGCCGTGGCGTTATGCCCTCGGGCTTAGTTGACAGCAATCCAGCATTAGTCGATGCCCTCAAACGTGAGAATGAGACCCTCCAAGTCATCGATCGGCAGTTTATTCAGCTCATTAGCCGCTTCCGCGTCTACTTCTTCCACGAAGGGAAGAAGACGAACCTGGGAAAGCTGAAGATGGATATGATAGTGGACGAGGAGTCTGCTAGTCCTAATGTGCAAGATGTGGAAAGATCTGTCATTCAGCAAGACCACAGCCATATGTGCAAGTTCGAGAGCGATAGCTCGCCCGGATTCGACCTTGTTGCAGAAGCGTTGATGCGTTATTCGCGCGACGCTCCGAACACTATCGTCAATAGGTGGCAGCAAGAGCGGGACGAGAGTCTGACAAGAAAGAGATATTGGCTTGATGAAAACACGCCTGGTAAGTCCGCCCTCAATGAGAATTCTCTTCCGAACGTCAGTTAGTCTGAACATAGCGGTAAGGGGCAATGCCCAGGGGAAAAGGCTGGCTTACAAGGCGCGCTCTAGGGCGGGCAATCCTAAAGCTCAGGCACTTGACTTTGGCGGCTATGTTCAGACTAACCGACCCTCGTTCGTCGGCCTATTATACTAACGTATGCAGATGCTCTCAAAGTTTCTCCGAAGACAGATACTTCTGTTTCCAATACACCTGGTAAGACGCCCTTAGCTTTGCCGGGTACAGAAAATCAGAGACTCTACGATCAGATTGAGGTAGAAGAAGTTGACGATAAAGAAATGGTGGATGTTACGCGTTGATCGAAACGCTTGATTGGAGTCTTATGGCGTTTCATGGCTTTTGATGAAGATCAATACGAATTTGGAATTATTAATCTCGAGTCCATTGCTGATTTTCTCGTTTCCGTAGACTCCTCCCAAATCATTCAACCCAAGCCCGCCCCCAAAACCGACGTAAAAGACACTGCTACCAATACTCCGGCTTCTTCCAACTCCCCTAAACCTTCTGATCCATACTTCATTGTCCCACCTGGTTTCAGACCTAATTCTTTCTTCGTTGGGATGGCAAAAGAGCTTCTCGATCTCGATAAACACCTATTTGACAAAAGTCGACGCTCAAAAGGGTCTGCTTGCGTCCTTCTCCATGGCCAACCAGGTGGCGGGAAAACACATCTTGCTCGACAGTATGTCAATAAGAACAAAAAAAGATATGCAGGTGGCATTTTTTGGGTCATGTCAAAATCAGTCCAAGAATTGCATCACTCATTCTGGGAGATCAAGCAGAAGGTCATCGCGCGAGACTGTCCCGAGTATTTCGACAACGCTGACAGCAAAGACTGGGTCCATTCGGTCAAAGCCTGGTTCGAGAGTCGGCAAGATTGGCTGCTAGTATTTGACGGCGTGCTTGTTGAGAAAGACGAAGACGCGACGGAGCTGAACAATTATGTACCGGACAGTCGAAATTCAAGTATCATCTTCATATCAAGAGCGAAGAATCTGCAATCGTTCCAGCGACTACTTCGACCGTTTCCGATCAAAGTTGGCTCACTCAAGGAAGACGATGCGCAAAAGCTTCTGATCAAAATGGTCAACCCACGGAAAGTGACCGATGCAGATAGAAAAAGAGCCAGGGAGCTGATCCAACGAGTTGGTGGGCTGCCGCTTGCTATTGGAGCGATCAGCCGCAGAATCGCAGATACAGGGGAGCCACTTGCGAAATTCAAGCTTTCATACACCGCTATCTCGGGTCTAGACAATACTTACAACCAGATCCTTGACGATCTTTTGCGGCTTGGTCACAATGAAGCCTGGAATCTCATCAACATTCTATGCTGGTTTGGCCAAAATATTCCCGTAGAGATGGTTCACCTTGGGCTCCGCATACTCAGAGCCAGGAATGTTGAGGTGAAAACGCGAGAGGAGGGAGGCTTCGCGGACCTTAACAACACTTTAAGTATTTTGCTGCGCTACGCTCTTCTTGAGAGAAACGAGCCTGAGTCTGATAAAGGTTCTGCATCGTCAAGCCGGGATAGCCTCATGGAACCTGAGCCAATCGACATGCTGAAGATACATACCGTTGTCCAAGACTTCTGCTGTGAATCTCTCAATTCGCGAAGAATGCTCCCGCAATGGCTGGGTTACGCTGTGAACCTTTTTTCCTACTCATATCATGAAGCTGATACGAAGATGAAGCGTAGAACTGAGGCACCTCGAGTGTCTGACTATAGATACTATCTGGTTCATGGCCAACGCCTGTGGGACCACTCCTGGACTTACCAAGGCTCAAACCAGAACCTGGAGGATATACGAGAAGTTCTTCAACCAATCCTCAACATGATCAACGAGGAGATCCACGCAAGGGAGCCTACTTCATCACAAGAGAGCTTGGCCCATGGCATTTTCCAAATATCAATATTTGACCGGACAAGCAGCTCTTCAGACAGTGCACCCTCAGTACCAGGTCCCCCAACTCCGAATCATCGCCCTACTCCCCCTCCTCTAGCACACGAGACTATATTCGGTATTCCTAAAGATAAACCTATGGACTCTCCCGCAAGCATGGGGACAGCAAGTCCAGGCATTCGCCCGAAAATAGTCGGTCAAAGTCCAGTAGGTCGAGTACTTGAGCATGAAGACAAGGGCTATGAGAGTGACCATGAATCCCATGATATGCGGCGAAATCCATCCGAAACGACAGCTCGACCAACTTCTCGTCCTCGTGCCCCAACTGCGGGAAGCTACGAGTCCGGCTGGCCGGTCGTACAATCGCCGAGAAACTCAAGACAGAGTCGTTACCGGGATCTTGGTAGCTACAGACCAATGCCAGTGAAGGCCCAGGTCAGTAGACAAAGCGTCAGCGTCTCGGTGGGCGAGGTACAAGAAAACATACAGCACAGACGGAATTCTTCGCCAGCCAAGGAAGCCCTGAAAGAAGTTCAGAATCGCAGTCCGCCGTCTTCGGTTGACCGTGTAACTTCTTTCCTCAAACGACCTTTCACATCGCAGGAGAATAGACCTACATGGGCAAACATCGCTGCTGGTAAGAAGCCGTCTCAATCAACGAATAACGACAGTCATGTTCAACCGAGTAGTACTTCTGCCGGCTCTCGTATTTTCGGACTCGGAAAGTCGAACGCAAACACAAAGCCTCGGCAGAGCAGTGCATCAAGCCCCTTGGCCACAGAATTCCTACCTCGAGGCCCTGATACAGGTGATACTCAGAGAATGGACGGTGATTTCACATTATACTCCAGCGATGACCCCGATACCGCTGTTATTGGGCGGCCCCCTGCCAACACACTTTACCAATCAAATATGGTACCTCGAGGAACACCACAACCACAACCAATCCTTTACCCTCCATTTCAATCCACCGCTGTTCCACCACCACTTGGGCCAAATCCAGCCCCTCTACCCTATGACAACAATATGATAACCACCAGCCAACGCCCACGCCCTGTAAATCCTATCATCGCCTCCAACATCCCACTCCAGGCACCATACACCAATCCGATACCCTCCACCATCTCCACAGCAGAAACCTTCAATCTCTCACAGTCCCTCCCCACAATCCACCAACCCTACTTCTACTACACCCCACAAAATCTCCCCTCAGGCTACACATCCCAGCCCATGTCGCGCGACACCTCCCACCAATCACACGCCTCACTCGCAGAAACAGAACCGCCGCCCTACCCACCCGGATCCATCTCCCCCTACACCCATCCCCAAATCTCCCCCCACAGCGTCTCCCCCGCGACCGCGCCCCCGACGGCCGCCCACTGCGCAAATCCCCGAAAACCTCCCCAGCCGTCCAAGCCGCGGCCTCCAGCGCCGGCGTATCGAGCAACCCCAGCCCCACAACAACAAATTTCTTCTCACCCCCATACCCGACGTATCCGATGATTCATTCGCGGTCTTCTTCGGCCGGGGTGGGGGCCCCAGGCATGGATCTGGGAAATGGGCTGGGTATCGTTGGGTTTGCGGATCCGAATAGTCAGTTGCAATTCGGGAGTCTGGATCCTATTAGTCTTGAAGAGGCGAGGAGGAGGACGCTGGAGTATGAAGAGGTGCTTAGGAGGAGGAGTGAGGGCGGAGTAGGTGTGGGTGGGGTGGCGGGAGCTTCGGGGAAGAGCTATCCGGATGTTAATCTCATACCTACTGGTAGTGACGCGCAGGTGTTGAAGGGGATGGTTGGGGTTGGGGCTGGGGTGGATGAGAGGCAGACGGGGCCGTATCCGGAGCGGAATATGATTCCTACCATGAGCGATGAGGAGGCTTTGAGGGGAATGGTGCCTGGTGGTCAGGAGGGAGGGCGATGATGATTGGCTGCTGTTTTTCCAGCTTTTGTCGTTTCAGCGATCTGGTCTTTGCAAGCGAGGCTGCATTTTCTGTGAGCGATTGTGAGCTTTCTAGCGTTTATAGCGTGGCGTGAGCATTGATGGAGTTGCATAGCGAATGGAGAGTGTAAAAGTAGTGAGTCATATGTATGGGATTGAGGGTGGCTAAGAGAGCTGCGTGGGTATTGGCAGTGAGTATCAGACGGCCTTGGAAGTATAGAAATATATATATTATTACTTCGAACCCAGAGTAATACATATTAATTTGCCTCCTCTAGAGCCGCCGCTTTTGTATCCTGGTAGCATTCTCCGAGGCAATCATTAGGGGTGATTTCCCCATCTTATAGGGAAAATTTATGTTGAATTTGATTGACCTCTTCTTTTAGACCCTCAATTAAAGTAACGTTGGCCGGAGGATTGGTGAGAGAAGACGTTCAGTTCGATTGATGTTGGAGAAGTTTGGCGTAGAAAGAGTTAATAAATCAGCAATCGAATTGTATACCCATTCTATGCTTCCTTTTGCTCCCTTGATGCTACGCGGTGCTCCCGCAAGACTCCTTTGCTGCGGCCGCCCGCTCGCTTGCCGCTTTTTCTAAAGTGAATGCATGGATGGATCACGACCGGTTGTTGGGGTCTTTGCTGTAGCATTTCCAGCCTTTGAAGTTCTCTAGTTGCTTGAAGGCCTTGCTATCTGGACTGTGTTTTCTGTTCTTTTCTTCTTTTCGTGTGTCCACGTAGCTATCTTGGAGCCTAGAGCTTTTGGTTCTCGTGTGAGACGTAGAATCGGTTGTGGTATTGGTCATAGCGCTCGGATGTGGGGCTATGATTGCGATTGTAATAGTAGATGTTAGAAATGCTTTGGATGATAATGGATAGACATATACATTATGTTGGCCTAAGAAAGGAAATTCTGAAATGTACAGTCGTGTGGCAATTGCCTCAATCTTACAATGGGTCGGTTTTCCGTTTCGGCGTGTTGAGCAGACCAAGAGAGGAACACATAATCAGGCGGAAATGGATTCTCGGTAGAGTGTGGAAAAGAGGGAGATAAGGTTGGCCCAGAGGTAATTTATGTGCGAGTCAAAAGCGAAAAAAGTATAAGAGTACCAAAGCAGGAAGAGACCACGTTTCCAAGGTCAAGATGGCTTTCCTTAACCTTAGACCCACAAAACTTTCCCAGCTTTACCCGCCTCTCACCTCATAATACATTATTCCTTTTTGGGTAGATCCTTTCACAGGTTTTGTGTTATTGTTATAAACCGATAGCTGTCGGTATCCCATCGACTGTTAAGTGCCTTATTTCAGGGGTAACCCTAATTCTACTTAGTAAATCTTTCTTTTTAATATTTTAAGCTTAATTTAATTGGGTTCGCGGTAAAAATTATAACGATTAATATATAAATAATAAATACTAAGAAAATAAAATTTTAAAAAATTCTAGGAAATCATAAATATTTTATCTTAAAGTTAAAAAATTTAATATATTTTTATAAGAAATTTATTTTATATTTAATTAATAAAAGTATTTAATTTTTATTATAAAAATAAAAACTTTAATAATAAAATATTGAAAATTACCACAAACTTTTTTAGAGTAAAATCTTATTTAATTATTATAAGAAAACGCACTAGGTACAAGCCTTAATAAGTAATATATATATAATATAGTTAGTTAATAATAGATTAATTATAAGCTATTTAATAAGCTATAGTGGAAGTAGGGCCTTATACTAAGCTAGGTAGGGCTAAGCTAAGCCTAATTAAGATATTCTTATCTTGCTCTTATTATAATCTATAATAATATACTACTAAAAACAATAAAAAATAATATCCTTATTATAGATATAGCCTTATCTTTATCTATATATATGTCTTAGCTCTTAAAGAAGCTATCTTAACTTAATTTCATTAAAATTTAGTTAAGATTTAATCTTATTATATTAGAAAAAAAGCCTATTTTATTAGAGGCTATAGCGACAGCAAGGTTAAGCTAATTAGGCTAAGGATTATATTAGAGGGGTATATTAATATATAGGAGGAGTAATAGCAAACAGAAGCTAATTAGTTAAAAGAAGTATTAAAAATTAGAGGTAGGAAATTGTTATTTTAATAAAGTTATAAAATCGCAAAATAACTATATAACTAAAAAATTGTAGCTTAAATTATTTAAAACTAGTAGAAAAGTAATTAATAGGCTAAAAGCTATGTAAACTATAGAAGGCTTAATTATTATAATAATATATATAGCTATTTTAATAATAGTAATAATTACTTCTAATAGTAAACTAAGCGTCTATAAATATATATTCCTTATTATTATATATATTTCCTATATTGCGTAGTATATAATTAAGATTATAAGCTATAGGATTAATTATACTAATATAAGTATTTATAATTAAATTATATTCCTACTTTTATTTACTTTTATTAATAAAGTAAATAGCTATAAATAGTATTCCCTCTTTTATATTTATATAATAGGCTAGTTATAATTATTAAAAAGGGGGTACTAAACATAGCAGTTAATATTAGGGTTAGAAATTTTAATTTTAAGGAAGCTAATTTTACTAATTAGATAGAGGAGTAAAAAAGGCTCTTATTAGCTAATTTTGCTATTACTATAGTAGATAGTAAAGAGGCTAGTTGTTAAAAGGACTAGGACTAGGCCTAGATTATTATTATTACTTATATATATAGATATCGTACTAAATCGGCTAAAGACATACTAACTCTTTTGGGAAATTAATATAATTTATATAGGAATATAGAGGCTAAAGGCTAGTTTTTAGCTTATTATTAAAGCAATTATAAGCTATTATAATAGCATTATAATTTAGGAGTTTAAAACATTTAATAGTAATTATAAAAGAGTTAGCTTACTTAATAACGTCTTTATTGCTAGCGGTATCCTATTTTATATAGCGATTTCTTAATAAATTATCTAAAAGCTAGTTATTAATCTACTTAAAGCGTTTTTATAAAATTTTAACTAAAATACTTAAGTTATTTATATTTAAAACCTAGTATCTATATTCGTTAGTAAGCTTATATTACTACTAAATATAAGCCTTATTTAAGCTATTTATTAAAAGATTTTTACTTAAGAATAAAATTATAATATAATCTAATATTGCTTTTACTTTTTTAACTTTTACTATAATTTTAATATATTTAATAAAGCTATAAATATTATTATAATTATTTCTAGTAAAGTAATTAATATCTAATTAGCGGAAGTAGTTTATTAATAATATAACTGTTTTCTTTATCTCTTTTATATATATTTAGTCTTAGGAAGACGTGTTTTAAAGCGATAAGCTTAGAAAAATAGTTATAGCTATTTTCTCCGTCTCTTTTTAGCTTATTTAACCCTAGAAATTATATATAAGTAATAGCTTATATAATCTATACTCTAAAGCCCTTATATCTAGCTTTTATAGCTTGTTTTTATATTCTAATAACATTACTCTAATTAGTTTAAGCTTTTCTAATATTATTACTTTTATTATTTCTATAAGCTAGGTCTTTACTATTATTAAGGCTTCTAATTAGTTGTCTTCTAGTTACTATAAGTGTATTATCATTGCTCCTTATAGTGGCTTTAGGGCTATAATAATAGGAAAGCTATCTTTCTCTATTATTTTAAGCCGACTAGTCTAGTAAAAAGGTTAAGAAAAAGGCGGTTTTTTAGTAGTTGTTTGCTAAGGTGCTAGGGCTATTTTTAACTACTAATATTTAGTAAAATAATAATAATATTTAATCTTTTAGTATTACTACTAATTATAAGCTATCTAATAAGCTATAGTAGAGATAGGGCCTTATGCCAAGCCGGGTAGGGCTGAGCTAAGCCTAATCGGGACATTCCTATCCTGCTCTCATTATAATCTATGACAATTATTTATTTATTAAAAAAAGTTTATTTTTAAAAAATTTATTTATAATTTAGATAATAAATTAAATATTATATATATCTTTTTAAAAATTAAATAAATATAAAGCTTATATATTATATTTTAAGCTTTGGATGTTTTTGCCACTAGCGTATATAGATTTTAGCTTAAAAGTTTAAGTTAATTTTTTTTTAAAATTTTTCAAAATTTTAACTTTAAATTTAAAGCTTTTAAAGGTTAGAATATATATTAAAAACTTTCTAAATATCTTTAATATTACTAAAACTATAATATATACTAATTTGAAGTTATATAAGCTTATATTTATAAAGTTATAAAGGTTTTACTTTACTAGGTTAGAATTTCGGATTTAAGGCACTTAACAGTCGATGGGATAATCATATTTTAATGCTTTGGATTCCCAAAGAAGCACCAATACCTCATCAAAAGAGGCTGCACCACCTTCAGACAATATGGAAAGTTTCAGCCCTGTAATGATCTCCTTTTGCAGCTTGTTCGATTATCTCTCCATTCATGATCCCGTGAACATAACTGCGAAGACAGGCACAAGCCACATCAGCACAACGCAACATCATTATATCCTCAATACAGCACTCACCATTCACCGACGAATACGAATTTACGGGACCCTGCCGGCCGATTCGGCCACAGTGCGTGTAGTATCACCGGAACACTGCAGTTGAAAAGAACACAGATGAGAGCATGTTTCCGAGTGCCTGGCGGCACAAGTCCGATGTATCCGGCTGATGAGACCATGAAATGGCGTCGGAGGCGTGGTAAATGTACTTTTAGGTCGTCCATCGTGACATCGGGGCCTTGTAGTCTCAATTGAGAATTACTGGTGGGAATCTTGGGGTCCTTGAATGCATAGAAGCCGCCTCCCGGTTTGCAGGGCTCCCCATCAGCGTCTCTACCGCACACGAGTGTTCGAGACAGGGCGTGCTGGTATGATGCGGGACTGTCAGAATAGATCCATTTGTTATATCTGCCACGTTTGTGGGCTATTTGCTCGGTTTCATGTAAGATCTTCTGGTGGTGAGCTAGCTGAGTTGTACTGAGGATTGAATCAGCATGTTTGGGCTCTTCCAACCAATCTATGTCATATAATTCGCCCATATCATAGACTGTATCGACTACGATTCCTTGAGTTACCAGAATGCTTTTGTTGAATACATCACTCATGAATCGGAGGTAGTCTGGAGACGATTTTACAGCCTCGTCGTACTTTGCCCTTGCATTGATAGCGGGGTGTGATGCTGAGTGTTCTGGTCCACCTGCAGCAAACGCGTGCGTTTTGATTAGCGGATCTTTTGTACAGCTTGGAAATGATCTAGATGGGTTTAAACGAAAATCCGGAACCCAGCTCGAAAGTTCCTGGTTCCGGTCAGGTCCGCGACCGATGCAGATAAAGTCCAAGTCATTATGCTTCCGTAGAATGTACTTCGTGGTCTCTGTGTATATCTCATTCGGCGACATAGTGTAATTCAATTTCGCTAGCTCCTCTGAACACCTGTCGAGGGACAGCCCCAAAAGGCCAAAAATCTTGTCTCGTGGATCTCGACACTGATGCTTCACGCCAACTAGTCCAATCCAAACGCTCAAATCCATGGCTCCGCCACTTCTGTCCATTTCATCTCGGAAGTCATACAACAGAGCCAGGTTCTTCTGATATGGTGAAACACCCATTGTTGTTTGGCATTGTGAAATATTTATGCTGAAATTGATTGCGACTCTCATCAATATCGGAATTGCAAAGAATGGCATCATACGTGTTCCGCACATGATCTCGGGCCCTTGCGAAACCATGAGCTCCTGTACAATCCATAGCCTCCGAAAGTACGGGAGTACGATCAACTCCCCAAATCCCTTCAAGACAGCCAGGTTGGTGCGAACCCCATGAACGAGGAGCTTCAAATTTTCTTGAGGGTCTATATCGTAATGATCTAGGGCGAATTTGTTGACATAGTCAATGAATCTGTTAGTACCTTCTGTACCCGGACCAAGCCAAACAATTGTCCGTCCGGCTCCGGCATACACGTCTTTGATTCTTCTCACTTGTACGCTCTTCTCCGCGGCATCGTCCTGGTTTATACACAATGCGTCGATCCATATTGGGTAATCAATCTCTGCAGCGTGAAGGAACACGAGTGCCTCAAAGAGATTCCTGGTCACCTTGAAGGTCTGCCTGTTGACTGTTATTTCGCAAACGTCGCACTCATCGCCCCACGCGTAGGAGAGAGCTATGTAATTCGATTTGAGCGGTACGGTGACAAGATCACGTTCAAAGCCTTTCTGGACTACGACGCGGATGTCCGAGGATGCTGGATCGAGATCAAGACCTCGATACACATGAGCATTGAAACGACGTATGGCTTCATATTCGCTTCGCTGGATCCATCTTCGGATGGGTCTGTGGATACATGCTTGGAAGGAAGCAGAAATACATTGTCGTCGCCGAAGGCTGAGCCGCGCAACCAGGCTCTCGGGTCGGGATGTTGGTCATTTAGAACATTGACTTGCTCTTTTGATGTAGGGTCATGACATTCATCTTTTGAGCCTCGAAGGACTATAGATACAAGCCACGATATAGTGACAGCAAGTGCTATCGCCAAAAACCAGGAATACATAGGGCCAGGATGTAATGTGAGCGCAGTCGAGCAAGGTATCTGCTAAGATAAATCTGCTTTGACATCCATTTCTAGTAGCGTGGGACTTATGCAGCCCGAGTACCCCCACTTGCAAAACCGCCGTCTACTCCAATGGGGCTCGACGCCGGGGTGACGGGGTTTACGCCCGAGGGTTGTCACCAGCATGCACTAGGGCGTGGCCCTGGAACACCTGCAGCGCCTAGCCAGCGCTGCCTCGTTGCACCGCCGTCGATACACTGTTGCACAACCCTTGAGCCCAGCGCTCACAGAATTGGCCGTTGTGATATCAATTTTCAAGAGAGTACTCAAAAGTGGCGAAACTTAAGCAGCAGGAGGGTATCGACGGCCGCTTCAGCCGAGACGGAGGAAGCCATTTCAGCCTCATACCGGCTACGCCCTTTTGTTCCCTTTATACTCCCTTGGAAGTACCCCTTTTCCCTTTCCTATCCTGAAATAGCAATCCTTGGGGTATAAATAACAAATATGTATAGCCCAAAGGGCTACTACTTGTGCCCAACAATCTTGCTTTCCTTGAAGATTATCCGGTGATAGTTTTCAGCGACATTTAACGAGAGAGCATCATCAGCTATTCACGGAAGCATCCTGTTAGTGCTTAAGCTGGAATATGCAAGAGGTCGGACAGTAGACATTGATCGATGTTTAGGGGGCGATCATTACCCAACGCCTCCTCCCATCTTCCTGGTGCCCACTAGGTCATCCCTTTCGGAACCTTGTACTTCCTTGATATTGCAGTGTTAGGGCCAGATTCTCGACGCTCGTCAACGCGTCGTAGAGCCTTTCTCTTCAGAAGCCTTTTTCTTTGATGGGCGAATGGCTCCCTTGTCAAGCAACATGTGCGCCACCTTCTCATGACCACTACCCAACGCCGCCTGCAGTGCGGTGCCACGAAATCCACCCTGAGCGTTGACGTCGGCTCCCTTCTCAAGCAATATCTGTACTACCTTGTCATGACCTCTATATGACGCCACTTGCAGTACGGTATTATGAGGTCCACATAACATCTTGCTGTTTGTTCTATATTTGTTGACATCGGCTCCCTTCTCGAGCAATATCTGCACCACTTTCTCATGACCTGCAAATGACGCTGCTTGCAGTGCGGAGCCATAAATTCCACGGTGAGCGTTAACGTCAAGTCCCTTCTCAAGTAGTATTTGGACCACTTCCTCCAGACCACCAAATGACGCCGCCTGCAGTGCGTTGCCATAAAGTACACTTTGAGCGTTGATATCAGCTCCTTTTTCCAACAGCAAATGTGCCACCTTCTCATGACCTTGATATGACGCCGCCTGCAGTGCATTGCCATAAATTCTACTTTGAGCGTTGATATCAGCTCTGTTTTCCAACAGCAGCTGTACCACCTTTTCATGACCTTGATATGACGCCGCCTGCAGTGCATTGTCATACTCTCCGCCTCGAGCGTTGATCTGATCGAGGATCGGAGGCGTGTTTACTGACGATTGAGCCGACACAATCGCGCTCGCTGCCTGCTCCTCGTCAATTAGTATGTACAGAATTTGATCAAGTCCCAGTAAGGATGCGTAGTATACTGGAGTTGCTATCTTGTCAAGAGGGCGGTGGAATCCGACACCCTTTCTGCGAAGTCGATCCATATCGTACAATCTCACCCAAGTTGCAAATGAATGTTGACGTGAGAATAGCTTTACTACAAGAGAGTTGAGTGCGAGAGTAGGGCTTTCGCTATCCCTATAATGGCGATACCAATACCTGGCTGCAAATTGAGCCAATGGAAACTCTTGCATAAGATTTTGATACACAATTGAGCTGGAAAGGCCATCCTCAAGTAAATATACTAAACAAATCTGTGCAATCTCGGCATGTGCTGCAACGCGGGATAAGCTGAAGATTGCAGCCTTCTGTCGCTGAATACGTTCGGACTCCAGATACTCTTGAACAGAGAAGTGAGCAACTCGGACTGTTGGCGTCAGGTCTTCATCATCATTATCATCATCATCATCATCATCATCATTATCATCATCATCATCATCATCATCATCATCATCATCATAAGGTATACTCTCTAGACGGGCATGAAGGCCAATATCGACAAGTCCGAGACATATATCGCGGATATCGTCAGAATCCTGCAATCTGCGTTTACGATTCAAGCCTGGGGAGCCATTAATCTCTATAGCGATACCATCGATAAGCTCCCCCACCTTCAATGGTCTTGAAGCAAAGCAGAGTAGAGTCAAAATCCTTCGCGTATCTTCAATCAGATGGTCGTCGATACTACACAGTATCCGTTCGTATGTTTCATCCAGTGATCGAGGTAATGAACCGAGCACCTTGTCGAGATGGTCTTCACTGCGGGGACACGACTGCAGAGATTTCAGCTGGCATTCGACCCACCGAAACCTATGCAAATCAATTAGTCCCGCCTGACACTGCTGCTCTTCGATACTCCTCTACTTACACGCCGTTAGCCCCTTTGGCCAATCTTTCTTGAATCTTATCACGGTATGGGAACAATCTCCGGAACCTTCGGTCTTCATTTAGCCGATTTGATACAAAGTCAGCAATGTCCTTATCAATTCCTGCATTTTGCATTATGATTTGTTGGGTGGCAGGATGGTCAAGAGATGCACGGATTTCTGGCTCATCCCGGCTCGTGACGAAAAGGTGAAAATTAGGCATGCCCCATTTATGCATTGTGTCTACAGCTTCACGAACGTATTCTCGTCGTCCATTTCGAGGGCTTTCGTCAAGCGCATCCAGTAGGATATATACTTGGCGGAACCTCTGGATCAAGCGCCGGACGTATTCCAGTAGAACCGACGATGGAGGTGTACCAGACTTATATGATTCATGCAGCCGCGTGAGATCTGCGTGGCCATCTTGGAGCTGGCTCGACAGTTGTAGTAGCAATGCTCGTATCATAGACAACTCATCTTGTTTCGAGTCATCGGTGAAAGTGAAATAGAAGAATGCAACACCGACGCCACGGTCGCATCCCCAATGTCGTAGCACAGATTGTGTCGCTGTGGAGCACAAGACTGACTTGCCAGACCCGGCAAAGCCTCTCAACCACAAGATAGTATTCTCATTGGTCAACCATTTCGTAAATTCGGAGCTCTTGATGAGCCACGTCCCAGTGCCTGGGTGTTTCTTTGCACAAGCCGCATTGTAGTCAATGGTGGCATCAGGTGCGTTGAGCCACTCACGAAGATCCGATGAAATCTGATTAGATTTAACCGCTTCCAAGACGGCTTTCATCTCCGTAACATTGTCCTGAAATCTCTGGTTATCATTGAGCTGCAACACGTTTAGCGCAATGGAGAGGCTGGCTCCCATCTCATTAATATCTTCGTCGAGTTTCTGGAGCGTGCTTTGTCGAAATGGGTATGCGATACGACGTCCTGCCACTTTGACAGCAGCTTTGACGCCAGCTGAGCAGGTCTGGCTAAACTTCTGACATTCATCCTGTAGCTCTCGAATCAATTCCTCGCAATCTGTGATTGGAATTTCAATTCTCGTGACCAGACTTTGTTCGTCTACTCGAAAACTACGACGCAACAAAGTCTTTTCAAGGTGTCGGAAGGTCTCTGCAAGGTTCTCAAGCTTCCCAGTAATACCGGCAAGCTCAGAGTCCTGGCGCTTATATGCTTGATAAAACTCGACCAATGACTGTGTGACCTGGATTCCAAGCGTGGTCACACCTGCCACGCTTCCTGCGATAGAGAGTGGATCTGTCATAGGAGCCGATCTCGGTTCCGAGTGTCGGATAAGGGTGGCAAGATGCTTAAGACGATGCTTGCGGTCGTGTCTTTCAGAACCTTCGAATTGGCTATCAACGCCTCCTTCCGAGGGTCGTTCAGTCTTTTTGGCACGGCCAAGCCCATATGGCGGGAAATAGGAGCCACCTCGAGGGTAAAAGACTAGCTTATAAGGCGCTTTCTAAGTTTGGAATCCCTATATTTGCCCCTAAAGCTTTACGCAATAGAATTTGGCTGGAAATTACTACGTTGGTAGCCACATGGGAAAGCGGCAGCTTCTGCCGCATCATACCAGGCAGCACTCTACCATTTCAAATTTAGATCGAGTCATATCTCCGATAAATCCGAACATGCAAGAATCAACTTGGATAGAATACATTCTCGTCTCAAGAATACTAAGCATAGAAGTTCTCGAGTCAACAAGTCAATTGAGCGTCGACTTGTGGTTGAACTCCTCAAGAGTCCGTAATGGGCCTTTCCCAAAAAGGTTAGAACTACGAATCAATCAAAAAAACCTGAGGAGGCTGAAAATCTGATCTAGGGGTTCAGGTCGTGCTGTGTAACACCATCAGATGTGATCAATGTGCGTTCAGCGTCGTATGCTAATACGTATGGTAGATTCAATATCTACCTCACAACTAATCAATCTCTAATGAGACCAGAGCATCAAAGATTGAGAACCCCAATGAGCTGTTTTAAGTCCGGCCGATTGCCAGTTCTTTGCGTCTTGGGGAACAACGTCGGACCATTATTCTCCAAAGCGCCGTCTTGCTGTGGCGATCTAGTATCGCGTAGCAGCTTCACAGCCTGGTCCAGCGTGATCAACTCCCTTCTCGCCTGCTTCAGCATCCCCTGGATGGACGCCAACACTCCCACGATGATCGGCGAGGCACTAGATGTACCACCGAAGATGTCTGTGTAGAACCTGTCCACACCTTGGTCTTTCTTGAGATCCCCGCCCCCCGTGGTTGTGACTTGCCATCCTTGTGCCTGGCAGTCGACACGGGCACCGTAGTTGGAGAACGAGCACCTGGAGCTGTCAGGACCGAGCTTCCATCCGAATCCATCAAGTGTGTTGATATTTCCATGCGTTTCAGGTGGTGGGCAACCGGCACCTACTAGGATCGCTCCTAATAAGAAGTTTCCCTTCACATCCTTGTTCTTTGGGTTCAATGGGTTCTTCCACTCGTCTGGAAACTTGCCAAGATTCAAGGGAATTACGTCGTAAATTGTGTTGTCGAGGTCCTGCTCACCGTCACCAGCGGCCTCAACGACAATGACGCCCTTTTTGACAGCAGCATGTACTACCGCTAGTTGATCTGGCTACCACTCAAAAGAAATGAGGCCATACTGGTCGTGATTAGACCCTTGGGGTTTCGGCTTTGGCCCCGGCTGATGGATTTCGAGCAGCAATTTGTCACTAGCGTTTAGCTTCTTGGTAGCCTCAAAGACGCACGCCGCACAGTCCATCTGTTCGAGGCCGAAAGCTGCAGCACGAACAATCGCATTCAAAGCAGTCCCAGTGATTCTGTAAGGATGCAGGTCGCCTTTAACCACCCCTACTACGCTTGTGCCGTGGTTGATGAGGCCCCTGACCCAGGCTACGAATCCTCGAAGGTTTTCTATGCGTATCTCTTGGCGAGTGGGTCGTTGGCATCGGGATCCCACTTGAGGTCACCCCCGTAGACAAGACTGGCAACATTGACTTGCAAGTCCTCATGAGTGAGTTGCCATCCCCGTTCACAGTCAATGATATTCACACCGTCTCCCTGCCCACCAGGCTTGATGTGTGCAGTCAGAGCGTCAACTCCGACCGGTCCCGGATTAAGATGATTTTGATGATCCGTGAAATTCTTTGTTTGCGCAATGGCCGTAGTAATCGGAGCGATCGGAACCTGAACAACAGGTGGTGTGCCAGCCGGCTTAATATATGCGGCGTCTACATCATCATGCGCATTCAACTCCGCGACAGGCTCTTCAAACTTCTCTGGAGCTACATGTACGCGATGGTATTTAGCAAGGTGAGAATGCTCTGCACTCAGCTCCACGTTTGAGCCAAAGATCGGATTCGACGCACACTGGTGACGATCAATGATGTGCTGCACGGGTGAGCCGCTCTCTATTCTGGCATGATCCTTGAGAACAACGATGAGTCCGGAGTGCTGGTGCTTATGAGCTGAAGGCGGTAGAGCTGCCATTTGATCAAGTTGATTTTACCGTAGAAGTCGGAAATTCCAATCTACGAAGGGCTCTCGTAAATATTTAAGACTGTAGACTTGACATTCCGCCGTATCAACTTTCAGCGTTCATACAGGCTTATCCAATGCTCAGGCCAAGGGGTGGCTAGACAAGCTTCAGCTGAGATGTATGTACGGGAAACCAACCTGCGTGCTAGAGCCTACAAGCCAAAAGCTTCTTGTGCGCCAGGGTAGTAACCTAGGACAGAACCTGTTAGCTGCAACAGCATTTGCGACGTGCCATTGGAATAGGCCGAGGTGTGGCGTCCACTTCGACACTACAGCCAGCTGAACGAGACCGCGAGCGGTTGATGCTGCATACTAGCCCGTGCCGGCGAGGGTCTAGAATGAAAGCTTGGAAATAGCCAGTGGGTCGTGTCACAGCTCATCACCATTGGATGGTACCTTAAGTCAAACGCTAGAAACTCGGATAAGAGGCTTGGGTGGGGGTGACGAGATATATTCACCTCACGGCCGCCAATACTGCCTTCGAACAACGCCAATGTCGAGTCACTGCTTGCTTCTGGCTCCCCTGTGGTCTCCCTATGCTCTATTCACTTATCGTCTCAGTACTTACGCCCTCTATCTATTCATTGGTGCTGTCTTGACGCTGCTTCATAATTCCCCGATCCTCACTTGTGCTCTCGTGCAAATTCAAAGGAGAGCATTAGAATGTGAGAGGTCTGAAAAAAGATTGAAATCATGTGAGTATTAGCTTACGTGCCTAGTAAGGGGATTTGGTTCGTGAGCTAGACACTCGCGGCCTCGGTAAGAGTCTTAAGCAAGAGCGACTGCCCGTGTGTAAGTCAAAGCACAAATGAAGGGGTGTTTCAGTCACAGAACAGGGAAGGAAGGAAACTGTTGGCAAGAGGACTATAGATCGAGGGAGACAATGATGAATCTTTTACTGCGCGACTAAAGTACAGCAACAAGCGAAGGACGTTGGAATCATCTCTGACTGTTGCGCCAGTCAATTGCCAATCTTCAGATCAAAGAAATTCTTCTACTCTTTCACCAGTGACAAGTATGCAACCCTTAGATGAGTCCCGCCGACTTTACCCTGTCAACATGCTCCTTGGATTTGGCCAATATCCTACGAAGCGGCAGGCTTCTCGTTGAGAACACTTCGTTGTCACTACAGCACCGTTACTTAAAGCCGTTTGTGTGAGTGTCAATAGGGCCTCACCTGTTCAGGAAACTATGACACCGGTGCCGCAACACCTACAGCATCTAGACCAACACCCTCCGCACCAATTTCCTCCTTGTCCACAGCAGGTATCGCAACGGCGACGACAGAGCACACGCCCACGCCCTCCACAAGTACCACAGGGGGAACATCCCCACCAACCACGTCCACCGCAGGAGCCACACTGCGAGTGTATTTAATGGCCGTCAATGCTACCAGAGCGTGGGTCTATGACTAACCAGCATCTTCAATGATTGTCAAAGGTCGTAAAGAAGGGTTTGGATGGAAGTCTGAATGTTCGAATCTTTGTTTTTGTTTTGGAAAGGCTGATGGAGACAATGTCTCTTGCAATGCGACCGTTGGGAATGATATATCTACTCGACTTTACGTCCGAGCGATCGGCAAGAGGGACTCACTACCTACCATAGTTCAGCTGAGGTTGGAAACGCCATCATGGAGCTAGGCTAGCGTGCAGGATGTGTCCAGCTGAGCTGTCAGACGCATTAGGAAGTGCTCCTGTCAGACCTGCATAAGACTTGCATTAGCCTTGTGCGGGGCATGCATAAGCCCTGTCTCTGAGCCCAATTCAATTCAGGATTCCCATAGTCACTACTTCCGCATGTCTTGGAATACCGTGTGATAAGACATCGTATGGATCAGGAGTAATTTCAGGCCTGGCGAGATCGGAGATTTACCACCTAGATAACCCCCGAGGCTATACCTTCTCTGTAACGTCGACTTTACCCAACCAGGCGGAGCTGAAAGGTGCTGCATCTGCGACTCCAACCATTTGTGCATCATTGGCGAGGACGAATCGACATGGGCTAGCCTGAATTGTTGACCCCACCGGCGCTTTCAGTCGAAAGAACAGAACCTCCTCCGGCTGATAATGAAGCATCGAATAATGTTTCTTCAGTGTCCCACATGGCGGCCATAGGAAGCTCGTTCGGTCAAGCACTTGCGCCAGACTATTGTCGACTCCGGCAGCAGCTGCATTGTCATAGGTCATTTGATTTATACTCCTCAGGTTGGTCATGTGCAGATCAGCGACCGAGACTTCGGATCCGTTTCCACAGAAGGACAATGCATTAATGACAGCTCTCATCTTCCTGCAGCTACCAGAACTATGTGAGAAGAATATACCAGATGATGGCGGATTGGAATGTCTATTGGCCGCAACAGGAACGTGTTGAGCAAGAAGCCCCGATTACGGAGCCTGACAAGACCATCGACTCAGTGTCTCTGTACTGTAGTTGGTCGACTGCGATTCGAGCCGGCTTGCTGAGAGGGGAGAGTGTCCTAGTTTCGAGAACCACATAGTCGCTCAGTCCATGGCGTATGGAAATCATGGGCATTTATTGACCTTTCGTTCCTCTTGAAATTTCTTTCAACAATACCTCCGTTACACCTCAACGACCTTTTTCCAAAGTCAAGAACTGCTAAACCACCTCCTCCATATCTCCTTGCAAAAATGAGTAAGAAATCGTTAGTCTAATCATTCTATCTATTCTTCTTTTCCTCACTATCCTTACAATTCTGGAACTAAACAAACATGGCAGGTTGCGTATTGGGGAGACTGCACCCAATTTCAATGCAGAAACCACCAATGTACGAACACCTCCAGCTTATCAAGATATTCTGTATTCCCGAAATGACAAGCTGATGATCTACTATAAAGGGCCCTATCGATTTTCATCAGTTCATTGGAGTATGTCTTTTTCCTCAAAAGCAAAATCTTTATCAAAGTAGCTGACCTAAGACCCTCGTGGGCCTACAGGACCGCTGGGTTGTTCTTTTCGCTCAACCGAACCGTAAAGCTCCCTGCTTTTCATTAGATACTAGTCACCCTGCTTTGCCTTGCACCTTTATCACTCGGCTCAGTACTGACGCCGCACCGTACAGAGAATCCGGTTTCAACCACGGAATTGACTGTCTACCAAAGCATCATTGATTCCTTTGATGAGCGTGACGTGAAACTCATCGTCCTCGCCCCAAATAGCATCGACGCACACAAGAAATGGGTCCAGGAAATCCAAGGCATCACCCCGAAGGATTTCATCATTCCCTTCATTACAGATTCGGACAAAAAGATTGCCTACCTCTATGACATGTGAGTATCAATATTTCATCTACATATGGGAAACTTGAGCAATAAACCGAAACATGACCTCTTTATCCTATTCGAAGGGTTACTCTCACGCAGTTACCAGAGAGAAACAGCACTTGCATACCAGCACACTTGCACGTTCATTTCATTTTCACGCCTAAAAAAGAACGAACTTCTGCTGACAGCACCGTATCAAGGGTCGATCAGGAAGTAGTCAATACAGCCAAAGTGCCCGAGAGCGTCCGCGACATTTTCATCATCGACCCGAACAAAAAGATCCGGCTTATCTTCAGCTACCCTCCCACGGTCGGCAGCAGCACCGAGGAGATCCTCCGAGTCATCGATGCCCTGAAGACAAGTGACAAGCTTGGGTAACCTCCCGTTCCCTCGTCCCCTCTTCGCATCAACCACGCTCCGCACCGCCTTCTTCACTCATACATCACCCCCAATTAATACTGACTCATCAAACTAGAGTGCTCACGGGAGCGAACTGGTACCCTGGCGCCAACGTCCTCGTCGATCCGGCTAAGAAGAGTATCGAGACTGCAAAGGTAAGTGGCCGCCTTTCCCTTCCCCTTTGCCCAGCCTATCTATCTAGGTCCACAAGGCCCAGTGCTGACGACTTCTTTTACGCTCAATAGAGCCAGTTCGATGGCAATGTCGAGTCCGTAGCCTCCTTTGCCATCGTCCCCGTCTCGGTGGAGGACTCGGCCGCACCGGACTCCGCTGCCCCGCCTATTGCTGCATAAGCTCTAAGGGAGAAATGGCGGGTGGAGTTTGGGCTGCCGGTTGGGAGTGAGGAGGGAGTAGTGAGGATGAGTTGGGGATAGAAATAATGTGTCTAGTCTTTCGAGTAGTTGAATGAATAGGCATATTTTGTGATGAATTGTTGTGATTTCTCTACGAGCTAGTAGGCTTATATCTTCCTTACCGCCCCGATTTAGAAAGAGATATAGGCTTGGAGCTCTGCTTCCGTGAATGAAAGGTGGCAATTACGGGATTTCAGTCTCGATTAGAAGGGGGGATCAGGGGTGGTCTCTAAGGCTTTGTACCTGGCGCTCACAATAACGAACTCTGTTGTATAAACCACATCCTCGAGGGGGCCTTTGTTGCCAGATTGACTGAGCCTCCGGCAATGCCTCTCAAGACTGACGAAGGCTTCTGTTCCATGATAGATCCCGATAATCCGCCCTTTCTTGAATTACCACCGATCTGGGATGGCGCAATATCTTGATCAACACTAGAAGCCGGGCACAAATCGTACGCCGATTCTGTCTTGCGGCCTCGCTTCCGCAATGGCGACTTCTAGAATGGCGCGTAGTGTCGACCATTCATGCCTGGTAAACGGAATCGACCCTAATAACGACATCGTACGTTGAGATTGAAGGGTCATTCCGGCGCGGCTCCACTGTGAAAATGCACATGGATCGCCAAGCGCCTGGGATTCGAGAAATGATGATCTGTAACAGAGTCTTCCTGATACTTTCGTAGAACTTGATGACCCCGGACGTCGAGGGTATCGGGAGGAATAATGGATTAGCGATTTTGAACAGGTCGTACATTTCCACTTCACAGCCTGAGCAGTTGGAGTGCTTGCTTAGGAGGGCTTCGACCGCCCTCCTGGCGCCCAACTATTCGAAATCCGGCATGTCTGGATTAACGTTCACTTGGATGTGCAAAGCTACTGTTCTTTGTGTGTGGGGTTCGTAGCCCGGCTTACTCTGCGTATGAAACGAAGCCGAAAAGTTGGGAATCTTGTGGACTTTTAGCTGTTGTGTGAGAGCCTCGCGGAATTGAGGATCGTTTGATAGGGTTTCGTATCGTATCGGTGCTTTCTCGAGCTCGAGAGGCCATGGGTAGGGGATCATTGACGATGACGAACGATATGGCTCAATGTAATAGAGGTATTGCTCGATGAGCATGTCCCCATTGGAATCTTCTGTCATTCTGGAAAGTCTTGTTCGTTTCCTAGGCGACTCTGGATCTGCATGTGCAGGCGATTGAGGTGGTGAAGCGAGTGCGTCTCTCAATTCTGTGCGACGCGAAGATTGAGCCGCCATAGTTGAAGATGTGGAGTATATATTTAGTATATAAGCTGGTGTTTCGGCAAGAATGGGGGTTGTGGTTGGATCAATGGAAAAAGAAATGTCTTTGATGACTGAACAGTGTTCTGTGAGTCATTCAAGATGCATTTGAGAAGGTATGGAATTGTAGGAAGTACAAGGCTACTGTTAGGAATTATATACTTTGGTGGCACGCCACACACTCAAAAACACTCACGTGAATGCTTTCATTCAATGAAATACGCCTCTATAAAGCCTTCTTCACCAGTTCTGCGCCACCTGGTGCTAGGTAGGGTTTTCCTCTTTGGACACGCCAAAATTGTCTCGCCTCTTTGAGGTGAATGCTCCTAAATATGCTGCTGACCGCTCATTTGCACAATAACTTCACTCGAATATGGTCACTTCCCTCCAGTCTAATTACGTTACTGCGGAGAAGCGGTCTGTCTGTTTGATGATCTTCAGTCCTTCTGTTTGTGACGATTATTAGTCATATTCACCAGATCTTACTAGCTGCAGCCACCCAAACTATCTAAAGAGGACTTTACAACATGATCAGGAATAGAACATGTAGAAGTGATAGAAGTTGGGTAGAAGAAGTACTATTCACTCAAACCCGCTGTTCATGAGAGGTTGACACACCACCTCTACAGACCTTGTGTTGGGACTAGACTTCAAACCACTCCTCATGATAAATCCTCAAATCGATTAAATCCGGCCGCTTCAAGTACCTCACAAGATCCGGATGCGGTGGATCACCATCTTCCCTCTCTTCCCTCCCCACCCTCCCATTCCCAAAATAAGCAAACCGATTCCCACTACTAGACCTATACGTCCACTCCCAGTCCTCCCACCGTGGATTTCGCCTCACGAAATTCAGATGCGAAGCACTTCCCGGCCAATGCCCATGGATCCTCGAACCCGGTTTCGCACCTTTCGCCCACGAGCTACATCCTTCTGTCCAGACGGTGCGAGCGAAGAAAGCGTCGCTGTAGGCTACAAAATCGTCGGTCGCCGCTTTGGAAGGGACGAAGGTTTTGAGACGCTGTTGTGTGACTTTGCGGAGTAGTTGGGCGATGTAGGTCACTTGCGTCTCGATCTGGTTTGGCACGGTCCCGCTGAAGCCGGTGGCGTTGGGTCCTTGGATGAACAGGAGGTTTGGGAAGGATGGAGTTGCTAGACCGAGGTATGTGTAGGTGCTGGGTGTCCATGTGTCTTGTAAGGAGCCGACTCCGGGAACGGTGATGGGGAATGGTGGGAGTAGGTCTTTGTTTGCTCCCGTAGCGCAGATGACGGCGTCGACTTTCCGCTCAACACCATCTGCTGTCACGATTCCATCTTTGGTGAATCGGGTGATTGGTATGCGGATGAAGTCAAGATTCGGCTGAGTCAAGGCTTCCAGGTAGCCTGGCCCAGGGGTAAGTCGCCGACAGTTCGGCGAGAAATCCGGTACGATATGTTCAAGTAGACCAGGTTTGTCTTTGATTCGTTCCGTCATCGATGCCACGAACTCTTCTTTCAATTTTTGGTTCGCCTTGGAGTTTCTCAGAATCGCGTCAAATCTTACGTAGAACTTTTCTTCAAATTTCCTGCGGAAGTCAAGGTACACCTCAGGATCTTGAAAAGACTGTAACAGCTCAGGCGAGTAATGATTAGGCTCGAGTTTTCTTCCGTCTCCCTCTCCAGCAAAAGAACCTGCAATCCAAGTGGGGCTTCTTGCGTAGTGATCGAGTCGGCTGACGATTGGCTGAAGACTTGTCGTCACTTGGATACCACTCGCCCCGTTCCCTATGACCGCAACAGACTTTCCTTTGGGATCGAAGTAAGGATCCCAGTTGCTTGCATGACGAAGTGGACCGGCAAATGACTCAATCCCAGAATATTGAGGTAGCCTCCATGCATTGAATCGGCCTATCGCCGCGATCACTACATCGAATGTTTCGCTGTAGCTCCGTCCAGCCACCAGATCTTCCAGTTCCAATTGCCACTGCGCACTTTCCTTGTCCCATACGGCAGCAATAACTTTTGTTTTAGTGCGAAGCCGCTCGTACACACCATACTTACGTGCCACTCGTTGCCAATAGTCCCTGATCTCATAGCCTTGAGCGTACTCCTCGGTCCATGCTATGTTTGGCTCGAAGGTGGACTGGTACACGTGGGCGGGAATATCGCATCGGACGCCAGGATAGGAGTTTTCTAGCCAATTGCCTCCCTACAAGATTCATAAGATTTCTCATCATGCGGTGCTTGACAGCTTCCTGATTGGAAATGCTCACAACGTCAGCGTTCTTTTCTATGATGGTGAGCTGGATGCCAGGGACTTTGATAGGGAGTAGCACGCCAGCAGTGATTCCGGATATGCCGGCACCTATGACTGCAACCTATCACACAAGAAATGTTACTTGCCGATCGAGGCAGTAGTCGAACGGGATGTAACCGACTTTGAGATCCTGGCCTTGGTCTACGGGATGCTCCTCCAACTTGAACAACAATCTGGAGGATGCGAAGTCGTCAGATCTTGGGGCTTCCGTGGAAGAGTCCACAGATGTCTCGCTATCTTCTTTGTGGCCCGATAGAGGAGAAGATGAAGCGGAGTGAGATGACTCAGGGGGCATCCTGTGCTGATATGGTAAGCTGTAGGGTCCTTTGGGACTCATACAATTTATGTCAATGCCCAAGCCAGGGATCTTGAATGAGCCTGCAGTCCGTATCTTGCATCATTCCGTCTGCTGTGTGCTTCCCCCACCATTTGAGTGGGGTTGCATATGGTCTGGTTGGTACCCGCCTGATAGCGGATGGCGCAATCGTCGTGCATGATGGTGAAAGGTCTGATGCACGTCATCTTCAGGATGAAAGCTTCAACTCGGAAAAGAAAGACTTTCATAACATCTGAAGGTCTCGGTGAGTCTCTCTAGATAGTCAATCAGCGATACAGTGTGGTGAGTAGGCTGTAGTCTTTGCCGTCCAGATGTGTGGTGCTGAGCCGTACTGCATCGGGACTACCTCCAACTGCGAAACACCTTCATTCCACACCCGGTCAAGATGGCAGAGCCAAAAAAGAAACAATGGATCCTCAACGCCTTCGCCATGCAAGCTCCCGGGCACCTAAACCCAGGCCTCTTCAAGCACCCCGCCGACACATCCCGAAACTACAAATCCATCAACCATTGGATCTCCCTCGCCCGCGAGCTCGAGGCCGCCAAGTTCCACGCCATCTTCTTTGCCGACGTCCTCGGCGGATACGACGTCTACAAAGGTCCCGCGAACCTCACCCCCACCATCCCCGCCGCCAGTCAATTCCCCATCAATGATCCTCTCTACGCAATCCCTGCCATGGCCGCCGCAACGGAGAGTATAGGTTTCGGAGTCACGGCGAGCACAACTTATGAAGCCCCGTATCTGCTAGCTCGAAAGTTTTCGACAGTCGATCATCTGAGTGGGGGGAGGGTGGCGTGGAATATCGTGACATCGTACCTCGACTCCGCAGCAAGGAACTTGGGATTAGAAACGCAGGTGGAGCATGACGAGCGCTACCGTATCGCGCACGAGTATCTGCACGTCGTGTACCAGCTCTGGGAAGGCTCGTGGCGGGACGACGCCGTCCTGCCGCCGGGTCACCCTTCAGGTGCCTACGCGGATCCGGAGGGTGTGAGACAGATCCGGCATCAGGGGAAGTACTTCACTGTGCCCGGACCGCATCTGTGCGAGCCGAGTCCGCAGCGCACGCCGTTTCTGTTTCAGGCGGGCACGTCGACGGCGGGGAGGAAGTTCGCGGCTACGCATGCGGAGGCCATCTTTTTGAACGGGCATACCCCTGAGTTAGTCAGACCTAGTGTGGAGGGCATTAGGGTAGAGGCGCAGAGGTTAGGGAGGGATCCAGCTGATATCAAGATCGTTGCTGGGGTGCTTGTCATTGTGGCTGAGAATGATGAAGCTGCGAGGGAGAAGTATGAAGAGTTGGCTGCGTATGGAGATCGAGAGGGCGCGCTGGCGTTGTTTGGAGGCTGGTCAGGGTATGATCTGAGTAAGTACGGTGACGATGAGGATTTCAGGTTTAGTGATAATGCGCCGCCTGCGGTGAGGAGCATGGTGAATCATTGGGCGGAAGTGAGCCCGAAGGGTGTAGTGTGGAATAAAAAGACGATTGCGGATTGGCTTGTCCTTGGAGGTAATGGAGCGAAACTCATTGGAAGTCCGACGACCGTAGCGGATGAGTTGCAGAGGTGGATCGATATATCGGGTGTTGATGGCTTTAATCTGAGCTATGCAAGTGTGCCGGAGACGTTTCGAGATGTTATCAGATTATTGATTCCAGAGCTGAGGAGACGGGGTGTCTTTTGGGAGAATTATGCAGTGCCTGGAGGGACATTGAGGGAGAATTATTTTGGGAGGGATGGCGGAAGGAGATTGGCGGAGAACCATCCAGGGGCAAAATATTTCTGGAGGGCTGGGGAGCAGGAGCCTGCGTATGCAAATAAAAGGATTGAAAAGTCAGATGCACACGGAGGTGACATCGCTGGAGAAGAAGCAAAACTCAAGGAAAAGGTAATAGAGAGCTGAAGTATGAGGATTAGATGTGACAGAGGTTGGATATGTTCCTGTCCGGACCCCTTTGGTTTTGTCATGGCAGGATAGAGAAAATGCCATGCGAGCCCCACGCGATAGGCGTAGAACGCGGAATCAAGCATGCAATCTGGTGGGTAGATGTCGTGCGAACATGCTAGAGCCTCGCTATGTTCCGACGGTGCCAGGCACTGACCAATCGTGAAGCCTTACAGGTATTCCAGACGTGCATTGACCAAGTGCATTCCACTATGCGGTTCGGTTCGTGCTCTATATATCCCTTGTCGGCCAGGAGTTCCACTTAGTTTCGTCATACAGTCATCGCTGCTGTTGAAGTAATATCGTACGGTCAACTAAGATGAGTGAAGACGACAGTAACGGAAAAGTGCCCCATGCCTATGGTGAAGTCGAGGACCGACCAATAGATCATCAAAAAGTGGAAGGTGAGATCTGAACACAGCGGTTTAGTAGAAACGACATCTTGAATCAAACTCACAGTTGCTTGTAGTCAAATGGTATCGGTCGACTCTGTACAATGCATTGATCCTCGGCGCCTGTAATTTTCTCGCACCCGGAATATGGGGAGGTTAGTCAAAGCTTCATGGAGGGACTGGTCACGCTGATGAGCTCGTCGCAGCAATGAACTCGCTCGGAGCCGGCGGAGAAGAGAAACCCTACCTCGTCAACGGCGCCAATGCACTGACATTCTGCCTCATGGTAGTTTCTTGCAGCTTAGGCAGCGTGATCGTGCATTTCATCGGCATCAAATGGGCTCTGATATTCGGTACAATGGGCTATGCGCCATATGCGGCTGGCTTGTACACGAACAATCGGTACGGTACTGAGTGGTTCGTGCTCTTCGGTGCTGCTCTGTGCGGTATATCTGCCGGTGTCTTTTGGATGGCAGAGGCGGCGATTGCGTTGAGTTATCCCGAGCCGTATAATCAGGGAAGTTTCTGGGGCTCTGGTTGAGCTTTCGGGTAGGAGGGCAGATACTCGGTGGTGTAAGTACGACGATGGTCTTGTTCATGGGAAGAGAGCTGACTTGGTGGGGCGACCAGGCGATTAATTTGGGACTCAATGCGAAGGCCAACGAGGCTGGGAAAGTCTCGTATACAGTCTACTTAATCTTCATAGCCCTGCAAGCCGCCGGTCCATTCGTTGGCCTGCTCGTAAACAAGCCATCGAGAGTTCAACGCAAAGATGGTGTTCCTGTCGATATGAGCATCACAAACAACAGCTGGAAAGAACTTATCTTGACAGCCAAACTCTTCTTTAGTAAAGAGTTTCTGTTGATAATTCCACTGATTGGTCAAGGCGTCTACACGGAGGCTGTGATGTTTACGTATGCCTCACTCTGGTTCACCGTCCGCGCTCGAGCTTTAGGTTCATTCCTTTCTGGCATCGTGGCGATCATAGCTGGCAATTTGTTAGGAGCTTTTATTGATCGGCTTTCGCTTCCACTAAAGACTCGCGCCCGAGGATCGTTCTTTGTGGTACTTGGCTTACAAGGAGTTTGGTGGATCTGGGCCACTGTCCTGGTCACGGACTTCCATAGGAATAAGATAATATATGACTGGGTTGATCCTGGGTTCGGCAAGGCTTTCGCGTTATTCCTATTCTGGGTGGCAGGATTTCAACTCAACTATTTGTTTCTGTGAGTATCAAAAGACGTGGCTGTTACTACGGTGCGACTGACAGGGCTAAGGTACTTTGTAGTTGGTCATATTGCAAAGACACAGCCAGAAATTGTTCGTATTGCGGGATTGCTTCGGGGAACAGAGTCAGCCTGGCAAGCCATCAGTGTGAGTATCGAGTTCTATTTTCAACAAGTGGGCGTATTGATGGTCTTCAGTATGGCGTCAATAGCGTAGCGATAATGGCCTCTGTTGGAGGCGTGTACTTCAACTTTGGTCTATGGGCGATCTCCCTGATACCCGCCTGGCTGGTAATTGGCAAGATTGGGGTAACAAATAATGACGGATATATCGAAAAGAAAAGGGTAGACAGCCCGTTGTCGGTCGACTCTCCAGTCAAGGCTAAGGTTTAGATCTGAGAAAATTGAAATGTAAGTGCTTTGACGACAGTCGCAGCAGACTGTAAAGACTAAGGTAAGGCCTAAGGGAATGCCTTTCGAATCAAAGTCCATGGAAAAAAGGAATTGAGCATCTCTGAAATAGTGCGAAAGCTGGATAGCTCTTGAATAGCTTTGAGGTTTGAAGAGGGGGTTTTGAGTACTTTGAGATGCCAGGTGGCACGAATGACAGTTGTTGCCATAAATATGCGATGCAAATTCATGATGTTTGCATCGTTCTTGACAGATAACGAGAGCCGTCAAGAAGGCAACGGACCCTCTCCAATGGCAGAATGCACTGGGACTGGAATGGAAAGCTGACTTACAGATTCACTTTCTTGCCTTGCCATTCGAGACATCATGTAGCAGCCCTAAAGCCCATAAGCATTGCCAATGTTCTGCCGAAACGACACCACACCGGTACTACTCTCTACAATTTGCCCCGATTCAATCCTCAATCTTTAGCATCAAGCCTCTGTAGATCGACGAAGCTGATGGAAGCCGAGAGGCTTCAGTCATGAGCGAGGGTGGTGAGTACCGAAAGGGTGGGGGAGCTATACTTTGCTTGGAATGAGAAGGCCTGGGCATATTGGTGTTTAGAGATTGTAGAACGGAGGTCTCTTGGAGCAGAGGTGTGTATCCCTTTGGCTGGCATAAGTGTTAGCCATATTCTTCTAGGGCTAGGGCGCCCTCTCGACCCAGATTCCATTTCTGAGGATAGTCTTGGTGGGAGTCTTGCGGAAAACCCTAGGCAGACATTCTAGAGCCCAAGGATATTGGCACCCCGCCGACCGAGGGTATTTCTCTCTAAAGTCTTCTGGAATCGAGTCAACCGTACTCTTGTGAACGCGAACTCTCTATACACGAGGCTGGCCCGCACAAGAGAATTCATTGGACTCCCTACTCTAGTCATAAAACGTTAGTTTGAGCATTCGGCGGCTACAAGAAGTTTCTTTGGTCGCGTCTTTCAGCAACACACATTGCTTTTAGACGCCCACTAACAGTTCGATGATATTAGATTTAGAGATACAAAGACCACTCGCTACTGCAGACCTGGAGATGAACCTTTGAGTATACCTAGCGTACAACCTCCAACAATTTCGTTCCCGTGAACCGAGCCCCATAAACAGTCAACAGGTGATCGAATAGCACCTCTTCGTCTTGCACATCTTTCAGGTTGTCGGGGAAATCTAAAGGAAGTAACTCGTTCAGTGTCTCTTTTGCCTCCTCATAGTTCTTGGTAGCTCTTTCATTATCTTTCCCTTGAGCCCAAAGAACTTTAGCCAAATGGTATTGCGTACGTGCGATCGCTTCGGTGGACCAGAACGCTGTCCGCCGTCTATCAAGCGCGTGCCGGAAATTGGCCCTGTATTGAAAGATGCGAGTCAGTATTCCGAATTTAAAATCCGAGTTCGGACTGATTGATAGAGCAGGAGAATCTTCACGGTTCTTGTGACGTGAGAGGGCAGGGGGAAAAAGGGCTAGACCTACTCGGCTTCTGCATAATTGCCACGGATCTCTTCAAGTGCGCCGATGGCGTAGTAGCTCTGGAGTGTGTTTTCGTTGGATTTACCACATACGGGAAGGCGTTGATTTAAAACTTCCTTGTGGATTGCCAGAGATTTTTTAATGTCCCCTTTTTGCAGATGGATGCAGGCAAGATCGAACTTGAAGCGAAGCATGAGGGAATCGTTGCCTGTCTTTTCCATCTGCTGAACACCATCTCGGCAAAGCTCCAAGGCTTCTTCGTATCGTCCTTGGTACATTCGGATCAGTCCCATTTTGTGACCATATTTGGCATATTCGTAGGGAATATCATCTGGTGTGCCCCATTGACGATACTTCTCGAGGCATCTGTCCAGGATTGATTCGACTTCTTGATATTTGTTGTACTGGAGCAAAGAGATACCGTAGTCGAGCGAAGAATTGTATAGAAGTGTTTCTTCAACTTGATTCGCCTGGGAAAGACCTTCGACATACTTCCTTCGAATCTTGAGAGCTAGCTCACGACGGCGAAGACTCTCTGCTCGGGTGGAGATACCCATGTTATCTTGCATCAGAGCTACGAGTGAGAGGATATCGGCTTGTAGGTTCGAAGAGTCTGTACGCACGGACTGTAGTACTCGTTCTGCAGTCGTGAGTAGTGAAAGGCCGTCTCGAGTAAATCCGTGAGCCCATTGGTTGATTCCGGCATCAGAGAGTAATTTAGCGAACCTTTTCGATCCGCGGATCGTATCTTTTCCCTCTATAAAAACGTTCAGAAGACTCCTGACGTGGGGAAGCAGCCGCTGTTGTCCACACCAGCTCATCGGGTCAGGGGCTTGAGTGGGTGACGGAGCAGGAAAAGCTTTGCGAACGAGGACAAGAGCCTGATCAAAAACCAGTTGCGCATTATTGGTATCTTTAAGTATGGTGTCCTGGATGCTGCGCTGTAACGATCGATGCAGAGAGAGGCAGGCTTCGCCGTCAATATTTCTGGTCTGTATCAGACGACGCTTGATAAGGGTTCTCTTCATCCTCGTATATCTGTAAAACATTGAGCCGGAGTCTTTTAGGCTATCGGCTTAGTCTCGCTTACCGAATTGGCTCCCTAGAATCGAACAAATCGAGGATATCTTCTTGATGAACGCCAAAGAGCATGGATTCTGGAATGGCCTCACAACTCAAGTACGCTAGAATGTATATCATGTCTCGGGGGTCGATAGGTAATTCTCTCAAAGTGACATTCCACACCATGGTAAGCGTCTCATCATAACTGTAGGATGCTTGTCGAAACGAGGCCGGAAGGTCATCGTCCTCACTCATCGCGGCTTCAGTATGTTTACGCCTTTGCTTGAAAATTTCTAGGAGCTCAGACAATGTACATTCTGAGTATGCTGCAAGACCTGCGACGTGAGAAAGGGCCACAGGTAATCCGCCGACAAGGCCAGATATTTCTTGAGCTACGGGGTGGTCGGGGTCACTTTTGGGATTTGGGCGGTTGAGATACTGGAGTAGGGTGATTGATCCTTCCTCAATTGCAAAAGTTTGAAGTGGTAAGTTGTGATTGACTCTTGTGGCGAAGTCGGAACTCCGGGTGGTAACAATGATAGAGCCTCGACTATGAAAGAAACCTTGCGGCAGATACGAGATTACGTAATTCCAAACCTCAACGTTGTCGAATATGAGCAGCCACCGACGTCCTGTTTCTGTTAGCGAGGAGACTTAGAAAGATTCAATCGTGTAGTTACCGCTAGTGTCCAGCCAGTGTCTGCTCAGTTCAATAATTTGAGACTGATCCTGGTTTCCTTCAACGAGTTTGAGTTCACGCGCGATATCAGCGTAACATTCTGCCAGACCAGGCGAAGTGTCGGCTTGAAGCCAGAAGATGCATTCGTATTCATCTTTGTAACGATATACATACTCGACAGTAGTCAGGGTCTTCCCGATACCACCCGCCCCGTGAATGACGCAGATATCACCGATATTCGACAGATTCTGATGCAATTGTTCCAGAGCCTGATCACGTCCGAAGAAATACTCGTTTGGTGGATGCACCATGGTCATCACGGGAAAACACACTTGTCCCGTCGTAGAAGTTTCTTGAAGTCCTTGACCAATACTGCCTACTTTCGCTTCCACTTGGTCGCCGAGATATCTTTCTATGGCGGCTTGACGTGTCTCCATTTGATCTTTTGAGTCATCTTGTGTGTCGAGCACAACACTCTCCGCTAGTGTATTTCCATCCGATCCTGAATCCTCCATGAGATCGAAATCATTGTCTCTATCCGATCCTATACTCAGACTGTCTATACTTTCCCTGAGGCTGACATCAACATTTTCATCCGATTCTGAATCGTCTATCAAGTCGAGAGTATCATCATCCTCAAGTCGCGATTTGTCTCGGAGCGCGGCGAAGAGGGCAATTTGCTCGAGGTGATCTGCTAGATGCCTAATTTATATGGGTCATAAGCTTCATGGATTGGTATATATGCCATCCGGTTACTTAGACAACAAGTGGCGTTACAAATTACAAATCTGGGATACCGAGTGGGCGCCCAATGTAGGAACAATACAGACTTGAAAGCGATCTGAAAGAGCAACAACGCAAGTTTGGTCATAGAAACGGGTAGGAGACGAACCTTCGTAGTCTTTTTTCGCTACGATTCCCCTGTAGACACAAAGGACATTCTGTTCGATACTCCAGTTTGGCGGAGGTCTTTTGGCAGATTTCTGCAAAAACATCTAATTGGGGTATCTTGCTGAATTCAGTGTGCTTTTCTCGCATGTGTTCATCAAAGGCTTGTCTGGAAACAAGCTCTTTATCACATGGCTTGCAAAACCACCTCTTCTCAGTTCGATGCACTTCAATTTCGTGCTGTATCCAGTCGTTTTTGGAGCCGTATGTCTTCGCTGGGCGTAGACAGTCACCGTAAGTGCAAAGATATGGTTCCAGATCAGTCATGACATGATTCCTTCAAATTTATCAACGTTCTTCGAGGTGTAAAGCTAGCTTGTCGATGACTCACCTCCACATTCTCAAGGTAGTAACCCTCACCAAGTCGAAAGAACAGTATGGACATTTAAATCTTTTGCCTTCGAAGTTGGAATTTGGCGCTGGCGGGCGAGGTAAATTCAAGCGGGGAGTATCGACTGCTTCATCTAGATCAAGAGATGGATCCTTGTATACGGAGGCACCAGACATCGAGGTTGTCACCGTTTCCATAGAGGCTCTCCTTGAAAATGTCGATGCATGGCCCGTCGTACAACTCTGCAGACCAATACTTTCGACAGTGCTATACTGCGAAGCTGTAGTCCCAGCTTCTGAAGCAGTATAGATTTGGGTTTCTTTGCTCATGCCCGATTGACCAGCTTTCAGAGCTGACCAAGGGGTCACTGCTTCTGCCTTGGCTTCTTCTGCTTCTTCAATTTGTGCTCGCAGAAATATAAGCTCCTGCCTACGCTTCCAATTCGCGACTCCTAGGTGTTTCAATAGTTCTTCGTTTGCATTAGGAAATTTGTTCGTGATGTGAGTTAGATCAAAGAAGTATGCGCCTTCATACGTATTCCTTGTTCTTGAGTCATGAGGGGTTGGGTCTTGTAAAGCTGGAACCTGTCTCAAGAGGCAATCCAGAATGCTGTTTAATTCAGATATCGCTTCATGAAGTGGTGAAGACAGATCAGCTGTGCTTGCTGACAGACTACTTCCAAGCTCCAATGAAATCGATTGAATTTTGTTGAGTGTTGGTGAGGGTTCATGTGCCTGAGCGGCATCTCCTCCGTCAGCTTTTTCCTTACCATTCATGGACGAAATTGCTAGATTGATATCAGTAGTAGGACTATGAAGTCTTCCATATTACAGACCTTCCTTAGTAACAGCTACCAATTCGCGTAATAGATCTAACACTCCGTCGCGAAGTCTTGAGGATTTTCGAAGTCCGTGATCAAGTCGACCTAGTCCAGCGCCGGTCTCTGAGTCCCACATCAAAAGACGACCAACAGCGTCACTGCATCTTGCGGATTCCAAGATAAGATCAGGATCATGAAGCTGGTGCTGTAGGTAACGACGTAGCTTGAGTAGGGTTTGTCGACAAGTTCGAAGAATACAGGCGATAGATCCATCGACGTTGACGAATGACATCTTTCAATTCCCAACGGAATGAATGATACAAGACTGAAAATTCTCAGAGGAAGGTTGGAAAGCCAGGCTAAGATTGAAGTGGTGGTGGGGGGCACCCGTCTCTTCGCGCCGTAAGCGTGCATCAGTAGCGTCTCTTAGAGTATCTTTCAGTCTGCTCTGTGGTATCGTTTTTTTCAGAATATGTTGCCCCCGCCGCTAGTGAACCTCCCACCACTAAAATTTAGCGTATATTGGGTAATTAGTAGGCGAAGAGGCTATAAAATACTGAAGGAGGCTTTTAAGTTATTGTTTATATATTTTTTTTAGTATTACTATTATAATTATAATTAACTACTAAATAGCTAATAAAAAGCTAGCTAAATATATATTATTATTAGCTTTAGCCCCCCTTCTTACTATAAATTAATTAATAGCCTTACTATTAATGCTTTTAAAAAAGCCTACTGCTTTTATAATTTATAAATAGTAATTTAATATAAATATTAGCTACCTTAAGAAGCTTTTACTTTTATATAAATACTTTATTATATAATTTCCTAAAAGACTTTTACTTTTATTTTTATCTTATATTTAACCTTTTTAGCCTAAACTCCTAGTAAATTTAAGCTAAATAAATTAAGAATATAAATAATTCTTATTTAACTTAAAATTCTTTAACTTAATTTATATATAAATTAATTTAAAAAAAAAGGTAAAATCTTTATTAAAGTAAAAGTAGGACATTTTTAATATATTTATATTTAAGAGTATATTATTAGTTTAAAGAGATATATTTGCCCTATATTTAAAATATAATATAAGTTTTTTATACACTTTTATATCTCCTTATCTTTTTACTTTTTTAAGTTTTTTTATAATAACTTTTAATATAAGAGTTAAAGCTTTTATAATTATAAAAGTAAAATTAGCTTAAATAAGTTTTATTTAAAGATTAACCTAAAGTATAGAATATTTAATAGTATTTAAATATAAGTAAAAGCAATTTAATTATTATTTTTTAAAGAATCTTTAAGGTTCTATTACATAAAATACTATATAAATTAGGGGGAAGCTTTACTCTTATTATAATAAAAACTATAGATTTTAGAAATTCTATAAAAGTTAAATATAAAACTTATTATAATAATAAGGATCTTATTATCTATAATAATATTATACTTACTATAGGTTCTTTAAATCTTATTAATACTTAGAATAGTACCTAGAATATAAATATAAAAAAGGAGTAAAAAATTTAAATTTTTAAACTAATAATAATAATACTTTAAGAGTAAGAAAAAAAGCTTATATGTAGTATATTAAAAAGGAAAGATTTTAATAAATTAGTAGATAAATTATTTATTTTTATTTATAATACTATTGAAGATAAAGTGAAAAATTATACTAATAATTTATAAGTTTTAAATTTCTTTTTAAAAGTAGAAGTTATATATAGCTATAAAAAACTAGCTATTATAAGATAAAACTATATTAACTTAAAAAGAGATTAGATAATATTAATAGATAAATAAAAGAATATTTTATAAATTCTTAAAGAATAATATTATTAAAATAAAATAAATATCTAAGCTAATTTTTATTTCTATTTTATAAGATTAAGCTCGCTAAATACTTAGCAAAATAACTTTATTAAAAGTAATAATACTATTAATATAAAGATATAATAATAACTATTAAATAAAAAGTTTAATAAGTTAATTTAAGACTTTATAAAGCTTATTATTATAGTTAGTTATTTTATAATTAAGTATTATATTAGGTTAAAGATAATAAGTACTATATACTGCTTTTTTAAAATTTTAAGTTTTAAACTTAATATTATTTAGAAAACTTTAATAAAAGAATTACTTTAAATATACTACTATAGTTATTATTTACTTAGTTTAAAATATAATTCTAAAATAATTCTAAAAATAACTCTAAAAATAATTCTAAAAATAATTCTAAAATTAATTAGTATCTTTAATAATAACTTATTAATATTCCTTTTAGGCTACTAATATTAGGATAGAATTTTTAAGCTATAAGTATTACGCCCCGCAGGACTTACAGCGCACGGATACTTGTTACTGGCTCGGTTAAGCAATTAACTACGTATCGCTCGCAGCGCTTGCAGCGAACGCAGTGCTCACAGTTCTGCTAACTATAAGCAGCCTGCACAGTATAAGCACCTTTAAATATATAATATTATTCCTTTTATAATAGATAGTTTGCTCCTTAGTTATTAATATATTTATTACTAAATACCCTAATAAAGCTCTATATATAAATCGCATTACTATTACAGTGTTTAAGCTCGCCATTTAGAGCTTACCTTCTTTTACGTTTATAGCTTGTTACTACTTGCTAAGCCAACCTAGCTTATATATAACCTAAGCTAATTATTATATAGCCTTTATATAGGTAAACGACTATTATACTTTAATAACTTATAAATAATATAGGATCCGTCTCGACGCTTAGGACCCCTATACTGTCCTTAGCATTAAACTTAGGACTAGGGGACTCTATTAAGTATACTACCCTAGAATACTTTAAAAAGGACTAAAGTACTTTAAAACAATAGATAGTTATAGTATAACTTTATATAAAAATATATATATCTAAGTTTCTTAACGAAACTACTAAAGTAATATTTGCTATATTATACTTTATAAGTGCAGCTTTTAACTAGGTAATACCCTATCTAAAGGACTACTTTATAAATATAGACAACAATTAAAAAAGCAAAACAAAACAAATATTCTATAACCTAGGTAACTTTATAATATATATTAAGACGGTTTTTAGGGAAGTAGACGAAAACAAAGTAACTAAGAGGAAGCTGCAAAACCTAAAGTAAAGAGCGTTAGTATTAGTTTATATAGCAACATTTAGAACGCTAGCTTATAAGATAGAATAGGACAACTTAGCTTTAGTAGCCTATTTCTATTAAGGTTTATATAATAGGGTCAAAGACGCTATAGTAATAGCGGATAAACTAGATTTATTAGAATTAATAATTGAAATCGTAGTTTAGATTAATAACAGATAATAAGAAAAGTACTTCGATAGACAAGTATAGCAAAAAAGGCCTATAATAAAAGGACAATAATCTATAAGAGATCTAATAGAAATAGATATTTTAGAAAAAGGATTAAGAATTAAAACTTATTATACTTATAGTAAAGCTAAATATATTAGATGAAACTGCCTAAAAAAAGCTACTAAAGTAACAGAACAATAGATTGAAATAGCTAAAGAAATTATACTAGCTATAGGGAACAATTATAATAGACTTTTATAAACAGCTTATATAGAGAATAACTGCAGAATATATTAATTAGAAAAAGATAAGTCTAGTTAGTACCTAAAGATACTTAAACTAGGAAAAAGAATAATTAAACAGCTAAGGATTTAATATTTACTGTTCTTTACTAAGAAGCCTATAACGGCGGCTATAAAAATAAAAATTAGAGAAAAATAAACAACAGCTTTAATCAACAGGGAATAAGGAAATAAAATATTTAAAAAAAATATTTAACAGAATTAGAGGATACTTTGAAGCTATAAAAAGCATTTGCAAAAATAGTTTAGTATAGGATGTCGATATTGAAAGTAAATATAGACTAATAGGAACAATATTATTCTAAGTTATCGACAGTAACTAAAGTTATATTATTCTAAGGGAAAAATAGAACTAAAATATAAGAGCTTTGCTTAAGATAAAGGAAGCAAAACTTAAAAGAAAAATACTATTAGAAAACTAGATAATATATCTTTTAGTATATAAAAACTTTATAATAATAAACTAGCAAGGACTAGAAGATACTAATTATATATAGAATAATATCCTAGAAGTCGATATAGTATTTAAGAAAAATATAGATATAATAGCAACTATAATATAGAAATAGTTTAAAACAATATAAAAATTAATAGCAAAATCCTATAGAAGGGATATTTTTAGGACAAAAGAAATCTAGAAATACTATATACTACGTTCGAAAGAAAGCGATTATTCGATATACTCTAAAGAAAACCTAGTCGATAATATAGATAAAAAATTAATCTTTAACTTAGCAGAAAGTATTTAACAACGACTATCGCTATACCTAATAAACAAAGAAAATAATTTATAGGACTTGACGCCTAGCTCCTTGTCCTAGGACGAAATAGTAGAAGAGGAGGAATCTTTTACTAACAAAAAAACACTAAAAAAAAAAAGCGTTAGTAGACCCTAAAAGCTAGTTAAAAAAGCAGTAAAAGAAACAAAACTAGATAAGTTAGCCTAAAGCAACTTCGAGCAGTTTAAGGAAACAAAAAATAAGAAATAAGCACTTAAGAAAAACTACCTCGACGTTATAGGAGGTTTTATTAACTAGGAATACTTATAATTAAATACTAAAGAAATAAATAATTAACTTAACGCAGTTAGCGATTATCCTAATTAAAACCTTTAAATAGGCTTTCTAGAAGGTATTAAGCCTTAATTTATGCGGCTTTAAATAGGAAAAGAAAGTTATTAAAATCGAAATCAGCAATTATTTAATTAATTTCTTTAGAAGATATTACTAGGAATTAAATACTAGACGAATTACCAACAATAGAAGTATTAGTTATTGTAATATTAGAATAATCTAGCTTTTTAAGCTTCTTTATAACGTTAACCTTTTGCTTAATATAATTATTTTCTTTTTTATCGAAAGAACAATATATTTCGGAAAGCTATTTTTATTTAGATAAAAGAGTAAGCATTTTATAATAATAGCGGGCAGCTTTTTTATACTTAAAATTATACTCTTTAGAAATAAGGTTAATCTGAAAACGAATTTCCTTCTTTTTATTTTAAAGTTTTTCCCTTAGAAAAGTTTAGTTAATATAGGAAGTTTCTAGAATAGAGCTTTTACTTATAGATAAATTCTAAGATAAAAATATCGCACTTCCTAGGACGACTAGCACAAATATATTTACTATAAGAATCCTGCCCTTTTAATACTTTATAAGTCTTTAAGTTATTATAGGAACAAGATAAGCAAAGGAAAAGCATAATCTAACTTTTATATTATATTACTTAATATAAGCGAAGACGACGTTAGTAAAAAGAGGAAAGCATTTTGCAATATAGAAAGGTAAAAGCAGCCTAGGTTATAAAGTTAGGTAGTACTATAGGGGGATAGTATTACGCCCTGCAGGATTTATAGTGCATAGATACTTATTACTAGCTTAGTTAGGTAACTAACTATATATCGCTTGCAGCGCTTATAGCGAATATAGTGCTTATAGTTCTGCTAACTGCAAGTAGCCTGTATAGTATAAGTACTTTTAGATATATAATATTATTCCTTTTACAATAGATAGTTTGCTCTTTAGTTATTAATATATTTATTACTAAATACTTTAATAGAGCTCTACGTATAAATTGTATTACTATCGCAGTATTTAAGCTCGCTGTTTAGAGCTTATTTTCTTTTGCATTTATAGCTCGTTATTACCTGCTAAGCTAACCTAGCTTATACACGACCCAAGCTAGTCGTTACACGGCCTTTGCATAGGCAAACGACCGTTACAATAAGTTCCTATTAATATTATAATTTTTAACCTTTTTAATAAGTTATTTAAGTAGTTTTTCTTATTCTTTTATTTCTTACTCCTTTTTTATTATCTTTTATTATATAAGCTATAGATAGCGAACTTACTAGGGAAATAGAAGCTTATTAGCTTAAAAAAGCAAGGATATAAATTTTAAAGGAATAAAGCTTAGTATTATTAATAAAGGGATTTATAATTCTTTAGCTTTAATATAATTATAATAGTTTTATTAAAGATAGCTTTATTAATAACTACTTTAGCTAGCTTAAAAAGAAATTACTATATTATATTATAAGCCTATAGTAAGTTAGAAAAGTGCTAGATAAAAATTTCTATATAGTATAAATGTTATAAATAGCTAAATATAATTATATAGTCTTTAATTAAATCTATAAGCTAGATTTTCTTAGTAATATTATATAAATACTTATTAATTATACTAGTAAATAAAATTATAAGAACTTAAGTAATCTTAATATTATAATAGTAAAAAACTATAATAAAGTTAAAAAACTATTTTTAAAAATTATAAATAATAAAGATATTATATAACTATTTATTAAAGGTAATAATAATATAGATAATAATAATTATATTTCTAACTTAGATAATATATTAAAATAGATATATAAGCTAAAATTATAGAGTAATTATTATTATAAATATATAAATAATATATAAGCTATTATAGATTTTTTATAGCTATAGAATATATAATCTCTTAAATAATACTCTAGGGTTATTATAGGCTTCTTAGATTTAAATAGCTATTTTAAAAAACTTAATAAACCTATTTATATTTAGATTAAATTTATATTCTTTTACTAACTTATAGTTTACTTTTATTTAATTCTTTAAAATTATAAATAATATTTTAATTAAGTTGAAATTAAAAAAATAAAATAGTAAATATTTAATTACAATATTATATTCTTTATATATTATTTTTAGTCTAAGATTATAATAGATATTAATATTATTTATTATAAGTATAAAGTTTTTATTATTATTTATAAAATATAGAAGGAGAACTTAGTCCTAAGTAAAAGCTATAAAAATTAAGCTTATAGTTAATCCCTATATAATTTTATAAGTAATATACTTATTAACTATAAAAGCTAGTAATATATTTTATTTTTTTAATTATATAAATAATTAAATTTAATAGTAAAATATACTAGAAGAAGATTAGCTAAAGTATTAGTTAGCTATACTAAGTTAGCTTAATAAAAAATTCTTTAAATAATAATAATATATCTATTTTTTTATAGGCTGTTAACTTATTAATAAATATAAGCTATAATATATAGTATTAATTAAGCTTAATAAACTATTATTCTTTTAATTTAAGATTATATTCTTAAATAAGCTTTTTATTTTTCTTTTAAGTTTAGCCTATTTAAATAAAAGCCTTTTATATAGTAATTTCACTATAATATATATAGAATTTATTAAATATAAACTAGGCAATCTTATTTAAATAAGCTATTAGCTATAAGTTTAAATATTCTTAAATCTACTTTTTATAATATTAATTAATAATATAAAGAGCGTTGCTTTTTAGATTTAACTTAATATATACTTAACTATAAAGCTCTTCTAAGTTCTTATAATTATAAGTAGTTTAGATATTAATATTATAAGTATTAGTAATAAACTAGTTATTTATAAAGCTAATTTTAAAATTCTTTTAAATTTTAATTTTAATTTTAACTAAAATTAGCTTTTAACTTATTACTATAATAGTAATTAAATAATAAAAGTAAATAGAATATATTTAAAGACTATATATAAAAGCTTAGGGGCTAATAATAAAATAATATTTAAAAATACTATATAATAAATAGTAAAGGTAACTATATACTAGCTAGCTATATATTAGCTCCTTTACTATATCTTTTATATAAGTTAGACCCTCTTTTATTAAAAAAGCCGATATAAATCTTATTTTAAGCCTTATATATAGACGATGATAAGCTTTTTCATAATATAAGGTCTTCGCCTACTAATTACCTAATATACGCTAAATTTTGGTGGTGGGAGGTTCACAAGCGGCGGGGGCAATATGTTCTGAAAAAAACGATATAACAAACAAGGCAAGAGGGGCGGACGGCCCTCCATCGAAGTCAAAAGGCTGCCAGCCGCCCTCTTTGAATCGTGTTTTAAACACTAGTCCGGCAGTCCCTTCTGCTGAGCATGTTTATGTAGTCTACTCTGACAGATTGTAGACTTGGCAAGAGCCCTTCCATTGGGCGTCATGTCAGGACTCGAGGTTGCAGGTCTCGTCGCAGGGGTGTTACCAATCGTTCAGCTAGGTATTGATCGATACAAACGGGGCCTTGCTGGAAAGGAGATGCGACAGCTTGCCAGGTCATTTGCAACCCAGCAAAATATATATATGAACACAATCGAAGAGATCATTTCACCGGTGCTGCCAGACAGTCAGTTTATTGAGCTCCTACAAGACCCTGGTGGAAAATCATGGCAGGATCCTATCCTGTCAGAGAAGCTTGAGAACCATCTTGGAACGGTCTACCCAGCGTTCAAGGACACAATGATAGACATCAAAGAGATAATGGACGAAATGCAGAAGATTTTCAACCCAGTGCGTACTTCCCCAAGCCAACCAAGCAAATACTGACGACCAACACGAAGCCTCCAGATTCTGTGGGGGCACTGAAACCCATCAAAGAATTCCTCCACAGGTCAAAAGGCGAAATAGGCGTCGAGAGATTGAATCGCAGACTCAGCGAACTGGAGACATTGAAAAACCAAAGTCAGAACCTGGCCGTGATCAGACAAGAGAAAGAAGCAAAGCTCGAAGTCGTTAAGCACCACACGTCAATGCTGAAAGGCAATATACCACACAAAGGTCAGACCGACGATGCATTGAAGACCTATCGCAAAGTTAGGAATTGCGCTCGCAGTCTATACAGTGCTTTATCCCGGGGATGGCATTGCGAGTGTGGCACCCCGCACCACGCCAATCTCCGCCTGGAGGCCCGCAGACCATCGCAAAGCATTGCTTCGGGCAATGTCGACGGCAACGGTAGTAAGGAAGACAAAGGAAGAAGTCAAGATATCAGATTCAAATTCATGTTTTCTTACGCGACCGAAGGGAAGGCGGAGGCAGAAAGAAACGTCCACCAGCACCCGCCACTTGATTGGCGGGAAGCCGAAATTGCGCCCTTGATCTACGACCCAGACTCTATCACCAACAGCCCTGCTGTTGGACAACGCTCGACATCGGATGGTGAATGCTCACATCAAGAGCGAGGTAGTCTGCCACAACACAAGCAGTAAGTACAGCATCATGTCTTTCAGCCGACTTCTTGTGGCTGCTTGTTACTGATTCTGGCGGCTAGCGACCATGAGCCTCCCAAATCACCCGAACGACCGCGGGTTCGAGCCACTAGGTTCGTGTTCCCAGAACCGAAGAAGGCGCCTCTGCCACAAAGACAAGCCAAAAAGCAGGACATCAACAAAGCAGAAGAGGTGGAAATCAAAGACCTCTGCAAATTGATAAAGAATATCCAGGAATCTCATCACGATGACGATGACGACAAATGTCACGGCGTTCTGGCTGATGAGCAAGACGCCTGCTAAGGTCTCTACAGCATGAACGCTAGGAAAGATGTCAAAGCTCCCGTGGCGTCCATCCATATCGGCGAGCCTTTGCAGCCTGCGCCAAATGTTGCGAGCAAGGGAGGTCGGATTAAGAGGCAGAAGCTGTTTCAAGGCATCCGATATGACGCAGCTTTCGCCCTGGCCTCGACAGTGTTGCAATTGCACTCTACAGAATGGCTCGACAATTGGGCCAAAGAGGATATTCTGTATCTGCCAACTGGTCAAATTCATGCTGGCTCGGCCCTCCCGCAACCCTACATCTCAAAGCGGTTTCTGTCAAGTAGGGTTCTTGATGCCACCAGCCCCGCGTCAGGATTGAAAAGCAACCCTCATATCTGGGTGGCCAATGAGACATTACTTACACTGTCCATTGTGCTCATCGAGTTAGCTTACAACAAGCCCATCGAAGCTCTGGCCGAGGAAAGTGAAGAAACCGCATACCCGATTGTGACGGCACAGCTAGTGGCCAAGCGCTTGTCAAAGGAGATCTTTATGGAGATGGGACAATTGTATCAACTTGCCGTAGCCTGGTGTCTGTCATGCGACCTCGGCTTCACACTCGCGTGTCCTAGCCTTCATAGCACCGAATTTGAGCAAAGCTTTCTAGAAAACGTTATTATCCCCCTACAGCGGTCAACAGACTTCTTTTTCTCCCCTGCTTACCAACCGAGATCGCGTGCGGAGCATGTCATCTAAATGTCAATCCCTGGAGCGATCTGGCACTCTACAATGCTCGGTCGTGCATCGTTCCAAAATAGACTAAAAGATGAGATTTTTTTTACAAACCTAGGGATAGCAATCGGGTCTGGCGTATAATATCTTGCAATCGCATCCATGTCAAGGAGGCCCTACGACTCGTCACTGAGCGACTATACAATACCTTTTCATTATGCAAGTCTTTCGGCCTGCCGGTGTAGTTCAGAACGATTTATTCATTAATCGTGACTCCACACAATTTTCACTATAGCCTCGTACAAGGCCAACTCAGCTCATAATCACGTAGCAGCACCATTCACGGTACTACCAGCACGACTGAAACTAGAGACTTGCACATTGAGGACACACATTCTGTTCTATCGATTCCAAAAAATGATTAGTCTGTCATAGTCCTTTTCCAAAACCTCGTCAATTGGCCGGACATCATCCTTTACAATTGAACGCCGCAACTCATATGCCCTCGACCAAGAAGCAGTGGCTTCTGATGCGTCCCCCTTTGCTGAAAGCAGCTGACCTCTTTTATATAGAGTTCGGGCAAGTTCATTTAGATGACACTTGCGAAATGAATACACTTGAAGTGCTTGATTGATCATGACTCTGATAACATTGTCAGCAGTGCTTTTCGACATTGGTCTCAATTTCGTACTCAGCCTCATCAAATTGTTCAAGTCTCTTATAGTGATCTGCCAAACGATAGCAAGCTGCTGCCGTGCGGGCGTGCCCTTCTCCCAAAGTTGCGCGGTATTGTGTCAGAGCTCGGGTGTGAAGTTTGAGGCTTTTGTCCATCTGGCCCTGGCTTGCATAGATGTTGCCCAAAGCATGTAAACATTTGCCCGTTCTTTATCCATGTTAGACCATATGATGCTTGTAGGGGTTTATTCCAGGGCAGCTTACACGAAGAATTGCGTGTCATCTACTCCGAACACATCTGCTCGTACTTTCAAATATTTCTCCAGCAACTTCTGTCCTTCTTCCAAGCGGCCAACTTCGCAGTAGATAAATCCTAGATTTGAGACTGGCCACAGTAGGGTAGTCTCTTCAAAGTCCGTCAATCTCTCCCTAATTTTCCAGCTCTTCCACAATCGATCAATTGCGTTCTCGTAGTCCTCATTGAACGCCAATGTAATCGCTACTTCCTGATGCATGATCGCAAGCTCAAGATCTTCGACCGCTTGACCATCATGAGCTTGGCGCTCAAGCAACATACCTTCCCATAATTTGAAATAATGTAGAGCACCTTTTGGATCGTTGATCTCGTTCGCAACTGTGCCTTGATTATTGTAGCATTCTCGGAGCAAGTCGGCGACAGCTTGTGTGTTCCTTTGCTCCGACGATTCACAGATTGTTTGGACTTCTGTGTAGAGTTCGCGGGATTCTTCCAAAAGGCCGCGTTCGAAAAGATACCTGTCTTTCATCAGCAATTGAGTCTCACCGTATCTGGACATCTATTTACCAGCCCGCATCATTCAGTAGTGCAGGGAAAGCAATGTTGTTTAAAGACTTTTGTCTGATAGATTCAATGCTGAAGGCAACCTTTTTCAAGTGTGCCACATGTGGGTACAGCATGGCACACTGGCTCCACCTAGCACGTGTGTGCCGATGGAGCAGACTCTGAAACGGCCACTCTGAATGTAGGATTTGTAATGCCGTTTCGAAGACTGTTGTCATTCGCATCTCGTCCATTTTCGCTAGAACCACTTCCTGCAATAAGCGGTGTAGCGCTAGGCTCTTCTCCTGTGTCTTTTCCTCATTGACTAAAGCGACCAGGGATGCACTCATGAGCTCTGCACGAGCACCATAGTAAGCGATCATGTCAGGGGGATATCCCTGAAGTTCGATCTTCCCAGAGTAGCGTATCAATAATGTCTCTGGAATGGAATCAGGATCAATCATAGAAAAGACTTGGAGCAATGTCTCGCCGCTATCCGAGAATTGCTGTAGAGACCACACAGTAGCTAAAGTATGCTGATAGGTTTTCCGATCTTCTTGTGGCCCAAGGTCATGGAGACGCCAATTCTCCTTTCGATACAGGTTGAGGAAATCAGCATAACTGACTCGCAAACGCCGAATGACGCTCGACATCTGCTCAATGGCAAGTGGTAGCCCATCTAGAATCTCTGCGATTTGCTTCAAGGATTTGCCGTTGTCGGAATCAAGCGTAGATTTCGTAAGAATGCGTATGAAAGCCATGGTATCTTCCAGGGACAGCTTGGAAACATCGATGCCATTGTTCTCAGTGTAGAAGTTTGTCTTGCCAATGGGATCGCGACTTGTCAACAGAACAGAGCCTCTCCCTGTCAGCGGCCAATATTCGTCTAACACGGATAACGAGTCGGCATTGTCAAAGACAAGAAGCCAAGATGCTTCGTTTTCCTGGTCATCGGAATTTCGGAAAGATTTCACAGGATTTGATAGCCAGCCCTTGACCCGTTCTCGGCTGATAGTCAGATCTTGGGTGTCGGTCATGTCCTCTAGACCCAACTGCTGAGCAATGCTTGCAAAGTTCACACCAAGTGTATTCTTGTCGTCGGCAGAAAGCCAGAAGATTGCGTCAAAACGTGTCTGGCGGGTAAAAATGTACTGCATCGCGATTTGTGTCTTCCCCAGTCCACCCATGCCGCATATCCCAAATGATCTCAATGCTAGCTTATTAGTATCCTGACCAGTTGTGGGAGGAAGTAGATACTTATCGATCAACTCTAGCTCTCCCGATCGACCGAAGAATCCTGGATTTCTTTCTATATTTTTCAGGGAGTAGCAAGGTAAGATGGGGTCTTTCCTGGCTGTCTCAAATTCTTCAGGCCGTTGCAAGACCTCAAAAGAGTCAGTCATTGATTTGGGCCTGGTGGCATTCATTTTCGTTTCCATTGATCCTGGCTCTACGCTATTCTCTACCATCTGGAAACTCTCGGTTGTCTTGGACATATTGACTGGGTCAGAAGTACTTTTACTTCTGAGAGACAGCTGATCAGGGTCGCGGGGACCGGTATCTACAATACGGTGAAGCATAAGAGTCATTTGTCTCGAATTTAAAAGCTTTCGAGGACACCACTTACAAGGCCTAAATCGCTCACCAATGTACCGTGGCGCCTCCGAGATGATCCTCCTCAGGAAGTCTTCGATTTTGCTATAAGGTTCGCTACCGATGCCAATCTTGCAAATATCGTCGTGGCTCTCGTCGATCTCCAGAAGCGCTTCGTTTTGACTCTTGACACAGCATGCTTCTCGCCCGACAGCCTGGACGAGGTATCAGCTTATGAAGAAGAAGGCCCATCGACGTGTTACACTGCCGTCATAAGACCTACGATATGCGAACGGCTTTTCAATACATTGGCAATTGACCTACGATCGGATGATTTCGTTTTTCGAGTCTCATATGCTGAAATGATAGGAATTTTGAGATTTACCAGCTCAAAGTCACGGCACAGTGTTTGCAAATCCTCTTGATCACTTTTTGCCACTTTGAACTTAAACCGCGATCTGGGTCTTGAATTCACGATATGGGGAAGTACTTCCTCCAATCCTGACATACCAGGTCCTATGTGGGGGGTACCCAGGAAGACGATTCCAGAAAGAACATCTATGGCTTCCCTATACTTGTAATGACGTTCTCGAGCATTACATATAGCCTATTCATTTCAGCCTAGCCTGAAGCTATCAAAAGGTCCTGAGTACTAACTTTTTTGACTATCAAGCCTCCGAGGCTATGACAAATGAATAACAAAGGTATACCTGGTGCCTTCAAGTTTTATTTGCTTAACTTGAGATAATCATGACATAGATAACTCCCGTTACCTACCGTCCATTGAAGGTCCACTAACATATGTAGAAGATCGTTGCCTTCGTCGAGAACTTTTTGCATAAAGGGCGTTGGTGACTCGATGATGGTATAGTTATATATCCATACTTGTGCTCTCGGACCGGTACTCGTCATCAAGGCTTGAATCCAAGAGCCTGTCGAGTCATTCCATGCCTCAGCAGGGGAGTCGCTACCCCAGGGACAACAACAATACTAGAAGGCGGACATGAGATACTGGCGATTTCATATCACACAACCAAGCATCATACTCTATGTCCCTGTCATCACCAACCACCCTGTCTCCTCGGTAGAGCTTGTACATGTTAAGAGGAAACCTGTTATCTGTGGAAAGCTATGGCTCTGGAATAATGCAACAGTCAACGGAGGTCATGATGAGATTCTTGGATTAATGCCATGCAATCGCAAAGACATTCAGATCCCTAGGAGCCGCCGCATCGTAGATCTAGCGAATCATGGAGGCAGGGACCGATGACTGGGAAGGACGCTGTAAGAGCCTCGTGTCAGAGTGGAGCGACCAATAAAATGTTAGCATGAACCTAGCGAGGTTACATGCAAGAATAGTTTGGTAGCCCCCACACGCTATGGATGGCGAAGGCGCACAAGCTATGGACAGTAGGGTGTTCCATCGTCGATCGAAGCGAAGATCCCTACTGCTTCTGAGACCGTACGTAATGCATGAACAACAAGCTCACATTCGTTGGGTTACCATTAATAGCAGAGCTCAGTAGAGCGCAAGATACCAGCAGAGCTTTCAATTCTATACGACCGGCTCATAGGACTAGATTTTTCCGAAGCAAGCATCGGAGGTGGATGCGGAGCCGATGGGACCATTTAAAGACGCCAGTCGCTCGCATTTTGCAGGATTCTAAGTCCTTCATTAAGTGTCATAAATGAGATTCTTTGGCACAAACGGTTTCTGAGAACATAAGTCTAGGAACAATCGCTCTTTGATTCTGGGGCCAAACTGACGACATGTTTCTACATTCTCAATTGGAGATGTCCAGGGGCCACTTAACTTGATAAGGGTGGGTGGAACACGGAAGGGCTAGAATGGAATACGATAGAGGCCCGACAGGGTTGTCGTTGGCCAGGCTGCGCGACAGCTTATCACGAGATATCTTCCCCTGGAAAACAAGATTAAGGGAGGAAGCCATGGGGGCCGACCGCTGGGCGCTTAGAACCCCATAAGCCCTAGCAAACAAGGGTAGTCCGGCGATGCTCGATCTCGAAGGGCCACCAGCGAGCCTCCTGACAGGCTCACACCGAAAATGGCCCCCAGGTCCTTCCCGAGCCCAAAGATTCCGCTTCGAAATCTTCAGCGAAACAGACATATGAGTCCTGCTAAGAAATACACCTCCCAACTAACAGAGACGGCGTGCGATGGCTTGAGCTTTCAAGTCCTACAGATTTAAACTGCTACTCCATACTCGAAGATTGTGTCTTGAGAAGCGACGTCAAGTTTGGGACCGACGACGATCAAGCGAGAGATTCATGGCCCGTCCACCACAAGAATCGAATGATTTCGTCCGCCCAAAGAACTCACGTCTCAGATCAGATTCGGCCGACGAGTCGGTTTGTAGGTCATCGCAACCTGCTGCGACATTGTTACCACTGACGCATTCAAATTCAGGGACAGAGGATGATTATGCCAAGGCCATCGACGATTTTTCTGCTTTAGATTCAGGTAGAGGCTATAACTTTAGGAATCTAGCCGAGTTTCTCGCTCCCAGGTATCCTCCTCTACCTAAGCTGGTGTCTCGCTCTCACGGTGATTTCATTGCCGTCTATGAGCTCTGTCAGCAGCCTTCTACTGGTTTGTGGTTTCAAAACACTCGCCAGCTTCATTCGTGCGACGACCTGCGCCATGGCAAGCTTTTTGGAAATTCCGAGACAACAAAGTACATAATCTTCTTGAAGGGGTTTCCTTCACCAGAGTGGCTTCGCTGCATCGGGTCCACGTACAACATAGATCCAGAGTATTTCCGACGTTTCCTGGAATTCGGACCCCCGATTCGATCTGCGAGAAGAACATCAGCGTTTGCACTGCGTTCATCTTCACCAAAGATGTTGACCCTCAATGTTACCACCGTACAGCTACTTGAGCCCAGCGCACGCCGGGACACAAGCTCAGAGCGTCAGCGAAATGCGAACAATGTGGGCATGGAACATTATATAATGAGCTTACTGCGAGGGGAGGCTGCCACAAGTGACCCGGTAGTTCGAGATTATTGGACTGTAGATGCGAAAAGTTTTGTTATAGAGCAACGAATATCCATCTACCTCCAGACAGACGAGGAACGGGGAGATGGTTGGAACTGTGAGTGTAGATTTCTCTTCGCCGTAATGAGTAAGGCTTATCGTATTAAAATTTAAGGCTGATGTAAGAAGTATTTATCTGGGTCGATGCAAGTGAAGATTTGTCTGAAAGCTTTAGTGGTCCTTGGATATTTGACGAAAACATGATGGGCACAAAGCGGCGACACGAAAGCCTTCGTACACAACCTATCATGAAATATAAACCTATGCTAGCACTCAAATCGCACAAGTTAGATGAAAGTCGTCCTGGTCCTGGATATGATCAGCCTACACGTCCTTCGAAGCAAAGTGCAAGCACTCTGCACATAGACTACGGGCGATCTTTGCGACCGAACCTGATGGCTTGCGATACGCTGTATGCTTTGAGAGAGGTCTTTGAGCTCGTCGCACAAGCAGAGCTACAATTTCTCTCATTCTGTGCCGGTATGCTCGACAAGTTCGAAGACACTCATTATTCTCAGGAGCCGGACTGCCTGCACAATCTCAAAGGTCTGAAACAGTTACTCTATAGACACCTACATCAAAATCAAGAGTCATGCACTTCCCTCGAGAATATGCAGTCTCCAAATTGGCCGCGAGCCTCCGATGCTAAAAATCAACAAAAGACGGAAGCCTCGACTCAATATCTTAAGGATGACTTTGCGTACCTCTTGAAGATGAACGAACAGCTATACAAGCACTGCACGGAGGCGATCGGAACCTTGATGAACGAAATCGTGATCGCTGAGTCAAGGGAGGCTATTAATCAGACAGCGCGCATGGCCAAGCTTACCTTTCTTGCTTTCATTTTTGTCCCATTATCATTCACAACGTCTTTCTTTGGAATGAATTTCCAGGAGCTTGGAGGTGGTCCAACCACGTTGAATATCTGGGTGTGGTTCTTAACGTCAGTGCCTTTGCTCGTAAGCGCTATTCTATTCTATTTGTTCGACGCTTCTCAGGTGTGGCGAAGCCTTAAAGCCAATGGACACAGAATTCAGCACAAGCTTATGAAACGATGATCTTCCCATTGTGCAGATGTCTACCCAACAACATATTTCCTGTCTGCCAGGCCGCTTGCGAATAACGCATCAAATGGTAGATGAAGTCGGAAAGGTGGCGCTCGAGAAGCATATATCCTCTGGCCTAATGACCGGGCGTGGAAATTATCATCGCTTTCCGGGGTTGCTGTGGCATCACAAACAATAAGCGATAGGAATGGCTTATGACATGTCAAGTCTACACACATCGTCGTGATCACTTGGAGCCTACTGGGCCGTATTTGGAGTGTAACCCCTGAGTTTGACCCAATACACGAATGTGTGAGGCATTAGGCATCTATTAAGTCATAATATACTGCGATACCTCTACGCAATTAAGGTTCCAACATTACGACAAAGAGCTGAAGCTCATTGTGTGCGCTCTACTGATAATCCTAGATGAAGAAACTTTCCTGAGTTAAGGCTTCATCGTATCATGTGTCGGGAAGGATGGGACACCTCTTTTAGGGAAAGAGGCTTCAAAAGCGCTCATAAATTGGAACATGAGATCTTCCCTTCCAGCCTGCGCAACAAGGCCTAGTCCGAAAGGTCGTCCGTTGTAATCTAAAATACCCAGGGGCATTGATGCAATTGGGACACCTATCGAGGTCAATACGATTAATCTCTGAAGACAAAATTCAAGGAACGCGAATGGAAGGACTGTAAGAACTTACCTGCAGCAGATGCCATGAGAAAGAAGAGACAATCTGCTGAAAATGCAAGCAGGTTAAGATCCTCTTCATGGAACAACCTGTTCAAGCCATGATCTCGTGCGATATGCTGAAAGTATGCCACATCTGATTCGTATCGTGCTCGACTTGGGCGTTCGTGCAATCCCTTCAAGAGCAAGTTTTGGTCGGGATGACCTTGTTGGATCAGATCAAATCACAAGACAGCCTAAGGACAATTTCCTGTACTAACCTGCTGGCAGTTCTTCGGCTGCATGCTTGATATTAAACTCTATGAGTTCTTCAAGGGAATGTACGTCGTCTACGTTGGCATGGCTCAGGTATTCTGATGTACCATTTCTCATTTCATAGACTGCAAGAAAGGACTTCAATTCGTGGCGATATCGCTCGAGGCTCAGTACCTACTTGTTGCAGTTGTTATAGTGTTGCGTCCGTTACGTTTGAGAGCAGATGTTGGAGGGAATGAGATGGGATACTCAACCGAAGCCGCTTCACGATCGCGAATCACCGAGACTGCATCGTCAATGGCGCTTATCTGAGTCGTGCTCGTAAGCGCGGCATACAATCAGCCCTTACGGACTCAACTCACGATCTGGTTGTCCACTTCCTCAATCTTTGGGACGAGTTCTCGTGGGTAGTGCCAGACACGCGGATCGAGAAATCCAATTCTGAGGCCGCTGAAAGTTTTCGAGAGGCAATGTACAAGCGCTCGAGGCTGTGAGGGCTCTTCCACGCTCGAATCCAGAAGACAATCAGTCACGGTGGCAAGATCAATAACTGATTTCGCCATTCCTCCAACCGCATCGAAGTAAACAGAGCTAGGCCAAATTCCTGACATATCCACACAGCCAGGAGTTGGTTTCAGAGTGTACAACGCAGCCCGAGTAGCTGGCGAAATAAGCGATCCTGTAGTATCTGTCCCCAAAGAAAGAGGAGAGTATCCAGCTGAGACTCCCACGGCAGAACCAGTCGAAGATCCGCATGGGTTCTAACGTATTGCTTAGCGATCCTGTTTCTTATTACACTGTGTAGTGGCATACAGTGTGTCCCATCCCTTTGTCTTCAGGATCAAGCGGTATGTAAGCCGAACGAGTCTGTCCACCGAAGGCAGACCAGCCGTTGGAAGCAGATTCCCCTCTAGAAGCTGGTAAGTCGGTCCCTATTCACAAGTTTCATGTTCTTACTTTGCACCACAGAGCTCCTGTCATACATGCGTCAGCCTGTTGTCTGCCATATTTAGCTATCGACCTATCTCTATCGTACATTGAGGTTGGTCTTTGCCAGGATTATAGCACCCATATCATGGAGCTTCGGTCGCAAAGAATCAGCAGACGAAATCGATGTGAGATTATGTAACCTCAGACCTTATCAACGACTTTGGATGTCTTTCGAGGAAATGAGTCTTTCAGCGCAAGGCTACCAACGCTGGTTTTGAGCCCATATCTTGGACTCGTTGCAATGCAGTCCTGGACGACTCAGTCATCGCTCTGATCTCTGTGCTGAAACCTGACCTTGACAAGTATAGGTATCCCGTGTAAGCTACTCTTCACATGACCTGACGCGCGATCATTGTCAAGTTGTTGGGCTCGCTCTCGAAGCTTGTCAAGTGGTGCAATTGCAGTAATTGCCCGCAACTGCACTCCATTTCGATCATGACTTTCGATCTGCGCGAGACACGAGTCCACGAGCTCAACGCTTGTAAGCGTTCTTGCTTCTAACCTCTTCTGCAAGGAATGGGCATCCAGAGTCAGCAGTTCTGTGATCGTCAGAGCTGTCTCCATTGTGTTATAGGGTAGGCGATCGGTACCGAGCGTGAGAAGTCTTTCAGTTCTTTGTACCCTCCATGAAGGCAGCCTTACTCGGCCTCATTAGCTGAAGTCAACTTGGGCAGACAGGCTCTGCCTGAATGCTAAACCCATCCGGCTTAGCGGAGTAGACCGGCGTCTGCATTAGCATGGGCTCGCTCCTACGCTTGTACTTTAGGCAGCAATAGAGTTCCCTTGAGATGAACTCTTGAGTATACTCAAGGCTTTTTTGAATTAGGGCAATTTCTAACCCTTCGGCTGGAAACAGATTCTTAGAATTTTAACCATGATACAATGCTTAATTAATTCAGAAATAGCTATACAATTAAAATCCCTAATTATAGATTATTGTATTCAAGTTCAATCGTTGTACTGCTCGAATGTGCGTTTTATTGAAAAGAGCCCTAAGTAGCGGGCCAAGGTTGGGCTCGGAGTAGCTCTCAAAAGTACGCACAAACTCCATGTTCACCTATTCGATCATTCAAATAGACTTATCAATCAAGTGTCCTTTAGCATCATTCCCACTACTATAAGGCACAAAGGGAATCCTCGAATATTGATAGCGTAGCAAGATCCTCAGACTTACAATCATATGTTTAATTATTGCGACGCCAAAATCGAAAAGTGCCCTATAAGGGCCCCGTATGGCGGGTAGGCAGGTTAACTCTTCTAGGGCCGACTTAGCAATGATATCGATTCTGCTGTTTGTAGAGAATCGTACTTTCTGCAAGATTTTCATACAACGAGTAGTTCTCTGAGCGTTTCTATATGTCTGAGGCTATCGGTCCCTGTACTTGATCTGTCCGTCGGTATGTCCTCCTAGCGCTGGCGTTGCTCAGAAGGCTGAACTACGGAGCAAGGCCGTGATAGTGTCCGTTTGGGCTGAAATGAAGATGCCCAGTTTGACCTGTTATCCTCATTATGATCACTTTCTTTCCCTTCTTCCTCATCATGAGCCATGGCGGAGCCCATCTCTATCATCGCTTCCGCCGTGACAGTGACCGGAGCAGCTATTACTGTTGCTGACACAGTACTATCCTTCATACTTCAACTGCAGAATGCCCCTCATGAGATCGCATTCCTCCAGAACGACGTCATCGATACACGGCTCATTCTGTCAAACATCAAAGACAACACTGGTGAGAATCAGTCTCTTGACCGACGGCTTGCTATTCCAGGTGCTACTGGTCCTTTTGGCAATCCTGAAATCATCTCCAACGTAGAGTATTCAATCAAGAGGATAGAGCGAATTCTACTACAAATCCAAGTCATTCTCCGGCACGTGACGAAGTCTCGAGGTCTTGGTAGGACTACCATTCATCACAGGCAATGGGTTTTGCATCGTTTGAAGATGAGATCACTCCGCCAGGAACTTCAAGAGCTGAAGACAAGTGTGGCTGTACATTTTTCTGCGAATAGCAGGTAAGGCAAGGCTATGTGACGCTTCACAAGGCACTGAGCAGCGTCGGCTAACCGCACAAGCACTCATGCCTATCGTAGTGTTGTACTACTAAAGAGAATTCTGCTGGAAAATGCGGAGACTGTACAGCGCCAAACAGAGCGAAGTGATGAGTTCAATGCAACCCTCCAAGGGCTCGTGCAACGACTGGCCGAATATGGCAGAATACCGGAGATACAGCGTCAGCTCGCTGCACTTGCGGAAAACCTGAACTCTTCAGTCGTCACTTTGGAGCAAAGGTCGAGACTTACCACCACGACAGTGACAAAGTCAGCTCCAGTGATCTCAATTCCATATGCCGCAAACAAAGGGAGTGAAAATTTGGACGCCGAGTTGCCTTGCGATTTCCCGCCTGCAACTACATCAACTACAGTATCGACAGAATCCGTTTCGAAACTGAAGCTCGAGTTCTCTCGATTCCAAAAGAGAGGCTGCGTTTCTGAGTGTGTTTGCACTTGCCACCAGAGAAAGAAATACAGATCGCCGTCTTTCGCGCAGAAAGTACTCGGTGAAATCTTCATAGGCTTTTCTAATCTTCCACTACTGTCTACTGGCTGTTCAGATACACGCTGCACCCAGAAGTCACCCTTTTCTGCGACATTAACTTACTACCTGCCGACATTGTTTCTGAGGAAGATGCTCTCCCTTGTCCTAATTACAACTTCCCAGGGTGATCCTGCGGCTTGCTTTAAAGTCCGACCAATCAGTTCAGACTTCTCCATATACAGAGCTGTTGAAGGCAATGACGTTCGAACGGTCCGAAAAATGATTGGCAGTCGTCAATCGCATGCAAGCGCTACTTTCAAGGGGTAAGTAACGCCGGATGCTGGACAAACATATTTGAGATCTGACATTTTTCTGAAGGGGTTGGACACCACTACATGTAAGTACATGTGTCTCCTTGAAAAGGCCTCTTGTCTGGTCTACAAGAGCTTTGACAGCTTAAAGTATGCAATAAATTACGGCCACACAGCAATATGTAAATCTTTGCTTGCGATAGGCGCTGATCCGTTGATTGAGGATGGTTGGAATCTATTGTATGCCAGGTCTCTACTGATCATAGTTTAACGCTCCTCACAATGTTTAGATCCCCACTTGAATTAGCATGGATCAAGATACTTGGCAAATCGTTCGAACATGAAACACAACAAGAAATGGAGCAGATCTTCAGCGACCGAGATTGTCTTGAGGAAATGGGTTTCTCAATCCTCCATCAAATCGTCCTAGGAATCAAAACCTCGTCTCTAGTCGATTACATCTCGAACAACCCAGGTTGCGTTAACAATACCGATTCTCATGGCAGGACTGCTCTTTCTTGGGCTGCCCAGCGAGGTATGTTAGAGACCGTCAAGTCTCTGCTTGAATTTGGCGCAAATCCAAACCTATGCACACCACGCGGACACAGTCCTCTCATGTACGCAGCGGAGGCACGGAACCCTGACTGCCTTCAACCACTTCTTGAGAAAGGAGCTGATGTTACGCAATGCGATGTTGAAGGTCAGACGCCATTGCACTATGCTGCAGGACACCGATCTGATTTGGCATACTATCGGCCATTGATGGAAGGAAATTCCGATCCAAACTGGGCAACCATCCCAGGCATGACGCCACTCACGACAGTCATACTTGAGGGTCACAACGATGCGATGGAGTATCTGGTAGAGAAGGGTGCGGACACCAACTTGAAAGGCCACGACGAGAGATCTCCGGCCTTCTACGCGGTCGAGTATAACAATGTTCCTGCATTGAAGTATTTGTTTGGCAAAGGTGCAAACTTCACAGGAGCAAGCCTTTCATACCCCAGCATCGCTCACGTGGCAGCCTACCATGCCAAAGTCGAAACTCTACGTGTCTTGACTGCCTTTCGATTGACCTTGAGAGACGTGGACTGTGTAGATAATGAAGGTTTGGCGATTCCACAAATCGTGGATAAACGGCTACGAGATGGCTTGAACGTAGAAGAAGATTTCGCTCACGCTTTCGGTAAGTTCTTGAAGAGTGTGGGGACAGAGGAAATGACAAAAAGTGACGATGATGAAGGAGAGGAAGATGAGTTTCATGATGCTGTGGAACAGATCGTCGCGTAAGATATCCACGATATGAAGGTAGGCTTTCCTTTCACAGAGCTTCTAGAAGACTCAAAACAAAATGCCGTTCGAGGGTTTCTTTCCATACCAGTTTGGGCATTGTCTCTTCACTTCGTACATCATATCCATTGTCTGGCCATTCTTGTACACGATAATCGACAGTACGATCTAAGCAGGTGATATTCGGATGAGAACATCGTAGGCCACTGTCAAAAGCTGGGAAAGCACCTTGAAAACCCACCGTCCGTGTTCCGTGACAAGCCGCTATAGTTTTTCGAAATTCGTTTAAGAGTCTTATCGCGGAGAAGTTGAGTAGCCCGAGGGTCGGTTTTTTTGAAGGTTGCCGCGCCAAATCCAATTTTAGGGGGCGTTTTAGGGACGGCTGCCTGGGAGAGCTGCCTGTAGGCTAGCTGTATAAGGCCAGCTTGACCCTAAGTTTGCGCCTCTAATTTGGCGCGGCAACCTTCAAAAAAACCGACCCTCGGCCCATGTTGTCGTAGGGTTATACTCTACGCCAAGCTAGGCTCTGGGTTGAAGTACGGTACCGACCGTCACACTAGGGGTGCCTTACCTTATTTATAGTGACGACTGGTGACGACCTCACGTCCAGATTATGTTCATCATATGTTCTTACCACTCCTCTTTTCAATAGCTCTCTGCACATATCGAGAACTGTTGGAGCAAGATGTTTTTCATCTCTGAGCCGACTCACCACACACCGGCTGGTGCCGGCTACATGATATACAGGACATATGAAGCAGATCGAATATTCGACATGGTCTACAAATACGATTTTATGAAATATCAGGATGCGGGTCGCGGACTGCAGCTTTTAGGGTCGCCGAAGGTGGTATATCGCGCCTTCTGTGTAAGCTGGGTAAGAGGACTCCAATCGATGAAGTCATTAGGCCAGAAACAAGGACCGAGACACAAAAGACCAATTCGATCATCAGTTCTCCGACCCTGACGGCAGAACTAGATAGACTTTAGCCAGTGACTTTGGTCCGGTTCTAGCAAAGTATAATATGCCAGTTGTGAACCCTCCGAGGCTCCTTAAACTTGTTCAAACAATACGAGATGGGTAGCGGTCTGGACTCTCATTGAAGTGCTCGCTATAACTAAGTCAAGGCTAAGAAAAGATCATGAACGCCTAGTGCTCTAATTTGCGAGTATACACGACAACAATCGTACACAAGTGATGGATTTCTGACTTCGTTTAGCTGCGGAGGGTCAAGATAATCAAACAGGGAAGGAGACCTACAAAAGCGCTTCCACTAGCGACGGACTTGTGGGGAAGTCAAACATTTCAAACCTTGCACGACACCATGATTCTCCATCTACAAAACAATTCGATGATGGGCAAATGAAAATCCGGATATCCTCGGCCCACCTGGCAGGTTTGGTTCCTGTGCGGATCGGGAGCGCCACTGATAGGACAGGGAGATTTTGATTTTGCAATCCAATCGATCTTTCATATTTCGATTGCTGAGAGGGGAAGCAGCAGGTGACAAGGGTGGAGCATGTGGACTTCTTCCCTAGACAGGTGAAATGACCGATCCCAAGTTTCCAACGAGCAGAGCTTATAAAGGGACGACATGCTGCAGCCATGCCTTCAACTTGCAGCTTCTCCCATCTGTATCTGATCCACTGCGAGTATGAAGCCTTCTATCCGCCAGACACTCCTCTTCCTTGCCACCTGTCTTGCTACCCTCCCTCCACTAACACATGCCGCCCCAGCGGTCTCTTTCGACACCGCCTCCTACTCCCCTTCCTTTATCATAAAACGCGATGTCGTAGTTCTCGGAGGTGGTGCATCCGGCACATACGCTGCCATCGCTCTCCGCGACCGCAAGAAAAGCGTCGCTGTGATTGAAAAACAGGATTACCTCGGCGGCCACACTAATACATATACTGACCCTGCTTCTGGCAAAAAAATCGATTATGGAGTCGTTCTATACGAAGACATAGACATTGTGAAGAAATTTTTCGCCCGTTTCGACATACCATTGACCGTCGCAAACTTCAGCTCACAGTTGACACCGTATCGTGTAGATTTCCGTACAGGAAAACAAGTCGCGGGCTATACACCTGCAGATCCTACTGCAGGTTTCGGCGCGTATGGGGCGCAGTTGGCCAAATATGCGTTCCTCAATGAGCCGGGGTATGACTTACCGAACCCTGTGCCTGACGATCTCCTGATCCCGTTCGGCGACTTCATTAAGAAGTACAAGATCGACTCTGCGGTGTTCACGATCAATGAGTACGCCCAAGGGTTCGGTAATCTATTGGAGATTCCGTCTTTGTATGTGCTGAGATATTTCGGGACAAGTACGTTGGCTGGATTCCAGGCCGGATTCTTGACCACAGCAAGAGGGAACAATGGCGAATTGTATGAGAAGGCCAGTAAGGAGTTGGGTGGTAAGTCTTCGTCTAAGTTGCTGCCTGAACGCATGCCTTGATTCTCTACCCGCGATTACTGATGACATGAAGGCGATGTCTTCCTCAGCAGCACCGTCATCGCCACTCTTCGCACCAACAACGGTGTCAAGCTCGTTATCCAGACACCACAAGGCCTAAAGCTAGTCATCGCCTCAAAACTCATAATATCAGCTCCACCACTCGTCTCAAACCTCGCCGGCTTCGATCTAAGCACCCAAGAGCGCTCCCTCTTCCAGCAATGGGTGACAGGCGCATACTACACGTCCCTAGTCTCCGACACCGGAATCCCCGACATCGACTCCATCACCAACGTCGGCGCTGACACGCCCTACAACTTACCGCCAGGTACATGCGCCCCTCTTCACAAACATCCATTCACAGAACCATCACTAATCTCTCACCCCACAGTCCCCGCCGCCTACAGCGTCAACCCAACCCTAATCCCCAACCTCAAAGACATCAAATTCGGCGCCAGCGCCCCCTCAACTCAGACGCCGCCGTCAAATCCGCCATCGTCGCTACCATCAACCGCATCAAAACCGCCAGCGGCATCCCCGGCACTACACCTTCCACCCCCAAATTCGTCGCTTTCAACAGCCACACGCCATACGAGTTGCGCGTGTCCAGCGATGCGATCAAAGGTGGGTTCTATGCGCAATTGAATGCGTTGCAAGGGGCGGGAGGGGCGAAAAGTACCTTTTATACGGGCGCGGCGTTTGCGAGGCATGGGTCGGGTGATGTGTGGGCGTTTACTGAAGGGATTGTTGCGGGGCTGTAGGGGCGGTATGAGATGAATTAGTAACTTGTTGAGTAGATAGATAACAAATTGATGTGCATGTTATTGTTGGGTGTGGGATTATGGTGTGAGCTTGTCCTTGGGTTCTGCTGTTAGATTTCGTTCGAGGACGTTCACCTCTGGAAGGAGTGGGGGGATGAGGACCGATGCTAGTCATGCAGATACGTGTGCTTGCGATGTGGTAGGGTGTGTTGATCTCGGCTGTGCTTCATGTCCGTCGGAGTTGCTAAGGAAGGAAGCTCGTGGGCGATCGGCGGGGAGAGAGGGGATCCGGTTATCACGAAAGTTTTGTTTGACAAACTACTGATGAGCATGCGGCCTATGGGGAACGTTAATATCATCTGTGCGCGCAATAGAAACTGGTGCCAAAGCATTGATGTAAGAAACTCGTCTGTGGCAACGCAACATTATCATACTCCACAAACTACTTCTCATCAGCACCTAGCACGATACGCCTGACTTCTCATTCTCATCCCTTTCCTTGCCACCCTCTTCCCACTTTGACCACATTGCCCTCTTCACCCCTGAACAGGCGTCATCAAGCCCGTCTTAATATCGAATACGAATCCGTACGCATTCTCCTTCAGCTTCGGCGGCACGAACGGATCGGCTTTCAGGACGTCCATGTCGTCGCGGACGCTTTGCGCGATACTAACTTTCGTCTTAGCTCATTGCTCAAATTGCTCGCCTGATGAAGGCAGTAGGGGCTGGTAGAGGCGTGACTTACTCAGTGATGCCATGGAAGTCCATACTGTCGACTTCGCCATGGAGATTGGGTGGTAGACGGGCTTTGAGACCGTCTTTGACGGAGGCGTCGGTGTACATAGATGCGCCGCAATCTGTTTGACGATTCAGATGATGCATGTTTGCATAGGGGATCTGTTATTTTTGAAGTGGAGAGGTGAAAGAGAGGGGCGAGAGAAGGCATACCAGTATGGTGAATGATCATCACCTCCTCAAACCCTTGAATTAAGTGGTCAAGAGCCAGCAGAGCAGAGATGACTGGCTTTACGTGCCCACATGGATTGCGGAAGGTGACGTATTCTATTTTTGGTGTCAGTCAATATTCTGCCCCGAGTCTTGAGGTACGTTTGATTGTGGACGCATTGGATAGTAGTCGGGGGACAAGGATGGAGTAAGAGGAGAGGAATAGTTGCCTACCGATGGGTTCAAGCTGCAGGAACTTCTCAGGTACGCAGCGGGGGTCTGCGCATGTGACTGGGCTGTCTCAGCATTGGCTTGGATATGGGAAGGTGGAGTATACATACTGATCAAGATCTTTGGAGGTGGTTTGCCTATGCCTGGTGCCTCTGCCATCGTGGGAAGGGCCACGTGCGTGGGGGCATAGTTTCTTGAAATGTTAGTGATGTAAAAAAGGAAGGAGAGGAGAAGAAGTGGTACTTGTTTCGTTGGACTAAGTCTCTGACAGTGGTGATAGGTTCCATGGTACTGGTTTTTTCACGATTTGAATCAATGGGGTAGCGTTTTTCAAAATGAACTTGGAAGACAATAGCAGAGCGCTGTAATGAAGGAATCAAAGAGTAAAAGTGGTAACCGGAGGCCATTTTATGTGTTTTGGACCTCGCAGGACAAGAACATTCATTATGAAGAGCTAGGTATCATTGTCAAGATGCTAGGATACCATTCTCCGTAAATGGTTAAGGGGCAAGATTCTTGTAGAATCATCTCAGCTCGAGGCTGGCAAGGGTACTGTATTCCGTAAAGGGAACGAAACTGTGACTAGACTTCTGTATTCCTAGAACGGCTTAGACTGAGCAGTGAGAGGAGTCGCATAAAGCCTGATTGTAAAGGTTGGTCGAGATGCTGGATGTTGTGGCCCCTATCTCGCCCCTGAGCTAAGCGATGGCTATCGTGATTGGCTGGGATTGCTGCTCTAACCGCTTCGGGAAGTCAGTACCCTTGTCCTTCGCGCTACGTCATCTTACCCTCTTCCGCCCTTGCACTGCAAATATGAGTGACTGTGGATGAACTGACCCTGTTATCGACGGCAGTAGACTGTAAGAGGTCGCTCGAAAGATGCTGCCTTGGAAAAGATTGGTGATGTGGAATGACTCATTCGTTCTTCGCGTCAGCATGACTGACTGAATATGTCATTTCGGCCTTCAAGTATGAAGCATTTTTTCACAGAGGTAGCCGAACCGGTGTCTTCACTCTTTAAACAACGCATTAGGCTGTTGGACTTTCCTTCTTGATACCCTATCGGTCCTTCTGCTGATGCCTAGACATTCTGGAGAGGCGTAGATTTTCGTCCATCTGGTACATATCCCACCAACACGCCGTAATGCCGTCTCAAAGGGCACAAACGTCTTTCTGCTTCATCAACTCCACGGAGCCTCTAGCCCCACAGAGCGATGACGTGCGTCGTATTGTCCGCCAGCGGGCAATGGCCAAAGCCGCCGTTACTAGACGGCAGAACGGCAATTGGGGCAAGGTCAATCTACTACAGTACCCTGTCAACAGCCACGACACGCACAGCCTGGAAAAGCAAGATGAACCACGTCATCACAGCAGATTTGTTGACAAGTCTTCGGGCCAGCATGTCAGCTCTACCGGGCAAAATGTAGCGAACATTGAAGCCGTTAGCGAACAGCCAAGCCCAGTCGACTGCACGGACACCATAGCTGAAAAGGGTGTTCTATCTCTGTTCAAGATTGCACCAAATATGTCTCCGACAGGTTACGAAGCCCTTAGACGCGAGCTCAATTTTGATATTCTAGACTTGTCCGCTCTAACAACTTACTACGTCAGTCGCATCACAGCACAGCAACTCGCCCGCCAGCCGTCTCAGCTGGTCCATGTCCTTCGCTGCCGCCAGTGGTCGTTCATCTCATATCTGCCAAGCAGATGGGGCAACACCCCATGCCTTGAAGCAGTAACAAAGTGTCTTGTAATTAGAGTTCGCGAGTTCCTACAGGGTTCTGGCCAGCCGCCATCGAAGTACGCACTTGCTCTGTTCGGGCGGGCAGTCTGTAGCGTACAGAGTGCTCTAGATGATCTGACGCTAGTCACAGATCCCGATGTGCTCTGTGCGGTACGGCTCCTGTCGCTATGGGAGGTAAGGATGCAATGCCTGCACAGACAACCAATGCTTCCACTATGAGGACAACTCGCTGACCAGAATATCGCAGTTGCTCTCAGAGTCTCAACCGGAAGCCTGGGATTATCACATGAGTGGTGCTAATGCACTTCTGAAGTTGCGAGGGCCGACAGCTTACACGACACCATTTGAGAAGGCGTTGCTGCTGGCCATGGTAGGGCCAATGGTAAGCTCGTTTTGCTCTCTCTTCTTGTACCCATCGTGTGAAAATGATTGTTCTGAGACTATCCCAGTTCACAGAGGCAATGATGCAAAACATTTTTACTTTCGTGGACGAAGAGCCCTGGCAACGAGCCATCCAAAACTGCATGATCAAAGGCACCGCCCTGTCTGACTGTAGCGAGCTTAGTATCTCGCTCTGGATCATCCTGTGTCCTATCCCACGCCTGATGCACGAGGTTCAGGAACTTGTCTGCCGATCTCAGCGGGATGAGCTTATCCCTAGCCATATTGTCTCGGCTTACATCCAATGCTCCCTCTCCATATTACAGAAATTACAGTCGTGGCGCCACAGCTACGATGAATTCATGCGCACTCTGGGTCGCAGCTCCGATACCGACCAAGTATCCTTCCTCGCCGTTCCAAATACTTCCACATACGAATGCGACAAATCATTTGAGCTTCTAGGCATTTGTCTCGGCTCTACGCTTATCATGCATCGACTACTCGTTACGCTTTCTCCCTCGCAACCCATTTCCTTTGCAACAGAGGCAGCGGCACAAACGGTTGCTTCAGAGATTGTAGAGCTAGAACAGCAGGCTTCGCAGAGCAGCCCGAGAGCGGCGTTGTTTATGGAGTTCAAAATGATCCTAGCGCGTAGCGTGATGGCTACCAAGGATTGGTACGATGTTGTGTCAACAGCTATCTCAGAGGAAGATAAGAAGAGAAGTCTGGAAGCCTCGACGGGAGACTGGAATGAAGCTCCCACAGTGAGGCTGATCGATAAGGAAGTATTTGAACACTGGTGCAGACATAAAGGGAGGAAGGTTGCGAGTAATGGACTCGAAGTATAGTGGTTGATACTTCTCGGCTCACATTAGTCTCGTCTCAGCTATATGCAGGGTCCTCTCAGCCTGATGCAGAAGGACCCTGTTGCCTAAATGCCGTTACTTGAACTTCAGCGTTTCCTTGTAAGCTTTGCACCATTGTCGCTCACTACCCGTCGTCAAAGCTTCTAAAACTCCGTTAGATCATCGCCACTACTTGGCTTCAGGACAGCAAAGCTCTCTTCTTGTCCTCCGCTACATACCCATACTAGTCAAAAGCGGATGCGCACAAAAACGGCGAGACCGACCATTTACCGAAAAGAGGATCAAAAACGACCCTGGACACACCATGTTAGATTGTCAACAGAGGCCAGCAGATCCAACCGACGGTAATTCGGACATGAATACTAACCAAGCCCAATTTGAAACGTACAAAGACTTTCTTCGCGCCCATATTGGCGTATTTCCTGAATATCGGGATTTGTACTTTTATTTGGAAGATCATCGTAACAATTGGGATGTATTGGACCATAACGGGACGCGGTTAGTTATTTCTGACCTTGTAGGTCAATCTTTCAAGACGAGAACGTATGATCCGGGAGATGGTACTCCAGAGGTTACGCTTAAGAGAGAATTGAAGACCCATGATGAAAATGTTAAGCTTCGAGTCCTCCATGTCGTATCTTTTGAAAGAATGCCGTTCCAGTTAGTGGAAGCGCTTGGGATGACATTCGATCTGGAACCTTCATTCTTACGAGGCTTAATTGGACCGAGGGCCAGCTCCGAAGAAGATACTGAGCATCCCGCAATTTACAGGAAAAGTCGACTCCCGCCTGGCATCCCAATGAAGTCTGAGGATTACCTTATCATGGAACCCTACTTTCTGAGTCTGGTATTCAACAACAGAGGAGGGATCAATCACAGTATACCTATTGGTATTCTTGAATGTGTCATAGCATCTGCTTGTTTGCTAATGTGTATGCAGTCCTCATATTCGTCTCCAATGAGCTTAGATCCCGTCCCAGTCATGGTATTGAGACCTATGGACGTCCCTCAATCTTCAGGACAGCCCATCAGAATTCAAAGTTCTCCAGCGCATTATATAATGCTTTAACTCCATCCAATTTCGCCAAGATTTGTGCTCAGACGCTGCAGTCCTTACCACGCAAAGACCTCCATACCCTGGAGCACCAAGCACTAGAATGTCTCCGACCAGTGATCTCGATCTCTCTCGAACTGATATCAGACCGAATAGAGGTATTGAGATTTCTTCATCAGGATAGATCGAGCGGTGAAGAAAGCCAGACAAGCGCAATGCTACAACACCACGCAGAAGCGGTCCATATTTTAGAGAATCTACGCTTATTCATCAGAGATTTCGAAAATGGTCACAGCGATCGAGAACAGACCGCAGATATGTCAGACATAATCAATTGCTGCAAACGCACGCTAGACGACGGTTACCATATATCCAGTATCGTTCAAGAGCGAATACAAATTGAGAATGGAATTCTTGCGATCCGGGAGTCACAAAAGTCAATCGAAGAAGCTCAGTCTGTCAAGCGACTGACGCAGCTTGCCTTTGTATATATACCACTCACTTATTCAGCAACGCTCTTCGGCATGAATGTCAAACAAATGAATGAGTCTGGTCCGACATTTTGGATCTTCGCTCTCACCTCGATCTGCTTCGTCCTCGTCACTCTCGCTGTGTGGAGTTCCACGAAAATCATTAAAGGCTTTAGGTTGTGACATCGAGACAATGGAGTTTATGATCTCCTATGGAAGATTGCCGACGCTCTGTTGATCATTCTTAATTGGATTGGCTCGATACGCAATTTCTTCTGCAAAGTTGAGTAGGATTGTGTTTGATGAGCGCATGCAATGACGATGAGTATAGCAGACTGTGACAGATGATAACTACTCAAAGTCGTGGCTCCCTCGTGAATGAAGCTCTACAAATGGGCTCGACGGAAAAGCGGAGGAACAGCAAAACAATCTCACAATCGAAGAGGATGGTCGACACGGCACGCATGATTGCAAGTGAGACGATGGGTCCATTGTGTGAACCATACAGCAATATATTAAGGGGGAAAGAGATTGTGTTAATGCTTTGTATAATCGCCGGAGGATCTGACGTGGCTGACCACTGCCGAGCTTATACTTTCGCGTCCTTGCATCAGTCACCAAGGGAAGTGATGGGTCACTTCTCAATCCGACTGGTCAGGGCTACCGCCAAATTCTACCTACTTTGATGCCGTGTTCTGGACCTTGGTCTACAGCTGTTTGGAGGTGTGGCGTCCTTTGCCCAGAGCTGAGAGTCCCATAGCGAGATTGCGTTTTGGCCGCATCGGGACCACCCGACCTCAGGACGGGATTAACTACACCAGGACTGGCTAGTGCTATATTCATTCAAAATTAGGGCGCGAGAAGCAGGAATGGAAAATGAAATTAGCACAACACTGACAAGACAGGATCTATAATACCCGCGCTGCAACGCAGATCTGAAGCCATGAGATCCAACGCTTATGTTTGAGATGTATGCTGGCGCAGCCAAGATCATTGTTGTCGCAACTGTTTTCTTGCACTCATATACCGTCCATGCCATACCTCACTTTCAAAGGCTCCGACGGGAAAATGGGGCTTCCTCGGGTGTGGGGACCGCTTTTGGTAGCAGTGCGTCTGCCTCAGTGTTCCCATATTACAACAGCACACTGGCTCAGAATGGTACCCAACTTGTAACAGCAACAACGGGGCCAGCCACTACTTCCACAGCGTATCAAGGGGCGCAATCAACTCCATCTAGTAACCAAAAAGCTCAAAATCAGCAGTCGCGCGGCGTTTTGTTCCCTGCGGTGCATTGGAGTCAGCCAGTGCAGGACTTGAAGAACCTGGAGCCAAGCCAGCAGCAAACTTTCTACTATACACCTGGTGGTGCATGCAGTATGATATGCATTGGATACTACTTCTAGCAATGCTGACCCCTCGCACCCAGGTCACAATGAAGAACATACCTTTGCTCAGGTCTCGACCAATACCTCTCATCCCTCGGTAGTTTGCTCACATTCCGAACGTATACAAGTGTCCAGCTGCCATGATAAGAATATTGTTGTCAGCTGTAGCGATCAGGATACAGTTGATCGCATTGTTTCGACCTGGCCGACAGATTCGCCCTTCATATTCATTACTTTCGAGGACGGATGTGGCAAATCTAGTGATCAGCATACTTTCTGGCTTGCTAAGGGTGTTGAAGTTGACTATGAGGCAAAGTCGATCAGTGTCACTGTAGTGCAGGAACTCTCGATCGCGGAAGCAATGCCAGAAGTCGAGGTTAGCTGGGGTATCTACTCACCTAGTCAAGGTGGCACCCCAAAGACAAATCCGCCAACTCCGCCGTATCCTGTAAATGGCAATCATACATCTGGATTCAATAGCACCTCTGGTCTCAACGATACCGCTTCTGGCTCTGCAAACAGCAGCTGTGGTGCACCACCCTCTCTTATGATTGACGGTTTCTACACGGCAACTTGTGGCTCTCCTACTTTCGATGCAGATATTGATGCAGAGATTGGCTTCCTGGAATTTGATAGTAACGACTACAGCAGTAGTCTCGAGAACTTTGCACCGAACACTGATGACGATTATAGTCAATCTGATAATGCTGATCAGGGGTTTAACGTCGAACAGTCGCGCAGAATGGTTAGGTTACGCCGTCGCGGTTGGCTTGACGGTGCCAAGAATGTAAGTGCTTCTCGGGTTCAAGCCAATCAAAGCTGACATTTCAATCTTCTTCAGCTGTGGAACAAAGGGAAACAATTTGTCAGTAACTTGGGAGCAGCAGCTGTAGATCTAGGCAAACAGGCAATACAAGGCATTTCTGATGCTTTGACTATTGCTCCTACGGCATCAGCTAACTTGCCTATCAATGTTGCACTTTCAAATCTCGTTGATTCGCCGTGGGGCCCAGCGAAGCAACTCTTTAAGAAAGAGAAAGATTCCAAAGGCGGGGCGGTCAGCGGTAGTGTCACATTATACTGCGTTGACTGCGGCGTCCAAGGGACTGTCCTGGTATTAGGGCGGCTTAGATACAGTATCCTTGCTGGTTTAACTCAAGCCGAAGCCAGTCTGAATGGCAACATTGCCGCCGGGTTGCAGATTGGCATTGATGCTGAGGCGGAATTCAAGCAGGAGTATCGATATCCGCTGTATTCGCAAGGAATCCCAGTCCCGCCGCTTTCCGTATCTGGAATCTACTCAATTGGTCCTGTCGTCACGCTGGATGCCGAGATTGATATTGGAGTCACTCTGGCTGGTCAAGTGCTAGCAGGAGCGAAAGTGACCATACCAAATTTCGCTGCGAACCTCGATCTTGTGGACAACTCAAAGTCATCAACCTCGGGATTCACTCCACAGGTAGAGAAAGTCTTCCAAGCGAAAGGTACTATTACAGCAACTGCGGGTATAGGTCTTCCTATTGGTGTCGGACTGGGCATTGATATTCCTGCAATAAAATTCCGCAAGACTGCCGCAGTATATGAGAAGCCAAGTATCGAAGCAACAGCAAAGTATTTGGGGAGTACTACAGGCGAGGGGATTGGCGGAGACACTACATGTGTAAATGGCGTGAGCTATCAGATATCATGTATGCACCTCCTCTCCCTTCCTCCCTTCCAACCCCTCACCGGGCTGAAAGAGCTGACAAAGAGGACTTTCAGTCAAGAATAATCTATACGCCGACTTCTTTGGTCTCAAGAAAATTGACATTGACCAACGAACAGTCCCACTTACGGGAGATTGCATCCCGTACGTTCCATATCTTCATCTGGCGATGCTCCGCTAACGAACAATAGGGTCGGAGCCCCTACTAATACTGGTGGCACGGATCAACCACCAGCAGATCCCGCTTCCCCAGCGCCGAACGACCCCGAGACTCCCGCTGACAACCCTGACCCGACCCCTCCAGAAACCGGAGATGTAGGAGGCAACACCAAGCGAGCTATCACCAAGCGCGGTGATGAGCCATTCGACTTCGTAGACGGCGACGACGACGACTTACCCGCAGACAACGAACCCTTCGACTCGCTCAGCGACCTCGCCCTCAACGAAGCAGACCAAGATCTCACAACCACAGGCAACACCACGAACGAGATCCCAGACGAGACCTATGTCTACATCAACGACGCCTCCGCCACCTACGGTCTCGAAATCGACCCTCTAAACGGCAACATCTACCTCACGTCCGGCAACGGCGGCTCCCTCTTCGCAGCAACCTCCGGCTACGCCATCGGTGACGCAGAAGGCCGCTTCCTACATTATTACCCTGATCTCATGCAGAAATACGGCGTCTCGCGTTTCCGCGTCTCGAGCGAGATTGCGATCCCGAAAGATGCGGACTTTGTGGGGCTGGTGCCGATTCCGCTTGATGATAATAAGCCGGGTGATATTTACGCTGCGCTTGATACGAGTGGGAATGCTTTCTTGACCATTACGTGCGATTTTGAGGGGGAGGGGCAGAATAGTAAGGTTTTCCTAGCGAAGGATGCGGAAAAGGGAATTGAGAGGTTGAAGAATAGGGGGTTGAGATATACGGTTACGGGAGGGCTGGTGAAGGATTGTTATTATTTGCCGTTTGTTGCGCCTTCGTAGCCTGTGGGGGGACGGTGAGTGTCATGGTATATGAGTCCATGAACATAATGATCCAAGATGACGAATAGCTTTACCGTGCAGGTCTTCCCTCATATTGGGCAATTCCATGCCTAGCCTCACTTCCTCTCTCCACCCCTTCCCATTCCAACCCCCTCCATCACCGCTCCCCTTCCATCGCCTCGACACCAACCCACCTCGCCCCTCCCGGCCACCTTCTAGCAAAATTCTACCCATCAAAAAACCCATACTTATCCCTCCACTCACCCACAAAAGCCACCACAACCCCCACACCCAATGTAATGCAAAAGACACTCACAGCAAGCTTCTCATACCACCTAAACGGCTTCGCTCGTTCCGGCGGCTCCGGGCCCCCCGCTTTCGCCTGCGAATTCTCCTCCTTATCCCCCTTCACCAACTGCGTCGCCTCGTCCGCGGATGTCAAACACGTAGCAGCGAACCAACTCGCCACCGTCGAGTTTTCCTTAGTGGAGCAAGTAGACGTGCACCCGAACAACGAGCCGTGCGAGCAGAAACAATTCCTGGATTCGGAGGTGCAGCCATAAGAGATCGTTTGGTCTCGAATACAACCCTTCGCACAAGCTGGCACCACTACCGTTTTAGAATTGGATTGGAAGCTGTATTTGATGGAGTGCTCGACGTCGGGGCAGGTCGCGTTGAACCAGTTTTCCATCCGTATCACGTCTTCCCAGGCGCAAGGGTGGAAGGCGCATTCGAGCGGCTTGGCGAGGTTGCAGTAGCAGGATTTGGGGAAGGTGGAGCAGCCGGTTCCTTTGCCGGAGGGGCAGGGGGCGGGGATGCTGGGGCAGGGGAGCGGGGTGTAGTGGGAGGCGGGGTAGATGCATTCAGTTAGGACGCAGGTGGGGACGGAAGCGAAGTCGATGGTTGGTGTTGGGTCGTCTCGTGGGTGGAGAGTATGGGGGTGTTGATGTTGGAGGAGGTTAGCTCTGATTGTTGTGGGAGGTGGGATCTGAGCTGTTGATGTGTAGTCCCGCTCGGGAACGCCGAGAGCGCCTGCAACGACGACGATGACGATGATGCGGTAGGCGATGAGTAGCTGGCAACCTCTGGAAGGCATTATGATCCTGAAATAGAAGCTGTAGTGACTTGGACGAGCGGAGAGACAGAGACAGAATCCTATGCTGAAGAGGACATGGAAATAGGTGCCCTTGAGTGACAGCTAAACGGTCCGCCGATAATATAGGGCATAGAACAGCTTGGTAGGTACATCAATGCTGTTAGCGCCCATGATGATCGCCGATGCAGCAGTAGCTAGAGACTAACGAAATGACAGCTATCGGCTAGTCTTAGCAGTTCATGCAGCTGCATGTGTCAGCTGAAAGGCTGCCAAATCGGAGTGGAATCGCCCTCGAAGGTGACCCCAGGCCGCCCAGAAGTGGTTTAGATCGACAGCGCAGTGATCCGTTCTGGTCAACTGTGACTCGCCTTGATGATCTGATTCGCTGCCACCAAACAGCCACACAGTTGTCGTATGATATGACTGCATATAATGGGGTGTATCACCGTTGGCGAATCGGGGAGTCGAGACCCAGCATGCTACTCGGTGAGGCTCTGCTTGGACTCAAACCAAGCCTTCGGTGAGACCCAAACAGAGTAGGCCACGAAAGGACCTACAGGAGGTCCGGTCATTAGTATAAGCCTTTTGAGCAAAGCTAATTCCCCATCTTCGAAATTGGATCGAAATTGCCCTGCCCATACCACACATTTGAAGATCGCACGAAGAGCAGGCTCTACGAGAATGCTGCTATACAGCATTCAGTATGCTGCAATCACACATCAGATTCTCCTCATAGCCACATTCTTCCTCCTTTTTGCCTCTGTCAGCACGGGCACTTCAATGGAATGGGGCGTCTGCTGTATGAAAGCCGTCCGGGAGCAATTCGACGATGCTAATCCCTTATTGCCATGGGGCGCTTGTGGAGTCAATCCAGCCTTTGACTTCGAGAAGGCTGACTCGCCTAGCCCATCAGTCAACGCGTCATTGGGATGGTGCAAGGAACACTGTCCTGGCTACCAAGCCAGTACCGCTAAACAATGGCTTCAGCCTTTGGCCACTTGGGTCATACCAGCCCTGACCCTCCTCATTCTATGCTCGGTGGGAGAAGACGGAAGAAGTAAGGACCAGAAATGGCCCTTTTATAGCCTATGCTACCAGATAAAGGAGTATATTGCCCTCCTCGGTGATCCGTCTAGCGCCATTTGTGGGGCGTTCGCAGAGCTTTGGATGGATGCTTTAATGGTACGAGACTTAACAAAGGCGGACACAACGTCCGCGCGAGTTGTACTAGGCGTCGCCATGATAGCTAATCAAACCGAGATGTTCACCCGGGATCCGGCCCTTATATTCAGACCTCAGTTGGAGGAAGAGAAGCAAGATCTGGTCGAGGTCTCCAAATCAATCCCACAAAAAGAAGGATCAGTCTTACGAGAGAGAGCATCACACTCTGAAAGCCCAGCTGGCAAAGAAGAGCTACTTGACAGCGCTCAAACCCCCCTTGATAATCCTACATTCATCGCCAGCCTTGAAACGGGCATCAAAACCCTTTTAAAGGCAAGGGCGGATTTTATCAACGGCGTGGGCGTGCCCGTTGTGCTGTTACTTGTTACCACCGGTTCCACCTTTCACGATGCATATCTTCAGCTCGGTGAAAATGACTCTGCACATGGCCTTGCATATGGGATCTGGTATTCTTGGCTGATCATACTTGCAGTACTCAGCAACTCCTACATTGCAAGTGTGAATCCTGGCGTAGCGAATGACGCCATTGGAAAATTGGTGGACTTGCATCCTCGAACAGTTCCTCTCCGAGAAAGAGTAAGGACTTCCTACGATTGGAAGCGGTGGGCAGACGCAACTGTGAATCAGTCATCGTCCCTCAATTACACACACCGTCCTGCCTACTTCTACCTCGTGTACCTTCTCGGGCAAACGCTCGCATGGGCTATGGTAGCCTTTGTCTGCTCCTGTGCGGCCGCTATCTCATATAGCACGCCTACCATTGGGATTGGATGCAGGTCCTTCACTTTCATGCTGTACGGTGCGCTATCGTTCGTCCTCGCTTGGCTTATGGTACTTCGAACCTGGATCGCGTCGCGGCCTACGCAGGGTCGTACACAAAAGCCACTGACGGCGAAGGTTCTGCAATACGTATATGCAACCACAACAATCGTGAATGCCTTCGTGCTCGTCTTCAGTACAATCGCTCAATTAGTCGGCCTATTCCGAAGTTGTCTTTGTACTCACTTTGGATCTTTGTCTGATCCGATAGAGCTGAGTACGGGTACTGAGCTGAGTATCCATAAAGCCAAGGTAACTTGGCTCCCGGTAGGCTTTGTGGCATATACAGGCGTCTGGATTGTCTGCGTAATCGCGGTGGGTTTCCGGATGTTCAACAATTATCGCACGGAGAAGCTCATGGGGTGACACAATGCTCTTGAATCACGTATAAGGATGTTCCTAGGTCCTGTTCGCGGTCATGGGAAGCGATAATTAGTTAAGACATCATGTGTTAGCAGTCCGAGTCTAGAATCAGACAGTTCAGTGAGACTTGTCGGTGCAGATCCCTCTGTTTGCTCTCTCTTGTCCATCAAACTAGCACAACATTCTCATCAACCTTCCTCTGGTCCTTGCATGATATCTTTGACGTCGTTGTAGCCGATCTGGCATTGTCGAACGCTTCTTCTTGCGCTGTAGAAAGAATAGGTCGCTCCATTGAAAATCCATGTGCGAGCTGTGCAAAAAAGATTTTTTCTGGACGTGTGTATCCCAGTTGCAGAAGAAATATGGTGATATCTGCTGAGGGTAATGTGTATGATGTTCAATTTTGGCAAGCGGCCATAGGCGAGCTTGTACTTTTCGAAAATTACGAATGAGCTTCTCAATGTCCACAGCTAGATGTAAATTTATTGTCAAAACATGCATTGAGTGTGAATTCGCCAAGAATTATGTCTCCTGCTCTTTGTGAAATCTTCGCTTCGAAAGGGCCTCGCCCGCGTACTAACTTTTGAAGGCCACAGCAGACCCCACTTTCCTGTTAGGCCTAGCAAAAGACACGGCAAAGTAGTCAATAGCTATGTCAAAGTCCCACTTCGATAATCTAGCAATGTGATCAAAACAAGCAGGCGAAGGGTTGGCTCCAAGTCGGCACCTACACAAGAGCCGACCTTGAATAGCAGCAAGCATTTCAGATCCTGGGCTCAGCACTTTGACGATATCTATATTGGCACGCCTGAATGTTTTGGCAAAGAGCGCCCCAAGCTTTCCTCATTGAGCAAGGTCAGACTCAAAGTGTGAAGTTCTAAGAAAGCAAATACCTGCCGTACAGGCTTCTTATTTGCACAGGTGAGGCTCGAAGCTCCCTCGCGATATATGCAGCGCACTTTGAACAATGAGCCCACCAAGACCATGCGCAACGAAGATCATGCTTAGAGCTTCTGTGTGCGTACGTTCTCTCAGACGGACCAAATTCCCCAGCATGTTTTCCGCGAGACTGCTGATTCGATTCTGGGACACGGGGTTCCAGAGACTCACTACATCCGCATCATATCCGAATGTTGATATATGGGCATCTGCAATATCCTGACGAAGGAGTCGCGAAGGCCAGCGAAACCATCCTTCTCCATTGCCCAGGTAGAATCGGCACTACCGGTCAAGCCATGTACGAAGACAATGTCCCGCGATCATGTTTCGAGGAGGAACTGGGCTATGACGAGGTCTGCTTGTACCTGAGACATGATGCCTACTTGACCTTTGGACCTAGGTTTTCCCGGTAGTCATCGAATAGGTTGACGAGGTTGAAACTCAAGCCTTCGACAGAGCTTCCGAGCCATCCCTAATGAAGTAAAGGTTAGGATGAAATCTTTAGGCTAAGCAAGTAATCACGAATCGGTGATAAGAGTCTGCCATTTAAATGCGAGAGAGTGAAGCGGCGCTAGATCTGACAAGAACCGTACAACGGAAGGGCAGCGTGGTAAGGAACTACAGCCCTTGCAGAAGTCCTAATGCAATGCCTCGACTGCTTCCACTCCGAAGGCTTCTGTGTGATCGTCGAGTCTGAGCTAGCAGTCCAGAATCGAACTGAATTTAAACAGGCATGGCAAATTAAACAAAACCTTCAGAGCCAGATAGGTCAAATTAGCTTCGTCGTCTGTTTCCACATTGTCGTTGATTTCCCAGACATCCACGAGGGCTTTTCTGAGGCATCGGCTGCTTTTCATGGAGCCTTAGCCGATTGAAAAGGGGTCGGATCCTTTCTGCCACTGACATATGGATTATAGCAGCTGGCTCCGCGAGCCACTGGGTGACTACGTGGAGACTCATGATGATGATTTCAACCAGGAAAATTCTTTTCTTGGCTTCAAACGAGCCCTAAAGAAATGGGGCATCGTGCAAGACCATCTGTGTCGTCCTGACGCAATCGACAGCTTCCGGAGTGGCTTATCCCTATCCCAATTGCATTCTTATCGGTTGCTCCACGAATGGTGGAGTGGCCGAATTCAAAGCCCGGCGCTCTCGCAAGCTGCTCAACGAGCTATTCAAGAAGCAGCTTCTGAACAAAACGCCGAGAGCGGATATGAGAGCGTTGATCGGGAGCTCGCTCGTCTCTCTGAATCGACATATCACAAAAACTTGTTTATGCTATTCCAACTCGAATTTGTGCATGAATTTCGGCAGTTGCATGAGGACAACTTTCAGGCGTTCTGTGGCTTCGTGCAAGAGCAGCGTCAACTCTGTGCAAGTGACGCTGCTATTCAAAGGGTCGCGTGGTCTTTCGCAAATATTCCTGCTGATACTTATTCGCAACAAAATCAGCATTCAGACAACGATCAAGTATACATTCTAGGAGATCTTGTGGTATCCAAGCTCGATGTGATCCCCGCTTGTATCGAAGCGTGCCCTTGGCTGCAGATTCGCAAGGCACGAGGAGGATTTCCATATTATCTCTGGGACGTGGCGCTGCAGAAGACAGTCAAGACCGACTCGCTGCAATCCCCGCCTCAATATATCTGCGTGAGCCATACGTGGGGACGATGGCGCATAGAAGGAGAAGAGAATCCATCGTTGACAATTGAGGGTGTTCCATGGCTGGTTCCTCAAAACACAAAATTTAAAGTGCAGGGAATCCCAAATTTGCTCCTTCAAATCTTCCGCTCTGGATATGTGTGGATTGATCTCTTTTGTATTCCGCAAGACCGTTCTGAACGCGCACTTCTTGAAATCGCGCGACAAGCCGCTATCTTTGGCAATGCAGAATTCGCTGTCGCCTGGTTGAACGACGCTATCGATTGGAGATGTCTGAGGAGTGCGACAAAATGGTTCAGCCAGTCGTATCTCCGGAAGCAGTCTTTGGCGCAATGTTCGGAAGATCAGGCCACCATAGAACTCAACAACGATGATCAGGCATCTTTAGAAGAGCTGAATGAGTTGTTACTCGACACTTCGCAAGAGGTAGCATCAGATCCAGGTGATGATGAAAAGACATCAGTTGTGCCTTGGTTCACCAGCTTGTGGACCCTCCAGGAGGTATGCCTCCGGCCTGACATGATCGTCTGCGACCGTTATTTTCAGCCGTTGCGGGCTGGACCTGATGTTGTGATCACTTTGGACTACTTGGTGGCCATGGCATCACGTCATAATTCAGATCAGGCTGAGGAGACATTACCTTCCGGAGAAAATGAACTTCGCGTTGACAAGACACTCGAAAGATCATTGTACGTGGACAAACATAGTGCAGAGGGAGAAGTAGGTACTGCTGATACCTCTAGCGCTGCCGCCTTTGATGATCTTGACACTCTTCTCACGATGACGTCTATTAACAGTATCCACTGGACCTCACCAGCTGCGGTATTTACGTCAGGGCAGCTCAGACAGTGTAGCCAGAGCCGTGCTGAGGCAATCATGTCTGTCGTCGGAGCGACAGCTTGGTATAAAGATTATCTATCGAAGCACAAAAAGGCGCCCCCAGAGGACAATTTGGTGCTCGGGTTCTATCCAGCCGTTTTCTTACAGGAGGCGTCACAAACGATTGGGCCAACATTCTTCACTGCTATAGCATGCGATATGCGCTTTGCTCAAGGGGCTGTTTCAATAGCCAACGATGAATGGAATGTTGTAGGCGATCGGAAGCCCGTCGGCTCAATGCTGCCATTTACTTCCAGCGAGACGTATATAGTTCCACCACACAGGATCGGCTTCAGTATTTATGCCCATCCTGTAGTCAAGACGTGGAACGTTCAAGACGATGGTAGCGTGTGCATCAAGCAAGCTGCAATCTTGACAGCCGCGTGTTTCAAGAACGCAGGAGGCCATGAATACAACCCTTTGAAGAAGGACATTCTCTGGGCTCCATTACCGGGTCAAGAAGATGTAATGACGCTCGACAGTGAGATCTCGGGCTTCTCTGGCAACGTTGAAGTGTGGTTGTCTACATTTTCGAGCCCTCAGCAAGCCCCAAATATAGCTGTCTGCTTGTATCAACAGGTATTCTACGATGAAAAAACACCAGCGCCACAAACTGGCCTGCTGCTCAAGCAGATTGGTACAGTAAGGGAGACTGGGCAGATAATTATGCTGAAAATTGGTGTCTATCTGGCAAATTGCAGAGCTGCTTGGGATGTAGAATCTATTGGGGTTGATTGGCTGGTTATATAGGAAGTGTTTCGTTTACTATAATTCTGACGCGTAGCGATCACGCCAAGACCTGTATGAAACGAGCCTTCTAATTTAGCGCCTGTATCTATCTGGTAAACAATGACATGTGTCCAATGCGGAAATCTCAGCAATGTCAAAAGGAACGATGTTGCAATCTCTTATGAGATAGACTGCCTAGATAGTTCTGTCAATTATTGCAGGCCAAGTAATATAAAGCTCATAGAAGACAGTCACTCTCGCGTTAGGACCACGGACCCCACAAATCACATGTCACTGAGGCATATGAAAAGTATCAGATTATATTCACACCACGACTGAATTTCAATTTCACCCGTTGTGAAAGCCGACACATAAGCCAACCGCTTAACAAGTTTCGAAGCATTTGAGGTTTTTTTCGAGAGTGCAAGTACCGTGCCAGCCTTGAGCTTGATTTTGTACGAAGTGTAGAATTGTTAGCCTTTGCTAATTCTTGACATTGACATCATAGCGTCGTTTTTCCGCATTCATTTTGAAGAACGGACCTCCTTTGAAAGAAAGTGTGTTGAAAACATCTCCCTTGATTTTGGATAGTTCCTGGGTACATCGCTGTTTCAACTTCTGATAGAAAAATTATTGCATTGAAAGCGCGGGGATATTGCTGTCACCTTCTGCATTGATGTATTTGGATATCGTCGAAAATGAAGCGTCGCCGAAGGTCCCCCCAAAAGGATGTGCACACAAGGTTCAAATCAAACAGGGACATGCTTCCACACCTTGAGCCTCACGTAGCTTATGAAAGATACGAGCCAAGTTCTCGTGAGGAGGAGACTATTTGGCCGCGACGTCTGCTTCATATACCAACGATGACCTCTTTTGTACGATCAGCGAAGAATATTTATGGGGAGTGCAAAGAGCCCGCATACAATGCATTATCCTACACTTGGGGAAGATATAGCGATCCAAAAGGTGCTTCAATTCCGGTCAAGAATGTGACTTGGACCGTACCACCAATCAGCGAGTCTCATTTCTCAAGAAATGAGTTCGTGAATGCTATTCAAGCAGCCGGTGTTGGTGTCTCTTACGTCTGGGTCGACGTGGCCTGCATAGATCAGGAGGACAATACGGTCAAAATTGATGAGATCGGCAAGCAAGCTGCCATCTTCCGAAGAGCAGCCAGAGTGTTCGCGTGGCTTGTGCCATGGACATTGGAAGCCTTAGAGGATTGCCTATCACCTATCGAACACTACTACAGTCGTCAGCCATTAGATGCATCGAAAGACGATATCAAAGGAAGTACCCTGGACTCTGCATACTTTTCACGGACATCGAAATGCATGAATTCGCTGGACACAATCACTTCCATTCTGGACGCCGTCCAAGACCTTCGCCATCAACCCTGGTTTACGTCACTATGGACGCTGCAGGAAGCCTACCTTCGCAAAGACGCCATTATTCTCTCTCGTTCCTCCGCTGGTCCCTCACTAGTGCATCGAATGGATGCAGATTTCCGCATGCCTTTGACGATAAACTGGCTTCTGGTTCGCTGCCAGCAAATTTACACCATGTGTCGTCTAGAATCTACTCCTTCTTCCATGGCGGTCTGCCAAACACTCATGGATTCTGGCCTTCTCGCACTCAGCGCTGTCAATGAATGGTCTCTCTACAGCGCCTCCACAAAGCGCCAGGCTAGCTTACATGAAGATCGAGTCTACGGCATCATGCAAGTATACAACATTCGTCTCGGCGCACAGTCGGATTTTTCGAGACTCGAGGATTCGCTAGGTTTCCATTTGAATGATAAAGATCCTGTTCTATCACAGCTGCACGTTCATGAGCAACCGCCTGGAGAGGGCAAAGCCTGGCGTGTAAGCAGACACATGACTATTCCTTTTGTGTACGTTGGTGCTCTGACTTCGGGAATTAAGTGCACCATTTCAGCCAGTCCAAGGAAAATCCCGCTTTACGATGGCAAAGTCTGCGATTTCGACGCACTGGTGGACGAGTGGCACAAGAACTGGCTTCATCGAAAAAATGCCGGCCTTTCCCTCTTCGAAGCCCATGTGGCTCTCGATGCTCAGAGTCATCCTCCTCGAACTGCTGACATCTTCTCATTGCATGAGGATAATCTTTTGCCTGATTCATCAGTCCTGACATTGCCGAATAGCGAGCGTGTGCGGTTTACACATTTGCAATCACATTTTCCTCGACTGCTTACCGATTACAAGGTGCTTATGATGGGATGGATATCCTGTGGAGATCTAGAACCGGGACCCCGCTGGGTAGGCCTTGTGGTCAATCAGCGCACTCAATCTATTGGCAAGCCTTGGATTCGCGTGGGAGTCTGTTCATGGCCCGGAATGATTACAGGCAGAAACGACCTCATGTCGCTACATGGACGGCCGGACGATTTATCAGAGGGCCTGTGGAAGACTGTCACGGGGAGACTTGGTTGAATCACCCTGAAGAGGTCAAGATGAAGCTCACATCATCGAAAGTGAGCATGTGAATTTTAACGGCATTTGCGCCCGACGTGACAGCTCATGTTCAAGCTATAGATACTTACTCCAGTCAGTGACTCCAGAATCATAGGGACACTCAATTCAAGGCATCAAAAGATTCCAGTACAAATGCGCTACTGGACCACCATCCACACAAGCGCTGTATCTCACGTTCTTGTCCAAGCTGAAAACGAATACTCCGAGAAGGCAAGCCTACCATACCCACGCACCAAGGATCTGGAATGAAACAAGAGACTTTTCTATGCGCGTGTATGCAGCAGCAAGACCCGATCATCTGGTATATGCATCCTAGACACGATCCACCATAGAAGCGCAGCTGCGGAACTTCCAGCAGCAGCTCAGCTCAGCTCGCGATTACATCACACTCATTAAATGGGAATCTCAAACTTGCGTTACGGACGCCACCGCTTCGCATCCTCCCACTCGGACTGTACATTCAGCGACGAATGATTGGGCAATGCGACCACAACCCTCGATTCGCATCCTTCTCTCCTCCTTCCTCTTCCTCTTTACCCCCCTCCTCACCTCAGCTCACCCTCTCTTTCCCCCCTCTACTCCCTCAGCCCCATCAACCCTCACAAACATCACAAACACAACCCTCCCCTTCCCCTTCCCCAATCCCAATCCCAACACCCTAGAACCCCACTGCACCCCCTACGAACCCCACACGCCCCTCTCCGGCGCGACCACTGCCGCGCAGGCCTATCCCACTTCCTCCGCAACCACCGCAACTCCCACTACATCTTCACGCACGACTTCTCGCACCACGGCGACAACGCTTACATCCCCGTCCCGCTCTTCGTCGAAGACCACGAATGCCTGATAATCTTCGACATGCCGGAGCGGTACCCGGTGCAGGAGGAGGTGGAGGCGCGGATCGTGACGGTGCTGGAGGCCGTGAGTAGGTTGATTGACGATTGTGTGGGACGCGTGGCGGCGGGGCTTAATGGGGGGATTGTGTTTGCGGAAGGGGAAAGGCCGGTGGGGGGGTTGGTTAGTGTGGGGGTTTTGAGTGGTAGGGAGCCTGGGATAGGGGTGGGCGAGGGGGAGGGGAATATGACTGTGTTGGGGGACGGGGGCGTGGGTTGAGGTGTTTGAGGGCGGGAAGAGGCTGGAGAGAATGGGGGTAGCGAGGGAGAGGAGAGAGGGCCTAGGGCTACAGCGGGGTGTTGAGAATGCCATGGTCTTGGACTCCTACGACACCGTGGTCCGGGATGCATGATTCGGTAGACGAGCGAGACTCGTCTCAATCAAGCACTTTCCAGAAGCTTGGTAGTCTCCCGGGACGAGAAAGTCTTGTCTGCTTCGTTCTGTTGATCGCCGACGTCAGCTTTGATTTGGCACGAGAGTTGAAGCCGGGATGCCCGTGCTGCGTTACAATTGGCCAAGGGCAAATACCGTGTGGTTGGGCTATCAGGTAGACTTACTTAAACATCAGGTCTAGGGCTGTCCCTTGACGGGGCGCACTCTGGTTAGGATCGAGGGAGAATAACAATGGCACATGAAAAGAAAAAGATACCAGGTTCAATTAATATCAAGAGAAACGAAACAGCTTAAAAATGAATGAAAATCTCACAACTTAGATCTAAACGTTGGATTCTCTTGATGAGGCCATCGTGAGAATGGTACTATGTTCGGATTTTGTGGTTTCATGACATGGAAAAGGATGCTTGCTTGACAGTTGCTGGGAGACATATCCAAAGGTCTATGCGCAGGTCAGTGGAGAAGTAGTTGCTGTCCATATTTCCAGTCTTTCCGTCACACAAAAACGTACGGAATACATCGAAATCGAGAGAAGAGAGGAGGGCTGCTGATGGACGAAGAATTCAAAGCGGCTGTATCCATCCTTCCAACCCTAAAGTTATGAAGGTACGCTACCGGCACGTCAGTTGAAGTTCAAGATTGATTCATGTGAGTTTTTGGCTTGCTGCTTGTAGAGTGTACCCATTGTGCGCGAAATTAACAAGAGACCTTGGCCTAGATAGAGTCAGACTAGATGTAGCCAGAATGGCTGCGAATTTACAGGAGTGATCCATTCTGAACGGCCTTTCGATGTTTCACTGGCCTTGTTGGTCGACCTGAAAGTGGTCTGTCATTTGAACGTCTGCTTGACGTTCGTTAGAAGCGAGGTTATGCAAAGCCCCTTCCGAATCCTGGTACGCCATAGGGTCATCACCTTGCCTCACATGTCGTTCGGTTGCCATCCGAGTGTCAGCATGTTGATGTGCTTGGTGATCTCCAAGATCCATGGTTGTATCCATGCGGGTCTCCGGAGGACGTATTGAACGACTGAATTCAGCGACTTTTCTTAGACCTTCCGCAAAGTCAGGTGTCGTGCTCTGGTGACTCTGTACGATTTGAGGATCTAGGGGGATACCAGCGTAGTCCTCGCTTGATCCCATTGTCGCAACGGGAGCAGTGTGCTGTTGCTGTGATTGTCGAATATTCGAAGCAGGTGCGCCATGTGCGCCTTGAGACGTAGGATTGTCGAAACGTAAAAGCTGATCGATAAATGATGGATCTGGAGGCGCGGCTCTCTGCTGTCGGGGCGTCGAGGTCTGATACTTGGTTGCTGATCGTGAAGCGGGAGGCCTTACTTGAGTATCTTTACAATCTGGGCAATTTTTGATTACCAGGCTGACTGTTTCTTTAATACGCACCCAATGATACTTTTCTGCAATCATTGCAGTAGTCTTGTTGATTCCACCGTGTTGCTGAGCGTGCAAATCCCGCGCGATGCCATACTGACGTTGCGGATCACTGATGACTTCCTTATCCTTCAACATCAACTTTTCACTGTCTTCACCTTCATCACCATCGTCGCCTGGTACAAGCTTATAGTGAGTTGCAGCGCTTCTCAGTCGACTTTTCTCCGCTCGATCAGCACCAACCGGATATTTGCCGTGCTTGAGGTAGTATCTGATCTTGTCAAAGCGTTCTTCAGACACATAATCTTCCGCGTCTGGTCCTAAGTCTCGACCATAGATAATAGCATCTACGAGCTCGTCAGGATTAGACCGAAGGTTTCCACATCCTTTGACACGCCCTATCCTCTTGAAGCCTAATGCATCCCAAATGCGACATGAAACAACATTTGTTTCGTACACCAAGTTGAACACGCTGTAGGTATAGCCCTGTAATGGGTCAGTCAGAACTGCACCGCAAGCCCAAGGGACTGGGATCCTTACGAGCTTTGGTGTCCATTCCAGGTATATTTCCCCCATCAATCGTCCAGCACCTTTATTCCTTGCTGCCTCCGTAACCATGAAACCTCCATTGCAGACGTGGCTGCTCCGTCCAGGGTAATTCGGTTTGACATAGAAGCTCCCCAGGCAGACCTCTTCCCATCTAGCACCCTCTTCTTCCATTCGAGCAGCTTGCGCAGCATCAGCTACATTACCCATCAACATCACAGCGCCGAAGTTTTGGAACCAATAGGTTGCGAAAGTGGGCACGCTCATAGCCTGTGTCATTGGATAAGTATCCCCCTTCTCAATTTCAATATTCAGAACCTCGCAAAGGTATTGCAGCAGCCTTTCTGGTATGGCAGATGGAGTCGAGAAAGGCATTATGGTCGCAATGGTGACACGATCTCTGAGCGTGACTTGGCGGGGGCCTATGGTGGCTGGCAGTGATGAGTCTGAAGGTACAGGGTAAGGTGGAGCGCCGGAAGTGCGATAAATGACCGGCGCTGTGGGATCCTCCAGCATTGTGGGCATCTTGATGGAGGTCGTACTGTCTGTTGTTTGTTTTGGTAGGGCCGAAGATCTGTGTCGGGCTTCATGGTTAGCGAGCCGAGACCTTTTGGAGTGCAGAACACCCCGAGCTCGATCACACGAAGGTTGTCCATAATGGTGGCAGATATGGAAGCCATCGAGGAATGTTTGTACGCACCTTTTGGATGTCCTCACTGGTCCTGAATGTTTTTGACGTGATCAATTCTACAGATGTTGCCAAGATCCCTGCAGCAGGCAGACCACGCTAAATATACCCAGATACTAGCTGTAATTTAAAATCTACAGTAGGGAGCAGTGAATGATCCAGAAGGTTGAAAGGTAAAGTCTTGTGCTCGAAATCAAGATTGCCACGGCTTTGTGGCGTAAGGCCACATACTTAGGAAATCACGCCTTCAGAGCTCTAAGAGTCGTGTTTGAAGGACCAATAAGTCATCCCCTCCATCTCTCCGTCCACACAATTTGTTCCTCTTCACTTCCAAGGCAAGTCAACATGCCGTTCATAATTCGTAATTCGTGAGTCTCTTGACTCTTGTTGCTTGTTTACATAGTGTTACAGTATTCACAAAGTCAAACTCAAGTCTTTTCTCTTTCAGCATAAACCTTTTCCTTTGCCTTCTCCGCATTGTCCAAGGATTCGATGAACATGGTGAATTTCCATGTTTCGTTAGCTAGCCAATTCGCTTTCTTGTGCCAATTAGTCTGTGTCTTCTTTAATTTGGGATCGTTGGGTAAGTACTACAAAAATCAGTCTCGGCTCAATTGTTAGGGTCAAGCACAAAAGAGGCTGAACTTAGCGAAAGACTTACGGCGTGACATATCGGCGTCCATAGCTCGTTGTGTTTTTGGAGCTCTTCTCTTGCAGATTTCAGATATCGAGCCATAGCATTCTTTTGATCCACTTCCATCAACTTGCTGGGAAAGGCCGGTAGACGTGGGATTTCCCATTCGCAGACGAAGATGCCACGGTCTGACTTCTCAGTTGACGCCCGGCCTTCCACTTTGTCATATCGAGAGGAGCCAACTGTGCTTGGTCGGGGACTAGAGATTGAGGCAGATCTCGAATGTTTACTTGATGGCCGCGTTGGACGCGTGTAGAGTGCTCTTCTAGACCAGCCGAATTCAAGATTGGTCGCAGGCATCCCGTATGGTACTTGCGAAAGACGAGCGCTCCAGTAATTGGCAGTCGTAACAAATTCCTGGACAATTTCAGGCGTACCCGCTTGGAAGTGGTGGAGAGAGCCCGTAGCTTCGGTAAGCGCCCAGATGTAAGGTCGCGATCTTGAAATCACTTGCGACGGTAGGACCGCCGCATAAGAGTACCTTAGAACGAAAGTTGCCAGAGGCTGCGTGTTCTCCGCCCAATTGCCTCCCCCTACTACAGTGCCCCTCGGAACCTGTGAAGCCTTCTTTGCTCCCATAGTTTTGAAGTCAAAGAGAAGTAGACGACCCTTTTCGATGACTGCGAAAGCTTCTTCCCAGCTCCTGTTGAATGCTTTCTTATTTTCACTAAGCTTCACGTGTTTATGATGTAGGATGCCCTCTTTTGCCCATGGTGCTCCCGCAAGACCAAGGCTATCATCTTCAAGAAGAGGGGCTCCATCTAGACTACCATCGTCGCTTTCGCAAGGCGCAGCCTCTTCACGAATGATAGCTTGGCTGACTGCATTTGCAAAGCCAATAGCTGGTTGGTTCTCCTTCTTAGCGCATGTCACACAAGAGCCCCTGTCAGGCAGTTTGCTTAAATGCGAGCTGTTACTCCAAGCGCTTATACTTGACGGGGATGTTATCGACGACTGTTCGTCGATCGAAGAACGCTGGCTGCGTGGGGTTGACCTTGCTCTTGAGTGTCTTCGAGGAATCCCGAGACGGCTCGTTGAGCTACGTTCCCTCGTATACATCTGTGGCCTTGAGCTTTCTCTGAGGAATCTCGAATGATCAAGGCTGATTGAACTTGGCTGCCGCTTCGGAAACGCTTCAGACGGTGCGAGACTATGCGCTGATAGTGGGGGCGTGTCTACCCCATTGCGTTGATCCACCGTACTGAACAACGGAAGTGGTTCCTGGCGGACACTGTTGTATATCTCCTTCAATATATTTTCAACTTCATACTCCCATGTACGCTGTGTGACAGCCAAGGAAGGGCTCAACACCAAATCACCGACTTGGCTAGAGTTCAGTCGGGATTTTGAGGCGCTGGCGGCGTTCGAATGGAGGGTTGTAGCAGTCCAAGTTCTAGATAGTTGGGGCTTCGAGGACGACATGCTGTTGTCAGAAATAAACCTAGACAGTCTTTGCTTTGGCCGTTCGCGGTCGAAAGATCGCCGTTCATCGACTGAAGTACGCCTTGAATGCAATTTGGGCCGGGGCGAGATTGGAGAGTCGAATCCCTCCGACACATTCTTGAAGGTCTCGGGCGCAGCGTTCAATGCGGCGCTGCGGATCGTTGGGAGGGTGTTCTTCAGATATTCGTTCTTGGTCATCTTATTGCCGACTTCGTTCGCGTGGAGGTCAGTGTTGAGCATGAGGATAGAGTATACTATTGCATGCACGACGTCTGGATGTCTGTATCCACATGGCAAATTGGAGGTATAATATCTTTCAGCAAAAGCTTCCACTATGCGATTGACATGTTGCGATTCCGCTTTGAGATAAAGACGGCTGCAGAGCTCACGCAGGGCGAAAAGGATAGAGGTCTGATGCAATTCGAAACTTTCCATGAAGGCTTTGCGTACACGGTCCCGGGCGGCACCTATTGTTATGTGAGAAGAGTATCGTGACTGAGCAAGCTGGCAGAAAAACATCATACCTTCACCGCCGAGCCAAGCAGCTGCCTCGGACTTGGGGGCGATCGTTTCATCGCCATGGAAGAAGAGTCTTGCCGCAAGCCGGTCTTCATCAATGCTGTGCTTGGAAGAGTGCCCTGCAGTCCCCGGTTTCGACATACTCAGATCGATGGGTTCTAATGGGGGAAGACTGGGTATTGGTGGTGCCGAATCTGCCTGGTGGCCATAAGACCGCTTGAAGCGAGCCATGAACCGTCTCATGATTCCTGGTCTTTCTCTTGTAGGCTCATTGAGAGTAGTGCAGATGGTATCGGTCTGCAACGTTGGCTGACGTGGCCCGGCAGGCACAATTGGGACTGGGGCGGCTTCGAGCGGAGCGGTGGGTTGTCCAGTGGAGAAGCCGGTAGGGGGGTCTAAGGAGGAGAGCATTTGGTCCATGATCGAAGAGCGAGAAGTTCCCCTGAGGACGAGGTCATGGGAGATGCGGTCCATTGCATTCGCGAGGCCTCTCGAAAGAAGACACTCGGACGCAACGAACTCATGCAGGTGGGAGCTTTGGCCGTGATGTGCAATCGTGATCCGTCTCGGGTAATTTTGCGATACGCTAAAGAATATGAAACGGAATCCTGCCGTTGCAGCTGAAGAACGGTCAGGTTACATCCTAGCGATTCTCGGGCCAATGACTATGGGTGCCAGACTGCACGTCGACGCACGGAGGTGACAACACATATCAGTGCTTTTCTCCATGGCGGAGAGCACTGTGGATGATTCTCACCATAGCAGCGCCTTACGAAAAGGGGCAAGAGGGGGGCAAGGTTTCATTCGTACCTGCAGTAGCTGTTAATTCGGGGAAAAATACATTCAGGTCCTGTATCAAAAAACAAAAATCCCCCTGAATTGCCAATCTGCCCCATCACCCCACACACATCGCATCTCCACAATGCTCACTCTACTCTTTATTCGGAGCGTAATGTTGATGAATGCAAAGCCTGTTAGGATTGCAATGTCCTGTGAAAGTCAAAGCCGCAGTCACGATGAAGGCAATCACTGAGGATGGTTCTCTTGTCTGCCACCATCACTGTGCGTCACTGATCACCGTCGCATTGACGGCTGCCTATGCTCAGGCGAGTCTTGAACAGCTGCATGCACTACAGACTTGGTAATGCGGGGTTTGGGAATGAATAAATCATGGATGCTAAACTCCCATGGTACCCACTGGCTATACATTCGAGGGAACCTCGCGGACTGATGGACTCAAGCCAGGCAGATGGTAGTCCGCCAAGCTCTATGAATCGGTCGACAGAGCTCAATGCCTCCGACAGCGTGTACTCGTGCGATGTATTGGATCTCTGTAATAGCAATGCCTGCAGGCAACCTTCCACCGATGCAGCATTCACCACCAAGGTTCGGATCGCGAACGGACGGTCCATGGGCTTGGTTTCAATCTGTGGCGCAGGACAATCATGGGGAAAACCAATCCCTGCAAGGAGAATCCACAGCGAGTGCAGGAACACTCAGATGAGATCCGGCCGTTATCATGACAAGACATATCGCACCGCCTTAGGGGAAGTCGGCTTTAGCATTTGACCGTAATGATAGTCCCTATCTACCCAGAGAATGGCATTTCCCGACTTGAAAATCTCGGATTACAGGGCCCAACGACTAAAGATTAGTGAGTAAAATAGCACCAATTAAAATATTTGTGGCAGATTCTTTCGGGGGCGAGCGTGCGCAGAAACCCCTCAATTTGTCTGTCGATCAACATGATCTGGCCGCCCACACCAGCTCCCCGGTGCACTGGATCGACTTCCTCATTGAGAAAGTGGCCTGCTCCTCCTCACGGCATGCCTTACATATCAGGGCGCTATTACGCAAGTACCCGTATAGCGGCCAACGGCTCGTCAATAGGCGCACCGCCATTGGACCAAATTCGGCCGAGTCTCTACCACAGGCCTTCGATAAGCGGCGACGAATCACGGCTGGCGCTCCAATAATTGAGACTGATCTAGGGGTGGTGCGATATGTCCCGCTAGGACAAGTGGGGGTTGGCAACTCATCCAAGACATACCTTACTCCCAGGTGACAAACTGTTGGAACGCGATAACAGGGGGCGGTGGCCATGAAAAACCCGCATCTCGAGCGGGGCACAGTGGCTTTCTCTGGTAGTCCTATTATTCGTACACATGGAGTAACATCGTGGCAGGCAGCTCCAGAAAAAACTCAAAGCAAAGCAGGCAACGTCACACGACATTGGATCGTCTAGCATGATATGCATGTTGACGCTATCAGCAACATCATGTCTGAAAGGCACACCAGACGGTTCCATACGCCGTTCCATCCAGCCTGCTCGATGGAACATCATCGCTAGGGTCCGCATTCCTTATCTCGCAACCCTCCCACCTGCCCCTGCGCGACAGGCCGAGGTCTCGAAATAGTCAATCGTAGCGAAGCTTGAGATCGGAACAAATCACTTACGGACTAATGACCGCCGCTACCACATCGCCACGCTTCTTTATTTGAAGCTCCCCGAGTCCCCGGTACCGAGTTCACTTCTATTGCTTCGTCTCCCCTCCTCCCCACCACCGTCGCCGTCCTGCCCTTGGTGGTCCTTCCTACACCTTGATACTTTCCCCTCTCATATTGCCGTCAACATGGAGAAGGGCCCTGTCGACGAGAAGTTCCCTCGGGACAAGGAATACGACAGCAGTGACAGCCCAGTCCACGATCATGACTTCGAAGCTCAAGAGCCAACGAAAGGCAAGCTCAACAGAGATCTCAAAGGCCGCCATATGCAGATGATTGCTATCGGTATGGTGTATGCAAGTGCAGCAACACAGATACTCTGCTGATAGTTCTGCAGGCGGTTCAATCGGCGCTGGTCTCTTCGTCGGCTCTGGTTCTGCTTTTCACGCTGGTGGACCCGGGAGTGTTGTATGTTATGCATTTCTATGCACAGCAACTAAATACTGAAACTGCCAACCAGCTCATCGGGTTCATGATCATCGGCTGCATGTTGCTCTTCACAGTGCAAGCGCTCGGAGAGATGGCTGTTTTGATTCCCGTCAACGGGGCCTTTTTCGCCTACGCGTGTCGCTTCATTGACGAGTCATGGTAAGTCTAGGAAACCCTGCGATGACAGCGGTCATTGACAGTAACAGGGGCTTTGCCATGGGATGGGACTATGCGCTTTCGTGGCTTACTATCTTGCCATTTGAAATCACTGCTGCCGGTATCACAATCAAATTCTGGCGAGACGATATCAACGTAGGAGTCTGGATAACGGTCTTCCTATTCGCTCTCTGCACCATCCAGATCTTTGGTGTGCGGGGATATGGAGAAGGTGATTATCTGATGCCCTGGTTCCAAGAAGGTCTCTAATGAATCTGTCTAGTGGAATTCGTTCTATCCTTGATCAAAATTGTCGCGGTCAGCGGTTTCATCATCTTTGGTATCATCGTCGATTGCGGCGGCGTTCCAAGCGACCCTAGAGGCTACATAGGCGCCCACTATTGGCACGACCCAGGCGCGTTTCGGAACGGCTTCAAGGGTTTCTGCTCTGTCTTTGTCACCGCCGCCTTCGCCTTCGGTGGCACAGAGTTGGTCGGTCTAGCTGCGGCTGAAGCAGCCAACCCAAGAAAGACTCTACCTACAGCAACAAAGCAGGTTTTTTGGCGAATCACCTTCTTTTATGTGGTGTCTCTCTTCATTGTTGGGTTGATCCTTCCATCCGACTCCAAAGATCTTCTCGGATCCTCAGGCGCAAACACCAAGGCATCTCCCTTCGTCCTAGCCATTCAAGCGGCGAAAGTCAAAGGCTTACCGTCAGTCTTCAACGCGGTCATCACTATCTCCGTTCTCTCTGTCGCAAACTCGTGCACCTATGGTTCAACACGTACCATGCAAGCTCTGGCTACGCGAGGTATGGGCCCGAAATTCCTCACAAAGATCGACAAGCATGGCCGCCCTTATTGGTGCGTCGTCATTCAGCTCTGCTTCGGTTTGCTCGCTTTCATCAATGAAGCAAATGTTGGCGACACATTCTTCACCTGGCTCCTGTCTCTGAGCGGCTTATCCTACTTCTTCGTCTGGGGAAGCATCTGTCTTTCGCACATACGGTTCCGAGCCGGTTGGAAAGCGCAGGGCCACACCTTGGACGAACTTCCGTACCAGGCACAATTCGGCATAATCGGCAGCTACATCGGCTTTTTCCTCAACTGTATCGCCCTGATTGCTACATTTTACGTCTCACTATTCGTAAGTCATCCTTCTCTCTGTGACGCTGAAGGATAAATGCTGATGTGTATGAATGTAGCCTGTTGGCGGATCTCCCGATGCGCAAGTCTTCTTCGAATCGTACCTGGCTGCTCCTATTGTCATCGCCCTCTATGTTTTCTGGAAGATTTGGACAAAAGGGAAGGGAGGACTTTTCGTTAAGACGTCTGAGATGGATGTCAGCACGGGCATACGTCAATTCGATTTGGATGCTCTCGAGGACGCTACACCAAGAAAGAAGAGCATCGCAAATTTGCCTCTGAGAACGGTTAGGGATTGTTCTAAAGAAGCCACCTAACGCGCTTTGGAAGTTCTTGCATTTTGGAACGTTCACGTGTATAGCATTACAACAACCATACCACCTCATTCACCAGTATATATAGAACAATCCAAGATATATCAATGTGGCATTCATGACATGTCGTCGTTCCTCCCCATTCGAGTAATAGCAAGCCGGTGCTAGCGTGCATAATCACAACCCAATCCTTCGAACTTATGCAAATTTTGCGCCTGAGAAACCCTACAAAACAGACGCCCTGATCCTTTCACCCTCGCTTATCTCACCTACGAATCTATTGCGATCCAACGCGGCTGAAATTGACGCAGCTGTAGTATGGACCCACACCAACACCAAATATAGTTTTCGATATTATTATTGCCTCAACCACGTCATACAACCTAGCCAGCAATGTATCACCTCAGCTTTCGATAAGCACAGCCGCATCCCACGAAGTCCCACGCATCTCCCACGTATCTCCCACGTCTTGTCTTAAAAACGCAAATGTATTCTCCGAAGGATGGAAAGCTTCGCAAATGCTTGTTTCTGTCGGTTTCACATCAGGACGACGCAAGAGCCGCTCGGCAGGGTGTACAAGCGAAAACTGTAATGCACACGAGGAAGGGAGGGTGGGGGGAGTGGGATTAAGCCATCGAATGGAGGCTGAAGTCTCTTCTGTTCGTGTCTATGGTAGCTTCTTCGTTGGCTTCGTGGGAGAGTTGCCACATAACAGGACGCCTGGTCCAGCTATCAATGCACATCCCATCCCATATCATGCCATGCCATCACCTCCATCTATCTCGTTCTTGAGACTTCACGAGAGAAGGGTTTCCATGGCTCTTCAACCACTAACCAATATACACCATAATTTGTATGTCCCATACTTTTTTATTTCTCCACCTCCCACCTGTTACACAAGGAGGCGAAGGGTAAGTCGACGGGAAATCAATCTGCCCTCCAATTTCCCCTCCAAGACTCGCCGTGGGAAGCTGGGACAGTCAGAGTGAATATGAAGGGTGCGTTTTATGATGGGGAGGGAAATGTGGACGCGCTAGAAAATTGAGTTAGTAAGGTACGTGTGAGTGCCAAGCTTACAAGCTGTACGATACGGGTACTCCCGGGGTCGCCGCTTTTACACTCTCCATATGTTATACAATGACTTCCCTAATTTTCTTACCAAAGTGTGAATAATGCGAATGTTTACGTATTGCCAGATGTAGAAACCGTTTCCGCAACAGAATTACCGACACAAGCCAACTCAGCGTAACCCGATTGTAAGCGTGAAAGCAACATATATTCATGCAGGGCAAGAACCAACGTCTAGACTCGGTGAAGCCCGCATATGCTTCTGGCGTGCGGAGTCTGACCAATCGATGTCACCTGTGTTTGATTGCAGACCATGTTACTGTATAGAGAGAGTCACTTATCCTTGGTCTTCCGGTCGAAGACCCACAATGTCTGGGTTACAAGCACCTTATAGATGTCATCTAATTGCAACCAAGGGGAACCGTGCTATGAGGGGAGACACGGCAGAACGACATACAGGCAATTATCCATTACCTTCGAGGGGCGAGGCTTAACATGCAGGGCACTGGTGATGCGTGCAGAACGCCCCTGGCTCCGCCAAGACCTTGACAGCATCGATGCTTGTGATCTCTGTTGATTGCTCAATCATGGCTTTGGATGCTTTTTGATAACGTCGATTTGGGAAATTCTGGTCCGTTGAGGTCAATATATCCTACATTTGGACTGCTGGCGGCTGGCGGCTGAGATAAATCGGCCCAACCGATACCAGCACAAGGAGGATCGATCCTTTCTGGGCATGATTACATGATATGTTGGATTATTACATGCAGGAAAGACGCCGTAGATCTCTGCAGCCAAGATTCGGGATCTGTAAGGACTCGGTGCTATTGGCGTGGGTGTGGTTGAGGCTCCTAGTCAGCAGGCGGTCGATTGGTTTTGATTGGGTGAAATACAACATTTGAGCCTCATTCTCCCGAAAATCAAGGTCATCCCAGAAAGTCGCTGCATTTCAAGAGAATCGGCGATCTTGTGCATATACATCTGGTAAGATATATCGGGAGAAAAAGCGGCCGCAAGCTGGCTAGACCGATGCACGCTGGCAAAGGGGCAATGGAAGTCTCTGCTTCTCATCAGGTCAAAGATGAAGAGTGACCATTCTGCGCTGCTAGTGAGACTTGCGACTGTTCTGTACAATGATGCTGATTAAACCCAGCTACTAATTGAAAGAGAAAGTCCCACAACTCTGTGCGACACATGCGCCCTGTCATGCCGAGCTGAAATCTGAAACAAAAATGCTGGAGGTAGAAAACAAACATCTTCAGCTAAAGCTGATAACGACTGCGCGAAGGAAACACTCCGTGTACCAGCTTCCTCCGTCATGCTTGTGAGATTGATCCCAACAGACCCGTAGGCTTCGCCTCAAAGCCGTGCATTGAGGCGGTCTCTTTAAAAGACATCGAAGACCAACAAGCCCAATTAAACCCCTTTCCACCTTGCAGAGAACGACCGATGGCGCTGTGCCTCCCACGCCATCTTGCCTCCACTTTGTTCTGCTTCTTTTCTTTTACTTCGGCTACTTGTAAGCTGATTGATTCTGTGTAAGGAGAATCGAGTCTCTACCTTCCAATTTGCCCAGTGTTTATAACAACGATCGTTCTTCTGAGTCCGATCTGAGCCACAATGTGTGCAATAGGTAAACATTATCTTATTCCTCTTCCGACAGTCCTCGCAGTAGCAAGCGTGCGAATCATTTGTAGCGTGGCCATGAACGCGTTGCTTCCCACAATTCTGACAATAGAGCATGGTGTATTCTGTCACGAAGGTAAAATATAATTGAGCAGTGTACTCGGGCTGAGTCGATTTTCTGGTATGAGATCGGCTTAGTTGATGATTTCCAATTCTTCCGAGCAGGCTGTCAGAGGTAGATATATGTGCTTTGTCCCTCTCTCGATAGTTGCTTTGAGGCTTAAGTAGAAGTGTGGGAGCCTGCCAAGCTGTGAACTAAGGTATCATCTTGCCGATCCTGCGCCCTGAAGTGGGTGTAATACTCGAGATCCAGCAGACTATATGCAGTGTTAACGCAGCGAACGGTCTCTGACAGACAAGATATTGTGTTCCCTCGAAGGTCATTGGTGAGGCATGCATCTGCTTGTCCGAAGTGGGTGACTAGCCTGCTGAAATGTTGCCGTTCATGCAGGAGCCTTTTGATCCAGAGCAGTCACCGAGAGTAGATGCTTGTAAGAGTGAATGCATGCTTGCTCGTGTCAAGCCGTGGTTCGTTGATTCTTTGCTTCACTACTCATGGCGCCTCTACAGTTTGCTGTTCATGTTTGCGGAGCCGCATGTAAGTGGAAGTTCGAAGCCGACGCATGTAGTTTCCCTAGCTGGACATAGCCGGTGGGTGCGGACACTGGTATACTGGAGCGCATTTCCTCCAATTGGAGGTGAGGTCGCCGAGACAGCCCTTGGTTGATCCGGGGGCGATGCCTCTACGACGACCAAACAGTTTTCTTTTCAGCATGGGAAGAAAGTGCACTGTGTTGAACTACAACAGACGTAGCCCTTAGTAAAGGTGGACTCCGACGACAGATCGGCGGAGCTTTGGCTTCTAGCGACTTCTACCCAGCACCAAAAGCCTAAGAGGGTGATTCAAGAGGAGTAGCGGTATATATATCCCGTCATCTCTAGCTCACCTTGACGCTAGAACTAGCAAAAGCGGCAATGCCAGCGGGACCTCTGTATTTTTTCCATTATTTAATTACGCCAAGGCGTGACAAACTACGAAACTACCTACCTTAGCATCATCTGTTTCTCGAAACTCGCAGTCTTGAGAACACTCTCTGTATGGTCTATGTCGGGCTCATGGAAACTACGCAGCTCCAATACGTACTTACGATCTTGATAGATGAATACTTCTTTCTCATTCGGGATTATTTGAGGAAAATTGGGGGAGCCATGAAACCATACAAACCGATATTGCACTACAGATGCGCTCACAAGAGATTCCATCAGGTCTTGCCTGCATAAGGAGTATTCGTACATTCAGTGCACATGACTACGTAATAAGATGTTTATTCACAAGCCATGACTCACTCCACTTACACGCCTTTTTCCATCATGTGTGAGCATTCTGTCTACTCAGCCCCAGCCAGGCGAACACTCCGGGTTAGCAATAGGATTCTCGTAGGGATATTTATCAGTTGGCCACCCTTCCGCTTGCACACAAGTACACATAGCCCAGGTTGGCAGCGAATAACCAAATTCCGTCCCGACAGGCTCAGCTCCAATGTATGTCTTCCCATGCGCCTTCAGTATCGCATCGATGTCACAGATTGGAATCGTCCAGCTCGCGAGGTCCGCCTCGGTGATATCGCCAGGGTCGTTCGTTAGTTGATCGAGCGTGTCTTGCTGCGTATTGCTGTAAAGGTAGCCGTGCTTAGCCTGCTGTTTGATGGCAGACTGAAGTATGATGTCAAGACTAAGGGCGTATTCGGTGAGATGGTTGGCGTTCTTGGTGCCATCGTCCGCTTCACCCTTGTCCGAGGTACCCCAGACGTGCCATTTGTTGGTGTCAAGGGCGGGGATGCGCTCGCGTGGCTGTGGAGTGTTGATCCAGCGAGCGAAGATGTAGGCCGTGCCGCCGTCCGGGCTGCAGACGGTTTGGTCAGGCCAGAATGAGCAAGCTTTGCCGTGGTCGACGCGATTGTATGCATGGTCTGTGATTTTGAAGATGGCTACGCGGTCTTGGACCCAGAGGGAATTGATTGCAGGAGAGACGACGGCGCCGAAGACGTTAGGGTTGATGCTACCTACATCGACGTTGGAGGCGAAATGGCCGTCCTTGAGAACCGACGGAAGTTGCACCGGGTCATTGAAGTAATCGACTGCCGCACCTGAGGCGTATTGTGGGAGAGTCTTGAGGACTGAGTCAAAGTACTGGTCTAGGGCTATGGTAACAGATTGGTAGAGCTTGCCGACTGCGGTCTGGACCTCTCCCCATTGAACCAAGGGGCTGAATTACACAATCAGCCATGCGCTCCTGAGAGATATGTCCCAATGAAGTGTGAAGACTTACTCGACAGCGGTCAAACCCTTTTGAGTAAGTACTCCACTTACAATGGTGGCGGCACTTGATCCCAGAGTTGCCGCTGGGATACCAAGACTGAGGGCGCCAAAAAGTCCATTAATGATTGCCACTGGCAGGACCAATGTACTTGGGTCAACTTGAGGAGTGAAGAACTGTTTGACAAGCGTTGCCGTCGATAGACCAGCGGCGACTGTAGAGTAGGTGAAAGTGTTCTGAAGTTTGTGCAACCAATTGGCAAAATGGGTAATGGCGAAAAAGACGAAGTGAGCTTCAGGATGCTGCATGCACAGATTGAAATCGAGACCTGTACCTTGGCATACAGGACTAGAGATCTCGTCACACTGCTCAGCGCCTTCGTTGCCCGCAAAGTGAAGGATTATTTGCTGAATATTGTCGTACTTTGATCCTTGACGCTTCTGTTTGCTACCAGCAGGGGGCTTGACGGCGCTATGGCTCCGATCAGTACACAGGTCGAGGGGCAATGAGCTAGACACATCGAGACTTACACATCGGAGCCTTTTGGGACGGGTTCTGGAACTACAGGTTGTGGCGAGGTCTTCGGGACAGGTTGGGGTGCGTCTTCACGCGTCCAACCATTCATCTGTATTGGACCGACACTGTTCATGCAGGTCAATACACGTCATACCCACCGAACCATCGGCCAGATCTGGCATGACTCACTTGTCCGAGAACCATTTGTCGATATTATAATTAGTCCAAGTGCTGGCATCCCGAGTATCAGAGGCAACTTTGGTTCCACTCTGCTGCCCACAAACATCGCTAGAGACGTCTCTCTTTGAGAAAAGGTTGCTTCCAGCGAAGCTTACTCCGTCTGTTTGATGTAGTTGACTTCCCTTGGGCAAAGGACCAGCAACCGACAGAGTACCTGCATCAAGGTCAGCAGGGCCCCTTGCGTCTGTGAGTCGAGGAAATACCCAAGGTGAGTAGCAGGAACAGCGTAGGATAACCCATATTGACTGACGGACTATGTGGGACTGAACCAAATGAAAGTACAGGAAGTATTCTGATTTGGAGTAGAATCTGGTAAAAGAAGCCCTGTTGTGTGTAAAGAAAACAAAACAAATTGAATTCATGACTGACATTGCAGCTTCTTGTACTTTTGCTGAAGACCTCTTGATAGCCCCCACCCAGCATCTTGGAAGACCGATCGCTCGAAGCCAAGCATGCGGTAATTCTCGAGCTGTGGAATATAGACGGTTCGAGTTAGCTGATGCCGCTAAAGCGTGATCGTAAGCTATGGCGGTACCGACATGTCGTCGCTCTTGAGGCACAGAAGACCCTCGTCGTCATCGTGTTGGAATGGAGGCTCAAGAGCAGACAATAACAATGTCTTGATCGGTCATCAAGATAGGCGAGATGCACGGGTACAATAGGTAGCACAAAGCATGACGATGTAGCAGCAAGTTGTGAGTGCATTTCGTTCTGCGATCATCGTGAACCTCTCCACCAACGGCGCCCTAAAGATGTTTGTTTATGATAGTGTGCGGCTCGGTAGGGATGATAAGTCGGGAATAGGGGTGGCTTCCCCTCATCTTGTTGGTTGCCCTGACCAGCCTAGAAATGATTATTGAATCACGTCCAGGCTAGGCCGAAGAAAGACACCTGAAACAAAGAAGTCCCAAGGCTAATATCACCGAAATGAGGCTTTTTCCCCATGGCCTTCATCGTTGATCTAATATAGAGGCTAACCTGAGCATCTTGCAGCTACGTCTACTCAGGGATGATTTTAAATGAGTTGTTCAAAGCGGCTGAGTAAGCTAATGTCGGCAGCCTTTCTTGCCAAGACCTGACAGCGCTAGACTACAATAAGCGATGTTGCCCCACGTCACAGCAGGAACTTTGTTTGCTCTTTGTAGCCACACAGAGACTGGCCTCTTGGACCTTTCAGACGTGGGGGCTCTGAAGCTTGTTTGCAAACAGGACATCACTAGATCGTAAACTTACTCTTGCCCTCACTCGGTTTTGCAAGCTTGTCACGCGACATCATGGCACCAGGAGGACGAGGCAGAGCGGGGAAGTTCAGCAAGCCAACACGAGGAGGTTCGTAGTCATGGGCGAAGTGTGGGTAATCCCGATACTGATGTATTTTCAGGAGGAAAGAAGTTCAGCAAGAACCTCACCCCTCTAGATGCAGATGGCAACCCCATCAGCATGTGGGCTGTGAGCCCCCTTCTCCACGAACATGCCTGCATCTTACTGAAAGCGAATTTCTTCAGGATCCGAGCAAACAGCAGCCACAATCTTCCTCAGAGGAGGAAGACTCATCGGAAGACTCATCAGACGACGAATCCAAACCCGACGACTCAAACCTGACCCGCGAAGAGCGTCGTGCCGCCGCCAAAGCCAAGAAGGAAGCTGCCATAAAGAAGAAATCACAGAAAGCTGCTGCCCCTGGCGACATCCCTTCATCAGACTCGGATTCTTCGTCAGAAGCAGAAGATGAAGACATGCCCGCCAACCCGAACCACACCGCCAAATCCCGCTCTCAAGCCAAAGCCCCCGTAGTCCCACCGTCAGCCGACGCCCCGGCTCCTAAAGTCCCGAAAAAGGGTGGAGATACCTCGCAGCTGTCACGAAGGGAGAGGGAAGCTGTGCAAGCTCAGCAAGCAAGGGAGAAGTATCAGAAATTGCACGCTGAGGGGAAAACAGATGAGGCAAGGGCAGACTTGGCAAGACTGAGTCTCATTAAAGAGAAGAGGGAGCAAGAGAGTAAGAGGAGAGTGGCGGAGAAAGAGGAGCGTGAAGAGCAGGAACGGGAGAAGGCAAAGGATGTGAATGATCGCGAGGAACGGAGGAAAGCGGCTGCGATGGGTAGTGGGGCGAGAGGTGGGAGAGGAGGAAAGAAGAAGGCTTAGATTCATGATGCTGTTTGAGTCAAGGCTTCAGTCTGCGGTATGAGATATCTCGGTTATGGTCATGAGTAGGAAAACATTGATAGAAAGCAGCGGCTTCAAAATCAAGCATGTGGTATCACGAAAAGCATGTTGCTCTTTATAAATCATAGCATGAACGAATGTAATGTCACAAAACATAAACGTCCTTTCTACATATACGCCCGAACTTCGTACACCTGAACGCCGGGTAACCTCATCCAGCCTGCACATCTCGTCACCTGAAGAAGTCTAATCAACAACCCCAATGACGAAATCCCCAAAGCCTTCCAACATGCCCTCTGCATCCCACCTTCTCTCAGCTACATCCTACCCCACCCCTCCCCAGCCCAACCATGTCCTCCCAAGCTCCTATAACCCTCGCTTTCGACCTCTACGGCACCCTCCTCTCCACCTCCTCAATTGCCGACGAGCTTGGCCACCACTTCGGTGAAGCCAAAGCCTCCTCCATCGCCTCTCTCTGGCGGAGATACCAGTTGGAATATACTTGGCGGTGTAACAGCATGAGTCCGTCCCCCCTTCCCCTTATCTTGTCCTCGTCTCTCAAAGTCCTGCTAACGACCAGAAGACATACACATCCCCTTCAACACCCTCACCACCCGCGCCCTAACGCACGCGCTACGCGAGCACGACCTCTCCCTCCCTCCTCCCCAGATCTCGGCGCTGATGGAGAAATACGACAGCCTCTCCACCTTCCCGGACGTTGCCCCCGCACTTACTGCCCTTGCCCAATCAACCGACATCCAAGGGCAGGATAATGCGCCAGCCCTCCAAGCAGTGGTATTCAGCAACGGGACCGCCTCTATGGTCAAGAATTCCGTTTTCAACTCCCCGTCTTTGGGGGCTACGCGCGTATCTTCAAGGATATCATCACGGTGGAGGAGACGAGGAAGTATAAACCTGCGCCTGAAGTTTACGCGCACTTGGTTGATAAGCTAGGGAGGAAAAATGGAGAGGGTAAGGAGGGTAAGGAGGGGGGAGAGGGTGTTTGGCTTGTCAGCGGGAATCCGTTCGATGTCGTGGGCGCGAAGAAAGCGGGTTTGAGGGCTGTATGGGTTGATAGGGAAGGTAAGGGGTGGAGTGATGGGTTGGGGGAGGGGGAGGAGTGGGGAGGACCGGACTTGGTAGTTGGGGGGTTGGGGGAGGTGGTGGGGGGCGTGAGGGGATTTGTGGGGAGGTAGAGAGAACATTGGAGAGGAGATCATGGTGGAGCGGGAGAGTAGGGAGAGTAAGTGAACTTTCAGAGTGCAGGACCTTGGATCGCGATTGTTCTGCGTGAAGGAGGCGCCTTCCAAAGTTCCAGCGGCAGAATCTCTCGAGGAGAGCCGAAGGTCGAAAGGGGGTTGCAACGCAATTGATGGCGCTAGAAAGTTCGCAAAAATGAAGTTCTCAATGCCTTGCTGCAGGAATTCGAGACATCTCATCGTCCATCATCGAAGTGGAAGTATAACCTTCCGGGAGCCCAATTTAACGGAGATTTCATCTCAACGGAAAGGGATCGATTTTGCTGCTGGATAAAATATCCAAAGATATGTGGTCAACGGTTTGCTGGACAAGCGACAAGTAAGATCACGGACATATCAGAAGCATGATTTCACGTATGCAAAACACTCTTTTGACTCCTTGAATTGCATGCGAAAGACCAAATCATCTGCATGGAGAAAGCCGTGGTCTTGAGATTGGATTAGACAGAAGAGGTAACCTCACATTCACACCTGAAGTGAGGAGGTAACACTGATTCAAATGATGTGTTGGTCGTCATTGCGATAGATGTGCACTGAAAATTACTCTCACCATCTACCAACGATGATGGTGAAGTGAAAGTCGAACCTCTTGGGGCTTTCATTCTTCAAATATGGCCGTCAGCTTTGCAATTGCCTCAAATATGGATAAAATAGTATTCATATTCCTTCATGGGTAGTACGACACGAGGTGGCCAATCCTCACCTCAGCATTCAGTACGACACTTCGAAAATCTCATTGTCACTCACTTTTCTGCTCTTCAACACCTGAGCGGTGATACGCATTCGTTTTGTTCTTATTAATATCTCGCCCTATTACTACATTCTTTTCAACCACTAATCGTACCTTCTTTGATAGCGAAATCAACATCATCATCGTTGGTCCCCAGCACAATGCCAGGCATAACGGACCTCTACATCTCCTTCACAAACGACATGATATCCCACCACGAACGCAGCGGCACCATCCACCGCATCTCACGCGCAAACATCGAGCGCATCCTCCTCCGCGAGCTAGACAAAGGCAAACTGGCCGTCGACTACAAGCTGAGCTGGTACCATGCCGTACGTCCCCTCCCCTCCCCTAGCACTCACCTTTCGTCACACCCCTCTTATCCAAGTCATAAAACCCTTCCCCTTCCCCCTCTTTCAACTGACTAACAGCTCCCTTTCCCCAGGTTCTCCAAACCCCTTTATTTGATTCCCTCTGGTACTCAAACCAACTCCGCCTCAAACTCCCCGAGTCCGCCACCCAGCGCTACACCCCCGACGAGACACTGACATCCTACTCTCTCACCTCCCCAACCACTCCGCAGTTTCGCCACCATCCCAACAGCATGGCCCCACCCCCAAAATACCCCCTCTCCACCTCATCGACCGATAAGAACAACCCCTACGCGAAGAACTACCCCCGCGAACACGCCTACCGCAACCGCTCGCCTACGCCCAGCATCTCGCTCGTGTCGGGCACGGAAACGAACGCAACGGAGGAGAGCGAGGAGTATGATGAGGATGCAGTGGCGTTTGCTGAGCTGCTGGGCCAGGGGGTGTCGAGGCAAGGGGAGCTTTTCGAAGAAGGCGGCGACGGCGACGGCGAGGGGCAAGGGGAGGGGGAAGGAGGGGTGGGTGATAGAAACGGATTGCGGAGACAGGAGGGCGATGATGGCGCTTTTGGCTCCGGCAAGGGAAGTGCGGGAAAGAAGAGGAAGGCTAGTGTGAGTCGGGGACGCACGGGGAAGGGGAGTAGGGGTACGGGTAGGAAGGCGAAGGGTGTGAGATTTCAGTGAGTTGAAGAAAAGAGAGAGGAGAATGGGGAGAGGGAAGAGACCAGTAGTTGGACTGATTATATTTGGGGACTCTGTCATGTCATTTGGATGCGGTACCCAGCGGGACTTTCTCTGATAAGGGGGTATAAATAATTTGCGAATCGGTGGAGGGGGAGACGCAAGTCCGGGGTTGTTGATATGAGGTTTGAAATTCTGGAGATACGCCAGAGAGCTTTTCAGATGAGAGCGAGGGGCGGAAGCAGTGAGATTCTGCTATTTCCTTCGCTCTCTTGTCTTCGTTGCAAAAAAGAGTGAGGCTACGTCCTCTGACACCATGACAGAAAGACAGCAGTAGCAACATAGAACGCGACAGTCACCAATTCTTGCAAGCGAGATACGCAAACTTCAGGATGGACGACGCAATAGAAATTTGAGAAAACAAAGCGATGCACAGAAAGCAAGCGTGTCAGAAGCAGAGCTCTGCTTTTCCTTACCTGTGTCCATAGCTGTGATCTCTATATACACATCTATGTCCGCTTTTCATATTTATAGCGTCCGTTTCTCCACGATCTCATCATAACTCTGCACCTGATCGCCGACCCTGAAGCCTGCCCAATTCGTGAAGCTCATGCCGCACTCGGTGCCTTTACGCATTTCATCGACGTCCTTTTTGACGCTTTTGAGGGAGGAAAGTTGTCCTGGTGCATCGTCAGTATTCACTACTCTCCTCCCCACCCCCCATGAACGAGGAGAATCTGCCGCAGCAGGGAAAGATGGGAGACTTACCATGATAAATTACATCCTTATTCCTCAGCACCCTGATCTTCCTCCCCTTCCCAACAACACCATTTCGAACTTTGCACCCCGCCACAGGCTCATATTTCCTCCCCTTAACATTGATATCGAAAACCTGCGCAATCTCCGCCTCGCCAATGACTTTTTGCGTGACCAGTGGAGCGAGCTTCTCAGATAGAACGGCTTTCACTTCATCGACGAGTCGGTATATGATGCTGTGATCAATGATCCTGACGCCCCTCGCTTCTGCGGTGTGCCTGATTGCGTTATCGATCTGGGTGTTGAAAGAGATGATAGAGCCAGAGGCGGCAGCGGCATGGTCGATGTCGAACTCGCTAATCGGGCCGACGGCGCCGCGGAGGACGTGTGGACGTACTTCACTGTTGCCAACGCCGGAAATGTAGTTTGTTACTGCTTCAAGGGAGCCGGAGACGTCAGCTTTGAGGATGAAATTGATTTGCTGCAATTTGGGCGCTGCTGGTGTTGTCGCTTTGTGTGTGGCTTCAGCTCCAGTATCGATGGGGGTGGAGTCACTCGACTTCGATTTTGCAAGCTCTTCGGCTTTCTTGAGGTCTTCGCGCTTTTCCTGCTCCAATCGCCGAGATTCGTTGATGGCGGCAATGTCGGTCGCAGATTGCTGCCGCGTGGCAAGCTCGAGTCGATAGTCAATTACTGATTTTGCTTTTGCCTCGTCGGGCGCCTGGATCATTTCGTCTCCGGCGGTGGGCTGCTCTCGCCATCCGTCGACTTCGATGGGAGTGCCTGGCCCTGCAGACTCGATGATGACACCGGCTTCATTGCGAAGGCATCGTACGCGAGCCCAGGATGTTCCGGCAACAATGATGTCGTTCGGACGAAGCTGGCCTCGACGTACGAGTACGGTCGCTGTTCGACCTGCTCGCTTCGTCGTGCCCTCCAATACCCAACCTTCTACTTGACCTTCAGTTTCGGCTCGTCTGTCGAGAAGATCGGCAAGTGCTACCGTAGCTTCTTCTAGCTCTTCTATTCCTTCTCCTGTCTTGCCACTAACCGGTACCGTCTGGGTGTCGCCTCCAAAATCTTCAATTTCGACTCCGTGGCGCGCGAGGTCACTTTTGACACGCTCGATATTTGAGTCTTCCTTATCAACTTTGTTGATGGCGACAATCATAGGAACTCTGGCGGACTGAGCGTGCTTGATGGCTTCAATGGTCTGGGGCATTACGCTGTCATCTGCCGCAACGACCAGAATTACGATATCGGTCACGTTAGCCCCACGCTTTCGCATTGCAAGAAATGCTTCATGACCAGGAGTATCGAGGAATGTAACGAGTCTACCGCCGGGCATGCGCACGGAGAAAGCCCCAATGTGTTGAGTGATGCCGCCGTGCTCAGATGCTGCTACAGAAGACTTACGCAGGTAGTCTAATAGTGTAGTCTTTCCGTGGTCAACGTGGCCCATAATAGTCACGACTGGTGGCCGAGCTGGAAGCACTGACTGATCCTCTACTGGTGGCAAAGGCTTGAGGTCCTGATCCTCCGGCTGATCCAGTACCGCCTCAAAATGAAACTCTGCAGCAATCAGACTAGCGGTTTCGGCATCCAGGATGTGATCGTGGTTGAGTTCATCAAATCCTAACTCTTTCATCTTCCTCAAGAACCCATCCACCCGGACCTTTAGGAGTGGGGCAAGATTTGAAACGCTGATGAATTCTGGTATGTAGACAGGCTTTGGCGGTCCTGCCTGTATTTGAGCTGCTTTGGCTCTCTTTCTCTGCTCCAATCGTTCTGCTTTTCGCTTTGATCGGCTCGAATCCCCTTCTGCCTCTCCGGCATCCCATTCAGCGTTTCGTAAAACACCACCACGTTTAATTTTTCGTTGACGGGCAAAATCTCTTTCAGGCTTTTGCTTTTGATGCATCATGAAAGCTTGATTTTGTGCGGTCTGGGGTGCAGCTTCATCAGCAAATGAATCATCAAAGAAGATTCTAGGATCCGTTTCAAGATCTTGGTCGTCGGGGAAGGCTGTTGCAGGGGGGTTTTCTCGCTCTGTGATTGGCCTCCAATCGACGACAAGGGCCCTCTGCTTTGTGCCCAAGCAGGATTCGGATTTGCATCTCCACCCAGACTCCTACGCGGTCCGCCAAAAGTACCGCCTGGAAGAGAACTCTCCCTTATCCTACGCTCTTCGTCGACTCCTCTTGCAAAATGAGATGAGTCTTCACCTGCATCTTTAGACTGGTCCCTGGGAAAATTGGGTCTGTGAGGAAGCTGGCTAGTAGGTGGAAATGACATGCGTCTGGATGCACTTTCGTCTCGCCCTCTAATTTCATCACGAGGCGACCGAGACTTAGCTCTACGAGGGCGAGGGCTGCAACTTTGACAGGTCTCTTGGCTACCGTCATTGAGTGTATTACATTTTTTGCACGTCCAATCAGATTGCCAAGTTCTTCGAGCCTCGTTGCTGGTATAAGAAAGTCGAAATGCATGACAACTCCGGCACATCTGTGTTGTGCGACTGTTCTCATGTCCACAACCGCATGTCCATTCACCACCAAGTCTCCGAGCCGGAGTTGTTGAGTATGGTTTCAGTCTCGAGGATGGAGGGTTTGTTTGTGTACTACTTCGGTCCACAGGAGCGCGCTCATAATTTGTGCTCTGTGTTGAGGATACAGATTTTGAGAGACCATCCAACAACGATGCGAGTTCACTCCCTGTAGATTGCCGTTGTGGTTCTTGTCTTCTAGAAAAATGATCTGACGCTTTAGATTGTCCGCTATCTGACCCCCTTTGCAAAGGCCTGTTGGCCGCGCCCTCCCATCGGGGCCTCGACTTCGGTGGGTGTTGCCACCCATTTTCGGGCCACTGTTCCTGCTCATGGTCTATTTCTTGTCCTCTTGCACCAGATGGTGGTTTTCTTTTAGTTGCAGTGGTACGGAATAGACGCCTCTGATTTCGTGTAGCAGCGTGAATGGTCGGGAGTTGGAGTCGAGTGGCGCAGAATATACAAACATTTGTCGGCGTAGGAACCTGTCAATCAAGTCTCAGTATTGAGAAGTTCTCTCGATATTATCAACATACCTTCAGGACTTGACTGCTCATCATGCAGCGATGTTCCCGTTAAGGCGAAGCATTCAGAATTGAGGATAATTATTTTAGTTCAACTACGGACCTAACCCCTTATCGCCGATAGGTCACTCTCACGACCGATTTGTTGTCTCCAATACAGACCCCCTGCTAGGGGCCTTTTTAGTGTTGTTGATGTGAGTCCCCGCAGGGGGTCTGCACCGGAAAGTCGAGGTTCCCGGTATTTTTGATTCTGAGAGCTTCTTAGTCTTTGAACTTCAACCTTTAAGAAAAAATTATTATTTTCTTCCTACAACTGGACGGCTACGACTCGGGGTGAGATCTTTTGATTCTCTATATAAATTACTTAAGGAGAAAAAATTTCTCTTAAATTTCAGAAAATTCTAGTTGCAAAGCAAAATTTTTTTTTTTTTAATACAAAATTTTTGAATCAACAATAACTTTTGAAGCTTTCAATTTTTTTCAAATCTTAAAAAACTCGGCGCGAGATTATAATATGTTATATCCCAAACATATATATACATAGATTTATATGTGAAAGTGGTTGGGAACCAACTTCAAACGAAACCGATGGGACACGAAGCTGAAAATCTAAAAAACACGACTTTCCGGAGCAGGCGTGCTCAAAGAAAAGGCCGCGAAGCGACTAAGTCTTTTCTGGCCTAGCTTGCTAGGCTAGCACGCCTTAGGAGGCAACCGATTTGCCTATAGCAGAGACATACAAAATACAAAATGAAGCTCAGTACACGCGGTGTATAGACGTTGGTAGCATATGGGTATCTCAACAAAGTGGTTGGCAGACCAAAGCCTCGATGCTACATGATTCAGTGGAGCGTATCTCTATTTCAAAAGCCCTTGACGCCGGCAAGCCTTGATTTAGGACCAAAGTCTTGGTTTAGGACTGATCTCGGAGTAAGAAACAATCACCCATCGTGACAAGGACGCAGCCGAGCATAATTTGACCGAGAGGCGTCTTATTCGCTGCCATGGGGCACACGAAATCGAATCGCCTGCATAGTGCGGAGCGTATGGACAAGTTTTTTCGGCGAGCCCTGTCGTACACTCACTTATCGGACCGATCGCTCCCGATACTCCTTCACTTCTTTGTCGATAGCAAACACCACTTCAACAGCAATCAGCAGAATGATGATCCACTCAAGTCTGACCCCATGCTTCTCGCTCAGTTGTTGCCTCAGAACACTTGCAATTTCTTGCGCGTAGTCCATTTTCTCATTCAGGACCTTGATACGGATATTGGTGTCGAGGGCCTTGCCCACCTGGTCGTAGTAGCCCTCAAGACCTAGCTCGTGCCGGCTATCCCAAAACAAGTCTGGGAGGGAATCTGTTAGTTCCGAGTAGAGGTTCAATTGAGCTCGGATGCTAAGTAGCTGTCCCGTTTTTTGAAGGATGAAACTGCGCGTGAATGGCAGACGTCCACCACGTGAAAGCACCTCTGGGATTGATCTAGTAGACTCGAAGTAGTTGCTCAACAAGCTTTCTAGTACAGCGAGCTTCGTTGATCTCGCCAGTCCAGATGAAAAGGCGATCTTTGCAAGCACAGTGTCAAGAGTCCGGCTCGGAGTTGTATTCACGGCTTCGCTGTAAGTGGGAACCTTGTTATTCTTGCCATCACCTGCTTGCAGATCTGAACGAGCTTGAGCAGGCTGTGGCTTTGTGCCAAGTACTATGCGATCGCCTTTGATACTGCTGTTTTCTCTGTTTGCGTCTTCCACGTACTCAAGATCTTCTTCTTCGACTTTGCTCAAAGGCGCTGTAGCCGCAGGCCGGAGCGCGCCTGATACTAGACTTTCCAAAGTTGCATCTGGGATATCCCAAGCGACTATCGTCCCTGACGGAAATACAAAGAGATCCCCAGTGGTCCAGAATGTTTCACTTTGGTTGGAAGGGGATATCTGCACAGGAAGGGCGACGTGGACTACCTGAGGGTAGAGATCTGTGCCGCAGGGGTCAAGCTCATGGCCGAATCCCTCCAATATGCGCGCAATATGAGCGATGTCGTATTCTTGGGCTGTACATATTGCCGTCACAGTCTGTGCGGCGACGCGTCAACAGAAAACTCCTTGAAATTGCCCAAGGATCCCACCTACTTTCAATGCATCTGGCCCCGCCGACGATCCTTTTTGGTGCTCTTTGACATCTCGAGACCTCTGGGCCTCCACCGCTACCCGTCTCAAAGAATTCGCGGCAGCGGAAGTTCTTTTCGTCTTTCTCTTTGTAGATGTGGTGTTCTCGTTCTTTCGTGCCTCTTTTAACTCTGACTTCAAGACGCTGTTCGAAGAGAAGAAGTCTTTACGTCTCTTGGCAAGCAGGCGGCCCCCAGAATGAAAAAGGGAACACCTCGCGCCGGCGAGGCGTAAGGGTTCATTGCTTGTGGTTATGAGTGAACTGTACCGTCGAGCGAAGCACAGGGTCGAATTTCGTGGAATATGGCGGCACAAGCCAAACATAGCACATTGTCAATGTCCAGGACTCGTGAAACTTCTCTGTCTTCGGTGCCTCTGCTATCAAAATTTTCGTAAGGCTCCAGATGTCGGCAGATGACGTTTCTTGGCGTCTGAAGTGCCGCTCTAGTTACTCTTCTGGTTAGCTTGAGATTGAAATATTATCAGTATAAAATTCATGATTACATAAGCGGTAACCTATCGTAGTTGCGGAACATCGTACAAGGACGGTACAACAGTTCTTGTTACCAGCGGTTGTCAGACTTGCATCATACATTCTGAAGATGGCGTGCGCTCGCCAAATTTGATTCGTCGGATTGAACGCTGTTCCAGTTTCAACATCAACGCTGATCCCCTACAGAGCAGATCTTTTGTCGAAAGATAACATCTAAATCCTTTGAAATTCTGAGACATCCCGCATCTTCATCTACGTCCTACTAAACCGCCATCATGGGGGAGATCTTAACCTGAAGAAATCCTGGCATCCTTCGATTCTATCTAATCAGAAACGTACATATGAAGCAGAGCAAAGAGCACTCCAAGAGCGCAAAAAAACGCAGGAAAGGATCAAAGAGCTTCGGCAAGAACGCCAGATTGAGGAGCTGCAGCAGATGCAACAGACAGCAAACGGATCACAGAAATTAGAGAGGGTCGATTGGATGGTGAGCACAATCACAACACCCATAGGCAAAGAAAAATACGGGCTGATTCATATAGTACTCAGGACCAACCACTGGACAATCCGGTACAACAGAAGAAATGGAAGGTTATCTACTGGGTAAGAGGAGGATTGATTCGCTTGTTAAAAGAAATGACGAGAATTTAGAGGAAGGGGCCTATAAGAATGGGTTTACAGCTCCAGGGAATATGAATTCGGTCCGTGATACGGCTCGCAAAATCCAAGAAGATCCAATGTTAGCGATCAAAAAACAAGAACAAGCTGCTTATGAGGCTTTGACAAACGATCCTGTGCAAAGACGTCTGCTATTGAAAGCTGCGGATCGGGACGTTGACCTTCAACGAAAAGAGGACCGGCACCGGCACCGGCACCGGCATCATCACTCTGGTCACAGAAAACGCGACAGAAGTAGAGGACGAGCCGACAGAGAAGAGAGGCACAGCGCCGAGAATGAATATCGCCGCAGAACTTATCATGAAAACTCTCGGCGCCGCTCTGCTAACTCACCAACATACGACAGCCGGCGGCGATCCTCTCCTACTAATCATAATCGCCGGCACCAACGCTCCTCCCCCCATTCCGTTCTCGTTCTCCAATTCGTTACGACGGTCATCACACTAACAAGGATACCGCTTCTAAATCCGCAGAAGAGAGAGCCGCCAACCTCGCAAGCATGCAATCCACAGCCTCAGAGCTAGAGATTTCCCGGTCGGCACGGCTCAAAGCGATCGAAACGCAGGAGAAAGCCGAGTTGGAAATAGAGGAGAAAATGAGGGCGCGGAATGCGAAAAGAGGCGACGAGAAAGGCGCTTTCGTGAAAGCGATGTCGCGTCAAATAGGGGACCTGGGAATAGAGGAACAAGTGAGAAGAGGTAGAGGAGGGTTGGAGAAGATCGGAAAGGAAGAGGATGATGTGTAGATGACAAGACATTGTCTTAGGACCGTGTTCCCAGGGATAATATGATAGCACCACTTGATCCCCTGCTACTAGTGTTAATTTTAACGTACCTTGCCTTGCTTGCATACCTACTTAGACCGTCAGGCACTCACCCCTGGCTCGGACAGGGGTTCGCCCGGGGCCGATTTTTGTTCCCTTGGCACAAATCCGCGGATCATCCATCGGTGAGAACCAGAGAGAGGTATAGACATTGAAAGACGTAATGCCACTGCATTCGAATGGCGCAAGAGGGTGGAAATGACGATAGAGAAGACGAAGAAATCACGAAGGTTGCTTCTAATGGCAAGCTATCCAATCCAGACGCAGAGGCGCAGGACGATGCTTCTGAGGAGGAAGAGGAAGAGGAGGAACCTCGATTGAAATATGCGTCCTTGACTAGGCATCTCAGATCAGTCTATCGGAATGGAGACTCCACTAGTGCCTTCCTCGTCGCTGGAGACAAGATGGTAAGCTTCGTTCCAGCATCAATGAGGTCTTCTAGCCACTTACCAGCGCTAGCTTGTTGGAACTCATAATGGCCACATTGTGAGTAGCTTGGTCATTCTCCAGTATGGTGACTGAATTCTCAGCATACTTTATCATTGCCATTGTTCCAGTCGATCCGCTCTTTTCGCGCTCATCAAGCGTCGATCACATCGGTCTCAGTATCCCCATTCCCGCCCCCGTTGGCCGCTACAAAGGTCGAAGGCCATCACCAAAAGCCAGCACACAAGACGAAGGCTCCCACTCCCTCAGCTCCAAGAAACGCCAAAGATTCACCGCAAAGCAAGAACACTCAACAGCCACCTGTTCCTCTAATACCATCGAACGCTATATTCATAGCCTCCTCCTCAATAGACGGTCATGTTTTCGTGACATCCCTCACAGATCCAAAAGATGTACAGCTGCGGAATTTTGGAAGACCTCTTCATGCTGTCGCGTTATCACCAGAGTTCAAATCAGATCGATCATATTTGTCAGGAGGTCGTGCAGGTAGCTTGGTTCTGACCGTTGGAGGCCAAACTGGTACAAAGTCAGACGCTACGACTACTGGCGCTGCCGCGTCGGCCTCAGGATGGCTGGGTTCAATTGGTCTGGGATCAAATACTGGCAAGGATCAAGTCCTACATTCAGGAGAGGGCGCAATCAGTTGCATAAAATGGTCTCTGTCAGGCAAGTACGTTGTATGGGTCAATGAGCATGGCATCAAATTCATGAGGTCAAATCTGCATCTTGAGTCCATGGAATCCGACTTAGCTTGGAAGCGCATGAAACACATTGATCATCCAAACCGCCCAGGGTGGGATGAATTGGCTGGGATATGGAAAGCTCATGTCGAATGGATCGATGAAGCAGGACTGGAGTCAGACGAGTTATTTCCGACGAAATCACCAAATGATGGTGTAGCAGAGCCAGCCGACATTGAACGCCTCAGGATGACCCAAAAAAGCAGGACGATAGAGAAACTTGTTGTAGGATGGTCTGGAACCATCTGGATTGTCAATGTGCACCCTGCTGGTGCAAAGACAGCAAAAGCGCCCGCTCAGGACAGAGCTGGACTTGTAGAGCTTATTACGATGTATGTAACGCTTGCATGCCTATCATACGACTTGCCTAACCCGTTGCTAGTTTACGAATGGACTGTATTATATCTGGAATTTCGCTATATACCCCAAAACTATTGCTTATACTTGCTTATGTTACACCAGAAGAGGATACTACCCAAAAGACGACGAAACGAGGGCTCTCCCGGCGTCAGAATGCTTCACAACCCGAAATGAGGATAGTCGATGTTACAACTAAGAAAGAAGTCAGTGTGGCGGACACGCTTCACATTACTCGCTACGAGAGCCTTTCTGCCACAGACTACCACTTGAGCGTCTTGCCCGCCATCCGCATGCGCACCAACACTGCGAACCAGCGTGGAACGCTGGAAGCTATTGGTGGTGGCATTGAGGCTATCGGCGGTGGCATTTGGGATGCAACCATGTATCCGACCAAACTCTTCAGCAGTAGTGCTAGTGTTCGGAGCAGGGACAGTACCAGCCCCAGTAAAACAGGCAGCGAAGCAAACGCCATAACGGACCTTAAAGCTGCTCAAATAAAATATCCTAAAGCTTTTCAAACACAAGAACCCAAGACCACACAGCTAGAAGACTCACCAGATCCGTCCATCTTGACGCATGGGATGAAGATTTTTATTCAAAGTCCTTACGATTGTATCATTGCAACGAAGCCCACCCTACCTGATCATTTCATCTGGCTAGACAGCCACGCAAGATATGAGGAAGCGTGGAATCTGTTAGATCGTAGTCCGGAGGCGGCAGCCACTGCTCCAGAAGACCGACTTTCCGACCGCTCTCCCAGCACTCCTACAGATAATAGCCTAAGTGATTTCTTTGCAGATGATCAGTCTTTGGTGGCTCCCTCAGAGAAGCAAACCATTCAGCTTCGCGCCAAAAAGGAAAAGATCCGTGTTGGAGAGCGTTGGGTCGATCAGCTCGTCACCACCCAGGACTGGGAAATTGCTGGTAAAATATGCGGTCAGGTTCTGGGTACTCCTTCTGCTTGGGAACGGTGGATCAGGGTTTTTGCCCAAGCGGACAAGTTTGATGATATAACACCATTCGTGCCTTACGACCATGATCAGGGTCCTCTTAGTCGCCCTGTGTACGAACTTATACTAGGTCATTACGTATCCCAAGATATACCACAATTCTGTGACTTACTCAGACGATGGCCCCCTGAGCTCTTTGACGTCGACAGTATTATTGAGACTATCCATGGCAAATTCAAGTCTGGAGAAATCAGCGAAGATTCGGTGGAAGACAATGAAGCGGGTAGAGACTGGCGTCTTCTCATGGAAAGCCTAGCAAGACTCTATTTGGCTGTTGGCCGACCTCGAAAGGCACTTCGCTGCTACATACGCCTCCAAGATGCTGATGCAGCAATGAGTCTTATATCTGAAACGCACCTCGTCGAAGCGGTAGCAGATGACATCCCAGGCTTCATTCTCCTCCGTGTGAGCAAGGATCAACAGCGTACCGCTTCATTGTCTGATCTTGCCGAGCTCACACTCGAGCCAATTCGTCTTCTCGTTACAGAAGCGCATCGTGGTGTCGTTCTCCCCGAATCAGTCATCCACCAACTCAATAGCCGCTACAGTACGCCCAATCCATACCTATTCTTCTACTTCCGGGCTCTGTGGCATGGTGATACCTCAACTGATCAAACCACCTCGAGATCCACACCCAAAGAAGAGCGTCTCTTAGTTCAAGAAGGCAAAAACCTCGTTTCTGATTACGCCGACACGGCCGTCGCCCTCTTTGCTGAATATGACCGTGACCTACTAATGACATTCCTCAAAGCCTCTCAATCCTACACTCTAAGCTCTGCATCCAAAATCTGCGAGCAACGCAACTACACACCTGAGCTCGTCTATCTCCTCTCCAAAGAAGGGCGCACAGCGCAGGCACTACGTCTTATAATCGACAGCATTGGCGATGTCAGCCAAGCCATTCAATTTGCCAAGGAACAGCACGATCCTGCCCTCTGGGACGACCTGATCGAAGAAAGCATGGACAAACCCTCTTTCATCACAGGCCTACTGAAAGAAGTCGGCACATCCATCGACCCGCTCAACCTGATCCAGCGTATTCCCTCAGGCCTAGAAGTGCAAGGTCTGAAGGATGGCTTGCAGCACATACTCCGCGAATTCGAGGTCCAAGAGAGCATCAGCCGTGGCGCAGCAAGAGTACTCCGAGGTGAGATCAACCGTGCAATGCAAAGTCGTTCTTCAGGGTTGCGTAAAGGGATCAGATTCTCCGTGGCCGCGCATTCGAAGGGCAAGAAGCAGGCCACCAATGCCGGGCCGAAAGAGATCAAGGCAAAAGATATAAAGCCCGGACATTGTGCGGGCTGCGGCGACGCCATCAACGATCGAGGTATGTGTTTTCCCCACTCTACTTTTCAAGGCTCCACTCCGCTGCACCTCACCCGCCCATTTTCGCCACTCTCCCTCTCCCTTCCACCCCCTCTCCCTTCCACCCCCTCCCCCGTCCCACCCGCCCGACCCCACCCAGCTTTCAAAACACCTAACTAACCCCCCGACCCAGACTCTCACCAAGCCTACCTAATAGCCTTCCCCTGCGAACCCCACCCCCACACATTCCACCTGTCCTGCCTCCTACGCCACGCCTTCCCGCCCGGCACCGAGCCTCCCTCAATTCTCCGTGAATTTCTCGAACCCTCCGATCCCGATGACGACGACGACTGGGCTGAGCACGCATGGGATAGAAGTGTGGGGCCGAAGGTTGATAGAGCGAGATTGATTGGGACGGTGCTGGGGAAGGGATGTCCGCTTGAGGGTGAGGCAGGGGAGGGCGAAGAGTCGTGAGATGGGTGGGAAAGGTGACGGGGAGTTGGGGAGAAAGAGGGAGCGGTGTAATGGTGCACAACGGGAGGGAAGATAGAGCACAGGGGGGATCACATGCTGCATAGCCAGGCGTTTGCATAGGTGGGCACCTTTCCATCATATCCCGCACCCGCGCACAACTCAATGAAATCCAAATTCAAACTTCCACAAACGCAAAAATCGCTGACGGGAGCATCGTGATGGTCATAACTTCATTATCATTCCCTATACGCTAATCATTCCGACTGACGCTTCTCATTAATCAAAAAAACCAAAGCACTTTTCCATTTACCGTCGACGCCTAAGCCATCACTCACACCAAGATCCCAAAATACCGACCACCCAAACTCCTGACAGGAAACCTCATCTGCCACTCGCACGCACATCTACCACATCGCCTTCCCTCACAACGTACCATCTCACCATCATCATATAAATACTGTAATGCCATCATATCTACCCTATTCCCTCTTCACAGCGCGCGTAGCCCTCTCTGCCATCGCACGGAGAAAAGGCACAAAGACCCAATCAAATAGTAAGATCCCGAGCGCAGTAGACACAGCAATGGAGAATTCCTCGCGTCTGGTAAAGCTGGACGCGTCGCCACGGACGGGCTGGATCGGGGCTGCTGCTCCAATTGTCGTCGACGTTGGTGTGGGCGTCAGTCTCGGCAGCGTGGAGTTGGCGCCCTGGGGGATGCCTGCATTCGCAGCCGTGCCGATGAGCTTCGGGGCAGGGATGATGGGGACGGGTGCTGGTGCTGGTGTGATGATGGAGATGCTGGTATTGGCGGGACCTGTCGTGGCAGTGGCGGATTGGAGGGCTGCGCTTGCGGCGGCGAGGAGTGAGGAGGCTTGTGTGAGTGTTGCTGTTGGGACGATGGGGATTGGACTGAAGTGCACGGCTGTGAGGCAGTAGTCTGGGATTGTGGTGATGGTCACAGTGACAGTGATGGTTGAGACCGCTGCCGGAGAGGCAGTTGTGTTTGCGTGGCGAATGGTGTGTGCACGGGCTTGGAGTTTTTGCTGTTGGGGTAGTCAGTGGAGTGAGCATATGAGAGGGTCGAGGAGTGGCTTGCCGTGTCTTGACCGCCGCAGGCGTTCTCAGGGACGCTGGTCGTAGTACTTTCTTTCTCGCCATTTGCACGGGCTTGGAGGGTTTTCTAATGGGGCAGTCAGTGGAATCAGCATATGAGGAGCGTCGAGGAGTGGCATACAATGTTTTGGCCACTGCATGGTACATTGATGGTGCTGGTCGTAGTACCTTCTTTCTCGCCATTTGCACGGGCACGAAGAAGTGGGAGAATTTCCCTTGCTGCTTTATGTAAGTACCTTGACGGACGCTGCTGGTGCTGTGGATTCGGATTACCTACTTGGCTCAGAGGCAGCTTGGTTGGAATCTGGTGAGCACTCCATGTAGCAGAATGTGTGTTGATTTCGTTCGATGAAACAGCTGATCTCGCAGCCATCTTGAGACAAGGCTATCTCGTGCAACCCATTGAACCGTGGTGAGAGGGCTGGCTCTTTCAGAGAATTGACCAGAGTGAATGAGGCCAGGAGGGTGGCGAGAGAGGCAAGGCGTGGGAAATGCATCCTTGACGTTGTGCTTGATTGAACTAATTGATGCAGGCGTAGTAAAGCGATGTAAGAAACGATGGAATGATGCAGAAGCTATGCGGTGCTTGGATGCTTGTGATTGAAAGATGTTGGTTGAAGAAAGAAGAAGAAAAGAAGAGGAAGACAGAAAGTAAATAAAGCAGCAGAACCTGGGACGTGACTGCTCGTTGTCATGCTGGTCATCATCGAAAAATGTTCTTCCGGTCGCGCTCCTTCCTCTCCTGCTGTCAAGGCTTGTTGCCAGAGCAGTCCACCAAGAAGGCGCCTGTGTTCATACTGCGAGGGCAAATCGGCAGCCGTTTCCACGACTGGTGTATTCAATTGCAGATTCACTGGCTCTATAGGCCGGTGGCTCTGCGGAAAGATCGGAAGTCAGTGTCGTCGTCAATCGAACCGCTTCCAAATCCGGGCATCACGTCATTGGAGTGTTGACAAAATTCCCATTTCTTAAACAAACATTCACAAGCACCCTCCATTGCCCATTCCTGACCATAGTCACTCGCTTGTTCCTACTCACATTCTTTTTTGACAGTTGCCTTGTTTTGAGGTGAACAATCGCGTTCACGAGCGGTCATTGACGATGCGGGTTTTCACAACGCTGTTGGTGGTTGCCTTCGCAATACCAAACATATCAGCGAAGCCATGGTGTATGTTACACACTTTGAATGCCATGCTTGTGCTGGCAGTGATGCTCAAGTCCTTTCGCTGACGTTGTAATCAGACAATTCACTAGATCGCCGATGGCCAGGTAGGTTGTGAATGCATTACACGGTCTACCTTTCACATGTTCGACTGTAGACATTGCTCTCATCCAATCTTCATCATCACCCCCATCGAGTCCTACTTATTGTCAAAATGAGCTGCGTAGGCTGACTCTTCTTGATCAGACAGTAAGGACGCCGAGAAGGACTCTGATGCATCATCTGTCACCGACACTTCCATCACGGCTCTGCCGGCCAAAGACCTCTCATCCTCTTTGCCGCAGAAATATATCGACAAAGATAAGATCTCTTCAATCCTGTCTCTGAGTAAAGATGACAAGCCTCTCCGGACAACCGATCCCTACAATGCCGACAAAGACAAAGGCAAAGATTTGACATCTTCCCAGATTACCTCTCAACTCAACGATAAGTCGTCTTTAAATATCGTCTCTATCAGAAGGTCCGGAATCTCGTCAATTGTCACCCCAACACCGAGTAAGGATCAGTCGAGCGCTTTGACTACACAAGGAAGTCAACACAAGCCTACGTCCACGCTTGATATTGTATCCGGGACGGCTTCGAAGGATGCTCCCTCAACAGGTGTGGTAGTAACCAACCCCACCCCTAGATCCGACAAGGACAAGGATAGTACAAGCATTAATGAGGAGCTTCACACCTCGACCAAAGACGCCGGTGCCTCTTCCATTTTGGGGACTCTGCCAGGAGATGATAAAACTTCTAGCTTACCCGACAAGGACAAACATTCAACCTCGGGGTTGTCTACATTCGATATCAAAACCACGTCTGAAGCAACATTGCCGACGAATGATAAGACTTCATCTACCGCTTCGACATCTGGTGAAGACAAGTCTTCCTCGTCTACATCGCAGACAGTAATTGTCACATCTTCGCCATCATCAACATCAGACAAAGACAAGGCTTCGTCAAGTGTTCCAACAACACTGAAGGACGTATCCTCAAGCTCTTCATTTACAGGGAAGTCGAGCACTTCAAAGTCGGGCAAATATGATGATAAGTCAGAATCTCCGTTCACGATCTTCTCGGATTCAAGTCTACAATTCACGGAAGCTGAGACAGCTTCGTCCTCCAACGTGACGGCATCGCTGCCTAACATCAAGCCTATCATCATCACGTACTCAATCACACTGGCCCCGGTACCCTCGTCCTCTTTGAGCTTGACGCTTGCGTCGAGTAAGCCCGAAATTTCAGCCTTCAGCAATGATATCGTCCTTAGCGAGTCGACTGTCCCCTCCAAAGAGCTCAATACCCATACAATCTCCTCAATGCAACGCCCTAGCAATCCTTCAGGCTTTTCAAGCAAACCCGAGCAACCCATCCTGGGTACCGCTGTTCTGTCAAGCAAAGGATTGATGTTTCCTTCAAAACCAACGTTGACAGTCTCTTCGACCGCAGACATCACTTCATTTCCCGGGTACTCAGTGGTACCTTCACCCTCTGAAGGGGCATCGATCCCAGACAAAGGGTCCTACACTAATTTGACTTCTCCTCTTATTCCCGTCTGGACACAGCCGATGCTTGGGAATGGTTACGGGGGAGGCTTTGTCACTACTCCTTCCATTTATGTCACAAAGCTTCCTTCATCAAATGAGACGTCAATTCTCCCGCCCGGATATGGCTCCGCATCTTCTATGGCTTCTTTACCAATGACCACTAACATTTCGATACCTTCTTCCCTGCAAGAGGGCGGCTCTGGAACGCAGACTTTGAGTGGCAAGTCAGTCATTAGTCTCATCTCACTTAAGGGCGAATCAAAGACTCTCACACCCACGGGTATACTCTTCTCAAGCCAAATTGCAAGTCTGACGACCAGCCTAAGCAAATTGTTTCCAAATGTAACAGCTCCGATAGTACCCAGCAAAGATGCTGGTCTCACCTCTCTCCTGACGGCAAACAGCCATCCCTCAACTTCATCCACGCTCCCGCCCATTCTCAACAAGTCCGAGGGTGGTTCTTTTGCAATAGAATCTGAAAATACTGAGAATGACAACAAGCTGCCATCTCTGGTTAAGACATCCTCAAATGACAAGACACCTGACAAGTCTGAGCAGAAAATCCCACCTGCCACATCTCCTGCGGTAGCCGTATCATTATTGTCTTCGCTTTCTGGAAATCCGCTACACACCAACACCCCAAACCAAGCAAGTGTTGACTCGAAAAGTGAATCTAAATCAGGTGAAGCACAATTCCCACATACAACAACTGTCAGTGAAGGGTCTGCAAAACTCGAAGCCTCTGGGAAATTGCCTTTGGCTATCTTCACAACGAACAGCTTCGAAGTTTTGATAACGCCAATGTCGGCCGCTCAAAAGAGTGCTGGACCTTCTACGGTGTCTGGCAAACCAGAGAACTCGCAACTATCCCCTGGAGATAAGGCCGAAGTGTCCCCATCGTCATCTGAAGGCAAATTTGAGCCATCTCCGGTTTTCACCATCAGTAAAATTGAATTGGCAACCACCATCATCAAATCTGAAGAGTCACCGACATCCTTCACCGAGAAGCCTGAAATGGCAACCAGACCTTCCGTTGCCGCATCCGAGACGAAAATTCTTCCTTCTATTGGAAAGCCTGAAGTGTCTAGCAATCCATCAGCCGTAAAGATTGAGACATCTGGAGGATCTTCGGGGAGAAAACCAGAAGCTTCTACCTTTGAGTCTGGGGGCAAGACTGAAGGGTCGAGTGTTTCCATCCCCAGCAACATTGAAGGATCGAAGTCACCTACTGATACCAAACCCGAAGGTCTTGAGACTGAAAGGTCCAGTGCATTCGTCTCTAGTAAGCTTGAAGTATCGAAAAAATTCGTCGATAGTAAGCCTGAAGGTGTCACAACTGAGGCATTGAGTGTATCAGCCTCCAGCAAACTTGAGGCATCGACAACGCCGGCTGATAGCAAGCCTGAAGAGATCAATACCGAAGGGTCGAGTGTCCCCGTCCCCAGCAACGTTGAAGGACCGAGAACATCCACCGATAGCAAACCTGGAGGTGTCAAGACTGAAGGGTCCAATGTTCCGGTCCCAAGCAAAATTGAAGCATCAACAACATCGACTGGTGGCAAATCCGAGAGTGTGAAGTCTACTTCCCCGGCTGCCAAACCGGATACATCACAAGAAGCTTTGAGCAGGCTTTCTGAATCTTCGAAAGGGAGCCTACCATCCTCGAAGGACTCCTTTCCTACTGGAAACATCCTATCGCCTCTCATCTCATCGGAGGTCGGATCTTCTCTACTGGGCCCCGCTCAACCTACCGCAATACCGCTGTCGGTTCCAGTGGGACCATCGAGCGTTGGCCCCCCTTGCTGTCCATGACAGCAATTGACTCAAGCGCACCCTCTTCGTCCAGCAATGTAGAAGCTTCAAATGCAGCCGTATTTTCCTCTGGTGAAATTGTCGCCTCAACCAATACCGAATTCGAGTACGAGACTTTTCCCCCTGGCGTAAGTGCTTCAGGTTCTACTACTTTGATGGGTCCAGAGGCGGAGACGAGAGGACCCAGCGTCCCATTGCAATCATTGCCATCAAGTTTTCTGTTAGGTCTGTCAGATCTTTCCGTCACAGCCGTCGCAACCTATGCAGGCGGAGCACCTGTAGTCACGCTGCCAAATGGCTCACCAGTGCAAGAGGTCATTGGTGGATCAAAGACCCTCTTGTCCTCCTCGTCTTTGCAAGAAGGTGGCCAAACCGCTTCTAGCGTCAAAGCTGAAATCGTTGCTAGTGGCATATCTGATGCACCAGCCTTCACCAAGCCCGCAGTTGTTGCACTAAGCTCGAGCGTACCGTCGAAGGTTGCGACAGGCTCTAGTGCACCTGGAGAGGCTTTCTCAGGGACTTACTTAAGTCAAGATGACACACCCCCTCTCGCCTCTGCTAGCTCAATTCAAAGCGTTAGTGGCAGCAACAAAGTACCAGCTTCTCCCTCTATTGGTGCCGAAGCCACCACATCTTCAGTTGATGTTCCTGTCCTACGTTCAGCCAACACAGCCGACTCGACGACTGCAGCAGCAAGTACCGCGGCTGACACCACTGTTCCCAGTGCATTCGGCCAATCCACCCATGTACCAACTTCGATGGGTATTGAAGCCACCTCGATAGCCATCATACCACCTCCTGAAGCTCCTACCAGCACAGAACAAAGATTGTCAGCATCTGTGGCTCCCGCCGATATGTCCTCGACTACAAGAGTAGTAGGTGGCGTCGGACCTGAGTCCACGCTGCTTGCAGGTCCGACGGCTGCTGCATTTTCTCTTGGTTTCTACTCGTCCAGCTTCTCTACAGCAACAGGATCAGGTAACGTTGGGAATGGTAGCATGCTTTTGCCACCTACCCCTACCCCTCTACCTTTCGAAGGATTCGGCAATAGACTCATCAGCAACTACAATCTCAGCCTCATTATTGCATTTACTTACTTGTTCTGGCCCGGGCTTTAAGCATACATGACATCATGACAGAGTATAATGAGCACGCGCATAGCTAACGAATTTCACATCAAAATTTCCTGGGTGAAACATCTGATTCCTATGGCTTAGAATGGGCATCTTTGCTTTGTACTAGAACTTGTGCTGTCATGGCCAACCCCAGAGATTATTCATGGGCACTACCGAAAATATGTATTTGATAATCTTAATGAATCAAACTTCATGCCTGTCCCACAGGCCCCCATTCTTCTATTGCTTGGTTTGAATTAAACAAACTTCGGGATTGCTTGCCATCAAACCGCACCTATAAGTTTCACAAGTTCTTCGTCTATCTTAACATAGCTCTTGATTCTTGAACCCTAGAGCAGACTTTCTTCGAAGCCCAAGTGTTTCGTGAACTCCTCTTGCCGTCTGCTTTTACCCTTGAATTGACTATGCTCTCTATATATATATATTCTTTTGTGTACAAGGCTATCAGTCGACGGCATTTCCGATGTTTGATGAGCACTTAGCGTGTGTGCCGCTATTTTGAACATTCCGCCCTGCAAGTGTGTTTGTGGTCTTCTGTTCTCTCGAGAATTCAATCCTATCTTTGCTCTTTTGCCTTTCCTCGTTCACTCAGACTCAGCATACATTTTCTCCTTGCTCTTTCATGCATTCGAGATTCCGATAAGCCTCCTATTCCATTGCCGCCGGGTGGCCCATTTTTCCATAGCGTCGAGTGATACGAAAAGCCTCAAACCCTGCATAATCCGTGGTTATAGGTCTCGGCTGGCAGAGATCTTCAGTTCGTTTCAGAGACGTTTAAGAAGTCTTAGTGGTACTGAGAGCATGTGCTAACACTCGCGCCGATAAGATGGGTGTGATCAAGCTGCGTCATGGAGGGAGCGTTCAGACGCAATGATTCTCTGCTTGTGGGTCCCTTCACTAGCATCATACTTGATATTTATCATTCGGAAGGTGAATAGTAGCTGATTCGGCGCTGGCATTTCCGTCAGTGGTGACAGCTAAGTCTGTGGAGAGACATGAAAGCAAGGAGATCGCTTATAGAGAGGTCAAACGACAGATACTTTGCAACAAGCCGGGGAAAACGAAGGCGTCAAAGAACATAATGGCAAGGCTGAACCCCACAGCTGATGCCTCGTCTTGTCCGTGGCTTGGTATATTGTTGCTACACTGTAATTTGATTCGGAAGAAGTACATTCCTCGTATCGCTTTCTGTCATGTCAAGACTACCGATTGGGAGTATGATGATCTGCTGAAGGCTTAAACCCAAGACAACTGAGTCAGCTACAGCAAGCGATATCCTGCCCTGAATATCTGGGCCGGATGAAGTCTGTGCAAGTGCCAGCTTGTGTAGCATTATTGAGTCGAAGGAGAGATTTCGCAAGGCAAGGCTTCTGTAATATCTTGCTACATCAGCCGCAAAGGGTTGAAGAAAGGACGGATATCACCGTGACATTTACGTGAGACTGGAGATCCTTGGGGCAAAGCTTTCATAAAATGATGAGTGGAAGGACGAAGCAAGACGTGGTACACATACTTCCTTATGGACTTGGTCAATGGGCATGTGCTGTGATCACTTTCGAACGATTATTGATTCCTACTGGGACTTCTACGATCGGAAATTTGAAGCATAGGGGCAGACAATTCTTTAATCAGTCCTTGTACGCAGTTTTCTGGCCATTTGGCTTATTCTCCTACGATGAATGGGAGATACTGGGTTTGGAAGCGGAAAAGCAGATGGAATTCTTCGCACGGTGACTTATGCAATAAAGACTCTTCAAGACCAAATACTGTCGTACTCCGCTCATCCTCAAAGGCAAGAGGCTGGGCTTGATAACATACCTTCAATTTCTTTGTCGAGATTCAGTCCTCTAATTATCTGACTTCGATTTGTTAAATGCCTCATCCCAAAGCAAGAGATATGGATCTCAATACTAGTGATCCAGGTCCCGACACATTTGTCGATGGATTTGACTCATTTCAAGTGTACGGATGATAGCTGCTACATGGACACTGCTGCAATGAGTGCCAGCCCAACTCTTTATCACAGAATATGGAGGAAGCAAAAAGACAAGCGAAGATTGAATTGCCAATTGGTGAGGAGATTGTAAGATTGGAGAAAGGGGAGAAATATGCTATCGTTGCTAACTTCCGAGCGAAATACAACTCGTAAATCAAAGACGACGCACGAAAATACTTCAAGAAGACAACTTGTCTTCACACCATTTAGAACACAGCTCTGCAAGGACGCTGTTTCAGCGCTAGCGTCGAGTCATTTTAACGATCGAACGATCCAGACTGAGAAGGGTACAGCGAATCATCATCAGCAGACATCTGTTTCCCACCCTATAGTCGAGGATGTTACCCACGAGGTAAGATGGCTTTCCCGCCCGCACTGCCAATCGATCATTCAGCACCTTCGGATTATCATGGAACCATGACGGCACCATCAATAATGACCACAGGTAAAGCCCTAGGCTTTTATACAAGGTAGTTCTTTTTCAATACTTCTCCCACCTCTAGGTATTGTGTGGTTGGCATGTTCAACGCATCTGCCGGCTCAAAAATCCGATCCCGCGCTGATCGACCTGAGCATAATGGATCAGGACGTCAATATCGAGTCCTTTAGTGTTTGGTAGTTTAATGAACGTTCTTTCGTCGATTTCAGATCTACTGCAACCTTTCCAGCTGTAACTTTTTTACTACCACTATCCTACTAACGTCTCTGCCGGCTCGGCGACTCGTATTTCATACTCAACGAGTTCTGTCTTTGCGATACCGTGTGGAGAGCATTCCTTAGGGAGGAAAAACTTCATATACTTCGGTCGATGAATATAAATGAAGGAATCAAATAAAATTTTGAATCTAGCTATGAGAGCAATATCTTTGGTTCAATCGTACTGCTTAACTCGCCTAGAAGCGATACTAAAATATCCAATTCCTAATCCTGTATAAGGGATGGTCAGCGATACTTGAGAGCCTCCGCTAACATAAAAGCAAAATAGTACAACGTATAGACTTAAATCTATACCAACTATTTCAATATAGAGAAATTTTTAGACAGGGTTGAGAACAAAATCGACAAATATTGAGCATCTAGTGTATCGAACTACTTACAGGCGCTGAATAGAAAACAACATTAACCGAAGCCCGCACGTATGGACTTCCTTGTGTGGCGTCTGGGCGACTGAGACTTCGAGTTGCTCCAGGGGCTATGCTATCGATCATAGGGACTGAAGGTTGCGTGACAATGAGACTGGAAAGATTGAGACTATAAACGACTTCTGCGTCTTCAAGTCTGGACTTTTATGTTTACATCAGCCTGTTCTTCAAAATAGATTTTGTTCGATATAACGACTCTTCTGAGGAAACAATATATCTTCGAGACCATTTTCCAGTCGAAATCTTGGAGCCATCAGACTGATTGACCAGATATGAGATCAAAAATCACTAAGCCTCTGGTCAAGTGGCGAGTGAGAGTTCCGGCGTAGAACCGAAGACTCTGAAAGCAGTCTGGATATACATCTCCACCAAATGTGAAGCAAAGGTGTATGAATTAGAGGAAAGAATAGTATATAACGCCAAGACAGCCATGAGATTCATTCCAGATGTCGACAAAGACGGCATCTGGAGCCAAAGTCTTGCTGGTTGGATTACATTTGGAGAGTGCCTCTTGATCGAGCTTACGATACTGTTGGATAATTTGGATACCTCAATGCCTGAAAGCTGTAATAGTTTCTGCCTATCTTGGCTACGTCTTGACCATTGACCTCACAGAGTTGTCAGCGAACCTTGTAATGGTCACATGCAGCTCATACTAAGAGAGCAAGCTTTTTGGCTGTTACGAATGATTATAGTCACAGCATTCTGCGTCCGGGTTTTAAGCCAAGTCTAGTTACTCCGACGATTCTATACCGAAATTTGCATTTCGAGACTCTTAAATGCACATTGAAGTCGTCTCATTGCTTGTCGTAGCACAGAATGGTTTCTCGAGCCTGGGATTCTTTCTTGCTTGAAAGCCTCTTTCACATGCGGGCTTAGAATCCCTTTTACTCTTTAGCAAACAATCAGGCTTGTTTGCCCATCTCTTCTTGGCCCCTGGTAAGTCTTTCTTGTCGGCGAGGGGCTTGTCGAGCTTGCGGCGGACGGTGGACGTGTCCTCACTTGTAGCTAGCCGGCGCTTTTCTCTTCTTCTATATCAACATTGACATCGGTAGGGAGAGAAAGCAAGGCTTATAGAAATACAGGCGACCTCAAGCACACACCAGGACTCTATACAACTTAGCAGATTTTCACAGTCAATGCGTTGATCGAGTCTCTAGCTAACAAATTCATAGCATTCATCATCATCCGATGATAGTCTAGCGCCAGACGATATCGAAGGCCTTTTGGCCTGGATTGACAGTCACCCACCCCCTCAACCCTTCCTCGCCGCCGCCACCACCACCGTCGCCGCCGTCACCGTCACCACCACCATCGTCACCACAGCCACCACGACTACCGTCATCGCCAACTCCACTGACGACGACAACGTTAACAAGGAAGAAGAAGAGGAAGAGAGAGGGAAAGGGAAGAGGAAGGCTTCGACTACTTGGGACAGCATCTATCAGAATCACAGATTGATCATGCAGACTTCACATAGGAGCAAGCCGTCAGCTAAGAAGAAGACAAGCGCAAGAGCAAGCAAATTGAAGACATTAAGTCAGCAGCCAAGTCGAAGGAGAAAACTCAGACAAGCAGCGTAACGGATATGCGCGGAAGAAATGATTGAAGTATTTCAAAACTTCCAAAGATTGGAGACAAAGGAAGGCGATAGCAAGCAACTGATGCTCGATAACAGCGCCCATCGATCTTCCCAATGGGGTCCTAATCCAATGCATTGAGTCTATAGCGAGAGCCAAAAATGTCTACGCTTTGACTCGTTTGTGTAGAAGATTCTAGCATCACTCAAACGATGTCATGTACGACTTCAACGACGATATTGAATGATTACACTTCGCTGGATGAGAATGGTAAAGATGTGTCCAAATTAGGACTTAGAATGGTTATAAGATTCTCAGACGAAAGACCTCGTTTCTTTTGGAGCGAACGTTTTGGCCCATGAGGTTTTCTTCTCAGGTCCCAGGCCAAAAGATCGAAGCAAGAGAACGCACACCTTTTTAAGGCAAGAGGATGAAGCCTTATTCCTTCTCCGCGAGGAGAACGAATCGCTAATTTTAGGGATACAATGGATATCGATCCAGTTGAACCGCAATGGAAAACAAAAGGCCTGTCCGTTTTTCAGCTCGCAGTTTTTATAAAACCTATTCTATATCGTCGTCCGACGGCTGGAATGCGGGATCCTTCCTGGCCCTCGGACTATTGTGACGGCACTGTAATCAAGCCCGAAAGATCAACTAATATTTCTATACTTTACTGCATTCCAGCTTTTTCCGAAGCCCGCGATATCCTACGAGATCCTGCCTTCAAGCATCTGATTCCTTATGGAGTCTGGCACATAAGGCTTCGAATGAACCACGTACACCATCCAAAACATTGAGCCAGACACTTCCAATGCTGATGGAATCTATTGTTGAATTACTGCATGAATTAGTGGTAGATGATACCGGTCTTTACATGATGCCAGCGGAAGCCTTTAAAATTACCTTAGGACCTGAGGGCAGAGGCATAAATCGCCTGACTGGGCAAAGCATTTCTCAAATGAATCGAGAGAGACGCAACACAAGCGGGACGAGCTTGAAAAGATACTTATATTTTCAATGAGTCAGACCATAAGTCCATCTTCGAGCACAACAACTTAGCTGGTCTAGGGATCGAATTCGAATCCTCGACGATGGGCTCGGCGAGATAAGTTATCGCCAACACTACTTATTCTACCCGACTATGGCGGAGGCACAGGCCATAGAGTCCCTAGGCTGTAGCACATCCAAGACCACTAGAGCAAAGAAAAAGGTCACTAGAAATAGCTAAAGAAATCATAAAGGAGATGATTGAACACTCAACGCAGACACCTGAATACTCAATTAGCCCGGAATACCTGAATCATGGTCAGCTTGAAACCAAGATTGAAAAGCTGGCTAGACGTTGGTTCACGAACTTCCTTTGTATCATCATCGATTAGGAATTGCCGCTTGCCTTTCGGACAGCCTTACATATTCAATCTTTACCTGCTTATCATAGTGTCCGAAGTGCGAGAGGGCATGCTGAGCTCATCCCACCTCTTGATCTATCGTTTCTCATAAAAATAGATGTAATGATTTTTACAACTCGCATAAGCCAAGACATCGATGTCTAGACCCGGCAAGATTACGATGGAAAGTCTACACATGCACAAGCGTGTCTTAAGATCCTTCATGCAGTTTTTCAAATATGCGAAGTTCTCATGGGGATTTCAAGCACGATGGTCTTGATAGATCCAGCCTCTTCTGCCATAAAAACGCCGTCGTCACGTGTATGATATCGTGTGAAAGGTTAGAGTAAAGCCCATTGATACTCATACATGGGAATATCTGGTGATTAAAGAGTGCCATCGATGTGGCACCATGAAGACACTGACAAAACTTATATGGCATTTCCGACGAGCGACAGAATCAATATCTTGAGTGACTGCGCTTGCATTATTCATGAAACTTTTCAAGACACCGGTTTTCCAATGCATTGAGGAAACTTTGAGCCCATGACCTATTTTCACCACCTGTTTTGCTGCCAATGGGCAGCTTTCGATGCCAGTGAACAGGATACAAACGTGAAAGGCGACTCTTTAAGCGGCCTTTATGGCGCCCAAGACTGGGCCGGCGGTGAATAACGAGGCGGCTTTTCGACGTGTATTTCGTAATCTTTTACGAAGAAGCAGTGGACACTATATCCTCCGGTAGTTTGAATCTTGTCTTATAGCAGTAGCAACCACCTAGCCTCGACCATTTTTGGACAAAATCGTCAACAGGATATTTATTCCCAAGTTTTCTGAAGATCTTGCAGGTGGGAAATACTTAAAAACCGAGAATTCGAGCCTGGAATTTTCGCCTTCGAACTTAGCAATAACTAAGTCGAATAAGCTGGACATTGACTTCGGCGTCCAGTATTGAGGCGGCGGAGAAAAGGGGCTGGAAGATTAACTGGATACGGCTAGTGCGAAGAAAAGGGGCTTTATGATGGCTGCCTTAGTAGGACGTGATACTGCCGTGGACATGCTTGGAAGTCAAAATCTTGAGGGCAATACGGCTAGACTTTACGAATTCAATTGCAAGGAGATTCATATATACCTCATGAACGCTAGTCATCTCTAATCATGTGCAAATGCTCTAATCAAACACATCCTTTTGTACCTGATATGCCATCACCATCATCCAAAGCAAGAACACCGTTCCCACGATCCAAAATGCAAATGCTGCCTTCCAGTCATTGCAGATGCCTTGAGTTTCTAGATATGCCAATGTTGCTTCTCCTTGACCTTGCTGGTAGCCAGCACTTGGTTTGTAGACGTTGCAATAGCTGTTGACACTGCCCGATGGACCGTACAGCTGGATGGCTGTTTCGATGAGGCCAGTGAGGTAGAGGACGAAGAGGATAAAGCAGCCAAGCAGGACGATACCGGGGAGGAGCTGGCGCTGCTGGACGAGGGCGAGGATGATCGCGAGGAAGAGGACGGTCAAAGAGCCGACGGCTATGGAGTAGGGAAATAGCCTGTAATCAAACAACCATTAGCATAGATACGATAGTGAAATTGAAAGTTTGAAGTGCATTAAGCGCGGCGGTCGTAGAAGCGAAGTTAGGGGAAACAGCAATCCGGCTGTGTTAGTGTGTAGACGCACCAGGGCAACACGCTAGGTGCGTAGGGAGGGTGTAGCATTGGAGCATACCATATCTGACCCGCACGCACTTGGTGCTGAACTGTCATGAAGTATGTGAAGATGCCCAGGATCGTGGCGCCTGAGACCAGCATGACGAGCAGCCAAAAATTCAGCTGCGTTTCTGGCCATACGTATTTCCGCCGTGATTCGAGCACTTTTACTATGGTTGTGCGGGCCATTTTCAGATTTTGCAGAGGCTCTGTTGAATGGAGGGATGAGAGTCGTAAAGCCCGATTGAGGAGGGCGATTGTTTGATTGATGGTCTGAGGTGGGGTTTTTGCAGATTAGGATTCTCGTCGATGTCGAGGCGCGCTTCCTTTAGGAGCTATTACGCCGTTCAAGCTGACGATTGATCATATCATTTTGATTCTTCTTTTGAGTCAACAGTGGCGTGAATGTGTCAAGGCGAAAGGACGCTTGAAGAGTCAAGCTGTGAGGGACCTGAAATCTTGGGCTACTTGTAAGGGAGGTTGTGGGCACGAGAGAAGGGTGTTTGGCGTTGTGTATAGTCAGTTGGAAGTGCGGAGTTTCTGCACTCCTGGGGGATGGAAGAATAATGATTGTCGTTGCAGAAGAAGAACGGTTCAAAGTGGATGGTAATTATCGCAGCGGAGGCTGGTACCAATGCCGAGGGGCTGGGCGGGGCTTGGCACAGCGGAAAGTCCCGCCTTTGCTAAAGGGCGCTATGAACCTTGTAAACGCGACATCATAGACGCGACCTCTGTCCCCTATCAACTGTCAAAATAAACGCTTGATTGCCCCTCTCGACACAGTACCCTTGCATTTGCTTCTCATTCATTCGTTCATTTGCTTCTTTGCATCTTGCGAGCTATGCATCGCTTTCAACCACTCTCAACCAGCGATCTTGCCCAGCAGAATATCGAAAGGGGGGACTTGCGTGCTCTTAGCTAGTCCATGGCTTCACCCCGCCCACCACTCGAGACGAGGAAGTCGCTTGTCCCGGGTGGATTCGACACAGATGAGGAGCTTTCTCCCATCAAGACGACATTGCAAGAAGAGGACATTGCACAGTCCACGGAAAACAAGGCCAAAACATCCAGCAATACGGGTCAAGCAACAAGCGGTACACCAAATCAGGATGATTCGTCCTTCATTGGTGGTGATAATGACACCTTCTTGCAAGAGAAGGAAATGCGACAGAAATTAGAGGACTTCGACTCAACTTTCCTTCAAGATGTCTCACCAGTCGCACCAGTGCGAGGACCCACAGCTGGTGATTTATCTACAATATCTGAAGAATCTGCGCCAAGTGAAGCTACTACGACCATTGTCAAGCATTCCAAGCCTGATCAATCTGCTGATCCTGAGGAATTTAGAGCACCTTCTCCGCCTAGCCCGAGCATGTATCACACACCGGCGCCTGGCCCTGCTCAACAACCATCATCTGAGCCCCAACACTTGCAGGACGACCAATCTCATCCAAACACTTCATCATTAGAAACACTATCATCGTCACCCACGGCGGCGGCGGCAGCAAGAACTATCTCCAGGGCTGTTTCAAGCGCTTCGACCAATGCTGAAACTCTTGACGAAAGTCGAGGCGGCATACCACTTGACCAGCATGGAACACCGAGAAAATACTATGACGAATCTACAGCGCCTCAATTTGATTCTCCTACACCAACAAAAGCAGAGAGCACATCACGAAGGGCTAGAGGCAGTGTCGAAGAAGTTGAGAGTCCTTCCCACAGAAGAATGCGGCCCCCCTTCCTGAACAGTCGAATGAATAGCACAAGGTCGTCATATTCGTCTCAAGTCACCGAGGCCAGTGATGCAACACTTGAAGCAGATTACGCGTTACAGTCTGGGGGCGCCATGCCAGAATACAGTAGAATCAGCTCTCGACCTACAGAGTACTCAAGATCGATAAGTCTAGGTAGCATGGCTTCTGGGATCTCGGCAATCAGTGGTGAAGATGACAGGATCAAAGCTAAAGAAGGACGGCTCTCTGCGCTTGAAGAGAATGCAGATGAATCAGACCCCAGGACTCCTGTCACCCTGGGGCGCAAAACCTCAAACCCTACCGACACAGTCATCAATCGGCATGTCGATGACGTTAGGGTACCTGAGACGCTTGCACGTGAATATAGAAATAGACAACGCTCTCAATCACCTGTGAAGCGGGCGGGTCCAACACCTGCAGGTCGTAACTCGAATAACATGACATTAAAGGAGCAGAGCACTACTATTGATCGCCTGATGAAGGAGAATTGGAATCTCAAGCTCAAAATTACCTTTCTTGATGAGGCCTTGAATCGCAAGTCTGATGACAGTGTCAAAGCAATGATTTCAGAGAACGTGGACTTGCGGACAGCAAAGTTCCAATCAGCAAAAGATACTCGAGAGCTCAAACGCTCGATTCGTGATCTTGAGCGCAAGCTAAAGGAGAAGTCTGATGAGCTTTCAGAAAAGACGAAGTCTTCTGTACCCGACATTCCCGAGTTGAGACCGGATGAAGAAGCCTTCACAGAATTGGAGGAAGAAGTCACGTATTTACGAGAACGAGTAACGAATCATGATGTAGAGATAGAAAAAGCAAGGTATGAGTCTTTTGTACAGGAGACCGAAAAGAAGAAACTCGCAGAGGTGGTACGACAGCTGAGCTCGACAAAGCAAAGTAGTGACATTGGCGTGCGCGAAGAAGTCGACTTGTGGAAAGACTTGTTAGATGCAGAGACAGCGCGGCGTGAGCAAGCTGATGAGACTAACCGACGGCTTCAGGAAGAGATCAGACGACTCAAGGCTGATGGGTCTTCAAGTACGACGAATAATTTCGTGGCGAATGCCTTCAATGCGAAGAGGAAACAAAAGCAATCTTCTGTATTGTCATATACAAACAGCTCCGATCGTGGCTTTGAGCAGAATGGTCCATCGACTGCAGTCAGCAGCACCCTCGTGGATCAGCTTCGCCTTGAAAATGCGGAGCTTCGCCGTGAGGTTGGCGCCCAGACATCGATGCTTACATCGCGCAATAGAGAACGAGAGCGCCTCCAGCAGGAGATCGAGGACTTGAAGCTTGGTGCTCGCCGAGGCGATGGCACGCGTTCAATTGCTGGCGAAAGTATTTTCGAACGCTCTGCATCACGCGCACATGGACGACCTGGCTCTAGGGCAAGTGATCAGACGAGAATGACTCCTGTAAGCGACTCCGAGCGCGAAGCACTGGAGCTTACGAACGGTCATTTACGCGATCAAAATGCAAAACTTAGACTTGAGATACAGTCTTTGGCCGGACAAGCCGACCAATTGTTGGACGAGCTTGAGCATTTTGACGTACTCAAGGTTGACCATGAGAAATTACAACAATTGTATGACAATGATATCTCTCTAGCCACCGAAGACCTGCAGAACCTTCAAACTGAGAGAGATGATGTGTTAAGAGCTCATGACGATATGGAAGCTGAATTGCACGATGTGAAAGCCGAAGGCAGCGAAAAGATTGCAGCCCTAGAGGAAGAACTCGAACAACGTGGTAAAGACATCGAGCATCTGCAGAATGAGCTCTCTGATCGTGCCGAAGACGCAGAGGCCCTCCGTCAAGAGGTGCGGACACTGAGCGAAAGCATGCTCCGCATCGAGGAGGACGTGGACAGCAAGAAAAAGAGGATCCGCGAGCTGGAGCTTGAGGTTGATGAGCTCGGCCATGAAGCAGATGCTATGGATAAAGATCTTCGCGAAGGGAGGGACAAGAATACCAAGCTCTCTGTCCAACATGAATCTGCCCAGAGCGAAGTTGCATTCCTTCGCGAGGAACAAGAGGGTGACAAAATCAAGATCGGTGATCTCGAAGACGCCTTGAACAACCTGCAGGCCAGTCTTGCTAGTGAGAGGGATAAAGCTAATGATCTTGAGGTCAGCATAGCCGATGAAAGGCATCAGAGGGAGATTATCGATAGTAAAGAGAAACAGGAAGTTCAAAAAGTAATGAACGACCTCAACCGAGAATTGTCTTCCTCCAAGGATGAGTCAAGGAAAGTCAGGAAAAACCTCGACACAAGGACAAACGAAGCTACGTCTCTCAAGGAACGGCTGAACGAGCTTGAAACTCATCTGAAAGCAATCTTGGGCGAGCCTAACGGGACTCGCACTTCGTTGATGGCGTCAGTGACGAAAATGCAGAAAGAATTGCAGACTACCCTTTCAGAACTCGAGACTGTCCAGCGCGATCTGTCCGAGAAAGATCGCCTCGTCAGAAATCGCGATGCACTGCTGGAAAGCCATGGCCTCGAAACCAAGAAGCTTGCTGACCTTCTCGAGCGAGAAAGGCAGGGTCGCCGTGCTGACAAGACCCAACACGACCAGTGGCAGCGCACACATCAACAGACTACACGCACAGTCTCACAGAAAGATGTTCACATCACAGAGCTCGAGAGGTCACGTGCGACAGACAGGAAGCGAGCTGCTTCCCTCGAATCTCATTATAAAGACGTCGTCTTGGACCGCCACACTCTGCTCATCAACCTCTGGAACCGCATCTCTACCGTTTGTGGTTCAGACTGGCAGCACCAACATTCTCTCATCAACAATCATCTCCCAACCGTCGAATCAATTAGTAACAAAGATATGTATGGCCCTTTCAGCAAGAATCTTCTCGGCGCCATTTCCGCCATCGAAAACAACATCATCGGCTTCCAATCTCGCATCAAAGTCACGGAACGCAATCTTTGGTCTGAATATGAGTCACTCGAGCATACCCTTGACGCTCGCATCAAGAAGCTCGACAAGCTAGAAATGACCGTGCAATCACACCGCGTCTCCGGCGCCTTCACGGCCGCCCCAGAAATCGCTAAGCTTCGTGGCGAAAACCGCCTTCTGAAATCAGACCTCGCCGCTTTGCAGAAAGAAGCTAAGATCCGTGGTTCTCCGAAGAACGCAACACACACCTTCCATCCAACAGCTTCTGTAGACGTCTTACAAGAAGGCGGCAAAGACATCGCCGCACCACCTCCCACACTAGCGCGCCATCACTCCTCCTCGGCCGTCGAACACCTCGCCCATGCGACTGGTGGTCCGCACTCCCCACTTTCACCGTCTCGTCGCTCGTCATCGAGACAGCAGGTAGCCTTGAATCAGGAGCCTATCACCACTGGAAGTAAAGCCCCTGAGGGCCAGGCTGTGCCAGAACCGAATCAGGCGAGATGGATCCATCGGCTGAGGGAGTTGGAGAGGAGATTGAAGGCTGAGCGAGAGGCGAGGCTGCTGGATCGTAGTGGGGCGAGGAAGAGACTTGAGGAAGGGGCAGAGGAGAATCGGAGGTTGAAGGGCGAGTTGGACAGGGAGAAAGTGAGGAGGGGGGGTGAGCCTGGCGGTGGGTGATGAGTAGCAGGTGGCTTTGGCAGAATGAGTGAGGCTTTGATTCGTGTGTGTTTTTCGATATGTGAAAGGTTTGGTGAGGCATGGCGTCAGGCCATGGAATGTCTGGATAGGCGGGAAAACGTGAAGCTCGGTATTGGCGGTTGTGTCTCGTTGGACAAAGGGGCGGAATTTGTACTTTACATGACATGCAAAAGCGGACGTGATTTTCGGTCGGTCAAAATGACGATTTCTGACTGCTATTTGCAAGCGCTGCTCTTCATCGACGTCCTCGGCTATCTCCCATGCCTAAAGTGGTCGGCGTTGAAGCCTAGAGAAGATTCCCGGGTGTGAGACCTACGTGACCATGGCAAATTGGGAAGCAAGAATCATTGAATTGAACAGAATAGATATTCTCAGATTGATATAAACGCCCTACAACGCCAATGCTACCATCAGAATATCATCCTCCTTACCGTACCCTACCCTATTTCCCTCTCGAAGCATGTTCCCACAAATCTACCCCCCTTCGCTCCCAAACTCATTCGTCCACTCCGCGCTCCTCTGAATATCCTCTTTACTAACCGTTGGTCTCGCCCCCTTCACAGCCTTGACGAAATCCTTCAACACCAATGGCGGTTCAAGCATCTGCTCGCTCTCCACCTCCGTCCAACTCATCTCCATCGCCCCTTTATCCCCCGGACTACACGGCGTGTATTTCTCCTCCTTCCCTTCCTCCCCCTCCTTATCCACCAACACCTTCTTATAATGCGTCGCAGTCTGAATCTTCCTCACCGGCTGCATCAGCGCATCTTGCACCGCAATACTGATATCGCTCCCACTGTACCCCTCACTCAACACGCCAAGGGATCTGAAATCCTCGCTCTTGAGCTCGCACGGCGTGTTGCCGACGGCGAGTTCGAACATCTTCATGCGCCCGGGTAGGTCGGGGAGGGAAATGTGCACCCGGCGCTGGAAGCGTCGGCGGATGGCGGCGTCGAGTTGCCAGGGGATGTTGGTCGCGCCGAGGATTAGCACGCCTTTGCTGTCGCGGCCTACACCGTCCATTTGCACTAGTAGTTCGGTTTTTATTCGGCGGGAGGCTTCGGATTCGCCTTCCCCGCGCGGACCGCAGAGGGCGTCGACTTCGTCAATGAAGATTATGGAGGGCTTGTTTTCGCGCGCCATGGTGAAGAGCTGTTTTACTAGGCTAGAAGCTGTCAGTAATAGTGGGGATGGAGAGGTAGGGGCAGGGGGAGGAGAGGGAGGATTTACCGTTCGCTCTCGCCCATCCATTTGGATACCAGATCGCTACTGCTCACGCTGAAAAAAGTACTGTTCGCCTCCGTCGCCACAGCTTTCGCGAGATAGCTTTTACCTGTCCCGGGTGGTCCATAAAGTAGTATGCCCCGCCATGGCTGTCTTTTACCTTGGAACAGATGTGGGAACTTAATCGGTAATATAACCGCCTCTTTCAGCGCTTCCTTCGCTCCCTCCAGCCCCGCCACATCCTCCCATTTCACATCCGGCTTATCCGTCAGTATGGCTCCCTGCAGTGCTCCCCTTAATTTCTTGCTATCTGCATCTATGCCTCCCTCGTCCCCGTCTTCCCCACCATTCGCACCCTTCCCACCCCCGCCTGATACCTTCCCGTTCGACCCTACGGCCGCGGGCTTCTTCTTGTTATCTTGGGCTGAGAGATGTTGTTTCAATTTCTCGGCGCGTTCCATGTACTCTGCGACTTTTGAGCGGATAAGCGCTTTTTGGGAGGGTTCTTTTGTCCATTTTAGCGCGAGCATGAAGAGTTCGAGGGCTTGGTAGTAGAGTTGGTAGGCGCGCTCGTAGTCAGCGGAGCTGTCGGCTTCGATGGCGGTTTTGACTGTGGCGATGGCGCGGTCGACAAAATTTGTGTTGGACATGATTGCGTTGTAGAGGGGAGGGTATTGGAGTCGAGGAGGGAGGTGAGGCGCCTGGGGGACAATTGCGAATGTTGAGGTTCTGCAACGTAGAGCTAGTAGAAAGAACGATATAGGCCTCAATTGGAGTGACGTGCTTCAGACGGCTGGTATGGTACGAAGAGGGTGCAGATCTGCGCACAGCTCGTTCGTTTTGGTGTTATATAGGAATGTTGAGATCGAGATGTTGATGTCTAAGAAAATCCTGGGCGGGCTGCAGAATCTTGTCTGTTCATATCGAGCATCTTCTACAACAGGTCATATGATTCAGGCTCGTAGATTGCGAGAATGTGGTAGAGGTTTCTTGAGTCTCTTGAATGGCCGTTGCGTCTTTGTAAATAAGAGTCGAAGTTCGCATGACGATTCTCTCCAAGCCTTGGTGTCTTCGGATGACGGAGAAACTATTTTCCACGAATCTCCGACAACCTATACTCGCCAGCGGAAGGTCTTGGAATGATGACTGATCTTTAGTCCATACATAACATTCGGAGATCGATAAAAAGGCTTGCGGGATATTAGGATCAGCAGAGATCCAATGGGAACGTTGCCCATATTCAACGATGAGCTGAAATGCCCCTCATCAGCTTGGGCAGCATGCATAAAGGCTCAGCCTATCAGCGCCTGCTTAGGTATACCACAAGGCTGAAGGTCAAATCAGACCGAAAGACCTTCTCTCAGCTTGACATGCATCTGAATTTGTCGCAAAAATGCAGAGCCTTTCGATGCACATCGTGGTATCCTGAGCAAAAGACGCTATTGAATCATTATATTCGGGCTTTCAGCAATCCACACCAGCAAGAGAATGAGAATTCCAAGCTCTGACTTTGATCCACCACACATTACGAGTATCCAAAGTCATACAATCTTGCTCAAAGAGTCGTGCCCAACAGTGCATCTCTCTTTCCTCAATGTCGCGTGACGTGCAATTACAGTCTGATGTCGGGGGGCTAAGTCTACAAGGAGTCCGCGCTGCTTCCTCGATCCTGGCCATTCTCTCTGCTGACAATGTAGCTCCTCTGGCGCTTATCCAATTGGAGAACTTAGGGGCTATGTTCTTCACGAGCGGCGAGTATGCTGAGAAAGTCAAAACTCTGTTGCACCGTTGTAGTGATGTGCGTCTAGAACACTTGTCAATGGCCGTAGGCTGGAGGAAGAACGACACTGCTTCTCTAATGGCTCAGTCTGCTGGTGGTCAAGCAGTTGCACTCATATCTTTATGCTTGACGAGTCTTTTCCGGAACTCTGATACTGGCATGATCTTAAGCCGGTTGTGTGCTGAACTTCTTCCAAAGTCTGCCAACCTTGCAAGCATGCAACAGCTAGCTGACGTTGCATCTTGCTTGGGGGCAAAATTGGCAACCCTAGGCTTTGGCAATTTGTTGGCTAGGCAGATCATGGCTATTCATGATGTCTACGAATCAAATGATATTGCCTGTCCTCGAAATCTTCTCGAGCCCTTGAACATCGATCTGATGATGCACTTGCTCAATGCTATTAGTCGCGCGTTACGCGAAGATCGAAAAATCTGCCGTGTATCTGGAACACGTGGCATGGGACATATACTAGGCTTAGTGCATGCTTCGTTTAGGCATAACACAAAGATCACTGTTGAAGGGGTTATAGTTCAAGACGCCGAGTCAACATCTATAGTATGTGAGGTTTCAGCATCACAGCCTAAAGACTTGGTTGAGATTCATCTTGAGACTAGTATGCTTGAGGCTGAAGAAATGAACCTACCAATCGGCAGGTTTCATGAAGCTGGCCAGCAGCTTGGGTGGGAGATGAGCTACAGACTCACTTGGGCCGGGTGCCTTGCAGACCGATTGCAATTGCTCATGTTTGAGCATGGCTTTACATGTGACCAAGAATTGCTTGATGCATGCGGTGACTGTCTCATGTGGACTGTTTCAGAAATCGAGGTTGAACAAATCGGTCCCAACTCGGGTAGATTGGTGAAGCCAATGCTGCTTCAAGACCTCCTTGGACCGTTCCCTCGATCACGACTTCGAGCGATCTGCAAGACTGTTCTTCGCGCTGAGCCTACAGCATATTCGGTGGATAAGGACACCGCATTCCACAATCTCAGTAGGGTATTGTCTCACAAGACTCATGGATGCCACTGCGTTTGCAGTGAAGATCTAAAGTGCGGCTGGAACAAAAGTTGGTCATCAATTTTGAGGCCAAAGGAAAAAAGAAAGCGTTGCACTCTGCACCTTCTATGGCAGATCGTTGGATTAATATTAAGTAAGGGCGTCTTGTGCTCATTCATTGATGCAGGTCCAAACGTGACAGTCGAATCCTCCAATTACTATGGTTCAAAAATGATTGATATGTTGTTTTACAACCGCGTTAGTATTGGCGACTTGATGCTATATATTCAATGCGGCCTTTTAGGGAGGAATTTTGGTCCACTGGTGGCCTATGAGGCGCCAGATATCGCCTTAAGCTCGGGTGCCTCCACTGTCTACCCAACTATACTCGAGACTCTTAGTGTACCGTCCCGACAAGCTGTCACATTCACAGTAGTTGATGGACAATTGATCTTTAATGGTCGATACAATAAAGGGCTTGTATCCGATCGAGTAGAGCCCAGGTCTACGGCCAATAGTCTACAAACGACTGGCGATTTGAAGCCATCCAATCTTGGGGTCCATCTCGGAAGTCCATTGATCACAATTCGAGAAACCTTTCACAACTTAGAGCTGCTGTGCAGCTTCAAATTCGCAGGGCAGGAAATAAAGGTCCGCCTTGGAGCTGTGATCGAAGGTTACATGGGAATGAAATGGAGCGACACCTGCCCCCATCCGGCGATGAATGTCATCGATCAGGCTAAATATCCTTCAAAAGCAACATCAGTCGCTAATCCATATACTCATGGGTATTTCGGGGTGGCTATGACCAAGGGAAGCCCTGCCGCCCAGTTCCTGTGCTGCGGGCGCGGCTATCAAACGGTCCTTGTTCATGACAGCTGTCTCAATTGCGCGGCCGAGGGTGTGAAAGGTCATGACTATGTAGTGCTTATAACTACCTAGTGGAGGTCTATTGAGTCACATACTTCTCTGAAATCGGCTATTTCATACCTTGGACTTGACACCGAGTCTGCATATGATCATTCACTTTCACTCAAGTAAAGCATCCAGTCTGAGAAAAATCGTGGAATGTTTCAAATCAGTCAGAGCGGGAGTCAAGGTGCAATTTTCAATAAGCCTCCCAAACGCTATTTTGCCATGCTCTACGCAAGCTATTCAGATCCTTGTAGCACTCCAGCTCATAGGCTAGATTAAGAATCTAGCAGTGGGCTTCTCTTGTCAGCGAATGTTACTACTCTCCGTTTTCAGCTTTGTACTTGGCACTCCACCATCTCCTAACTTTGATCCACCGCAACACCCAAATGCGCGCTCCCATTCCCTCCAAAAGACGGCCCCAGAGTCGGATGAACGACATAATCTTTCTCAAAGATTCTGGGCACCGAGTGCTCCCCTGCCTATTCATTGACTCACATCAGTGCTAACTCCAAATCTGTGTAAGGCCTGAGAACTTACCCAACCGTCGAGCTTCTTCCAATTCACACACTGATGTGGGGCCGAGAAGTTTGCCAACGGAATCTTTGTCCACGGCACCCACTTCAGCGTCAGAAGTGAGGTGTCACCGTGGCACATGATGCCTTGACGCAGGGTGTCAAGGCAGTGCTCGCTGTGCATCAGGTTCATCTTCTGCTCTTTGGCGCTGAGATTGGGGAAGTAATGTGAGGGGTAGAGCGCGTGGTGGAGACGTTTCTGGTCCATATCAGTCAGTCAAGAATGCTCATGTTCATGTCCTGGTGTTTTGATTCGGGATGCAAATGGCTTACTATACAGTGGAGCTCATGATAGGCATTGATGATACCGAGGTATCCGCCGTCGGGCAGAGCAATGCCTTCATCTCGATCTAGGGCCTCCATGTCCTTCTGAGAGAGACGGATGTTGGTGTCTGCAAGATTAGTTAGGAGTCGTCTTCCACAACTTGAATGTCCAGATGCAACTCACTGGCCAGAAGACTTTCCCAAGCGTCGTCAAGCTCTGGACGTGGCTCCCCAACATACGGGCTGTTGATCCTGGGCTCGATGTGATACTGTTTTGCAATGTACGAGATAGCTTCATTAGCTGGTGCTACAATCATGGGTCGTCAGTCTCAGCGGACGATATTTTCGATTTAACCCACAATGGATGAGAGACACAGACGACGTCTGGCAGGTAAGTGGCGACGGTAATAGCAATTGAATCGTCAGAATGAGCACATGGACGACGATAAACAATACGTGGACGAGAATCCGCTTTCTGATTGAGGAGGGTTCCTCCAACGGTTCGATATCGAAAGAATCATTAGAATACCTCTGATCCAGACAGTCTTCTAACAAAGACGCAGCAGAGTCGTGAGAGTCTTCGAAAGCCATCATGAAGACTGATAATGAAAGAGAAGACGAAGGATGTGCGGATATAGGGATGCTGAAATATATGCAGAAGTAGCGTGACAACCGCTTCTCTTTCAACTTGGTCCATCCCTGAATCTGAATCAGGGGTGAACTGAAGGGGCAGACTTAGTAGAAACGGGCAATACGTCCGTCCCACTGTCCTCCTCTCGAGCTGCAATACAGTGTATACATGCTGTCATCAAAGCCCACGATATCACAGAGCCCCCGATCAACCCATTTTGACTCTAGGCTCGGTTGTACCTGACGCCTGTTGGGCCGCGATTGCTTGAAACATGCCCTGATGACCTAGTCCACAGCCACAATCCTCACCTGATGACTTCCACGTGCTCGGCCGGAAGCTTGTCGTTACGCAGCTGCCGTGGTTGGCGACCAAGGCTGGAGACTCGGGACGGCTCGCATGACTCGACATGGACGGGGGACCGTATCGACGTCTCTGGCTGTATGCAGGCCCTAGATTCAGGAACAAGTCTACAAGCGCTTTCGTATCCGTCTCCAAATGGTGCGCTTAGGGCAATCCTCCGAATGCCACGTGGAGGCCTTGCGGGTGTGAGACATACGGCGTAAGCGACCTGCTTGTCTCTCGCTAAATAGATGCTAGTGGAAGTCAGATATCATGACGCTGCAGCTTCTGTCTCACGCGGAAAGCTCTGGTGTACAGCCTCGTCGATTTTGAGTCTGATCTGGTGGAGATCGTACGTAAAGTCATGACCTAAATTAGCCGATACAGGGTGTCTACAACAGTCCCGATAGACCAAAGCAACATAGAGCCTGGCCGATTTGTCGAGTCCGCGACCATATCGACCCCCTTGTGTTTCATACTATCTCAAATATTCCTGTGGTTGTAGATGAGGCCTGGAGACGACGTCTCGAAGACCCGCGGATATACTTTGTCGTCTCCTGACTCTCGTCTATCAAGCGAAGCCAACTGAGATAGTGAACTCTAGCCAAAGCAAATTCAACGTACAATGGTGGATAACCAGCGCAAGTAGAACAGGGGAAGTCATACGATCTTCAGCCGTTGGCGATAGTGACATCTTGTTAAGAATCAATGCAACGTTGAAAAAAGGGGCAAGCGGCCTGACCTCCGTCCATCGGATGGAGGGACTCTCTTTTCACAGCAGACGAAAGGTATAAAGTAGACGTCAATTCCTCTCAACAACAAGCAGCATCATTCATTCTTTCGATTCTCAAGATCATTCAAAGTCCTTCATTCCCACACTCGTTCATCTTCTGAGCCCCTTCCAACCCATATCAAAACACGAACCAATCCATCTATATTCTAAAAGAACTCGACAATGCAGCTATCCACCATCCTCCTCATCGTGCCTCTCCTAGCCGGAGGTGTCTTCTGCGCTCCAGGCCAACCTCCACGTACGCCTCCGCGTCCCCTAATTTTCCCCCTTTCCCTTTCCCTCACTTACACCTCTCGACCTAACCTCCCCCTTCCTTCCCCCTCTCCCCTCTTACCCCTCCTCCTTTCTCCCCCCAACCCTCCACCTAATCCCCCACCCTAACACCGCCCCCAGTAACAGCCCCAATCAAACTCCCCACCATCCCCACCCTCCCCAACGTCCCCACGGGCCCAATCTTCAACCCCTCCACCCACGCCGCCGACGACGCCTACGAGCTCGTCGTGAAATGGAAGCGCGACACCAACCTCACTCAACTGCCCGACCGCGTCAGCGACCAGTTGAAGGCGATGGGCATTGATGGGAGTAAGGGGACTTTCTTTGTTAATGGGGAGGAAGTTGGGAAGGGGAAAAGGGGTGAGTTTGTTTCCTTTGGGGGTCTTTGGGGGTTGGGGGGAAAGGCTAATTTATGATCGAATAGACTTGGACGACGTGAATGATGTGTTGGGGAAGAGGATGCAGAAGGCGACGCTTGGGAAGGATGATGCTTATGAGTTGAGTGTTAAGTGGCCTTGAGTGGGTGGGTGGGTGACGGGTGAAGGGCAAGGGATGGATTGGTGGGGAATCTGAGTGTGGGGGACCAATTCGTTGCTTGATGGTGTCTTGGTGGCTCTCAGAGCTTCAATTGGAGTGAAAGTTTAAGGTCGTGAAGGCTGGAGTCGGAGTAGCAATCTATTCGGGCCAGCTCAGCTCTTATTCAAACCTTACGTTGGGGTACTGTTTACTTTTGCTGTGATTCTGACGTCGGTGAATGTTTCACGAGGATTTATGCTTACTTTTTGACTTGTTGGTATGTCTTGACTCATTGCAGACAAAATCTAGAGGTCACTGACGCATGACATGACCCATTTGGTATTTGGCATCAAATTCACCCTTGATAAATGTTCCACGTGTCTGGATCATCCATAGAAGACTAGTTACGATGACAACAGACAGTGATGATCCAGATCCCGCCGCGAAAAGGTATGTTGCACCCCACGCCTTGTGGAATGCATAAAGCGCCTCAAAGAAGTCGCAATTTGAAATCAAAACAGAGGCGAATGTCAAGATTTGCGATTGAGACGGGGACAAGGTCTGCTCGATTCATTGTAAGTGTCCGTCTATTATCATGGGTGATGGGAGGAAGACGTTCGATATTAGGGAAGTGACGGAGTGGTGGAATGTTGAGCAGAAAGGGGCTAAAACTGGGGATGGGCGGGAGTTGCGGTTTGTCTTTGTTGATGTGAAGAAGCTACAAATGAGGTATTTTCTAATCCCTAAGACACGAGGAGCGGGGCAGGATAGTTGTTTTTTTCAATCATTTATCCTTATACCGTACAGCAGATGAAATACAGCCAGCCTTAGGATCAACAGTATCTTCTGTAGTGCTGGTGAGCAAGCTTCGAGGATAGGTTGACAAAAGCAGAGATCGTTGCAGTGACACGTGGTGAGCTACCGAACCATCTCGATAATTCATTTCCACATAAGGAGCCCCATCGCCGCTCTACACCGTTATTCTGACCAATCAATGCCACGCCGATTTCTTCGGATGCTCAGCACTCTCCGCCACCTTCTTCTCTGTCTCTTGCTCCAATCGCCTTCCCAAGTCCTGATCGACCTTGGCAAAGAGAGCTACAGAGCAAAAAGTCAGCATTCTTCAGATCCATACCCTCAACAATGTGCTAGAATAGGTACCGTAGACCTGCTTCCTCAATCCCTCGACCGTCACCTCGCTCACATGCGCCACTAAGTTCCTCACAAACTCATCCTGCTCCCCTTTATTCCCCATGATCTCCCACAGCCGTCTCGGCTGCACAAAATCCTTCTCCGTAACCTCAGACGTAAACACCGCCGGCATCTTACTTACCACTTCCGCCTCCCTGCCGCCATCCTCATTCTTCGTAGTAGCAGCCGCTCCTCAAATATCACCTCCCTCTTCCCGATCGTCGCCCCAACATAATTCGGCTCGCCCCCATAGTTATCAGTGAAATTCATCGCGCCATCCCTCTGCGTCGGCGCAAAAACCTCGTTCACCGGCCTATTCGTCGGTAGAAACTGATAATTCGCCCCAAGTCGATACCGCGCTGCGTCTGGGTAGGCGAACATACGCGCTTGTAGCACTGGGTCCGCCGAGGGCAGGATCCCGCGCACCATGTTGCTGGGCGAGAAAGTCGCTTGCTCGATCTCGGTGAAATAGTTCGAGGGGTTCTGGTTCAGGGTGATGGTGCCGATTTTGCGGAGAGGGTAGGATGAGTGCGGCCAAATTTGCGTGGGGTCGAAGATGGAGAGGCCGCTCGTGGGAACGGTGGAGGGTTGCATGGTTTGGATTGAGACGGTCCAGGTGGGTAAGTTGCCTTCGGTGATGGCGGTGCGTAGGTCTAGGCTGTGGTAGTCGGGCGAAGTGCCGGCGATATGAGCGGCTGAGGCGTTGGAGAGGGTGCGGATGCCTTGGTTGGAGATGAGGTGGATCTTTACATAGTGGTAGGAGCCGTTGTCTTTGGTGAAGATGTAGGTGTGGTTGGAGTAGCCGTTTTGGTGGCGGAGTGTTGCGGGTGTGCCGCGTGTGCCGAAGAGAAAGAAGAGGGTGTGGATGCCTTCGGGGTTGTGGACGTGAAAGTCCCAGAACATGTCTGAGGAGGAAGCATTGGTCGTTGGGTGGGGCTTGTGGGAGCGGTTCAGGGAGGGGAATTTGATGGGGTCGCGGATGAAGAAGACGGGCTTTGAAGGGCGAATGTGAGTGGTGGTCATGGATTGATAGAGAGTTGAGGGATGGATACCTGGTTGTTGAAGACCCAGTCATTGTTACCTTCTCTTGTCTTGAATTTGATTGCCCAGCCACGCACATCGCGGACTGTATCTGCAGACCCTCTTGCTGGACCTACTGTTGAGATACGAGTGATGAGCTCAGTCTTCTTACCAATGCCTGTGAGAAACTCTGCGTCCGTAATGTCAGAAATATCGTCAGTGACCTCCAAGTAGCCTTTTGCGCCGGCCGCTTTTGCATGGACGACGCGCTCGGGGATCCGTTCTCGTGAAAAGTGAGCGAGAGTCTCGATCAATTGCGTGTCGCTGAGAAGCATGTATGAGCCGCCATTGGTCGTCTGCAAGCCGGCACTTGTGTCATTGCGAGGTTGAGGTTGGCCTTCGGTGAGAGTGTACACTGTTGATTCTACTGATGAGGACCCCATGTTGATGTTGGATTACTTTTGAAAGAGGAAACGCTTGTCTGTAGATACTTGAACAGCAGCTTTGGGGAGCTTCAAGAGGGACAAAATTCTTCTGCAAACTCTGTGTTTCGACATATCTTTCTCTTCAGGATAACGCGGCATGAAGCATTGATATGCACGTCGGACCCTTAGTCATGATAACTTTGATCAGTCAAGTCCAAACAAGGCATTTGCTTCCGAGCTGACACCCGGCAATACGCATGCCTGCCACTGCTGACGCCTGAATATGCAGACCTTGAACGATGTTTCCAATTGATCCCGATTTGAAAAAGAAACAAACAAACAGGAAGAACAATATTGACTTGAGTACATGCGGGTAGGTGGCTTTGTCATGGTTCTACATACATGACTAAGTGAATGCCAGCCAATAAGCGTCAATGCCTCGCTTCGCTCGCTACGGTGTCAATCGGAGTAAGCGGGACTTCAATTAGTCAGGTGAGTCTTCACGGAAGCGGAAGGGTTTGGACGCCAGCGAGGATGTATATACGTTCGCGGCGGAAGCATCTGTCATGTCTGAAGAGGGAAAATCGAAGCCTACCACACGCATAATTATATCATAAGAAAAATGGGCTCTATACCTATCAACGAGCATGAATACGACTTCATCGTCCTCGGAGGTACAGTTCCCCAGGAGCATGTGCAAGGCATCTGACATCTGACTTCTGGCGCAGGTGGAACAGCCGGGAACGTCGTCGCTGGTCGATTGGCGGAGAGTCCAGATGTATCCGTGCTAGTGGTTGAGGCTGGCCCTGGGTAAGAGCCCAATTTACAGACTTTTAAACCTCGCTCTATCGTCCTCAATATTGACCTTTGTAGCACGCCCCGAAGCGAGGCAATGATCACGACCCCTGCGCGAGCCTTCGAGCTGCGTAATAGCAAGTACGATTGGGGCTACAAAGCCACAATGATCAATCGCCCTGACTACGAGCGCGTCGAGAAACCTCATACAAGAGGCAAGACACTCGGTGGCTGCAGCGCCTTGAATTACTTCACCTGGGTTCGGGGAAGTCATGGTACTTATGATGACTGGCAGGAGTATGGTGGCCCCGGCTGGAATTGGAACGGGTGCGAGGAGTATTTCGATAAGGTATGCGACCCTCCTTCATGTTCGCTAGATTGATACCCTGCTATGGATCCTGTCTGATAGATAGAACAAGCCAGCAAACTATCATGACGATAGCAAGCACTTCAGCCCACGATTGGCCAAAGTAGGACGCAAGGGTCCGCTCGACGTTGCAATCTCAGACATGGTCCCAGAATTAGAGCCTTTTCGACATGCACTCTCCAACGCGTGGGTAAGTAAGGGCGAAAAGTTAACCGAGAACATCTACGAAGGGCAAGTTAATGGCTTGGTCAAATGCATGAATACCATCTATAAAGGTGTTCGATCGACAAGTGCAGTCTTCCTGGATGGCAAGCCCAATATTACACTTATCGCAGAGACCCAGACCAAACAGCTTTTGATCAACGACGGTGTAGCTGTCGGTGCGATTGTAGTAGCTGCTGATGGTACCGAGTTCACAGTCAAAGCAAAACGGGAGGTGATCCTATCATGCGGTGTATTTGAAACACCTAAGCTGTTGATGTTGTCTGGTATTGGTCCAAAGAAGCAGCTCGAGACTTTCGGCATCAACACCAAGGTCGAATCACCCCACGTCGGCCAAAACTTGCTTGACCATCCTATCATGCCACACGTGTTCAAGTTGAAAGACGGTTATGGACTCGATAGCCACTTGCTAAGAGCGGGGCCCATGCAAGAAGCAGCAGTACAAGCATATCAACGTGATCACACAGGTCCTCTCCACAGCGGTCTGCTTGAGCTTGTTGGCTTTCCACGGATCGATAAGGCTCTTGCTACAAGCAAAGCATACGTGGCTGCAAAGAAGAAAAATGGCAATGTAGATCCCTTCGGTCCAGATGGCCAGCCGCATTTCGAGATCGACTTCGTCGTAAGTACTTCTGTTGCACTTCATTCGGGAGATACTGATAGGCGCCTCAGCCAATGTTCTGTACGGCATTCCAATGGCACATCCCAGTCCCTCTCCAAGGCGACTATTTCACCATAATTGTCGACCTGTTGCGACCTGTCTCTCCTCCTGGTGAGGTCAGGCTACGGTCCGCGGACTATAAAGTCCAGCCATACATCAACCTCAATTTCTTTGCTGACGATCTAGATCTTGTCGTGCTGCGCGAGGGGGTAAGATTCATCGACGATATCGTAAAGAATGGCGATGGAATGAAAGATCTAGTTGGCGAAGACTATCCATGGCCAATGCCGCGTGCTTCGGATGAAGCGATGAATAAGACTATACTGGAGCGTAGCCAAACCGGCTTTCATCCTTGTGGAACCTGTAGATTGTCTCAAAGCATTGAGCAAGGCGTTGTTGATGGAGCGTTGAAGGTGCACGGCGTCCAAAATCTCCGGGTCATCGATGCTTCGATCTTCCCCATCATTCCTGATTGCAGGATCCAGAATGTTGTTTACATGGTTGCTGAAAAGGTGAGTCAGATACTTCAAGCCCCCCACTCCCTCTAGTCAGAGTTCTGCTATTGACTCAGAAAAAGGGAGCCGACCTCGTCAAGAAATCTCATCCAACCCTTTTCAAGGCAGTGTAATTTCACAGCTTACGAGTCCATCAAGCGATTGATGAATCAAAGGGTTCGTCGTCGAGTTTCCCAAGCGATACAATAGTGTATGAGATGCGAATAGTCTGTCTAAATACATCGCTTTACTTGCGAAGGTCCAGATGGTATTGAAAGTTGTGATACGTGTCTCAAATTTAAAGCACTAGTACTAAAATGACTTAGCGAGCTCCTCTGCCATTCCGGTGAATGAGTTTCTCCGGAGGCCGATATATCATTCAACAAGCTGTTCGTGTCTGCAATCAAATCATTGTCATATAGAGGCGGACCACGATAATGCATGCCTCAGAGTCATTGTTCCTTGGGTTGCGATATTTGAAGTCTTAGCTTTATGCAGTATTGTCCCTGCGAGTAGTGAGCCTTTGAATTCGAATTTCATTTTCTGCCTTCAACCCTCGTTATGTTTTGCGAAACATGCCTGGTAATGCTGCAAGCAATCCGAACGCAGACTGAGTCTGGCACTGGTCATCACCATAACACATATAATGCCTTTTTAGAAGCTATTGCTCATGATTGCTGTATTTGCGGGCGTTTCGAGAAACACGCGTCATCGTCAAAAATCGTATCGTACCAAGCCTTGTTGGCCTTGAGTTATAATTACGAGCGAAGAAAGGATTTAGGTTTACCAGAGACGACCATAAGGCTTCGACTTGAGACTAGGTCATTAGCAGAACCTATGCTTTACATGGATCTGGACTTGGTCCCTGTGATGCGTAAAGAAGACTCTACGAGTTGGGGCTTTAATAATAGCCAGCTCTCAGAGACGTTGATGACCAAGAATACCGGATCTAGGCAATGCCTTTCTCTGGCATCTCACTGGTTGGAGCGATGCATCAAGACATACAAGTGCTCTCGTCCGGTACCAAGTCTGCTCAAGGATTGGAAACCAAGCCGCCTAATATGTGTGGGCAACGGAGTAGTTGACAGCCTACGACTTTGTGAAGGGCAACGGATTCCTGATGGGGTTATATACACCACTTTGTCACATTGCTGGGGAGTTGACTTGGTGAGAGAAAATTTGACGCATGGAAAACTTGCAAGCTGGACGGTGAATCGATTCTTGTCGTCTTCCTTTGATTGTTTATGTATCATGAAGGACCATCATACACAAGCACTTCATGTAAGTCTACATGTTCTAGCACATTGACTTTGCCAATCTAGACATCGATCCCTGAATGTGAGATAATGCAGACCTTGCAGACGCTATTAGGGTTACTCAAAGTCTTGGCGTTCACTATATCTAGATTAACTCTCTATGCATCATTCAAGACTCTGAGACTGACTGGTTGCGAGAATCATGTTCGATGGGTAATATTTAGAAGTATTCTTACTGTAATTTTGCCGCTACAGCAGCGAGCGATGACAATGTTGGACTGTTCGTCGACCGTGTACCATTAATTGACCTTCCTGGAAATTAGTTATAGATTAAGAGGTTTTTGCCACCCAAGAGTTGTGCTTGAGGAGGGTAGGGAATTTATGGAGGGCAAGTCGTTCACAGATGCACTGAGATACCGAATGCACACGAATAATGCCATAGAACCAGAGAGGAACTGGTACTGGATTGACTGGCAGTCTTCTTCTTTCTACAACATCTATCCAGTGTATCTAATCCCACAAGCGCCCAAGCGAATCCAGCTTCGCCTAATGCTACTCGACAAACTGAACACGATCATCTATCTATATCTCTGTAGGAGTTGTCCTCGTCATCGATGACTGGGCAGTACGTACGCAGACGACGGATCCATAGCTCGCTGCATTGCCCGACTTTGGCGTGCGTTCTACTCGTTTCGAGCTCTTGCCTGGACATGAAGATCCCAATTTGAACCTGGTAGAACGAAAGCTCTCCGAGCCCCATACTCAACTGCGTAAGCGAGATTCATCCAATATGGACCGAGTCCCGTGTATCCGCGGTCTTCATGCTCTTGTGTAGTAAAACGGCATTCTGCTTCCTCATGTCGGGCTGTCACGCATTTGTCACAATATTCTCCGTATATCTCTAGTACGGCGTGACACATTTCATGCAGCATGTTGCTCAAAACTTCCTCTGGTCCTCTCAGACCCCTGGCTTTTCTGATGGCAATGTATGCTCCAGTCACTATTGGAGACGTATAGGCTACAGTCGATCCGAAATGATTTCCTGTCCGACCTGTCATGCGGCGGAAGTCAGAGTCAGAGAAATAGAATATGCTGACACGTCCTCTAAGCGAGCTGCCGAAGAAGTAATCATCGAACACGGTGAACATGCTGTTAATGTCCTGAACTGTGAGATCGTCACGGTGGTGCATGTAATTTTGTCGCCATCTTATCCGTTGATTCATTGCGTCTGTCTGAAGTGGGCTTCGACGAGAAACTTGGAAACTCTGGATGAAGCCAACGAAGGCGGTGGAGATGTTCCTACTTATGAATCGAGCGTGCTCGAAGAAGATGTCGCTGTGGATATTGATGTGAGGTTGTAGCAGATCGTTGCCTTGCATAATCGCCCGAGCTACGGATATCGGTTGCATGAGTGTCTAATCAATTAAAGGTCTATGGGAGCGTATGATAAAGAGTACAAAAGGTTTGATGCTGCGACTGTAGTCTTGCCTCTTGGTGATGTACATCTTGCCTGCACTGAGCAGACATATATACATACCCTTCCAACTTGCAATTATAATTGGAAGACAGAGGCATTGTGCATATCCGAGACCATGACCTTCGACAACAATGGTGGTGTCTCGGACAGATGAAAGAGCGTCAACTGGCAGGAACAGATTTCAAGACTCTGGTGCAAACGGGGTAAAGTTCATCTTGAGCGTCTTAGAGGAGCTGTCTCAGACTTCAATGTCATGCGTCGAGTGATTTACTACACGTTGTGAGCTTTGTTCGTGAATCGACTCATATTGAGTATCCGAGACAACCATACATAAAACAACACTACACGAGGGCTAGACCATAAAGACAAAGGAAGTCAAATTAAACTCGGATTGGAAATCGAATTGATGAAATGTCTGCATACAGAAGCCGAGCTCACGTATGAGACTCGGCTCGATAATTATTGTTACATACGCAAACTTGCTCATACCTACTCACAGGGTTTCAAATCATGAATGGCTGCCCTTGCTCTTAGTTGGCTCTGTTTCAGCCTCAGCGCTGGGTTTGTTTTCACTGACAACATCATGGACTATTAACCACACACTACATTCACAAGACACTCATATCACTCCTCGAACGCTTTATCATAGTCTGCTGGACGTATGACCTCATTCCCGCCCTCCCAACAGTTTCTTGAGCTCGAGAACCGAAAAAAAAAGTACCCTTTTCTTGTCTCTCGCGTTTCGAGGTCTAGGGCCAGTGGAGATATGTGTAGAGCATGCAAGCATAACGTCAAATTTTGAGGCTGATGATAGACCATCCAAATCACATGTATCACTTCGTCTTGGAAAAGTATTTCTAGGCACCCAGGGGTGGAAATTCGTTTCCGTCGAAAAGCGAAAGCATTTGAGGGATGGGCCTGGGATTGCACAATTCTTCAATTTCGATGTCCGGGAGTTTCGGTATTTCTGGTGCCGTCATCCAGCCACGACCAATCTGCACTGGGGGTTCTTTTGGTTTTTGAGTATATTCTTTTGCGTAGTCCTTGAAAAGTGTCCTAATTGAGTCAAGGTGGTGATTGACTCCAATCCAACAGACGCCACAATTCCCCAGTTTCGGATCAGCCCCAAATTGCAGTAGGATTTTGACTGTCATATAGAGGCCTTTGGGATCATCTACATGAGTCGTAGAGCTATATGTCTTAGTCTAAATGGGGTTATTACGGATGGGTAGCTTACTTGAATGTATTTTGCAAAGGCGTATTGCCATTGTTGTCAATTTGGTTGACATCCGCGCCACGTTCTAAGAAATAACGTGCGGAATCCCACCGGAGATTCATGCATGCAAGATGCAGGGGAGTGACATAGTGACCTGAATGTACAAACTTGCTTCCAACATTTGTGACCCGTCTCGCGATCAATCGTACTACTCGCTCATTCTTCGCACCAACTGCGTGATAGAGTGGCGCTGCTCCACCTAAAGTTCTGACTTCAGGTTCTGCTTTAATTTGGAGCAATAGCTTCACAATTGCGACGTCGCCATCCTTGGAGGCTAAATGAAGTGGCGTGGAGTAGATGTATGGCTTATGTTGATCAGACTTATAAGGGAAATATTGTTCGTCCAGCACCTCAAATTGGCAATGAGGGCATGTTCCGGAATTCGAAAGTAGCTTTACGACGGGTACATGGCCTTCGGAGGCTGCAATATGGAGAGGTGTAAAATCGCCGACTATATTCAAGCCCGGATCCTTCCATTGGTCATGCCGGTCCGTATAGTTGGTCACCGAATTGGGATTGGGAATTCGACTCAGTATCTTTCGGGCTAAATTTTCATGTCCATGCTTTGCGGCCCAGAAAAGAGCCCTGGAATTGTGATTTTGAATATTAAAATCGTAAAGAATGTTGATGGCAACATCGTGGAGCCTGGTACAGACTCGAGCTAAAGCATAGATATCGCTTTCTTTATCTAGATAGGCGGTGCACTGGGCGAGAGTCTCAGTAGGAACATCAAGGAGCCCCATCGTGGATAATGTAGGGAACAGTCCGCTGGATGAACAATCCAAGTGGCTGATTTCGCGAATAGTTAGTCCAGGTGAGGGGTCAAAATAGCGACCGGTAATCTAGTTTGAGGATCGAATAAACTGCTAAACTATTAGCTCTGTCAATAATAGACCAGCTTGGATTCTGCACTGGACACTAAAACTGGTTGCCTACGCTGATCGTGGAAAATGGTCCCGATAAATATGAACGCTGGTTGTACTCTTAGAAATCGCGGTCAGAAATGTAACCATCGTAGATGTAGACACTCACTTGCTAATGGCTAGAGTATCAACCGATTAGTCTTTCAGAATCAGTAGAGTGAAGCCTGCATCATCCTGCTTAGCTCGTCGATATGTCCAAGCTTCCTTTTAAAAATGAGAATTAAGACGAGGATCTCAACAGGAGGCAGAAATTTTCGAAGTGTTGTTCACGGGAATCTAAGTCAACACTTCAAGATGATGTAACACTTTACTTCACTTCACTTACCCCACACTGCCCAGCAGATCTCACACTGCCAAACTGCATCCCAATCACAACATTCCTTTTGAGAATAGTTCCTGTGGATAAGCACCTGATGCCAGCGCAGAGACTTTCACAATCAAAAGCTCGCCCGACCTTGCAGGGCGCTTGTTCAAGATGCAGGATTGCAAATGGCCAGGTGAGATTACGTGAGTCATGTGTTGAAGTGCAGACTTGCTCATTCCCCACAGCTTCCAGTAAGAATCAATTGCAAAGGATGTGCAATGCAAAGGCGAAGCTCCGCGGGTCTTGAGAGCCTCCGGACAACCCTAGTGAAGCAGATTCATAACAAATTTCCTAGTTTGATAGAGACTCGCTGCCTTCACCGTGATCAAACACTGAGTTCATCTAGATATTGATCTCGGCACAGGAGAATGGTTCTTGCCCCACTTACTTTCCGATCAACATGATATTAGGGTGCGAATCACCTACGATGAGGCTGCTTCGAAGTCAATTTTTCAGGATTTTAGGGCAGTTGAGGGTCGAAAAACAGCTCTGTCGCAGCCACCTCTACCTATCATTCAATTCTTGGAGCAGTTTTATGACGTGTCATTGCGATGGCCAGAACACTTTGCGAGTCTTCCAGAGAAAATGATTGGAAGAGCCGCACAATACCAAGCAGATTTGATTAGTCAAAATCCTGGAGACTTTCGGGACGAGACCATCCCAATAGCACTGGCTCTACGCTGCTTAGTCCTGACACACGAAATGTTTTTGTTCGATTATACTTTCCTTAGTCACGAGCTTCTGGAAAAGAAGGGTTATCAAAAGTCCGAAGAATCATATATCGAAGATCCGAGTGTAGAATGTCATCGTCTTCTACGTGGAACAGATACCAACTCACTTCTGACGCCGAAGTGTAGTGAGAAGCTCTCTTCAATGATTGGAGACCTGGTGCAAGCTCTGTCGAATATCATGTCGCAGAATCGCGTGCAGGACCAACCCTTGGTTTTTTGTACTCTTCTCGTTTTCAAGATATTCGAAGAGAATATCTGGTTTAATCGTAAGAGTCGCCGCCTCAGACTTGCTACCAGGTTGATGGAGAACACCTTTTTCAATCTTTGTCGATCTTACGAGGTGTATTCCGAAGGCTTCAATCCCTTATCACCAGGATGGAATCAGGAAGAGTGGAAACAATTGATGGACGGCGATACTCTCCGTATCGCTTGCTTTTCTGAAATGCACGAAGATTGGCGGGATTGTTGGTTTTCCTATCATAAAAGTCCATCATTGCTAACGAGTTTCCAGTTCGGCTATGGATACAATTTCCAGAGCAGCATGATAACCTCGAAAGACGGATCGAAACATTTGTCACACCTGCTTGACCAGGCCAAATTGGTCATATTGGTCAATCAGGTGTGATATCATTCACCTCGGGTTCTATCTTCGTTATCAGTAATCTAGTTAGCTTTCATGTAAACAAAGAAGAACGACATCTTGCTCCACAGCAAAACGTCATTTTCGCTTGCATAGCTGCAAGCGTAGCTCACCGATAGCCGAACAATCTTGCCTCTCGACTTCATCCATGACAGGCAAGACAAATTACACGCTGAAGAGCAATCAAAGACTCATGAAAACAGAGCACCCATGAAAACAAAGCATCACTGAGACTCATGAGTATTAAGCGAGTCCTAGGAGTAAGCACTCACCTCGAATCCCGAACCTAAATCGGGGCCTACTTTCTGAGACCATAGCGCCTGACATATCACAAACGAAGCAGGAGATCACGAAAGCTTAAACGACCAAATGCCATAACTAGTAGAGAAGAAGTAAATCAGGAATGACTATACTCAACATTCCATTTTTCACAATTCAAACGCAACGCCAGACCCAGCATGCCGACGACTAATGACAGTAGTAGCACCCTTTGAACACGCCATTGATCTCGCATACGCACAATCATCTATCAGAAACCCCTCCCTTCCCTCCCCTCCTTCCCCAATCGCGCATTCCTCAACGCCCTACCCACTTTCTTCTGCTCAGCCCACTCCCCGGACAATCTCCTCATCCTACACGTCGCCAGCACCATCTTCGCCACAACCTTCAAGCTCGCCGGCTTTCGCATGTTATCACCAGCTTGCTTCCTCAACGCATCGCCTAGTCGTAATCTGGTTGATGTCTGGCGGTCGGGGGAGACGCCCATTTCGGCTAGGAGGTCTAGTTGTGCTTTATTACTGTGCGTTCAAGAATTAGTATGTGATCAATGACGAAGGGCAAGGAAGGGGAAAAGGAGGGGAGGGGAGGGGACATACCAATCCTCAAACATCCTAACCTGCAGACCCAAAAACCCCTTTTCATGCACCAAATCAGCCCTGAACCGCTCCACCCGTCCCAATTTAGCTTTCAACCACATGATCTGCTTCACCAATCCCTTGAGCTCAAGTCCATGCCTCTCCTCCACCACCCTACTTTCCCCATTCCCACCCTCACCCCCACCATCTTGGAAGCTGCTTGTATTCTGGCCCGCAAACCTCACCCTCCTCCTCTCCTCCTCCCACGCCCGCTGCTTACTCGCCAACTTATCCAGGGCGCGCTCATACCTCCCCTGCAAAACATCCAATTCCTGCATCAGCGCCGCCGCTTTCTGGCTCTGCAGCGTCCTCTCGCTCCGAACCCGCTTCAATTGCGCCCTCAAATCCTTCTCCCTCATTTGGGCTGAAGAAAGAGAAGTCTCGCGGCTAGAGAGCTGGACTTCCAGGTCTTCGGCTTGTAATTTGGCATCTTTGAGCATCTGATGGAGATCAGCGCGCTCTTCGGCGATGGTGTCGTCCGCGGTCGTGGAGCGGCGGTTGGACTGGAGTTCGTTTTCGAGGGAGGAGATGCGGGTGCGGAGACGGGTGATTGTTTGAGTTGCTGAAGTATTCTTGGAGGTAAGAGATTCTTGCTCTTGGCGGGAGGTGGCGATGTCTGCTTCAAGTTGTTCGCGCTGTTGATCGAAACCGTCAGCGGCGTTTTGGGCGTTGTGCTCTGACTCTGCGAGACGGGCTTGGAGGGTTTTGAGCTCGGACTTTGATGAAGTTTTGGAATCGCGGAGTTGGATTTGTGCGTCAGTAAGACGGCGCTGGAGCTCGACTATCTCCGTTTTATGAGGGGAGCCTGAAGCGGATGATTTGGGTGAGCTGGCGAGTCGGGCGAGCTCTGCTTCGTGAGCCTGGCGCTCGAGTTGGCTGACTTTAGATTTGAGGTCGCGAAGAACGTCTTTTTGTGCTTTCTCTCGCCGGAGGTGTTCTGTTTCTCTCTCCTTTGCAGCTAAAAGATCTTTTTGAAGTATGCTGAGCTCAACGCTATCGTGCTCACCGCTCGACGAGAGAAGTTCCTCTAAGTCGTTAATGCGTCTCTCAAGTCGCTGGACTTTCTCATTCGCAAGAACTAGCTCCAGATTCTTATCTTCCGCAGCATTCTCGAGCGTTCCTTGTAGACTCGTAACCTTATCAGCCAGACGAGCCTCTTCAGATAGAGCTCTCGCGACCTTTGATTCTAGCTCACGCTTAGCAGCAGCATGCTGTTTGACGAGATTGCTCCGCTCATCACGAAGACGTCCAACCTCACTTTCTAGCCTTAGCTTAGAATCTTTGAGATCAGATCTCTCCCGGTCCAACTTGAAGGTATCATCTGCTAAAGCTCGCATTTCTTCGATCTGGCTTTTAGCAGCGTCTCTCTCCACCTGCGCTTCCTCCAGCTGCTCCATGGTTCCTTGGAGTCTGCTCTGCAATTCTTGCTGATCAGGTCGTGAAATAGTCGATCTATTATAATTTTGTTGGGCTTCACTCAGCTGTTCTCTGAGATCTGCCGCCTCTTCTTCCACAGCTTCGAGCGCCAAGCGAGCTTTCTCTGTATCTGCCTCCTCCAGGTCACCTTGCAGAACCTCCACTTCGTCCTCGAGAGCCTGTACTTTTTCCTCGAGAATGTTTTGCTCCTGTTCGCTGAGTCGGACGTTCTCCTTAGCTTCAGAAAGATCGGTTCGTAGCTCTTCGAGTTCTTGTCGTTTATCTTCCACTTCCTTGTTCAGAGTCTGTATATGTCGTTCAAGCACGGCTTCTTCGCTTCGATGACGCTCCTTTTCGCTCTCTAAGGCCTCCTGAAGTTTCATTTCTTTACTAGACAGAGTACCCTCGACTTCTTGAAGCTTGTCAATAGTTCGCTGAAGACCTGCAGCTTGTTCTTCTGACTTCTCTTTCTGCGACTTAAGACCCCGCAGCTGGCCCTCCCACGTATCACGCTCACCTGCATTGGAAGTCTCCTTGTCCGCAAGTTGGCGCTGCAACTTATTGATCTCTTCGGACAAACGATCGATCTCATCTTTGGCTTCTGATCTGAGCTGGCGATCATTGTCTGCGGCGTGCTGGCGCTCATCTTGGAGATCATTTTCAAGACCGTCTAGGCTTGATCGAGTCTTGACTAGGTCTTTCTGTAGTGCGTTAGACTCAGTGGTCAGTGCGTCGTGCCGAGAGTGTAGCAGATCCTTCTCTTCAGACTTGTTCTGAAGCTCTTCAATGGTCTTCTTCAGATCATGATTGAGAGACTCGCACTTCCGTAGGGTTGCTTCGTGATCATGTCGCAGAAGCTCATGCTGGTCTGATACTTTTTGGTTTCGTACATCAGCGTCTTGACCTTGACTCTGGAGTTGATCCTCGAGCTTCTTAGCCTGTCGGGACTTGTCGTCGAACAAGGATTGAAGGTCTATGTGCTCTTCCCGCAGAGTGGCAAGATCATCTTGGAGTTTATTGGCCTTTTCCTCAAGTTGTCGACTTAAACCCTTGGTTGTGAAGGATTTGTTGGCCATCTCATCTTGAAGCTAGCGGCAAGTTAGCATGGGCAGGTTGACGTAGACTACTGTACATACTTCCTCCAAATCATTCTCAGCTTTCCTCTGCGCCGCAAGAGCATCCTCCAGGTCGTCCTTGGCTTGATTCAAAGCAGCTTCATTGGCATTCTTTGCCTCGCTTTCAGCCTCTAGTTCTTGCATTCGATTCTTTTCCGACTCGAGCTCAGCATAGACCTCATCCAACTCATCCGAGTCTTTTTTGGCTTGACTTTTCAATCTATCAATTTCGTCGTCACGTTCCTCAATATGCCGATCTCGTTCGCTCAGGTCAGCCGCAAGGTCCTCCATTTCGTCCTTGAGCTTTTGCATCTGATCATCATTTTGGTCTGAGGTGATCAGCCGGTCCCGAAGCTCTTCAACTTCCTCTTGTCGCTCTTGAATAGATGTCCTTAATTCTTCAAGCTCCTGTTGTAAGCTCTCGTCCGCCTGCTGTCGTTTCGCCTTAGCTTGTACCTCTTCCAAATGACGTTTATACGCTTCAAGATCACGCTCGGCTTGATTGAGTGTTTTCCTGCAGCGAGTGAGCTCTTTTTGCAATGTGACACGATCGACTTTGAGATCTGTATTCTCTTTCAAAGCAGCTTCATTGAAGCCAGGCCCGGCTTTTCGCAACGCCTCTTCTAGAAAATGTATTTTCAGCTTCAGACCGAAGTTTTCCTTCTCGATCTTGTCGATGATCTAGCCAAATGTCAGCAGAGAGCATTACGGGAATGCAAGGGTATCTACAGTTTCTTGCTCCCTTAATGTCATCAGGTTTCCTTGATCGGGGAGTACTCCTGTGGCATCGCGCTTCGGTAGAGCTGCAAGTGGCGTTGACTGTGCACTGCTAGAAGTAATCTGAGGTATTGGCGTGCTTCCATTGTCGACGAGCACAGAGCTACCCAGCTCACTGCCATAGAGGGCCGAAGCTTCAGCCCCAGGCAGCGCTGGGCTCCCTTTGTTCTGGTAGCCAGCCTTAAGAAAAGCTGGTGTCTCAGGCCCACTCTTTCGCTTGCCATTGCGCTCAAAGTTCCGTTTCGTCACACTTTGCAGTAATGGTGTGAACTCGGCGGGTTTGGGGACAGCGGGCAGATTTCTGCGGTCGGCGAGTGGCATGCGAGCTCGAGGTGTTTTGAGACTTGCGCCGCGCTCATTTCTCATCAGCGCGACGATATCTTCTCTCTTCTTGATTGGCGAGAGCATTGAATTCTCGACTGAAAAGTTTTCGAAGTCATGGCCGTTCGTCATGTATGTTGCATTGCCCGCGTCGGTGCGGGGTGTCTCTATGTATGCCATGTTGTACAATATAACGCATGGAGTGGATACAGTGACCTATGTATCCAATGGATCAATATGACGCGTAGAGCACGTCGGAGGACGAAGGTGCTAAGTCATGTTGAAGTTGTTTGGTGAAAGTTGCAGAAGTAAACAATGAAGGTCCGGACATGCATTATCCCCGACGCTAAGGACTCCTGCCAAGACATCCCAGCCCTACACGCCACGCCTCGGCGCTTGGTGGCCAGGCCTAATTATCTCATTTATTTCGCCTTCATCACACTTTCATCTCACTTTCATTTCGTCAGTAGTATTCCGTCAAGAGACGATGCCGAGATCACAAGATGATCTCAAGTGGTTCGGCGAAGGCTTCGATGGCTTTCCAAAGATCCTTCCAGATGATTGTGTCGAATACTCCATCTATTTAATAAATAACAATCCCAACGGCAGTGACGCTCGTGACAATTTGCGCGAGATTCAGAATGCGGCGAAGAAGTTAATCAAGACTCATTTGCAAGACTTCATTTGGCAGCGCGAAGGTTTCGAGCTCAAAATAAAGCGCGACGGGCAAAGGAGCTATCTGTGGGGGCGAACCAACTTCGGTGACTCTGCTGATGATGAATGGACCATCGTGTATTTACTGCGGGAACTGAGCGCTCAGTTCCCAGAAGTGTGGATCAGAGTCTTCGATACAGATGGAGAGTTCCTTCTCATCGAGGCAGCCAACGCGCTACCAACTTGGTTAAATCCCGAAGTGGCCGACTTCAGAGTATGGATTCATGCGGGAAAGTTGCTGGTCATACCACTTGAACTACCAGGCAAAGCGGTCCGAGGTCTGAGCGGGACTTCAGATAGGATGACACTTGACAGAGCGCTCGAATGGATAGGCAACCCAAACCGCAAGCTGCAGCACTCAGCAAAGATAGAAGTTGAAGCGTTTATGCGGCTTCAAAAATATCCCCACCAAATACGTGAAAGCCTGCATTGTGCCCTCGTCAAGATTCCTAGAAAGCTTGCCTATATCCTTCACAATTTCCCCGGCTGCGTCAGTGCGGCAATTGAGGCTTTCTACCTTCGTGACCCCATTGCGCTCCATCATTTGGAAAAAGAGGGTATAGAAGGGTTACCCTTCTCTCCACCTGACCTGGTAGAAGCTTCAGTCAAATTCACAAAGGTCGGCTATGCACAGCTCAGGAGTCAACAGTTTACCTTGCCTAGCGTATGGGAGTCTTTGGCAAGGCACGCAGTAGATCTGAAAGTAAGAGCGCAGTTGGAAATTGGGGGAAGATTATCATGCGGGTTTGCCATGTTGTTATCTGACCCTCACAATAGGGACAAAAAAGAAGTGCGCGAAATCAAACTTCTGATTGAAGATCTTGAGTCAGGGGAAGAGCAACTACCTTCAGACAGCGATGTGAAAAGCTGGGGTCTGTCGGAAGATAGCGACAGTTGGCTTGACATCGATTTTGGTGAGTTTGAAAGAGAGCTCGATGGAAAAGCACAGTCAAACTCGGTACCCGCATTCGGTGATAAGGGCGTCCAAAACAATCTACGCAGGACGGTAGAGCGATTTCAAAACTTTCTCAAGAGCGAAGGCGAGAATTCCGATGGTGGTCTAATAGATGACATGGATCACGACGACGATGAGACTAGCTCTGAAGCCAGCGCTTCGAGTGATGATGTTGAAGCAGCTGCGAGCGACACGACTAAGAATCCCGATGAAGATGATTTTACAGCCATGATGAGGGAGATGATGGGCATGCCGGAAGAGGTCATGAATGAGCTCATGAGCAATTTTGACCTGACATCCTCAATCAAGCATCTTCAGCCAGAAGCAGCCCTCAAACGAACCCAAAAACCTAAAGTTCCTACTGAACTGGATGAAGGGGAAAGGATCCGTGAAGTCATGGATCAAACTGGACAGGAGCTGCTCGAAGCTGGTGCCTTAGACCTCTAGCCCTTTTGGGTATTCAGTTTACACTTGATTGAAAAGGTGCTCTGGGTCCAACCTCATTCGAGACCTTTCAAGACCTTAGACAACACGGCCGAGACACCAGAGCAGATTTAGCATGACCCAATGCACGGCGTGACATGTGGCTCTCAGAAAGGTATGGCCAAAGCTCCTGAGTGGTTTCATAAATCCAAGTAGTGGTCCAAGCCAAAGTATCTGGTTTTCAAAAGCCACCTAGATTTTAGCGAGTCTACCTCTTCACTCTTTTACCCCTGGGACCTGGCTTCGAAACGCACTTCAGTCTCGCAACGAGGATCTAACGAGGATCGGCCCTCCCGGAGCGTGCACTTGAGAGTTCCTACAGATGCAACATGGTTCGTTTGAGATTGAAGCGAAGTCCATTCGGCGTGAGAGCGAGGGGTTATTTGCCTGAAATGCCATACACCTACTTTCAACATCGCAACGGACACATAAAGTTGATGGTCTTCGTCAAGGTCAGCTCCAAAGTGTCAAGTAGGAACAATGATCTAGACATGCATACACACTCGACGGCTCAGAGGAAAGACAGTCTACGAAATGACGGCATAGCGAGCCAAATGTCTGTTTCAAGGTGTGCGCCACAAAAGATTGGGTCGTCGTTGGCATTGAGCAGAGTTACCATCAAAGCCCGTAACTCGACCCGTGGATTCTGGAATCACCGGCAAACGCTGGCCCTCAGATCTGCCATTCCAATCCACCAATAAGCTACCTGCTCATCCAGTGAACGTTACGCAGGACTTCACAACGTAAAGCACACGAAATCGGGCCATTTATGCGGAAATGTTTCAGATTTTCACGCAACGGGCTAGCTGGATGAAAATACAACCGCATTGTATAAGCGCACCATTGGGAACGGCTGGAGACGGCATTTTCACCCACCGTTACTCCAGCAGGAATGCACGTCAAGGTTGGCTAACGATACGAGACGTTGTGGGAATTGTCCGCAGTGCGTCTAGTGCATGCCAACGGTATCCCATTCCCGTACCTTTGGAATCATGCAGCCCACTTAAGATTCCTCACACATAAGCCACGGGGCATTTTCTGGCGACCATCGATGCTGGACCCTAGTGTGACTGCCACAGCCGCACGATATGTCGCTCACCGTCATCCGCCAATAGAGATTTATCGCGATCTTACCTGCTTGTCAAGCCCCACAGCTGAGACGGTTCAGTAGTGCCATCTAGAACACTATTCCTGTTTGAAACTGGTGGTTTGACCTACAATGCCTTCGTTGGACCGAAATGCTTTGGCCTTTCTCGATAAGAAATACTCGAAAACTTTACGAAAATCAACTCGGCCATACATTGTCCGGGCCAGCCTCAAACAGCACTCGCGCCGTGAAACTGCTCGATCCAGTAGTCCACGAGGCTTTTCCCCCTAGTGCCCATCTGGTTCCGGTCCAGTGTCATGCTAGCAACCCACTTTTGACTTTACCAACCCATTGTTGCCTTCTAGACGATCTTATCAAAGCTTCTGGCGTCATCCTTGACCCCACAAATGCCCTTCCTACATTTCGCGCGTGGGTGGGCATCGTTCTTTGGGCCATTGGCGAGCTTAAGATCGACACCCTCCCATTTTCGTCGTCTCACTGTCCCATCGGAGATTTTGCTTCCTTTGATGTAGAAAGGTGTCACCTTGAGACTCCTACATGACAAAAAACCCCAAGACCCCAACAGAGCGGCCCATCTCGTTTCTTCCAGGACACAAAAGGTCACGCGCGCCATGCCTCGCCAGAAGGGCGTTGAGAAGGTACGTCAGAAATGCTTCAGGTCTGTCGATACTCGCTCACGACCTACAAGTCCCCGGTCGCCGAGGACTACGAAGGTCTGCAAGTCGACCCGCGACCGAAGCCGGAGAAGTCTCCATACGGCTTTCACTTCGATGAAGACGAGCACATAAAATACAAGAGTGAGAAGCAAGTGGAAGGCGGCGTAGTGACCGTTGTCCGCGGGGGTCCCGGCGATCCAATGTCACCACAAACAGCTTACGCCTATGGAAGTACAACGCTCAGTCCGGAAACGCCTTCGTGGGCCCGCCCATGGGACGCAAGATCACGCGCTCCATCGAGTCCGGTAATCAGGGAGCGAGATCGGCGGAAAGACCGACGGATATGCTGGCTCCACCGATCGACTTTCTGGGTACTGTTAGTCATCATAATCTTACTGCTTGTTGGCGGTGCTGTAGTAGGAGGGATATTTGGGGGCATGAAAGCGAAGAACAAGGGCTCGTCGGATGCGCAGTCCGCACCACCACCGCCTACACCAAGTGGGCCGGTCTTCCCTCAAGCGCAGTCAGTCGCATAGCTAGATTCGAGCTTTTCAGAGTCAGCTAATGTTCAATGCAGGTCAGCGGATGTAATGATAGGGTCTCCCCTATGTACAATATCATATGACCTTGGGGGAAACAGCGATCCTTCGAAACGGCAGGAGTTCCGCCTTTACTTTCAATCACTGCTGGGTAATGTGAAGGAAGCTGTCTCAACTGGATCGTCATCTTGGCAGAGTGCAAAGCAAGTATTGCATTGCAGGAGAACTTTCACTTACTAACAAAATCTAGTCCTATACTTACGGATGCATTGAACAATACGGGTCTGGCCTCGATCACATACATGAACGGAACAAGTCAACAGGTGAATTAGCATCATCTTGGAAGGCGCACGGCTAATTCTGTGGTACAGGGAAGCCTATTCTACGTGGGTACGAACGGCCTTCTACAGGAAAAGAGGAAAATCTACTCAGACAACCAATTTTGGGAACCCGGAAAATTGAACAGTCTGAACGTGGCCATGGTCGGCAACATCTCTCTACCTGCTCAAGGCAGCGATCCACAGGATAGCTGGCATAGTTACGCCATGACTGCTGTTTATGCGCGCAACACCAGTATAGGACCCAGCGCACACCTCTTCTACCATGCCCAGCAAACTGACGGCTCCAACTCCGTCAAGGAAATGATTTGGGTTCAAGCCAACGACACATGGCTCGAAGGCGACACAATCACGGACGCATACCCCAATTCTCATTTAGCGGCAACGGTCGACGATCGATACGGCATTCTGAGACTGTTTTACGCAACAGGCAACAGCACCCTCCAAGAGGCGTGGACGTCCTTGTCCGACAAGCCTAAAAACGGCTACAAAAAAGGTATGCTGTGCACCCAGCCCCGATCCGACCCGCAACATCTACCCCCAGTCACCCACCCACTAACAAGTATGTACGCAATCGCAGGGCTGCGCCTCCCCAACTTCCTCTACGGCAATTCCGCAGACTTAGCAGCCGTGTCTCAGAACGGCACAACATATCTCTACCACTACGCCTCCGCCAAGCAAAGCGCTAGTGTTGGCATCCACGAACTGGTCATCACTGGCTCGCCCTCTTTAGGCACCAACCAAGAAAGTTTCAACGCGACGGAGGGTATTGTGGCAGCACCGAGCTATCCTGCAGGCACCAATGCGTCGATGTACCAGCCACTGACGGCTGGGAAGACCGTCGTCCCAGGGCTGAAGAATCAGCTGCTGGTGCTGTGGGCGGATAAGCCAACCGGCGATCCGAATACTAATTCTACAGGTTATGGAGAGTTGGGGCAGATTAGTCGGGGAATGACGGATAAGACGTGGCCGACGACGGGGGCGTTGCAGGTGCCGTTAGGGAGCAGTAACTCGGACCCGCATTGAGCGATCTTGTGATGTAAAAGGGCAAGGAGGGATGATGGGAACAAGGTTTGAGTTATTGCTGGCTCGGGCAGCTGTTTTCCAGACCCAGCCTGGTTTGGTATTGAGCTCAGGGTAATAGGGCTACGAATAATGACCTGTACATATATATATCTTATAACCTTATCTTGAAAGAGTCGGACTATCCGAAAATAGGACCACAATGACTATTCTAAGACGAAGGGACTGTTGCTTCTAAAACGAGGCCTGCCAGTCCTCCAATCAAGACTTGCGTCCTACCCGAAACCCCGACCACCCCTAGGTTCTCTCCCTCCCCTTTTTGCTCACAATAGAACTACCGCAATGATTTGCCGGGGTGGAGCGTGGTGAAACATCACATCACACTGCCTCCAGCCCCCGCTTTCCCCAAACCAGTAGCCAGAGACAATTGAGGGTGATTACGCTATCACTCCCCCTTCTCAGGCTGTTTGGTGTAATTAGGAGAGTTGCTTGAGACGAAGGTGTGGGATGGGATGGGATGGGATGGGATGCTGTAATCACCGGTAAGGTGTGATGACTAAGACATGAGAATGATGCGCGTTATGAGAGGACGTCGAGAGAGTGGTATTGGTGGAGGGTGGATGAATGAGTCAGGCACATTTCTCAGAAGGGAGAAGCCCCTTGATGGGGTGTGGACAAGGGAGAGTGGCGTTGTGCCTGTTTAAGGGCAGGGGGGTCGGGGCTTCTTAAACTTTGTCGATAAAACTCCAGTGATACATTTTTGTGAATCACGGGCAAAATGGCCAGCAATCCTGGAACGCAACGTCGAGATAGAAAGATAATAGCGATTACAGCTAACGCTCGACCAGGATATTATGCTCCTATCGGATGAACCCGCGTTACGGTGCATGTACCTAAGTCTATTAAGATACCCCGCTTCACAGCCTTGTGTCGACCTTATCGTAGACTTCTCAACCTAATTGACATTAAACTGCCTTAAAAGTCTCTGGACATCTTGGAAACTGTCAATACCATCAAAAAGACCGGATTTCGCCTACCAAAGACCTAGATATGCCATCTTCCTCCTATGGGACAGGGGGCAACGCAAAGACGGTCAGACCGAAGGAAAAACCAGCAAGCGTAAATATAGTCTCCGACATACTACGCAAGGAATAATTTAACTGGTGACTCTTTCTAGGAAAAAAGCAGAGGGTCAGATAAGGGCAAGGAGAAGGGTTCCCGCTCGGGGAAGTCTGTCAAGGGTGACAAGCGTCCCAAAGGCGGCAATAAGCCAGGCTCAAAGAAATAAGAGAATGGGAGGGGGCGAATAGCATCGTGTGGCAGATTACACAGTACTATCAAATGACAGGGAATTTGCCACTATGTTGAGAACACGAAGGTATGGCACAAATGAAGTATTTTGAAGAGCCAGACCTCCACATTTCTTCCATACAACTTTCTCTACGATTCTTTTCGTGTCTAAAGATCACCACCCCAGATTAGTGCCCTATCATTACCTGCACATTTACCCTCGATTAGAGCGTCCAGCTCATGGTTTCGTATTCGACCAGTACTCCCATCCGCAAAAGACATCATGCATATATCTAGCTGCACTTGCGATCAATCAACCAATCGGCTCCAACGACCTCCAATCTCCATGTCTCAGCGCGCCCACTTTTCATTCAATTCTACAATATTCACCAGGTTCTGACGAGCTAGCCCACACAAAAGGATGAAGCATACCGTACCGCTCGCCTCACGCCACTTTTCTTCCCTCACCAAAACAACTAGAATTGGCTTTGCGCCCTAATACTATGGCAGTCAATCTCACAACCATATAAACCCAGGCACTGTGGATGAAGCGATAAAAATGAAGCGTCCTTCCTTCCTCTGTAATGTCTACTTAATGCACCTTCCCCCGTCTCTTCTCACAAACTCATCAACAATGCTTCAACAGAAGATCAAGTAGAGCGATGGAACACAAACACCCTTCCCAGCGCAGGAGACTTCAAGACTACTTCATCTCCAGCGACGGCATTGATGGCGCGGTACTGCAGCGACAGATTGGCGTGATGCTGGGGGACGGGACGAGTGCGAGGGGGATGGTTTATAAGGTCCACCCCCCTTTTTCCCTTCCCACTTCCTCTTCCTCCGTCGCCCATTTCCTATTCTCCATTTAGTACCATCGTGTGACTTCTCTCCCCGGTTCTCCACCAGCAGCGCGCTGATCTCAGTGCAGGGCATGAAAGGGTATAAGATCACAGCTGCGCGGCCTTTTAGTGAGGTTTGTCCTCCCCCCCTTCTTTCCCCCTTCCTCCCCTTCCTCCCCTTCCTCCCTTCCATCCTTCCCCCTTTTCCACCTTCCCCCTTCTCCCCTTTCCCACTCAAGGGCAGGGGTAATACCATCGAGTCTGGCGTGGCTGACCCATGTAGAAACAACTCGAAGATCTCGTCACGATGTCGAAGGAATGTCCCAAGCACTGGAGACGCGCTCCGCTGCCTCCCACCACTCGAACCACGGCCCGCACCAATTGAACAACTTCCTCTAACCTTTTCCCTCACGAAGGTAGTACTAAGTAGGTGCCATGGAGGTGAGGAAGCGGTTGGGTGATTGATTTGGGAGGATGGTGTTATGTGATGGTCTTGAGGAGTTCTTTCAAGTCTCGGTCGCGAAGTTTCGGCGACCTCAACGTCGCTTGTTGTTCCTCATGCGATTGCAATGGGTCCCATTGGCGCGTGGATACGGGTGGGGCTTTACTTATAGTGCTGTTGTCATCAATGATGTGCCCACTATCAAGTGACCCCTTCCTTGGTCTTCCTCTCTCGACTCCCCGTCTGTCGGGCGCTGGTAAATCCGTGGGATAATCCTCCTCCTGTCCACCTCTCCTAAAGAAGCGCTCTACGTTCGTAAGAGCCTTTGGTGCTCGCCCTGCCATCTGAATTGCGCTGTGTTCAGGCTCGCTGTCAGACATCTCATCGTCAGCAGGACGAGGATTGAAAGCTGGCTCTTTGCTTGCCGGTCGCTGTGGCCTTCTCTCGGGCCCCTTTTCTCCGTCGGGTTGTGATCGCTTCCTGCGCTGCCTTTCCAAATTACTGTATTCTAGCCTCTTCCTCATATTTTGTTGCTTTTGGAGACGATCGCTCTCACTGTCACTCTCTTCCCCTCTTGCCCTTGTCTGATCGATCGAAGAAGTCACGTTGCTTTCTTGCTGCTGGGCTCTTTCATTACTAGTGAGGCTGGGTGTTTTATGTTCATCTTGAGGAGCTTGCTGCCTAGTGCCGTCCTCAATGTCACTCTTGTCACTATCGCTCGAATCTTCTCTTTGCACTCTTCTTCGGCTTCGCTTCTCCACTGGCATTGACTTCGTAACATCCATTATCGCTTGAACAGCTGGTTCTTCCGGCAGATGTAGGGCTCTCTCACTCGTCCTTGGTCTTGGCTTAAGACCTACTGATTCGCTTTCACTCGACTCCAAGGACACATGCCACGCCGCTCGTCTAGCCATAGATGGTGAATCGCTTTCACTCGAGTCCAAATCGAGCTTCCTTCTATTTTCCCTTTGCCTTCTTGCCAATCGCGCCTGTTGCTGTCTAATCCTATCGACTATTTCGTGCCCGGTCTTTTTGGTCTGCACACTGTCATCGGCGTTGTCATCTTCCTGCAGCGCTATCCGCTGAGCTCTTGTACGAGGTTCTTCATTCTCCTCCGTCTCTACCAAAGCACTTCTTGGAGGTGTTTCAAAACTATCTTGTCTAGCATGACTCTCGTCTACTTTGTTTCCTGCAACAAACCCTCGAGATAGACTTTGCCCATATGCTTCCGCATTAGCTCGTTCCCGACCTTCAGCTCCCAGATATCGGAGTACGTCCTCATGTCTAACGATATTTTTGCTAGATAGTGCAGCCCTCTCTGACAGTTGTCGTTTCCTAGTAATTGTTATTCTATCATTTCTGCTGGGCTCACGAGTCGTCTGTCTGGTGATTTTACTGGTGGAGTAAAGCTCGTCTCCCGCGCTTGTTGGAGACTGTTCTCTGTATACAAGTTGGCTGCGGCCCCGAGGCTCTCCTTCACTTTGTGCTATTGTTCGGCGAGATTGTGTGAGAAGGGTAGTTCGAGAGGCTTTGTCCATCGCACTATTTATATCGGCTTGGACTTCTCTACCAGCTCTTTCAGGACTAGAACCTGCTAAGCTATCGGTCACGACATTGAAGGATTCTCTGCTCTGATCTCTTGACCCGCTTCGCAAAACATGACTATCCTCATCTTCAAGCGTCCTACGTCCTCCTCTTGCATGGCGCTCGTATTCAGATGATGGAGGACTCTGGACCACTCGTGTGTCAGCGAATTCTTCATGTGTTGGCGGTATAATAGACAGAGGTTTTTCAAGTTCTCTAACTGGGTCTGAGGCTGGGCTGTCGGATCGACTTTGCCTGTCCACATCACGTTGAACTATGCTACCCTCTCTTGAGCGGATTGGATCATCTTCACCTGACCAAGACTCAGGAGTGGAGTCCTGATTCACTATGTCGTTGACTCTTCCATCCTTCGAAGCCTCATATTCCTTCGACATCTGCTTAAGCTCTTGAATTTCATGCTTCAAAATTTAGCGACTGATGGACACGTGGGGCGGTAGACTTTACCTCGGTGAGCTCCCTGTATGCGGTAATCATGTATGCCGTTCGACCCTATAGATGTCAGCATTCAAGACCTTCTATGAATAAGGAAGTCATACACCCAGAGCGGTTGGAGCAGCTGCGGTCGCTCCAGCGCCAAGCATAGAATTAATGTGGCGTTTTAATACCTCGAACGAGATATCATCGCCCCGTATGTAATATCGTATCATCCCGGGTGGTACCTTCTTATACTTTGACGACTGTGGAAACTCGGTGTCTTCTACCAGTCCTCCGGAATATTCCAGGCCTTGGTCAAAGACTGGTCGCGTCTGCTCCTCCTCCTCCTGCTCCTGCTCCCTCATAAGCTGGAGATCGTTCACCTCATCCATATGAACGAGTATCTGCTTATATAGACTGTTCGAGGCTGGAACAGTTTCTCTCCCGCGCGCTTCGGTGCCCGAATATCTAACCTGCGATAGCTCAATCATGTTGTATTCAGGATTTACATTGATGAGGATGCCCTCGTAACTAAGGATATTGTCAGCGAGCAGCTAGTGACCTACTAGAAATTCGTACCGGATGTCTCGTTTGGAGATCACTGATACCTTCGACCTGTGATTTCCACATCAGCTGAAGTCATATCCTACGAGAAGCTTATCCTCACCCTATAAATGTGGACCAAGCATGAGCAGCTACACTTTCATCAGAAGAGTGGGCTTCACTGCCACCAGACTGCGTTTCACCGTCACTAATATCATCGTCGTTGCGTGGGAGTATGAAGAGAGCAAGCTCCTGTAGATGCCGAGCGACATGACGCTCGTAGACCTTTTCTAGGGCAAAATCTGCCTGACACAAGACACAAGTGAAACGGTGTAAAGGACTTGACGCTGGTATTGTATCTCCAGCGATATCGGCTGCATGAGCACTTTTCAAATGATGAAGCCATTCATGTCGAGTGGCGTAGAGCTTGTCAGGTGTAGTACAGTTCGGCAGCATGCAGACATAGGGTTGCAAATCCTGGAAAACATGCCTGTTCCATGATTTAGTGCCGCTGATTGTGATCACAATATGACAATAGGGACACTCGAAGGGCCTCTTATCTTTGGAAGCCTTTGGCGGTCGTGGTATCGTGATGTCGCCACCCCCTTGCAGCGTTTGAGCATATGATGTCTGGGTGACTCCTGAGTCAGAGGCGCCCTCGTCAAAGTGAATGTTCTTTTCCTCCAAATTGGTAGCGATAGTATCGGAGAGTAAGCTGACAGTCCCCTCCACATTTGATTCACCTTCTAGATTCCAAGTCACTTTGTCGATACCCTGCATCAACTTCATCGCATGTCTTTCGCGGTATTTGAGATATTTGCGCCTTCGGGTAAGAGCATGCCCAAGACGCTGCACAATTAGATCGTCTGACTTTGGGTACTTCTCTCGCACATGATTGTAATCAAAAGGCTCATATGCTGCAACTTCAGCACGTCTCGATTTCAGAATCGCATCATGCTGCGCAGGCTTGCGGACCAGCATGGACATTTGGAATAGGCAATCGATGATTGTCGCAGTGCTCTGACGAAGCTCGTCTAAGGCTTGGGTGGCATCTTCACTATCCGAGGAGTCGTCACTTAATTCCTCTTGATCCTCTTCTATGTCTTCTGCGAGTATTTCTCGGGCCTCTTGGAGTCTTTTCGAGACGTCCGTAAGGAGCTTCAGAATCTGGTCTCGAACGTGTGAGGCATCCCTCAGGCGGAAGTCCAAGGACGATTGTCCGGTTTTGTGGGCTCCAATATTGGCTGCCCACATTCGTACTCGTCCGAGCTCATCTTTCCAGGCTGCTGCATTGGTCTTTTGCTCGCTGGCAGCCCGGCTCTCTGCTTCGTCTACAAAAGTATTGAAAGATTTAAGACAGCCAATTATCGATGTCGAGATAGAAGTAGTCATCGCCTCCACGCTATGGCATCGATGTCGCCGCTCTCTTGGATCAAGGCTTTGATTGAGTGGGAAAGATATGAAGAAGACTCTCGATTCTCGAGGTCAGCATCTGTTTTCGTGCCCAAGCCACCCCTCCCCCCTCGTACGTCATCATGCATGACTAGGCAAGTCTGCCCAACCGAGATCTCAGCCTTCTCTGAGGTGCCATCCTCCAGACAACGTCGCAATTAGTTTCTTGAGAGGACATCTGTAACCGTATATATAAAGAAACAAGTCTTGATGTCTGGCTTTGAGGTAGCAGGCGTTGCGCTTGGCGCCTTCCCCATCGCCATTGGGGCATTGAACCACTTCTTAGAAGGCGTACAAACCATCAAATACTGGCGACGTTACCGAATCAAGCTCAGTGACTATGCCAGTGTGATGGAGACGCATCGAGTATACTACCTTGATACGTTGGATGAGCTTCTTCAAGACATCGTTCCATCCGAGGAAATGGAGGAGCTGATGTCGCAGCCAGGCGGGGTTATGTGGAAAGACCCCCGATATGAGCAGCGACTGAAGCAGCGGTTAGGCCGTTCTTACCACGCATATATTCGGACACTGGCGAAAATGCACGCCGCATTAAATGGGCTGTGCGAAAAATTAGGCGTCGACATGGCAGGCAAGGTTAGTACTCTAGCCAAGTCGTCTCCCGTTGGCCAGGCAAGACTCAAAACTACTAGGTTCTGTGGGAAGATTACTCAGTGGTCGAACGTGAGATGAAACGGATCAAGGTCACATTGAAGAAGAATGTGTACAAAGAGATACTAGATGATATCGACAAAGCCAATAAAGACATTAGAGACATAACGCATCAAAATGTCTACCTCGAGCCCCTTCGTCAGAGACGGCTCAAAAAGCGTCCAATAGCTCAATTGAAGCTCGTACGAGCCCATGCGAGGAGTCTTTACAGCCTGCTTGTGAATGGCAAGGCCTGGAAATGCGAATGTAATGACTACCACATCGCCACATTAAGGCTTGAATCGAGGCCTCGACCGTTGGAATTGACGGATAGTAACGATTGCCGATTCAAAATACTACTGTCTACAGGTCGGAAAGATGCTACTTGCCCAACGATTGACTCACAATGGCAAGAAATTGATGTAGTACCATTGTCAGACGATACATTTGGGGTAAGTAGCACGCAAGAGCAGCATGATCAGGGCCGTGTCAAGTTTGCCCCGGACCCAAAGTCTATCCCAACCTCACTCGCCTTGCAGCAGGATAGCCAGAAAAAGCACGGCATTGGTGTAATTGAAGACATATGCACCGCTCTTTGCAAGTCATCCGATACCCAACCGGAAGTCGGCTTCTTAAACGATGAGGCAGATGCGAGATACAGACATTACATATTCCGGGCTATGGCCGATGCTGCTGAGCGGCAATCTGTGTCTCTAAGAACGCTCCTAGTCAATGCAGACAAAGAAGCACTTCGCATGTCTTTCCTGAGGGGCGATCGTCTGCGCATCGCCGTAATCCTGGCATCCAGCGTGCTTCAATTGACCGGAACGAAATGGTGGCTCGAATCCGAGTGGTCTAGTGAGGACATACTCTTCCATAACAGCAGCGAAGTAGCCGGTGGCGCGGACTACTCATACCCATATTTACCCTGGAAGCTTTGCACAGCGAAACCAAATGCCTCGAAATCCTCATCGCTTCACTTCGATCACCGCAGCCGAGCTCTCTTGGCACTTGGCTTTACCTTGATTGAACTCTGCTTCGGGAGAACTCTGGCAGCAATGTACAAGATCGAAGACGGAGAAGCCGGTGACCTATCTACGAGACTGCGAACGGCGGACAGGTTATTGAGGTCGGTGTACAACGAAATGGGTCCTTCATATGGCGACGTGGTAAGAAGGTGCCTGCGCCAACCCTTTGATGTGCTGGACATGAATCTCGACAATGAAGACCTACAGCAGAAGGTCTTCGACGACATCGTGACGCCTTTGGCTCACGATCTTGAGAATTTTCATGGCAGATCGCGGATCGTCTAGTTCTAGATCGGCAATTGTGAACCAGTTGCAGATGTTGGAATGAACCTGCCAAAGAAGCGCATTCTCAGAACAAATGCGATACGAATGCGGCCAATTGATAGGCTTTACTACACGATAAACCCCAGTCCAATGACTTGTCCAATTCAGCTGGATCAGTACTCTACCAGGAAAGCAATCTCAATGGTCTGCTTGACTCGAAATCGGCTAAGAACTTAGACAGAGTCGTCCACTATTTTTCGGACCGGCATTTCTACTATAGCTCTATTGGCGCCGAGAACGTAGAGATTACGTCATATCCAATATAGAGTAGCGATCAAGATGGGCGATAAAAAGCGTTGTGGATATTGGCTCAGGCTTTTAGCAGCAGTAAAAGACCCCGAAAAAACGACGGCAGTAAGAGTCCCATTGAGTTGATTCCCGCAATCGAGACACCGGAGAGCAATTCTGGCGCTGCCACATCAAACAACGTTAAAACGATATTAAAGAGGCTCATCAACGCTACTGAAACGGCATGTAGCTCTGAAACGACTTTTCGCAAGCACTCTGAAGTCCATTTGAACGGCTATTATATCTGGAGCCGACTCTTGGAAAAGTACCGCAGATCAAAACTTACCAAAGAGTCAGATAGAATGGTTGCGATCAACGGGCTCGCAACGGACATGCAGGAAAGGCTTCATGATACCTACCGACGTGGTCTCTGGCAGAATGTCTTGCCCTCACAACTTCTTTGGCGAATAGAGCGAACTGTATCACGCAAGACAATTCTGGACATCTCAGCTGATGCAAAGGTGGAAACTATGAAGCCGCAATCTACTATCTGCATCGGCTAGTCCTACGCAAGCATGCCGAACTCCGGCAAATGGCAAGCACCAGCCTCTCAGCAATTCGGACTACTCGACGTAGAAATACACCCCTGGCCCATCACAGTCCCATCACCCTTCTTCAACGTAATCGCCGACTCAACTTTCGCATCCACATCAACCAACGTCTCCAAAACATCATTCAACCCAGTATACGTGAACGGCTGCACATTAGCAAACTGATCCAGCGTCTGCGCAATCTTCACAGCCACAAAATCCCCCCCATCATTCCCCACGCTCTGCTGATAGTCCACATTACTCTGATTATAAACTTGGCCCGAGGAGGCAGCGAGGGAGACTTTGTCGACGAAGGCCCGGATGGTTTGCTGGTAGAGGTTATTTTCCAGTTCGTTGTTGTTGAGCGGGTGGACGGACAGTTTGACGTTGGGGTCTTCTTGCAATGCCACCGTTTGGTCGTGTGCGCCGATCCAGACGCTGCAGGGGATGTTTGCTGGACGGCCGGGCTCGCCGCAGTCGTAGGGTTTTGCCGTAGGGAGGGATGGGCCCGTGTCGGTTGGGGATGGGGGCGCCTGGGGTAGTGCTGCGCTGAAGGAGACGCTGAGGGTCAGGTATATGGCTAGTGTTGCGAACATGATGGGTCAGTGACCTGTCGTCGTGAATTCAGTCAAAGTGGGAGCTGTGATGAATTGGATTTGCGATTGATGTGGTAGCTTTTGGTGAATGGGATCGGTGGGAGTGATGGAGACAGCCATGCGACTTCTGGCATTTTATGCTGGAAGTCAATGCCTGGAGAACCTTTGGAGAGAGGCTTGAGGCTGAATATTGTCACCAATGACGAGAGCGATATCTAAGACACCAACAATATTGACCCTGTCTGTGGCTACAGCTCATTTAAGGTTGATTCCATGTACCGTCTCCATCGCTATTTTTAGTATATACGGCGCATATTGGGTGAGGCTTGTGGGGATGAAACTGCATGGCATTGTTTGGTCTTTGAATGGTAAAGCTACCACGTGGAGAGACTGGTATGATGTTGTGATCCTGCTCAAGATATTAAGCTGGGGTACAGGGCGGCTAACGTACGCGTCCCCGCAGGAAATTTATACTCCTGGCGGCTGGTGGTTCCTGAGGCTCAGACCTCTGTGCGACCCGCAATGAGACAAAACACATTATCTTCAGCAAAGTGACGTAAGAGAGTCCGAAAGCCTTTAGGCATTCAGATCATTCAAGTTTTGTTTGGGAGTTGGGGAGGAATGTTGCACAAAGGACCAGCTTTGGACCGGTACGGCTTACCAACCATATCATAGAGAAAAACAGACGATTGGAATACCCCTACGATAGACGCGAACTCGATATCTTTCGCAACTAGAATCTCAGTGATTCAGACTGCATCTAAGTAACCTTCCAGCTGAGATTCAGCCTGGAAATCATGAGGCTTGTCATGCTTGTATGGCAACAAGCGCAAGAAAAACTTCGCTCCTCTAAGCACTATTTTACTGATGATACCTACCTCGCTTATCATTAACTATCTTCATGCAACTTCTAGGGAGATTAGCGAGGATCATCCAAAGCCATATAGCAAGCTTTTGCGGCTCAACATTCGAAACATGCATACCACTTTTTTTGTCCGGTATGTCGTCATTGCGAGATCCCATCACGTTTTTGCCCCTACTTCTAGATGGAAGTGCCCTAGATAATGTTGGGAGTAGTGACCCGGCGGAAGCTCTGGCTCTTTGATATCTCCCTTGATCGCTGTGGCGAATGCGTGAATGAACATTGTATATGCTCGGGAGGAATAGATCTTCTGAATGTATAATTTAGATGCTGAAGAAGAAGATTGAAACGATCACGTCAGAGTCATCGGCGAGTGGTTCATTCTGTTCCCGCGGAGTCTTGATGCGAACTCACCGGGAGGAAGGGTAAGCTCACCTGGCCGTGGAAAAGCGGTGGGCTTATCTCGATGAGTCTGAGTGGACAAGTTGACAGTGTCGGATCACTTCGGCGTCTTTATCGCTCTGGATGAGGCTCTTTATCATGTCCTTACTGAGATGAGGTGGTCCATACGAGACTCGCAATGCCATGAGACCAAGACTCTCAGCCCACCTAGTCTCGCGCTATTTTCGTCTACTGATAGCCAGAGTTGTTGGGCGTTATTCTGGCGCACATTAAAGTCTTTTCATCTGTCATACGGTGGGCTATCTTGATAATGGCGGTCTGGAAACAGGTGTATTGTCACATGAGCCTACACCTGATTCTACACGCCATGACATCATTGCATTGATGATACCCGTCTATCTGTATATCACAAAGAGGTGAGTTTGAGGCGCTGGAGTTCGCGGTATATCACGCAAAAATTGAAGCAAGCGACAAGCGACGGATTGAGATGTTTATCAGCAAATGACAGATCATGCAGAGATACCCGTCTGAAGATATCGTGAGGACTTTTTCTCCATTCATCGCCAGAACTTTCAACACCTTAGATGTATATCCACTACCTCCATCCTTGTCTTTGATGTCTTGACTAGAATCTGCTGAAGCAGCCTACTTGTTCTTATGCTTGAGATATCCCTAAGACACTATGTCGTACCAGAATCAAAACCGTATGGAATGGGTCTTATTGCCACTGTGCCATAGTAAAGCATTAATCACCAGCAGATCAAACTAGACGTTCTACCACGTACGCAATACCGCGCTATTTCACCCACCACAACAAACCTCCCCCCATCATCCCAGTCCTGCTGGTCTCTGATACGCTTGCGCAGCCAGTTGATTAGCAGCGCCAACTTGGGCATCACCGCATGATCTGCAAACAGATGTAACAACCCATTGCTCCGCAGGACCTGAGACACCCCGAGTCAATACCAGGAGTAGAGCAGATGATTGGAACCAAAGACTCACAAGAGCATCCGGCGGCGGCGTTGATGCCTGCTGCGCATTGGCGTACAACACAGCCAGCCGTGTCTATTGATACCTCTTGAGGGAATGGGCTGGGTATGCCGTAGGTCGCGAAAGGCAGAATCGCCATAAGTACCGTCAAGATAGAGAAGGTTGTGATCAATGGCTGCATGAGTGCTACAGATCGCGCTTTTGGTTTTCGTGTAAGGCTGCTGTTCGGGGGACGTTGTTCGATTGAGGCGAGGAAGTCGAATCAAATAGCTGTCACTTCGTGAGTAGCTGCCAGATCTCTCTCTGCGGGGTTTTCTGTCATTTACTCGGAGAGTGGGACCAAATGAAGGGTGATATATGATCATTGTATATAGGCAACTCACACAAAGCCCAAGCAGAAGATGTGTCAAAGATTGAGAACTAAGAAATTAGGAATTACCCTGTTCAAGTAGAGGTATGTAAATAAAGATTGATTAAGATGTCCCTGTACGTCAAGCTAGGCAGCCCTTGTCTTTCCCTCAAACAAAGAAGCCGAGATTTTGAGGCTGAAGCAATATCCCGATCTCAAGCTAGGGCACCTGTGACATTTGTAGTTCCTAATTAAGGGCCTCCATACAATTGTGATACGGGCTAAGGCGCCGTGAGTTGGCTCAGCCTTCATGTGTCAAGATTAGGCAATCCGTATGAGGTATTGCCTAGGAGCATTTACCCGAAACATACCCCCGTTGTCAGCCACATCCCGTCCTTGGGCTCGACCTTTGCTACTTTTACGCCGTGGATAGAATTTTGCGAAAAATTGAGATTTATTAAGGGGAGAGTTGTCTGGAGGGTTTGTGACTCAAGTATAATTCTCTGGCGAAATCCTGCCATGGTATAGTAATTGGTCAAGCGCAACGGCACTATTACATTGGTCGCCTAGCTTCTTCGTTCGTTTGCAAATATGATTTTTATGAGCGTGCATGTGGTAGCGCTCAGTTGACAAGAGTTGAGGGTTTGCCTACCCTGGACAATTTCTGATCAGTTTGCGAAGAAACTTCATAGCTTTGTCTTGAAAATACCGCACTAATATGTGTTGAAGGTTGTCCCTCGACATTTCATTCACAAGACTTGCTCTTATCTCGTCAAAAAATCCCGCCGACATCGAGAATCAGAATATCTACAGGCCAGCGATACTCCTACTCGATGCTTTAAGCTTTAATTCTCAGCCCGACGCATAGAGCAGCCTGCTCGAATTGGTAGAGTCGGCTACGGCGCAACGTTTTTGACGATGAGTCACCGTTCGCCATTCACCATAGTGAGAACACTTGTAATTGTTAGATTTCATTACTCAAAGGCGCCAACTTGGCACATAACATTAAGTGACTTGGCGTATCTCAAAGTAGTGCCCTATTACCTTGTCGCCGCCCCCAAGAGACAGACCACACCTTTATTATGCTCAAGCATACCGACAACAAGATACAGCTGCATTCGTATCCTTGGACTATCTTGTGGCTGAAACCTAATTGTAGCGGCTGTTCTCCATAAAGCTTGACCTCATTCTAACTTCTAAATATATCTTACTAAACAATCAGGTATCTATAGGATTTCTCGTACAGGATGATAATATCCAGACCGACTTTAAATATATAGTCTTTGACCCTCCCCTAAAGGGACTTATGGTGGCAGTAACTGTGGCACATATGATCTGTGTTACATCTAAATTGCAATTCATCCAGGTTGTGGTACATCTGCGCGGTGGAGAATCTGAGCTGTGGTACGCCGTAGCTGTGCTACTTCGAAATTGTGCTACCTTTGAGCTGCAAGATGCTGACAATGATCAACGCCACAAGGCACCCTTCGGACAAGCCTCTGTTTCTCTGAGGCAGACGTACCAAACCGGGAGGAAGACGCCTCGAAACTTACAGGAGAACACGCAGTAGCCACTGAATGCTAATGACAGCCATGGCTGGCCACTTATGGTTATTTGCCTTGAGACTAAGCCTCCAGGAGCCACATCATTCTCCATCGTGAACTTAGATGTCGCACAACGGAGTCTATAAGTAAAGCATCATGTCTCCCTGTAATTCAAACTCTCAAATACTTGCAGACGTAGATACTTTACATCTTCACATATTTACCAGCCATGACTGACTCAATAGCGGTCACTATCATCGACAATACACGATCGTTGGCATCTCTTCTCGACAGCCTCGATGGCCAGCCAATCAATCCGCCTTCGTTCTATCTGGACATTGAAGGCATCAGACTCTCTCGCGATGGCTCCATCTCGATCATCCAACTTTACCATCTACCACAGAACCACGTCTATCTCCTAGACGTCTTTGTTCTGAAGCAAGCAGCATTCGATGCACCAAATGACTCTGGCACCACCTTCCGCTCGATTCTTGAATCCGCAGAAATCCCAAAAGTCTTCTTTGACGTCCGCAACGATTCTGATGCCCTATTTGCTCACTTCAATATCTCTTTGAGAGGTATTCAAGACCTCCAACTGTTGGAGCTTGCAACGGGACGATTCTGGCTTCGGACTCGGGTCAATGGACTCGCTCGGTGCATCAAGGAAGACGCTGGGCTTTCATCCGATGCACTGCACAAGTGGGAGACTGTTAAGTGTGTGGGAAAGAGATTGTTCGGCCCAGAGTACGGTGGCTCGTACGAGGTCTTTCACACGCGACCGTTGCAGCAGGATATAATCGATTACTGCTCGCAGGACGTGGTATGTCTCCCGAAGCTATGGAATGTGTACATGGACAAGATCGACGATGAATGGCTTCAGAGAGTGCAGGAAGAGACGGAGAACAGAGTCGTACAGTCGCAGTCAAGCTCGTACGACCCTCACTCTCGAGAGAAGACAATGAGTCCTTGGCCAAGCTATCTACCGGGACCAAAAAGCAAGCCAGCGAAAGTTGTGGACACAGTCCCTGCACCAGCGCTTGCGAGGTCAATCGATTTCGAGGACTTGCCTGGCAACGCTAATACCAAAATGTGGAGTTGTTCAACTTGTAAGCGAAAGGTGTTTGGAAGAGGAACCCCCGAGCAGCTACTCGCTCGTGCCACATCCCTGGTCTGTTTCGCCTGCACGTTGACAGAAAGGTGCTCAGGATCTCCTTCATATGACATCTCGACCTTCTACTAGACTAGAGCCAAGGAGAAGACCCGCTCTCTCGCAAGGTCAGCACAACTCGTACGAGAAGTGCCTCCTCCAATCCATACAAGACCGACAGATCCTCAAGGTCCAAAAATCGTCGGAGCCTCCGTGCACCCCGCAACGACAACTAAGCACAAAGCAAATCAGCATCCTTCATTCACAAATCCCAAGACTCCCATCTCAGGAATTCCTCTCCACTCACAAGAAGCATAATACTCATAATTCGCCGCATTCTCCACACTCTGCGCGGCCCCCAGCTCAATCACCTCCTGAACGCCATACGTCTCCATCCCCGTGGCACTGCCCTCCACGCCATACAAATGCACAAGCTCATGCACGAGGGTCGAGAACTGATTCTGAATCAACCCATCCGTCTCGCGGGGAAACCTATTAAACAGCAGAATCGGACACTCCTCCGGGCCCGGCTCAATTTCCACCGTCCAGAACAGCGGACACAAGACCACGAACTCCGTTCCCGCAATCGTCCCCGCCGGATACCCCTTCTTCACGCATTGATCGTTGTAGATGTTGCGGGCGTACTCGTCTGGGTCGTCGGCTGAGAGGCAGTAGAGGACTGGTGCGGCTTCGACCCCGTTCGGGTAAATGCTGTCGCCCCGGCGGATGCGGGAGAAGACCTCGCGAATGCGCAGGATCGCGGAGGCGGATTTGAAGAAGGCTTTTAGGCCGTAGGGAGAGGATAGGCCGTGGTCGTCTAGGTCTGTGATGACGTCGCCGAGGCGGTTGTAGGTGCGGCGGAGGAGTAGGTCGGCTGGGGTGGCCTTAGTGGCGCAGTTTACGATTGCGTAGTTGCCGCTGTGGACGACGTCTTCGTTTCGCTTCGTGAAGGTGTTTGGGATTGTAGAGGGTGTTTGTGGTGAGGGGATGCAGTGGGTGAAGGTTACGAGCAGCGAAAGGAGAAATATAGACAAGAACCTCATTTTAGGATGTACTCTCCGACCTTCTATGGCTCAAGTTGCCGCCAAAATAATCGTGAAGCTTCTTCAGTCTAAAAGTCCTGCTTTGAAATATATACATGAAGAATGAAATTGATGAAGGGAAATGAACGAGGGCAGAGACTTTTGAAGGTAAAGTTCTACTCAAGTACAGCCCTGATAGTCTCAGCTCGCCCTTTCTGGCGGACAAGTAACTTCTCTCGTGTTATTGAGCAGGAGAGCCGTGCGCAGCTGTCGATATCAAATTTAGTAGCAGAGGTGGGGTAGAGCAGAATGTCTATCCGCTTAGACTTGAATCGCTTAAGTGTGGAGTTCTTCTCTTGAGGCGCCAAATCGTTGAAGTATGTGAATACTGGCACCATGTGTGAGGAATGATTCTTACTTCGTAGCTAATAGTATGAATATCTCATTTCTTGCCGAATCAGTGGTTTAGAAAAATTAGTGTTGGGCCTCGCCTCATTGGCAGGGCCCAGAAGCTATATCTTCATCCCCACTACATTATTCTGGGGTATCCAGGCAAGATAGTAGCCCTAGTGAGCGAAAGAATTGGGGTCTGTACATCTGTGAGCGTCTCCCGTAGAGGGATAAACTTTTAGTTGGAGCTCCGTTAGTCTTTGGGATTATTCTGGCGCTGAGAGGTCAACACTTCTGGAGATATATAAGGTATTGCGACCTTTCCAGGTCCAATAATCTTAATTAGGCCCCCGTAGAGTGTTTTCATCCTTGTTTCGAATTGACGACTGGTCTGGTCTACGTAGAGAAAGTCTGGAACAATACCCAAAGGCCCAGCCGATACTACAGGGTCAATCAGGACGAGATCTTTTCCTATTGATTTTCCTTGAGGATGGTGGCCTGCGCTATACATCTCTTTAATCTCTCCCAGTTTGGATGGGCGAGCATGCCTTGCTAGTAGACCAAGAACTTTGGTGTCTTTCCCGTAGGCTATCAGTACCGGCACAAAGCGTTTGTGGACCCATCGAGCAGCAGAAAGCCCGATCTGACAATTGACCATGGCTGCCAGAAGTAACATCGTCTGCAATAGTGGTTTGGGCCACTTGAATCTCGGAGTACTTACGAAAATCTTGAAATCACTCTCTTGGGCTGGATCTTTCGTCATACGATCCGATGCGCACCACATATGATCAAGAATTTTTCGCGACTGTTGGAGGATTGTGACATGCTCCATGCTACGATCTTCTTCAATCCTTGTTAAGTCATGATCTTCTCCTATTGGACCTTCCCTGAAAATCAGTCTTGGCCCTGTCATGATTGTCGTTTGGCTTTTCTCTTCTGTCATAAGAAGTGCATCGCCGAAAGAACTTCCGGCATCAGGAACCCAGCCCAGAGTAGCTGCATCCATGACATCAAGCTCCCAAGAAATTTGTGGAAAATTACCGAACGTAGACAGCTCACCACCTCGGTGGCTGAAACGCCATAGGTCTTCAGAATACTCCATACTTGACCTAATAATTTCAAGAAAGTTGTTTCGTGACACATCGGTAATCTCTGTGACGAGCACATTGGTTGTAACGTGAATATAAGAAGACCCCGCCGGTGGATCCACTGAAAGGCGCTGACCGAGCAACTTAAGAAAATCCCCTAGGCATTCGGGCTCAGGTTGATGCTCGCTTGGCAGGAGAGCGTCATTCACCTCCACAGTGATAGATTCTATCATAGACGCTGTAATTCTTGGGGTGAATTGATGTCCAGTATTGGCTGCTTGGTCATATAGATCAAGAAAAATCTGACTGAACGTCATATCCTTCGCACTGCTGGGATAATTGTACCAAGGGAATTGTGGCATGATTGCAAAGATATAATCGCGTGGCTTACTCGCTACTCTATGCGATGTCAATGTCGCCATCCGAAAGAGCCCAGTATGTATGTCCTCAGACTCAGTTCTTCGCCTAGGTCTTGGTCGTGTGATAGTCTTACAATGAATATATGCATGTGAAAACTCGTCGATCGTTGGTCCCAAGTCAGAAGATGACCAGAAACAGTGCCAAAGGACCCAAAGAGACTCCATTATACGCTGCACGTCCACTCGATTTTTGTAGAATCTTTCAGCCACACCGCCATCCCCATTGGAGTGACTTTCTAAAGGTCTAAGCTCATCGGTACTACTACTGTAGGGCGGGTATATGTACTCACCTCTTCGACAGACCACAAACTGTATCTCACGTGAGAACAAGCATTCTTGAAAGGTCCATAGGCGTTGCAGGTAAGACTCGTCCCGCAAATCATCCCTATGCTGTTCAGTATGATCTTGCCACGCTTGAGAAAGATTCTGCCAGTCCAATTTTCCAAGCGCAGTTCTACAGCAAGTATATATCCCGTCATCTTCTCGAATCGCTAGTGTCTTTAAGGCATCACGGAAGATTTGAGGAATAATGTCAACGACAGAAATTACTTCAGCCTGATTCCTCTGGTTGACTGTCAAGATGTCCATCCAGAAAGGTTGATCACCAACGAGCGAGGGAAGTTCATTCTCGATGAAAGCCGCTTTTTGGCTCGATGCTAATACCTCGCCCTGAATTCCAGGTATCTGGCACCACTCTGTCTTGCCGAAGACATGAGAGACAGCAATGTACTCCAGCTGGCTAGTGTGAGCTCTGAACAATTCCAAGTTGACTCCCACGAAACGGGCAAACTTGGCCTCTGGCCCCAAGTCGTCTTGAGGAGTTCCCGAATGCTCCGACATTGGCTTCATTAAGGACTGCTGATTAACGTTTTTCTTTGAGTTGTTTTGAGGTACTGCTTTATCTCGAGGGATCGAATGTGCACACTGATGGGAAAATAATAGTGAATACCAGCCTTGTCGAATAGTGCGGGGCATTCATCTGCTTACTAACCAGTATACATGATTGAGCTGATTGAGACTGTACTTCAACCTTTTTCGCTCTTCACATTTAATCTAAAACATTTTTCCTGATTCTTTCTAGATCAAATGTGCCTACATTCTCATGAAAGGATTCAATTCATCTAATAGCTTAGTATCCGTGCCTATCTCCGAAACCCTCGATACAACGCTCCGTCATGCCCGGCACGCTGGAGGATCATCCGGGAAATTCACACAATACAGCTGGGGTGTATAGATACTACAGTCCAATTTGACTTTCCAGACGCCGCTTTGGCAAATAAGCTGTCAATTGCATCCCCCCTCGTTAGCCAGTGTCACCTTGATTCAAACGTTGCGAGAGCTTTATTTGCGGGGGTGATGGTAGGTGTGACGGATCAAAGGAAGCTGTTGTAAAAGAATCTTCACTCACGATGGTTTCATTATCACAGCTGCAAGTCTGCTTGCCATTTGGAAATTGCTTGCAGCCGGTGCCTTTTTTGTGGCCGGTGCCATCGTCGCATGTAGTATCGGGCTGGGGTACTACTGCCGCTGAAATCGGGGCTGGGCTTGTGAGTACGATGCTGCTAGTGGTGAGGAGGGAGAAGAGGGAGAGAAGGTGAGAAATATGCATGATAAAATCGAAGAAACAAATAGAGAATGATCTATGCTTTCCTCGAGGTTGATTGAATTGTTTGCTGTTGTCCGGGTGAGAGAAATGGAAGCTTATGAAGAGGGATGGAAATGTGTGAGAGGCAAGAGATATTTGTATGCGTTTCTGATGAGGTCTGTAGTGGTCACGTCGCTTGTTCCGAGCTACAGAAACGATTCGGGATGGTCTTGCGAGTTGCGAGAAACAGCGTGCCGAGCCGACCTTTTTGCGAAAGCCTCGCAATGTCGACGGTGGTTAAGCACGTGACAAACGAGCACGATCGAAGCGTCATCAGAGGTCCAAATTGACCTCACTTTGAAGCCACGAAAAAGGGCGATCTTGCGAAACTAGAAGAAAGGTTCGACCCTGCATAATGTTAGTACATATGCTTGCGCCTGCACGCATGCGGTCGTGTCAAACGTCCGCTTCAAGAGACCTTAGGACCCCGGTGTCAAAGCCTTGCTCCAAGCCTAAAGACACGCCTGTCAGCTTCCAATGTTGCAAGTAGAGCAGTCAAGCAGACTGCCTATTTCATCACGTAGTTTAATCTGTAGAAAAGCCTAGGGCATTGGATCCCCGGGCTTGAGGACCAGGGATCTTTGCGAGCTTTTGGATGTCATACTTTGTACTGATTGCTAGCTGAGGGTCTGACGTCCGAGAATGGATCCAGAACATATTGCCTCCACTTTCCTGCGTAACGGTGAAGTCGACTTTTGTTAGTGGCATTCAATTCATACAGTTCGCATGACAATCTCCCTGCGCGTTCTTCCTGTGATCCTAACGATTCGACTATCCACTGAGTCAATCCATTGTTACCCCTGAAGTCATAGAAGGGAAGACCGTCGATGTCAGCGCGACGGGACGTCCCACCGGGAGAATGCCAGCGCCAAGACATGCGACTAGTTTTGCAGACTCCCCGCTCTCTCCAATGAAATACTACATCTGTGACCTCTTCGATTGCCTCTGCAATGTAGCAGTCAATCCCTCGATCTCCCCGGGATCAGGGTTCCTCATCCACCATGCCAATTACATCTAGCTCCAACAGGTCGCCATGGCTCGGTCGGCTCAATCTCTGTATTCTCGTCGTTGTTGCACTAGCACTCTATCGTCGATTCTCTAACACCCAGCCTCTACTAAATCTCGCACCTGTGACGTCGGCACGTTTCCCATGCGACCCTCTTTTCGACCCTGTCAGACGTGTTGCTATCATAGGTACCATGCCCTGCCAGCTCCTGCTCAAACGGTTTGTTGACGCAATTTAGGCGCTGGATCTGCCGGCTCATCAGCTGCCTACTACATACACCACTACACTCAAGGCTGCGGTCGAATAGATATCACGGTGTATGAGCGCAATAATTACGTGGGTGGACGCAGCACCACGGTGCAGACTTACGACGATGACGAACGAGGCGAGCCTGTGGAGCTTGGAGCTAGCATTTTCGTGGAGGTAAATCAGAATCTCATGCATGCGGTGAAGAAACAGGCGTTATCTACACAAGGCTTTCAATCGAAAGAGAAGGGCTATGGAGACGATGGAGATGAAAAGGAGCTAGAAGATTCTATTGGGGTGTTCGACGGACAACAGATGGTGTATATGTCCCCGCGCGATCCTACGGGCGGTTGGTGGATGCTTGCAAGGCTGCTTTGGCGATACGGCCTGGCACCAATTAAAACGAGAGGTCTCATGAAAGAGACCGTGGGAAAATTCTTGAAGATGTACGAAGCTCCTGTCTTTCCTTTTGGGGACCTTACAGGTGCGGTACAACAGGTGGGACTGGAAGACGTGGTCGCGCAAGCGGGTCTAGGATACCTCAGAGCGGGTGGAGTTGGTGACGACTTTGCCAGAGACATTATACAAGCTAGTACTCGCGTCAACTATGCGCAGAATTTGGAGAACATACACGGTCTGGAGACGATGGTCTGCATGGCCACCGATGGCGCCATGTCCGTTGTGGGAGGCAATTGGCAAATCTTCGATGGCATGCTACGGTACGGTCAGCCTAATCTACTGCTAAATACCAGCGTGGATGGTATCACCCGAAATGATGACGGCACTTTCACACTATCAGCCACTCAGCAGGGAGATGCAGCTGCTACCTTAGAACCAGCAACATACGACACCATCATCCTCGCTGCACCTTATCAATTCGCTAATCTCACTCTGACTCCTCAACCCGCCCTACCGATTCCTTCAATACCATACGTACGACTTCATGTCACCCTATTCACATCTCCATTCGCACTAGATCCTGAAACGTTCCACCTTTCTCCAGGCAACGCCGTACCCCGCTCAGTCCTGACAACTACACCCGCACCAATTCATGATGCGCCACCTGGCGAAGGGCCATGGTTCTATAGCGTCAGCACTCTACGAATAGTCCGCCATCATATCACCCGAAAGCACGAGTATCTGTACAAGATCTTCTCTCCAGCTCCTGTCGAGCCATCGCAGTTTTTCGAGATCTTAGACTGGAAACCAGACGATTATGGAGAGGTTCCAGAGCTGGTCTCGTGGAAGTACGAAAAGGTTTGGGATAGCTATCCTGTGGAGCATCCCAGGGTTAGCTTTGATCAGATAAAAGTGCCGTTGGAGGGCGATGATGACGAAGCGTATATCTGGTACACGAGTGGCATCGAGCCATTCATAAGTACCATGGAGACGAGCAGTCTAATGGGTGCGAATGTTGCCAGGCTTGTAGTTGATGAGTGGCTGGAGGATTTAGCATCGAGGTCTGGCCCGAAACCAGTGGAGAGCGAGGACGTGGCGAGCGAGCTTTGAAGATGGATAGAGGAGCACGATCACGCTCAAAAGCTACGGGACATATGATTCCATGTATGATGATTAGATGTCTTAATATATTGAGCCACTGGCTCCCTTCTTCTTGCTTCTGTCCTCGGGTTCTTCAGTCACGATTTCAATGATCCAATGCAATCTCCGTCTAGCCTGGACATGTGTATCACTGTAGACGGATACACAATTGGTACCCCAACAGACGGCGTAATTGCGACACCACAGCATTGCGCTACCAGAAGCTCAAGCGCTGGATAGGCTCTCCTTGCCGTTGCAGGTATCACATCTACTCCCCATCAATATAGCACCATCCCCTTTCACGTATCACAACTTCCCTTCCTCTTTTCCCATCTCCCCAATCTATCCCAAAACCCATACCCTCGTCCCTCCTCCCCTCCATCCCCTCCTCCCCCTCCCCCCTACCCCTGCCCCCCCATCCCCGCCTGCAACCCCACCACCTCCCCCTCTTCCTCTCCCCCTCCTCCTGCAACCCCTTAATCAACCCCTCAACCCTCATCACCTCCTTTTCAATAAACTCCAACCTTCCCTTGACCGCCAGCTCCGCTTCACCGCGCTCTTGCTTCAGCAGCACGGGGCCGACTAGCTTGTAGATGTTTGGGGAGGTGGGGGAGGTTGGGAGGGAGGTCAGTTCGCGGAATACGGATTGGTTTTCTGAGAGTTGGGAGGAGAGGGTTTGGCGGGTTGGGATTAGGGCGGAGAGGTCTGAAGGGAGGGGAGGGGGGGTTAGTGGGAATGTTGGGGTGGGGGCGAGGGTGGAGGTGGAGGAGATGGGTGGGGAAAAGTGGGGGAAGGTGGAGGGTTGGGGGCAAAGCAGACCTGATTGGACTTTTTGATAGGCGTCTGAGAGCTCTTGGAGGCGTTTTTGGTTGTCTGTCATTGTTTTGGGGGTGCGAGATGGACGCTTCAAGTGCCTGGAGTACTCGAGGTGTTTGCCAAGAGATATGGGAAGGTTTGCGCTAGTAGTGAAACATACTTGAAAACAGCTAGTGTGTAATGAATGAGTATTCAGGGGTAATGTCACCAGAGCTCGAATGACTTGTTGTGTTACGTCTATGTGTGAATGTTGCCTATGATATTGTACAACACCATGTTTCTCACGCAACTTTTCACTGTGATTTCATCGACACAGGCCCCTCAGCCCAACAGAAATGATTGTGGATCCAAGGTAGCCATCCCAACGTTGGGGAAGTGGGTCACGCACACAAAGTCTAAGTTGACTCTTCAAAATCACCCAATTCATCGCTCGATCTTGACATTCAGACAAACACTAATTCAGATTTTTCATTCAGACTCGTAGGACAATTGCTCGAGCACGACGATCAAAGATATAGCAACGCAAGACTCCACTCAGGATCGTTTGAGAAGCCATCTGATCACAAGGTCCGAGGGTGCCGCAATACAAAGTTCTTTCATTCACAGATCAGAGACTTCTCGATGATGGCATTCCTAAATCTTCCCAATGAGGTCCTAATCCAGTGTATTGAGTCTGCCGCGAGCACTGGAGACATCTGCGCTTGGACTCGTGTCAGTAGAAGACTTTATCATCTCGCAAATGACATTCTGTATGACTTCAACATCAAAAACGACGGAGGCAGTGCCCTTTGTTGGGCAGCAAAACATGGACATGAAACCACGGTGCGAATGATGCTGGACCGAAAAGTAAACCCCAACATCAATCTTTTTCGGGAATATGACCGTTTTAGATCCCTTTCGTCGATGATTGGACCTACTCCACTTTATGAAGCGGCTTCTGAAGGCCATGTATCCGTCGTGAGGTTGTTGCTCGCAAAAGGAGCAGACCCTCATATAAAGACATTGACGCGAGACCTGTTAGGATACCAATATAAGCCTTCGAGTGAATTGACGAAACCTGGGCGGTACATCGTCTCTGGCTCTACACCACTTCATGTGGTCGCCGCAAACAATCATCTTGAGGTTGCAGAGGCTTTACTCCAAGCTGGAGCTGATCCTGAAGCCAAAACTTCGATGCGTGAAAATGCTCTTTTCTGCGCACTTCGCCTAAAACATGAGAAAATGGCACAGCTAATAGCCAGTCATTCAAAGAACCCAAATGATGTCTTTCGAAACCCCTGGGATCGCGAAACTCCCCTTCATCTCGCGTGCTCGGGGAAGCTCTGGAATACGGCTCGATTTTTGATTAGTAAAGGTGCAAATGTCAATGCCGTTGACTGGGCCGGCCTCACCCCTCTCCATTCTGCGCTAACGCCAGCTGACCCATCGCGATCCAACGACTGGCTCAACTGGAATGAGTGGGAAGAACCTACTATAGCTCCTGACCCTTTGGACGTCTTCAAGACAGTGCAGCTTTTGCTGTACCATAAAGCCATTCCCGATCTCAAAACGAATCGGTACCGTAAAGCTTGTTATCTGGGCGTAAACCACGAATACGCTCGAGTCCGAACACTATTCTCAGCCTATGCCAAAGACTATGCTGAACAATCCGTCCGGCCGAAGAAACTTAGGACTCAAGTAGGTCATAAATGGCACCCAAATTCCAACAGCCCCAGAAGCCTACGTCAACACACGGAACAACCAAGACGCACCCGCCAAAAGGCCAAACAATCCCATGAAAATGGCGGTCCAGCAGAGATCACAGCAGAAGATCTCTCGAACGAGCCTTCGAAACCGGCGAGGCGAGATGCTGTATGGTCGACCAAGGGTACCAAACAGCTTATCGCTGGCTTCAAGGGTGATATCGTGCCAGTCAATCCCTTGTCCAGAGAAATAGGGATAGGATCAAGCGATCGGCTTCCTCAAAAGCTGTGGTCAGAAGTTGCGGAGAAAGATGGGAGCTTTTTGCAAAAAGGGGAAGATCAGGATCATGTTGAGAGCGTCCAGGAAGAGGGAACGGCGTTGGGACCTAGGAAGGGAAAGGGTAGGAAGAAGTGGCAGCCCTTAGTGTTGTAAGACATCTTCGTGGTTTGTCAGGACTGCGGTGTTGAGCTTGGTGGATAATGTGTTCGAAAATTGCCATCCAATCAGTCGTCGATACAATTGAAATATTTCACATGGATGTGTTCGTGGGTTACAATCTGCGCCGACTTCTCTTCATCCCACTTCTCCTACAGTGGATGGTATCCTTCGCAATAGATTCCGTTTGTACTGCACACATTAAAATTGACATCTTTTGTGGCCCGACTTGGTCACGCAAAAGCTTGCCTCATGCACTGCATATCGGGATCCAGATTGCTCTCGACTAAGCAGAGTATGCAGAGGATGCACAGAATTAATGGCTGATTTTTTACCCGTTGACGAGATATCACAAGTGCTGTGGCACGTAGAAGTTCGGCCACCATTGTGATAGATTACGAGGCGCTGGAGACTTGTAATAGATGGCTGTATCACGAAATCATCTGCCACGTACAGCGAGACATCCGTGAATATCGGATCTCTCGTAGTTACCACGGCTATTGACCTCCTGGACTAGTCCGTAGACTTTTCTATCAACGTTGCTCAGTATGGCCAAAGGTTTGCTGGACCGCCAGGAGTTTAGGCAAATCGACTATTTGCTTTTCTAAGCACTTGGTCTACTTGTTGAGGTCATCATCATAGAGGTCATCTAGTTCTAAATCTAAATAGTCTGTGGTACTAAAGAGAATGGAGGGTCCAAACCGTCCAAACTGCTGAAGATTGGTCCTGATTGGCCTTCAAATCGAGTTTCAGACCTATAACTTGCCACTAGAGATTAGCTGTTGCATTTTGAAAATCACTCGGCGTCGCGCAATTCGTAAGTGGCGATTGAAAGATCCCAGACCGCGCGTGAAAGTTGTTGTTTGATTGAGGGCAGTTGCCAAAGCGTACGTCTCCCCTGGCTCCTCGTATCACAATAGTATTTCTGCCTTGAAGAGTCGGAGTGACTGCTAGTTCTCGTTATTGATGGTGATAATTGAATCCTCGAGTGACAAAGTTTCATCCATAATAGTCTGAAAGATCTACAGTTTCGTCTCGGATATCCCATTCTCTAGCGACTGTCCAGAATAACCATTCAGTCCATCGATTTTTGAATCCAAAGAGAATAGTCAAGCCAACGATGCCGAAAGTCGAAGTTCCACAGACTTTCCAGAACCAAGCTTGCGTTTTGTCAGTCTTGGCTACGTCCGGCAAGTTCATTCCGTAGTAGGAGGTAAAGAAAGAAAGCGGGAGGAAAATGATTGTCACAAGGGTGAATACAAGGATGGCTCGGTTGTTCGATTCAGCTAGGAGGGTTGCTTCGTTTTGCGAGATGGTGCGCAGTTGAAATCCCTTGCGGTCAAATTAGCATAAGGTGGGTCTAGTGTGATCCTGACGAGACTGACTATGTTGAGATTTGTACGCAGGTCCTCAACCAGCTTTGAGAATTGTTTACGTGCGACTTGAAGGTCGCTTATTGCAAGCTCAATCATCTTCGTAAGGCGATCATGGGTTGGGTCTTGCCTTTCCACGATGAAGAATTTTCTAAGATACTCTTCCTTATACTCCAAAGCATCCAAAAGCTGGGATAAGTCATCCAGATATTCAATGTGTTGTTCGAAGATATGTCTTCCAGAGTCCTTGGAGAGGAATAGCCGTCGTTGATTGACCTAGGTAGTAATCATTAGAACTACAGCGTATCAAGGTGCTAGCATGTACGAACCAAGGATTGTGTTCGTTGAGTCCAATCACCCTGGAGCGACAATTTTGGAGACATTTCTGGGATAGAGGAAAGTTGTGCTGCAAGATAAACACACAGAAGGTATGGATTTAGATCTGGGAAAGACAGCAGTGTACCGGCGTCTAATCTAGACCAAAGATCTTCGAGTGGAGGGATATTACGACGAGATTGCTGACAGTGCCATTTGTCAAAGCCGGTGATGATTGATCCAACAGGAGTGCTGCTGGAAAAGGTGAGGAGGATTCCTGCACCCGTCAGGAAGCGTCTCAAATATGGGAAGCGGAAACATACCACCATGACGGTCGATGTTGCAGCTAAGTGGGCTTCGACATGTAGAACTCCAAAACATTGGTGACCATTTCCACTTTTCCCAACGAATTGGAAGGACGGCTGGAGCGATTCCGAAACCTGCATACCGCAGTTCTCCAAGCTGATACGGGACATCCGAGGTAAACACTCTCCACGGGGAAACCCGGAACCGACCGTGGTCCAAGATTCTACGCTCCCAAGCAGATTCTTCGCCTATTCCACTTCCGTCGCCATCGTGACGCTCGCGTGGAAGTAGAGACCTCCACACAGAATTCAATCTCCAGAGCCTTCTTGAACAGTATAGCATCGTCAATTTGGCTTTCGGAAACCCATGGTCGAGCTGTTCAAGCATCTCAAAGGTGAGAGAGTCGCTATCGATATCGAAACTAGAGATATGCTCCCAAAACATTTGCCGAATAAACTGACAGCCCTCAGTCGGCGGCCTATCATCTTACTGAAGAAAGTTCTTACGCTTTGGAAATCGCCAGGCCCTACGGGAGCATGACTAAAGCCAAGTTGTCAGCATCAATAGTCAAACCGATGGTGAACAGTCTTACATCCAACGAAGCTTGCAGTGCTCTGGCTTGCTCTTCCAGTCTAGCCATGGTCAGTCACTGAGCATGCGGTAGGTAGTTACCATGATTTAGAGGACTACCCACATTTTTCTACGTTGTGTAGCGTATCATATGACTCTTGCACTTCCGAATCATAAAAGTCAAAGATCCGAATTGGAATTTGGTCACGCGGGAGGAAAAGCTGTCGGATTAAGTCTTGCAGATGTTCGATTTGAGGTCTTTTGGGGGGAGATTGAAATGTAAAATAACAAAGCAGCTTTCGCAGCCAAATGCGCCCCACACTCTTCTCACGCCAGTCATACCACTCTTGAAATGCTTGTATCGCTTTGAAGTCACGCTGAAAATCATCTCTCCAGCGTGAATGCCACTTATCTTCGAGGAATCGTTCTGGTGGTCGCTCGCTTGGGCTGTCGCTCGTAGTACTCGTAGCCGTGTCGTTACTCAAGTTCAAAGATGCGACCGAGTGATGTCCCAGATCGACCGAGGCCTTATCGTTGGTTGTCCTTTCATTCGCACTTGATCGCGATGCCATCGTTATCACTTCCTCCAAGGGCGCCAAGATTTCGTCATCCATTTCTTATCGAAGAATCTAGCAGGACAGATTGACTAAATTGTATCTGGGATCACAATTGAGTCTCTTGAACGAGCTTGGCATCTGATGCTGCTGAGGTAGGACTCCGCTCAAAATAGTCAATGGTTCGAGAATGCTTTATCGCCGAGTCTCACGGAGCGCGCACAAGATCTGTTGTATCCGGCAGCCTGCGATTTGCAAAAGGCCTTTCACGCAGTCGTCTGCGCCATGTCCGAAAGCCAACGCAAAGTCCGGTAATGATGTCTGGATGGTTCAGCTCCGTCAGACTGAGGGACGACGAAGGAGGTGGTCTGTGCGGGGCTCGAAAGGCTGAGCTGCCCAATCCGGCTAGCGGCATGCAGGTCCATCACACCCAATTACTGCTCTCGATTTAGTCCCTGCCGAATCGGTAACAAGGCTGAAGAGGCTACTTCTAGGCCGGCCGATCCCACCCTTCTCATCCTGGACTCCATATGTATGAATAAGGGTCGCGGCGTGACCCCAATTCACACCTGCTCGAAGTTTGCTCTTGAAAATGCTCGAAGTTTGGACTCAGCATGATGTCGATCACACTTCTGCTGACAGTCGACTATGGCATTTGCACACAGGAAGGCGCTCTCACTCCACTGAAGAGATTGAGCAAAAGTGACCGTCTGATTGGACATGAACAAAGGAGCCAAATCTCGCTTAGGCCTGCACTTGGCATGCTGTCTATCATGCACGGCTCACGCGTGCAGCAACCTTCTCAGCCTGACTAGGAAATTTGACTATCGGATTCTCGACCTCGCGAATCAATCTAGAACACAGCCTCTTGCCAGACCCAATCTCTGAAATAGAGCGTCTCCCTCCTCATCTCTCAAGCAAAGTCCAATATTTGCTCCCACACAATGATGCGTCCTACCCTCGTGACAGTCCTGATTCTCGTCGCGGTATCAAATGCCCAGAACATCGCCCCTCTAGTCGCACAAATCTCGCCCTGCGTGGTAAGTCTCTTCAGCACGCTCTACTTCCACACCTAACATCGCAGCTCCCCTGCTTTCAAACATACATCCAAGACTCCTGTGGTAGCCCGGATGACTGGGCATGCGCCTGCGAAACCAACAATGACTTCACCGACAGTCTCGAGTCGCCCACCTGCCAAGTCAGCGTAGCGGACTGCTATCCCTCCGAGATCGAAGGTAGCTTCCCCCACCCCATCTCCCAAATTGGCTCTCAAGATTAATACTCCACCCCAGACGCAACCTCCCTCATCGGCCAGATCTGCGCCGAAGAAGCCAGCAGCGGCAGCGGTGACGTTAGCGACTCATCCCCCAGCGCAACCCTCGCTTCTCAAACGAGCAGTTTCTCTGTCCGCCCACTCACGTTGGCGCAGTCAAGTGCGACCGCCACTGCCACTGCCAAAGCGAATACGCAGGTCGCGTCCAGCGCGTCGGCAACCCAGATCGCGCCGACTGCGTCATCTTCGGCGGGCGGACTCGATACTGCGCTTTTCACAAATCGACCGACGACGACATCTACGGGTGGGGGTGCGGGTGGGGCGAGCCCTTCGAGTAATACGGGAGTGAATGAGCCGCAGTCGAACGATAATTCTAACACGGTTGGGAACGGAGCTGGTAGGGCTGGGTCTTCGGGCTTGATGTGGGTTGCAGGGTTGGTATTGGTGGTAGTGGCTGTGGTCTGAAAGTGACGACTGTGTCACGATGGTAATGTATCTTGTAAGATCAAGATCTTAATAATGAAGATGTTAACTAAACCAATTTTGTTCGAGCCAGCAGAAAGTTATGCAAATAATACTGCCAAGAAAATGGCGGAACTTCAAGCTGTAGGGCTGAGTGCGGATCACTTTCTTACTTCTCACAAGCTCTCTGTGGACAACAAGGTCCGTGGGACACGCAAATTTGGTCAAATGTACGCAGACGCAATTGTCTAGTCATCAAGCTGATTGATCATATTGACGTCAAGGTGCCGATGAAAACGTTTGCTCCCAACCTCGTACCGGAACGAGGTGCAGGATGCACGGCAGTCAGCATTAATTAACTCCGAGTCTGACATGCTCATTGCTACATAATCGGCAGGCTTCTCCATCAAATGCTCTCTTGACCATCAATCTGCGCTCTCAACTCATCAATGACAATGGCAGCCAACACAACAATCCCAATCGTCGATTTTGCGGCATGGCGCCCTGGTGCCAGCACCAAGGAAAAGAAATCTGTTGCCGCCAAGCTCATTAACGCATGCCGCGATGTCGGCTTCGTCTACATTATCAATCATCACGTTGCTTCTGACAAGCTTGCAGCAGCCTTTGACATGTCCAAGAAGTTGTACAATCTACCGAAAGAAAAGAAGATGCTTGCCCCGCATCCTCCTGGTTTCGCTGTCCATCGAGGCTACTCATGGCCTGGACTGGAGAAAGTTTCGAATGCCATGGGTGATGAAGAAGACAAAGATGAAGAGATCGACAAGTTGCGTTCTGTTTCGGATGTCAAGGTGGGTTCATAAGCCTCATTGGGCTACCTCTTATTGAGGCCTTGTAGGAAAGTTACGAAATCGGTAGCGAGGACAATAAACAACAACCTAATATCTGGCTTCCCGAGGATGTTCTCCCTGGCTTCCGAAGCTTCATGTCAGACTTCTACTGGGAGTGCTTTCGCGCAGCTGAGAACATCATGAGTGCAATGGCGCTTGGCATCGGCCTCTCGGATGAGAACTATTTCCGTCCTGCCCACGATGGCCACAATAATCAGCTCCGACTCCTGCATTATCCTCCCGTGCCAGCAGCTCTCATTGAGCAGCAAAAGGCTATCCGTATGGACGCGCATAGCGATTGGCCTTCCATTACCTTACTATTCCAAGATGACTGCGGTGGTCTGCAGATCGAAAATCCCAAGAAGAAGGGAGAGTTCATCGATGTACCACCCTTACCAGACGCACCCGACGCGCTGGTCATGAATATTGGAGATCTCATGATGAGGTGGAGCAATGGTCAGTCAGACGTCGTGCGACCGAACCCTGTAGCTTACCTTCCTAGACACCCTAAAGTCGACGGTCCATCGTGTCAATCTCCCGCCCAGACAAGACCGTTTCACCGGCGATGACCGAATGACCAGGGAGAGATACTCAATTCCATACTTCGTGAGTCCGAAAGGAGAACACATGGTCGAATGTCTGCCTTCATGCATTGATGAGAAACACCCGGCCAAATACGACCCGATCCGCTGGAACGACTACATGCTGATGCGAGCCAGCATGCAGTACCAGTAAGTAGTGACGGCCCGAGCCTGGACGCGTGAACTCCTGGTAATACATGAGCGACAAGCTTAAAGAGGTATTCTGAATGGTCATCATCTCATCCTGCTGCATGATTCAGATCTGAAACCGCATCTCTATCTGTTTGAGCGTATTTGAAACTCGCGCGTTGATTGGTCGTCGCTTGATCCTGCTGGTCTTGGCATCTCCTGAGATTTAGCGCTCACTCCCTAGCCACTAGTCACACCACAAAGAACATCGACAAGCCTATTATCCAGCTTCCGTACAATTCTAGCCAAAAAGTCTTTGTTCGTCTTGTGCCACTTTTCGATCTCACAAAAGCGCCTGCTAAAATGGCATTCCCCGCCATTGTTTTCCCACCTTCTTTGTTCCTGCACTCCTTCCCTTCTTGTACTATAGTCCTTCATTTCCCCTGCAGCTGGTCTTGCAGCGTTTCTCGCATTCTGTACATACCCATCTTCCATCGCTGTATCGTACACCATGCATACACCCTCGCTTACACGCTTCCTTGCAAGCGCCATCTTAATACAAACCAGCATAGCAGGCTATGCCCTAATAGACGACTTCAGCAAAGACACCTTCTTCGGCAACTTCACCCCCTTCTCCCAAGAAGACCCCACCCACGGCTTCGTAACATACAACTCATACGCCGCCGCCGACTCCAAAAACCTCATCAAAACCGTCCCCAACGCCAACTTCGCCTCTTACCTAACCGCCGACCCGACCTCCACCACGAACGCCGGCCGGGACAGTATGCGTATCGCCTCCAAGAAATCATACAACCACGGCCTCTTCCTCGTCGACCTCCTGCACATCCCCTCCCCCGTCTGCGGGTCCTGGCCCGCTTTCTGGCTCTTGGGGGCAGGAACCTGGCCCGCAGGTGGGGAAATCGATGTTATTGAGGGCGTCAACATGCAGGAAAGGAATCAGATGACGTTACATACGTCTGCGAACTGTGCGCTGGACTCTAGCGCCGGCTTCACTGGTACATCTAATAAGACGGATTGTGGGCCTGATAAGGAAAACACGGGCTGCGCCATCACGGCGAAAGATTCGAGCAGCTTCGGCGCGGGCTTCAACCAGGGAAACGGCGGCGTGTACGCTACCGAATGGACTAGCAGCGGCATATCGATATACTTCTTCCCCCGCGCCAACATACCAGCCGACATCCAGTCCTCTACCCCCGACCCGAGTAAATGGGGGCAACCCCTCGCCAAATTCGCCGGCAAAGGATGTGACTGGGACGCGCATTTCAAAGACATGAATATCGTCTTCAACACCGCCTTCTGCGGCGACTGGGCGGGAAAGGACTCTGTCTGGGAGAGCGGCGGATGCGCTGCCAAGACGGGGAAGAAGACTTGTCAGGAGTTTGTGGCGAGCAGTGGGGCGAGTTATAAGGATAGTTTTTGGTTGGTTAATTATGTTAGGGTGTTTCAGCAGCAGCAACAGCAGCAGCAGAGTCAAGGGCAGGGGCAGGGGCAAGGGCAGGGTGGGGGACAATACGCCTCAACGACAACTATGCACGTCACGCGAACGACGGTCGTGCCAGCTCCTACTGCCAACGCCCAGCAGCAGCAAGCCACTCCATCCCAACAGCAAGCCTCTCAGCCTCAGAAACCAGCTCAACCCCAACAACAACAACAGTCCCCCCAATCCCCGCAAGGCGCACAAAACCAGCACCAATCCGGCCCGCAGCAAGAAGCCGCTATGGCGCAGGGGGAGGTGGATAAGGAGCAGACAAAGGCCGCTGGTAGTCGTAGGGCGAGGCGGGGGTCGTGGGAGGCCGTGAGGGCTTTGGTGAGAAGGGATGTTGATGTTGAGGAGGATGTTGGGGATGGAGGGGATGGAGGTCAGGGGCAAGTTGATGATAGAGATGAGAAGGGGGAGAGGGGGGAGAGGGGGGAGAAGGGGGAGAAGATGGTGCTTGCTGTGGGAGAGGGGTTAGCTGGTAGGAGACGGAGGAGGAGGGGAATGGGGAGGGGGGCGGGGGGGGGAGAGGGGATTGACGTGGGGCTTTGGTGATGTTGAGGGTATATATATAATGTATAAATCGTATATCTATTTACGTCGCTTAGAGTCACTCTATCCTGCCCTTCATGATCATCAATCGTCGCTCGTACCTCATAATTCATCCATCATAAAGGAAAGCACCCAGAAAGCCCAATCTAGCGAAGTGGACCGTGCAGGGGCATAAAAAGGAGTTTCCGGAGGGGGAGCCGATTTTGTATTTGCAGAACCTTGTAATCCTTTCCCTCCCCTCCCCTCCCTCTCCCCTTCCCTTCCCCCACCTCCCCCACCTCCCCCTCTCCTACCCGTTCATCCCCTCCTTCCCCCCTCCCCACCCCCGCCCTTCCCTTCCCCACCACCCTCATCTCCACCAGGTCTCCACTCCAAAACAGGACAGTCCCCGATCGGCGTTTCCATAACCCTCACAACCTTCAACCCCTCGCGCTTATACAACTTCTCCGCCATCGGACTACTGCTCAGCCCCACCATAACCCCCTCTTCCCTCCCCCGCTGTATTCCCCACTGCACGAGTTTGCCGCCTATACCGCGACGGGTGTGGTGGGGTAGGACGCACTAATGTGATCGTATTAGCTTGGTGGAAAGGAGGGGAGACTGGGAGGGGAAGGAGGGTAGGGGTGGGAAAAGGGAAGGGGAGGGGAAGGATTACAAGGTTCTGCAAATACAAAATCGGCTCCCCCTCCGGAAACTCCTTCTTATGCCCCTCCACGGTCCACTTGGCTAGATTGGGCTTGCAGACGCTTCTGTCCAGGCCGAGGAGGGCGACGTATTTGTTTTCGAGGATTGCGAGCGTTCGCTCCAGGCCTGTAGATGGTTTGTGTCAGTGAGGTCTTTTCCCTCGGCTGGTAAGGTGGCTCTGGTGGAGTGAGGAGGTACTGGTGGGGAGAGAGCAGGTAAGGGGTACGTACGGCCATACCAACTATTCCTATCCCAACCCCCTTCTTCAGATCTCCGTGTTCGCGGTGCCAGCATGTGAAACCTACGACCTCCCTCTTCCCGTTACCTTCTCCTCCATCCCCGCCTTCTCCCTCGCTCGCCTCTCCCCTTGCCTCTGATGTATCAACCTCAGCAACGACAAACCTCCAACTCGGCGTCCAATACCGCTCCCTCGTCCTTCTCAGGAAATGGTTCCTGAACGAGTCTGGATGGCTCAGTCGCCAGGGATTGGTGTACGCGTAGAGGGGATCGTTCCAGAATGCGCGGACGGAGATTGTAGCGATTGTGGGGATGTCGTGGGGTGTGGCGGGGCGGATGTGTATTGGTAGTGGTGTGGGCGGGGGGGACATTTTGGGTGTATGGTTGGGCGGAGGCTGGAGGGTGAGGGGCGGGGATAGGCGTGGGAGGTAGAGGTGGGGGTGGGAGCGGAGACGGGCGGGGAGGAGGGAAGGGTGTAAGGTGTAGGGTTGGAAGGAGGCGTTGGAGGACGGATCGTAGGAGGTGGTTGAGAATGTGGAGGAGGGGGGAGGGGCGGAAGGTGGAGGGGTTTTCTTTTGGCGGGCGGAGATACAATCTCGTACGAGGATAGTGGGAATTTGAGAAGGCTCAATTGACTACGGGAACGATTCAATTGAAGCTGTGCTGAATCTTGATAGAGCTCCGTGGAGAGTGGGATAAGGAGGGAAATGCCTGCGCGGGCGGGGAGCGGGCGGGATATACATTTCTACGGAGTAATTTGACGTATGCGCTACAGCTAATACAAGTACTCTGTTGAACGCAATGAAATTCATAAGAATATCTTCCAGTGATGACCAGTTTAGAGTCTGTCAGGGCAATGACTTGTGACATAATGTACTCCGCCAATGAAATGTGGAACCTCTGACCCCACGCCTAAATGCCAACATTTCGCCCTCGCTGATGTTTCAACGTCCATGGTACCAATATCGTTATATCAACACAACGCAAAACCAATTACCTCATTACTCCAAGCTATGCCCAAATGCTCACACATGTCGCTCATAAATTTTCAGATACGCTGGTATTCCCCTTCGTCCAATATTTTTTCACACTCTCTTCCATTCTCGGGCATGTAATGAATTTCGTGTCATCGTTTCTGTCTGTTCATGGTCCGCGTCCTTGCCGGGCCTTCCACTGGCGGTTGATCGGGGAACTGACTCCAGTCCTCTGAATCGACCGGCTTTTCCCCTCGGATCAGCTTATCCATATTCAGTCGCGTTGAATGTACAATGTTGAACGTGTAGCCTTTCTCTCTGACCTCAGATTTGGCACTTGGGTCCAGGATATCACTGTCCTTATTGGTCTCTCCCGCACCTTTGTGGCTGTCTACTAGCTGTGGAAAAACGCCTAGGCATTTAAAATTTTTCTCTTCTTTGCACATCACTCCCAGCCCCAAGTCTATCGGCACCCACTTCTTCATCAGAGACTGGTGCATGAGCATCTTCTGAGCGCCACGGTTGGAAAGCGCGTATGAGTAGGTGCAGAGACCCTCGCCTGCCTGATAGACGAGTCTTGTGCGTGGGTCGAGACCTTCTTTGGTTGTGTTGATGGCATTTTCGAGAAAATTGACCCGGTGTTCGGGTATGGCCACTGTATTGTCGTTCTCAATGATGAAGCGTCGTTGATCCCCTGACTGGATCGTGGAGGAGCAATGCCCGATCCATAGGAGGTCCCAGTCATCGCCATACGGAGACATAGGTCGCGTTCCTGATGGAACGCCTGTTATATATTGTGTACCTTGTGCTAGAAGCACCATCTGATTTTTGAGGTTGATGTCCCAATCTGCATCATCTTCCATCACGAGGGCGGTGCGTAGATTCTCATTAAGGACTCTGGCGGAATGTGTCAGAATTCTTGCGCACATGAAACGGGGCATGCCTCTTACCTTCTTGCAAAATTCATGTGTGCTCGCCAACAACCTATCACATTGTTTCTCTCCTTCTTCTTCTCAGGTAACCCGTTCAGTGTTGGAAGTGTTTTGTTCATAACCGTCTCCCCTTTGACACCGGGCAACACCTCAGTCCGAAAGCCTGTAAGGGAGGCAGCGAGGGAGAATGCATCGAGCTTATCGGGTCGCTCTGGTAGATTAACAACAAAGATCTTTTGAAACTGCGCGGTAGAATGTCAGCGTTGGAGCTCTCCAGTTTTAACCTTGAGTCAACGTACCCCAAGTGTGGCATTTTGGACATCCTTCAAGCCCCCCGTGTGAGCCTTAAATTCTAAAGCCGGATCTTGCTTTGGCTGTTGAGTGTAGAAATGAGGGATCCTTGGTTCGACATCACCAAAGCGGAAGGAGGAGTAGGTGACCAAGATGAAGAGGAGGAGGGTGATGAATACGGCGCGGGTATAGCGAGCCATAGTAGCTCGCAAACAAGTGCAGGTAAGTAGTAGTCCTGCAAAGGTCCGACCTAGAGCGTCGATTCACCCATGCAGTTGGAGCTCAGGTTCCTAAGCCGACATCGATATAGAGGCCTTTAGTTGGAGTTGCTCGATGCTTTCACCCACTTTTGACGGGGAACCCCAGATGCTCTTTTAGGCTAGCAATTGCCGTGGCCCAGCGGTGCCAGCGAGAGGCTTGTTTTCTGTAAACTGCTTATTCATTTGCTTTTGAGGCTTCTGATTTGCCTAAACCTTGAGTAGTTCTGCGCCCAAGGAACCTCTTAATCAAAGCGGCGCGAGTTTACCTCCCCTGGTGTCCCGCCCGTCGATCCACCAAATTGAGATACCGTGGTCAAGCTTTTGCCAAGATAAGCTACTCTTCATTTGGACTAGCGTTGAATTAAGACGCTCCGAGGATCGGGTGGTTAATTTGATTTTTCAACTTCTACATACAACAAGAATCAGACACAACGGGACTGCTGAGCAAGACAAGAACAAACATTGTGTACTCATAAGCAAGTGCGGATGACCGTCCATCAATGAGACAATCTCCAAAGGGTTTAAGTGGTCCGAAAGCCAGTCTTCCCATCTACAATCCAAACACCTCGGTCAGTCCTGTGGAGAAGTATATAAGAGGCACGGTGACGACGCCCCTTGTGAGTCTATGTGGATAAACAAGCTCCTGTTAGCCACTCAATCAGAGCTGTGAGCTTGAATATGAGATCGCGAGTAGTCAGGAGACGGTAGTGTATGAACATTACTACAAGACCACTCAAGCTCTTGATCGGCAATTGAGCGAAGTCAAACTCGTATCCTCTTCAGTGCATTATCCTCTGTGATCAAGCTTCCCTGACAGTAGCTTCAGTGTTGCTAGATTCGTCGCCTGTGCTCTCCCTGGCAGCCGTCCAGGCTATGGAACGATTAGCAGCGACGATGGCGTTTGCGTTGTCAATGACGATGTCTTGTAAAGGTAGGGTGTAATCTTCTTGGCTCTCTAGCTTATGATGTAAGTCTAGGTGACTGACAAAAAGGCTTCCCCAATGGCGTACGTACCTCCGCGACGCCGGTAGCCTTGCCACAGGCATAACAATCCTATGACCACCATGATACATCCGAACACGATGCTACTGATTGCCTCTGGCCCCCATGGATTTGGTCCACCGTGGCTGATGACAGGATGCGAAGAGGACCTGGTGGCACCAGCAGGTGGCTGAGTCGAGTGACTTGCTCGTGAGATCAACATATCAGGCGCCGTATAGTGTCAAGAGTGACGAGGGCAATGACATCGATGTACCGAAGACTGATGATGAGTGAAAATCGAGAACGTAGGATGTCCAACTTTTTATACGTGTTGATGCAGGAGGAACGGCCGCAGACTTGGGTCCTGGATAAAAGTCGAGGCATAATTTCCCGGGCGGTAATGGTACCATGACGAGGGCGGTATCAATCCTGATATATCTGGTGTGGATCGGGTCGTTTCAGGAACATGTTTGATGCGTGGCTTTGGAGCGGCTTTATTTGATGACCGCTTTAAGCGGAATAATGTGCATTTGCCGGTGGAGCTTGCCTGGAGCTCCTTGGTTCTCGGTAGTGTACAAATCAGGTGATAGGAATGTGACAGAGTTTCGGGACGGTAGTAGTACTGACCAAGCAAATGTGCTGAAATAGTGCATTCACAGGAGGCCGAACGAGCGAGGGTTGGTTTTGACGGAAGGCGGCTACGCCAAGGCCTGCACCACCATGGACTAAAGAACTTCAATAATGCATATCACGACCAGACTTGCCTCCAATCCTTTGGAACGTGTAGATCTAGCCCGATGACTTTCAATCAACCTCTAACAGAACTTGCAGAACTACTTTCCCACCAACTATCGCACCATTTCAAGGCATCATTTCTTGAGCGTGGCCGGCTCGCGTCAAACCAACGCTCGGAACGGAAGGCTGAATTTAGAGGCTTTGACTAGACACCAGACCGCGCACTAGGGAGGGATAAGGAAGACCGCTCAGGGCGGTCGAGGCGCCGCTCCGGGACGGCGGGCAGTCTCGGCGTCTATTTGCTTATGGACAACGGCTTCTAAGACCGCTCAAGGCGGTCACAGTGCTGCTTTTGACCCGATAATTATTAGTTTGCATGTCAGCAGTGCCCCGCCACCTATGCGGCTGCATGATCTACTGCAGTCGCAGCTTCTAGCCTGGGCAGCCTCTAATCTGGGATGCTACCTGTCTTGTCTGCATACCGCCTGAAGCGCTTTGACACGATCAGGCACGGTCGATTTGTGAATCAATCTGTCAATCGAGGCAAGGCTAAGGTCCAGACCATCGGGAATAGAGTAAGGTCGTCGCAACCACCATAAGCAGGCACATCGACTTGGTCGACCGCACCAGCGATTGTGCATTTTGGCAGTGCTTGAGAGTGTATATATAATCTTTGCCAGACCTTCCTTGCCAACCGAAAGATTTCAACCCTCCCCCCCCTCTCCCGGCTTTCGGACTTACACGCTTGTCTTCTAGCCCTTGACGACATGCCGTTACCAATGCACAGCATTTCCTTCACCTGTGACCTTTGTGTTGGGATTCCAGGGAGGCTCCGATGTGAACATGGCTTCTGTACTCATGCTGGATATGGCGAAACCGCCCTACCACCCTCTGAGTGCTATGAATGCGTCGCAACTACTGGACATCAGTAAGCATGCGCCTTACCCGAAACGAGCTGTTGCGGCATCCTCTCACTACTGAGTAGTATGCAATTTGCCGTCTCCTCGAATCCCTTAGAGCGCGGTAACTTGAATGTAACAAGAGATGTTCAATCTCAAAGGCAGAAAGATGCCAACGCAGAATTGGCACAATGCACCCGCTCTGACATCCAGTCGCGACTTTCCAAACTCTCAAAGACCACCGGCACCGGTGGCATAGCAAAGCCGAAAGCAAGACGGAGTGGCCCACTTACGATTGACAGCCGCCAGCAAATGAAAAGGTTAAGAGCAATTGGTGGCTCTTGCTGGAGATGCAAAGTCTTGAGAAAGCAGGTAAGACCGACTATCACTTAAATCGGTTGCTGCTCAAGTATAATAGTGCGATGAAAACACACCATGCAAAGAATGCTCGACCCGGAACAAACATGTTTGGCAGCTCGAGTGTCAGCGTGGTACCGTTGCTGATGCTTTATCTGGAGTGGTCCCAGGTACGCGATGAGCCTTACGCCATATACAAGCCTAATACTTTGAAGATTTGAATCTTGGCAGTGGAGAATGGTCCTACCAAGGCGACTGCGGATCGACTTTTACCGTCCTCGTATATTACGCCCATACTAAGCGGCCATTTAAAGACTGCATTAATAAGGCAGACCAGTTAACCATCTCACCTGGAATATGTATTCCTGTGACAGAATTTCTGGCGCAATTTCAAAGTCCTACTAAAGGTATGGCCAAATTTTTTGAAGAATCGACCTTGGAGATCTTCGAGGAAATGGCCACCCTCCAGATCAGCTTGGAAGATCGACACAGAGATACTGATGTAGAGATGAGTGGAAATGACCTGATCGTTGCAGCATTACGAGCCTTCGTACTAACATATGAGTTGTCAATAATGGACATAAAAATGCCATATCGCTGTGAAGGTGAGGAGGTAGAATTGGAAACATCTAGATACGACCTGCAAATGACTGTCAAGAAGCGAATGATCACGCCAGCAGCAGTGGATGAAGAATCAGAGACTCGACCTGGTAACAAGCTTGAGAGGACATTGCAATCACTTCTACGATTAACGCAGCAGACCTTGTTCCGTCGAAGACCTCGTGACCAGCCAATGTTATTGTGTACACTCTGCGTGCTCACAATGATCGTCAGGAATTTTACAGTAGTCACATTCACCTCTCATGCAATCGATCAGACTGCCAACGTGCTGGAAGGAGCTGTTTCATCTCTGTGCCGACTGTACGAGATATGCGCGAAGGGTGTGCATCCACTTTCCAACGATTGGAAGATAGATCATTTCGCTGCGAGCGTCGGTAACGATGCTGCATTGGTTCGCTGCTTCAAAAAGCTCAATGAAATATGGATCACATGTGGGTAGCCTTACTCTTTATTGTACCGTCAATGCGTCAGCTGTGCTGACCTGAAACAGGGAACCCTGGAACAGAGACCTGTGAAGACTTAAATCTGGAACAAAGGATAGAAGAATTGGTTTTCGAGTGTCATTAGCCATAGCGAGACTTTGATAAGAGAGTTGTCAGCTCTACTTGACGAGTTACAGAATTAGAAGTTCGTCACAATGCAGGCGGTCTCTCACACGCTTGAACATATGCTTACCAAGAGTGTGTACTGCTCACAACCTGGCCAAGCATAGGATCAAGCACACTATACTACTCCCTACAACTTTGTGCTGTCAGGCTGCGGAGGGTGGCGACGACTTAGAGAAATCACAGTCATCAATTGAGCATTCTTAACCATTGACAACCGAAGAGAAATATTTACCAGCCAAATTGAGCATGAGTAAGCGATGCTTATTACACTGCCCCTCCTTGACCCCACTAAACAAGCACCGCGTACCCCACCTGCTTTGTTCGCACTAGGTCAACAGCGGGGTCTTATCAATCAAGTCTGCTTATTCATTTGGGCTGTTGCTTTGCAGAAGTGACGTATCGCACGCTCTTGAACGAGGCTCTGCAGTCTGGACTTCTCAGTGGGACGACCTGACGGAGATTCTAGACCGCTATTCAGCCGGTATAATATGCAAGATGATGCATATGAACCATGGGTCAGGCCTTATTAGTCCACATGGAACGCCATCAGGCATTCACCAGTGGTGGTGGTGTCCTGTCAAAATCCACGTGGTGATCGCCCATCATCCGCGCACAACCTTCTGACTCTAAACCTTACAAATACATCATAAGCCGTATGACGACGTGCATCCGGCCCAGGAGTATGGCATCTTTCAAGATATATATGGAACTCATCATGATTAGAGCGATAGATGAATGGATCAAGCGAGAAGTTTCAACCAATTTTACCAGGTTATGTGCAGTTGCATTCGAGTGATAGAAGTACTGACCGCTCCAATATCAAGAGAGGAGAGTTGGGTATAGTACAAGGCTGAAAGATCATGGAAGGACACAGCCTCCGGGTATGTACCTTTCCGTAAGCCATCGATTCGTCAGGCCTCTCTGCATGCACTAGCCTAAATTCCATGACCGCAGCAACCGGTGTATTGACGCTGTCTCTCATTGGTCGTTTCGGACAGCATGCTGTGCATGAAGGTTCTAGAATAACGCTCGATCCTTGAACATGACGCAAAGATACAGAAACGTGCAAAGTACAGAGCAATCATGCATATCTTGGTTTGTCAATTGGAGCCTGACGTGTTGCTGGAAATGCGGTCGAGGATTTTGATGAGGTATCGTAGGAGCTCGTGTCAGATCGTGGTTCTTCTTCCCAATTCTATGCCTAAGTATGTCTCGGTGTCTTCGGTAACACGGTGTGCAGACACATAAAGTGCTGCCAGTCTCCTCTGCTGATCGGTACCAGATCCCTCGGACATTCCCAGGGAGATCCAACTCAATTTGAAAGACTTCCATAGTACTTGCAGAGCCTCGCCGATAAGCTTAAGCGGGTGCTACCATCCTCAACCTTCCTCACGACGACAATCACGTGCAGCCAAGTCTTGCACAAGCTGTGTAGCCATTACAGATTGACACCAGCTTCAGCCGACCACATCGAAACAGACCCATCGACCTACCTTGACAGCAAATCGATCAAGGACCAAAAAATCATGGATAAGTTGAACCGTGTCACCGCGAATGGACCTTTCTATCACTCACCAAACCTGGAAGAGCCTCTTGAATACCCCTTGAGCCAGGCAAATGCCTCCCATCACGAAGATGCTCGGCTTTTCGCTGAGTGCGACACTTCCAGTTTTACCTCTGGTACTACCCTTCAAAGCTCTATCACGCAAGCGAGCCAAGCTCATAGACCCGCCTCAGATCTTCCCAATTTAGCTTTAACATCGCACCTTCAACATGACTCGAATCCTCTAACAGATCTCAGCCCCACTGCTGACTCAGAATTCCTATCCATGGCCGGATTGAAAGACTTCCTATGCATGAGTGAAAATGAACCCAATGGACCGGGCAATAGTCAATTTGATACATACCATGAAGGACACAAGCCATTCCTTCAAGAATGCTATGGCTTCTCGGAGATGTCATCCAGCCAAGCATCAGCGTCCTGGCATACTCCACCCGCTCCTCCTCCTTTCAGTCTGAATGATGTCGAGCCGAACGAGGTATACGGACCCCATTTTCTTGACCAAGCTCAGATGTACGATGAAATGAAGGGAACCTTACTGCACGACTCGACTCAAGGTAGTACGGGGTCTTTGTTCCGAGGAGAGCAAGTGGACTCTGACCAATACACCACCATCTTCGAGGATGACTACTTCAATCTCACGACTTCTGCTCCAGCTATGCCGACACAATTTGACCACATTTTGGATGAGGACTGGGTAGTATTACCAGACGCACAACCTACTACCACTACCAATGCAGATAATTCTTCTTGGGACTTCGTAACTCCACAAGCGAACTTTGAAAGACAATCGCACGGCCCCGCGAACCGAAGGGTGACTACCCCACCGGAGCAGAACGGCCTGCTCAACCTCAACGGCTTAAGCTCTATCAAAAATCGCAGCACGTCCTCCATCCCAATCCTACCCAAAGCAGAGCATTCTTCAACTTCACAGTTCGGCTCTCCCCAAGCTGTAGGAAATTTGCGTCATGATCAATTTCCTGATATACGATACCCACGACAAGGAACGACCACGACGTCTCAACAGACTCGATCACGTACAGCATCCTCACAACAGGACCAGCCCGCGAAAACGACCAGAAAGCCCTCACAGCTTCCACCAAGAAGGCGGGCTCTAGAGCCAGAGGAAAGAAAAGAAGTTGCATTGAAACGCCGGCTCGGCCTCGTCTGCGACTACCATAAAAGGGCAAAGACAAAGTGCGATTGTCACACAGCTGCACTCCTACTAGCTCAGGCACAGGGTGAAGCGCTTGGGGCTTGCAGTCCGAAGTGCGGAATTCTCTAATGGTGCGAATCTGGAGACGTTACGCTGAGAGTGAACGGCGGTAGAGAATTGGACTAGGTCTGTGAGCACGATATTCAACATTTCACCAGATTACAGAACAGGTGAGGAGGCATAGTTTGATTTGGATATTTGAGACGGATAGAAGTTCTGGCGCTGGATAGTAAAAGTTTTTCGGATTTGGAGTGGGACCACTGGGCCAAAAAGTGATTTAGCGACAAAAGTGAGCGATTAGCGACAAGAATAAGTGAGGAACGAGTTTAGTACATAGCCATGACAGATAAAGATAGACCTTTAGAAAGACCGCTGGACGGTTTAGACTTGAGATCAAGATCTGTGCCATATTAATCATTTCTTGTATCATGCCGGGCACCGGGCGACTCGTTGATGAGGCTGCCGGCGTAACATCACCATCCTAGGGATGCGAGATGACTCACGATAGAATTGGCGCCGGTATCGCTATGTTGAAAGATTATGTCCTTGTCCTGATCCCGCCCTCGAGCTTAGCAGTTTTGCATGCTGGCGGAGCAATGGCTTCCGAGGCAATGCCATATTTCGACTGGGTCTAAGAAGACCAAATTAACTTTCAAGGATCTCACTTGGTTTCAAATAGTTCGTTTATCCACTTCCTTCAAGGCTCCAATCGTACTACCATAAAAAGTCATTTCTCAGCACACTGGACAACCAGCACGACCATGATTATGATATCGAAATGCTCACTCAATACTTGCGCTATTGACAGTCTTCTCTGCACCCACAAACCTCATACTCCCCGTCATCATAATCCCTCTCTCCGATTCCACCCCAACAGGACCATCCCAAGCCGTGAAGTCGAACCCATGCACCTCATACAGCCAGACAATATCCGTGAAAGCCATCAGCAAAAACCTCCAATCCGCGTAGTCAACACCATGAGGCCCGGGCACCATGACAAACTCCACCCCTCTACTCACAAACCGGTACCCATCATGATATGGGCGTTCATCAACCCTTTCTTCCGCATATGATCGGAAGTCCTCAACATCATCTACGATAGCCTCCCATCCAGCTGATAGGGCATCGAAGATGGCTTGTAAGTAGACATCTGAGGGGATGGGCCAGCGGTAATTGGAGAGAGTGTAATGATCGAATTCGAATGCGAATTCATGGGTATAGGGGAGCGGTAGTGGGGGATAATTTGGAGATATTGCAATGTTGTTCACTGATATCGCGTTGCGTGCTTTGATGATATACTCATTCGATGGCTGTCGGTGACCTACTGGTGGAAGATGACGTTCTTCTCCGCTTCTATGCATGATGAATTTAATCAGTATGATCCTTTAAAGCTGAATTCCACTTCTAGGTATATACGACATACGTATGTCTAATGTCAAGTGACTGGCCTGGTTGATTAGGAAGCGCGCGTGCCATACTGGTTCCGACATGACAGGCGAAGAGGAGCAATAATAACTGCGAAGCCAGTGAAGAGCGCTCGTATAACATCTTGTTCTCGGAGAAGATCATTGGACTAAGTGATGTCAGTATAAGGAAAGTATGCCCTATTGATCTCACGGTAAAGCCATGAGGTGGCTATGTGCATTCATATGTGCGATGAAGCCCGTAGATGTCTTAATAGAGGGAGGTCATATACAACTTAGCCTATTTCGCTTATAGGCACCAGTCTTGCGCAAAGCGCGCTTCTCTAGATTGTCTTTCCCATCTCCCTGATACTCAACGCCGACGTTCACTTGGCATTTCTTCTTAGACATCGTATAACTACTCCTACTCCAAGTTCAGCGGACTTTAGGCGCTTGCATCCCTAAAAAGTCCAAGTCAAACAGATACACTAATATCTCTCTAATTCACGTCTGCTACGCCTAGTACACTCTCGCAAAGCCCACCGTCTGCTGCATCATGATCATCACTGATGCGATCAATCCTCACCTATATAGTAGTCTGGGCTTATAATGCACCGTCACACTCCCCAATGTCGCCCTTCTAGCTGCTCCAATCTCACTGCAATCATCAAAGGACTTTGATTCGGAGGAGATACTTACGCATCGATTGAAGCTCAGTTTCTCAGCCCCAAGAGACACCGCAAAGCTCTCGAATCATAATGTCGATCATCCGTTCAAAGTTGCGTACAAAGTAGACTCCAATTATGGCTAATTCACCTGTTGCCTACACGTACGAACTGGGATATTGGTACTGTTCTAATGTCATCGCAGGAGAGACTATTAATTCCATGGTTTCCTCTCCCTCTCTGTTGATCTTTTGCCAAAGTGAAGGCATCACTATAAGCGGGTAAGACCTGCGTTATACTACAGGACCCTCACCAAGCACTTTCCTAATCGTCGTCCGCCAGAGCTACCGAGATCCTTATCAAACCCTAACCCTAATCATCTCCTCCCAAAGCCCCCTTAAATGTCATCGCATGTAGGCCGCTCATCGCAGTGATCATATGATGTTGTATCGCCGGTGGGTCTTGGTACTTCCGCACTTGCTTCTCTAATCGAATCATGGATGTGATATCGGCGATGAACTCCGCCACGACAGGAGGTATCGGCCCTGCAAACAGATTTTACATCTTCAGTGACCTGTCTTGATGATCAAATCATGCACGCTGGAACATCGATGTTCCATGGCATCCCTTTTGAGCAATCCCTGGTGTACCTGTACTCAGACAGCCACTGATGTGGCAGCGCTTGTGTCCTTCATTTACTGGAAGCTACCTCATGACGAGCGCTGTATGATGGCTATCGGAACGAGGATATAATATGCTCAATGTCAAGAGAAAGGAGAAAAGTTTTCTCAGACAAGGCAGCATATCACAACATCAAGACTAATATTTCTCAGGCAAGGAAATGCGACGTACGCTTACTGCTCTTGAACAGCCGTGCATCAAGACTCGACATGAGTTGTGCGGCTATACATCAACTTATGTGATTCAGCGTCAAGAGAGTCACTCGGACTGCAAAGCTCGAGCCCATAGGCGCAGACTTAAGGCAAATTCCTCCGATATGAGCATCAAGGTACCCAGTCATAGCGATTGCCGATATCAGGCATCCGTGCTTCTGCGTCATATGAATGTCGGAAGCCTATATTTGGAATTTGATACCAAGCCGTCCGCCTGAAACAGCATCTTCCCGTCTCTTGTACCAAGCATCCTGGTTTAAGCATTCTGATAACGAAACGCCGAGTATCTTAGTTCCCGGCTACGTGAAACTACTTCTTCCCGTCCATCAAGATTGATATCCCCGCACTATCATGTATAAATTGTCAACAGAAGCAAAAGGCGCGATAAGACCTTTAGATCTTGGATCCTAAAATTTCTGTTGGACCTCTTCACGAAGTACATTTTGACTTGCCTCGAGACTTCACAATTAAAAGACGATTGGCTAAGCGGTAGAATCTCGCCCTGAGGGATAGCATTCGACCCCGCACGGGTATTTAGCTCCCTTTTCGCCGTCAGTCGTTTCAAGATTATCCAATAAATCCCTTTCGCTAAAGGGAGAATTCCCCCAAACAGGCATTGCTTCGTTTCTGCGGCTAAGCTCCTTGACAGACCTTGCATGTATATCGCGGACGCACAAGCCATGACCATAGAACTGTGGCTGCAACACTGGCACGGCAGTTTGCGGTGGATTGACGTCGCCCGTCACTCCCCCATCTTTGTACCTCTCTTGAGAGCAAGAGCCGTGTCCTTGCATGAAACGGCCTTCTGTAAGGACGAAACCCTTCATTTCAGCTCGCTCTGTCATTTTCATGACAGAGCAAGCCATGTCCTGAGTCGAAACGTCTTTGTGAAGGGATGTCGGCTGGTTGCCCTTCTCGCGCCCAAAAATAGTCAGGAAGGGTTCTGATCAATGACATTCTATGCGTCATTATTCTGTTCTGCCGTGTTATCCATGTAAACATCCATGCCATTCGACAGCCATGACGTCTCTTCTTGAAGGATTTGTACAGTGAAGAGATTTTAATCGCGCATTTTCTTAACATAAACAGAAACCCGTGTCCCATAGCAAAACATTCTCCATGACTAGTGACATCGTGATACCGTTCTATTTGACACTCTATATGCCTCTCGAGGAAAATTTCAAACCTTCAACCGGCCATGTCTTGATTATATAAAGGCAGACTCACCAACCTAAGATTCGCAAAACAGTATCTGAAGAACATTCGTCCACCAGCAATAGATTCAACATACTACCCTGTAAAGCTCTTTGATCCCTCCTGTCAGACAACTTTCAGAACTGTACGTGAAATCATATCGACCGTTTCCATCGACGATGAAGTCCACATCCATTTTCTGTACTACTGTATTCCTCTTCTCCCTCACAACTCTAGGAATGCCACGTCCTGGAGGCGCACGTAAGTAGCCCGACTGATACAGACACACATAGCCGCACAAGAAACTGATGCGATGACCAGCTCAGACAAACCTAGTGCAGCTAGGTCAGGAAAACGACCAAGTCGCAGCCGAGTACCAGAAAGATAAGGACGCCCAAACAAAAGCATCCGCAGCAGCACAGGAAGCCTCCAAGGCTGCAGCAGCCGCAGCCGCCAGCTCCTCCGCCGCCGCCCACAAAGCCGGTCCCTTCCCCGGCAGCGCGAACTCCGGCGCCACCCCAAACGACGCAGCGAACCAATCTCAAGAACAGCAAGCATTGCAGGCCGTGGCCAATGGTCTGCAAGCCGACATCGACAAGCATGGCGGCGGAGTCACCTACTCCGTTCAGAAGGATGCGAAGGGAGAGTGGTATATTCTGCCCGCGGGACATAATGAGAGCGATACAGAACACGCCATTCTTGCAAAGAAGGTCGCCGACGCTCTTAAGCAGGCTGGTCTGTCGGCCAATGGCAGGAAGGTTGGCAGTGGAGGTGGCGCCGCGCAGCCTGATGATGGTGAGAATGCTGGTGGCACGGAAAAGCCTGCTGCGAATGCCGCGGGGGAGGGTGCGGCGGGGGATACGGAGTCTACGGATCATTGATGGGTGGAAGAAGCTCAAGAAGTAGATTTGATGGATTAGAGGAGAGTAAGGATCTGAGATGAAGTAGATTGGGCTGCGACTTTATATGATAAAAGCATGTTAGTCTACACAGTCTACTCGGTGACGACGTATAAGAATGTACGGACGAGAATATACGGAAGAGAATATACGGTACTCTTTAGGAAAGATCTCTTTTCTAGACAATAGATAATGCTCAGCATTAGCTCTTTGGTCTGACTGTAGACGTCATTCTGCTGACCCACGCGCACCTCCAGATCGTTATCATGAAGCATAGTAGACCTTACATCTCAGCAGAGGCATGCGGCCGGGAACTACTATGCATAACTATTAAGCTAGAAAGTAATTTAATAATAAAAATAAATAAGGAATAAATTTGATATATAGCTATAATAGATAAAGCTACTATGAATTAATCATTAAATAGTATAAAATTAAAATCAAAATTGATACTATTTTAGTCGTTTCTTGTATCATGCCAGGCACCGGGCAACTCGTTGAGCCCATGCGCCATAGGGTTTAAGGCCCCGGGACGGACTCCCCTAACGTCCCCTAGATAAGTAGAACTCTAAGCGCTGATTGACTGTTTCAATACCGTATCAAGTTCTGTTCCCAAAACTTTTATTGAAACATGTCGCGTCCGTGCATCTTCACTTCCACTTCATCCGCAATCGTCAATCGTCAAGGCCAATTCGTCGCGAAGTCCATCGTTCATGCTCTCAACATAGCCTTTGCCAAACATAACTAGCAGCAGAACATGCCTCGATACTACCTCCAAGGGGGCTAGGGCAGGCATGGGGGGCCGATTTGTCACGCTAAAAGATTTGGTTGGCTATGAAGACGTGTTTCTGCGACGCTTTCGCACACAGCACACGCAATGCTTTTCAAGCCACTGTTCTTCGGACTTTCGCTACCAATCGAAGGAATCGCACTATCGTCGTTTTGGTTTAGGTGGGCTTCGAGGGAGAGATCTAATGGTTAGTAGAAGGCGTGAGGCTCACAGACCTGAACCCCAGCCCAGAGAGCCCATGGGTTCAGGCGCCAGCAGTTTTTAGAAATGATGGGAGTCGGTGTGGCAGTGCCGCCAGGCATTCCTCTTCTTAAATCGCTACGTGTAGCCCCAAATCTCTCATCAGGTAACTTTGTGAATCTACAAGCATTTGACCCCGTCGTTGATCTCTCTCAATCTTCTTTATGGCTCTGAATCGGCAGTGTCTTAGCGCCGATGCAATCGAAATGGTGGCTCTGTCGATTCCAGGTGCTTTCCCAGTAGACCGACCCCATGAGGGCAGCGTCATTGCCCTCGAACCGCTGTCGCCAACCGGTACGTCGCTGGCTGTTGCTTCTCCTGCTCCTGAGGCCGACTCAGTCGCTACCGACCAACCATCAGGAGACTCGCCAGAGGTTGCTATCCTTCATAGCGGACCAGTGACCTCAGCCGCACCGACGGAAGCATCGTATGTCAAGCAATCATGTATTCTGGGAAACGTGACTTCGAAGACTCTCGCTGATATATGGTCATCACAGGCAGAATGATGGGTATGAAATCGCTCCTCAGGTTCCGACAGAAACACAGAAGCCAGTGTCTCGGTTCGAGTGGGTGCGACGTCACTTGGCCAATGTAAAAGTCTGCGCGACTTTGACAATCATTCTGACAATACTCTCGATCGCGTTCGCGATTTATTACGGTCAAAATTCCAACAAGCGCGCGGACAAGGGTAATGCTACATCTCAGAAAGAGTTCAAGCTGAGTCTCTGGGATGATTGCCATGATCGGCCGGTAAGCACACAATTTGACATACCTGTCGTTGCAAGCACTGAATTTGGCTAGGACATGCAGAATCTTACTGTGTGCCGACCAGTATTTTCTGAGAATTACTGGAGTACAAGTAGCGAAGCACTATACCGCCGAGATGGTCAGCGTATACATGACGTACTCAGACTGAACCTACGGCTTACCGTCCAAGCCTACGAAAAAGATTTTCTCCGGAACGCTTGTTCAGGTCAAATGGTAAGCCTTCTATTCGAGTTAGCTTGGAGTCAAGCAGCTGACCTGGATAGTATTCCGCACAGTGCTTGAAAGCAATTCTCGGTATAATTTGGGGAAAACTTCGAGAGTGGGAGCCTTTCTACGAGAAACCTATCGACTCTATTTTCAAAAACACTGCAACGTTCGTTGATACGGTTTTAGAGGTGGTGGTTATGCTTGGAATTAGCTTCACCGCAACGGCAACTCTCGTGATCATCATTAGAATTATGCTCCCCCAAACGACGGCCACAAACCCATTGTCTATTAGAAACTTAACTAGCGTTGCATGTGCAAGTCTGGCGATACCTTTGGCGATGAGGATCTTAGGGTCCATTAAAACGGCACCCGAATCAACAAACATTGATAGTCGCAGAACTGGAGTATGGACGGATCCGTTTGAAAAAGCGCTCATATTCCTTGCCATCATTGTCATGAGCTTCATGTATATAGAACTTTGTTTTAAAAGGCGCAGAGATGAGGAAGCCTTGATGGAATCACCCCTGCCAGGCAAATCTCTTTGGGTCTCTGTGATTAAGCGTGACAGCCGCAAGATTGCGAGAATCATTGGCAAGAAGATTAAGATTCATTGACCACGACCTGCGATCTACTCGAAATACATGAGCTGAATAGGGATCAATCCTCGCGGAAACGTCATCGATTGAGCTATTCTTTTTGAAGAGGAATTAGGTCCGGTTCATGTACTGGTGTTAGAAGATTGAAGGTTATTCCATGGATTTCGGAAGTATCAAAGCTCTTGCAGAGATCTTGTTATATAGTGTGGGGGGGGGGGGGGGAAGCTAGGCTACACCAATAGATTAACGGGTTTTACGAATTTCATTGACAGAGATACGATTAGATTCTCTCGAGAATCTCACTTAATCTGCGAATGTACTCTTGACTTTCTAATTGCCGAACTACGGAAGTAATTCTACAACGCTTTTACAGCAGATGGTATAAAAGTGTCATGTATCTGCACAATTCTTTGCCAGTCTACCACTTAAATATCGAGCTATACATCAAATTGCAAAACCCAAGGGATGCCATGTTCATCTTACATGTGTGTTGGGAATACAACAGCTCTCCGAGTCAGAGGCGGCTATCAGTGAAGCAAGTGGCAAAAGTATAACCCCCTTGGAAGTCATGAAATGACAGACGAGAAGCATCCAGCGCAGTTTGAGACTGCAGCACGGCCAGTGCATTTCCAGTCGACTTGACATCGGGCTTTCATTATGGTATTCATGGAGTCCAGTGTGATTCTGAATCCAGTTGATTAGCGTGCTCAAGCTGGGATTTCATAGTAATCTAGACAGCCAACATTGGACACCAACTCTGATCACTCAGGCAATGTTCACCCACTCCTTTCACGTACTAGTCAGTCACATCTGTCAGAGTTCTGTTAGCCCCTTTCTAGACCAAACGCATGAGTGTAAATGGGCGCAGACTTGAGCTGGAGGCTTGGAACCATCAAGTTACGAACAGCTTAGCCCTACCAACTCGACATCCAGTGCTGCATCATCGATCCAAAAGCTCGTTAAGGAACGTATTACCAACGCACTTCCGACACATACAACACCCTTTGTAACCCTCAAATTTTTCTGGAAATTAGGGTCACGAGTCATCATCTGAGGCCCATGATCTATGCACTTCCTAAAGCCATTGAGTTCTTCATGTGACTCATATACCACCAGTACAATATCCGAAGCCGCAGCGCACCGCCTCACTCACCAACAGCAGCAACACCAAACCCACTAAATGCCTTGAGATCGTTCCCGATCACTGCACCATCCATTCGATATGCGGGGCCATACGACTCACCTACCTCCCCATCTCCTACCTTCCCTCCCCCTCGCCACCCTAACTGCCCCCCATCCGCGCCGCCAGACTCCTCAGCCGGCCCTCACCATTCTCACTTCCCTCCCCCTTTCCCCTCCCCCTTCCGCTCGCCCCTCCCCTCAACACCCTCCCACTCCGCCGTTGATAACAAAGCCAGTAATACAACAAACTGACAACCCCAGTCAACGGAATTGTCAAGGTCCAGAAGATCCAGAAATCGAGCGCCATGGAGATCTTCTGGCTTGTGGGGTTGAGGGCGAAGAATTGAGAGCCGAAGATCGTCTGCTCGAGAGCTTGGAGTCAATTTCTTGTTGTCGTTGAGTGCGTAGCGTAGGTGGAGAACACAAGGGGAAAGGGGGGAAGGGGGAAAGGGAGGAGGGAAAGGACTCACAGCAACGGTCGCTGCAGGTAATAAGCCCACAGTCACTGTGGCTATGGCTTTCATGGACCTGCTGTCCTGCTTTAACACCGCGCTGTCCTGTTGGGTCACGATATTGAATGACTACACCCATGCAGTTCATCAGCATCATTCCCCAGCCACATGAATCCTACCCCCTGACCCCTATCCAACCCCTACCCACACCCTTCCCAATACCAACCCCTCTCAAGAAAAGAAGGGACGATGCTTACCAAATCAATAATATTCTGCACCCTCAGCTGCAAACTCCCGCACTGTCCCCGCCACTCCTCCGCCTGCGCCATCCTATGCTCGAGATTACGGTGCACCAGCCTAAACACGTCCGCATGGGGAGAGTCACGAGGATACTCAGCGTGAGAATCAATCAGCATCTTGACTTTCGCGCACGAGGAAGCGGCGCGCTCGTTCAGTGTTATCATTTGCACGGCTATGGCGTGGAGGATGTGGAAATCTTGCTGGAAGTCTTGGAGGGTTGAGGAGGCGGATGCTGCTGTCTGTTGTGTTGTTTGTTTAGATTAAGGTTGTTTGATGAGAAGGCACTTCACGGCGGGTGGGGGATGGGCTTCGGGATAGAGGTGGAGGTCGTGGATGGTGAGGAAGTAAGGCGTGAATGTGGGAAGCGGGGGGAAAGGCTTTGGGTGGGTGGTCAATACTTACAGCTCTTTCCTTCCCCCTCATAAAATCCTGACACCGCCCCGTCTTCTCCAGCGCATCGTCGCCGAATGCTGCGATCGCTATGGAATACAACGCTACCGGATCGACCAGTACGTCACTCAGATCATGGGACCAAGCGCGGATGAATCTCTCCACTACCAGACGCGGGGGTTGAAGATTATGAAAGTCACTGTTGACTCTGACTTGGATTGTGCTTGAGTTTGGAGTGGAGTGTGGGTTTGGGGTTGGGGTTGGGGTTGGAGTGGGGAATGGTCCCACCGCATCAACATGCCCGAATCAACAGGCGGGCCCTTCTCATGCCCCTGCATCACCGGCAGCATGAGGTCGAAGAAGCGGATCCATGATACTACGCATCCCAACCAAAATCCACGGTTAGCCCACCAAATCCACCATCGTCTCCCCTCCCCAAAGCTACCACCAGAACGGAAGGGGATAAGAGGCCTACCATGACTCCTCCCCCCACCACCATCCCCACCACCCTCGTCGGAGAAAAAAGGCGGCAAGCTCCTCGCAACCTTAACATCCAAGAAATCCGAAGGCGCGCCAATCCACCTTAGAAGCTCCAGCGTGCCCGCTGCCGTCTCTAATGTGGGTGTGTCGTAGGGTGCGAAACTACGCCCACCACCACCCGCAGCACCTCAGTCAACTTATCTCAACCTCAGCAACGGATGCGGGAAGTTGAAAACGGGCTTACATGACGCGTAACCTCGGTCTTAGTTCCGGACAGGAGCTCGAATATGAGAGGGGGCAATTGACAACGTCGGCGACACTTCTGGTCACGAGCGGCGATGGGTTGGCGTCTCGTTTCGCAGGCCATTCAAGTACTTTGACAGCACAACTCTCTGCACCATACCCCGCGCGGCGAGATTTCTGGGCTTTCGTCTCGAAGCTCGCATACGCTGCGTCGTCGTCGAGAAGGGTTTCCATCATATCTCTACCCTCTCAGGGCTAAAGGTCTTGTCTGGCCTGTACGAGTTTCATCTTTGGAATTGCTGGGAGTTAGGATTGTGAAGATCTTTTAGTTTGTTGGATAGTGAAGTGGGGTGGAAAGAAAGGAGGAGTCATTTGAAGATGTGAGGACTTGAATGGGTGGAAAGGGTGCCTCGTAAGGCAGAGCGCGTAGATGGACGCCACAGCCTGATCTGGACGAATCAGCGTCGTCACGCTGCATGGGCGGGACGCCACAGTCGCTAAGCTTTTAGCTGGAAGAAGCTTGATGCTTTACCGTACTTTAGTCTTTAAGCAAACTAAGGCGGTAAAAGACTTGAATAATAAAAGGGAAGCACTTTTAGACTTAAATAATAATTATTCCCTCCTACCTATATAAATATTATTTAATAGGGGGTATAATTAATTATATAATTTATTAATAAATTTTATCTTTTATTAATTTATTTTTTAAAAACTTTATTAATAAAAAGTTTTAAGCTATATCTTATATAAAAAGTATAAGTAGTTAACTAAAAATATAAATAATATATATTTACTTTTATATATAAATTATAAGCTTTTTATATATTTATATATTAATATATTATACTTTATTTCTATAAATTAAGAATATTATATTTATTTTATTTTAATTAAATTTAGATTAGAATTAAAGAAATATTCTCTAGTTCTAGTCTTTTAATTAAATTAATATATTATTAATATAATATAAAGTTAAAACTTAATTACTTTTTTAACCTTTCTTTAACTTTCTAGTCTAACTTCTATTATATAGCTTCCCTATAATATAACTATATTAAATATAAATATTATAATTATAATAGACAATAAAATTATTTAAAATAAAAAAAGTACTTTATACTAAGACTTATTAAGTTTTATTTATAAAATCTAAAACTTATTTATAAGTTTAATTTTAAATATTAAAAGTAATCTTATAATTACTTTAAATACTAAAATATATTTTAATATTATAAATAACTTTACTAAAGACTAATTAAATAAGTAAGTAATACTATGCTTAAAAGGTTATAACTATTTTAATATATTTAATATTAAAGTTAAAATTATTTAATAGAATATAATAAATATCTTTTAAGGTCTTAAAGAAATAAAAGTAGAAACTAGATTATTAAAGAGTATAAAATATAAAGGTTTTTAAGAAAAGGAAATCTATATATTTAAATTAGAATTAAATTCTTAAGAAATTATTCCCCTTAATTCTATTACTAATATTAAAAACCTTTAATAGGAAAATACTTAGTAAGCTTAGAGTTAATAATAATACTTTAGTAAAGGCTATATAATAAAAGTAAAGTCTAAGAGAAAAACTTTTACTTTATTAATATATTTCTTTTTAATATTATATTAAGGTAATACTAATAAGAAATAATAGAAATAAATTATTAGTTATTCTATTAAACTATTTATAAAGCTACTAACCCTACTTAATAATAATTAGGAAACTATAATACTTTTTATAAAGTATTATATAGAGAGGACCTATTAGCTTAATCTTAATAAGTAAAGAATATATTATAAGGATTTCTAAATAGAATATACTTTTTTCTTCTTTTATTAATATATTCTATCTATAAATATATATCTACTTTATTAAATTTATTAAATTACTATAATTAGTAACTAGTGCTCTATACTTATCTTAAAGCTTTAGGTATTAGTTTTACTTACTAATAAAGTTATATAATTAAT